GAGCACGGGTTCCGAGAAGAAGAAGCCCTGGTGGAAGTTCGGTGGCAAGGCCGCCGGTGGTGTCGAGGATGGTTTCGTTACCCCCGATGAGTGGCTTGACACCGACCTGCGCGCTGGTCTGAGCACCAGCGACATCGAGCCTCGTCGCAAGAAGACCGGCTGGAACGAGCTGGTTACTGAGAAGACCAACATCTTCCTTCAGTTCATTGGTTACTTCCGTGGTCCTATTCTCTATGGTATGTGGCTTGGACATTCGTCTTGATTGACGCGTCTTGTGCCAATTGACTAACGCGTTCTTTTACTCTACAGTTATGGAACTTGCTGTCCTTCTCGCTGCCGGTCTGCGTGACTGGATCGATCTTGGTGTTATCTGTGGTATTCTTTTGCTTAACGCTCTCGTCGGTTGGTACCAGGAGAAGCAGGCTGCCGATGTCGTTGCTTCTCTCAAGGGTGATATCGCTATGCGTGCTATCGTTGTTCGTAACGGCCAGGAGGAGGAGATCCTCGCTCGTGAGCTCGTTGCTGGTGATATTGTTATCGTCGAGGAGGGTACCGTTATCCCTGCCGATGTCCGCCTGATCTGTGACTACTCCAAGCCCGAGATGTTCGAAAACTACAAGGAGTACCTCGCCAACGCCACTTCCGACGACCTCAAGGAGAAGCACGGTGATGATGATGATGATGAAGGTGAGACCCACCAGGGTGTCTCCCTCATTGCTTGTGATCAGTCCGCTATCACTGGTGAATCGCTCGCTGTCGACAAGTACATGGCCGATGTCTGTTACTACACCACTGGTTGCAAGCGTGGCAAGGCCTACGGTATTGTCACTGCTACTGCTCGTCACTCTTTCGTCGGTAAGACTGCCGCCCTTGTTCAGGGTGCCAAGGACTCTGGTCACTTCAAGGCCGTTATGGACAACATCGGTACCTCCCTGCTCGTTCTTGTCATGTTCTGGATTCTCGCCGCCTGGATTGGTGGTTTCTTCCGTCACTTGAAGATCGCTACCCCCGAGGGTAGCGACAACAACCTGCTCCACTACACTTTGATTCTTCTGATTATCGGTGTTCCCGTCGGTCTCCCCGTTGTCACCACCACCACCCTCGCTGTCGGTGCCGCCTACCTCGCCGAGCAGAAGGCTATTGTCCAGAAGCTCACTGCCATCGAGTCCCTCGCTGGTGTCGATATTCTGTGCTCTGACAAGACCGGTACTCTCACTGCCAACCAGCTCTCCATCCGTGAGCCCTACGTCTCTGAGGGTGTTGATGTCAACTGGATGATGGCCGTCGCTGCTATTGCCTCTTCCCACAACATCAAGAACCTCGACCCCATTGACAAGGTTACTGTCCTTACCCTCCGCCGTTACCCCAAGGCCCGTGAGATTCTCTCCCGCAACTGGGTTACCGAGAAGTACACTCCTTTCGATCCCGTCTCTAAGCGCATCACCACCATCTGTACTTGCGACGGTGTCCGTTACATCTGTGCCAAGGGTGCCCCTAAGGCTATCCTCAACATGTCCGACTGCTCCCCCGAGGAGGCCAAGCTCTACCGTGAGAAGGTCACTGAGTTCGCTCGCCGTGGTTTCCGTTCCCTTGGTGTCGCCGTCCAGAAGGAGGGTGAGCCCTGGCAGCTTCTGGGCATGTACCCCATGTTCGATCCCCCCGTGAGGATACCGCCCACACCATCGCTGAGGCCCAGGTTCTCGGTCTCTCCGTCAAGATGCTTACTGGTGACGCTATCTCCATCGCCAAGGAGACTTGCAAGATGCTTGCCCTCGGTACCAAGGTTTACAACTCTGAGCGTCTGATCCACGGTGGTCTCGCTGGTTCCGCCCAGCACGACCTTGTCGAGAAGGCTGATGGTTTCGCTGAGGTCTTCCCTGAGCACAAGTACCAGGTCGTTGAGATGCTCCAGCAGCGTGGTCACTTGACCGCCATGACTGGTGACGGTGTTAACGATGCTCCGTCTCTCAAGAAGGCCGATTGTGGTATCGCTGTCGAGGGTTCCACTGAGGCTGCCCAGGCTGCCGCCGATATTGTCTTCCTCGCCCCCGGTCTCTCCACCATCGTCGATGCTATCAAGCTTGCCCGTCAGATTTTCCAGCGCATGAAGGCTTACATCCAGTACCGTATTGCCCTGTGTCTCCACCTCGAGATCTACCTGGTTACCTCCATGATCATCATCAACGAGACTGTCGACTCTTCCCTGATTGTCTTCATCGCCTTGTTCGCTGATCTTGCCACCATCGCCGTTGCCTACGATAACGCTCACTTCGAAGCCCGCCCCGTCGAGTGGCAGTTGCCCAAGATCTGGGTTATCTCCGTCGTTCTTGGAGTCCTGCTTGCCGCCGCCACCTGGATCATCCGTGCCACTCTCTTCCTCGAGAACGGTGGTATCATCCAGAACTTCGGTTCTCCCCAGGAGATTCTCTTCCTCGAGATTGCTCTGACTGAGAACTGGCTCATCTTCGTCACCCGTGGTGGAAAGACCTGGCCCTCGTGGCAGTTGGTTATTGCCATCTTCGTCGTCGATGTCCTCGCTACCCTGTTCTGTGTCTTCGGCTGGCTCGCACCTGACTGGGAGCAAACCTCTCCCCCAGACCCCGCTGGCCCCAACTTCTCCAAGAACAACGATGTCGACATTGTCACCGTCGTTGTCATCTGGGCCTACTCCATCGGTGTGACTGTCATCATTGCCGTTGTGTACTACCTCCTGACCATCGTTCCCGGTCTCGACAACCTTGGCCGCAAGACCCGCTCCAAGGCCGACACCAAGATCGAGAACATGATCGCTCACCTTTCCAAGCTTGCTATCGAGATGGAGCACGACTCGGAAGGAAAGACTCGTTACACCCTCGGTGCCCGCGCCGAGGAGATCGAGGACAACGAGTAAATGCTCGTTTCTTAGCTTTTTTGCAACTCGTTACTGATTCGAGGTCTAATTTCTTTTATCTCCCTGCGATTACCCGCAAATTTTGCCGTGTCACCTACTTGAACATGCATGCCGTGGGAGTCAGAAAAAGTGTTCCGACTTTTTTTTGCTTCCTTTTACCCGTATTATAGACTTTGTGTGTTTCAATTACCCCCTTGGCTGTGGTTTGCTTTCGAGTTGCTAGAGTCATGTTTTCATTCTCTACGTGTATGTATGTCGTTAATAGTGGCACTTAGTCAATCTAAGGGATTCTAATCATTTCTTCTCCTTGTAATTTGAAAAATTGTAGTTTGTAGCATTCCAGTCTTCATGGTCTTATTATCCTTGCCCACCCCTGGTGATCTACCTTTGCTGCATGCACTCTTCCCCAATGTCCAACGCTCACAGGTGGAAGCTAATTATCCGTCCCCATTCTTTTCCCCGGATGAATTTCCACTGCGTGGAGACAAGCTTCCTGCGAGACCCCCTCTCTCCCCAGTATGCACGAAGTATAGAGAAATCCCACAATGCACTGAACTATCCGATTTTCATCTCCGGACTTCCAGCCTATCATGGATGGCACTAGTCTTTGCTCACCCAAGATGGATCTCCTAATTTTCCGTCTGCCGCAACTGGCTGCGACTTCTATACAACCCCCCTCTTTCTAAATGCTCTATAAAAGAATAGTGGCACCACCATATGCGTGCCCATCGGAGGTGAGCAATCAACCACACCCAACAAGCACGATGCTCCCATCCATCCTATCTCTACTGTGTTTCCTCCTCTACACACTAGGAGCCAACACAACCGCCATCCAACCCATCTCGAGACAAACCTGCCAGTCCACCGGAACCCACTGTCCCCGGGGAACCCTAATCGTCAGCGCAACCTCCAAACGCGCCTCTCACACAACCATCCAATCCGCCATAAACTCCCTCCCAGACGACACAAGCCCACAAACAATCCTCATCTTAGAAGGAACCTACACCGAGCAAGTAAACATAACCCGCTCAGGCCCAATAACCCTGCTCGGCCAAACGACCTCCCCCAAAGACGCATCCCGCAACCGCGTTCACATCACCTGGTCCGCCGGCAACAGGGACAGTACCGGCAGCGTCGACAACGTTTTCTCCAGCGTCCTGGTTGTAGCACCCACGCTCGAAGCGAGTCTCACGGGCTCAGGACCGACGGGGTATCCCGTGCCGGCTGATACTCCGTTCGGAAATAAGGATTTCCGGGTGTATAATGTCGACTTTGATAATACTTGGGCGGAGTACTCGGATGGGCCGGCGCATGCGCTGAGTCTTAGTCGTGCTAATGGGGGGTTTTATTATTGCGGGTTTTATTCGTATCAGGATACTGTATGTTCTTCCAGCCGTGCATGCTCTCAGCCTCATTTGTTGAGATCAGTCGCACTATTCTCACACCCAACCAACCACTAACCGCACCCCCCTCCACAGGTCTACATTGGCAAAATCGGCAACGCGTACTTCTACCAAAGCGTCCTAGCCGGCCAAACCGACTTCCTCTACGGCTTCGGCACAGCCTGGATCCAATCCAGCGCCCTCCAACTTCGCGGCTGTGGCGGCGGCATAACCGCCTGGAAGGGGACCAACACAACAACCCCGAACAAGTACGGCGTGTATATAGTTGACTCGAGCGTGCGTGCTGCGAATTCCTCCATCGCGGCGGACATCAAGGGCGCGTGTGCGCTCGGTCGACCGTGGAATAGCCAGCACCGGTCTATCTTTGCGCGGTCTTACGAGGACGGCAGCGTTAATCCGCGCGGGTATATTGATTGGGTTGTTGGTGGTGTTGGGAGGTTCGAGAAGGGCGTTACGCTTATGGCGGAGTATCGGGCTTTTGGGCCTGGTGTTAATGAGACTGCTCGTGTTGAGGGTGGTGTTACTTCAGTTCTTGGACGGAAGGAGTGGGAACCGTATAGTACTCCGCAGAAGGTCTTTGGGGATACGGAGTGGGTTGATTGGGGGATTGTTAAGGGGAATTGAGTGGGATGGGTCTTGGTGAGATTCTCGTATAAACACTACTAGTATTTCATTTCATACCTCACTCCTATTCCTACGTAAATCTATCACACATTTTCAGGCTCCTTCCGCATCTCCCCAATAGCCTTCCCCTCTGAAGTCCCATAAGTATCCGCATACCTCCCCGCCATCCACTCATGGACGGTAATCGGGGGGTATCTAGCGCCCTCTTCTGGATCCTCACAACCAGGAAGACAGCGGATAGTATAGTTCGGATTCCCCGAGAAGAAGAACGGAATGCTAAAGCGCTCCTTGCCACTGGTATTAATAACGCGGTGCAGATTCGATAAGTACCGATTATTCGTCCAGCGCATCATCATATTCCCCAGATTGACAACATACGCCCCAGGAATAGGCGTGATATCGACCCATTCGGACGAGAGGTTATTCCATACCTGTAACCCGCCCGTATCATCCTGTAGGAGTATCGTGATAGCGCCGAAATCGGTATGAGCGCCGATTCCTAGACTCGGTTTAGTTGGCGTTGCTTGATACTATTTACATTTTGATACAAGTTTCCACCCACTAACCTCTCTCAAGACCCGACGCATCACCCTCCTGAGGCGGATAATGAAGTAGTCTAAGGATAGAGACGGGATGATCACAGAAATCGCCAAAAGCATGCTCATCTAGACCAAGCGTGCGCGCGAGAACTTGCATAATGGCTTCTGAAAGCTCGATCATGGCATCGTGGTACTCGTCCATGACGCGACGGAAGTCTTTTGCGTCGGTGATTTCGGAGGGATACTTGTTCGGTCCCTGGCCGAAGCGTCGTTGGACGACGTATGCATCGTCGTGTGGGAGGTCTTTGCCGAGATAGAAGCCTTCTTTGAGGTCGCCTTCTGTGCGTTTCTCGAAGTTTTGAGAGCGTAGGCGCTCGTAGCCGCGGTTGAAGCCGCCGATGGCTTTGGGGGTTTAGTTATGGATGTTATTTTTGCTTTTTGATGGAGTGGCGGAGGGCTGTAATACCTTGGTTGTATTTCTCCTTTGTTTCTAAGGGGAGATTGAAGAATTCTTTTGAGTGTTGTAGGACTGCGGTTTGTAGTTCGGTTGGGATGGTGTGGTTGATTAGTTGGAAGAAGCCGAATTGTTCACATGCTTGTTGGATTTGGTGGATGAGGTTTTCTTTGGTTGAATCGTTGGCATAGAAGGCTGTTGGGGTTGTTAGGTTCATTTGAGAGTATAGGATGCTAAAGGGCGCTTCTTACGAGCGAAATCAATGATAGGGGGCTCGTTAGGGTTCATCTTGAAGGTAGGGCAGTAGTTAAGTGTATGATGAGGTCTTTTATACCTGATGCTGTATCTTCTAAACTGCGGGGAATTCGTTATCTCAGCCACCCAGGAACTGTCCAATGCTATTATGTACATGTACTTGTTTACTTATCTGTCGAAAATCCGAACATCCGACTCCGCTCCTGTGCAATCTCTGAAGGGATTTGTAGGACTTGTCGTGATGGTCCTAGAAACTGCCGTAGAGAGGTCTCATAACCTAGTATGCATGCTTAGTCTAGATCGAAGCCTTATCTGCTAGGCAGTGCAACCGGAAATAGAGATCTAGAGATCGGTATGCATGATAAAAATGATCAAATTATTAGAGATATGGCAAATATTCGAATAATAGGTACACATGTGTACAAAAGAAAAAGCATACAAATACAACTCCGGGTTCTTCGAACCCCGCGAAAGGCAACAGTGGGTATCATATGCGCTCCAATCAAACATGCTACAAATGCATGGGCTTCCACTCCTGTCCTGGGTAAGACGTGGGGGACATGACGATCTCCTCACTGGAGTCGTCCGCGGTGATGGCAAGCTCTACTGGCTGAGGCGGGTCGTTGGCTACACGGGCCTTGTCCTCACTGCGGTGAGGATGCGCGGATATCGCGGAGGCGTTTGAGACGGCGATGTTGTGGGGTGTATGGTTCTCCGAGGCTGGGGATGTCGAGTCTGAAACCACTGGCTTTCGGGATCGAATGCTGAGCTGAGGAGCTAGACTTTGTTGTTTGAGATTGCCTTCTAATTCGTGTTGCTGGCCTAGGTGGTTCTGGTTGTTTGTTGAAGCATCGGGTATCTCCCCATATAGTTCGTGTCGAAGGGGTTCCCCAAGCACACGATCTTTGTGTTCCTCATGCTCCTCTTGTGCCTGGTCCTCGCTCAGGGTGCCTAGCTGCGCGTCCTGGTTTTGATCTTGCTGGGTTTCTTGCTTGTGCTGCTCTTCTGCCTGCAGTTGGTATATCTGGTGGTCTTGTAACTCCTCCAGCGGTGACAGTGGATGTGCAACTCTATTCTCGTGAGATGACACGGGAGACGGTGACCGGGAATGACCCGGGAGAGGCTGGCTGAGTGTGCTAGCATGACGAGAGCCGTGGGTTTCATTCATGGATCCAGACTGAAACTGCGAGTAAAACCGACCAGTCGTCAGGGAGTTGGATGACGAACTGGATGGAAGTGATATAGATGGAACTGATATATTGGCACGTTGACGATCATCGCGGGGTAGAGATTTTGCGTCGCTCGGGGGTGGAGGTGGAGGTGCTCTAGGCTCGGGGGGTCGAGTTGGCAATGGCTTTTGTTCAAAGGGATTGCGGAGGACCGGTGGTTCATCCTGTGCAGCGAAACTAGTATTTGCATTTCCATTTGTCGATGAGCGTGTCGGCAGAAAATTGTTCTGCAACTGCTCTGATGTAGACCTTGTGTGGTCGGTCGATTTTCTCTCGGGATCTTGAGAGTCCTGCCGGCCAAATAGTACCTGTTTGAGTCAAAAAAAGAAACCAAAAGAACTGTCTAGAGTCGACATACGCTAATCCTGCTGAATGCTCGTCTCCGCTGGCCTCCCGGGGGCGCCTGAGGCGCTTGCAGTTGAATACCAGAGAGGAGGTCTCCTACCGAAGCGCGTCGTCGTCTCCCGAATTCCTTGAGCTTCCCAATAGTAGACTCCTCATTCTCTGCAGGAGACCCCGATTCCGAAGGATGCGAAAGACCGTTAGCAGGTGTGGACGGGCGAGTCCCTTTGCCGTTGCTCTGCTTTCCAAAGCTACCAAAGCTCAGCATACTGCTTCGGGTTCCCGGCGAGTATCTGACTTCGTTTCTCAAGGGGCTATGCACATCTGGAGCAGATGGAGGTAGGCCGCTGATCGATTTTCTTTTGGATTCGAGGACCTCAGCAGAGCTTGTGAACTCTGACGAATAGAAAGGTATGAACGACCTTCTCTTCTCTTGAGCAGATGACTGGGAGCCACCAGGAGCGTCATGCACAGAATGCTCAACCTTGCTTTTATACCGCGGTTCTGGTGCTACCTCGTTTTCTGTCTCTTGCAGAGGAGAAGGGGGGACCTTGTCGAGTTCCTCATTAGATGTACGTCCAGGTTGCTCATCAGCTCCGAGTGTTGAGACAGAAGGCTGGCGCCTATGATCCTGGCTAGGTGCAAGCCCATTATCCTTAACCTTGGGAGGAGGCGAAGGAGGCTTAGGACTTTCATCAAGCACTGGGCGGATTGACGGAGTGACAATCTCCGGTGTAGACTTGCTTGGCTGATGCCTCTGGCTGTTCATAACCGGAAAAGGGACGTGAAAAGGCTCATCAGGAATGACTGGCAAACTCTTTTTTGCCACTGGGTCTTTGTTCGCCGGCGCTTTAGCATCGGATTGGTTGCCAGTCGTGCTTTCTCCCGGCTGTGGCAGTGGCTCTGTAAATTGCCGTTTCCCGCCATTTACCTGGCTAAAGGCATTCAACGCCATCGGGGTACTTGCCGCCCTTCGAGGATGAGGATCTGTGGGCGAAAGACCGAGCGCAGCTATCATCTCCTGTTCTAAATCTCCAGCAAAGGCAGACTTTCCTGAAACTTCAGGTTTAGGAGGGACACCGTTGGAAGATGACAGTTGTTTTGGTTGCACGGTTGTTTCGCCAACACGGTTGTGCGACAGGCGGTTATTCCCCGATTTGGTCGGCTTATCACGTTTGCCGGCATTATGTTCATCGTGTGGACCATCTAGACAGAAACTGACCGGTGGATCAGGATCAGGGTTGAGCCCAGTTCGCTCGGATTTGAAGATGGGCAGACTGCCAAAAGTGACAGAGTTCCGTAGAGAAGAGTTACCAGACGCTTCACCCGACCCCGAAGGGAAGGAGAACTGAAAGCTGCGGCGAGAAGCACTTGAAGTTGACTGAACCTACAACATTACCAACATCAGAATATAAACAAATAAGGACGGGGAGTTAGATTGTAGAAAAAGGGCGGATGCATCAATCGTGTCTCATTCTAGAGCTCAATGCCAAAAGTGTGCTCGGAATTACATCGTGGTATCCAGAAAGTGAAGTAATGCAGCGATATCAAAAGGGAAACATTAAAGCGACGGCCTCCACCGTGCTTACCCAAGTAAACAACTCGCTCGGAAGAAGAAAAAAATCAAGCATCTACCTTCTCAGAACCTCCACTGGGTCGGAACCTGCTTCTGCCCTTGGCAAACAGCCCCTTGGCTGCCCCAGTTGCCTTGCCACTAATCGCTCCCGCAGTGTGGAGGAGCTCCTTTCCTTTCTCCCCGACTTTCTCCTTGTTCATCACGGTACCTATATGGCCCGACGGGCGTCTGATATGAGTGGCGCTAGTCGGAGTACCGTCATTCAAGGAACCGAGATTCGAGAGAGCACCCAACTTGGGGAATCTGCTGCGGGAAGGATCTGATGGTGGCACAGTAGGGGAGAGATTCTGGCTCTGTTGGACCACATCGGCATGCTCCGGGTGATCATGAACTGTGAACTGTAGCCAATGATTTAAACCAGTGTCAATGGTGGCGAACTGGTCGCGGGTGTGTTCGAAAGACTTGATGCGCTGGTTGATAGATGTGATACCGAGAATGTCACGGAAGCCCAAAAGTTGGGACTCAATGAGGGATGAGGCGCCGGCGTTAGAAGAGACTTGGGGTTGCGGAGGTGGCGTAGCCCCTGGTCCCATAACTTGCTCCGGTGGTGTAATGTTCTCCGGAATAGGTGGAACGATCGAAAGTCGAGGCTTTTCCACGCGTTGGGTCCCAGACACTTCATCATCAGAAGCAAGCGGGTCGTGCGACACGTCCGACGCCAATGGGGCGAGCTCCTGTATAGGCTCAGGCTCTTGCATAGATAACGATGCAGCTAAATGAGGGGGCGATGAATAGCTGCCGGGCATTAGAGGCGGCTCTGGTTCTGACGAATCGGAGGATTCCCATGAGAACCGTCTTTCTAACTTGGGTTTCTTTGGCTGATCAACGATCGTGGATGAAGAGTTAACAGCCGCGCCTTGACTAGTCGCATAAGGGTCTTGAGATGCCAAAGGAGGTGGGATAGACCAGTCTGGGTGGCTTTCAGAAACAATAGCCTGGTGCGGGATGGACTCAACGGGTGCCTGCGACTGAGGTTGGTTGCTGGGCTCCGGGTCGTCCGAGGGGGTGGCTTCCCGACTTAATGATCGGATAATCTCCTCCCTCAAGCGATCATTGTCGGTGTTCTGTGGTGATTCTTCGGCTCCCATGATGGTGGGGATTTCACCATGGAAGTTGTCAGGGCCCGATGCGCTTCCGAATTTGAGAGGGGCAGGCATATCCTGCCCATTGTTCGAGTATGATTGCATCGGTGGCTTTTGAGGAGAGATTCCCGCATCAGATGATTCGGGTGAGAAATTCTGGAGTGGAGGAATGGAAGATAACTCTGCATGGCCTGCCGTTGGGGTGTCCTGGTCTGTGACTTGAGGTTTCCTCGAAGGACTGTTGTCTGAACTAGGAAGGCTCAGGTCCCGGCGATGGCCAGGGTTAAACGCTGGAACCGCATTCGCACTTGCCTTCGGGGAGCTCGACTCATTAGGCTCCTCGAGAATGGTGGGTGTTCTTTCATCAGTCATAGTACGAGCGCCCATGATAGGGCTGATTATCGAAGTGCCATCGCTGTTCGACCGCGCAACACTAGTGGTGGTGGATTGTGGAGTTTCTGGGACGTCGAAGGCCTGATTCACTACCGATTGGAATCCCGGCGAGGGGTTGTGGTGCAAAGCGGGCTCCTGGGATGCAGAGCTATCCTTTGGCAGGTTGGAGTCTGCACCACCTAAGAAATCGGTACCAAAGCTAGACATGCGCTTGACTTCCGGTAGACCCAAGGGAGGGTTCTGTTCGTTTGTTTGAGGTGGAGCTCCAAAACCATCAGGCTTGTGATCATTGCTACCAGTGATAGGAGACTGCTGAGTCGCTTTCTCCTCGCGCATGCGTTTATAAAGGTCGGCCGGCCTTACAAAAGGAAGGGCTTTTTGGTCTCCTCCACTAAGGTTCCTACCTTTGCCATCAGCCAAATGCGACTCACCGGCTCCAGCTCCGAATCCGATGCCAGACAAACGCCTCGAGGACAACTCGGACGAACTGCCAGTGTTGTGGTTGGCATAGGGAGGCCGAGGTACTGCGGGAGGCGCCTCCTCCTCCTCCTCTTCATCGTCTTCACTACCCCAGTCACCTCCATCATAAGAATATTGCTTCGCTTCCACCCAGCGTTTTGTTTTGGAGCGATTCACGTTTGTTTGGAATGAGATCGGGGTTCCGTTACTACCGCTGCCTGGCGAGAGCGGACTGCGAACATTTGGCGGGGAAGGGCTAAAGCAGGTCTCAGTATTTGTGCGACTAGATATGTGATTGAATCTGAATGGATAGTCTTACAGTTGCTGGGCTCCGCGACCATGCGATTGGGTGGGGTCTGCCATCAGGGGAAGAGGATCAAGGGACCGAGGCGAGCTCGATTACCAGCATCGACTGTTGCCTGACTGATCTCCGATGATTTTGCACAAGAGCAAGTTGTAGGCTAAATAAGAAGGTGAACAGCACTGTTCCCTTAAATGATAGTGTGCAAGGACGAAGGTGGCGGTTTGGGCCAAGTTGGGCAAGGCACCGATCAAATGGGTTGGGGATAATTGGAGGAAACAAGATTAGTGTACAAGAATGACGTGTATCCACAGGAGAATACAAGGATATCAAGCCAGCTATATCAAGAAGAGAGAATAGAGTAAGATAAAGAAAATAACGAAAATGAATAGTATTAGAACAATGAAACGACCTATATTCCCCTGATCTATCGAGGACGTTAAGGCTAAATTTAGGTGGCGGTGCGGGGCTTATGTAAGGGCACGTTTCCGATTTACGTGGACCAACGGGGTAAATTAGATTAACCTTGATTTTGTTGACCTTCCATCTTCTTACTTGACTGTACGGAGTATATTCAGTATTTGTTTTGTTCCTGGATCTATTCAAGTCACGACGCTGTACCCTTGGAGCTTTCTACCTGCAACCGGACACGTCTTCCCTCGCCCCCTTATCGATTGCAGATAGAATCACACTTCAGTTTCAAGACCGAATTCGGCCTTTGTCGACGTTAATTTACATTTACTTCTCAATACCCGCGCTCCTTGAAAGACTATAGCTACCAGTCTCCTATCCTCAATTCACATCCCTCCTTCCACATCGCAAAATGACCGGCCCGTCGATACAAGACCGGACCAGCGAGTTCAGCGCTATCTTGGGCCACGCCCAGAAGCGCCTGGGGACATCGAAAGTTGGATCACAGCGCCAGGCACTGTTGACTGATGCGCAAAGGCGACAGGCCAATGGGTCGCCCCAGGGTGCCGCGCAGGAGGCGAAGGCGGCAAGATCGGAGTTCGCGCGGCGGGCGCGAGATATCGGAAGGGGGATTACTGGAACAATGGCAAAATTGCAGCGATTGGCTGAATGTGAGTCTGATCACATTACTCAAAATATCAGCAATCTAACGAGGAAATAGTGGCGAAGCGGAAAACACTCTTCGACGACCGACCTGTCGAAATTTCCGAATTGACATATGTGATTAAGCAAGACCTTGCCGCGTTGAACCAAAACATCGCCTCGCTGCAGGCGCTCACCCAAGCGCAACACCCCAAATCGAATCGCTCGAAGACAGACCAGGAAGGAGAACACAATGACAATGTAAGTGAGACATGAAACGGCGCGCACGGACAAATCGCTAATTACCTATTCCAGGTTGTTGTCATGCTGCAGGGAAAGCTGGCCGATGTAGGCGCTAGTTTCAAAGAGGTGCTCGAAGTGCGCACGAAGAATATTCAAGCATCCCGAACACGAACCGAGAACTTCGTTTCCTCGGTATCTTCCAAATCACACAGCGCCCTCGACGCACAGCGCTCAGACTCGCCTTTGTATAACACTTCGGGACGACGGACACCCCAGCCTGGATATCAAGGCAACTCCTCCGACCTTTTGACCCTCGAGCCCTCAAACCCTTCGCCCTTAGGACGTCCATCATTCCAATCAGACCAACAGCTGATGGTAATGGAAGAAGGAGAATCGAGTAACACATATGTTCAAGCTCGAGGCGAAGCCATCGAAGCCATTGAGCGAACCATCAGTGAATTAGGCGGAATTTTTGGTCAACTGGCGCAGATGGTCAGCGAGCAGTCAGAAATGATCCAGCGCATAGATGCCAATACCGAAGATGTGGTCGACAACGTCCAGGGAGCGCAGAGAGAACTAATGAAGTATTGGACGCGCGTTTCCGGGAATCGCTGGCTAATTGCCAAAATGTTTGGTATTCTGATGGTACGTTCACTTATGTTGAATTTCTTGCCTGGACATCCAACTAATGATTGTTATAGATCTTCTTCCTTCTCTGGGTCTTGATTTCGTGATAGACATGAGATCAGCCCTTTTTCCCTCTTCATACTGTATTATAATACCTGGCCCATGTGTTTTCGACTGGTCATGGCCCTTCTGCATATCCGCACTCGCTGAGCATTTCCATTTCTTACTGTCTGGCTAGACTCTGGGATGGCTAAATCATCACGCTCTTTACTTTCCTTTTCACTTTTTTTCATCGCTCATTGCTTTTTGCTGCTTGGGACTGTGTCCTAAAGAGCCACCTGCGTAAATACACCTTATGTACTATTCGAATCCAATCAACCGAGATCATGGGTTCACCATGAACCGCTTCTAGAAACATCGCGAAGCCAGTATTGTCATTCTATTCATTTCATGCATCAAACTGCGTCATCACATTCCATAGTTCTGACTCCGCCCAACCCAACGAGGGCTGGTTATCGAACAGTTCCCACACAAGACTGTCATCCCATCCCCCCACAGATGGTGGTGCAGTGGATTCTCCTCCAGTGGAATCTGTACCTCCAAGACTGACCAAAGGCTGATCGGCACCGGCAGCGCGACCAAATATATTTGTGTAGGGTGCCATCTGGCCTTTGGTGTTTCCAGCCGTGTTCGCATCAGACAGTGCAGCTGCTGGCTGTTCTGAAAGGGAAGGTTCAGGATTTCCTTTCACCAAAGGCGCACACAGGTCCAGGAATTTGGAGAATAGCTTGTACAGTTTTCCAATTGAGGCATTTGCCTCTGCGAATTGATGTAGGTCGTCAGTGATGTTTTTGATCATATTGAAGTCTCTCTCATTTGATGTTGCGATCACATTGCAAAACAGTACAAAGAAGGGGGCTAGAGGGAATAGCAGCATGGTCCTGTTCGAATGGGTCATTAGTTCCGACTGTCCAAGATATTGGGAGATGGCTTTGATATGGCTATATCATACCAGGTAAGAAAGTATGGATATGAGTCGATAGAATTGAGGCGGCTTGAGAATGCTTCCTGTAAAGCTCGGAGAGTGGTGAGGGCTTCCCGGGCTGTGTATAGACAGTTCTCGCAGACCAAGCGGGACTTGAGTACCGAGGAGCGGGCTTGGATGATTGTCGTGAGAATAGAGTAGTAGTTGAAGTCCATTGATAGCCACTCGCGCCGCAGATGGCTCCATAATTGTGGGAATCGCTGTTCTTGGCGACGACGAAACTGAAAGTCGGATTAGCGGTTGTTTGCTGGCGGGTTCTCGATCTCTCTTACCATTTGCATATTGGAGTGGATTGTGTGTGCCCGCGCCACAAGATCAGACAGTATATTGGCCTTCTCCGTGTTTCCTATTGTCTTGGTGTCAAGCAGGATGTTCAGTAGAGTATTCTTCAACTCTGAATACTCGACTGCTCCTGTTATCATGGTAGTTGTTGGCAGATCAGGATCGATGTGGATTAATTGGGTTGGTTTAACTTTCAGATCCGGTAGAGACGGTGGTCGGAGGAGCAGCAGGCTGAGAGTTTTGTCAAAGTAGTAGCATGTGTACACACATGCATGGATATTTTCCTCTGTTTCGGTTCGAGGACTGGTATCTGTAATGTTGTGGTAGTTCAAGGAAACGATCATTCTCGAGGCTAGTGCTGCCAACATCCAGCAGCGCGTCATATTTCCTAAATATTGCATCAAACGGGTCTGTCGTGAGTCAGAAATGAGTCTATATGGACGGAGCCACACGAAAAGACAAAAGAAACATACTGCAGACAAAACCGATTGAAGTAAAAGAAGGCTAGGTTCCGCTGCCAACGGAATTTGATTCAAAATTTCTATGGCAGCGGCTTCATACCTCTTTTTGAGTGACCGAAAATTATCCCTCAATGGCTTGCTCGGAATCAGAGGGGACATTTTTGATATACAACCCATGGCCTTTACCCAGACATTTATTCGGTAATGCTGGAGCACTTGCTCGGATTCTGCGCCCTCGATAATTGCAAGCCCCATCTGCTCTAGAACTTTGTCGGAGATATGATCAGGCCAGTTGATTGTTCCCTGGGAGTTCGTTTTCTTATCGGGTCCTATAATGATCAACTTCGCCGACCTCAGCCTCATTGTGGGTAACTTACCAGGTAGCATCATGTAGAGCAATTCCGGTGTGAGAGTAGGGGGTTGTAGGTTTTCTTGAACATCCATGTCATGCATAGCCGCAGTCTCCTCCCAATTTAGGGTCGGGTTGGACAGCTGACTGACGAACTTGCGTGCTGATTCAAGTGCAGTGCGTCTATCTTTTGATAGAGCCGGGTTGCATTGGAGTTCATGCTCAATGTATTCTCTAGCCTCACTGGCATGATGTGTTGAGCCAGGGGAATGTGCCTGGTGAACATTTTGTTGCGCCATAGCCTGAGACTTGCGGTGCTTACTTAGTGGTGGCTGCAGGGGGGCCGTATCATGGGGGTCATATGCTCGATATCGCTTCTGTTTGTCGTTAAGGACTTCAGTAATACTTGTGAAATTGGCCGACGGCGACGAAGATGTGCTGCTAGCAGCGTGATGTTTTATTGCCTCTTTATTGCTTGACTCTTCCAGCTTCGCCAATCTTTGGGTCAATGTTTCCAACCTTGGAAATGTCAGCCGTGGGTTCTAAATACATGCAATATGAATTGCACCTACCGAGAGACTCGCGGCCTATGAACTCGTGCCTGGCGATTGCGAAGACATTCTGCGCCTGCGTCGGTGCAGTTCAGGCAAGGATCCTGGCGATCGCATTTCACCTACAATGACTCGAGATGAGTCCCGGCGCAGCAAAGGATCGAATATAAGAAACTAATGACTATACCTTCCGAGTATGACATAGATCGCACTGATAACTGATTAGCTGGGCTACATATATTCGTGGATGTTTCAGAAACAGCGTGTGCCTTTCGCAATGCCATCAGGCAAACTTACCGCAGACATGTTGACTTCGGAAGTTTCCAACGGAATTTCGGATTCAGAGTATATTAATCAGGTATTCAAGGGGAAGAGTAAGGAGTCAGGTTGAAGTCCGGGCTTGTGTGCTCGGCACCCGAACTGCCGGGAACCGAGCGGAAGCGGTTTAGTGCGGAGCTTCATGTATACAAGGCCTTTTTTGCATTTGCAAACAAAATTGTTGCTTGATGTTTTATTTACTATTTGTATTGAAGGTTCAGTCAAAAGTAACTCGATATATCGCCGAATAATTGCACGGAGCTATCATTCATCGTAAACATCATAGCAGTATTCACATTCCCATTTCACAACAGACCCGAGGAGAACGTGCACTTCTGAATAGTTAACAGTATGCGGAATAGCTCCTCGTCGATCCATCTCATTGCGTGCTGCTTGGAACCATATATGGTTAAGCTTTGGCTCGAATGTTTGTTCACCATGATCACTGAAAGACGCCATGTACTCGTTCAGATCCTTTCGCATCGCCCACAAAAACTCCTTTCTATGAGACCACGTAGAATCATGCTCGCCATTTTGTTTTCTTTGGTCGTCCTTCGTGATGGAAACAAAGAAGTCGAGGATTCTCTCCATGGTTGAAGTGGTGAGAAGGATACTCAACCAGCTTCCGGCGGAGGAATGGGGAATTTCCGGGCCCATCAAGCGCTGGACCGTCGAAAATAGAAGCTGCATACAGTGGTGGGTCGACAGAAATATAAGTGTGTCGTCAAAAGGCGCTTTTCGAAGAATTGATTGCTGTCTTTCAATAGAACAAGCCATGTTTTTGTGGTGACCCGAGTGGTCAGAGTCAGAGTCAGAAGATGCAAGTGATTCCAAAAAGAATACCGCATAGGCTCTATATTCGAGTAAGTACGTTTCCAAGAAAAATAACATGGTGGGGCCATACATCGGATACAAAAGCTTGGCCTGAAGCGAAGCCACGGCTTTACTGTAGACAACTTCTCTCTCTGTCTTAGAAGATGACCACAAAGGCTGGGCAATTGCATCGGTATCCAGGTGATGTTCAACCACATGATCAGCCAGGTGGTGGGAGAGTCGAATGCAAGTATTCCAGCATCGTTTTAGATCGCCGAGATATCCGAGAGAATAACCCGCGTTGTCATGAGCCATGCCTGTGCTGTACTCGGGAGGCGGGGAAGGAAATAACTCAGAGATGAAGGAAATGTCATCACCCGGGGACAGGCCGCCATCAATACAATGGCTTTGATGATGCATCTGTTTTCGGAGTTGAATATATGCCCATGCTATGGCAAATTCCAACTTGTAAACCCGGTCGTGGAGTGCTCGACAGGAAAGAAACAAAGAACCAATATCCTTCAGATCACAGGAGGCTAGGATCGTCACAAAGACATGAGATGGGAGTCGCTTCCATCCCGAAGCTTTTGGACCAACCGACATCGAGCCCCGTTTACCTCTCCGAAGGACTGTTCGCACTCGATTGAAAAAATGCGTCATGGTTCATACATTTGGTGAATCATTTGAAATATCCTTTGGCATGTACTTTTTGGACTCTTTGACACGAAACCATAGATAAGACAAATGGATGATATAAAGCCTCAGATGGAATAGCGCCAGCTGTGATTTGAGTGTTTCCAGACTTTAGAGACGCAGTGATGGGACCAAATAGAGCATTGTACAAACACTATCTGATATTTTAAGCAAAGATGTGGGATTTTAGCTGAGGCCTGATTAAGTAATGGACTTTGAAACAACCGAGATTGTGATGATGTCGGTGGTGTGGATTTGGTGCCTTATATTCGAGGCAGAATATCACGACACCGGCATTTGCCTTTCCCGATCCGTACCATTTCCTCCCCTCAATACCCAGAGATCAAATTGCTTAATCAAGCATGCTAGTCATTCATGTCTAGCTGGATTGTTCTCCAAAGAGTGTGCTACAGCGATGGCTAGTCTAAATAGCTCCTTGAATGGTGGGCGGGCAACGGACTCGCCATCAAAACAACCCGCATCGTTTGCATGCGTGGTCTGTCACAACCGGAAGGTCAAATGCGATAGACAAGATCCCTGTACTCCCTGTTCAAATTGCGCAAAGGCGAATGTGGAGTGCGTCTACCGTGCTCCACCACCGCCTCGTCGCAAAAGGGATAGAGAAACCAATGGGAGTGTATCTCAAGAACGCGGGAAACTTCTTAGACGCAGCACAGGACTCGACGGAAATCCCTCTGCTACTCAGCATCATCACCCTGCTGAGTGGGAGCAACGGACTGAAGCAGGGAAAAGTGGGTCTGGGAGGATGATCATGAAGGATGGTAATTCCATCTATCTCGATAAGTGAGTTGCTTGCGCTGAATTTGACCTAATGTCAGAGTTCTGACTTGCACTTCAGCAACCTTTGGACGAGTGTCAGCAATGAGGTTAGTATTTTCTGACTTTCGCGTGCTGTCAATTCTGACCCTATTTGCTAGCTCCCAAATGCAGCAGATGTATTGGACGATGGATCGGATAATGGTACCGATAACTTTGCCCAGGATGTGAGCGATGATTACGCGATACTCTCAACATCTACAACAAGAGATGATCTTACAGAGCTCCACCCGAGCCCCCTGAATATCTTCAAGTTGTGGCAGGCATTTCTCGAGAATGTGAACCCACTCACCAAAATTATACATGTGCCAACTGTGCAACAACAAATTTTGGACGCCATGAGCGATCTTGGAAAAGTAAGCCGGGAGATTGAAGCATTGATGTTCGCAATATACTGCATAGCATTGGTTTCTTTGCAAGCAGAAGATGTCGAAAAGTCATTCGGAGAAAGCAAGAAAGCCCTCCTATCAAGGTGCAGACGAGGAGCCCAACTCGCTTTCAAAAATGCATCGCTTCTTCGCACATCAAGCTCAGTGGTTCTTCAGGCGTTTATGCTATATCTAGTGTGTTCACCTTCCCTCGACGAGATCTAATCCCCTTTAACGATATTTCGGTAGCTCTGCATGCGTTCGTTCTCTGATCCACATACTATCTGGACATTATGTGGTATTGCAGTAAGAATTGCGCAACGAATTGGGATTCACCGTGACGGGTCTGCACACGGACTCTCAGTATTTGAAACTGAGATGCGCCGTCGCATCTGGTTCCAGCTCATGATCATAGATGCCACATCTGCACAGTTTTGTGGTGTAGCATCAACGCCGCTCCCAGCCACAATTGATGTCCAACCACCAATGAACGCAAATGATAGCGACCTTGATTCTCGCATGACCGAGCCAGCCTGCGAGAAGCCAGGACCGACAGAGATGATGTTTGTTCTGGCTCGGAGTGCATTTGGAAAATGGCTCCTTCGTTTGTCAAACCAGGTTGAGAGTTCTAATATTGGGCCATGGGCTTTCCTATCATCGTCATCTATGTCCTTGAAGGACAAGGACAAGACAATTGATGAACTTGAAGCACACATGGAAGATACGTTTCTCCGGCATTGCGATAAATCAATCCCGCTCCATATGGCAACTACCATGATGGCGCGTTCGGCTATATACTACACCAGGATGGTGGCACACCATCCTCGTCAATACCAGGATCCTAACACTCGCATCTCCCAAGCAGAGAAAAACGTCATCTTCGAGAATTCACTCAAGATGACAGAGTACGCTGACTACGCCCAAAACAACCCAGTTGTACGGAAATACTCGTGGCACATGGTGAATCATATGCCGTGGGACGCCATAATATTCATGCTCTCGGAGATGCGGCACCGGACGGATCCCGAAGAGAAGAGCAAAGTCTGGCAATTGATTGGAAATGTGTATTCTGGGCATATCAAGACGATGAGCAGGAACGGTCCAACGCCTCTTCACATGGCCATTCAAAACTTAATTGTCAAGGCCTGGCGGACGTACATCGAAGAGTGTAACCTCAACCACCGCACACCAACGCCTTGTCCAACCATCGTTGCCTCTTTGCTAGCCAATGCAGCAGGAATTTCAAGCCCGCAGCAGGAAGATGGAAACTTGCCAGCTGCCGAGCTTGGTGCTAGGTCACAATATCAACCTAGACATGACAGTTCTAGTTCACAATTGGGACTGGAGGCCGAAAACTTTGGATTCCTGCTTGGTGATAGTCCGCAGGATTGGAATGAATGGGACAATCTTCTCAGTAACTTCCAAGGATCTTTTACAGATGATGCAACATATCTGTCGTGATCTAAACATGATTCCCGATGCTGTCGATTGCTCAAATTCGCTCGCACACATTTTGTAGCGAATCAAGAGATATGACAGCAATTATCGTGTTTGATATCCAGGTATACCAGAAAAGTTGGAGAGCCTCGCGCTGATCGGCACGCGACGCTCCGATGCCGTGCAGATGTCTTGGCGTCCATGATCCTCGGAGTCGGCGACTAACCAGCCGAACAGTGATGATAAGCATCCTTTTTGGGGTATATTTCTTTACAGGGCGATGGTATCTGCCTAGTCAAAAAGGTATTTAAAGTCGGTTCCCCTCGGTGCTGATTTTGGATATGACCACCAATTTCCTACCTGCAATTGGCTTTTGATCACAATCTTCTGCCCTTGATATATTAATTCAACCTACATATCGTCACTCCGAAGATGGTTCCAAAGATGAAACCTAAAACGGATGTTCTTATTGTCGGCGCAGGCCCAACTGGCCTTGTTCTTGCTCTGTGGCTTCACCACCAAGGTGTCAAAGTCCACATCTTTGACCAGGCAGAGGGTCGTGCGAAAGACTCACGAGCGATAATTGTTCATGCACGCATAGTCGAGCTGTATAGACAGCTTGGGTTGGCCGAAGACTTGCTGGCACTTGGGTACAAGCTGCCGGCGACAAATCTGTGGGTTGGTGCGCAGCACAAAGCACACATTTCGCTACAAGTCTTCGGCCGGGAGTTGACTCCGTACCCGTTCATGCTAAGTGCACCGCAAGACGACCACGAAAGAATGCTAGAAAAGCGACTGAATGATGTCGGCATCCATGTCGAACGAGGATCAAAGTTGCAAGGCTTTGTGGACCACAGTTCAAGCATCACTGCTACCCTGTTCCGCGAGAGTGATGGGAGCTCAACCACACATGAGGCGTCATACATAGTTGGGTGTGATGGAGCACATTCGGCTGTTCGCCACGCGATTGGTGCCAAATACGAGGGCGAAACATACAAACCGCTGTTCTACATCGCCGACGTCGAAGGCAAAAGCGACAAGCATTTCAACGGCGAAGGGAATGTGGTGTTCACGAACGACACTTTCAACCTGGTAGTCCCCTACAACAAAGCAGGCCATGCACGATTAGTTGGCATCATTATGCCGGATAACGACGACGATGACAACCGCGAATCGCCAGCCCATGAGCATCAGATCACGTTCGGAGACGTTCGACCACAAATCATGCAAGTGATGGATATCGACATCACGAAGGTCAACTGGTTCTCCACCTACCGTAGTCACCACCGTGTGGCCGACAAATTCCGCAGCAATCGGGCGTTCCTTGTTGGGGATGCGGCTCACATCCATAGCCCGGTTGGGGGGCAGGGCATGAACACCGGCATTATGGACTCGATCAACTTGGCGTGGAAGCTAGCAACGGTCCTCAAACAGACAGACATGACCGAAGAGGCAAAACACGAACTGTTGGATTCATATGAGTCCGAACGCCGCTCATTCGCTATGATGATAGTGAAGTCGACCGACACGGGTTTTACGACGTTGACATCGAAAGGATTCTTCCCACACATTCTTCGAAATTGGCTGATTCCGTACCTTGTGCCACTGCTTTTGAAATTCGATTTTGCCCGGACTAGAATCTTCCGGGGCGCTTCTCAGCTCATTTGTAACTATAGGGGTAGTAGTCTCTCTTCGACTGGCGAAGGGACTGTTCAGTCTGGCGATCGTCTTCCGTGGGTTGAAATCAACGAAGTGGACAATTTTTCCACCCTGAGAGATGTTTGTTGGCAGCTCCATATCTATGGGGAGTCTCTACCGAAACTTGAAAAGTGGGACCGGGGGATGAATGTGAAGGTTTTTGCCTTCAAATGGCACGATCAATACGCCAAAGCCGGGCTGGTCAGGAATGCTGTCTACTTGCTGCGACCTGATCAGTATATTGCAGGCATTTTTGAGGGCCCCTCTGTTGAGGCGGGGTTGGACGAGTACTTCGCTACGCGGGGTCTTTGCCTAGATTGAGACTAGACTTGTTTGAAATATTCCAGAGCTCTCCACTATTCTGTTCGTTATCACCTCCCGATTTCGACCATCGTTGTTGTACCCCTTATTAAGCCACGTGCATTGTCCTATGTCGCGTTTTCCCGTTAATTTCCCGTTTAAGATGCGGGATATAGAGTGCTTTTCCGACTCAGACTACTCCAAGATTAATCCAAACCATAGCGTGCGAATGGGATATGGAAGCCACATGGTCTTCATATCCCTCGGCATGCGAAAGGAACAGAGCGTGATTGGTGACTTGGCGCATATTAAGGCCCGTTGGCGGATGATTTGATTGGTGTACCTGCGGGGCTAACCATGGAAGCTCGACTTGGGTGGATCTATGAGACTCCACCTATACTTCCTTCTGGGCATTCCCTCCCAGGAGTCTTTGTCTTTGCATCCAATCTCTAGGTACACGAGCATTGACAATTACCGGTACCATCCGAACTGTCTCAACTCCACCCATATGCTTTGCCGGGCAAGGCCGCTTACCATCGATAGTTGATCGGCCGATGAAATCTCATGGACTGAACATGTGGCAGAGACGGCTGCGTTTCATTTGCCATGGAGACTAATTTTAGCCTGGATATTCCTCAACTGCCGAGCATCCTTCCAAATACACATATAATGTAGGGCGAGAAATATAAAAGCCTTGCAATGACCGAGGAAATGATCTTCGTAATCACTTCAGTCCAACTCTCTTTACCACATCATTTACTGGCACGATGAAGACCACCGCTCTCATTTCCTTGCTCGGTCTGTCCGGCAGCGCCCTGGGTGCGGCTGTTGAGAAGGGCAAACCTACAGACCAGCCCTTCGGCTACAAGTCCGGCTCAACAGAGTCTATTGCCAACATGAAAGACAAGATCGAAAATGTTGTCTGGATCCTGCTGGAAAATCGCGGATTCGACAACATTCTGGGTGGTGTGAAGAAGAAGGGTTTGGACAACGTTGTCAACAATGGTCCTTTCTATAACTTGGAGGATATCAGCAACCCCCAGAGCAAGAAGTGGCCCAGCCAGTACAAGGACTACGACTCGGTTCTCAATGATCCTGACCACTCACTCACTGGTACCAACTTCGAGCTCTATGGCGAGTATAGCCCTAACAATGAAGCCATTGCCAATGGCTCTTTGACTGCCAATGTGTCCGGCTTTGTCAACCGCCATATGCTTAAGTACCCCAAGATCTCTGCCCAGCGAGCAGCCGACGAAGTCTTGGGATACTACTCTGAGGATCAGATCCCCACGATCGTGGACATGGTTGATGAGTTCACTACCTTCAACAACTGGCACTCTTGTGTCCCCGGTGTAAGTATCGTCCGTGTTGCAGACTACCCAAAGATATCAAACTGACCATCAACCAGCCCACCAACCCCAACCGTCTCTGCGCAGTTGCGGGTGTCACTGATGGCCATGGCAAGAACGACAAGGACTTCGATGTCTCCGCCATCGATACCACCAGTATCTTCGAGGCGGCCTCGGAGAAGGGCATCTCATGGCTCAACTACGATGGCACCAACGGCGCCTTCCTGCCCGATTCCATGTTCTTCGACTGGACCGCCAAAAACGCCAAGAGCAATGTCGTGCCGCTCGAGAACTTCTACCAAGACGCCTACCTGGGTCTTCTCCCCCAGCTGTCGTACATCAACCCATCCTGCTGCGGTCTGAACACCAACTCCATGCACCCCTCTGGCAACGTCTCCTTCGGCGAGGTTTTCCTGAAGCAGATCTACGACGCCGTCCGCACCGGCCCTCAATGGGAGAAGACCCTTGTCCTCGTCAGCTTCGACGAGACAGGTGGATTCTACGACCACGTCGCGCCCCCTCTTGCCGTCCGCCCAGACAACAAGACCTACACCGAGAAAGGATATGATGGCAGCGAGTACACTTTCAGCTTCGATCGTCTCGGTGGTCGTATCCCCACCTGGTTGCTGTCTCCTTATACCCCCAAGGGTCACGTTGAGGGCTACGGTACCGACCCCGTTACCGGCGAGTCTTCCTCGTACAGTGCTACCTCCGTGCTGAAGACCCTTGGTTACTTGTGGGACCTGAAGGATATGAGCCCTCGTGTTGAGCACTCGCCCGCCTTTGACCACCTCATTGGTCCGAAGGTGCGCTCTTCTCCTACGACTCTCAAGAACCCTCATGCGTTCCCCGATGCTGTTTGAGAGGCTTTCTACGGTAATGTGATATAGAGGAATGGTTGAATAGCTTGTTATTGGTCATCTAATGTTTCTCGTGTGATGGGAGGCTATATACTTTATTATGATTCACGCACTGCATATTTTGCAGCTTTCTTGAGGGTTTCCAACCAGCCTCGGGCTGGTTTCAGTGAATACCCAGTTGGTTAGATATGATGTTTGAAACGTTGTAATTATTAAAATATTAAAATACTACTATAATTTGTTTTTTAATGTCTTTGCAAGCATCCTTTTAGATATCCTAAAACATGTTTTCGAATAATTAGTTAGGTGAAAATTGTAGTTGAATAATACATATGTAACCTGTTAGTTTTGAGAGAAACTTCAGCAGGAACCGGCTCTCGGATTTCTATTGGATCCTTTGCAGTCAATTGTACCTAGATAGGTACATATGTAGATCACAATTTATTTTATCAAGGAAATAAATGCATCATATCAGGAATCCAGAATTGGAAAAAGCCAAAATGTATACGAAAGTGTGTAATTGACGCCTGAGGCAGACACCCTAAACTTAATTCAGCTGTCGATCTGGAGATTCTCGAATTCGGCCCGGAGTCGACAATTGATAATCAACCATCCCTCCGAGATCTCCCCAACCACAGCTTCGCGACAATCAAAATGCCTTCTCCTATGAGATTGGCAAGTGGGCTCCTCGCCCGAACCACCCGCAACATTGCCATCGAATCCGCCCCAACACAACGCATCCTCCCTCTCCTCCGAAACAACACCGCATCACAATGCCGAGCCTACACCCAAGCACAAGGCCCACGGTGCAACCAAAACATGCGCACCATGATTTCCGCACAGAAAAACTTCTCAACCTCCGCCTTCCGAGCAGGCCCCAAGACAATGGGTCAGATGCGCCAGCGCAACTCGACCGGCCCATTCTCGTGGAAGGCCGCACTGCTCTTCGTGCTGACCGGCGCCGGTATGATGCTCTACTTCCGTGTTGAGAAAGCCCGTCTTGAGCGCAAGCGCATGACGGAGATGAGCAAGGGTGTCGGCAAGCCGAAGGTTGGCGGTCCGTTCGTCTTGAAGGATCTTGATGGGAATGAGTTTACGGCGGAGGATCTGAAGGGCAAATACAGCTTCGTGAGTTACCCGGATCATGGAACAGAAGATAATCAATGGAATTGATATTCTAGAACGGTACTCGCTGACACAATCTCGCTTGATTTCTCTAGGTCTACTTCGGTTTCACTCACTGCCCCGATATCTGCCCCGACGAGCTGGACAAGATGGCCGAGATCATCGAGAAGGTCAAGGCCGCCACCGGAGACGAAAAGCTCTTCATGCCCGTTTTCATTACTTGCGATCCTGTCCGTGATACGCCCGAGGTGCTGCGCGAGTACCTGAAGGAGTTCCACACCGGCATCGTCGGCCTGACTGGCACGTACGAGCAGGTCAAGAACGTGTGCAAGCAGTACCGTGTGTACTTCAGTACTCCCAAGGATGTGAAGCCTGGCGAAGACTACCTCGTGGATCACAGTATTTACTTCTACCTTATGGGTGAGTGTGGGCAGATATGACGCTATAACCTGGTCATCTAATTTCAGTATGCTAACTTTTCATCATAGACCCCGACAATGACTTCGTTGAGTGTATCGGCCGCCAGGATACCCCCGAGTCTGCGTCCAAGGTGATCCTGGAGCACATCAATGACTGGAAGAGGGAGGGAAGGCCACTCAAGACGGAGTAAGAGTCTTGTGCTAGGTGTATGTATGGAAATTGTACAATATAGTCATTCGAATATCCGAATACCCCACTCACGTCGGAACCGTGTTCCAGATACTTTTGCTTTTCATGCATCCTCGTAAATTGGAGTGCCACGGCCAAACTTCGTCAAAACAAACAAATATAGAGGCCGGGCGAACCAGTTTTGTTTAGGCAACACCTGTAAAAGAGACTATCAGCATTACCCACAAGCCACGACCTAGAAAACCACCAACCAGCCAAGTTCGCCAAACCACATAAACCCCAACCCAAACACCGCCAATATCCCTAAACAGCCTCAGACTCCAAAACCATCCCCTCAGCATCCCGATCCGCATTAGCCCTCCACTCCATCCCCCCATCAACAAACTCTTCCCTCTTCCAAATCTCCGCCTTCTCCTTACAAGCCTCAAGCACCTCCTCGCCCGCCCTCCACGCCGCGCCCCGATGTCCTGCACTAACAGCAATGGCAATAGAAGCCTCTCCAATCGGCACAGTGCCGAGTCTGTGCGCAATACTCACTCCCTCAAGCTTATGCGTCTTAACAGCGGCCTCGGCGATCCCCGCTAGCGTCTTCAGCGTCAGAGGCGGGTACGCTGTGTAGCTGAGCTGCGACACGGAGCGGCCTTCGAAGGTATCCCGTGTCGTGCCGAGGAAGAGGATGTTGGCGCCGGCTGCTAGGGAGGAGGTTTGGGATAAATAGGTGTTTGCGTCCAGGGTTTCGTAGGTTAGTGTTAGGTGGATGTTTTGCGTTGCGTCATGATGTGTGCGTGGGTAGGTTTTTGGGTCGAGGTGCGCCGGGAGGGGGGTTGGTTCTGAGGAACTCATTTTGGGTAGGATTTGGGAGAATCAATTGGTTTGAGGGGGTTTGGGTTCTTTCAAATGTTGGATGTTGTTGGATTTATGACTGCCCAGGTGCTCCCCCTCGATGCTTATCTGCTGCGGGGATCGGATAAGAGCGCCCCCGATCTGATCTGCGGAGAGCGCCGTGGGAATTGGTGGTTTTGAATACTTGGGTTTATGTTGGTTCTATGACTCGGATTCTATTTCTTGGGATTGTGTTCATGTTTCTTCATTGTGGAAAACAGTCTAAGTACAATGCGTGGAGGAAGTGGCTTATGGCCAACCTCAGATCTCATATATATATATCACAGGAGCAAAACCACAGCCTCATATGGTCGAAGTGTCCACTTTTCACCAGAGAACCGCTGGGAAGCCTCATCAACACCTTCATAAGTGTCGAGCAAGACCTGTTTCACAGCAGTGATACCGTTACTGGCCGCATCCCACTCCAGAGTCTTCTCTGTCCAGTGACACACAACCAAGGCTTTTTGGTCACCATACTGGCGAGTGTACGCAAAGACCTCCTGATTTGGTTTATCCAAAAGTGTGAAATCGCCATACACAAAGACATCAAGGTACTGCTTGCGCAATTTCAGCACAGTCGCCCAGTAATGGTACGTTGAGTTGGGATCCTTGACTTCCGCCTCGGCATTGACCCGCACATAGTCGGTGTTCACAGACATCCAGGGCTTGACGCCAGGTCCGGTGAAGCCGGCATTCTCAGCACCTGACCACTGGACTGGAGTGCGTCCGTTGTCGCGTGACTTCTTCTGGTATTCTTGCAGAGCGATTGCTTGCGCAGCGGTGTCGTCCTTTGGAAGTCTATAGAATACCTATAATCAGCCAACATCCACAAGTGCTACCAAGAGAGTGAAATTACCTTTTCCAGTGGTTCAGACAATCAATGTCTTTGTATTCTTCAATACCCCATGATTTGGGCACATTTCTGGTTCCCAGCTCCTGTCCTTGGTAAACAAATGGAGTACCAGCCTGCAATACCAGGGCAGTAGCCAGCATCTTAGACGCGACCAGTCGATACTCCTCACTAGCATTTGTGTAGCGGTCAATAGAGCGCGGTTGATCATGATTCTCCCAGTAGAGTGCATTCCAACCATCATTTGTATACATGAAGGTCTGCCACCGCTCAAAGAAGTCCTTCAAATCAGTGAGCTTCCAGCTTCCAGGTTCAAACTTATCATATTTTCCATGGTCAATGTCAACGTGTTCGAAATTGAAGATCATATTGATCTCATTGCGGTCAAATTGCACCGCACGGAGAACCTCTTTCTCGTCAGTGACGAACGGCATCTCACCAACGCTGAAAGCATCGTACTCCTTGAGGATCTTGCCAAGATCCGCGAGGTACTCATGCAAGCGCGGGCCATTGGCGTACCACTTGTCGCCCCACTGCCAGGGAGTCCGCGGGTCTTTGATGGGTCCGTCGGGGAAGCTCTGCTCCTTGCTAATGAAGTTGATCACGTCCATGCGGAACCCGTCGCAGCCCTTGTCGAGCCAGAATCGCATGATATCGTGCACGGCCTTGCGAACTGGTGGGTGTTCCCAGTTGAGGTCGGGTTGCTCAACCGCGTATAGGTGCAGGTAGTATTCTTGGGTCAGTTCGTCCCATTCCCAGACGTTCCCTGGAGTAGATTACAGGTTAGATTGATTTAATCAACCAATGACGAAAACCACTTACCCTGGAAATGAGAAACCCAGTTGTTGGGAGGTTGGCGGTTTCCATGTTCATCATACTTGGCCGGCTTCCAGACATACCAGTTACGGTACTCATTATCCCTGGAGCTGCGCGACTGCTTGAACCATTCATGCTGGTCGCTGGTGTGGTTGACGACCAGATCCATCAGGAGTTTCATACCGCGCTGGTGGCATCCGGCAATCAACTTCTCGACGTCTTCAACTGTGCCATACTCATCCGCGATGCTGTAGTAGTCGGCGATATCATAGCCCATGTCCACCTGCGGTGATTTGTACGATGGACACAGCCAGACGATATCCACGGCGAGGTTCTTGATGTAATCCAGTTCAGAGATGATACCGGGGATATCACCGATACCATCGTTATTTGAATCCTTGAAAGACGCAGGCCAGATCTGGTACACAGAGCTTTCTTTCCACCAGACACGGTGGTTGGAGTTTCCTGGGGTAGCCATGGCGGTTTGAATGCGGATGGCAACTAAGGGAGGTGACTAGGATGTTTTGAGAGGAAATAAGAAAGAAATTAGGTTTCTGGAGCACTGCTGGCTATATATGTATGTTATTATTTGCTGTAAAAGATGTGTTGTTAAGGACACTTGGAGCATGGCCAATCGCTCATGTTTATTCCACCGCGGGGCAGATGCGGACAATCATCGGGGACCTCAGCGATTGATATGTCGGCCCGAGGTGTGCGTACCTACTGTGGAATGCAGCATCTGTTGAATCAAAAGCCACACGATGTTGTGGATCGTCTCCACCTGGATGATAATGGGTCTAACGATGATGCAACTGGGCCGAGGGGTTCTTGGCGGGCCAGTTTCCAAATTTACCTTGGATTTGATCCATCTAAATTGATAATGAGAAATATCATTTGATATAGAGCAGAATATCCTTTTTAAGATGATGTAAAACAGAGTTTCAAATTGAAACTTGCACTGTATACTTCCACAGTTGTTTGTATAGATACATAGTCACACTTCTACCATCTACAATTTCAGCATGCATGGATCATCAAAATCCATCGTACGTACAAATACCGAGGCATTCAATTGAATCCATGAACCAAACTGCCCCGCACTAACCGGGGCATGTTGTCGCACAGATAGATTGCTGGATATATCAGGATAGCTTGCTGGATATCGGGGTAGCTTGCTGGATATCGTGATAGCTTGTTGGATATCAGGATAGCTTGCTGGACATATCTGGATAGCTTGCGATGGTGTCGAAATGGAATACGGCCTCGCTAGGCCCTAAACAGGAACTGAGGTCTTTCCAAGGTTGTTATGAGGCTATATGTTGTACTTTCCATTCCCTCAATGGTCAAATAATAGGCGGTGTGCTTGGATGAATGGAGGCGGTGGAGCTCGGAGATACCTTATCGTTATCGTAGCTCCGGTTGTTCAAACTTCCTGGCACTGGAGGTTCTCCAGCTCTCGTAGACAACCTTTTGCACATTATCCTTCTTTCTTTCAAATGCTTATCAACTATGCCGCCTCCGTATCGAAACGATAAGCTTTCTTCGGGCTCAGCTCGTCGACCCTTTCCTTCGCGAAATGACCGTGATGGCCGCATGTATGATGATCGATCGCGATCTCGCTCGCCTGGTAAGCCTCCCCGCATGTCAATGGCGTATTAGCCCATAGACACCTTCGACACAGGGCCAATTTCTCCACGTGGTATTGAACTGTGGCTGACTTTGTTCTCATTTGAATTGATAAATAAAGATCGTGCACGCTCGCCTCGAAGACTAGCCGCCGACAGCAGACTCGAGTACCCCAGAGACCGAGAATCTGGACAAGGCTACCGAAGCCATGATCGAGATGATTATCGCCGTCGAACTTCGCACTCATCTCCTCATAGGGGCAGAAACACATACAAAGACCGCGACCGAGAGGGTTATCGAAGCGCGAGTGACAATCGAAGCCGAAGTCGCAGCCGTGGAGGCCAGTCCCATATAGGACAGGTGAGCCAAGAAGTGAGGATGGATGGACTTCCGGTGGACATGACAGAAGAGCATGTGAGTTATCAACATCATTGACTGGATCAGACGTTTGAATATCTGCGTTGTTGACGACAACTGCTGACAATGTGGTCAATTATGAACCAATAGATCTCAGCTGAACTCAGCAATGCCTATCATACCGACGGCCTGGAAGATATTCGGGTCATTCGTGACCGAAACACGAGTATGTGAAAGTGGCAGACAGTTTTGAAGAGGGTGCACCGTTTTAACCTAATATTGTGCCAAACAGAGTTGTCGCGGCAACTAGGGTTTCTGCGATTTTCCACGATTGAGGCATCGCGCGAATTTGTCGAACGCAACCACCCTTTTATCTTCTTTTATGGACCCACAAACGACCGAAGTACCCAAGTACGCATAGCTTACAGCCGTGAGAGGGAAGACCGAGCTCGTGCAAGAGGCGCAAGTGAATGGAACTGCAGAACGGTAAGTCAATGTGGTGGCCCGGAGCCCCGGGGAACCTGCCTTCCCATGCCGGAAGTACCTAGGGACCTATTCATTGTTCTCCGCTTACAAAATCAGTGTCTCATTTCCAACTTCCCCACACGTACACGTTGTTACAAGTGCGGTACTCCACGACCCGGTTCGTACACCATCACCATTCCTCTCGCAATCCTCTTTCCAGCACTAACCATTCAAGCAGATATGGATGCTACCGGTCCCCCTGGAGTTTCGGCTCCCAAGATAGCTAACGATGGTGATAATGATGTTGCTCCTGAGAACCAGCCTTCCCAGTTCCTCTTAATTCGTGGTCTGGAGGCGTCTGTCACAGAGGAGCTTCTTGCAAAAGGAGTTTCCAAACTGTACCGGCCATCTGGCAACAATGACAGCGCTCCTGAGAATCAGAAGAAGGGATCTAAGGTAGCCTCGACCACTGGTGACAGCAACTTGGGAGCGCGCGAAGGCTCCCTCCGTCGCGTGCTCCTTGTACGTGATCGCCGAACCAATGAAAGCTGGCGTTTCGGATTCGCAGAATTCGCAGGAATCAATGTACGCTTGTTTTATTCCTCCCTTATCTTGTTTTCATTTTTAACACTTGACATTTCAGGATGCACAAGCTGCAATGACGCGGCTCAAGTCTTTCGAAAAGTTTACCATCTCCTCCAAGCAGGTGTTGGTCACCTACATTCATGGCGGAGTGTTTGTTCCAGTTATGAACGCTCCATCCGGTGCTAGCTACTACACATTCAGCCCATCTAACAACCCATCACTGAAGTTGAGGTACTGGGACGATGAAGCATATGTGAAGGAACTCGTGCTGTCAACCGAGGAAGATGATGCCGCGCAGGAGCAGAAAGCCAACCAGACAACCTCCAACCATGGAGATGCCCAAGCCAAGGGCATGAAGGACTCCGATAAGGGTAAAAGAGAAAAGCCGATGGCCCGGCGAGTGCGAATTCCAAGAAGCTTGCAATGCCATCCCAGCTCCAATTCTGGAGTGACCGTCACGCTGAGCTCCATGGAATCAACAGAGATGATGCTGGCAACCCCGCAGAGGGCTCGACATCCGCAACTCCGGCGACTGACTCGACTGCTCCAACTGTTCCAACTGCTCCAACTGACCCAACTGCTGCACCGGCTCCATCATTTGCGGACTTCAACAATAACTGCTGCCTCTTGTGCATGCAACAGATGGTGAATGCAGGTCATCTCAGATACCACGAGCGCACCAGTGATATCCACGCCGAAAACCTGAAAGATGTCAAACTGAGGGAACTCGGCGTCTGCTGGCTGATGACTAATGGTATCGTGCCCTTGCCAACTCCAAACTACAAAGACAGCAAGGATGAATACCGTGACGGACTTGAGCAAGAATATTCCATCCCTCCAACACCTCGATCGTTTGCAGACCTAAAGCGGAACTGGTGCCTCTTGTGCTTCCAAAACTTTGATACTCCGGTGGAAGTGCTCATCCACGACCGCGTCAGTGAATACCACCGAAAGGAACTGGAAGACGAAGAAGCGATCAAGTGGGGCCTGGACCAGCTTAACCAGGCGGGTATCGCACAGGATATCGTGCCGGCGGCTCCAGAATACCGAGACCGCGCAAAGGAGCGCCGCCAGGCTTTCGGACGTGATGATGCCAATGCCCGCCAGAGAGCCCCCGAACCAAAAGAAGAGGACGAGACACCCGTGCAGACAACCTCGATCGGTGCTTCTCTTCTCAGCAAGATGGGCTGGTCCGAAGGATCTGGCCTTGGTGCGCAAGGAACCGGTGTCACCGCGCCGATTCCTACTGAAATCTATGCCCAGGGTGTGGGACTGGGTGCGCAAGGAAGTCGACTGGGTGAGGCAACCGAGGAAGCTGGTCGGAACACTAGGGGTCGGTACGACGAATTCCTGGAGAAGACCAAGGATGCCGCACGCCAGCGCTACGAGGATATGGACCGTTCCTGATCTTCAGGACGTTGAATGTAAGATTATGGGTGGAAGGGGTGGTGGTGGTTGGGGTTTGAGGGGAGGATGAAGTGAGAATGAGGGGGGATATGCTGATTTTCACCTTGTGTGCCATAACTGGGTGGCCGATTCCATGTAAGATTATGATAACTAATGAACCCTTTATATGATGTATTCTCGCTCGGACCCGTTCGGGTGTCTTTCCATTGTAATCGACAACCATGCCAAGTAAATGCATATATGTAGTGTACAGCTGGTATCAAATCATGAGTAGAGTGTTGGTATGCAGAGTGTAGTTGGTATGGGTAAGTATTTTGCCAAGTCCATCATCAGGTCTCTTTAGTATCCTGATCGACCTGATCCTCCCGGAACGCCCTCTTCATCTTCTCCTTCTCCAACTGCTTCTCAAACTTATCACCAAGGATCTTAGCGACCCACTCCGTAACCTCCGTCTCAAGCTCCTCATCACTCTTGACAGGCGTATCACTACCACCCTGCAACCCATTCCGCACGAATCTCCGCATATCCTCAAGCCCATTAATGTTCAACGCATACCCGACCGCACCGCCGGCCATCAACCCAAACGAGATCACATTGAGAGTAGCCAAATTCAGAGCCTCGAACGCATCGCCCGCGGAGTTCGAGTGCGGCTGGTGGTACACCGAGCTTGTGTAGAAAGACGGGATGCAGGCAATGCGTTTCTTATGGAAGGCGCGACGTGTCACTAATACCGAGAGCGCGAAGAAGGTCATTCCTCCGAAGAGGAGTTTGAGGTTTGTGTTTGTTTGGGGCGAGGGTGGTTGTGCTATTTGTGTTTGTCCTGGTGGTGCTAGGGTTGCGGATTCATCGGGTGTCGGTTTCTCTTGAGGAGGTGTTGGTTGGCTCGACTCGGGTTTTGGGCTTGAGCCCCAGCCGAATAGTGATACCATTGCTATGCGCGGTGTGTGTGAGGACGAGGATTGTTTGGTTGGTGATGGGAAGCAGAGCTGATTGGTCTGAAAAAGAATAGATGCCGAAGGATCGAGAGTTGAAAAACTGAATGGAGAGGATGGCTGGGTATGGTTTTCTTCCGCGACGATGACTCAAAGCACTGTGTGCGGGGGCAATTGTCTTGTTGTTCTTGTGAATGAAGCAAATCCGTGCGGAGACGGAGATGACATTGCAGATCTGCACGTGACCAGATTCTCACCGAGGATTTCCAACGTTGGCTGCCTTGACATTGCAACAATTTGGTCAAAATTGGACACACCTTTCTGTGAAAAGACGCCTTGCTGTCAAATAGTCAGCCTGGCCAGGAAACCCCGTTCTGGGACCATACGAACCAACGAATGGCTACATCATAGATGAGGCCGAGTGATAATTGGAGTTTTTAGGGCTAGATCATCGGATGACTTGGATATCCCATTGAACAAGCTCATTTCACAGCAATTACACGGCAATTGCGATAGTATAGGCCGGAAAACCGAGTCCATGGTGGAACGCCCTGTCTATTTACAAGTGTTCTCGAATTTTTCATGTATAGAAGTTCGAAGACATTTTGACTACAATTATTGACCTCAATGCTGTCCTTGTGCGATTAATTTAGAGGGAAACTGTAGATCAAGTTGGTATTGAACAAATTATCTTCTATATATCACCAAAACATAACGCCAATCAAATAAGGAAGTATATAAAGTATGCAAAAACGCCGAGTATGCAACTGTCAGAATAACAATAGCCCAAACCGAAAACCATTCAAAAACATTTCAACAATCATTCTCATATGTTCATAATTCAGCGCGCTTCGAAACAATCGTCAATATACTATGCTCATAAAAAATGCAAATCATAATAACATCACAGAGGATGTTATCCAAAAAGTCGTCAAGGAAATTATTTCATAGTGCCCGTGGTAATAAGCATATCACTGCGGCCAGGGCGATGGAAGCGATCGATACCAAGATGCTCCTTACCGTCACGACCGACGTAAATGCCAAAGCCGTACAAAGGCAGCTGTCGCTCAGAGGGCGGAGCAACAATAAGACGAGTGACGAGGTCAGTCTTGCTCCTCGGCTCGCGCAGGAGCTTATCAGAGAGAAGAGGCGACTGATACAGATAGCTCATGAGATCAGCCAAGGTGGTGATATCGTGTGGGAGATAGCGACGACGACCAGGCCAGATTGCCACGAAAGATACGGCATATAGGCCACAGAAGCCGATCAAAGCGTAGAATGCTGGCAAAAAGGCCGAAATGCGGATGTCGTCATGATTGGGGAACCAGAGGGCGATGAAGACGCCGCCGGCGAGAATGGGGATGGCGAGGGATAGAAGGCTCATGAGAGAGATCCAGGCAACTTTGAAGTGGCCATTGATGATCGCTTGAATGGTAATTTGGAGTGGGTAAGAGGATGGGTAGGAGAGTAGAATGCTCCGTTCGGGAGATGCGCCGCTGGGGGATGAGAGCTCGACGTATGGCTGGAGAGCGCGGAAATATACGTCAACGGGTTGCCAGGCGAGAAAGAGGACGTTGCCGATTAGTGCGGGAATGAAGCTGTATAGGAAATTGGAGGAGGAGAATGCGCTTGTCGATGGGAGTGTTGGAAGTTTTGGAGGGAAGCCGCCCTCGATGGCGCTATTGATGAAGCTAACGGCGACAAAAGCGATGAAGAGGGCGAAGACAATGACAATCCAAATAAATACTGGAACTTTGCGCAAGAACCAAGGTGTCCAGCGATAACGGGCAGATGGCGAGTATAGGTGGTGCTCGTTTGGGTCATTGGCGAATGCACCGTTGTGCTCAAGGTCAAAGCAAACTTTGGCAATTCCATGTGGCTGGTTCTCTCGGCTTTTGCCGGTCTGATGGAGAGACGGAGTGCGCACAGGAGCATCTACTTCGCCGATTCCGTAGAAGATCTCGGTCTTACTTGAGAGCTTCCAGTAGCCCAGTCGAAGGACTCGGGGATCAAGCGATTCTCGCACTGAGGGGACTGTCTCGGAGTGCTCAAAGTCGTGGAGGATGTTTGACCGCTGAATGATCGAAATCAAATCTGCGAGGCTGACGGGATCCCACATCAAGCCAGACCAGCCACGAAGGAAACGGACGAAAAGCATGATTAGGCCTAGTGTCAAAACACCATATAATCCCACCAATGTCCAGCCCACAGATTGAACTGAAGCCCATTTCCAGACACCTTGTCCGTCAATGATATAGTATTTTGCTTGGAAGAGACAACTAAGGAGCGGGATGGCGAAAAAGTTTGAAAGCCAAATTGTGAACAGAGAGAATCCGAACAAGGCTTCACCATGCCGGAAATGGGAGAAGTCGGGAAATATGAAGTTTTTCGAGAGGATAGGCAGGCGGTTCATTACCAGACCTTGCTCTCGTTCTGCCGACATGATAGCAAAAGGTGCTATGCGATATACTGCAGCCTGAATGATGAATAGCCAGATGATGATGGATGCAGCAACAATCTGTGGTAGGAACTGAAGCAAAAAATACCTTGAGCCACCTTGACGCTCGTAGTTCCACAATCCCTCCTCACCACGGGACCAAACGTTGCAAAACACTATACCCGCGATCATGAGCAGACAGCAAAATATCGTGAGCGCCAAAGCCCACGGCCGGAGAACAAGAGGCAAGTAGTCCAAGGGAGGATATATCAGGCTCTGCTCCGGCGCATCGACGGCCATAAAGGACTCGGGGTCCACTGAGATTGGCCTTTGCGGCAAAGCCTGTGGTGAAGGAGAGGTATACGACGGTCTCACTGGAGGCGTGTCATGTCGAATGGGGGTCCGCGTGCGGGTGAAGTAACCGAGTCCCTCATCCCATACCAGCCTATCGGTTGGATAGTCGCCTGTCGTCGTGGTGGAAATAGAGTCATTCCTTTGAACTCCCCGAGCTCTGTCCTGAGTGAGTTGGTCGATTGCAAACCGGACGTACGGGGAATCGTCCATGCCTGGGGTAGGGGCTGGTCCCGGGTAATCACTGGGGGATCGGCGAGAAGTCCCGTTTGATCTTGACCTGTCGGATATGGGACTGATTTGGGCCGGTCTGTCTTCTGCGAAGCGTACTGTGCTGGATGTTGGTGGACGTTGGGACTCGAGATCTTCTTGAGCAAGCTGTATCTGCGACATGGCGGGGGTTGGTGCATGGGAGTCTGGAGTCCTGAATCGCATGATTGTTGCTAGACTCTCAGTACTAGAGGGAGCTCGATCTGAGAATGAATAGTAGTCGTCTGATGCAGCCACGGACTGTTGAGATTCTGTCCGGGCAAGTTGCGGCTTGCTTGCTATATAGGAGTCAGTTGACTTGAGTCTTCTGAAAGCTTTGCAATGTCTGATAATTAAGAAGACAACGGGGCGGGGGTTCTTATATGCACGTACTATTAACGTTGCGCAGGCTGAAGTTTCTCGTCGGGTTCGTCATGTTGGCTGGATATTGATCCCACGCGCAACGATAATTAATCTAGAAGCATTCCTCGACGCCCTTGAGATGCGAAGGGATTTTTTTGAGGACCAGCAATCGCTGCCCAGCGGGTTTTTGTCTGCCATAGTGCTGGGCGACGTCTCCCAGCCACCCCAGCCACCACACAGAGGTTTACACTCAACAAACCAATAGGGATGAAATAAATTAGGGATTTTCAACTCAGACACTATTAATTTGATGAATCACACCTAAAATCATATCGAATCAAAATTCGAGGAACAATTATGGAGATGGTTGAGTTGTTTCGCGGCCCGATCACCAGCACATCGATCGCCTAAAGCTTGGCCTTTGCGATCTCCAAATCTCCCCAAGTCTCACCAGGTCTCACACAAGATCATTTCTGTTTCAATGTTCCAATTTTAATAGGCTAATTTCCATGGTAACCATTTCAACTATAGCTATGTACGTTTTTGCCAGACCATGTAGTTCTGCCTCGCATCCTCGTGCACCGTACAAGTTTCACACTGGAGCCCCAAGGCAATAATTGCCAACAATTGTTATCCTAAATAGCTGCTATACGCAATAAAAAAGCAGGGTGTGTTCAAAAAATTGACAATGGTCCCCGTTCAATAATGCAGCGTGGTGTTGCAATTGTTTTTCTCCCTTGCTGGTATAAATGGCTGGAACTAGGGCTTCGCGGTCCGCGGAACACCACATGAAAACATAAGGCTGTATCCAGGGGAGCATGAAACATATGATCGAGGGCAATTGGATTTTATTAGACAGTGTTTGGGATATTCATGCCTGTCATGATCACATTGAATCTTTATGGATTGTAGCTCCGTTGCTATGGATAAAGAAATTGACAGAAACCGACATAGATGGCATCCGCTGCAAGTGATTATTCCAAGGGATATGGGAACACTGAGAATCAGAGAGACTAACATGCATAATTATTCCGTTTGTTATTAGGCGCTGGATTTGAAAGTCGTCTGCCTCTATAATAACCATATGTGCTTCCCCGGTTCTGTTTGAAGCTTGCCATAAACTAATTGGGAAAAGTCCGCTTATAGATGTTTATTGCTCTTGTCAAGTCCCTTGGGGTGTTTGAATTTCTCGTAATTTCTTGTGGCTTCGAAGCATGCAGAGGATGGCTTTCAAGTTCGTTACTTGCGGTCACTTGTCGAGTTATATGCATAACCGGATCATCACATCGGTGCCTGCCCTCACTCCATGCTTTCCTTATTTGACACAGGAGTTTATAGGCCTGGTACTCGGTATTTTCCACAGATAAGCCCTCTTGCTTGAACAAGGGGATGAGGCTTTCCTTATCGCATTATATATATTTCAAGTAAGTACTCATGAAGGTCAATCCCTGACCCTATATACGGTGTCCAACTGATTACAAGACTATGTATCGCCGAATACAAATCTTTCTAATCAGAGCACAACTAATGAGGATCACCAGCTTCTTAGTGATGATTGGGAATCGAGGCTGAGGTCTTCCCCAACCCCATATAGTACGAGCGTCCATTCTCCTGATGGCCAGGTGTGGGACGAGACCTTGAATACAACGCCAACGACACTCCGCTGGCGCTAGGTCTACTATACCGCGCAATTTTCCCCGATGACGTGGAACAGGGTAGCCGGTGGCACTGCTCTGACGTTGACACGAAATGACCATACAGTGAGTCAACACCTCTAACCCCTCCCTAGAAATATTTATGCGTATTTTTTGTTCTACCAGTGCTCTTTTGACTCCATACACCACGGTACTAACAAGAAGTTATCGTAGTTCCCCTATTCGCTGGCCAAGAGGGCCCGTCAGTCTCCCCGTGGGTCTGTCGACGATAATGTCACATTTGTTGACAGCAAGCCCCTATCTGATCGCAGTAAGCTGCCCACAATCGAAAATCTCTACCCTCTACCGGCAGCTCGTTATCTGGCGGCATTTGCCAAACAAGTGGGCTAGGGCATTTACGTCGCTACGCTCTGCGAGTCAATTTGATGTGAATCTATCATTCTATTATATAGAATCTCGATGCCAAATCTCAACGCCACTCAATGTGAACTTATTCTTATTTCTCGTCCATTGTGGGACAGTACTCTGTTCATACATGCCTTGTCAGTAAGTGTAGAGTATAGTAGACTTGAGAGCTGATCAACACCCAGGAAAAGGAAGCAGGACTTGCGCATATTGCCAGCACCTCCAATTCCGAATCTAACATAACGCTCTTGAAAACCAGATGTCGACCGACTATCCTGGATGCCACTGAGTCGAGGACTCTCCAATGATTGGAGCAGAGTCGCTCTGTCAAAGGTCTCTAACGGCAGTTGACCCTCCTCGTCCTCGGATTTCTGCCGTTTCGGCCAACTAAAAAACCTCAATAGGCAGCGCATGCCTTTTCACTGGAATAAAGAACAACTTTGAAGGGAGCAATTTCCGAAATCAGTCTTCTGGCTCTTAATGTCTTGATAGATTCAACTTACGTTTGGTTCAAGACTTCCAACAAGTTCAAATGATTTTTGCATAACCCGGTCATATTTGGGGATAATAGCTAGTTATACGTTTGACTAGCCGGTCCCTTGCCGTGATTCACACCGCGGGTTACACAGACATTGTATGACCTATGAAGCTTCAATTTTCCCGAAACAGTCAGACTGACTACCGTTATATTTGATAGATTTGATATAAGAAGAACCTACAACATATCAGTAAACATAAGTGATAATTTAGCCACCCCTGGAGATAGGTCAGTCGCATTTGAAATTTAAGTAAAGCATTAATGGCTTTTGCTAATAAGCACATGCATGCACAAGTCCAACAAAGGGTTGCAACTATACCAATATGTGTAACAACACATTTCCGTAGCTTTTGTGCGGCTTGTTACTAGAAAACAATACAAACGAAGATTTGTTAAATGAAGATCCCTCGAGGACTTCCATTCTATATACCCCAAAAGCAGGATTGAACATCGCCATTGGTAGATGTCTCTTTTATTCTAGCAAGCAGTCTCTCAGGGGTCAAATAATGTAGTGGTGTGCCCGGGTTGTAAGTGGTCACACGACTGTGACGCGGAGTGAAGCCCTACTAGGACGCTATTGGTCCACGATGGCACAAGATTAAGCTTAATGACTTGAAGATATCGACTGCATTCAAAGAGAGCCTGTGCAGTACCTTGCACCAACAGAAGAACATAAGTTGGTCATGACCAAAGGCGATTAACCTTATCTGGTCTCTAACTAATGGAAGGAAGTTTGAGAATTGGGTTAGAGCCTCGAGGTGGATACTGCCTGTTTCATCTTAAAAGGTGGGACTGTGGGCCTCCAACGGTGCTAGAGTCCGGATTTCGGGTCCAAGCGTTTTCTGGGGCCAGATGTCTGGACTGGAAGCAGAAAGTGCTGTGCCGCGTTAGTGGATCAGAGGGTGGCTGGCGAGATTGCAAGCTGTGTTTGAAGGGTGTGCTCATTGAAGTCGTTACATGTCATATGGAAACATTTCAGAAACGCAGATCTGATTCCACCATGAACAAGCTGAAGCCTCTGAAACCATGTACATACATATCTTGGCTCCTTGAAGGCCTTAGAGAAGAAATGAGCTCCATGGTCACTAGTAAACGCAGGACCCAATCGAACACGGCAGAGAAAAAGTCTTGTTTCCTTGCAAAAAACAAGGATTCAATAAGTTGGTAAATTAGCCAGCGGGCATAGCCAATGATCATGTGTACCAAGAAGCTCGAAATTGTTCCAGTCGCTGCGCACGAGTACTCCGACGGCCGGGCTTGGCATCCTGTCCCGAAACGGCACCTCCAACCGGGAAGGGCGAATGAGAAGGCAGAACAGCTCTGCGCCAACAACCCCGGCATTTTAGAGAGGGGAACCGTGCAGCAGGCATATGATTTAACCTCACGTTCGAACGTTCCAAGGGGATTGAAAGAGGAGATCAAGAGAGGATAGAAAGCTTCATATGATAGAGAAATGACAGAGTAATGTAGATGGTAGAGTAAACGTAGAAATAGAGTGAGATCATCTGACTGATGCCTGAGGCCATAAATCCAAACCTCCTCTCTCTCCTCTCTCCACGGATTCTCTTCCAATGGCTTATCTGCGCTCTGGTCATTCCTTTATTCTTTGATTCTTTTGGTTCTTTAAATTTCCTTTGGTTCTTAAATTCTTGGCTTTCCCCTCATTTGCTTCTTTTTCTCCTTCTATTTCTTTGCCTTGAAAGATTTTGTTTCGATCTCGGGTTCAGATGTCCCCTGCAATGCGGCGTTAGAACCTCGTCTCTTGCGTCGCGTTTCCCATTAGGCCGTCAAAATCAATCGCTGATTTTGTTTTTATCTGATTTCTCCTTTGGCCAAGAAACAAACATAAGGTTGATCTCCAGGGTCTCCCCTCACCATGTTGCTCAAGCCTGCGACACCCCTCACCATCTTGCTGCTGATCGCCTTTGTGCTTTTGCTTCTCTCATGTCTTTCAACTCCTATTGTTAAGGGAATTCCTCTCGCAACTTATAAAGATGTCGATTATGGTGTCTTTGGATATTGTAAGGGGAGTACCTGTACCAATATCCATTTGGGATACACGAGCAGTAAGTGTCTCCCCTGCGTTTCTGCCTGCTCTCCGCTAAGTTTCGTGCAGATGATATAAGTAGTACCGGCGATGATTTCAATCTCCCTTCCGGTACTCGAAAGTCACTATCCTCGATCCTCATCATCCATCCAGTCGCCGCCTTCCTGACCCTGATCTGCCTCTGCCTGGCTATCGCGGCCCACTTCCATGCACCCTCCCACTCGCCGCGCTTCCTGTTGGCGCTCCTCATTTTGTTGCTGCCAACACTACTCGTGACTCTCCTCGCATTCCTTGTCGATATCTTGCTCTTTGTGCCTCATCTAGGATGGGGTGGTTGGATTGTGCTGGTCGCGACCATCATCCTTACCTCTTGCGGAGTGGTCACATGTGCCATGCGCCGAACCCTTGTGAGTAGGAAGGCAAGGAAGCGCCGGATCGCGGAAAATGCGGAGATGAGCGGAGAGAACTATTACAACCGACAGAATGCCGCTGCAGCTGTGCCTGCGCCCCCTGTTCCGGCTCCTATCGAACCCAAGGAAGCCTTTGTGTCGAACTCTCTCAACTCCGATTCGGGCCCAACATTCGCATCCTTCCACGCGGAAACGCGCGACAGTGATGACGATCGAACACCCCTCAACTCGCGGGTTCCCATGAGCGATATTCCAGCACCCCCGGACCATCGCGGTGGCCCCTATCGCGCTCCGCAAGATGAATTTGGCAATATCCCGCCTCAGGGCCCGGGTCCGTACGGCGCTGGTCCAATGTCACGGAACCCCTCCGATCCGCGCATTCGTCCCCAATACTCCGATGGTAGTATGGGTTCTCGAAGAGGAGGAGCGCCACCTGCCTTCAATGGACGCGGGCGGGGTGGATATCCTCCCCGGGGTGGACGTGGAGGACCTTACATGGGACCTCCTCGCGGGCCTTCCCCTGGCTCCCGGGGTGGCTACGCGGGGCCAATGCCAGGGCGTGGAGGTCGCGGTGGAATGATGCCGCCTCGAGGACCACCAGTCGCCTATGGCCCCGGTCCAGGCGGCCCCGATCGCGGTTATGACGCGTACGGTCGATCCGTGTCGCCTCCCATGGATGACCCTTATAACTATGGACCACCGGGTCAGATGCGCCAGCCATCTCCCTGGCCCATTGGCATGGCCGTGTCACCGGAGACGGTAGGCCAGGCCATCGAGATGACTCCGCAATCTCGACCACAATACGATATGCATGACTCGATTCAACCAATGAGCAGCGTACCGCAAACGCTGTCAGTTGAAAACAACAGCGCTCTCCCTGAAAGCCCGACAAGCATGTACAGCCGACCTGGGTAAGTCAGAATGTTACAAATACCGTCCCTAAACCGACCACTAACCTTCTCTGTTTATGTAGTTCCTACGTTCCTCCTCGCTCAGGCTGGGGTGCAGATAACCCTCGTACGTCCCCGCGGCCACCGGGGCAACCTAACAACAACAGTCCCGCTTACTACGAAGACGTGGATCCCCGTTTCGCTCGTCGACCATCGCCCCCAAGTGACTCTGCGATCCCCTCCTCTCTGACGCCTGGAGCTCCTCACTGTACGTACTCTTACAGATCACACGTGTTGACGAGGCCCTGCTGATTTTCTCCTAGTTTAATGAAATCTATTGACTTCTAAGTGTCAATCACGCTTGACACGCTTCTTCCACCTCTTCTACGCTTTGCGATACCCTTTTCTTCCCTTCACTTCTCTGGCTAAATTCGGATTTACATTTTTTTCCTCCTCGATTTCATGGCGCCCTAGGTCATCTTAGGGAATGGAGTTATGGTGCCTATTTTCTTACCATTCCTCTAAACGTTCTCTCTTGGGATGAAAGTTCGGCATTTCACCTTATCCTCAAACATCCGCCACAAACACTGGCGTTGGGAACGAGAGTTTTTTTCGCTGCTGAGTTGTACTCTGCCTGAACTTCGATGTATAGCAGCAGGCGGATACGATGTACAGAAACCGTTTCACAAGATCTCTGGCTTCATCTAAGATCAAAAGCACTTGACGCTGCTACTGATTTGATCTCTTTTCTACTTTCTCTTTCTTACTTTCTTCCACTGAGTGGACTTGTCAATTTTATCCTACCCAATCCCACATACCTTTCTGTTCTCCGGTACATCTGTCTTTTCAATGATCTCTTCCTTGGTCTCTGTATATAAGGTTGAAACATTTTCTCTAAAAAGATGACAGCCCTGTGATATGACGTCGATCATGATCTTCGATCTTCGTCTGCCAATCGTGACGATCATGCCACTAACCTCGCTAAAAAAAGGATTTGGTCTACCATTGCACCACTGTAGTAATCGAGTATATGGGACCCACGCTTCCCTGGACTTGTTATTTCTTACGCGTTATGCGTCTAATTCTAGGGTGCTTCGACCATTACGCTCGTACTCTCATTACGAGGGCTCGCAGAGTCAGGGTATCCCTGATATTGCGTTCAACCAACGGGAAACAGAACTATTGACTCTGGGCTTGCTGCTGTTGGTAAGGAGCCAGTAAATGATATACTTGGTATTTCTAACTGACGGGTCATTCGGGGTTGTTCCTGAGTCTTGGTATCTATCAGCCGTGAATATATACTTAGAATTCACTCTTTTCATGCTAGTTGTTTGACTCGATTACAAGACCTACACTATCTGAATCGTACGTATGATAACAGCGTGATGTCCACGTTGGCAACTGTACAACAACGGCTTTTGGTCTCCATTTCCTATTCAAGATTTCTGACAGCGTTTATAATCCCTCCACTCCTCCAGCTAGCTCGGCATGAGAGCGCCAGACATGGGATGGTCGACCGGCCCGGAAATATGACATTTTCCTTCCCTCACTCATCCCAGAGTACCTCTCGCGTTAATAGAATTCTTAGTTGAATGCGCTCTTTTGGTTTTAAGAATGGGAAGGTAGTATGGAGTATATCTCGATAGACTAGGCAGTCACAAACTTATTTTATTAGGCTCACATTGCATTTTCAATCATTGTATAGGACCTAACTGGCTAGACACAGCCAATTATCACTTTGCTCTTATTTTTCGTTCAGGTCATTGCTACATCAGCCCTTCCATCAAATACAACTTCCATCTCAATTATATCTTACTCTGATAGTCTTACATTGTCACTAAATTTGAACTCATAGAAGTGTTGACAGGGTTAGTTTTTAGCTCTCGCTACAAGGGAGACATCGGTTAGGCTACACCGGCATTGTTCTATTCATTTTTTAGATGAGTAGCACCCCACGAAGACGTACTCCCTGAATTACTATTTAAGATGCTAGATAACTCGTTTAATTTCAACTTTTCAACAATCACATTGCATACCTACTGCAACCCGGGAACCAAAGCCAGCAAGGTATGACCCTTTGGCCCATGGCCAAGATTTTGGATGACACAATAAGCTAACTACACCTCTAGTCACATTGCAGGTTAAGCATCGTCAAAACGTCTCCAAGTTACAGACACAACCCATACAACACGTTACAACCAGTAAGATAAACAGATAAACCCCGTTCCCCACGCTTCGAACACAGAGCTAACAAGTATAAAGTGGCTGATACTCGCCCTATTCCGTCGCCCAACAATGAGCAGCTTGAGAAGCTGACAGTGCTAACAACTCGAGCAAAGAATCGAGCCAAAGAGCGCAGAGAGATAGACCAGAAGATGGAACACATTATGAGAAACAAGGAAGCTAGGATGGCAGCCTATCAACGATACTACCAGCCTCATCCACTCCTGGAATGGGACATGAATCGAGAATTGGAGCGTCTCAATCAAGAATTGGAGCGTCTCAATCAAGAATTGGAGGATCTCAATCGACGATTGGACAAACTACAGGCCAAAGAGGAAGAGGACGCCATCTCGGCAGGAGATCTGGAGCCAGATCGGTTGAGCATGCCGACAATGGGAGCCAGGTCGTTGGAATTTTGACCGCCTGTGCTGGATGCTGCACAATGCTTGCGTCCTAGATCTAGCCTCGACATAATTGCGTTTACCAATAGTACTGTGCACTCATGCATTCATGGATCTATTCACTTTATCTTTCACCAGTAGAACTCTAACATCAGTCTTCTATGTTGACCCGAAGCGGATATTAAAGCGGTTCCAGGTTTTTTCTGTCGTTTCTAGTTGGGAAGATTACAGCACACTAGCGCTATTTGACAGAAATCTGGCTGTATTACAACGTATGGACAAAATCAGATATATTGGAATCTCTAACTAACTAAAATGACAAAACCCGCACTTTCAACAATCTGGGCGGACATAGATGACTAACTGTAATATGCACTTTTGTATGGTATGGGTGGTACCAGGTGTCACATGATATTCAGGGTATTTTACCCTGTTTCCACCATGTATTCAATCTTAGTATTCGACACTATTCTCTCCCGGTGATTCTCGTACTATGTACAAATATGGGCGTCTGCCGTAAAAAATGATATAAGATTATTGTCCATCATGAGAAGTTTCAACGATACTGAAATCTTGGTATACTCGTTGTTCGCATTCTATATTGAGAACTGAAAGTTTGGCACTAATAGATGCTGAAGCCAGGTTAGGGCTAGTAAACACATACTAATGCAGTCTCTAAGTAATTGCCAGTGCGATCTTCCGGGGATGAGTTTTATCAATTAATATTGCAATGACTGTAATATCTAAACCATGTGCTCCTTTATAAGTCACAGTATCTCTTCAATGGCTGATTGGTAATGTCTGGTGAAATTCGACATGGAAATCTGATACTTTTTTTATCGGATAGTATTATTATTATTCGAATTCCTTATCTTACTCCTAGATATACTCCTATAGAGTTGATCTTAGAGTCACGCTTAATTAGGCGTATCCTATAATTAGTCTTCTCCTAGATAGTATTGGGGTCGATACATATCCTATAGCTAGTCTTTTCTTAGGTCGAGCCCTATCTTATAATAGACCTAGTCACGTATTTATCCTAGTAGGATCCTAGGTCCTTAGCGATCCTAGGATAGTTCTTATCCTACGATAAGTCGTGCCGTAGGATTTGTGGGTCCTTACGATATAGTCTGCCTTAGGTTCGTTTACACTATAAGTTATTCTATATCATAAGGGTATAACGGAAAGGCTATAGCATTCCGTGGTATTGGCATATGATCGTTCTGACAGGTAGATTGGTTGGCTCTCGGTAGCCCATCGGTGTGGCCTATAGGTCACCACTGATTGGTGACGGGTGTGCCCGTAACAATGTTATATAGTTAGAATGTACATAGAAAATGGTTCGATAACAAGCGGAAACATCTAGTCTAGCTGGTTCTAACCTATCGTCATTCACGAATCTAGAGCACTGTATCTGCGTGGGAATCTCCGTGCTGTTCCTTGATAACCAACTCCTCGAGTTGATTGATCCACATGTCGACCTTGGTTGACCTGGCCCACATCCTCGCCTGCTGAACTCCACCATCTGCCCGGATCAAAAGTGTTGCGCTAGCCCAGTGACAGATGGACATAGCCAGTATGAGAGCCGTTTTACCGTCAGCGTCCTCCTGCAAGAGGGCTTCCTTGTCTTTACCCCAGAACGAGCCGAGGAGCATTGCAACCTCTTCGGGCTGTCGTCGACGGACAGCGGAGTGTAGCAAAGTCCCACCGCTTGTGTCGGGGGGTATCTTGATAGCAGTCTCATCAATATCTTTTCCGATCCAGTTCGCAAGCATTGATATAACCTGCTGATTCCCATAGTATATTGCAATGTTAAATGCCTGAGACTGGGTCTCTCGATCGGAAGGAAATGCCTTGAGTGCTTTTGCCAAGATTAAAAGGTTGCTTGTCCTCGCTGCCAGAATTAGATGGGACGGCTCAAGTTGTGCGCCTTGCTCCAGTAGAACAGTGACCATATCTAGGTTCTCAACTCCTCTCAATGATAGCTGCCTGAGATCGAGGGAAGCTCCATAAGAGAGAAGCACGTTGACCAACTCAAGACTTTGGATTTCAACGGCTTTTTGAAAATGGGAGAATGTGGGCTTAGCTCCATGCTCGAGAAGTATCCTTGTCAGGGCTGTCTTATTGATGAGTAAAGCTATATCGAGCGGCCTTTTGCCGCTGTTCAGCTGTTGAGCGTCAACGTCGGCGCCTTTTTCCAGCAGCCTCTGGACGTAGTACGCGTCGAAGTCGGACTTCTCAGTCACTGCTGGAGGACTCAGTTTGAAATTGCCCATTGGAAAGATACGAGCTGCCATATGAAGTGGAGTCTCTCCACTTTCAGGATTCGGCGAGGAAACATCCGCAAGATGCGTCAAAAGCAAATCAAACCCAGGCTTAAAAAGTTTCTTGATGGCCAGACACAATGCTTGGGTGTATCTTGCTCGTTTGATTTCCGTGTATTCGGGAATCAGCCCACATGCTTCATTCACAGATCTGACCAGTAAATCCAATACTTCTATATTTCTCTGCTGAATGGGGGCAGTGAAAATGGACCCGAACGGTTCTTGACCCTCAAGCATCTTGCAAATTTGACCTGGATCCATGGCTATCTCCTTGATAAGCACTCTGGCTGCTGCCGCCGAGCCACAATCAAGGGCTGTAAAAGCGGGAATGTGAAGCTTGGTCATCGGGTCGCCAAACGATTGGCTGTGACTCAGAAGCCAACGAAGAGGGATTTCATTGTTTGCAGCTGCTGCTTTGCAATAAATTCCCATTCCACTAGAATCGACCGCATTCAAGTCCGCACCAGCTTGGACAAGCCTTTCCAAAAGACGTATGCTGCTTGCGTCGTCGGTGCACCGATGACCCAGGAGGAATAGTAAAGCAGTGTCCTCCGAGAAGCTGCGAGGATTGTCACCGCAGCCGTATCCTCGCTCAAGGAGGTAATCGGCCAATTCCCAATTCTCATGAAAGATTGAAGTGTGCAGGAGAGGTTTTCCGGAGGAGCTGAGGCAGTCCAATGACCCACCACTATTGAGAAGGAGGCAAAATATCTCCTTGCTCTCCTGGTTCCATTGAGTCCCAACCACCTGAAAAAGGAGATCATTTAATAATTGGCTTGGAGGAAGAAGCCAGGTTTGTAACATGAACTTCACCACGCTAGGCTTGGCGCTGGTTACAATATTCTTGAGAAGGGCATGCGCTTTCCCAGCAGGAAAGTACTTCAGGAGAGCAGCCTTTGTACTTTCTGAATTTTTTGCAACAGCGCTTGGCAAGATGTCCCCGATCTGATCATCACTAGACTTTGCGAGCAGAATATCCAGGATGACTGTGTCGGACAGAGCAAGAGCTTCTTGGAGACAAGCAGGCATCTCATCCATGCCAACCCCGGCGAGATTGATATGCTTCAATAGAAGCCGAACGCCTTCTGAATATGACTCCGAGACTGCTATTCGAAGAGGGGATGGAACTTTACTAGATTCCAGACTCCATGTACAGTCGCGAGCATCATTGGTGGATTGAGAACTCCCTTCAAAATGTCCTCCGTACTTCTGACCCGCCAGCCGCGGTCGACGCCACATTCGGCGAAGTGCGGCCCCGAGACGTTCTGGAGGCGGTCCTGGAGGCGAAGCCAGATGATCCACTGCTGAACGTGTCGCATTAAGTGTCCTTTGATTCCTTGATGAAAACGAGATAGTTGGTATCGAGCCAGTATCCATTTTTTTCTGGGCTTTGAGCAAGAGGGCCGCACACGAAAGGTGATGGTGACGAATGGCAGCATGCAGGGGAGTCCACCCATTTGAATCACTGGGGCTTGCTGAGCACTTCCCATCCAAGAGGTAGCTCACTATATTCTCATGTCCTCGGTCGGCGGCGTAGTGGAGGGGGGTCCAAGAGTCTTGGTCCGTCGCGTTCAGCATCTCTTTGTGAAATTCGAGCAAGGAAATTGTCCAAGTCAGACTGCCTGATTGTGCTGCAACATGCAGCAGGCAGCGCCCATCATCAAGAGAACTTTTGCTTGACATCTCTGACAAGAGGGTTGCCAGCTCATTCCAGCTATTTTCGATGGCTAAGGACACCGGTGTCCCACCACCAAATAGAGGCGCGTTGACATCTGCACCAGCCGATGCAAGCCGTGAGACTGAAAGCGCATTACCGGATTGGATCGCAATCTGTAGGGGGCTCTGCCCTTTCCTGTCTATTACATCCAAACAAGCTTTATGATCGACCAGGAGATCGACAATCTCGTTGTTGTCGTTCTCCAGAGCAATGTGTAGAGGAGTTCGGCCATCCAACGTAATGGAATCACAACACTTGGATTTCATATCCAGAGCAACAAACGCCAGTTCCTTTATCTCGTGCAGTGCAGCAACATGGATAGGAGTCATTCCCTCGGGATACTGGTGGCTTCCATGTCCATACCGCGCAATACCTGTCCAATTCTCAAAGTTTGACTGCCGATGAAAGAAAATGTTCAGCGCTTTCCTGACGGATTTCCCTGGCATCGACTCCTGCTGAAGGTGGCTCTCCAGACCCTGTCCCACAGACTTTTCTTTTCTTGTTGCTAGGTACTCCTTTTCTGGAAGGCGAGTCTTGAGATGAACCCACCAGTAGCTCGATGCATAGTCAAAGAAGGAGCTGTTAGGCAACATCTGAATACCAAGCCCGGACTCTTGCAAATCTAAGACCCTCTTAACTCTGCTTGAGAATTCAGCAGAGCCGTAATCATCAAAACTTAGATAGGCAACACAAGCGCATGTAATGGAACTATGCGAAGCGTTGGAGTCCAGGTGAAATTGGTTCGAACGCCCTGTAGCAAGTTGCGACGAAGACAACCACTCGTAAATCGAGTAATGCGCCAAAGAGAGCTTTTCGCTCACCTTGGACTGACTGATAAGACTGCCGCAGATCTCAAACACGTCAGAGGCACGCCTTAGCTTCCCCTTTTGCATGTCTGCCAAAGTTGTCATTTCTGGAGTGATCGCAATTGCTTCGACTAGCTCCTCGAGGCTGAGAGGGCATCGAGAGTACATTAGCCATCGGAGTATATCCAGGGCGAGTAGCCTGTCATCTTCGTCAAGTTTTAAGAGAATCGACTCGAAAGTCTGTTCCAGGCCCTTGGGAAGGCCCCGGAGAAGATCGGCGCTGATTGCTGTTCGCACCCGTGATAGTTCATCCAGCTGACAAACCACCCATAAAAACCTGGCCGATGGTCAGCATGAGCCAAAGAACAGATGTACCATTTACTCACATTCCGTCCGCGCGACGAATCAACTCTCTCACGAGCTCTTCCCCCTCTCGATCTTGGAGTCGCAGCTCGTTCACTCGTCCTCTCACATATCTTTCCATGTCGCCAGCAATATCGGATGGGGTAAGTTCTATCGCAGAATAAAACTCGAAAGCATTTTCCAAGTCCACCTCGGGTCGACTAGCGACAAACACCTTGAAGGTGATATCATGTATGCACAACAGCCGCTGGAGGAATTCAATGGCTCCTTTCCGCTCAATGAGCTCATCCAAACCATCAATGATTAGAAATAGCTTCGAAATGTCTTGACACACGTCTGCAAACAACTGGTTCAGCTCTTCAAGATTTGGCAGGGCTTTTCTAGATGAGTACTTATTGAATAGTTTCAACAGGAACTCGGGTAGATCTTCAGTGTTGCTGTTGCTTTGCAAGGTCTGAGAAATGACGGCCGCAATCATTCTCTCCGACGAGAGCGACGCAGAGTTCGAGAACTGACAGTAGTGGAACGCAATTGCAGTGCCATCATTACCCGAAACAGTGTTCTGCACTGTCTCTATCACTTTGGAGCTGCAAGATGTCAACTTCGCGTCGTCTAGTCTGAGCGGCTGACTTACACAACAGCTGTCTTTCCCGTGCCCTCTTCGTGCATGCATCAGCTTTCGGCATCTAAGCGATTGTATTGCACACTCACGGGCTCCATAAAGCCAGAGATAAGAAGATTTATCTGTGTCCAACCAATTTTGAACGTGATCTTTCTGGAGAATCCACTGAGCCGAATCTACGCCTCTCCGTCTGCAGATCTCCCCGTGCTCGCCATCAGTTATCGGGCCAAGCCAGTCGTATATTTGGGCTCTTTTGTCGGCTGCAATACTTAGCAAACTTGTAATGATCATGGATGATCCACATACCGAGCTCTTTCTTAGTTTTCGCATCCACGTATCGCTCGAGCTTTCCTTGTCCACGCTGCAGGGCTTCAAGTCGCTGCTTGATATCTAGCATGTTCTCCTGAACCTGGTCATAATGTGCACTATGCAGTTGTCAGTAATAGTAAAAATACCAAGGAACGGGGCGACAGACCTGCTTTGGAGCTGCAGGTATAGGACAAAAAAGCTTTTGTAGTGCTCAAGTCTGGACATGACTTCGTCCGCCTGCTCTTTCATGGCCATTCCTTTCAGAAGAAACTTGAAGTTCTTCGCACTCAACAAAGAGACAAAGAGCTCTTCGGCTTCTTTCAGGATCTTTTGGCATGATGCTAGTGCCTCTTGAATGGACAATTGATCCGTTAGGTGGGGAGCCTGGAAATTTGACCCTTGTGTGTTCGCTGCGACCGCGTGGGCGTGTATAGCCACCAGGATGCCTGAGAGCGTGGCAATCTCGTTGACTAACGCATTGATGTAGTCGCCGCGGCTACGGAGCTTAGAGATGAGAGTGTAACCGGTCGATATGACTGTCCCTGATAGACTTAGGAATCCGGCAATGCCGGCCGCAATCGAGAAGGGGTCCATGGCAATGTTCACCCTACGTCGCTGTCAAGGGAAAGATATGTCGGTGGATTCCGTATTGTAAAATGTAGGGTCCAATCAATGGTATTCAACTCTCTGTATTTCTGTATCGGCTCTCTACACAATTTATATGGAGCCTCGATTACATAACATAAATTACGAAAACACATAGGATTAATAAATCCTCCGGTATGCCGGTGTTACTGCGCCGACACACCCCCTCAGCGATCCCAGTATGGGATTGCTGGACCCTGTAGATCTGCTTCCTTCTAGGCTATTAGATAGCCTATGTCCACCATCCTGAGCATCCGTATGAAGCTTTCATGCTTCTGGCGAGAGAGTAATTTGGTGAGTCCATCGGCAACCATGCTTGCCGTTGGAACCCATTTCACCTGAATGCGTCCCTCTCTAACCTCCTGTCTCAACCAATGGCGATGAATATCTACATGTCGAAGCTTCGTTTCAAACGCCGTGTCCTCGCTTGTTAACAAGCTAATCGTTCTCTCGTTGTCACAATCGATTGTCATATCGTGGGAGAGGATAAAGCCAAGGTGATCAAGGAGTCGACGCCACCATTGAAGCTGCTTTCCTGCCTCTGATAAGCCAAGAAGCTCTGCTTCGGTAGTTGAAGTTGTTACGGTGGGTTGCTTGCTAGCTTTCCAGTCAACTGGACCCCCGTATGCCTGGCAAATATAGCCTGCTGAGCTCTTTCTGTCAGGGTGATCCCCGTACGAGGCATCGCTTGCAAATTGTACCGAGTCCATTCCGGCACTTGCTGCTCCAGCACTGTACTCAATTGCCAGGTTCCGGGTAGTATAGAGGTAAGAAATGACTCTATCTACCGCTTCATGATGTTGAGGACCGGGGTTGGTAAGAAATTGCGCTAGCCTAGCAGTTGCTTTCGCCGCATCCGGTCTCGTAATAGTGGTGGCATAGCCGGCAGATCCAACCTTTTGCTGGTAGAGATGGATCTCTCTCGGTGTGGCTACACCTTGGTATGGCTTCAATTCGTCAACTAGTAGTGGTGTGTACACAGGTGGACGGTCTGTCAAGTTGTACCGGGTAGCAATGCTTGTCATATAGCTATCTTGACATAGCCAAAGCTTCTTTTGCTTCCTATCCCGAAGGATTCGGATATTAAGAAACCATGCCGCTTCTCCATGATCTGTAAGCTCCCAATGCGCTTCCAGATCTCGCTCTAATTGCTTTGCTTGTGTCTTTATAGAGGGATGGCTTGCAATTAGGATATCATCTATATAGAAGAAGACTAGTAGTCCTTCTCCAACGAAGACGTAGGGGTCTTCTGGTGCTTGCTACAACCCTAGCTTGCGTAGTACGCTAGCTACTTCTTGCTGCCAAAGTCGTGGCGAGATCCGTAAGCCGTATAATGCTCGACGGAGCTTCCAGCATTTGCCTGGTGCTTGAAACCCTTCTGGCATATGCGTATACGTTTCTTGATCTAGCTTGCTGTTTAGAAATGCCGTGACAGCATCTCGCTGGCGGAGATCTAGATCAAAGGCAGCTACTAGTGTAAAGATCATCCTAGCGGTCCTAGCTGCTAGTGTAGCAGCTCTCTTTTCTTTATACGAAATCGTTTCAAGATCTCCACGTACACAGATACGGGCCTTTAGCTTTAGAAGGTAACCGTCCTGGTCAAATTTGTATGAGAAAACCCATAGTAGGGGGAGGATCTGCTTTCCTCGGTCCCTTGGTTTCTCACTGACTTCATAAGTCTCCTTTTCGAGTAGAGAATTAATCTCCTTTCTCATTGCTGTGAGGTATCCTTGCTGGAAGGGATGGTTCATGACATCTTTCCAGTACTTTGGCGGTGGTGGGAGATCATCCCGATGGCGTCGAATGCCTGGTTTCTCGGCGTATAAGCCAGCTGCGAAAGTATGTAGTAGAGCCGGTGGCTCTTCATCCTGTACTATAGTGGTTGCATATGCAAAATCATCATCTTGTCTTGCTTTACGTGTTCGACGACCACTTAGTATGTTGCCGGCATCCACATTGCTGGTGATCTCCCTGCTTAGTGCTAGGCTTAGTGGTGCTAGCAATTCTGCCTGGAGCTGTCTTTCTAGCTCATCTTCTTCAATGGGAATAGCTTCATTTTCATGCTGCTGGGCCTGGTCCCTAGCTAGCAATTGATCATCTTGATCATGCATATCCACCCCCTGACCAGGACCAGTACTCGCTTGTTCTTCGTGTTCTTGCGGCGGCGTGTTTGGTAGTGGTGGGTCCTGATCATCCGGAAAAGCACCTGGTAGTGCTATACGCGGTGGTGGATCTTCCTGATCCTTTTTATGAAGCATTTCACCCGCTTGCGCTGTATATAGAGCGCTCGGTGTTGGCAGATATGCTTCCTCATTCACCCCCTGAAATGGGGTGGTATCCCGTTGTATATTAACGGCGTCACTTGCTTCCCGTATTCCACCTTGGGGATCATCCTCTGCCCCGTGATCTTGCTGGTTGTCCTGTTCCGGCATACTAGCCCCTTCTTGACTAGTAATCTCATGGTTGATCACCTGGGTGATCTCTTCAACGGTGAGCTCTTCTGGTTCTCTCACTAGTGGTAGTGGAACTGGTTGAGATCTCTCATACTCGGGTGAGTACTTGCGGCCTTCATCAATAACTGCATCTCTGATATGCTTCACTTTTCCAGTGTGTGGAAACCAGATCTTATAAATGTTGGAAGCAAGATATCCAACCAAGAAACCAACCTCAGCGCGGGGATTCATCTTATCTGACTGCACTTGCTTTTCAATCCTATAGTATGCTAGGCTTCCATACAACCTAACATTTGCTAGGTTGATCCTCGGCATTGCCGGCGCAAATTCCTTTCTCACTTCCTCCCATGGTATCAACCACCTATTCTCGGAAGCAATATATGATGGTGTACGGTTCAATAACCATACGGCGGCGCTTGCAAATTCTGGCCATAGATCTTTAGGAAGCTTCCCTTCGAGGGCGAGCATCCGCATGCGAGTAATGATCATGCCGCCAGATCTCTCGGCATAGCCATTCATCTCGGAGTGGCCGGGTGGAGTATGATATATCAAGATACCATCGCTTGTTAAGCTGTACTCCGATGCTTTGCCAGCTGCTGCTTCATTATCATAGTGAAAGGCCTTGATTGGCAGCTTCCACTGATTCCTTGCTAGCTGTACAAACTGGTTGATGGCCACTTGACATTCAGGCTTTAGTTCGTGCGTCATAATCCAATGGAATCTCGGTCCTTCTATATAGAAGTGAGAGATCCATCGATGCTTGTTGTACGCCGGTGGCAGTTGTATCAAGTCAAAATGGACTCTTCCAAATCGTCCAAAGGTGCGTCCAATTGGCCGTCGTGATATCTGCTTTGGTGCTCGCCCAAGATGACAGGTTTGACATAGTGATTCCTGCTCCTCCGTCGATTTCGCTCCTTTATCCTCGAGGACGACGCCATCCACCATAGTAGCAAGCTTTGCTATAGTCCGTGATTCAATGTGGGCTAGGCGCCGGTGCCATACCTCGGCGGAAGCCTTTGATTCCTTCGGCTTCACTGATCTCCTTTGTGTTGGCTGCACAGCATATGCTTGTTGTGGTGGAGCTTCACCTGGCTCGTTAAAGATCCAGAGATTGAATTGATCCCATAGGTTCACACAGACGATAGGTCTATCGTTTGGATCCCGTATATAATTCGTGCGTTGGCACCAAAGCCCGCCTTTCTTCTTCAGCATCGCATACGACACGAGATTCGTGTGGAAACTAGGTGAGTATAGAGCATCACTCAATGTAATCTCCATCCTTCCTTTGACTGGGTGTCTCCCAATTAGGCGAACCTTGCCTCTGCCTAGCACCTGCGTGGTACTATCTCCAGTTGTCAAATCCATAATATCTGCTGTGAAGTCGACAAATAGATCTCGATTATTACAAACGTGCGTGCTTGATCCGGTATCAAGAATCCATCGATTATAGAGAGAGAGATCACCGGCTTTTGCTACAGATAGCACATGCTTGCTAATCTGTATAGCTTCACCTAGCGACTTGCCTTCATGCTAGCAGTGGTGCTGGCCGTGGTGCTGGCCGTGGTGCTGGCTTTGGTAGGTGGTTGCGAAACTGACTTGGTTTGTATACTCAGTCTGCTTAGGCTTAGCATCAGCTACCACCTTATCAACCCATTTCTTCCAGCCTAGGTCCTTCTCTAGCGCCTTCTTTGCTCTCTCCAGCTTCTCTTTATATGGGATGAAGCCTTCTGGTCGGGTGGCTTCGTTCATAATCCAGCAAGTGGCAACCTTATGCTTTGAACCAGATCTCCTACATGGACAATCTCTCTTTTCAAAAGGAAGCTTCTCTTGCCTTTCTTGCTTTGCTTCCTAGTGCCCTTGCCAGGTTGAAAAGGCGCCTTTCGGAGGAGTGGTCGAGGTGATAGTCTTGACACCTATCTCACGGTTCATTGCGCGAAACGATTCGAGAAGATCTCGAGTATCATACGCCTTTTTGTCCATGATAATCTCCTGGTATTTGCCTTGCCACCAGATCGGTAGTACTTCTTTCATAGCGTGTAGGAAGTCCCTATTGGCATCTCCATCGTTGATACTAAGGCTGATCGCCTGCTCCCTTAGCGAATTCCACTTTTGAAGCCATTGCTCGATATCTCCCGTCGGCTTCTGCATCGCAAACACCTTCTAGTTCATTCGAATCTCCTCCTTATACGCGGTCGATCTTGCGAAACGAGACTTCAGATACACAAGTCTATCATACGGAGTACGATATTCTATCAGAGCGAGGTGGTGTATTAGGTTAAGATACGTGAGGATGTATTCATTTATATCACTTAGTCCCTTTGCTTGTTTCTCCCACCGTGCGTTCTTCACTTTATACACGTCCATTCGATCTCGCCAGACCCTTCGATTCCTTTCGTCACCCTCCTTAGGGTATTCCGGTTCCACTAGTTCCTTTAGGGTATCGGGTCGTTCGGTTGATAGGGTATCCGGGTTATAGTGATCCCAGACGTTCTTTTGCATTGCATATAACTGCACCTTTGCAAACCAGGTGAGCCATTGCGGTGTATCCTTCAGTTTTTCGCCCTTCATGGCGGAGAGGATTGATGCTGCCTCCATTGCTGGATGCTTCAATGTTTTGAACAATGAATCAAGGGATGATAGCTTGGTATAGCTTCAGGGTTGCAAGACAACTTCTAGCTGCGTGCTAGATACTATATACCGATATAGTAGTCTTATTCAGTGCGAACCGGGCTCATAACTGTCGGTGGATTCCGTATTGTAAAATGTAGGGTCCAATCAATGGTATTCAACTCTCTGTATTTCTGTATCGGCTCTCTACACAATTTATATGGAGCCTCGATTACATAACATAAATTACGAAAACACATAGGATTAATAAATCCTCCGGTATGCCGGTGTTACTGCGCCGACAAGATATGGAAGCCTTATAACATGTAGTACTTTGAGCTTCAGTCTCAAATCAGGCATACATTATGCACAGCCTCAAATCAGGCATATATGATGCACAGCCTCAAATCAGGCATACATGATGCACAGCCTGCGGATCGATGCCTTATGTGCTACACCGCCATTCCCCCTGACGGGGGACTTGTGAATGAGGGGGAATCGGGGGGTTTGTTGGCGTAATACCCACGTGCAACTAGTTGTGCAAGTTACGTTCACCCGGTGCTAGATAGGATCTGTAGACTCTCATGCTAATGATTTCAATCGAAATGATCTGAGCAACTGATTCGATGAGGTATAGACTACCCTTCTGAAGATAACACACCTTCTCAGCGAACACAGTTGTAGCCCTTTTCACAACCGGATGGCCAACATCAGCTCACCGAAGTACAACTATCATCGGGAGACGTCAACAGCAGGAGGTCGCTAAGGGTCCACAAAGTCGCAAGCCTGCTAGGTACTTCAAAGTGTGATCCAAGCACCCAATACGCTCCGCTAGATCTTGCTAGATCACAAGGCGGTGGTTACTACTAGAAGCTGCCGACTTACTGAAGGGAAGTTTCAGCTGCGGAGTCGTACACCACTACCAGTCCATTTGCAACGAGCTTGGTCGTTCGTTCGAGGTTTTTACACCGCGTATTATGCAGATTCCCGGTAGAATGACCCATGTGCAAACGGCGTGGCAGACAGGCTTTCTGGCAATGAACCCAAGCATGTTAAGAATGGGCAGAAGACGGCAGCGTTCTGCAAAGGTGGGCCACCTTGCCGGATGTCTTCTAATTCGCCCCAATTACGTACCGATGCTGTCTTCAACGGGTAAGTGGAAGGTGCAGGGCCGGATGATTCGCCGGCGTGACGTATCGAAGGTTGATGAGCTGGTTTGATGTTTGACGAAATGAATGAATGAAATTCTGCGGCTTCACATCGCCTTGAAACCTGATATAATGATTCATTATGACTAGCTAGATGCCAACCTAGAGATGCAGGCGTCACATGGTCGGTCACTTGACCCGAGGCTAACAGTGCAATGAAGTAGTAGACGACCGTATAAGGCCAACTCAAAGCCATTAATAACAATAGGTAGGCAGATTACAAAGAAAAAAAGACACCGAAAGAGAGCTACTGAGCTACTCTTTGAAAGCTTCGACCAGTTTTCCAATAGAATGGATACATGTCTTTCCTTTGCAGCACTGCGCAAAGAGTTCTTCGGCCGGGTCACTGTAAAATACCCATTGGATAGCGTTCCGCCACTCATCGTCAATCTGAATGACCAGAACATCTGAGGACTGGATTTGAGTGTAGCTCTCCATCGTTGCAAAGTTGACATTCGTGGACTTGGCAATATGCCCTATCCAGAGGTCTTTATTTCCCATATAGCGCAGATCCTTTGGTAACCGGTCAGCACGTCTGCAATTCCAAATCACCTTCTTCCACGAGTCACTCTCAGCCCCATCAGCCCACAGATAGCTAACCGACAAGCTCTGCAGGAGACTGTCTGGCACCGCAACTTGTAATATTGCAAGCTCGGCGATTGAGAATCTATGCTTCTTGTACATTGCATACCGATCGGCGGTTTCTCGTTGAGGTGAAAAGTACACAACCGCAGTACGTCCATTAAAGTCCCCAGGACTTGAACTGATCGGGGCAAGGTGAAGTTCTCCTGGACGGCTCTCGCAGCATTCAACTGCCTCAGACAAAAGACACGCTCGCCATATCATTGTATGGCCGACAAGGCGCGCAGGCGCTTCCTGTTCAGTCACTCCAGTTGTCGGACCTTCGTTGGGTATGGTGGTATCTTTGGCAGCGGCTGGGCCTTTGCAGGGTACGATTGTCTCTTTTGGTAGCCGATTTCAGAGATCCCTTCCTGGAAATCGGGGCGGGGAGGACAGGAGGGGGCGACCTTTCTCGGACACCGAGTACCGCCAGTCGCCGTCTCCGCTCCATTTCTTTCCGTAGCTGGCTGTTCAGGCCCTCGAGCGTCTTGAAGGCCTTTTCAATCGAATCCAACAACCAGAACTTGCAACTTGCCGTGGCCCTCACATCATCAAAGTCTGGATGAAGGATCGATTGTTGCAGACATTGACTGATCCCGAGGGCAGCCATCGTTAGCGTCCAATCATCGGTAACAGAGAGCACATCGGGTACTGTAGAATTCTTCACCTGGGACCTGGCGTAATCCATAAAGCCAAAGTCGAAGGGATCCAAGGGATCGTCAATCGGGCGGCTAAGATACTGGTCCCACAATTTACCGGCGGTTTCCTTGTTGAATCCAATGAACTCGTATGTTTCACGACTTGTCAGCTCTTGGGGCAGGTCGATCTCGTCCTGTGGGACGTTGATAAAGGTGGCCGAAAAGCTAGCGCGATCTATAGAATTCGAGGAAGAGTATGATCGGGATGTTGCCGGACTGGATAACGCCGTCACTGATATTGTGCGCTTGCTGTTCTTTGCCGGTCCTAGAAGCCCCTCGTCCTGGAAAAACATGGCAACTTCTGCAGAAATAACAGGCATGGTGCCAGCAGGTCGAAGGGACAGGCGAAAATATTAGGATAAACAATCAGGGCAAGCAGGAAGGACGATGAGGATACGTGAAAACCTCAAGTAGACCTCGGCGTGTGATACTGTTGGTACTAGATCCGAGACACGTGACCTCCATATATGGCTTAGTCAATAGACCCGTGAGAAGACATCTTAAAAGAGACCTGGTATGTTTCACACTTGTAGTACGGCCGTCTAAGTCAGATAAAGGACCCCAGATGTGCTGTAAGGAGTTAGCCATTGTAACCAATCATCTAAAGCATATTACCTACCACCTTTTTTTCAAGACACCAGACTCTTACACTCCGATTGCAATATAAAACCTCCAGTCCTCCCCAACGGCAGTGCAACCAACAAGTGGGAGGCAAGTCTTTCAGACTTTTGCGCTGTACGAAAGCCTACATCAGGAGTCCTGTCATCCATACCCAACCACCATGCCTAGATCTTCGCGTTTTTACCGGAGATTCACCACCGCCACCATTATCAAGTGAGCTAAATTCGATACCTACAACAATTCGCAGAATACGTCGTTATATTCAACGACCAAGAGAGGAAATTCAAGCAGAGGGGATCTCTTCACAGAAGTTACAAAAACGACTAGATCTACTTTCAAAGTTCACCTCGAGATCACCGACTCGCATCACCAACTTCAGATCGAATTCAATAAGCATCTACGCGCGCAAGAGCCTAAGAACCACCTCCAATCGCGAATACAAGCTGGCAAAGATAGAATATTAACAATGAAAAATGGAAAAAGATGAATTGGAGAGAGGGCAGTCGTGAGGCCCAACCAAAGCAGAAGCGAGCAAGAAAGATGCCGAATGAACCACTAGATTCCCCCCTCAAACTTCGGTTGACGAAAAATCACTTACCCTAGTATATAGCCTTCATTTGCCTCCATAGAACCCAATGCCTATAATTATCGACGATCCTGTGGATATCTTTCAATAGGGGAATATAATCGAAATTGTGCGGTGTGGTGGGGCAGTGTTAGGTCGGCCTTGATCACATTTACTATATAGAATCATATATATATTGGGCATCCCTTACAATTCAAAGCAATCACGAGGACAAATCATCGCCCCAAACAGACTTCGCAATGTCAACCATCAACGAAACCTTCTCCCACTGGTCCTCTTCCGTCAACTCATTTCCCTCTATCGAACTGGAGAAGCCACACTGGTGGCTGAGACACAGCTGGTCCAAGCCCCGCGGACAGAACGCAGCAGCTTCATTCAGGCGAGCAACAACTGTGTCTCGCTCCTCGAGCGAGGGGGCTTTGCTTGTCATCAGACCCAACACAGCAATCTTGTTGGGGGGCAAAAAGCGCAACGGCTTGAAGTCACCAGAGCGCTCGTCATCAAATTCCAAGAAGTAGACATCGACGTCGAGCTGCTGGAAGAGCACCTCGGCGATGGGCTCATACCCGCCGGACGCGAACCACTGACTTCGATAGTTACCGCGACACAGATGCATGCCGATTTTCATGTCGGCCGGTCGCTGCGATATAGCCGCGTTGATTAGAGCGGCGTACTGGAGCGGCAGCTGGTTAGGGTCCTCATTGCGCTCCTTGGCGGACTGGCGAAAGTACGGGTCGCACAGGTAGACCATGTTGGTCTCATCTAGTTGAACAAAGCGACACCCGGCAGCGTACAGGTCGGCAATCTCCTGCTGCCACATCTTGGCCAGGTCCTGGAAGAACAGGCCCATATCGGGATATGCCTCCCTACTGACGTTCTCGCGGCCACCGCGGAAATGCAACGCGGTCGGCGCGGGGATGCATACTTTGGCCGTGGCTGCAACGGACGAGTCGCGCAGGGATTGCTGCAGGAATTTAAAGTCATCCACTTGGATGGCATTTGGATGGTGCAGCTTCTCGGTCACGAAAAGCCTTGGTGGAGAGTCGCGCGTCGGCTTGATGGTCGCTAGGTCCTCGCGGTACTCGACGCCACCGATCTGTGTGAGAAAGTCGATATGGAACGACCGGCGGCGAAACTCTCCATCGGTGATGGCGCGGATGCCCTTTGCCAACTGTTTAATCACCACATCCCGGATGCATTCGTCCTCCCGGGATCGCAGCTCGCTGGAACTGATTTCCCCTTTCTCCAGCTGCGTCCGCGATTCCTTGAGCAGGGTAGGACGCAATAGGGAGCCGACGTGGTCTGCACGGTAGACGCCAGGAGGGAGAGTCATGCTGATATCGGTAAGTGTATTTGATAAATCTGAGTGGATCGAAGAAATCAGATCAGGGACTTGTCATATATTTGTCTAACTGTCAAGCAGTACTGAGTAATTAAATTAATTCTTCCTCATGCTAGAACACTCTGTACTGGATAACGAGTGTATAGCTGTTACGAGTATGAGTGGAGCGTACGTGGAGATAGATTACAGACCCGAGATCGCTAGACCGTACAGTAATAATGTCTGTTCTGTATTCGTGCTGTAATACCTAGGTACATGCACAATAAACCAGAATGCTTCTTGTGGAAACAGCAGCTCAGCTCACCGAAATTTACCAGATTATTATTCCGGGTAGAGAGATTGGCCTACGTCGGGGATCACCCCTGAACATCTTCTGCTCACTCAAAAAAAAAAAAAAAAAACACCCATTTTGAAGTGGATTTGCTAAGTCACCAAGTAGATTTTTTGTCCGAACACCCAGCTCTTGTACAACTGAACGAAAAAGTTCACCTCAAAATGTCGACACCATGGCCCTCCGCTATGTATCTGGTGGGCACAGTCTTGGTGCTTGTGCTGATTGTGCTCTATCGTCGTAACTCGGCTTTGCGACACATCCCCGGCCTTCCAGGAGCTGGATATTCCTCCCTACGCCATGTAAAGTCAATCATCTCGAAAGGACTGTTGAAGGATTACGTGGCATGGTGTCGCCAGTATGGTATGTTCTCATCCATTGAGACACGACGGAAAGTTTGATGGAGAAAGGTTGACACTGTTTAGGAGAACTGGTTCGCATTGAGCCAAATGCCCTCCTGACGTCATCGCCTGACTTGGTGATGCATATGTCTGGAGTCCGATCCCGATATGGCAAGGATTCGGCCTTTTATCTGCTAGCTCACCTGGCGCCGGGAAAAGAGAACCTTGCCAGCTTGCTTGACGATCCGACACATAACCGCCATAAAGCCTTACTAGCCCCTGCGGTGAGTTTCTCTTTCGTCTGGATGTCGCGACGAAGACATATCTTTCAAGTACAACGGATGGAGAGTCTAATCTGCGTCGCCTAGTATACGAAAGATGTCAACGGTGTTCGAGAACCTACGATTGATGCCCACCTGCAAAAGTTTCTGCAAGACGTTCAGTCTAATTACGTGTCAACAACCGCAGCCGTGAAGTTGATGGATCTGTCCAAGGGATCGCAGTACTTTACCACCAAAGCCATTATCGAGCTGACCTATGGTGCGGACTTTGAAGACCTTCTTGAAGACAAGGCTGTTGCCGGTCTGGTCGAAATGCCTGAGGGTGCTTTCAATATGCCGGGATTCCTCTATGCCACTCGGCTTACAAAAGTAATGGGGCTGATCGGTCAATTAACGGCTCCCAAGGAGAACGCGGAAGAGGGATTGGGCAAGTTTTTAAAGTGTGTTGACGGAATGAGTGACATCAAAATATCGAAACCTCGAAAATGAAAGCTAACAAGAGCAGCGTAGCTAGTCGCCTGAAGAATCCCTCGGCGGACACCAAGAGACTTGGTATGATCCAGACCTACCTGCAGAACGGTATGAGCCCCGAGCAGGTCGCCCACGATGCACTGACACAGGTGCTTGCGGGACAAGTCACCGTGTCGGCTGCAATCAGTGGGATCATGATTCTGCTAATGAACAACCCTCGCGTTCTCTCAGCGCTGCGCAAGGAGGTTGACGCTGCCGTCAGCGACGGTGCGATGTCTCTGGACAAGGATATTATTAGCTACTCAAAAACTTTGGCCTTGCCATATCTACAAGCCGTTGTGCGCGAAGGTCTTCGTTTTTTCCCACCGACCGTCGACCCCCTGCCCCGAGTGGCACCCCAAGAGGGCGACAGTGTCAAGGTGGGTGATCGAACTGTCTTCATCCCCGGCGGCACCAGAGTGCTGACCAGCACTTGGAGTATCACAAGAAACACTGAAGTCTTTGGCGAGGATGCGGACGCGTTCCGGCCGGAGCGCTGGATCGGGCTGGACTCGCCGAAAAGCGCGCGAATGCAGAAAGTAGCGGACCTGATCTTCGGATTTGGAAAAGGCCGCTGCTTGGGCATCACGATTGCGCGGATCATGATCTGTAAATCCATCTTCGAGGTACACTATACTATGTATCCCAATTTCCTGATTCGACTGCCAAGGCTAACATAACTAACAAGCTTATTCGTCGCTTTGACATGGCTCTCTCCGAGCCGTGGTCGCCAATGACTAATGTGCTGAACATGGGCGCGTGGGAGCGTAGTGGGATGATGGTCGTCGTGACGGAGAGAGAGGATAAATAGGTGCACATGCATGGACATTAGACCTTAATTAGACGTATCGAGGCACCAATATCCAATCGATCCTTCCTGTAGTCTTGTTGCGCATGGGCGTCATAGTGTGACGAGCCACTGTATCAATATACCCCACTTGTACCGCCATCGGTATCTTTCAGCTCGATATAGCTTAGTTACTGTTGGGGGCTGGGTAACTTTCGTAATCAACTGTAAGTGGATCGACCTCTGCACTAAAAACAAAGTATAAATGATTTCCATTCTGCTTGAACCCTTCATGTGCTATCGTCAGCCACTTCAACCTTGGGAAGTATCAACATACTCACTCGCGCCCACAATGAAGGCGCCGGAGTCGACTGTCGACGTTTTAATCATAGGGGCGGTAAGTACACACGATCCACACATAAAAATTCCTAAAGCCTATTCTTGCACGAAATTCGAAGTTAATGATATGTTTGGTTGAGCAGGGCCCCGCGGGGTAGGTATCATTGACGTGGTATGACGAACACTACTGATTTTATTTTGCCAGCCTGATGGCAGCAGCATGGATGGCGCAGTGCGGAATCAACACACGGATTGTGGAGGAGCGCAAGGATGGACGTCAGGTTGGCCGAGCAGATGGGTATCGCTCCACATGACGTCTGAGATATGATCGTCTTTCATGAGCATGTTTCTGACCAGACCACCTTGTAGATTGCACACCCGATCAATGGAAATCTTTGAGAGCTTCGGATTCGACCAGGAAGTGACGAAGTTGTGGGATCCTATCACCGATGACGCCGTGTGGTCACGAGATGCAGACGGCTCCTTCTACCGGTCTGAGCGCGAGACCAGGCCATTGCCGCTGCGTGCACGGTATGTTTGTTTATTGGTCCGCGGGGGCGGATTAGACGGTCAAGAACTGATTTCTAATTGAAATAGGTGGACTGGAGGACTCTTACAACAAGCTGTGATTGAGGACATCATCAAGCGACATATCAAATCAGTCGCACCTATTGAAGTAGAGTACGAAATGGTTCCGACAAGCCTGAGCATCAATGAGAATGACGTGAGCGATCCGGATCGTCATCCGTGTGTCGTCACACTGCGACGCAAATCGACAAGAATTGGGGGAAACTGCGTTAGCTCCGAGTCTGAAGAGACCGTGCGCGCTAAATATGTGATTGGCGCTGATGGAGGCAAATCTTGGACGCGAAAGCAGCTTGGATTCACAATGGAGGGCAACCGAACACAGTCAATCTGGGGTGTTATCGATCTGGTCGTGACTTCGGACTTTCCTGAGTAAGTTGTATCCTCTTAACTTTGGAAAGACTGGATTGATTGGGATTATGAAAATGATAGTATCCGAACCGCGACAACTGTGAAAAACAATGAGGGTGGAAACCTTTTTTTATTCCGCCGAGAACGAGGAATGACCCGCTTCTATGTGCAGTTGAACAAGAGTAAGGACGGAGAGATCCTACGCCGTGAATCAGTCACCCAGGAGACAATTATCGAAAAGATCAAATTCATGCTTCGACCATACACGGTGAGATCATGCGGGAGATTGGTCATTCATAGTAGCTCATACTTTTACTTTGCAGGTCAACGTGAAGCGTTGTGAATGGTACGATCTGTTCCAATGAATACTTGTATCGCATCAGCAACTTACCCTTTGCAGGTGGTCCGCCTATACAGTGGCCCAGCATTTGAGCACTGGCATGTCGAAACATGGACGTGCTTTTCTTGTCGGCGATGCGGTTCACACTCATTCTCCGCTTGTTGGACAGGGGATGAACATTAGCATGCAGTAAGTTATGATCTATCTAGCTTCCCTCAATTCCTAACCACGCATATAGAGACTCCTACAACCTCGGTTGGAAGCTTGCCGGTGTCATCCGCAAGCGATACAACCCGAGCATTCTGGCTACATTCGATCTCGAGCGATACCATGTTGCTAAGCAGCTCGTTGAGGTTGATCAGGTCTATTTGCAGCTTTTTGACGCACCCAAGGGACAGGAGCCCAACTGGCTACTTGAGCGCGCAGCCCAGATGGAGCCATTCCTGATGGGCCTATCTGTGCATTACGACAAGTCCCCGTTGACAGCATGGTCACCGAAGACAATACCACTTGACCCCCAAGCAGACCACATTATCCCCGGCAAGAGATTCCCCGAAATGACCGTCTCCAATCATGCGACAGCCAAGATCTACCCTCTGCAGCAGCTGCTTCGAAGCAACGGTCGATTCCACGTTATTGTCTTCGCGGCAGATGTTTCTGAGCCTTGTCATCTTGAGCGGATGAATACTGTGGGTGCTGGGCTGGCTTTGGTCGAACAGGAATTCAAGCATGAAGTCGATATCTTTGCTGTCCATTGCGCGTCCCGTTCAAAGGTGGAACTTGCCGGTATGCATGAGACTTTTTTCCCGGAGGATGTTGAGACAGGGAGAGACTATGACCGAGTTTATTGCATTGAAGATTTGGCATATACAGATCTGGGGATCAGTTCGGATGGAGCGATTATTGCTGTCCGTCCGGATCAGTATATTGGTTGGCTCGGTGGATTGGGTGACATGGACAAACTGAGCCAGTACTTTGAGGATGTTTTCGATGCTAAGTGATCCGTTCTGCTGTTGAAACCATTATTCAAATTTTAAATGAATACATACATATGTAAGTACATAGTACTGAAATTCAATCTACAAATGTATCACCAATTAACCATGTGAAGACACGATTTAAATAGCAAGGGCAGCAATTGTGCATCACTCTAGTAAAATCTTTTTTTTCCAAATCCTTACGTCCTATCTGTTCTCTCAATCTTTCCGGTAGACCAGTAACTCATTATCAAGCAGACGCATGGATGACGGGATGGCTCAATGATCAAGATAAGCATACAGCAAAAAGCGATAGTAGACGAACGAGAACGCGATTGGTTGAAACCTCGCATGACGGCCATGAATCCGACAATGTCCGCAAGCCAGGTTCAAGCAGCGCCTCTTGCGCCAATACGAAATTCAGAATGTCAAACAAGAGGAATCAAAGCCTCTGTATTCCCATTTTCTGGATGTGTCATTTTGCAAGAATCATGGCAAATCATGGGCGAATAAAAAGATAACACGGCGTCCAAGGAGGGCTGGGCAAGTGAAGGCAGCTTGTATTGTGAGATCAGCCTTGGGCTGCGAAAGTTTGAGATTGTCCTAACCTTGATTTGAGAAGCTGAAAGTCGAGCTGGTTCCGCAATAGACGGCTGGGGATACGGCGTGGAGTCCTCCGGTTCCTCGACCCCACTGCTTAGCTGAAACCTAATGCGTACTTTGATTTAATACAAATAACGGTCGACCAATCAGATCGGAGCCCTGGATAGATCGGTGAAGTTCCATGGGCACGGATCTGTGGTGCCGGCCGGGCCGCTGGTAATTAATCTTGGAAATCCTGCCGTCGGTAGTTAAATCCAACATGGAATTGAGTGGAACCAGTATGTGACTAGTATGATTACTAGTACGTACGCCTTTGTAATTTTATTAGTTACGGGTATGGTTCGTCACCCGATTTGTCATGTGGCGGTTTCGTAATTAGGGTAAGGTCCGGTGATGTATAAAACTGGAGTATTTATGTAGCGTACAGTATGTGTGTATTGTACTTATAAACAAACCACTGTATATGCACGTATATAACCGCTGGTCATTACCGAAATATGAGATCCGTATCGTCAATGTGTATCGTCAATGTTTCATTTCTTCATACCCGTATTTCACTTCCCCAGCAGAACGGAACTTACTTCCAATACTAAGTGGGGCCAATAGTATGCAGAATAGTGGGCCCGATAGCTCTGCCAGACAACCCCGAACTGGACCGAAAAACAGCTCCTGTATGTACGATCGTTTCTTGGTCACACCGCATTAACTGTTCTATGCGGTGCGGATAATTGTCCAGCTAGATCAATGCTACTGGACATATCCTAACTTTGAACTCTTACCGATCAGACTGTTCGTCACGCATATCGTAAAATGGCGTCCGACAAGACCACCATTTTACGTGCCCCATTCGCTGATGCGGTCAATTTGATTGAGGTCCTGACCAGAGACGGCTGTGTTATCGCCACTGGCTTTACCTCGCCCGAAGATCTGACGCAGGTCCAGCGTGATGTTAGTCCGTACATGGAGGGGTATACCGAGAGACGGGTATGTTATAGCCGTGAGCCGAACAGGCTTCAATTACAATGGTATCGATCAATATATCTGCAGAATGTAACATTTGAGAACGTAGAAACACTTGTTCCCACCGGAATACCGCTGGTGCGGAGGCATTTTCGGCCGTAGCAATACGGTGCGGAATCGCTGGCTGGCCGAAGAAAACCTCGATCAAGTATGCGACCACTTTCTCAAAACGACATGCACACCTCCGGGGGGCTATGATGGTGCCACCTTTGAGACCAAGCATGTGCTTGCCTTCTCCGTGACGCTCGACATTGGGCCAGGCGCTCAGCAGCAGCCTCTACACCGCGATGATTATCTCTATTTCCATACGCATCGCGACCTGACGCAGTCCGGGTATCAGGTAGGAACAGACATGATGATGTTGATGTTCGTTCCTGGAGTGGAAACGACCATCGAGAACGGTGCTACTCTGGTATGGCCCTTTGACATTCCCTGTGTTATTAAACCATTGCTGATGTTCGCAGGTTGTTCCCGGGTCACACCTATGGGATGACGTGAGAACACCTATGGACAATGAGGTTAGTTATGCCACCATGAGCCCTGGCGAGGCTTTGTTCGTCCTAGGCTCAACCTGGCATGCCGGCGGTGCGAACAAGACCAAAGATGTACGTCGACCGCAGAATACCTTTTTTTTCACACGCGGCATGTATCGCCCAGAGGTATGTCATCTCTCCATCATTTTCAAACTTCAACTCACCAGAACGAATGAAGGAAAATCCCTACCTTACGTACCTCCCTCAGCAAGTCCTCGGATGGAGCGAGAAATCACAGGCTCTTGCGGGTATGAACCGAGACACATTGGCCTTTGACCGGACCAATTACTTAGTCCCTTCTGCGTATTATGTAGAAGCAGGAAAAGGAGCCACCATTGATCAAACAATGGCCTAGCAAATGAAGAGTATAAGTCGTTTATATATGCATATTCAATAGCTCCTATAACAAAGGATAGATTCTAAGACCTTGGGAGAAACTCTGATGACCGGACTATCTATAATCTAGGGTTCAATCTAGATATCAAAATCTTTACCGCCAGACGATATGCATGATCCCGTTAAAGAATGGCAGCAATGTGCCTATAATGCGAGAGTCTGTCGCTGCAAAGTGGTTAAACTTGTTCATATGCACAGCGCCCTCTTTGCACCATTCGCGATCCTCGTCAGACAATGTGGGAGACATCACCGGATCGACAGTTACGCCACGCAAAAGGACTATGACATCCATTAGCTTCAGAATAAGTATGAAAATAACGACAAAGGTCTCACCATCATCAACCAGGATAACTCCTCGCGGACTCAGCAATTTCCGGTCCAGAATCAGCCGCACATATGCTTCATATTGGAACTGGTCGGCATCAACGTAGATTAAATCAAAATCACCTTCCAATTGAGAAAGACTAGAGAATAGATAAGCTTTGATGTTATTGATAAGAGATGGAAGTCATAACGTACGTCTGAACACAGTCTCCCTCGATGATACGGATGCGATCCGTAGCTTGATACCGCTCAAATCCGGCCTGCGCTATGGTGATAAAATCTTTGTCGACATCGAGCGACAAAATCTCGGTATCGAAATCGCGGGTCGCTTCGTAAAAGGCCAGGGCGCTGATGCCCGTGAAAGTGCCCAGTTCAAGGACTGATACGTTAGCCCTGTAGGACATCACTGACGCCGGGTTTTCTACTTACTTCGCTTTGGCCGCTGGGTGCGGGCAGTGCTCATCAGATACGCGCACTGTGCCAACGAGCCTGCCATCTCCCCATTGCGCTCTGTGCTCTTGGCCGTGGTGACCGAATGACCGAGCAACGATTGTGGCAGTTGCGATGTGTTTGCAACGCAGTATTCGCCGACCTGATCCACCTCTTTGGGCGTCAGCGACAGCATGCATGATTCGCGCATTGTCAGTACGGATTCACGTAGTGGGCAATTTGAAACTTCGGTTGATTGACACGGATTGGTGATGACATTGACTTTTCCAAGCGGTATGTTACAAGATGAGCTTTCAATCACTATGGATCTGCAATTGACCATCTCAATGAGGACGTAGCTGTTGCCCTTCTAGATCGACACAAATCTTACCCGATATGTGCTCGGAGCTGAATTCCTCGCCAAGGGGGATCATCCTTGCGACGTTCTGGACCTGAATTTTTGGAGGGATGTGATGAGTGTGGAACAAGTAGAGCTGAGTGTATGAAGCTAGTAACGGGATGTCGTTCATGAGAGAAAGAGTTTCAGTGCAGATCGAGCTACAGATCGGTCCGGATTGTACTTGCCGTACAGTTCTCCGCTCAGAACAGACCTGATACAGGTCAAACAAGAAAAGAAAATGGTACCGATACCGATACACAAGTCGTATAGTACGTTTTTGGTACAGTATTCAAGGTGCGAACCACGGTGATGGGTTACGTAGCATAAATTTATTACGATACTCGGAAAGGAAAGAATACAAGACACGCTAGAGAATTGAAGTGTATAGCCAGTACGATAATAGACATTCCATTCTGCTTGAATCTATCCGTGGATGTTTCAACCGTCGAGCCCACGACTTCTATCACAATAAAAACGAACATCACAATGTTGATTGAAAGAAACAAAATGCACAACCGAAATGCTACCATGGAGATTCTGGATATACGTCGCCAGGGAGAGGACTCAATGAATCTGCGTGAGGAGCTGGTCGCCAGTCTGACAAGGCCCGCATCATTCAGATCCATACCATCAATCTTGTTATGGGACGACCGCGGTCAAGAGCTGTTTGAAGACATCATGAACTGCCCGCAGTACTATCCCTTCCGAGCCGAATTGGCCTTGTTGAGCGGGTACAGCGACCAGATGGTGACCGCGACAGGCCAGAGCCGTTTGATCATTGAGCTTGGAGCTGGGTATGCTTTCTAAAAGATTTTCCCAGGGCTTTTCACTCATGCGTCCCATCCCCGGGGAATTGATTCTCAAGCTAGAGTGTTGAGAAGAAAAAAGGCTTACATATGTCTTCTAGAAATTGCAAAAAGACATTGGCTTACCTTACGGCTCTTGAAAAGCGACGGATACCAACGGCTTACTTTGCCGTGGATATTGCGCCAGACAGCCTTACAAATAGTCTGGCGCAGTTATCCGAAAACATGCGCGGCTTTCAATACGTGATCTGTCATGGGATGTTGGGATCGTATAACGATTGTGTCAAGCTACTCGACAACAATGACGCCTTTGGTGCCGAAGGCGTGTTATTCCTGTGGTTCGGAAACAGCATCACGAACCTACCGTGGAAGACGGCAACGGACTTGATCAATCGTCTCCTTTGCACCAAGTCCAGGCGCACTAAGCTGCTGCTACCCGTGGACGGTTGCAGGAGCGAAGAGCTGATTCTGACTGCCTACGACCTACCAGGAGGCCAATCACGCCGGTTTATGCAGAATGGATTGATTCATGCGAATGCGCTGCTCGGTGATGAGGTATTTGACTGCGCCGACTGGGACTTTGAAGGCATCTGGGATTCCGTATCTGCCATGCACAATAGTTACCATGTTGCCAAGCGCGACCTCACTATCCAAGTGGACGGACAGACAGTGTCTATTGCCAAAGGGGAAAAGCTGCATGGTATTACGAGCGGCAAATGGGACAGTGAGATAGTTGGTTTACTTTGTAAAGCAGCTGGGGTGACAGTGGAGCGCCATTGGACTCGATCAGTTGACAATTTTGGTAAGTCTATGACCCTTATTTTGATGAAACCGTACTGACACAGCCGAGGATGCTATCTCTTGAGCGGACACTGCAATACCCGAGGATTCGATTGATTGTTTCCAATTTTCGCTCTGTTCAATTCCCGGTTCATGTCGATGTATTTAGATTGTCTATTTTATATCGCGTTTTCTACGCTTCGTTGAATATTTCATTGTTTTCGAAGTCGTTCCTTGTTTCTTGGCGTGGGATGGTGAGCCAGCCTACGGCGTTGAGAGATGCCAGAGAAAGACAGAGCATGGGCCAACCCCCAATCTTCATGGCGACATTGCCCCATGCAGGGCCCAACATACCCGGTACCGTCATGGCAAGGTTCAACAAAGCACTGAACTGAGCGACTGCTGTGCCAGGCTCTGACTGTCCTTGTTCGGTGGCAAGATCCATAGATGTAGATATGTTTGCCTGGAGCAGTTAGTCTCGCGGAAGTAAAGCGAAGGGTCAAGAGTGCAACAAATGGACCACTTACCATTGACGGAACGACGACAAGCAACGTCCCCACGCTCATTACAACGATCATTGCACCAAAAATGCTCACCTCCACAATGCTGTCCTGTTGGACAAGAGCCATACAAGTCAGCGAAGATGCGGTGGCAATAAACCCAATGCAAAAGTTAAGTCTTGTGCCATGTCGATCCACCAATTTGCCGACCTGTGGACTCGCAAGCTGGGGGAAGGATTGCAGGAACCAGATAAAAGACATCTGTGTCTGGCTCCACCCAAAGGTTTTCTCCATAAAAGACGGTAGTACCTGCAACGGTCAGCACACCACTTTAAATCAGTCTTCGTTTGAAGTCTTCGTCTCACAGCTTCAAGGCATGCCATGCAAGTACAGGGTATAGTCATGGAGAACAGCATGGTAATAACCCTGCGTTGTCGGATGAGGAAGAGAAATGCACTAGAATATTTGTTGACGCGATGGCTTAAGAGGCCAAGCAGTGGCTTATCCCTCGTTTCTCCAGGGTCTGCACTGGCTAGAGCTAATTCCTGCGAACTATATCCCACGGTCGCAGCGCTCCTTTTATACTGTCTGCTCTCATAGATCGTTAGATAAACGCTGGAAAGGAGCAGCACTTCGCTGGTGACCACGATACCGACACCCCCGGCGTACTGATACAGCGGGCCGCCGGTGCCTGATCCAAAAAGACAGCCTAGTGTCATAGCCAGGGCGATCCAACCCATGGCTGCTCCGTTATGCTGGCGCGGAACCTGGACGCTGACGAGAAACATACTCGATATCGTAATGGCAGCGGACGCTGCGCCATGCAACACGCGTGCAAGAACTAGCTGGCCAACGCCAGAACAAAGAAACATAGGGGGTGCAGAGACTGCCATAAGCCCCAGGGAGATGAGAGTCGATTTTCTCATGCTATGTATATCATTCGCAACAATACTAACGAGGGCTGCATCGTATGATCGTTTAACATCCGCTCGGCTTTGTGTGGGAAGAAATTGCTTACTACCAGAGACTGCTCGCACAAAAGCCCAGAGCCCGAGAATAACAGTCGTCCATTCCTGATCTAGAATGATCTAGTCAGTCGAGCATTCACATGCAACCATAGAGGAATTCGCACAGTGGTCAAGGTTGACATGGCTTTGAGCCAACAAATCAGGGATGATAGGAATAAGCTGTGCCGTCTGTTAGTAAGCATTTACGGTGAGTCGGAGTACCCAAATCTGCTTGGACCCACGGCATAGTTGACGAAGTTCATCTATGTTGAATTAGCTCTATAATCTGCACATCGGTCGCTGACTTACCGCAAATAGGTTCAAGCAGGCAACGAAAACGGTCAACTTCCAGGACCTTGTTGGTACAAGAGTATCAACCCCGATCAAAGCTGTCTGTTCGTCCACCATGATCAACGGTATACACCGATTTTATGCCGGAAGCCAGATTAAGTTGGAAGGAGGTTGAATCGGGTAATTTTGGGGGGGGGGGGGGGGGGGTCATTCGCACGTGAATCGTAAATGACCTTTCGGGTTAAGTTTGTTACCGTTATCAATACTGTAAGTTACGAGCTACGTAGGTACTACTAGTATTTTCCCCAATCTTTCCGTTATTTTTTTTTTACCACAGGAGCACTAGCACCTCCTTTCTCCTGCGAGGTACGGAGTACTCCGTACATCCAGTTCATTGACAGATCGGCGATCGCGGCATCTCCCAAGAATTTGGAATGGAAATCATTAGTTTCTGGATACAGCACGTCGCGCTTCACCTCGTCGTAATGATACATATCGGAAGCCATTACACGTCAAGTAATCGAGTAACGCTTAGCTATATATGTGATAAACAATACACTGTTAAAGTCATTGCTAGTTACATTTCACAGTTGCTGGATTCATAAATTATTGGCCCACAGCGCTTCGCCGAGTTTTCTTGCTGTGAATTTTCGCTTGTACTAGACTTTCTGTTTCTCCTTCTCGTCTCCCCTTCCCATCAATCACCATGGGACGTCCGGGAGAATGGTTGACTAAGTTCAGGCGCTCGCGCCTGCTTGTCATTATGGCAATCTCATTGTCTGTGTTTACAGTGAGTCCTCGGTTGTCATTTCTTGCATGGGTGCATGGCTAACTCGCGGCCAAACAGGATACCTTCCTATACACAATGGTATGTGAGCGCCGCGGTCAATAACCCACGCAGACGACGATTCATTCCTTCCAGATTGTCCCTATTATTCCGTACACGCTCAAGGAACGAGTCGGTATCGCCGATGGAGATGGTGTGTCCAGTATACCATCCGAAACCTGGAGCTACCAAAACTGATGATCATAGCCTTGAAATGGACATCCGTCTTCCTTACAGTTTTTGGACTCACCAGCGTGCTCTCGTCGCGTAAGTTTACATGAACCTGCCGGCCGGTTTACAGACAAAGACTTACGATAAATCACAACAGCCATCGTCGGATTGCTCGCAGATCTCACTAGCTCACGACGTGTCTTATTCATGCTTGGTCTACTCGTTCTAGGATTATCCACAATTCTCTACTGGATTGGTCGAACTGTCGGAGTGCTAGTTGCAGCAAGGGCCTTGCAGGGGGTCTCCGCGTCCATTGTCTGGGTCATTGGAATGGCTATTATCAATGACGCCGCTGATCCCGAGGACCTCGGTGCCTCGCTGTCTTATGTATGGAGTGCGAATACATTGGGGGCACTGTCTGGGCCGTTCATTGGGGGGGTGCTGTAAGTTTTGGGTTTTCTCGATGTCAGTATTGCTGCTGATTTTGCCAGGTTTAAATATTTCGGGTACCATTCTGTCTTTATCCTGGCTACGGGTTTGATCCTCCTGGACATGGCATTGAGAATGCTGATGGCCGAGAGAAGCTGCAGCGTTACTAGACATGTCAGTGATAATGCCTCTTCAGCAGAGGCAGCCCAACCCTCAGAGGAGCAGAGACTTCTCAACTCGTCAGATCAGCTGGTCGGGTCAGTCGAGGCGACTAATACAACCCACGACTCATACACCTCGTTCAATTCTGATAGAAACTCTGGCGGAGAATCAAAGGCCACATCCACGCCCCCTAAGTCAAGCTACAAATTATTGCTATGCTACCCACGCGTTGCAACACTCGCGGTTTCGTCGGCCGTGAACGGGGTGATCTTTTCTGCTTTTGAGACCGTAAGAGCTACCCGCAGAAGCCATCACGAGTCGTGAGTTGACCAAGCTGACTTTTGCAGATTCTGCCTCTTTATTCTGTGCAATTGTTCCACGTCGACTCCGCACGTGTCGGACTCTTCTTTCTCGCCCTCTCGGGGCCCATGCTGATCGCCCCGTTATTTGGTACGTTTGATCGTATCGATTTGATAATTCTGTGCTTCCACTACTTTGGCAGAACTGACCGTCCCAGGCAACCTAGCAGATAAGTACGGGACCAAGTGGACGGCCGTGTTCAGCACAATCTTGCTCGGCGGGGCCATTATCCTCATGGGCACCGTCAATTATAACGACCTCTTCAACCAAATCCTACTCGGCGGTCTTCTCTTTTTGTGCGGCGTGGGCTGCACCGGGCAGCGCGTAGTCATGTCCACAGAAACAGGGCTTGCTCTGCAGGCGCTAGTCGATGAACCCAGCTCGGTGGAAGCCGAACTTCGGGTAGAGAACCTCACTGGCCAGGCGTATGGGGTTTTGGGCACCGCATCTGGGATTGGAGTCACTCTGGGGCCTGTCCTGAGTGGCTGGTTACGTGCACAAGCGAGCTGGATGACAACCGTCACGCTACTGGGATTCTTGACCATCTCGTTGGCCATGCCATCCGTCATGTACACAGGCGGCCCCTTGAGATGCAAGGGCAAGTGCTGATCAGCAGACTAAATATTGGCATCTTCTTCTGTCTTATTTTATAGTGATAATTCAATCTAAATGAATGTTGTATAATACTGTGAGAGACAATTAAAGAGACTCGGGAGCTGAACGACTGGAAAGCAAGAGAGCGGTAAATTACCACTAGCGCTCTTTCAGGTAAGCTTATTCAGCATGTACTCGATCCGCCGCCTATTTGTACGCTAAACAGAGGAGACTCGATCTTAGTTCTTCAAGACATCAAGTTCATCCATCATCCCTTCTATTGGATATGCTCAATTATAGTCCGTACACAGAAATCCCGGCTTGACAGATTCTCTTCGTGTCTGTTTTGATTTCTTTATACCAGCGCCTCCGTAAAGTCGTTACAGGACACAATACAAGTCGAAACTTCACCGCGTCAGGATCTTCCCGGTACTTCAAGTTTAGTTCGACAAGTTATATTTAATGCTAGTACCCATCAGAATTCACCGGTCCTCTCGAAATCTCACAACCTATTCACTAAATTCCAAGCCATGCAAATCCTGACCCAACTCTCCCGGGGCCTCGCTGCCCTCCAGCCCCTCTCTTCGACTCCCACCAGCTGCTCTGCAAGCCAGGATGCGGTTTCCAGGGCCGTCGCTATTGTCGATATCACCCAAACTATGTCCCTCTTTGCTCTACTGCTCGACGACCACGCCTACACAGACCTTGGCCGCGTCTTCACCGTCAACGCCACGGCCGATTTCAACGCGACCGGGATCCCCGTCTGCGAGGGGCTGCCTGCTATCATCGAGCGTCTCGAGGATCTGCGCGATGCCTCCAGCATGATGGCCATTTCCACACAGTTTGTCGAAGTGCAGTCATCCGTAGCAGCGCGCGCGACCAGTTACGTTACCGGTAATATGTTTACGCCGGGCTGGACAGAGCCGAGTTTCACGGAATATGGAAAGTATGGTACCCATCATCCCCCCGAAGGAGAAGTCTTCGGTGTCATTAATGCAATGCATTTCTAGATACATTACCGATTTTGTTCTGACGGAGGCCGGGTGGCGAGTAGACTCCTTGGTCGCCGTAGGATGGGCAAGTCACCTCTACACGGTTGAACCCATCAATTCTTGTGCTAACATTGAGTAGGCTGTTTTTGATCGGTGGGAAACTCAACCGGAACATGCTCGCAAGGCCAAAAGTGAGCTGTAATGTGCCAATACACCTGCACGTGATGAAGATAAGCATTCTGTACGTGTTGTGTAATTACTGTTACCGGGAAATATTCAGCGTGATCGATCCATTGATATATATAGACCTGATAAACTAGACTAAAAGCCCTAAACATGGACTTAACCTGACTCCCATGCCACTAGATTATTGAGGAACTAATTGCAAGAAAGTAGGAAGAAAGAAAGAAGGAAAAACAAAACAAAACAAAACAAAACCAGGTTAAACGGAAGTGAGCGGTAGGAAGTTATCCGGTTCAGTTTCGGCTGGAAGGAACGTAACCAACTTCACCTCCGGATTCGCAGAAAGATCTTTCATCATCTGACATGTAATTTGTTGCAACTCTTTGAGTGACTCGTCGTTCAGTAGATACGCTGGTGAGGACAGCTTGATTTCCAGCCTTCCGTCTCCCAGCGACATACTCTCCAGCCCGATGTCGTCCTGTCCATACGGCTCATCATACACCCGTGGAGCGCCGTAGTCTGTGCAGCCCAGGACTAAGGAGGCGTTCCAGTCCGTGTTGTCATGCTGAACCCAGGTTCCCAGCGGAGCATCAGCATCCCAGTCGGTGCAATGGCCAACGATCCTGGATAGTTCCATGCCCTCAAACTCCATACTGTCCGTGTCTTGCTGCTGAAGAAGCTGACAGAGGTCATGCATGCTCCAATCATCCTGCAGTTTTGCGCGCACAGGCATGATTTGCAGGCACGGGCCCATGACTGTGTCAAAATCGTGTCTCTTGCTGCGCCGTCCGCTGGTGACGAGCCCGAAAACAATATCACGCTTCCGCGTCCATCGTGCAAGCGTCATAATCCAGATTCCCTGCACGAAAGCGGCCAGTGTGATTCCGAGAGGGCCGTGGATGTTCTCGACCACTATTTTATTTTCGACCAGCTGACTGTTACCCTCTATTTCAATAGTGTCCGCCGGTGGTGTCGTTAGGTAGGTCATGGACGAGCCGTTCAACATATATTTCCAATATGAATATCCACCGCGCTCACCCAGTGCGTCGGAGAAGTATACGAAGTCAGCATATGAACAGCGGGGAGGTAGCGGCTGGCCATCGAATGCTAGAGCCCAATCACCCCAGAACTCCGAAATGCTGAACCCATCGTACTGCGAATGCGACATGCGAAGGACGAGGTATCGGTTCTGTGGACAGTTGACTGTGATGAATTTGAGCGGCGAAGATCCCATAGGCAGCGGCTTTGAAGCTCCCGTATCTCTCAGCAGCTGGTCGAGCGCGGCGTCCGTGTCTTCGGCAATGGTGTAGACGTCATGTGGAATCTTAGGCAAACTTTTCAGAATGACTTGGTAGAACCTTTCTTCGTGGAAAGCGAAGACGGTTCGCAGGACGTCGTGCTGTGCGATGAGTGTTTCCCAGGTCAAAATTGCCTTATCTATATCAAGATGGTCTCCGACGTTAAATATAAAGAACGTCGCGCAGTTCGAAAGCGCAAACTCCTGCAAGCTGGTCGCGGGAAGAATATCCAAAACTTTTTCCACGTCTGTTTCCAATGACCGAAGAATGTCATGGATCAACTTTTGTCTAGTGCTGGCCTCTTCGGGGAGTGCATGGTAGTGGTCCCATATATGTTGGCCGTTTGACTGCTTCGGGATGTTCTTATGACTGGCTAGCTTTTGATAGGCAATTTCAGCCATAGAACTCAACTTCGGGGCGTTCAGGACATCTTGGACTGTAAGATAAATTCCCCGTGACCGCCCTGAACTGACCAGCCGCATAGCGGCAATAGAATCACCCCCTCGAGCCAGGAAGTTGTCATCGGCACCAATGCGGTCCTTTGGTAGACGGAGAATGTCTGCCCACAAATCGCGCAACTTGATCTCGACCTCAGAGGAAGGCAGTCGATGCTCAGTTCCACCTTGCATCGCAAGTGATACCTCGTCCAGTGTGAGCTTGGTCACAGCTTCGCGTAATGCTTTGCGATCCGTCTTGCCTGTCAGGGTCTTCGGCATGGTCGTTACACGGAGGATCAACGATGGAACCATATAGGGAGGTAAAGCCAAGGATAGTGCCCGAAGAGCACTGGAATCTTCTTCTCGAGTTTCTGAAGATGCCTTGAATGAGAACTCCGGAGCGTGAGTTTGGGCTGTGCTCAACTGTTCGTCATTGCACAGAGAATCTTGCTGGGAGCTGTCTCCAGTGTTTTCACATTGATTCTGATTCTCAACGAAGCCAACCAGATGGCTTGTTCCGAGTATTGGAGCGACTTCGACAACGATAGACGAGTTAACCAACTGTTTTTTGAGATGGTACTCCACCTCCGATAGCTCGATGCGCTGGCCACGCAACTTAGTCTGCGTATCTCGACGCCCAACGAAAACGACGGTCCCGTCAGTGTTGTATCGAACGAGATCACCGGTCTTGTAGACCCGACTGTCCGAGCCATCTGGTCTGAATCTGCGCAGCCACTCTGGGGATGATAGAAATGCTGTTGCCGTACGCTCGCTGTCGTTCAAGTAGCCCCGTGCTAATACTGGGCCTTCGATAAAAAGCTCGCCAACCACACCAACTGGTGCTAGGCAGGATGAATCCGCGATATCGACCACCCAAAAGGTGCATCCAAGTCCACGCCCGATGGTTGCGAGTGGGTTACCTTCATCCTGCTCTTCAATCGGATGCATGGCGCAAATGGTGCACTCTGCAGGCCCGTAGCCGTTGCAAACCTGTGCACGTTCTTTCCAAATATCCACGACTTCGTGCGTTATTGGCTCTCCACCGAGGGAAATCATTTGCAAGGTCGGGATTTCCTCTTGGCCTAGTGCGCGCATAATTGTTGGTGCCGAGAGCGTGATTGTCGCGCCACTTTCTCGTGCATACTGCGCTGGCTGGTTCATGCGTGCATCGTCGGAGGGAATGCAGATACACCCGCCGAGAACTAGGGTGGTCATGTGTTCGTACAGGTTGATATCAAAGGAACAAGACGCAAATTGGAGCATTCGTGACTCTGGTCCAATTTTTAAAATGGCCCCGTGGGCAAGAATGCTCGTGGAAAGTGCTCGGTGCTCTAGTACAACGCCCTTTGGGCGGCCTGTACTTCCAGAGGTGTAGACAACAAATGCCGGAGTGTCAGGGTTTGTGTTCCAGACTGCATTGATGCACGAAGGTAGTTGCTGAATGAGGTTCAAAGTAAAAACTAGTTTCTTAGCATCTGTCTGCGAGAGGTCAAACTGATTTTGCAATGTCTCAGAACACACAAAATACCTGGCACAACTGTTTGACAACATCTGATTGACCCTATTCTGCGGGAGACGATCGTCCACGAGAGTACAGGCAGCCCCGATCTTCAGGATCGCGAGCATTACAACAGGGACCAGTCGGGACTTTTCTAGACAGACCGGCACAACATCTTCGTGACGAACACCAAGCTGTTGTAGGTGGTTTGCAAACTGCGAAGCAAAGGTATCCAACTCCCGGAAAGTCAGACTTCCGTCCCATGCGTCCACAGCTTGCCTGTCAGGATCTGCTACAGAGTGCTTCTCGATCGATTGGTTCAGTGTATAATTCGCTGCCACGGGACAGGCACTGTTCCAGTCGGTCAGGCGTTCGAGATCAAATGGGCTTAACATATTAATCTGTTGGAGAGGAACATCCGGGTTATCATGAATCTGGCGAAGAACATGACCGAATTGGTGGAGAATATGGGTCATTTGATCGGGATGGATGACGCGACTGTTGAACTGGGCAGATACATTGACGAGCTGCTCTCCTGGGGAGATGGTGCATTCCATTGTCAGCGGGTAATTGCTGAAAGTAAGCCGAGATTTCACTTCCTTGCCATTAATTATCACCTCATGTGGTATGTCATTCGCCATTGGGGGTTGAATGACTAGCAAAGATTGCAAGTCGCAGGCGGACGCCGCTTCGGGGCTCATTCGTCGGATATTCTGCAATCCCGCCTGCTCAAACGGAATCATGTTCGTCAACTGTTTTCGAATGCGGTCAAGGGCCTGGCCAACTTTGAGACTGTGGTCGATCAAGTGCCGAAACGGGACAGTCGTGATGGTTGGTCCTGTCATGCTTTCGATGCCTGCCACAGGCGCATTCCTCCCGGTCAGAGTCAAGCCAAAAACCACATCAGGCGATTCGGCATAGGCTGCGATAATCATACTCCAGGCCAGATTAATACTTGTGGCCAACAAAAAACCTTTCTTGCCAGAATTTCCCAAGTAAACCGGGAGGCTCTTCGATTCATTTGCCCATTCGGAACTCGAGTTCTGATGGGAAGGAGGGAAGGTAGACGGGGTCGGCCCGGCAAGTTGTGTCTTCCAATACACATCTTGCTTTTCATTATCTGCCTCGGTGATGTACTTCACAAAATGGTTGAAATCAACTTCTGGAAGGGCCACATCACCCCGGTATGTACGTTCCACTTGGGCAAAGATTTGGGGGACCTGCCACCCGTCGCACGCCGCATGGTGAGCTGTCCAAATGAGCCGATCTGGCCGTGCAGCGTCGTCGTTCGACAGGATTGCAACATTAACCAGGGGCGACCCAAGTCCCATTCGGCTGACGATGGAGCTCATTGTAGACTCGGTGTCCAGCTTTGAGCCGTCGTGCTCCTCAACGATCAGCGGATCTCGCATCACCACTTGCAAAAGCTTGGTGGATGTACCAATGATTCGCGTCCTCAGGATGCTGTTCAGCTGTGAAACTGTTTTCCATGCCTCTTTGAGCTGACCTAGCTCTGTACCAGGTGCCAGATCGAAGATTCGTTGCGCGATGTTCCCACCAAGCCTCTGTTGCCCAAGTGCCATCATGCCTTCTTGCAGTGGGGTGCAAGGTAGAATATCATCGATACTCGTTGCATCGATGTCATATTGTTCCTTTGCTGTTTGGAGAGCTAGCTCTTGCTGCTCACTCGGTATTAGCGAAAAGGCTGGAATCAGGTCAATCGCCTTCCCAGTGTCATCGAGATCAGTCATCTTGCTCGCCAAATCGGCCAGATCATCATGATCCAAAACATCGCTCATATGCAGAAGCATTCTTTGTTTGCGCGCAATTGCGATTAGCTGAATTGCTGTGATGGAATTTCCACCCAGTTGAAAGAAATGGTCATCGGCCAAAATATCGATGTCCAAAACTAGTACTTCCCTCAGCATATTTTGGAGCATTTCCTCTTTGGGTGTGTTTAATTGCTTCGAGGATATTGGGAAGTATTTGCGCAGCTGGGATTGGCTGAGCTGCCCAACCTCTTGAACCACTCTTTTTCGATCTAGCTTGTCAGAGGGCTTCGTCCTCGGGATTTCAGAAACTGGGAGGATGAAGGCAGGAATCATATATGAAGGAAGATTGACCTGTAGTTTCTCGCGAAGTTGTTGGCCAGTAACTAAGAACTCTTTGCTCGCCGGTAGAAGGATACTTCTCGCTCCTGTGATTTCAGAAGGTGAATTCTGCTCAATCAAAGGCTTGGAAGACGCCAGGTAACACAACGCTATCAGCTGCGGTTCGCTCGGAGACATCGCGGTGGTGCAAACTTCAGCAATTACTTCCATGTTGATTGGAAGTGCTTGCACCATGGCATGTTCAATCTCCGTCAAATCAATCCGTTGTCCATGAAGCTTCTTCTGTTGGTCCTTCCGGCCAATATAAAGAATTGATCCGTCGCGTTCGTACTGTACTAAATCACCGGTCTTGTACAATGTGCCACTTCGACCTGGCGTGGAGCCAAACCCTGTGGTTAACCATCTTGGGGAATCCACGAATGCTGCATTTGTTCGTTCTGTGTCGTTTAAATACCCTTGGCTGACATTCGGCCCTTCCAAGAGCACCTCGCCGACACTTCCGACAGGGAGAAGTATGTTGTGGTCATCTGGATCGACGACCCAGGCGCAACAGCCGAGCGCAGGGCCGATGTTGTTCACGGCTGTCAAGCCGCGGTAAAAAACGCCAGCATTGCTGCATACTGCACATTCAGAAGGCCCGTATCCCATAACCAGCGTGGTGTAGGGAAGCCATTTGTCGATTAGAGCTGGGCTGGATGGCTCACCCACCAGCTTGAGCCGTTTGAGACTTGGAACATCTCTTGGATCAACTAGCCGAGCAACCGATGGGGTCAAAATGGCCGTGTTGACTTGGAATTTTTCGATGACCGATGCGATCGCCGTAATTCTTTCTGAGTCGGAAGGCACGCATAGACATCCGCCCTTACTCAATGTTCCCAGCGCCTGGTAAACGGCGGCATCAAATCCATACGAGGCCGAATCGAGCATTCGGGTAGCCTCATTCAAACCGACGGTTTTGGCTGTGTAACTGAACGTGGAAGCTAGGTTGGCATGCGATATCAAAATGCCCTTCGGGTTGCCCGTAGTTCCTGATGTAAATACGATGCATGCAGTTGTTGACAATGGATCCAACGGAGAACAGACATCAGTGCTGATTGTGCTGCCGCTGCTGCAGCTCTCGCTGCCACTGTCGCTTATGCCATCAGTCACTGGGACTGATACCACCGTTGCTGCAAGCTGGCTAGCCAGCTGGAGATACACCGGGGAGGCCAGCACAATCTCTGCCTTGACTTGCTCAACTATGTTCTTTAATCGCGACTCTGGCAGCCCAGCGTCAAGAAGCACAAATGTGGCGCCGAGTTTCAGCACCGCGAGCATCGCAGCTACGGTAAATCGTGATCGTTCAAAAACGAGGGGCACCACAGCAGATTGTCGCACACCGAGCTCACTAAGATGCTGCGCAAGCTGTGATGAACAAGAGTCCAGCTCCGAAAAGGTAAAGGAGCCATCCCAGGCGTCAATCGCGAGACGTTTGGGCGATTCGGAGGCCCAGTGTGCAATGGTAGTGTGCAAACACTCAGCATGAGGCTTTGGTCGGTGTGCGTTCCACGTCCATATTTGCTTCAGATCCTGTTCCAGGGCAGTCAATGCTCCCACTATCTGTGAAACTTCTGACTCGGGCATCATTGATGAAGTGTAATCAGTTCAACTTTAGTGACAGTAGAGTTCACAAGATGGAACAGGATACCCAGGTAACAGTTGATGTACCCCCCATAGAACAAACTTGAAACAGCTACTGAAATTGTGCGTAATACTAATAATTACTAGTAGTATCTATACAGTACAAATGATACATATGTACCTAGTAATACGATCCAGTATGTATTCAGTAATTTGACGGTAAATACAGAGTCTCCGCATGAGCAAGATTAAGGTTCCTCTCGGACGAGCCGCTCCGACCCCACCGAATATTACCAGCCCATCACCACCCCTTTTCTATTATTTCGATAATCAGAGTGATTTTGGTTTCGATGTACTAGTCGATATCCATACGTCAGTGGAATTCATCTCGCCGATCCCCTGGTCTGGGTTTGGCCTATAGGAATCCCCGCCACACTTCTGGATAGTCTTGCAATACAGTTTCACGAGGGCGAACCCGAGTTCAGCCGATCTACAGCATAACCTGTACGTTTCCTGTAACAAAACCACGCATTGCTTGAAATATCTTCCAAAGAACGTCAACGATGGCACCTTCAGACCTCGACACGCAAATAGATCAGCTTCGCCAAAATATTGCAACTTGGTCGGACTCTCAGAAGAATGTGCAGACACGGCGAGATCTGCGGGCGTCCGCCCTCGCACTGGCCGCATCGTTGAGCACTCCCGAAGATATCTTTGCTGATGCCTTTTACCAGGTAGAGATATCCACCTCTGTTGGTCCATGAGCGCGTTGCCGGGCTAATCACAATTCTAGCCGGCACTGGCAGTGGCCATTCTAGTGGCTATGGAGGCCCAATGGCTTCAATGCCTGTCTAATAACGCTGCCCCGCTGTCGGCATCCAAGCTGAGTGAGAAGACCAACTCGTCACGAGAGACCATTGTTCGATTCATGCGCGTTCTGAGTGCACACCGAGTTGTTGATGAGAATGGTCCGGAGGAGTTTGTCGCCAACAGCACTACCCACTGGCTGACAACGCCGGCGGCACTGGCCGGAGCACAGCACCTGTTTCCTCCAACTGCTGAAGCTTGTCTCCGGCTTCCAAGCTGGTTTGCGAAACGCAAGTTTGCCGAGCCAACATCCCTCGAAGACGGCCCCTTCTATGCCACTTTCCAGAAGACATTCTGGGACTCGCTGCGGGACGACCCAGCTAAACATGCGGCTTTCAGTCTGTCAATGGAAGGTGTCTACGAGGAGGATGTTATCAAGTCTGATGCCAGATTTATTGGGCAAAGCCTTCAGCGTGCCGGTGCACTCAATGACCCAGATCAGGTTCTCTTGGTCGATATTGGGGGTGGCACAGGGCATCTGCTGCGCACGTTTCGTGACATTCACAGTGGATTACCAGGAAAGCTCGTGCTGCAAGACCGTGCGAGCGTCATCCAGACGGCTGATCCAAAGGCGATCGCGGGCATTGATCTAATAGCTCACAACTTTTTCGACGCTCAACCAGTCAAACGTAAGTCTTGGTCCTGGACATTACCCTTCGGAGTAATAATACTGACATTTTCTCCGACTGACAGATGCAAAAGCATATTCGCTTCGACATGTTCTGCATGACTGGAGCGATGAAGATTGCAAGAAAATCCTTCGTAATGTGTGTTCGGCGATGCGAAACGGGTATTCGAGGCTCTACATCTTGGACATCGTGCTCCCCGAGCAGGGCTGCAGTGCACCCTCGTCACTGCAGGACATCATGCTTCTTGCAACTTTCTGTGGAAAGGAAAGAAGCAGGAAGCAATTTGATGAGCTGCTTGCGTCGGTGGGATTGCGAATAACGCAGGTCTTTGTGGCCGATCCATCGATGTCGGAGGGTATCATAGAAGCGGAGCTCATTTAAAATAGCAAATAGAACCTATAGATTATCTATCCATTCATTGGAGAATACCTAGGGAGTCAGTCAGATAAAATGTCATGTTGTATTTGATTAATATCTATGGAATCTTCCGCTCAATATCGTTTATGTACCCAGGTAGCACCAGTTGACTGCAGTCTCGCCGAGGCCACAATGGGCGGGAAGCGGGCCCCTCTGGCTCCTTTCTTCCACTCTGCGGTAAGAAATTAACAACCCAACTCATGTGCTTGGAACGCTTGTCTGGTTTCGGTGCCAAATATATATGACCCGAGCTTTCGTGTCTTTTTGCAACTCTTCTTTCTTTTTAATTCTCAATATTGGAACCACACAACACGATGTCGCTACCATACGACTCGCCCACCGTGTTTGTTTTGATCGACAAGATCGGTCTCTCGAGCGCTTGCCGCCCAAGCTCCTTATGCATCGCTACCATCGTTCTTTTTCTGGTGCAACGACTGTTTTCCTGGTGGAATCGGTACCGCAATGTGCCCATCTATGGCAAGGACGACAAGGACATGCGCAAAGCGCTCACTCAGGGATATGAAAAGGTAAAAGATCAAGCTTGCGTATGATCCCGTAACCCATTGATCTGAACAAATAAATACAGGGTGAACTCTTCGGTATTCCGACACCGCTCGGTCTGCATCTTTTCTCTCCCGCCCAAATTTATCGCCGAGCTCAATCAGTTCTCCGACGATGAGCTGAATCTGGAAGCACATTTTGCGCTGCATACGCTCGAGGGAACGACCAAGTTTTCGAAGACAGAGCCGCTATTTGCCCAGCTCACCCACAAGGGAATCAATCGAAATGCCCGGGAGACAGTCCAGATCCTGGAGCATGGGATTCGCGACCAGCTGGAGCAAACTATCGGATCCTGCAGCGGTAATTTCAATATTTACTGCTACGAACAAGGTATTGAGCTGATTTAAGTTTGAAAACAGAATGGACTTCGTTCAACGCATCCGATCTCATCAAGGAAATTGCAATGGCAGGATGTAATCTTGTGTCCCATGGCCCTGAATTGGGAGCCAACAGAACATGGGTGAGCGGAATAAAAGTACCAGGACGACAATCAGAAGCTGACATTCGTGCAGCTGTCTGAGGTAGAGGGATACCTCGATGATGCCATGTACGGCTTCGTTGATGTAATGAACTATCCCCAGTTCCTCCACCCAATACTGGCCTTGTTCAACACCAAGTTCAGGCGTCTCCCAGGTCGTCTCAGATACATCAAACAGACCCTTCAGCCAATCTTGGACGAATATCGCAAGTCCGAGAAGAAGCAGGTTGATGGAATACAGTGGGGGTGGGACCATGCCAACAAAGAGCAGCAGGACCTGGAATACCAGGCCCTCACGCACATCATTCTCTATTACTTCAACTCCATCTTCATTATGCCTACGGTATGCACCAAATCTTACACTAATGGAGTGTCGGATATACTTACGTTTCTTTAGCTCGTTGTCCTCTTCTACGACCTCATCTCTCATCCGGAATGCATCGAGCCTCTGCGAGAGGAGATCCGCCAAGTCTTTGGCGACGGTCCCCCGGCAGAGCTTACACCAAGCAAGCTTGATCGGCTTCTTAAGCTAGACAGTTTCCTCAAAGAGTCGCAGCGGGTTGCGACTCCAACTCTATGTATTTATTTTACAAAATCCAGTTACATGAACTATACAGCTAACCCATACAGATACAATGGGACGCATGGCCCAGAAGGAGGTGCGACTCAAGAGCGGCGCAGTTCTGCCGCCAGGTACGCCGCTGGGTGTGCCACTTTGGCCATTGGCGCACGACCCGGAGTTATGGGAAGAGCCTGATGTGTTTGATCCATGGCGACACGAGAAGTTAGGGAAGAAGGAGGGCAATCATATCGACAACCTCATGACGGCTGCGCGGTAAGCCATTCATCTTTCTTGACCACCCAATTCATATCTCCTAACAAGAACCACAGACCACGCTGGCTCCTCTGGGGCCGCGGGCGCCACGCTTGCCCAGGCCGCTTCTTTGTCGTTCACGTCATCAAGATCACCACCGTGATGATCCTCTCCCGATACGACATGCAATTCGCAGACGGAGTTGCGCCGGTTGGGGAGTACATTGGGTCGGGCTACATGCCGGATCCGACCGCAAAGATCCAGCTTCGGTCGACAGCAGCGCCATGATGGGTTTGTCTATTCTGAATTCTGAGATCCCGCGTGGCCCACTGATACAACGCCACCCGATCATCACCGAGATAAAGCAATTAGAAGACTGCACGGAGCGGAGTAATGTGTTTTTCTTTGATACATCCCACAGAGAAAGTGATACATGATATATGGCGCACGCCACGGATTCTTCATCCTTGAATATTAGCGTAAATTGATGCAGCTACATTCCAAATTCCAAGGTTCTGCTGTAAGGTGGAGCATGTGGATCCCGAACCAAGATACCTAGAGATCGGCATTGACATCTGTGCATTGGGATCTTGGAACCGAAATAGTCCGATACCGTCGTGCGATATATTTCGTACTGAAAACTCGTATTCAATACTATACTGGGTACGGAACATTGTAGTATCTATCAATGTAAAGCCGTACAATACTCCCGTCTCGAGTGCACGTTTTTTATACCGTTCATTAAGTCATATTATATTTCCTCAACGCATTCAATTGTCCTCGTCGCAGGGACGCACTTCATCATGAAAGGCCTGCGACTCGATCATGAGTTCAAGGCAGCCAATCGCCGAACCAGTCGTTCACGTGTGATGTTGTTTACTGCCCTGCTTGTCATTTCCATCACCGTCATCCGAGCTATTCCACTACCCACCTTCGAGAATATTCTCGACATCAAGCAATACTTGCCCGCACCCTGCGTCAATTGGCGCTCGCTCTCGGCAACCAGCACACCGAAATTGCCTTATGACCAGCTTCGCGACATCTTGCTGAACACCCCCGACGGCAACAAGGCGCGCGAGTGGAGCAGTTACTACACCACCGAATCGCATCTTCCTGGTCAAGGCCACGACCAAGCCGTTTGGACAAAGGAGCGATGGGACGAGTTCGGGCTGCCGGAGAACAACATCATCTCGCATGACGTGATCGTACCGGAACCGCGTGGGCAGCGGCTTGTGCTCCAGGGATCTGCGGGCGAAGTCTTATACGAGGCTGCGCTGGTCGAGGACCAAAGCCTGGTTGGCAGGCAGAACGATAGCGGCAAAAAGCCGTTTATTTCGGCTTTTCATGGCTTCTCGGCGCCTGGGAATGTCTCCGCCCAGTATGTCTTTGCGAACTTCGGCACAAAAGAGGATTTTGGAGACTTGGTCGCCGCGGACGTCCCGCTGCAAGGGAAGATCGCCATTATCAAATATGGCCGTATCGGTCGTGGTGAGCAAGTCCTCAATGCGCAGGCGATGGACATGGCCGCCGTGATTTTGTATAATGATCCTCAGCAGGACGGAGGCATCACTGAGGCGAATGGGTACAAGCCGTTTCCTGAGGGCCCGGCGCGCGCACTCACGAGTGTCGAGCGAGGCAGCGTCGGCAATATCGGTATGGTCCCTTACGCTCTTTTGGCTTTTTAAAACACATCAACATATCAACTGATGGTTGGCTAATTTTGTGTATAGAATACAGCGCGGACGGCAACAGCCCCGTTTTAAAAGCCCCCACGATTCCGTCACTCCCCATCTCCTACTCCGATGCGATCCCTATCCTCAGGGCTCTCAATGGGCATGGTCCATCTGCTGATGATTTCAATTCGCGCTGGCATGGCGGTGCGCTCGGTTACAAAGGTGTTAATTACAATACTGGCCCGTCACCGCCCGAGCTCACGCTGCGTCTATACAACCACCTGGAATACGTCAGGCGCAAGGTGTACAACGTGATTGCGTCCGTCAAGGGGACTCTCATAGACGATGAAGTGATCATTCTCGGTAACCACCGCGATGCATGGGGCGGTGGAGCGGGTGATGGGAACAGCGGCTCCAGCGCACTGAACGAAGTTGCCCGCGCATTTGGTGCGGCAGTGAAACGGGGATGGCGGCCTCTTCGGTCAATCGTCCTTGCGAGCTGGGAAGGAGAAGAATTCGGGCAGCTGGGCTCCAAGGAATGGCTTAATGAGAACCTCTCATGGCTGGACCCGACGGCAGTAGCCTATCTCAACGTTGTCATGGCTGGAAGTGGCAGCTTGTTCCACGTGAAGGCGAGCCCACTATTGTACCAGGCCATGTTAAGTGCCACTGGTGAGATACCATTTCCTAATCAGACCACTCCCGGACAGACCATTTTGGATGTCTGGGGCGGAAATATTCTGGCCGGTGCCCCGAGCGATGCAATGCGATTCCTCGACACTGGGTGTATCGCTGCCATGGATTTTGGTTTCTCGCCGGCTCCCGGAGAACCTGTTTTACATTATCATTCCCAATTCGACAGTGTAGACTGGATGGATCGGTTTGGCGACCCGGATTGGGAATACCACGCCACCACAGCAAAGCTCTGGGCACTGCTCGCTTCATCTTTGATCGAGACGCCAGTGCTGAATCTGAGCGTGTCCGATTATGCCGACGTGTTGATCAAAGCCCTGCACACTGTGGAAACTGAAATTCTTTCGAGCCCAGCGGTAAATTTCGATTTAACTCCTCTTTTCAGTGAAGTTGAGCGCTTGCGGCATTCTGCTGTTGAATTCGATGCCCACGCAGCCACCGTCAGAAATCTTGTTTCCCAATCGGCCAAGGAAACTGAATATGACCAATACCCATCTTTCGCAGAAATGCGCGCAATCAACAAGATCTATTTGGGATTTGAGCGGATGTTCAAGTATGAACCTGGGTTGGAAGGCCAACCATGGATGAAACATGTTGTTTTCTCACCCTCGGCATGGTATAACGACGGGAATATGTTCCCCGGATTGACAAGCAGCCTTCGGTCTGAGGATCTGGTTGGAGCAAAGGTATTTCCTACATCAATGATGCCAGTCCAGTCATTCATTTGTTAACATTATTTTGATTAGAAATGGCGAGGTATTATTCAAGACCGCATTTCAAATGCGACAGATCTCTTGCAGTCGGGCCGGCCCGAGTACTGAACTGTTAAGTAAGTAGCCTTGTTCTGAACAGCACTTGATATCCGGAACTCTTTAAACAACGCCGTGAAATTATCAATGTCCAACCAGATAATATAGATGTAGATGAATCCAATTGTTACTCCACATATACAATATTTCAACCCTCAATTGTATCGCCAAACCTCTTCGTGATCTGTATCCTTGATATGCCCAATGTCAGACCTGACCTCCCTGTAGGACAATGTCAGCCCGACTTCAGGAATCACTCAGCATCACTCTCTTGCTGTTCGGGCTTCCGATCTAGGCCATAATCGCGCAGACAGAGCGTTGCCAGAAATAGAACCACGGTTAATACCCCATAAGACACAAACACGGCATTTATCCCCCCCACATACACATCCAAAATCATGCTCTTTTCCTCTGCTGACAGGTTGGTTTCTGAGAGATTAAAGGCAGATGAAGCTATATGCGAGATCATTTCCGGACTGAAATGACCCTTGAGGCCAGCGTGAAGATAGTTGTTCAGTATTGCACCAGACACTACGTCCTTGTTAGACCAAAAAAAATAGTTGATCCTGTATATAAATCTAGATAACTCACCTGTAATCCCAATGGTTCCACCCATATCCCGAATGAAATTGCGCAGACCGGTGATTACCGCCCGATCGACGTTGTCAGAACCGGCAAGAAGGCCGACCATAACTGTAATATGTCAGTAATCAAAATTCATGAATGAGAACCCTAGAAGCGGAACAACAGAATAACTAACCTGGTTGCAAAGCACACCCGACGCCGATACCTTCGAAGATCCCCGCAACAAAAAAGAGAGAGAATGGGGTCGTTTGTCCATAGGTCGATTTAACAATGGCGCCAATCGCCCACAGTGCAGCTCCGGAGCTGATGATGGGCTTGTAGCAGCCGGCCAGAGACATAACTACACCACTCAACCCGGAGGTTGCACCATGTGCAATCACCATAGGCAAGATAAATGACCCAGCCGTGGACGGGTTCAGGCGGCGCACTGTTTGAAAATATAGAGGGAGGTAGAATAGATTGCCCCAGTACACCCAGCCAATAGGGATATTCATAGCCAGGAGAATATTAGTAGAGCGGTTGTATTGAAATAGGCGCACTGGGACCAAATTAGATTCGTCAAAGTATGCGTCGCTTAGTAGTACGTACTCGGTAGAATAGGCAGCTTTACCAGTCGCCATTCAATAAAAATAAAGGCCCCAAGAAGTATAACGCCAGATACTAGCATACCGATGATAATCGGCGACGTCCATTCTATAACGGATCCTCCCTGGGAAATAGGGATCTGTGGGTATATCACGTCAGTCTCCCATCATAGGATATACAAAACACTCTATATACTAACCAAAATGAGTATAACGGCTGTCATGCTTATTCCAATTCCACCCCAGTCCAACATCCTGACTTTCGTTCCGATGTCGTCTGCGGCCGATGATCCGGGCAGAACTAGAGCCAGTAAGCCCGCAGCAATAACCGCCAAAGGGCAGATAAACCAAAATGCCCATCTCCAAGAAGCCTTTTCTGTCAAAAGACCACCGACGACTGGACCGAGCCCGTTACCCAACGCGACTGCCACACCCAGGATGCCGAAATAGTAGCCTCGCTGGTCCAGCCGGGTGATATCGGAGATGGTTATCTGAACCAGCGCATTTAAAGCCCCAGCCCCTAACCCACTGAAGGCTCGCGTGGCATAGAGTTGCCCGGTAGTCTGAGAGCATCCCGACAGGAAGTTTCCCAAGCCCATTAGCAATAGCGCAGTAATCAGGCATGTTTTGCGGCCGAATATATCCGATAGACGACCGTTGATCAGCTGGATGCTGGTGCTGGCTGTGAGAAAACTTGTGCCAATCCAGGAAATCGAGGAGCCTGCATTAAGGGCGGCTGCGATGGACGGTAGTGTTGTTGATACGGAAGTCTGGTCGATGAAAGAGGTGAAGTGGACCAGGGCCAAGGCGGGAAAAATGACGAGAAGTCTCTTGCGGGGGACAATTTTTGACTGTCGGTCTTGGAATCCTTCTGCGATCAGAGGGGTTATCTCTGTTGCGCGCAATTCATTTTGTGCCGGCATATCTGCGTCTGCGATCATGCACGCTGTCTATCCGGCAAGGAAATTCGGTGATCAGTGAGCTTGATCACTTTCAATTTAAGTGGGGTAGCTTGGTTTCCTGTATGGCTGGTATGGATCCCCTTGAATCTTCAGGCTGAAGCAAGCTGATCTGGACATGATCGAGTCCGGCTGGTGGGAATAGATTCCTCCATGACAAATTTCAAGCCCCCGAATCTGACCCGATCTAGTGAAGATCGCCCGAGAAATGCCGTTCTGCATGAACCAAATATCTCCATATGGTCGTTTTAATCGGGATTGACCAATATGCACGGGAAAGGGGCAATCGCGAGGCGATAGTAGTAGGCTTACGATCGAGTAGCTTTACGCTGTACTTACTAGTGTATTTCTATGGTAATTCTTTCTGATGTTTTAAGCTGCCGTCAACTGGATACAAGAGCTCCAGTGATGGGTTTTTGTTTTATCATCGGGTTGAATCAATATGTATGCTATGCTATGATTACACCCCGCTTGTGATAGGATGATGTCCCGCCTGCAATGAATGATCCTGCTTGATGATACAAGTATAACAAACGAGCCGATGTACATCTAAAAATGAGCAAAATATTGCGGTGACGCATCAGTGCATTGTGGTCAAAGGAGCAGAGCCAAATGGCTGGGCATCCCAGCGCACCCTTCGCAGGTGTCGTTTTGGATCCTTCACCACGTTCCGGGCATGCAGCCATTGCCGATTATCAACGATAATAAGAGAGCCTCGAGGCATGCTCTCGGGAGTGAGATGCAGGATCTCCGCCTCTATCGCGGGTCCGGTTAAGATGTCCTTCAGCTCGGCAAGCGCAGACGCCGCCGCCTCCGTGAGCGGCGTAAAGATGTCCTCCCGAAAGCGCAGTATCCACTCGCCGTCATCAACGGATAAGATACTCCCGACTATCTGGCGGTCATTCTTGGCTTTGATGAACTCAGGTGGTACGTTGATGCTGAACTCGGGCTGGGAGAGCGCTGACCGGGATGATCCAGACAAATGTGCAAGAAGTTTCTCAACTTTCAGGATCGAAAGCGTACCACCACCACAGCAATCTGGTTGGAGCACTTGAAGGCCAAAATATCGCGGAGGCGATGACTCGTAGCTGCAGTCCGTATGCCAAGGGAAGTGGTTTGCTGTTTCTGACCGTGCTTGGTACAGGGCCTCGGGGGATTTAACCATGGGTCGAATGTCCCAAAACCAGCCACGGGTGGCACTGTGATTGATTGGGAGACCGTGTCCATGGTGCTGATTGAGGTTCAAGATTATTTGCTCGAGATAGCGGCAGTCGTCATCCTCGAAGCCGAGCTTGATTTTAACGACGGCTGCGCTTTTCAGATGCGCCTGAATGGTGTTAAAATGGTCATCTTGCTGCGAACAGTCCACGCTGCGAGCTTCTAGCACGGGAACGTCCTCGAAATGAGGCGAATCCTTGCAAAGGCTGCCAACACGGGACATCTGGAGATACTTCAACTGTTGATATCGGCTTCGATCCGTATGCCAGTCTCTGAACTTCGAAGGCAATGTGTATATAGAAGAAATTGTATAACTGAATAACAATGGCGGTCAGAACTACTGACATGCCAGACTTGTTCAGGAAGTGCCTTGTCCGGACAGCTTACGTATCATTCAATACAGCAGGTAGAACCGAGTATGGAGAATACAGAGTAACAGTCCCCATACCCTCAGTGGGGACGCTTGTACATACAACATAAAAACAGTTCGTGATGTAGCCAAACCCACAGGCCCATTGCCCAACCAAAAAAGGCCCCTTGTACAAACATCTTTGTGAATCAATATCGCCGATCGAGACAGGTCAACTGCTTCCCTTCTCCACTCACTGCGCGGATTTCGCGTGGCTGACTGGCTGTTTTCAACTCTTTGTCACCAAAACAGTGAATGTAATGGAAGGAAAATGAAATGTGGATCGTCGAAAGTGGACAAGAGCATTAGCTTGGTAAAGTTTACGAAATACAACTACCGTATACTAAATAACGAAATAACATACAGAGTTTCGAGCTAGTTACAATACGTCATTTACCAATACAACTGATACAGAATTGTAACAACCAACTTGAGGTGGCTAGTCCCAATAGGATCAAATTTTGGAAGGTCTGTGAGGGTCATCCCCAAAGTACATAACGCAAGGAATCACGGAGCGTTTTTTACTTTCATTACGCCCAAACGACCTTAGGACGGTATTTTTCATATTCGGAGTATATTTGCTTTGGTCCTTTCACGCGATGGGAGGTGTCGAGCGGGGGAACCGAGGGCAAAATCTTAGTTAGAGCCATGATAGCACGGGTGGCCAGCTCTGGGTGTTGGGCCGCACGGGTTGAATGCAATAGCTAGTTGCCTGCAATTTCTTGATTTAGGTACCTTTTGATAAAAGATAAAATGTGACCTGGTACTCTCCGCTGGAGCCTATGATGGTTGGTTTCACTTAATCTTTGCGGGTCTGTGAATTTCGCAAAGAAATCCAAGGTCCATTTACTGTCTCGTTCCTGTCGCCTGTATACGTCTTGATTGCATGATATACGAACTATACGGGGGAACATAAGGACCAGGATCAGAGGGCACAACAAAGTGGCATAATAGAGGCGGAAAGGGAAAGAAGCTGGGCAGTGGAGAGAAGACCTATTAAGGCAATGGAGGGCACATGACCATGGAAATCGTCGAAATACATGAGGCGGATTTTGTGAGTCCCCCGGTATACCAGCCTATATTGCAAAGTGAGTTTGGAATTGGTAGCTCAAAGAATAGCTTATAGGCCATTGAGGTGCGACGCCAGTGATCGAAGGGAACTGTCTTGCCGTCGTCCATAACCGGAGCGTCGGGCAACTTGGTGCTTTTCTTGCTAGAAGAGTTGGTCGAAGTGGTTGACGGAAGGTCCACTGACGTTGAGCGACGGGGCTGTCGCAAAAGTGAATCGCCATCAAGTTTCAGCTGTCAGTTTTCTTAAGCAAGTCCTTCGTACTCGTCTTCGGTGATATCAGGCCGTTCCCCTAAAACCTGCAATTAGTCTTGTTGTGATATGAGGTAGTTGCTGCTCAGGAACGAAGTCGCAACATCGGAAATAATTCCTGCCCATCTATACGAAGTCCAAGTTGTATATATAGCCTCTTGGATCCCCTCAGAAAATAACAATTCAAGCTTCCTTTTTAATTTATAACAGGTTATGAGCCCGGGTGTAACCACTCGGGTGCTGTCTCTACTCACACCGAGAAACGTTGTCTACCTTGAAGATATATTTACCCCGCTCCCTCAAACATCATATCGACTCTCGTCTATAACTCCCCTGACCGAGCCGTCACGGCCATCGAGCCTTTGATAGGAAGCGACAATTACGCTACCTAGAAGCGTCTCATGGCTTCTTACCTAAAAGCTAGGCAAGTCTGGGAGCAGAGGTACCGCTCTAGCGGGAGACCGCCTCCACTGGGTGTGGCTATTGCCCGCCTATTGTACTTGTAGAATTTAGGAATTAGTAATATCATTACCTCTTGTTACATGTTCTTTCAATCGGCTAGAGCAGTATTTTCACCTATTTCCAGTGGAGAGTTCATCCTCCTATAGCTCGCGGGGAACCCTCGGCCATCTGGAAGCGCGACCCAGTCAGTCTGCAGGAGGTTTCGCCCACGGGAGGTGTGGGACAGATTTCGGTCTGTCAGGAGTCAACCACGATGCCGGCGGTATAATTAGTTATTACCATATTTGCTATCGTCGAAACTGTTGGATAGGGAGAAGTAGGCGTCGCCACTATTTTAATTTCTAGTCTAGTCTATTCTGTATTGTAGCCAGTAGTCTTCCCTAAAGCACAGTCAGTAAATGATTGATTCATCCTACATTCACTCATTAACATCTATCTTCAATAGGCAAAGCCACAGTCATCATCAGGCTTACGACTGATGGTCTGTCCAGGGGGGTCATTTTCAATTCATTAAATCTGTTATGCATTGTAACAAGTCAATGTAACCATTTATTACTTGAATCATGTCATTGAAGATCCTATTTTCTTAATTAAAGTGTAAGTAAAGATATGAATTGGTGGGCTTTCACCGGAAATGCATGTTATTAATGTTATTAAAATGCGGGCACCCGGCAGATCCCGCGGACCTCTGGAGCCATGATTCAACATTGAGTCAACTATAGGAATTGTATCTCGTAAAATACTAGTCTAAGGGAGGGAGGAGGAAGGCAGAAGGTTGATGCTCTATGGTGATATCAGTCCAAGTCAAGATCTAGTCAATTCTAGACTACTGGTCGCGAAACTTTTGAGTGACGGTTGCAGCCGTTTTACGTTATTCGACCTTGGTTAGAATCAGCCCTAACCGGCCTTGCCCGGCATTAAATTTGGCGGTGGAAAATTATACTTCCTCTTTATCCATTCCTTGGTTCCGTACTCTTTCCTTTCCACTATCGATTACCTTAATGAAACTGATAGAAACCTCAAGGTCTCAAGAGAGGGTAAACTGATGATTGCGGACTCTTCCGGCCAGTTTAGATCCTGCATGTCATACGCATATGTATTATCTAGTTCTAATTCACGATTTTGGGTACATGACTTCATTGTTGGCTGAGTCTAGAATTGAGTCTATTGGTGACAACATCATTACCAAAAAACGCTGTTAGATTAGGCCCAGAGTTCAAAACAAAGAAATCTCAATTGACATCACCATTCGACTAAGCGTGTCAACCTTGATTATAAATTGCTCTACAAGAAACTGAGATAGTCGCAGTGTGGCTGGGAAAGGAGCGTCGACATGCGTCGGCTTGTTAGTTAAACCAGCATTGGTGAATCGTGGGCGTGACGTGCCATCACCATCCGACCCAGCCCATTAATTTGACATTTGACATAAGATCTCCCCACGACCCACGCATTGTCCCTATTTTCGCCCAAGCAACAAACCAACTTATCCATGGTAGCGCTCACAACTACGCTATGGGTTTTAGGCTGGCGGCAAGCCGTATAGAATTCACATTCCCCGTGGGCTCCTCACCGCAAGGTGTTGCAGTAAGCGACTTTAACAGAGATGGCCATGCGATATCGTGGCTACGAATAACCAAGGGGGTATCGTGGTAATAGGCTGTGGATCTTTCTATAACCTTGGGTTGTATAGACTCTAGTATAGCTAGAGAAGCCAAGAACGCTAGTTCAATGAGTTACGTTTGCCGCATCCTTTAGCCACTATAGCTTAAACATTAGTAGCAGTCCTTATATTATTAGCTAGTAGTCGGCCTATAAGTTATAACTTATGCGTTATATAAGTGCAAGTATTTCGGCTTTTGAGATAGAATATATCGTCCACTATACAATGTTCGGACCATTGGGCCAGCTATATAAAAGCGAACCTAGTCGTTAAGCTCCACGGACCGGTCTTTTCCGGATGCGGAAAGGAAATGAAAAAGAGTTTCTTCTAACCGTTATAATCCGTTAAACCCATCGTCATTATTAGACAGTGGTGGTGTTATACATATGTCACTATTCAGAGCCGTTGACTATATATAGTGGTACCTGTGCTCTCTTACGGAATCTTACTAGCTCTATACTCCAGACTATTTTCTACATCATTCTCTTCGGTCTACCTTTATTTTAATACCTACGGACTAGTTAAGACTCGTTATCAAATATGGATCCAACAGTGGGTGACATTGTGAGGGGATATAAGGCGGCTGAGGATGCAGCTAAGGGGTACCTTGAGTCTGCGGAAAGCTTGGACGAGGAAATTGGAAGGAGAGCTGCTACGCAAGATGAGGTAACACTACTCAAGGATTTCCTTCAGAAAGCATATAAAAAAGGCCATGAGTAAGTATAGTTACTTCCCTTTGTCTTTATATAACCCTGACACTAATGTTGCGAACTGCAGCGCTGAGGGATATCGTGGAGACTGGATAACTTCAAGATATCATCGAGACGATATTAAAGACTCAGATGTGGGACATCTTAACGCTGTTAAGTGGATCGATGACAATATTATGCAACCGATCCACATAATCGCTGAGAAGAGGGGCATTAAAATCAACCCGACTTGACGTTGTTAAAGGCCTTCTGTTAGGCTTCCTGTTTTGGATAACCTATATATGAAGAATTTTGTAAGCGCATGGAGTGGTAACTTACCACTATCAAGCGATTGGTTAACCACGAACCCGTATTTCCTTTTGTTTTTGTGTAGTAAATTTGTGAAAATAGGAATCCCGGTGACCGAGTATTGGCACATTCGACGCATCGAATAAGGAAGTATTTCAACATGCCCTTGATCGCATGCTTATTCTCTCAAATGAATCAACTCTTATTCTCAATTGGGTTCCGCTTGATCTCATTCGTCCTAAACACATAACAGCCTACTTGATCTAACAAATTCCTTAGCAATGAACTGTATAGATATCGGATCCCTACAGCTAAGGCACTAAACCCTTGTCGACCAGAATGACGAGGTTTAAAGGATCACACATATAGTATCTACTTCGATTCTTCAAGGACTAGTTTTGTATCCAATCCAGTCCAATCCAGTCGTCATCCTCCTTTTTATCCATCATGTATTTACACATCGACACAGCTCGCGGTCCCTCCCGCCCAGTAGCCCGCCAAGACTGCCCACCAATAAATACATCATTATGTATGCCTATAATTATCGTTTAAGATATACGATTCCCTCTATAATCATGTATATATTACAGTACTATATGTCTTGGCGGGCGGGTGCCTACAAATAACCGCCTGTTTGGGCCCAATAAACTACGCGCTGCCAACGAGAAGCAGACGAAAAAGCGCTCGCGATCAAATTGGCGTGTACCACACGAAGAGGGTATAGCCATTCGTGAGGCTATAGAGCAAACTCAACCGCCAGCTTAGCTAGTTAAGCGTGTTCGATATTTAGCTAGAACGCGCTAAATAGCCTATTCAACCTGCTCAACCTACCGGGAGAGTTTCGCCATGATCTAGCCGGCGCAGAGAGATCGGGCATAGAATCCGTTGATGTAAAAATAGCTGTATTTGAATATATAATGGCATTTTGGTGGCAATGAAGTAAAAACCCATTTCAGAATATAGAGTCGCGTTAGGTGGCCGACTAGTATTGTTGTTTAATCTTGTTGTCAAGCTGAGCACAGTGTCGCTTTAGCGGTGTACTCGGAAGGGTGATTCCCTGTCCATACTTTCATTCCTCCTATATCCCTAGCATCTCCTGGTACCCTTCTTCTTGGACGCGTAATCCATGGATCAGGTCGCGCAGGACCGCCCATCTCTGCTCGAGGGTATTGTACACCGCTTCCAAGTACTCTGGCGAGAGGACATATTGGTTGAGCTCTATGAGAGATCGATGACAATCAAAAATTTGCTGTGCTTATTGCACAAGTAGTAGACGCACCCGAGCTCGACGAATTGCCCTCAGTCGTAACTGAGTTAGTTCTTCCAATTCTTCATCCGTTGGCGTATGGATTAGGCGGTTGTCCGCCATTTCTACCTTGTTAGCTTTGTGTTTGAACGGATTTGGACATGGAGCATCGAGGCATTGTATCTCACTGGGATTGTGGGGTTGGAAATATGAGATTTTCCATTAGATGGGGTCATGGTAGATGTAAATCTGCAAACAACTAGTACTAGTTAGCCTTTGGTCCCCTTGTAAGTCATGGTTATGAGTCGAGGAATTTCACCTGGAAAGTTCCAAGATTGTCCGTGGTGAAAGGGCAATGTGGTTATTGAAGGAGGAAGAGAAAAAAGGGAGGACCATAAATAGCAAACGATGGACTGCATTTTCACAAGGAAGGTGATATTATCACCTTCTAAATGGAAAGAGCAACCTTGGCTAGGTAGTCAAGTCCAATTAATGCTTCAACAGTGAGAGCCATATATCAACCTCTTCGATACCTTTATTGGTCCAGGATTGGTTATAGCAATTCAATATATATATAGAAAGTCATACCTGATAGCAAAGTCAGATCTAATAGAGGGTTAATCCAGGTGTAACTTGAACGAAGAGTAAGTGCGCAGTGAGAATTGACTATACTTATATACATGTTTATAACAAAGAAAATAGTGCAAACCCTTTAGCATGCACAGGTCTGCCGATAGAAGCAAAGCCAGATCGCGAAAAGCATATTTTGTTTTCATCCATAAGGGATTGTTATTGTCTAATGAATACCAGAATACTGAAGCATTGTAGATAGAGAGGTGCTTTTCAATCTCAATTTCATGCTCTCAACCCCCCAAGGCCCAAGGGGGCTGTAAGTGGACCTGGACCTCGACCATTGGGGCTTTGGTAACGGTTGTCCAATATGACAACACCACTGGCACTTTAATAGTATTACTCGTAGACTAAAGAATATTGAGGGCACATTTGGGAAGCAGTCGGTAACGGGGTTTGTCTCACTTGTGATGGTTCTGAATGGGTAGTGTGACCAAGTTGTGGAGATTTTGATTGTTGTTAACCTGTAAAATAACCAGTCTAAGCTCATTATCTCATCGCAAATCCTGGCCATGGGCCAAACGGTCATACCTTGCAAAGATCGGAGGCTGGTGGGTGGGTAATGTGGTTGTTGAGGAAGAGAAAGAGAAGAAAGCTAGGGAAGAGTCATATATAGCATTCGGCAAACTACTTCATCAAGAGGAAGCTGCGACTATGACCCTGAAAGGCAAAGAGCAAGACTCATGAAGCCCGACCAAGATTCCCCAATAGCAAGACCTAAATTGAGACTTATGGGTAGGGTATATAAGTCATAAGTCATAACTGATAGTGAGGTCATATTTGATACGGAGCTGAGTGAGAGATGATCTTGATCAAAGAAGTAAGAGTAAAGTGAGGGGTCTCCTTGATGTCTGCCGCATGTCCTAACAAACATTTTCCCACAATTCGCGTTCCAAGCGTTCATCCTCCTCTTCTTCACTGGCCAATTGACGAAGGAGTTGGCGACGTAAACGGATAAGTCTATCCTTAGTTCCCACTAGCATCTGGTAGCAGGTTTCAATGCCCGCCATGGCCGCTTCGACATGGTTGATTGCACCAGCGAATGTCTCATCAATCCATTCACTGCGCTGGCCACGCTGAGTGGCTCGAATACGCAGCCGGGTCAGCTCTTCCAGCTGCTCATTGTTAGGCACTGGGATTGGGCGAGGTTCAGCCACTTTGCACTTGTTAGCTTTGTTTTCGAAGCGCAGGCGGGAATTCTCACTCGTTCGGGGGGGTTGGATGGGTTTGTAGGTATGTTAGAGAAAAGAGAAGTCTTCCTGATGTTGGAACTGTGAAGTAACCAATCTTAGCTCTCGGTCGCGTCCCAAATCTTGTCCATAGGCCAAATGGGTTCATACCTTGTAACGCTTGGGGGGTTGATGGGTAACGGACATAGTAGTTGAGGAAAGGAAAGAGAAGGAGGTCACACTGAATCTTAAATGGCAATCAAGGGACCGAGTTTTCACGAGGAAGGTGCCACTGTCCCCTTAAAAATGGGAAGAATTATGTTCGTAAAGTCAGGCAATACGTGCTGCTATAACCACCCTGGAAGAGTTATGAGTTCAATACCATTTACAATGAGCATACGGAGAGTGAAATATAATTGAAGTGAAAGTTATATTTCATAGAGGGCTGATAGAGCAATGATATTGACGGAAAATAAAAGCAAAGTCAGATTTGGTGATACTCAACAGTTGGGGGCTATACAAAAAGGTCCAAAGATGTAATGAGGTCTTTGACTGTCTGTCTTACCTAGATATATTCTTATGTTTTTTAAATCATTCGATACTGCAGTCACGATGTTCTAAGGGGAAACAACGAGCGCGAGTGCGAGAGCGTGTGTTGTGTATTTTCCGATCTTATTTCCAGTGCGAGGGCCAATAATTAGAGGCCCGCGGGTCTTTACAGTGAGTTTGGGGAATTTCCTTTAACACGTCGAGATATTCGACCTCCCAGGTCGTTAGCTTATCGTGTGCCGCATCGTGCCATTCTTGAGTCGGAGGTTCGACGGCCAGCGCTTGAAGGGTGAACGCAAGCACCTGACCGATGGCTGTCCGGTGAAGGCGCACTTCATCGTCCGCCTGCACATCTTTATTCCGGATACACAGTCTTGAAATCGTACTACAAATGGAGATTTTGGACACGTCTAAAGTGCAGGACCGAGCTCTTGAAAACAGCATGCTCGATTCCTAGGCGGCAAAGTGGACGGAGAGGAGAAGAGGAGAGAGGGAGGGAGAGGGAGAGGGAGCTATTAGTTATCTAATCTAAGGCAAACATGATCTCTTTCATGGATGTCTGATTAATCAAGCACAAATAGGCATCCAACATCCTCCTCACAGATCCTAATCCAACCCATCCAGAGATATCAATATCAAATCAAGCGAATCATTCGGCATACACTTCCAAGCAGCTCAACAAAGATCTGGAACTCATTTTTTGCAAGCGCTTTCGTGGCTGCATCAGCAGTTTAATGCAACTAATAAACGGGAGTGCTGTTTGAGCAACAACACAGACCGACCACAAAATAAAAACTAGAAAAGCAACCCCTTCGTATCGTTCCTCTCTTTAAGCCGGATGTCTTTGATTAGCAGCACCCACACGACTGTCACTGCCATAATCGAGATACCGGCTACGAGCATATTCCGTTGGGCAATGGCATATGCGCGTTCAATAGCAATACGAGTTGTCGATCCAGTCTCGAAGCTCAGTTGCACCGGTAGCGACTCATAGATCTCGTTCCATCGTGGCTTTGTCTCGTCTGGTAACAATTCCTGGAGTTTGTTGGGTAGGGTGTTCGTCCATATGGCGCCAGAGATACTATTGCCAATAGCACCACCAATACTTCCGCTCAGACCAAGCAGTGCTAGCGTTGATGCATAATTGTCATGTTCGGATGCTGCTAGGACTGCTGTCTGTTCAAGGGCAATGATGGTACCAGTACCGAACCCTAGAAACACCTCACACATGCACATGTAACCAATACTATGGCCGGGGGTCCGGAAATAGATCATCAAACCTATTGCAAGCATGTAGATCGGGATTGCACATAGGAGTAGCCACTTGAAGCGCCCTGTAATATGAACCAACCAACCAACCCCAATCAACCAGAGAGGAGATATTAGATTTGCGATCGCTGTTATATAACCTGCTTGCATGAGAGTCACATTATATACAACCTGCAGGAAGGATGTAAAGTATGTGCCCCAACAACTTGCAGCAATAATGTAGGTAAAGTTCAGAAGGCAAGTACCAACAATTGTTCGTGAAACGAGGAGATGGTAAGGGATGAACGGCATTGTAGCAAAGAATCGTTCATAAATCACGAATGCTCCAATAGCAACACCGCCTATCACAATCATGCATATTATTCTCGTGGAGTGCCATGTGCCTTCCTGCGAACCCGCCAGGACGAACGCCAATAGAAAGAGGGAGAGGCCAGCAGTGAGGAGTAATATGCCAAGCATATCAAATTCAACAATAAGATGCTTGATACTCTGGGTCCAGGTTTTTTGGTTAAAGGGACGACCCAGGTCTTTTACCTGCTGGGCTTTTTTTCGAGCCAGTAACCAGATAACAACCAGCGGCATTGTCACAATCGGTAGGAGGATTGCAATTGTGCCATATGCCCAGCGCCAGTTCGTCTTGTTGAAGGATTCTGACAGTGGAGCGCCTGCAAATGCCATGATGATATACGGCGATGAGGTAAAAGCAAATGCAAGAGCTCGGTCCTGCACTTTAGACGTGTCCGCCGTCAACACGTCTACGCAGAAGATCAGGCCCGTAAATCCCACTGTCACGAATGCCTATAGAGATCATCAGTACTAGGCATTGAAAAATTGGCGATATAATAAACATACCTGTGCCACACAATAGGTCGAAATGTTATGGCAACATGCCATCAGGATGAGGCCAATCATCGCGATAAACAGCATCGAGGTCAATGCGACCACGCGATCCCAAATGTTTAATATCTTGGCAATTGGCATTGTACACGCGGCACTCATAACATTGGTAATAATCTCGATCACCGTCAGTAGAGAGTGCCCGTGAAAATCACTAGTAATATATGGTGACAAATTTGCCGTCAAGCTTCCATTCAAAGCGCGTACAAAGTATATCAACCACATGCTTATGCCACCGAGATGTTAGCTATATTGTGCGCACATATAGTTCCCTTTTACTGACCAGATATACACCAGAATCAATGACCTTTTGGACCATGACATAGTCACCGCTTCTGCAACCTGCACGCCATGCTGGGCCTGTTTCTTTGCTTCTTGAAACTCCGTAGTTGGAGGGGCCTCGCTGACTGAAGTGACCGCTTGACCGAGCATGCTTTGAGGCATCTCGACAATACATAAGAATAGGGACGAGTTCGGGGGAATGAAGACAATTAGGGCCTTTGAAAAAGACAGGGTGACCAGAAATAAGGGAAAGAAATAACAGAGTCCTCTATAATTATCTTACCTAGGAGGGAGGGGGTTCTTAAATAGTCCCTCAAGGTGAGATTAGATTAGATTAATCAATCAGCCCATTCCATCAGTACTTGATGGGATATCCACCTCAAACACCAGGGTTACATCCATGGATTGCGCCCCAACACCACTGCGATCCAAGCTTTGGAGCTAGAGGGAGCATTGGGCGTTGATCTAATCTGATTAGAATTGTGTATCATCTCGTAATGGATGTAATAAGACCCCGCTAAGCTAGCACTGATCTGGCCAAGCCAGGATCTTCAGGGTTTTTCTGAGAAGAGAGGTCTACAGAGACGTCCAGATGTATAGTGGAATGTGAGAAGATGGGTGTGTGACTTGCCATATAGGTTGTTTTAATCGCAACACAGTCAGACAGCTTTCTGAAATGTAAAATTGTCAAGCTTCAATTTCTCTTCTGTGTTGTCAGTGGTAAATTACCACTAGAGCCCGTTTTGGACAGGATCCATAGGAGAGGAGCTTACTAAGAAACAAGTCCCTCGTTACCTAGGTAGGGCTGAGTTTACCTACATAGGTAGTATGTATGTAGTATAGACGGACGAAGAGAGGAATTTAGTGATAATCCATTGCTACGTACGAGGCCTTACCGATTCACCGATCGTTGACATGTCATTCGGATAGGGCGGCTAATAAAGATATAGTGACTAAACATAAGTTCTCGCACCCCTTTAGTTAGCACCCCGGGGGACAATATAATATATACTGCCAGTCATAAACCTCTACCCAGCTCTTGCCAAGCAACTCAATCCCTTTTCGGGTATTGGGTTACCACACCGCAATACAAAACCCTGGCGTAATGCAAATGTACCTTTTGTTGGGGATTCACATACAAAAGGTACATACAGTAAAACGTCAGTTACTCGACCCTGGAGACAGATAGAATGATTTTACGCTCTCTATAGAGTTATAAGCATGAAAGAGACATATCTCCTATAATATATAATTCTTCAAGAGGGGCTTTCATATAGGTATAGCGCGAACAATTTTCGGGGGCTATCTTGAACACCCCTTTAAGCCCTTCGTGCTATAGGACAATGGCAACGCCAATTTTAAAAATTTAAATGATGCTATATAGTTTTATATAGGGACAAAATAGTGAAATCGAATTTATTCAATGTTTATCAATGTTTGGTGGACCTTGAGGTTAAGAAATAAATGAATGGCCTTTTGTATGTGAATCCCTAATAAAAGGTACATTTGCATTATGCCAGGGATTTGTATTGCGGTGTGGTAACCCAACACTCGAATGGGGGTTGGGTTGCTTGGGAAGAACCCGGTATGAACTGAAATCTAGTAGGGTGTACACCATCCGTTTCAGGTAGGCGGTATAGATTTATAGTGGCGGTGAGCTAGGTGGGGCTATAGGGGTCCACTTACTGTACTCTGTACCTTTTCATTTCTTGGCAAACCAAAACACTGAAAATTTCAATAAGGGAGCCTAGACAAAGCTACCTTCCTGCTGCCGCTGTTGGCTATCTACTGAATTTGTGGCGTTCGTAGCATCGGCCTTAGTGAGTAAGATGAGGCAGAGTCCGAGCTCGCCCCTGGCTGATGGGAACGGCAACATCGGTTTCCGAAATCAGGATCTGCACAAGATTCGCGCAAGTTTTTTACGGTAGTTGATACAGGCCCCTATTCGCACGGAGTATTCCAAGAATTTTGAGACTGATCGGACGGAGTAAGGGTTCTGGGTGTTGCGGAAGCTTTTGCCAAGCATAGGCAAAGGAGGGACTCGGGAGACGTTTCGCCAAGCCTTTGAGGATCTAGGCAGCTCTTGGAACCTATTCAAAAGACCAGATACATTGGCTACGAGCGATTGCCGTATATCTCGGATGAAGCTTTACGACAGTGCTTGAGCAAATTCCGTTAAGCAGGCTATACTCATCCCACTGAGCACCACTGAGCAGATCCTCGGGTCCCATCTTTTGACCGTAGACCGTAATGCGGCGGGTGCCTGTTCCTGAGACATTCTTGGCCTGTATAATTCACGTGGTACAGAGCTAATGCAAGGTGTCGCAACTTTACTAGTGCGCCCGAGGATAACCGAGAAGATTATTACTAGTGTTATTTTTTTCACTGAACACTCTTGGAATCACCCTACGGTGGAAATCAGAGAAGAAAGCAGCATAGTCCATTCATAAAGAACGAAAAGGACAGAGAGGAGAGGAAGAGAGCAAGGGAGAGAGATATCTATCTACATACCTATCATACAAGCAGGATCTGTCCCATCAGGCATCCCAACAAACACCCAGTGTCACGATCTAGTTACTCGATCACATGCTTGATCACATGCTAAGAGATCGTTTGCTTGTTTGCCTGCGCTCTTTGTTTCTTTATCTAGTATCGATTAATATTAGGGGATTGATCTAGACACACCCCCCTTGGATAACCGCACCCCTTTGGATAGTGGCACACCCCCATGCCTGATTTCTGCCTTATTCCTCAACCGTTAATATATTCTGCCAGACTTAATTTTGCACTTTTGAATTCTGGTTTACACCGCACATCATCGGTCCCCGGCCCCGGAAAATGAGTCCGATCTCTTGGAAGTGATTAAGTAGACCGGCTCCTAGAATCTCCATGAACTCTTGCGGCCATGGCAGTGTGAGTTATCAAACCGAAGCGGGCTCGTCGAAGCTCGTTTGCTGACATTTCAGCATTGATTGATCATCGCTGTCCTTTGATCAAGGCCCGTAAAAGCAATGTACGCTTGCCTTGTCTGGAGGCTACCCATGTACGATTGTACATTGTTGGTGGCGAGTTCCCTCCCAAAACATCACAATATTTAGCATAAACGCCTGTGAACTGGGAACAATAAACCCCCCGCTGTTGTCCCACTAGGCGAACCACCTGTTTGCGAGATAAAAGGCCCCGGGATGTCGAAGGATCAATGCTGGACCCCGTTATGAACAATAGTTTTGACAAGGAGCTTCGAGGCGATTGACATGTGCATTAATTGCAGAATTGTAAATATAATAATAAGGTTCGACCTGTAAGATAACCAGTTTTTACTAGGTCCTTGTTTTTTCGTAGGTCTTGCTCATCGTCGAAGGGATCGTACCTGAAGGACTGCGAGTTTCATCGTTTCGGTAAGCAATGTACACACTTCTGCGCCAATGTGTTGAGAAGTTGAGGTGGGACGAATAGAATAACAAGTGTCCAACGGTCCAATGGACTAGATGCTCTTCGGTCCGTTACGAATAATCCTTCCTTTTTGGCGGGCGATTTGGGTGGCCTCACTTTGGTTTTTGAGAGCCTCAACACCACCCTCGAGGTTTTCTAACCTTTGCGGTACTGAAAGGTGTTGACTGTCCCTCAAGACCTGACGAACTTTATCGCAAATGACTGGCCACATGCCGACGGACAATTCCATGTTGAGGATGAGGACATAACTCTTGTCTGCCCCGGGATGTCGAACAAGCCCAACACTGAACCCCGTCACGTGTTCCTAGTCCAGTTAGTGGATATTGTACTATTGTTAGGCAGAGCGATATGACTTACCGCGGCCAGGTGAAGACCAGGAGCTTGTAGGGTCGCGTTGTTGAACATGGCGCACCATATGCTCGAATTGGAAACACATCATCATGTGCTCTAGTACCCAAAGCACGAGCACACCGGAACTACACCGGTATGCTCAATGGGCTCCAGCAATCGCGGAGTCCTGATACTTCACCGGTCGACCCGCCTTCCGTAGAATTCTGTATCGACCGTGCACTGGATTCGACCTGGGGGCTCATAGGCGTGGAAGGAGCTTGAACCAAATCGCTGTTCTGCTCTATTGGCAATTGTGGGTTTTTCGACGTCGGTAGCCAAGTTTTTCCATGGTAGTAGCAGGCCGCAGAACACGATCTTATGTAGTGCGCTCGAGTTCGTTTTGTCGGCGCTGAGTCGGAGGAGAGGGATGGGGTAAAACATGGGAAAGCAAGGTCATTGGATCGTAACTTAGGGATGGAAATGGCTTTGAGTCGAGGATTCTTGGATGGAGATCTTGTCAAGTTTCATATCGATCGGCGACGGGATTGGGCGATTGTGAGCCAACTTCCCCTTGTCATATTCATGGTTGCAACGCGGTTGGAACGGCACATTTCATCTCGCCAGTCAACATGTCACAACGCGTTGGTGTTGTCCGAGACAGTTATCCACCTTGCTAGAACCAACCAGAGTTAGTGGACTTTTGCTTCACCTGAAATTCAGACCGTTGGCCAAGGAGTGCCCACCTAGTTTGTCTAGTGGGTGGAACAAGTCGCATAATTGATGGTCTGAAGGTTGAGGAAAGGCCCAGGTCACACTGTGATCACAAGGAAGGTGCGGTTGTCACCTTGAAAACAGGAAAGGTAACGGTGGAGCCCGGACAGATACTCAAGATCTTTACGAACAGAGAATTGGCGATGCTGAGAAGACTTACAGGGCATTGATGATACAGTGGTATTTTATGAAAATGAATTGGCAGAATGTGATTTCTTCAAGAGGCCAATTTCCAGATCCTCGTTGCTATCCATGCACACGACGTCTGCTGTGTTGGTCTATGGGTCCCGAGATATTTGAAGTCTGCAAAGAACATGTCGATGAACCGGCCCACTAGGGCCGCTCCGACCGATTGCCCCACTGACTGTTGGAAGCGTCCCTGGACGCCGGGCCATGTGTGATTTTGTTGAATCGATACTATCCCATAAATCTACTGCTCTGATTCATATACCCTTGAGTTGTATCCACTTCATATCTTCGGAGTTCTAGGGTAGACTGCTCCAATGTCTGGAGCATTGCTGGTATAAAGCACGACTATCTGAAAGATTGGTCCGTATATTTTTTTGATTAGAGATAAACCGGTAGTCGTGATAATGTTCACTTCTAGGACCATTCGCTCTCTGCATACGCTCACGAGGTGCGGCGGATTTGTGAGGGAGCGTGTGGATCATGCACCTTTTCAAACTCCAGTTCGGCCATTTCTTGCAACAGCGCTTGGTGGATGTTTGCCGTAGCAACCTGATGAGTATATCCTTGGCCCATTATGGCCTGAAACGTGGCCATAATGAACCATGGGTCATCCAATATTTGAATGCGGGAGGATACTCGTTCGGTGGCACGCATTCGAAACAATGTGCGGATCTCAAGATGCTCATCCCTAATTGATGGGACCGGGTTACTGATCACCCTTTCTTGCTTGCTCGCACGCTCGCGACGCGCCACGGACTCGAATTTGGGTGAGCACTTCTAGCTCCCCATCAGTCAGGGTTGGGATCGGGCGGGTCGCCACTGATTTCTTGTTAGCCTGGTGTTTCATAGTGGTTGAGAATGCAGCGTCAAAGAGAGAGAGGGGGGGTATCTCACTTCCGTAGGCGATTTAAAAACGTTATTGGGAACAGCAGATTTTGTAATGTAGTGAGGGATGTTTAGCTCGCATCTCGGGATTATTATGATCTTGGATCCGTTCACGCAATACTTTGTGTTTAAAATGTTATTGGGAACATAAGATCATATGGGAAGGGAGGGGGTGTATCTCACTTTCCGTGGCGCTATGTTGATACTGAGAAGGATTCGTGGGATCAAGAAAGTGACAGCGAGATTTAACCTATAAAATGAACAGACTCCGTTAGCTCCTTGCTGTTTTGTGGATCTTGCTTAGCCTGCAAGGGGAGGTGGTGTATGTCACCTTCTGCATATTTGAATTGCGGTCTTGATTTGGAAGATTAACAACGTGGCGGTTAAATCATGGATTGTTGCGCGTTCCTGGGAGTGGCGGGAAGTGCGACCTCGCAGCTCTGTGAGTTGGTCAAGTTGTTCGTTGGTTGGTGTCGAATAGGCTGAGGATCGGTCACTTTGCACTTGTTAGTTTTGTGTGCGAAACACGGTCGGTAATGGGCTTTATCTCACTGTTGCCAGTTGGTTAGAGAAGGCTTGATGGCTGTTAATCTGTAGAACAACCAGTCCCCCAGAACAACCTAGCCGACGATAGCAAGGCGAGAGATTCAAATTGGTGTCCTTCAACCCCAAGAGGAAGCTACGAAATGAGGTTAGTAGGGTTAGGAAAGACTCCGCAGATCGAACATTACCATCTCGCAAACGGTTCCAGCTGTGTGGCAGCCCAGGCAGTCATTCACGTTATCGGCGTTTTGGATGCAGGTGATCTCAAAGTGACGCCAAATACTGCCTCCCTGGACTCCATGGCACCAGTCTTCGATGCTTCGCTGAAGGCAAGGAACACAGAAAAGAAGATGCGTAACAGAATTCGAGAGACGACGCCGGGCATACTGTTGAGAAAGGATGGCTCTCTGCCGAGCGACTTGATTGTCGGAAATAGTGCAGTCAATAATGAGTTTGCTATGCCTGGAAAGTGCTTTTCTTACTTCCTCATTTCGTCGTCTATGTTGTTCATAGTCAAAGTGACTGCCCCTTGGGGATTGTATATAAGGTGAGGCGAGGAGTGTCAATGTTCAAAAAAGAGAAAGAAAGAGTTGGTGAAGAGGAAGTTGGGTGGGCAATTTCCCCCAACCTACGAGATAAACCGCATTTACACGAGGGAGGTGAGGCGTGACTGTCATATTGAGAAAGAAAGACCAAGGCGGGTGAATCATAGGTAACCAATACTTGGGTAGTAACGATGCCCAAACGAACATTCGCAACACTTAGATGCCTTCAAAGCTAAGTTTAAAAGTATGATATAGATATATACGAAGTTATAATCAATGGAAAAGTGGTAATTGATACATGCCTCATATCCAAATGATCGTCAAGGATAAAGTGAATTCGATGATGTCTGGGTGGTATGGGGGATATATAACAAACGCTCAGAAGTACAATGCGAGCCTGATTAATACAGTTGGTCTGTGACCGCCTGCTTTGTTTAAATTTATAAAGACGTTCCCCAGGTGATTTCATAGTACAGCCAAGAGGTTCTTGGGATAGCGGTGACATTTGACAGTAGCAAAGTAGGGTCTATGTAGAGGACTACTCGGGATACCTATCTTTATCCTCTATTATGGACTGTCGACTTGAGTAGAACAGATACCCCCTAGTTTCTCTGCTTCTATAATGTGGCCTTCAATTGCAGGTTTCAGTATTTATTGCAAAGCTCCGAACTGCTTATATAGTACATAGTCATGGACGGTTGAAGTTCAGTCCTTTCTTAGTTTTCGTTGAGATAATCATTGCCTTGCTACTTCCTTCTCATGGTGGTAGTGACGCCTTCCTCGTGCAAATGCGCTTTCTCTCGTAGGAATTATGATTCAAGATTTTCCCTACTCATTATCTCTTCCTTCTTCTTTCTTCTTTCTTTCTTATCGTCGCATTTCGAAATTTCGTGCCACGGTTTGCAAGATACGATACATTTCACGAGGAGCGAGATCTACTATAGAACACGGAGCTAACATCAAGTAGTTGATTCGAAACTTTGACTTAATCACCACCCCTACATTCTCTAATAAGTACGAACTAGTACCGATGTCCTCCCTCCGGTCGATGACCCGTTCTCAGCCACGTATAGACATGAGGCTAACAAGGCGAAAGTGGCGACCAATCGTCGCATCCCTACCCTTAGCGATGGGGAGCTACAGGTGATCACGCAGATCCGAGTCCGAGGGACCGAACGGGCATACGCCCGCAGCCAAATCTTCGAGGAGGGATGTATGATCATCAATATGGTCCAACCCATGATTTTCCCGGCCTACCCCTACCAATCCCGCGGGTAACGTCCTGTATGCATTGGAGGAACGGATACACTTCCTGCTACAGGAATTGTTCGACTAACAATCGGACGAGGAGAACGATCGGGCTGTTATGCGAAGAATCTGGCGTCGTGTTCGTTGATTGCGTGTTGTTGTGCTTCTACCACCCTTCAGGTACTACTAAGGAAAGATGAAGACATACAATGTAATGTTGATGTGATTAGTTTAAATGTTTATAAGCTGCTATAGATGCCGTTGACTCGGTGCATTGTCCTACTGGCGATAGTATCTTATTGCCTCTAGATACTTTGCCCTGAAGCCTGATGATATTGCTTTTCGGCCCGTATGCCGCGGATATCATCGGCGACGACCTGCATTCTCATTTTAAAGCTCTGTAGCGTATCCATACCAGCTGACGGTGATGACTGACATATCGAGGCAAGAATATTTGACTGTGGGTACCGTTTGTAGTCTATAAACCGACGATGTTCGCCATGGGCGTCAATCCCACAGCCGATTCACTGTATGTGAGAACGAGTTTATTAGTGGTGCATCGTAGGGTTGGTCTGCAGGTGTCTTGGATCCATTTATGTTCTTCCTCTTGGACATTGACGGCGTGGTTGGAGGCGACCAATTTCAGGTTAGTGGGCGTGGGGACTTCACCGAAGTGAAATCGACCTCTTAGAGCAGATATGGTTCTCCTCCAGCCAGTACGGTCAACATCTTGCAGTGGGGACCATCCATCCTCTCATCTAGAATCCAAACCACGAAAGGTTCCGGAGGGCATATGTAGGGAGATCAATTTATTCCATCCGAATTCTCGGCCTAGTGTGTCACTCGAATCTGCGGTTGAGATATTGCTCTCCTAGGATGCCGTCGCTGCCCGGAGACTGACGGTTGCTCATGACTAGGTGCCGGGATGAGCCCAGTGCTCGCTGTACTTTTGCTTGTCCGATGTATGCGTGGAACACGGGTCGGAGCGGAGCATCGAGGGGGTATATCTGACTTGTCGACAGTGTGACGGAGATAATCTAGTATCTTTGGACGATATGAGTCTTCAAAAACCTCTAAAGTATCCGGTGCTGGTTAGCCTTGTGTCGCGTCGCGAACCTTGGCCGTGGCGCTCAGAGATCTCACCCGTGGGGGCTGCTGTGTCAAGGTTGACGTAGGAAGGGCGAATATTGGTCAATCTCCACCAATGCTTGCCTGGCCGTGAAGTGTAGATGGACTACGTCAAACTACATTATCACTCAAGAGCAGGAATAAAATACCAACGAGGCTGAAGCTACAGATACGAGAAGAGAATCTCAACGACAATAAGGTTTGCACCAGCAGTGTTCATACTATCCTGGGCAATGTTTTTCAATGGATATTGGATATCTTCTCTCACTAGATCCAGAATTGGTCTTCCATGTTGCCCTAAAGATCCCCTTGGGCTCATGTACCGCGAGAAGTCATTTTGTCACCCCAGGGCCCTTTCGGTTGCGACCCTTCTGTAGCTTGATCGTGGCAGGAGCGTCAGACGGCCCAATCAGCGACGGCGCCTCCAGATTCGGCGTTCAAGGAGCCGATCGTAATCCTCGCGGTACCGAAGAGCTAGCATTTCGTTCAGCAGAATCTGAAAACGCTGCTCGAAAGCCCACAACATGGTATCGTGAGGGAACTCGTTGGTGGCCATGGTGATAGTTGTCTGCACCATTGTCATTACTTGACAGGCCTCCTCAAAGGGTTGAGTGAGGGCGTGTGCTCGTAACGCCCCACGCACTCGTATTTGCATCAGTAATTCAAGCTCCTCATTGCTCAACTCAAGGTGGGGATGGGCCGGGTTTCCACTTATTTCCTATTAGCCTCGTGCTTGTTGAGAACGTAGTGTCGAAAGGGGGGGGGGGGGGGGGGTATCTCACTTTCGTGGGAGTTGTTGGATGGATTAAATTCCTTGTTGTTAGGTAGAGGTTCAGGTTGTAGACTTGGCAGCCTTAATTAGCTTTTTTGTTTTGTCGTACCCCTTGGTTCGATTCTTCGTACCTTCACAGTTTTGGTATGAAAATTGAAGATGAGAAAGTTGCTACAGGAGACCTTAAAAAGTAATTGCTACGAGGAAAAGCGCATTCTTACGAGGAAGGCCCGACTACCACCAGCAGAAGGAAGGAGCAAGGCAACAGTTATGTGAACGAGAAGTGAGAAGAAAGTGAAATATATCGTAACGATGACTATGTATTATGCAGGCAACTGAGAACCATGCAACGAAGATTCAAACATGCAATCCGATCCTCAATATAGAAGCAGGGAAACTCAAGGGGAATTGATTCTACTCAAGTCGACAGTTCTACCGATAGAAGATAGAGATACGTCAAGGAACAACATTGTTAATACCTCAGACTTTATAGGCGACCCTAAACTCTCGTGCTGGAAATCTTTCTATTTTTATTGTGATTTTTGGTGTGATGATCCACTCTGACTACAATTCCCAAGTGTCCTCCCAGATTGCACCGAGGATTACCATCGGCTCCTTGAATGCTGAATCTGGAGGCGCCGCCTTTAACTGGGTCGTTTGATCCTCCTGCCACGAGATAACATGCTGTGGGCCTTAGTGGAGCGGATGTGTGTCCTCTTCCAAGAGATAGCTGATTTGTGCGCCGAAGAGCAGCACGATGATCGTATTGCCGGATGTACTGAATAGGGAGCATCTCCTGGAGGAAAATCTGGATTCGCTCCTCTAACGCCCATATCATGTCATAGGGAGGGAATTGGTTGGAGAGAGCCGCGCCGATAATAGCTTGTGCCATATTGATTATCAGGCAGGCTTCTTCGAAGTGTTGGGCGCGGACATGCGCTCGCGAAGCGCCACCGAGTGGTATTTGAGGCAGCAATTCGAGCTGCTCATCGCTAAGGTTTGGTATAAGCCGGGCTTGCCACCTGTTTCTTGTTAGCTTCGTGTTCCAAAGTGGTTGAAAACGAGGCATCGAGGGGGGGAGGAGTGTATCTCACTTGCGGAGTGATTTTGTATGACTCCGTGGTATTCGGACGAGTAAAAGCTGTGAACTCGCCAGTCTCTGTTACCCTTTTACTTAATCGTAGATCTCCCTAATCGTTATAGGCCTGTTCTATTATGGCCTGAAGCAGATCCATAATGAAGGACGCCTCGTCCAATATATGGATGCGAGTGGAGGCTCGCTCTGTGGCGCGGATCCGACCCAGCGTGATCATCTATAGCTGCTAATCTCTAATGGATGGAATTGGGTTGTTCGTGGCCACTTCTTTATTGTCGGTTTTGTGGTTAAAGGATCATACCTGTGAATGGGTTGGTACGAAAATCAAAATGCGAGAATGAGGTAAAAGAAAGAAGAAATACTTACTAGAGAGGATCTCAACTTGCAATTAGTTTGATAGAAAGCTCGTTTTTTACGAGGAAGGCCCGACTATCACCACAAGAAGGAAGGAGCAAGGAAAGTGAACCCAACCATTCATTGCATGGTCGTGATACATATAGCACCTCCAGCAGCTTCATATATTCAAAGTCAAGCGTACTGATACAATATGTATAGAGTAATTCAGAATTGAGGGTAAAATTATATTTGAGAAAGGGCTAGTAAAGGATAGTCTCAAGGGGAAGTAATAACGAAGTGAAATTTAACAATCAATATGTAGTCAGGTGATGACGCTGCAATAAATATTCAAACATGCAATGGAAGCCTTTATTCTAAGGCTAACTGCTGTCGATAAGCTAGTGTCTTCTAGCGGCAAGGAAACTGAAGGGGAATTGATTCTACTCACGTCGAAAGTTCTACTGATAGAGGACAAAGATACATCAATGAACGTAGGATGGCCTAGTATTGTAGTAATAGCCCGGGGCGTACGGGGAATGACCATGTAGAAGTTTGAGGTGAAAAATCGGAGGGATTTGAGAATAGCTGCTCAAACAGTATTGTTAGGACCTAATGGTCTCCAGGCTCCTGTCAACTATCTTGTTAGAGATACTGGTCTTGTGATTGTGGTTGTTAGTAACGAACCTGTCTAGAACTGCCATCTAGGGTTCCCATGTGGCCTCCCAGATTGCCTCAGCGATCCGGCCATCATGAACATCTTCAACCCCCAGATCGATCATTTCTTGCGCAAGAGCGTCCATTCGCTGCTCGAGACCCTGTAGGATGGTTCCCGTCGGGAGCTGCTGAATATGTGTCTGTCCCATTATGGCCTCAGCCAGGTCCATAATAAACGCCGCCTCCTCCAGTATCTGGATGTTCTGCATTGAAAAATGTTTGATCGTCTTCATTCATGTTCTTTCTATACATAGGCCTATGGTAGGGCGATTCCTTTCCCCGTGGGTTCCATTTCAATCTCAGAGTTGGCGGAGGTGTGTCTAATTAGCTCGTGTCACCGCGCGTTCGGCTTCCTCCTCGGCACGAATGATAAGCATATGTTGTAGAAGTCTCTGCATCCGCTCCTCTAGTTCGTAGAGGTGTGTGAGGGAGCATCGGTAAGGATAACCCCGGGTTATGAAGATTTCTGAGGAATCTATAATGCGGGATGCCTCCCGAAAGATTCTGTGGCAGGTAGATCTTCGTGACTGCGGGACTCGCAACAATGTGAGCAACTCCAGCTGCTCATTCGTAAAGGACGGAATAGGGCGATTCTCGGCCACTTCCCCTCGGTCAGCTTTGTGTTTGAAATATATTTGAATGGAAGTAGTTGGGGGCCTCTAAGAAGGTTCAAATATGCAATCTGAGCCTGAGGTAAAATATTTTTGTTACAGCCTAGCCCATCCGAATATATCGTCACGTTGGACGCGTGTACTGGCTGTACGAGATATACCTTTAGCATCTACTGGTCATTTGCTACCTCGAGGCGGCGTTGTTCCGCCACTTCTCACTTGGAGATTTACATTTAGATTTTGGGTAGAAAGGGAGCATGGAAGAACGTGACATCGTCTACCATTATCTCTTTTCGTCTTCCTGTCATGATCGAAGGATGGCAAGATAGGCCCCTTCCTCTGCTGCCTGTAAGCTGAACATGACGGTAATGAGAGACTGCATCCTTCCTTCAAGAGTCCATAGTACATGGACATCGGGAGACTGGCCATTGTGGGCGTACTGGCGTATTATAATCTGAACGGACTGCATAGTTCCACATGCCTCCTGGAAGACTCTTTCACGAGCGCATCCGAGCTCATCCCAACAGACTCGGAGCTGCGTAAGCAGCTCAAGCTGATCATCGCTGGGGGACGCCACTTTTTCCTTGCCGGGATTGTGTTCAATGAGCGGTTCCAAACGAGGTATTGATGGGAAGGGATGTGCCTCACTGCTGTCTGGAGTGTACGGTACGTCGTGCTTGGGCGCGTGTAAGAGCATCTGAAATGGTGAATCTGAAGGATAACCAGTCTGTGTCAGCTATGTAACTCAGCGTCCCGCCTCGTCGCAGATCTTTCTCATAGGCCATACCTGGGTACTTCGTGGGGTTGTAGGGTGTAGGTTGGGGTTGGGTGAGAACTGCAAAATTTTCGATGAAAGAAGGCAGAACATTTATTATAGAGGTCCATTTGCAATTTGTCAAGAGAAAGGGTTTTTTTCACGAGGAAGGAGCAATCGCCACTTATCACCTTCGAAAGGAAAGAGCAAGGTGACCTCGGGAGGCCTTAAGTTGCCCTAATACCGGTAGTCAACACTCCCATTCCTATAAAAGCATGCATAGTGATAATATAGAGAGTAAGCCATAAGTGGTCCTAAAATGAGCTTTTGATATGGGGTGGGTTGAAGAATACTGTCAATGAAAAATAAGAGCCAGGTGAGATTTGTGATGCCAACGTTCAAGATATTGTGTTGGATCCAACGGGTTTTATTAGCTGCTGTCAATATGTAGGTGGATGGCCGACTTATCAACCTCTATTATCATAGGAGATGTGGAAAGGATTGCACCCATCCATATATGCATCTAACTACATCTGCCTGATTGATTATGGCAAACCGTGGCGGACGTTCAAACGGCCCTATTACCGCTGCCGTAAGACCACAAGAATACCCTAGCACAAACTCGATCACCTTCCTCGTCGACTGTCGTTAGGTTGAAAAAGGAAGCCAACGAACGTAAGACGTAAAATTTGAAAATACGAAGGTGAGAAGACAGTATTACACTTATAGATAAATGTTCGTAAATCGTCCACACTGATTACATGTAATAGGTCAATCGCTATAGTAGCTAAATAAAGGTGTAGACAATTGTAGAGGCGATATCGTTGGACATGCTTATTCTTCAAGTTCGTCGTCGGGGGATGGGTAGATTCTTCGGCCGATGTTTTGGCTTGTTCTGCCCTGGTTGTCTCGATGTGCTCGATGATGCGAGGGCTGTTTCAAAACACACCTTTTCGTAAAGATTCCTGTTGTTAAGACTCATTGAAATTAAGGTGACATAGTATTGGGTATGTATATATTCGGTTGTGAAATGGGAGTAGGGCTCATTTTCTGTTTTCTTCCAAATAGTTTCATTCAAGTAACCAGTCAATCGCATGATTGACAAGAGCCTCGCTGGTCACTTCTTGATCATGTAGCAAATTGGAAATATCACCCACCTCAGAATCAGGCTCCACATTGTTGACATGGTTAGACGTATGAAGTTCTGCACACATACTGCGCGCTGTGGGACTATCTGGACCCAAACCAGAGGGCTGCAATGTGGATGTTTGGCGCTCGGAGAGGTAGGAAGTGTGCTCGATCAGAAAGCGGGCCATCCAATTATCTAGCACAAATGCGTCTGATACAGAGTCTCGGCAAGAACTCTGGAAGTCTCGCAGGCGTGCCACCTATTAATGTGGTCAGTCGTATTTCCATAGAACCAACTTGAAATGTAAGACCTACAGAGCGGTCCACCACGGGCCAATATGATTTGACATGCATTAAGTATTTGAAGTTTAAGAGTAGCCATTGTCGTGCCACGTAAAGCGAGTCAGAGTTATCACTGAAGAGCAGCGTATGAAGGTGGACACATGAGCTGATCACAGCTATATGCCCGTAGATGTAACAGTTCAAATCGCAATCTTCGATGTCTGTGCTATGCCGTAAAATTCCGGAGATTATATTTGCACTTTGTTTGCATTGGGCGGCATTCTTTGCAAGGTTTCCAGTATATTGCTCCCTGCGTGCATCGAGAAAAGGAAAGAAGAGCATTTGGCGAAAGTGGTGGTAGCCGATATGCATTGCCAGGAAAGTCCGACCCAGCCGTTGCTTGACAGAGGACATGACGTTTTCCGTGGTATACCGTAGAGTCAGGGGCAGACTTTCCTCCCATTGATCAAGACGGCCTTCCAGTACAGCCGCCTCCTGGCAATAATCATCGAACGGAATCAGGCCTTGGCTCATCCGTCGCAGGAGCACACTGGTCTTGTTAAATATGTCGAGGGTCTTTGCCATAAAAGCCCACATATTGTACGGGGATGGAGGCGAACGATATGTTCTTTGTAGCAGGTCTGGATCGAGACTCTGGAAAGCCATATCATCGAGTTCGAGAAGATCGACTTGTAGGCCGTGATTCAACGATACAGGTTCGATTGATATATCTATTGCCGACCAAGCGCTGCCAATATTCACGGAAAGCCAGGTGCGACGATGTTCCTCTTGAGAGAGGGGGCTGCCATCCCTGGGCACATCCCAGAACGACAAGGTTTCGGCGTGTAACCTAGCCAGACCGATATAGACATGCTTTGCTTTGGGATCACCTTCCCCACCATAGTAGTAGCCGATCAGGATCAAACCTTGCATTGATTCTAGGCTTGGGATGATGATAGACTGTTGAGCGAGACGCACAGCTTCGGAGACGTAAATTTTTCCCCGCGAGCCACGAGCTATACCATGGAAGACGGGGTTGTCGGAAAACCTAGCAGCGAGTGCACACATGGCATAAACATGCATCATAGATGCTGTCCCCTCATTGAACTGGTGCATAAAGCTTGCTTCGTGGATCATGGTGTGAATGACATTGTGGATAAAGCGAAAGTATAGGAGAACCAGATCGTGGAAGACCTCCCGAGTGTTTCGCATTGTCGTCCCTTGGGAAGCGCTCGACGGGCTAGAGACAACATAAGGATCATCGAGACCGCATGGAATGGAGAGAGACTGGCATAGTTCACAACCATGCCCATCACCTATTGGACTGCACCGTCTTTTGCGCACGCTGAAATCTTATATTTAACATCACGTCAATTGTAGATGAGACAGAACCTACCGGCAGTTAACGCAGGCTGCAGCTCTTGCCCTCTTGGGATGGCTTCGAACCATAATGTCAGAGATATAAAAAGTGCACCTGTACACCAGTCAGGCCCTCGGCTGTCACAGGGTGCCATACTGGAAGTGGTTGGGAGCTAGGCGGTCAGGAGTGGCGGTGCAATGCAAGCCACCTCACCTCCAGGGCTGGCCCCCCTGGGGCACAGTCCGCTGACTAATACCTTCCTGCTCCCCGGGGCCATCCAAGGATGGATAGACCAGCGGATTCAATTTACCTTGGAAACCGACCAACTACCCCAACCGGCACCCGTTACAACCGGCAAAGTAAAAGAATGTTGATACGTGTGTGGAGGTGAGTAGTAGGCTCTATACATCACTTATTTTCACTTTTGCGGTTATTGAATTGAATCCAGAGGTTGTAGATATATATTTTGGGAGAGTGCCTCCATGATTGACGCGTTTCCAGCCCCATCTCCATTCAGATCATCACTACTGGATCTCCATGCCCACAGTCACCCGTGCGAAGATTCACCTTAGGTATCTGCTCTACAATATCCTACAGGTCTCTTCCCAACCATAATAAGAACGATGTGAGGCTCCATATAGACCGTCTCGAAGTCAAGGAAGCATGCTACCCCTTGGTACCACTCTTTCCACTATCACCAGTTTGACTATAATACTTCCACCAAACCATCAGCTTTTGAGGAGCTATTACTATGCCGGCGATTTGCATACACGATGGTTGTTAGACTTCACAAGTCGCAGTATTAGGAGACTTTCTTCAACCAAGTGAGGTCATGGATATTTCTTCTCGGTGATGTTTTCCGCATGAAGGAAGAACTCGACATTGCATGGATTGGACTCTCACTCAGACATTATCCTATGAAATGATTCCCTATCTTGAACAATTCGGTCTATCACTTGCTTGTATCCTCCACCATGACCACTTCAGTTGCCCTTTTCTCACTCTCAACGCCCATAGGTGCTTCATCACCGAACAAGGAATCCATTTGTTCCAGAGTCTTGCCCTGTGTCTCAGAGAAGAAGAAGATGTAACAAAGCATAGCAATCAAGTTGAAGACGAAGAACACATAGAAGTACCGGAAGCCAATTGAAGACAAGGCAATTGGCGAAACCTGAGCGAACACGAGGTTGACAGTCCAGTTGGTGAATGTGGTGATCGAATTACCCTGGTTACGAATATCGACGGGGAAGATCTCAGCTGGATAGACCCAAGAAATGATACCGACAAAGGTATAGAAGAAACTGAACACAAAGTTCATAGCCACCATAGCCCGAAGCTGATTCTGGTTGCCCTCGTCCCAGTGCTGAGACATGGCAGCATTGCAGACAAGCGCGCCAGCCATTCCAGCAGCGGAGAAAATGAGAGGCTTAATACGGCCCACGCGCTCTAGTGCCCATAGACCTCCAGTACAGTAGACAATGGACAGCGCACCGGATATTCCGATGATCATGAGAGACATTTGTGTGTCAAATCCTAGCGTTGCATATATGCGAGTTCCGTAGTAGTTGATGACGTTGATTCCGGACAAGACACCGAAGGCCTGCACGCCACAGCCGAGGATGAGACGACGCCTCCAAGAGGGCTTCCGCAGGATCGAGGTCCAGGTGGCCTTTGTCTGCAGGCGCTCGGCCTGGATGGTGTCGCGGATCTCCTGGAACTCGAGATCGATGTACTGCGCTGTCTCTAGTGTACCGTCACCGTGTAGGTTTTGCAGTGAGGCAAGGGCTTCCTCGTGGCGATCCATCTCCATCAACCAACGTGGGGACTCGTTCAAGAAGAAGATTCCGCTGACTAGGACTAGACCAGGGAGACACTGGAAAGCAAGAGGAAAGCGCCCTAGAGAAAACATATCAGAATAAAAGGAACAAAACATGTGCGGTAAAATCGAGTTAGACTAGAGCCCAAGATTAAAAGAGTCCACTTACACTGAAAGGAAGTTTCATTGAAAGAACATCCATATCCCAGCCACTGAGCAACAAGATATCCCCAACTTAACATCCACTGCAACAGACCAGACATCATACCACGGGAAGGAGACTCGGCGATCTCACTAGCATACATAGGGACAACAGAGGTAAGCATGCCAACCGCAACGCCGGCAATGAGGCGGCCAAGGATGAGCATGGTCATATTGACAGCGCCAGCCTGCAAGGCACACCCAAAGCAGGATATACAAGCGCCAGCGAAGACAGATCGCTTCCGGCCCAGCCGGTCACCAGTGAAGATGTTGATGATTGTGCCCAAAATGGCGCCGCCCTGGAATGCAGAGACGATACCGCCGGTTACGGTGTCGCTAGGATGAGAGAAGTATTTGATGAATTCGGTTTGGCCGATGGTCGATGTGATGATACCACTGTCATAACCGAACAGGAAGCCTAATGGATAGTGTTAATGCGTAGCTTCTTTCCATGGAACTATGCCGATGTGCAATGCTTACCTCCAGTGGCCAGGAACACGGCGGTCAACAAAGTCTTGAATTTAGCCATTTTGTCGGCGGTGGTGGAAATCTTGACTTTGGGATAGATATCAGGCAAAAGATGGCACACTTCGCAAAGACTCTAGGGATATACCCCGTGGGGATACCCGGGGAATATTATATAGACATCGAAGAGGACCGGGATAGCGAAGCGACGATGGAACTAGGTCAGAAAGGATCTAGTCTTCTTTTGTTGCCGTCTGTTACTTTTGAAGAGCCGGGGTAGCGCTTGGGGGGCTTTCCGGCTTCGCCACCCATAGGGCAAGAGGAAATTTCCAAAAAGAAAAGCACAGACCTTCGGTGTGACCTTACCCGAAAGATTTAGCCATGCTAGCTGAATTAGTTCGTGACAAAGGCTAGTACTAGTTCCCTGCGGGTCTCGGTGGCCGCGTGTTCCCCCACCAGGGGGGCAGAGTATAGAGAGCGACCTGACGGGGAAAATTGTTTGGTGGGTGAGGAGTTTCGGGTGTTTGAGGAAGGCAGGATTGAAAAGTTAGAATATAGCTCGGTATGTCTTTAGAAGTAAAGGTTTATAATTCTATTACCTATAGGTGAATGAATATAGTGTACAGTCCATGGCTGAGCTCCAACTCTCTCCCGTCGATGGATTTCAATTCCTCTTTTGCATATCCAACCTCAGCGTGTTTCATATCCAGCGGGAGCTTCACAGTACCAGTAGTCCCAAATGGCACCCGAAGGTCCAATTTCACCGAAATACCTTTAGTGCGCGTGAACTCAATCCAAATCAAACCATAGGGAGAATCGACAGATCCCTCAACATGGTCGAATTCAGACTCGTAAGGAGGATCAACCTCAAAAGTCCGGTATGACTGTGAAACAGGTTTCAACCCAAGCACAGCAGCGTAGAACCATTCGTAGATTGTGCCCAGCATGTCGTGGCACTTGCTACGGCATTCATCCTGCCAGAACTCCAGGAGCGTCGTCTCTCCACGGCGTAGAAAACGCATGTATGATGGGTGCTCCTCCTGTCTCACCATTTGCAAAACGAGATCCGGTCGCTTGGCATCAGCCAGCGTGTTGAAAAGGAAGCGTAGCCCGATTTCACCAGCACGGATCTTGCCATCGGCTACATCGTCGAGGAAAGCGGCCGTTACGTCGCTGTGGAGCTTGGCGGGCACGAGACCAAACTGCAAGGCCATTGCTTGGGCGATTGCGTCGCAGTCCCTTTCTGGATAGTTGTCGAGCGATGTGTAATAGGCATAGGGGCGCGACGGGTCATCTGTCACGAGGAGGTGGTGATTGTAGATGTCATAGATGCGAGAAGACCACTCCTTGAACTTCTGGGCTTCTTCGACCTTGCCTAGCTCGCATGCCATCATCTCAACGCATTGGAGGCAGCGGTAGTAGACCGCTGTCTCGATATTTGCTTGGTTGTTGCCGAAGGCAATACCCCGACCCCAGTCGCCGAGTCCGTGCTCAATCAGTCCACCCTTGCGCTCTTTGGTACGCATGTATTCCATATATCGAACTGCAGCGGGGTACACCTTGGAGATGACATGTGTGGACCCGTAGTATTGTCGAAGGATATCCGGAAGCAGACAAAGTGCACAGCCCCAGGTGATGGTGTCATGTAGAGGACCACACATGTAGCGTATTTCCGGTGCCATTGTTGGCACGAGACCACTGGGCTCCTGGCTATCCAGGATGTCATCAAGGATCTTGGTATACAAGCTCTCCATGTCGCGAATGTATTGTGTAGCGGGAGCGAGAAGATGAGTGACTTCAAGCCAACCAAACTTCTCGATCTGTGGGCAATCTGTGTGATAACTGAAAAGGTTGCTGCTAAATGACCAATGGAGGGCACTCAGTAATGAGTTGACATCGGCTTTGTCAGTTGTCATATATCCGAGCCTTCTAGCCGCCGAGGAGATATGGCGACCAACGGCAGAATGAATGACCGGCAATCCGTCGCCTGCATCCAAAGATACACCCTCTACCTGAATGTATCTGGCACTCGTGAAACTGAAGTCTGGCTCCCATATCTCAGGCTGGCCATTACCAGACAGGAAGATTCTGGAAAAGACGCCTGTTTCGAACTCCTTGAATAGAGGATCGGGCATCAAAACGGTGCCATCTTCTCTGACACTCTCAGAGTATCGAACAATAATCTCTGAGCCTGCCACGCCTTCGACAGCGATTTTGACCATGGTAGACGCATTCTGACCCAGGTCATAACAAACAACCCCCTTCTTTGGGCTATGGATCATCACTGGTTCGAATGTTTCATGCAACACAACGGGGGGCTGGGTCTGGTAATAAATGTGACCTCTAGGGCCCGTCAGGGGTTTTGCTGCCGCCCATTCGGTATCATCGAAATCAGCAGAGTCCCAGCCTGAAGGGTAGAGACGTCGATCGTGGTTCTCGGAGGCGTAGATGTTAGCCAGTGTGGTGGCGCTCTTGCTCACTTTCCAAGATGCATCGGAGATGAGAACAGTGCGCTCGCCGCCCTCGTAGAAAAGGTGCAATTCACCAAAGAAGCAAAGCTCATTCCCGTACCGGACGTATGTGTTATCTTCGTACATAGGCCAGAAGAAGCGATCATCACCACCTTTGTCTCCAGCGTAGAATCCGTTACCCAGATGAACACCCAGGGTATTCCGCCCTGTATCAAGATGGTCTGACACATCATAGGAGGTAAACTGGACACGGCGGTGGTAATTGGTCCAGCCTGGATCAAGGCGATGGTCAGAAGCAGGCTGGCCATTAACCGACATATTGAAATGGCCGAGTCCCGATGCGAACAAGATAGCCCGAACTGGCCTTCGGGTCAACTCAAATGACTTCCTGAGATAAATGGGCTTGTCGCCTCCATCACCAATCCAAACCGCTTTCCAACGATTTGCCTCATTTTCAAACCAAGACTTGAAAATTAGACTGGTGTGAGGCATATATGTCTGGTTCATACTGTACGGCGGCAGAAGATGAGATCGTGGATAGGCTGTGAAGAAGTGGTTTATTGAGCTATGGTGGGCAGTGTTGGTTTCATCCCACACTGTGATTCTCCAGAAGTGGCTGGAAGTAGACTGGAAACCGTTGGAGGGCTTGCAGATGATATTTCTTTGTTCATTGCTCTCGATGCGCTGGGAGTCCCAGACTAGCTTGGAGATATCCGAGCTGTCTGATTCGAGATCTGTGGCATCGGTTGTCACTACAATGCGATAGAATGTTTGAGTGGCATCTGGGTCGTCGCTCTCAATTGCCCAGAAGAAGCGGATCTCATCAGTGTCGATTCCGAGCACTTCGTGGAAACCATGAATGCCACAGCGAGAAATTTGCATGGTGTCTTATGGCTTCTGGGAATGGAAGCGAGTGAACACAATTTCAACGGTCAATATCGAAATGTTCAAAACCATCGACGGAGGGTCTACAAGTTTCAAAATGCGAGGACTGGCTGGAACAATCGGAATATCCGCGGTCGCGAAATGAGGCAATACTCGGTGTGATATATACCGAGGAACCCCGCAAATACTGCTCAACCAGATGAGACAGTCCCATGCAGTCCCATGGGGAGAAAAGGACCGAGCCAAGTGGAGTCATGTCGGCGGCGATCTTCCAATCAGAGGTCGGAAACGCCGCCGGAGTGGGGTAGCCTTATTAACCTTATACATTGGCCAGGTGGATCCCGAACGCTAGTGCGGCCGAGCTAGGAAAGTGTCGGTATTCGGCGAGCTCTCGGGCTGCAATCTCGGCAGCCACTTTCTTTTGGGTAACTATTGAGAAATTACAGGTATTCTAGGCGAGGAGCCTATTACTGAGATCCGTGGGAAGGAATATATCTTAGCTTGAAATCTGGTAGATCGAGCAAGATTAATCGGAATGCTCGGTCTCAATATGTCAACCGGTTTGTACATTGCAAATTGAATTAAAGAGGCATTTTTCTTCCTCGATTATTCTCACATATGGCTTCTTGGGTTAGCCATATAGTTCGGTCAGAGTATTGTCGGTGGTCGTCCCGGGGTGGCATTCATCTTCATCTACTCACCGTTGTATGCCGCATTTTTCAACTCCACTTTATACACAGTGGGCTCAGATACCTTCCATCAGCATCTCCACGATTATGGGGCTGGGTTCGTAATAGTTTCTCAACGCCTCTTCAGCATTTGAACGGGGCAAGTTACATACAGCCTGCGCATTTGATGAGATTAGTCGCAACTCATGATATCTATATAGGTATTCAACAGGCCCACAACAAACATTCACAAATCCAATGTGACTGTAAGAGTCCTAGGGGCAACATAGTGACAGGAGAATGTAGAACCTGAAGGGAAGTTCATTCCGCGCTAGGTCAAAGTAGAGAACTCCCCAATATCAAAGGTTTGACCAATGAAGGATAAAGCTACATAACTAAATTCAATTCCACCAATGTCGAGTTGATATTATGCTTGATTCAAGTTTTAACAGGTGAGTGTAGGTTTCTCCCTCATCTTCATCCGAATTGTCGCTTTATTGATCTGGTTACTAGGGAGCAGAGAGAGAGAGAGAGAGAAGAAGGATTGATTCTCTACAGACAAACAGAGAGCTACCTATGTAGCTGGATGAAAGCTGCAAACGGGGCTAACAGCGCGTCCATCCCAACACGTATCTCACGTTCCGCCAGATTTGCGATTCCCAGCGTGAATACCATGTTCATCGATGTGGTTCCGTGCAAGGACATAAATGGACTCGCAAAGGAGAACAAGGCTTCGGCCAAGCTGAGCAAAGGTGTTTCCAGGGAGGACCCAGTTCTGCACGAAGCCGTCAAAGTTTGGACGCGTGGGATCGTAGGATCCCCAGAACAAACCGATCCACGCGACCAAGGGAAACAACTCGTACCGATGCCCTTCAGTTCCAATGGGAACCTATGGAATGGACCTATGGTTAGCAGAAAGGGAGTCCTAACGAAATATGGGAGTCCACGATACCTGCTCGCATAGCCATGATGCGGAGTAACAACCCTGACAATCGTTAGAGTTACCAGAGTCCTGGACGCAGTTAAATCTGAAGCGACGCCAGAAACAGTGACTGAATGTGGAGGTGTGCGAGAATATGGAAAAGGAAGAAGAAAAAAGTATCGTGAATCTTAAATACCAATTGTTACCAGATATCGTACCTCCACGAAGAAGGAGCAACCGCGACCGTCACCCGAATGAGGAAAGACCAAGGCTTGTGGTGAATCCCAGACAATGCTTGCGGAGTAAATATAGCTACAAACCAACGTTCTCATCATCTTGATTTCTTTAAATATAGGTATAATGATCGAATATATAAAAAGTAAGCCATGATTGAAAGCAAAATGATATGTGATGCATGGCTGGTTAAAGCATGATCGTAATGAAAAGTAAAGTAAAGTGAAATTTGATGATATTCGCCACCTAGACCTAGTCTGGGTTTATATACCAAACATTGACAAATGAAACGTGACCTCATATGGGGCCTCAGGGGAAACAGAAGGACATTGCGCAACGGAAAAATTGAATAAAAAGTCATTCCGCTCTACATCGGCGTATAGAACTAGCTAAGTACAGTCAAAGTTATACTAATGAAAAAAGAGACATAATTACTTTGATATTCAGTGCTTGTGTTCTGTGACAACCTGTGGGTTGCCGAACATGGATCAAACAAAAGTACAGAGGTCCACAAGAGCGGGCGATCACTTCGTCGGCAGCAGTGAGTGATTCAAATCATCTGTACTTGTTTATTCCACCATGTTCACCAGAGCAAGGAATCAGCCCGTGTTGGCCTTGAGTTGTGTATACGAACGATCTAACCGTCAAAGACGATACTGGAACGTGAGAAAACCAACAGTCGCCCCTGCATTGGATGGCTACCGGAGAAGGGTGAAGTGGCTCAACTCCAGCCTGACACCGTATCCATTCAGTATCATCTTGTTGTTGCATCGAGGCCTCACTTTTCGGCAATTTATTTGTGCCAAGTCTGACTTATCACTGATGTAGCCTGTTCCTGCGGTGCTATTATTGACATTTGATGCTAGTGATACAGGGTCAATAATGATACAGGGTTAATAAAAAACCTCCTATAGGTGGTTGGATCATTCTTATTATTATGCGGATCATACATAATAATACGAATACATAAACGCACTGCGGCTCAACTATACATCCACCAGAAGAGTAGTTTGTTCTAGGGAATACAATGAATATGACTCCCAAATTCACATCATGGTGCGATTCCTCTGAAGTTTGCTCGTTCCATGCGGAATCACCCGAGGCATTGATATAGGATCAAAGTCTATGGGCAATCCTCCCCCTCATTTGCAGTAGGGACTGTCACTAGCTGCTCCCTTTCTATAGTTGCTCCAAAAGATATCAAATTTTGGCATATTACTCTGGTAGAACTAGACTGGATTATCTAGAATTTTGACTGTCTATATCACAGTCGATCGGGACAGCTTCCTCATTCGGTTCAATCGGGCCACAGGAGGTATAGGACAACGTAGCCCGATTTTGTGGTAACCCAGCCAACATTTTATTTTTGGAACCCACGGACCCGGTCAATACAAGTATGAATGTAGGCCGAGTTCCATTAACACGGCCTCTGATACCAACGAAACGACTATGAATATCCTAACCTTTCGCGAGAATCCATAATTCCTTGTTCAGTTGCTCCCGGAAGCTTTGGCCTTCCTCGGATTCACCTGCTATTTAGGTGATCAACTCTTTGGGCATCTTCAATACAGTTATAGGGATAAGAGGTGTAGCCAGTGCACTAAGAAGGTTGGTCTCGATCAGCTCCGTGGCGATGGTATCACAAAGCGCTTCAACGTAACCCAATTTGGCATTAATATAACTTGAGACTAAGACGAATTATGTCTGAGCTTAAGCTCCTGCTGAGGCAATTTAAATACATCAAGCATGAATCAAGTACGAAGGAAGTTTGCACAAGATAAGATATTGAAAGTAGTCAATAGATCCTTTTCAGCACACAGTGATGAATAGGCCAATACTAAAGGCAGGTTAGGACTGAGTTCCGAAGCATAAATAGAGTAAGTAACTTACGGAGAGGGATTGAAATCTTCAAAGAATTCAAGGTTAGTACTGCCAGCATTCTTCATCTCGAAGGCTACCGTTTGGCCAGCAGGGCACGAAAAGGTCGAGATAACAAACGAATTACCAGGTGAAACAGTTATATCACCTAAGTTCTTGGAAACAGATGGAGCATTATTAAAGGTAGTTGAGGTGGTAGCCGCCTTGGATAGCTCATCAACCTCAACTTTACCATCGCCGGTAAAGTTGAACGACGATGTTTGGAGATCGGCCTGCTTGGGGAACAGGAAAACAAGACTGCACATCCTGCCAGAGTCAGACTGGGGAATGTCGAAGTTGAATATGGTTGAGATGTCCGAGGACACCACACCGTTGAACTTGGTCCCTCCAGCAGTGTCAGGGGAGCTTGAGTCAATAGGGACGATCAAGTGCGGGAATTCGAAATTGCCTGCCGTCAGTGTGGTGGGACAGTTATTACTTGCTGAAGAGGTAGATGACCCAGAGGCAGAGACGGAGGTAGCAGAGGCAGAGCCGGAGGTAGCAGAGGCAGAGCTGGAGGTAGTAGAGGTAGAGCTGGAGGTAGAGGTAAAGCATGAGTCGGCCTTCAGTTCGACATTGGAACACATGCCCAGGTCGAAGGGTTCGGCGGTGTGGATGTTCTCACCACCGTTCTGGCCAGTTTGACAGGCGATGAATGTAGAGCTTCCGTTAAACACTAGCAAACCAGAAGAGTTGATAGAGAATCCCGGGGTAGGAGTGGCACCTGTGTCACACTGGAACTGGGTGGTTGGTGCTGGAGTATGAATTAGCTTGCATTCCCAATTCCATTCGATATGTAAGTGCTACTTACGAGTGAGAATGCAGCCACGCCCGTTGCCATCGGTGATAGAGCCGTCGGGGGTAATACAAAACTCCGCAGCAGTCAGACTATTGTCGCCAATTCGATTCTGACCGTCGCTAAGTTGGCCGACAGGGGAGCCGTTGGGGGCCGTAAGGTGGAAACAGCAGCTACTAGTGCGGCCGATAATGGCATCAGCACCGGCTGCAAAAGCTGCAAAAGTGACAAAGGCCTTCATGGTAGTAATCGAGAGTAGAAAAGCTGAAGAACGACAGGGAGAAAATGTTTGCGGGACTGGGGATGACTCAGGTTCTGGAAAGATTAGAGACGAATTTGAGAAGCATTTCTTCACCTGCAGTAGAGATATATCGTTCTTATAATCGAAGACTACATATAATTCCTTGTCACCGAGAAAAGATAATCACAGGACTGACTAGCCATGTAGATGCAGGAATATCGTAGACATCATCATTCTGAATTGGGCCTCATATGACTTCGTATTCCTAGAACGGGAGCATTCTGGTTGACCATGACCGTGGATTCTCCTGACCTAGCATTTACTGAATCAGGGCAATAGCCTAACTGGTTCGAGTGGCAACGATTAATTCCCTGTCCCAGACTCCGATTACATTCTCCGAGCTTAAATCATGGTTGACTAAATCGGGAACGAGTTTGTGTGTGGCATTTCAGTTCCAGTTAATATGAAAGGAGTCAAGACCCTGATAGTGGATATTTGTAAACTTGGAAAGGCTTTATCCTCCGTGGATTCCCGGGGCTATCACCCTCACACTACTGATGATTCTCTGGCTGAGATTAGGAAGGTATCCTGTAGACGTTTGATAAAAATTGAGGATTTGTGGTAAAGGGAATAGGTGCTAACCCATGTGAACACTCACATTACAATAGTGGGGGTGCGAAACAAATCTCCTTGGTTAATGAAAAGTCAATTCCAACGAGATACAACAGGAGTGGGCGAGGTCTTCAAAAGCTAGAACTGAATGTGATGATTCAACAATTTGTTGGTGGCGGTTTATAAAAATAACCAGCCAAGAGAAATCGGTCGCTATTTTTAGCCACTTGGTGTGGAACCATCACTGTGCGGATTTCTGGTACGAACCATCTACCCGTGATCTCAACGTCTTTTTGCCATTCCAAATATAGACTCTCCGATGGCTTCTAATCAGCCAAAGTCTAATTCTTTAAGGATAATTGAATTTTGTAGTCCACATCATAACCATGGATGCATATTTCCAACCGTGGAATTTTTCAACTATGCAAAGTACCCAGGCGGCATTGGTGTCATTACCACCTATTACCATTCGGGCCTGGTTTTGACCGCGTTTAAAAGAGCTAGTGAATAATTACCTCAACTGTTAACGCTCGACCTCACCTGATGCTCACCCCGAATTATTCAAGGTTATGCGGAAATGAGCAACAGATGAAGTCTCGAAAAAAGTAACTGCAAAAACTGCATTCTAATGGTAGTTTGCAAGTGTACTTTTGATGCATTGGATACTATACTTCAAGTAGAAATCATTGAAGTTTTAACGTGAATCTATTGTGACTGCAAACTATTCGAAGAGTGGGAATGCAGATAAATTGATTCCAAGTATTGCTATCAGCTCACGTTGAAAGAAGCCATCTCACATTGTATCACGAGTCGTATGTATGATCCCTATCCGAAAAAATACATCTTCCAGCTCTGTTTCCAGGGCTTCCAAGTCCCCCCAAAGCGATGGTTCACGCAAGCATCGGCACTACCAAACCCTTCGGATTGGCTGTGTCTCTGTCCATTGCCCCACACACTGACAGGAAGAATGCACAGCCCACCCAGTTGTTTTCCTTGTTTCGCTTCGGAGCCCTTGACACAGCGAGGCGATCTGAGCCGATGAAAGGGTGCCCATGTCACGCGTAACGCGGGGAAATGAGAACTCCATGATGGCGGGACAAGATCTCCTAGGCCTTTTTCGGCTGCGACAGACTCCTGGATCAAAGGATGAGCCGGCGATAGAGTATCGGACAGGACATCCAGGATTGTATCAGTGAACACACCGGTTCCGGTAGTCTCCAAGGTAGTCAGCTCATTATACTTTGCTCCCAAAAGAAAGTTGCTCTGTCCGATGTGTTGCCTTGTATGTGACAGCACCCGGACAATAACTTCCCTCAGCAACGGGCTGAAGGGTTGCGGGGCGTACATGGTGTATTGGATGAAGCCATATCTTCGAATCCAGTGCCAATACTGCATTTTTTGCGGCGACGCGAAAGGCTCATCGATTTCAACTCCTACCACCAGTGAAATGTTGTTGTCGATGGTATCTGCGAATATCGAATCCCGCAACGCCGGACAGGTCTTGATAGAGCGTGCGGGAAAGATATCGGTGTCTGCATAGTAGCTGCCGTAATACCACAAGAGTAGATAGTGCAGGAGATCTGCTCGAAGGACATTGTGTGGGTATGTTTTGTACAGATATGCCAGGTCTGCAATAGATATGAGAGTTTCAGAGATGAACATGTCGGCCCATTCGCTCGTCACAAGCTGTCAGATACAAAGTCAGCACCCAGACGTGCAAATATTTGAGTGCAAGAACCCATATATTCCTACCGCATATTCCCATTCAGAATTTTTCTCCTCAAATAGAATAGAATCCTCGCCTCGCTGCTCCGCGCTGGGGTTCTGCCCCAGCATAATATGCCACAAAGTCTCGAAGGGGCTCGTATTGCTCTGCAGCTGTCCCTCTGCCTCAAGATTGCGCAGCGCATCTGACAGCTTGGTCTCGTATTCATAATCGGGATTTGCGCGGAATGCGGAGTGGTAGGGGTATAGCGGCCGGTCTTCTCCGTGTGGGGGACTACCTTGAGTATTAAATCCGAACCCCGGGGGAAGTAGCTCGAAAAAGACGAATACGACAATGACAGCAATCAAGAGAACATGTTTGTGCGAGCCCGGAAAACTTAGATAGGACCGGTATCTCAGCATATTGGAGAATGGGCCATGAATATGTCAAGATGTCAAGATACGAGGCATCGTGAGATAGCTCAGGGTGTCGACCAGGACCAGGCTGTGGGCGCCAATCATTACTTGTTTCTTCGCCCTAGCTCCCACCCGATAAGCGCGTTTTGGTCGCTATTGGGACCCATTTTGCTAGTGGGGCATACCTGGGTGATTGAGCATGGTGGAGTGTAGTGGAGTGCAGTCTCTACATTTGACCAGGTTGGGTTATCAACTATCGAACCTTTTGTCAAATGTTCTATGAGCTGGTCACTCACCACAGCTCAAATGGGCGAAGAAGATCAACGCAGCGCTCTTCCTGAAACTTGCAACCGGAAGATCGACGATGAAATATCTAATATAGACCTGCTATCACAACTAGTTTCAACTCTTGATGAAGTGCCAAGAAGTAAACTATGCCCCGTGACAGTAAATCCTTACTTTATGGGGTGAATCCACCTGAGTTGAACGAAAAATGATATACACGAATATAGTATTCGAGGAGCGTGGTTTTATTCGGCCATTTATAGAGACATGAAGTAACGAGAAACCGCCAGGGGCGCCGACTCTATATCCCCGCATGACTACAATAAGTATATGCAATCCTTCAGTGGAGCGCAGGCCACTTCTCTTACTAGCATAGCGACCATTAAAGATAACATAGTCAGCAGAAGTAGTCTGTTATGAGGAACCGCTTTCAGTATATATGGCCTCTATTCTCTGCTACGATGTGCCATTGTCAGGTACCCTCTACCGTCGAAAATCTCTTTAATCCTACAATTTTAAGGTGCGGTTCTTCGATCTTACGCTAGCAGCTGTTATTCGCTCTTGGTTCCGACATAAGCGTGCAAACTCGCTAGGGATGATCCTAGCTCAACTCCCACGTGCTGCGATCAAATGAGGGGAACCTTCTACGATGGCGAGGATTTCCAGGCTTCTTCCATCTTAGATGTCCTAGAGGCATCTTTGAGACACTGGAGCGCTCAAGGATTTCCTCTATCGTAAGTGAGGTCTGTTGAAATCTACCTCTTCGTTTTACCGCCACTATTTGCAGCGACTTTCTTGATGCCATTTTAGATGCCAGTGAGAGACAGCTGAGGTCATGTTGTGAAATTGTGATGCTGGGTCGGTTTAAGAAACGTTACCTAAGGACCAAATACTCAATGGTCTTCTATATTGAGGGACTGAGAGCTATTCAATCATCAACATGATGTTCAGGTTTCATGTTTTGACCATCTCATCTGCTAACGAGTCACTTTGAATCACCAAAGAGTGCCTACAATTTCATCACTAGGAATCATGAACATGGTCTTCCCAGCCTCAATGCGTTGAGCTGTGGGTCCGTCTGTCTGCCAAGACTGTCAGGTCACCGGTCGCGTGTGCGGGTGGCTACGTGCCTGACCCGCACCGCGTTGAAGCTTAGCCGTACATCGACTGAATATTTTGAACTTGTGACTCTCGTTAAGTTCTTTTTTTCACTGGAAATTCTGCAATATTTTGTCTGTCGGATTTCTGAGGCTTCTAACGAATTTGGATGAAATGCTGGGTTTTAAATATATATCTCAAGTATATAAAGGTCATGGACCGGAATACAGGAAGACCTGACCCTCAACGCCTTGAGGCTTGGTCAAACATCCTTGCATCAATTCATTGATCACTATCACAATTATCGAATGCACTGCCAAAAATCCCCTTGAAGTGTAACAAAATCTAGTCAAAATCTAATCCCAGTTCATTAGGTTGCAAAGGACTGGGAAAGATGTTGAGTGATGTGTGGGGATTTGACATTGGAAGCAAGAAATGGGAGGAGGTTATTCTTGCTCAAGAAGATGGACCTCCTGCTATACGGGGCTTGTTTGATGCTGATGTAGTCAGTATATATGCTGTTGTGGTTCATGATGGGCTAGGGGAATCGATTGACTGATTGTGGGACGTGTGGAATATCAAATTCTTTTGATTTTCTGTTCTCAATCCTCCCATCCTCTCGCTGTGGTGGAGTGGATAGTTTACTGCTATTCATATTCCATTCACATTCCCAGTCGTTGTGAATTCGGCACAAATAGCATCGTGTAGCAAAGAAGGCGTGGGTTTTCATACATATATCCATTTCCAGGAATGCGGAGGAATATGTTACATCCATTCTATGTTCAACAGAAGCAGTACTCTATACTCTTTCTCGATTTTTTCCGACGCCAGTTTTTCGAAAACATTGCTTGTTTCAGCATTAGCCATCAGCACTACAAATACATGGCTTGCTAGTTCCAAGAGCAAGGGGCGATTTATATCAGGTTTTGTTCAGGGCCACACAGTCGCCCCAGTGAAGGATTCCGGCCACAAAAAAGGAAAAGAAGGAAAACGATAACAATTATCAGATGCATGATGTACTAGACAACAACAGCAAGTTTGGCGCTTTTAATTAGGTACATCTCTCCTGGCAACCAGCGACATATCTATTCTCAGGCGCCGGTGTAGCATAGCCACAACCCGATGAGCCATACTAATCCTTCATCTGACAAAATATTGGTCACAAGTTCCCCTTGCAGAATAGTAACATTTTAAAGACACCAAACACGGCTCAGATATATCGACGTTTGTAAGATGAGGGTCGTTGAGGACTTTTATTTCCCAAGATTAGTACGTTTTATTCCCAAAGTTATTGACATCGAGAGTAATACCTTAAGCGACATCAATCTAGCAAGTCGGGCAATCACAATCCGAAGGGAATCCATGGTTGCTGCAGCAGATAGAGAATGCCTCAAGGAAATCCGAGATGGAAGAAGCCTGGCAATCCTCGCCGTCCTGGAAAGTTCCGCTCACCTCATCGCAGCACGTCTGAGTTGAACTGGGGTCATCCAGGCCATCTCTAGTACATTTGCATGCATAAGCAGGAACTGAGAGCGCAGTGATGGACACTAGGATAAGGTCGAAGAACCGCATCTTGAGGTTTGTGGAATTCCAGAGATTGTAAAAATTAATTGTGAATGGGTGGTAGTAATACAGGACAGAGGGTAGTTGAAAGATACTATATAAACCGAACGCATTTTCCCGCAATCGACTCCTCCTGCTCACTATCTTGCTTTGAATAGACGCTATGCTAGTAAGAGCAATGAACTGCACTCTGCAGAAGGATTGCATATTCATTTCGTTGTAGCGCCGGCGTCCCCGGCGGTAGGTTGTGATATGAGAGCTATGTTTCGGAGAGTGCCCGAGCAAGAGTGGTCGATCTAATACTATAAGCGTTTCTATTATCTTAGTTAATCTCGTATCGGGTGGATTTGCCCCAGAATACAAGGTTTCCTCGGGGGCTTTCTTGGGGCGCAATTAAACACTTGGCACTCCGCCGAAGGCAAACGCTAGTTAGTTGAAACGTGGGGCTTATATTACAAGATGGTCTGACAGGATCATCGTTTCTCCTATGGCAAATCACTAGGATGAGCAACTGCTGAGCAACTGCATTGTTGATCACATCCTTTACACTTTATCAATGGTTACGGCCATAAATCCCGGAAATTGGCCGAACAAATCCATTGCCACCTCATCTACTGAGGGCTTCTTTTTTAGCTGCTGTTTTACTTGAAACAGCGGGGTTTCCCTTGTATTACAAAACTTGATCTTAGATCTCATCGTGACAAATTCCTCGCAAAGATAATGTGTGCGATGATCACTTCTTTTCTTGTGGTACATACCGGTGGTATCCTTGCGAGGTTGCGAAATCCTTCAACTCAATGGGATTGATTCCCTTTATTGGTATAGCGTCTAATTCTCAGTATTCTGGTCTATGAATCATTCCTTTCTACGCTGAACGGGCCACCAACACAAGTATTTAAGAGACAAGAGTCCGCGCTATAAATACTTGGCAGCTCAACATCTACAATTATCAACTAGTTTTCACTATCTTCCTTCGTTCAATACTCACTTTACATCATTACTTTTGTGATACCTCACTCCAAAGATGCGGTTCTTTAATCTTATGCTAGCTACCATTACTGCGCTCTCAGTTCCAACATACGCTTGCAAGTGTGTTGTGAACGGCGATATGGATACCCCGAGAACTCAAAGCTGTTGCGACGCATTGGGCGGAACTTTCCAGGATGGCAATGACTGTCAGGCTAGTTCGATCTCGGATAGCTTGTCCATCTTCGATAACTGCTGCGGTGGTATTTCTACTACCGCCGGCTCAGACTGCGACTGCCCAGACTGTTAAGGTATAAAATATGCAAATTGTCAAGTTGGGAGTGGATTGTACTGACTATTTGGAATTCAAGGGTCGAGGTTCCCTGTGTATCCACACCAATCCACTCGGATTACATTTCGATGAAGCGAGGGTTGATTCAACACAACGAAGGACTATTATCTACTGTATTGGGATATAATCCGCTTTGCCAACAAAATTCTTAATTTGGATGTGTTGATTTGGATGTGATCAGTTTTGAGACTGTCATCGTGATATTTGGGAAGGGCAGACCTAGCCGATCAGGAAGCTACATCGTGTATTTAATAGAAAGGGAATACTTTTTATTTGAAATCTACTGTAGTGTTTGAAGCTCATCCTAGGTGTTTGATAGCACAATCATTGATTCCAAATAGTGGAGCCGCATGCAAACTTTCGCATGTACATATAGTTTAGAGTTTGAGGTCAAACTTGTTAGCGGTCAAGGTGGAACCTTGTAGGCCCCACCTGCGAAACAGGGCCCAAGTCCCAGCATTTTGAAGAGATATCGGAACATTTTGAGGTCTCCAGGCCAGACGGAGTGTGTTACTGATCACTGTGATCATCACGATCGTCCTTTTCAATGGAATCCTCCCGCGGGGGATCAGATTGGATGCTCGTGGTAGTCGCCCGCATGGCGAAGACCGGGCGCGATACCTATACTACTCCACATTTCACGCAGAGCCCGACTATCACTGCGAGACCAACCTATCGGGCGCGCCGCACGACCTTGAGATAGAGAGTGCAGCTGTGCAGCAATTCGACCGCACGCCGGACGTTATGGGAGATCATGCTTGGGCGGAACCACGAATGACGTCGTGTAGGTAGTGAATCTTGGCATGCCCTACAAGAAAAGCAATACTGATCGATTTCGGCAGCTTATAATAGAAATGTCTCTATCCTCATTTCAATACCTGAAGTTGGTTTTGCTGGTGGGGGATTCAGCTTGAGCTTAATTTGAGATTCTCTGCAATTCCATTATCTTCAGAATTCCAACCTCATTCCATTTTTCACCTAATTATATTGTCTTTATACAGGTCTTGTGTCACAGAATGCGAATTCCCAGCCTGACAAGCTGTGACATGCTAAGCGCCTGTTGAATGCCCGTCGTGTATCCAATCTTATCAAGAGCTTTGCCAGATCCACTTATTCATCTTTGGCTCAGATTGAACGCAATCCGATGCAACGAACAACAACCAGATAAGCATCATCAAACTTCCCACAGCAACATCATCGGACGTGAAATGGTAAAGGACACTTGCGCATATGTTTTCCGCCATCTGTTTGATAATCGCGACGCCTTCGGCCTTCGTCAGACGGTTCTCGGGGGAATCACCCCCCTTCAACATGCTTTACATGTCAACCCGATGGTCTGGCGGAGGATATTATGCCTTTGAGAGGACATATATTAATACAATATATAGATATGGAGGCATAATTGACAACGAACGGATAGGTGATAGAGTCCAGTTGAAGAATGATTGTAACGAAAAGTAAGAACAAAGTGAAAGTAAATCATGTCTACCCTATAGCAAAGAATGGCAAATACAATGTCACCTAACCTTGGAATGACCTCGCTGGGAGGCAAAGTGATGTCTAGCAGTAGGAAAGCCAAAGGGCAATTAGTGATCCTTTGGCTCAACTAAACTAATGGAAGATAAAGATTCATGATTAGATGTAGATGTTACTATTTTGAGGATTGTCAATCTAAGCTGCTCCCGCCTATGTTCGTGATCAGGCTTGGATCGAAGACCTTGAGTAAACTACCAGGCTATAAGCGAGACTGAGATAAAGACCAAGCCTGGGATGGATGGTGCACCCATTCCACGCACAGCTTTATCCTGGTTTCGCAAACCGAATTGAAAGCATGAGCATCGAGAAACCACAAGTCATTGGCTCGGTCCACTTGTCTCCAAAGTGCCTTCTCCAACGCACAATCAGGTCTCCCTTCGGTCTGTAGTCCAACTATACACCGTAGTAGTTAAGCCATTCTGTGTTCGAGCTTAGAGAGAACAGCCACACTAACACGGGACCAGTAGGAGGTATGGTAGTTTTCAAACACAGATTCCACGAGGCGCGTAGTACTTTCTGCGTGTCGCAGTACTCCCCGGTGGGTGCGATGAAACCGTTTGCACCCACGAACTTGCGAAAGTAACTTCTGGGTAAAAGGAAGGGTCCGTGACCAGCAAAGGAGAGACCCCATCCGTAGCTCCATCGCCCACAATATGCTCAATATTGATTCCTGGTAGGTAGTTGCAAATTGATCCAGTCATGCGCTCCAAGCCTATGAGACTAAATGCTACTTGGATTATTCTCGTAGGTGGCAGGCCCGCCTGTCACGGCGCAGTCTCAGCTGGGTGAGCTCCTCTAGCTCCCCGTCAGATGGTGCTAGAATCTCCCGCGCATCGGCCACTTTGTCATTGCAAGACGTGGTTAGAAACGAGGCGAGGAGAGGTGTAGCTCGTTGGCTTGGGGTGGTAGATTCCTTATTTCGGTGTAGGCTTAAGAAGGTTAACCTATAAAATAATCAGCCTTGGTCAGCGGATTGTTTTGCCGGAAGTCTTGATCATGGGGCCCAGCAATTTTACCTTTGGTGGTTGTAGTTTCAAGGTTGAAGGAAGGACGATGCTCAAATGCCTGGCCAGTTGGGTAGCACCGTAAATATGTAATTGGAGCCCTTATGGTCCCAGCGGGCAGCAAAGTAGTTTCTAGCAGCAGAAAAAGATGGGCAAAAGATTATACTTTGGGTTGAGGTGGAAGGCTCATCATAAATGTAGAGTAATAAAAAATAGAAATTCATAATTCGATAAACGTTCCTAGGTCCCGTCTCATCCATTTAGCACACCTGTCTCCAAATCTCCTGCTCAAAAGCGCGATCCAGTGCCTCCTCAGTGCGTATATCAACCATACGCTATAGAAGGTTGGCCATTGTCTGTTCCAGCCGAAAGAGCACAGCCAGGCTCGCGTGAGACCAGTGGTGGTTACGATTGCTGGCGAACAGAGATTCAACGTCACACATAACACGGGATGCGTCCCGTAGGACTGCCCGGCGAACCTGGGTACGCCCAGTTGCCCGCAGCCTCAGCTGCGTGAGCAGCTCTAGCTGCTCGTTGTTAGGGGTGGGGATCTGGCGCTGGTTGGCCACTGTTTCCTTGTCAGCTTTGTATTAAAAACACTGTTGGAACAAGAGGATGTATCTCACTGTTGCTGGGTGGTTGATATTTGCAAATGAGATTCTGGATGTTTTTCGTAGGAAAACGGCTTCGCACTATGTAACAACGGTGCTAGTTAGCCTCTTGTCTCGTCGCAGATTTTCGTCACTTGGCCGAGGAATATCACCTTTGTGTATTGTGCAGTTGAGGTTGAAGTACGAAGTGTGAATGGCGAGGAGGGAAGAAGAGAATGAACGTAGAGGATTATAAATAACAATTCCTACAAGGAAGGCGCGACTATCACCCTACCAAGGAAGGACCAAGGCTGGCGAAACCACTGTTTCCGCAGTAGCAATAGTCACAAACCGACTGTCCCATGACCTTCGTCATTTCAAGATTAGGCATATCGCTATAAAACATAGAAAGTAAGCCATAACTGATGGGAGAATTATATTATATAGAGAGCTAGTTTGTATATGATATCAAGTGAAGGTAAGAGGAAAATGAGGATTGGCAATATATAGTGTAGCCTAAGACAAAGGATTCCAAAACGGAAGAATGATCCATCATGAGGTGCTATGGAAGGGGGAAAGTTTTATAGTAGTAGGAAAGCAAAGGCATCCATTTTGGTTTAGTTTGAGGTAGTAAGAAACGTTGGAAGCTAATCTCAAAACTCTATGTAACAGGAACAACGATTTTTTATAACGGATTGTGTCGAATACTAAGATTGAATACATGGTGGAAACAAGGTATATTACCCAGAAAATCATGTGACCATTGGTACCATCCATACCATACAAAAGTGCATATTACAGTTAGTCATCTATGTCCGCCCAGATTGTTGAGAGCGCGGGTTTTGTCATTTTAGTTAGTTAGAGATTCCAATATATCTGATTTTGTCCATACGTTGTCATACAGCCAGATTTCTGTCAGATTGTTCAAAGGCAAAAGAATAGGAGAACAAAGGACATTCAAGCCACTGGATTGACGATATCAAGCTGACTTTCGTTGGGGCACCCAGAATGTACATAACATCGCCATAGATCTACTGGAGTTGCTGGGGTAGCTCACGGAGAAAGCCGCGCCGGGAAACGGCGCGGTCTGATCGGAAACACAACCATTTCTGAACACTCCGCATCTATTTCACAGGTCAGACAAGAACGGGAAGCCAACCGGTGAAGCCACTGAATCACCTATGAACGAGCTGCGTTCTATGGGCGCACAATGTGTACATAATTCCATAGCTTAGCACGTCCCTATACCCCATGGGAGGTCATAAGGGCATGGGCGAAGCCAATGTCTCGCTGGAAGCTAAATAGAACAACAACAACAAAATGACGCGTGTTGTAAACGTCATCCTCAGTCATCTGCAGGATTCGGTCCGCTATATTTGGATTTTGGGCGGAATGAACCTGGTCCCATAGGTTCTGTAGCTGGGATCGATGGCCCCTGCTAGACTTTAGAACCCGGGCTAGGTCGCTCAAGTGTTCTAGCAGTTCACGCCAACCCTGACTAGTCGCGTTGGCGTCTCAGGGGTGGGAATTATTATAGTATTATGGTTAGCACGAGGTTCTCCATTTCTCTATAGACCTGTTAAATCGACCACTGCGCAGCGAACTTGCGCACTCCCAGTCGCCCGATGGCGAAACTGGATCACCATTTCTACTTAATCATTGTTTGGCAAGGGAATTGACCGCCTGTCTATCGGCTTCTTCCTTTAACATGACTGGGAATAGATCGCCAATATGAGGGGGTGTATCTCACTTTGGTAGGCTTGGATAGTTTTGATTGAACATTGAGAAGTGGCGGTATTGCTCAATCTATGACTTGACAATTGCTAGTTATGCTTTTGGATTGTGGAACGTCTGCTTTATGGGGCCGAGGATTCTCAACTTAAGTGGTTGTAGGTTCAAGGGTGAAGGAAACGTCAACACGCTGAAATGCTTGCCCAGTTTGGTACACCAATGGAAAGATAAAATGGAAGCCGTCGTGGTCCCAGGCGCAGCATATTTGGTTGTAGAAGCACAAAAGGAGGGGAGACGATTCTGGTTTGGGTCGACATGAAAGAGTCATCTCGGAATTAGGCTAAGAGAAGATAAAGATTCATTGTTGATTCAGGGTAGGTATTGTAGTTTCCTAATTCGCTTGCTCGCCAGTTCGTGACTTATTGAACTTGGCTCCACAGTGTCCGTTCTAATTCACGATCGTGTCTTTCCTCGGCCCGGAGGCTAGCCATATGTCCTATAAGCTCGACCAGTCTATGCTTGACTAGCTGGAAAACTGGCACCCTGGAATCACGTCTGCATAGGATAGGGTTCGATTGTAGGAGAGCTTGGATATAGCTCATGATCTCGTCGGCCTCATCGAGGACTTCCTGGCGAGTTTCGGCACGCCCAGTCGCCCGAAGGCGAAGCTCGGTCAGCATTTCCAGCTGTTCGTTGTCAGGCCTGGGGATTGGCCGCTGGTTGGCCACTTTTTCCTTGTCAGATTTATCTTCAAAATGCTGTTGCAACAAGGGGTGTATCTAACTGTTGGTAGTTGACTTGTACGTCAAATTTGAAGGAATATTGAGGGGTATCCGCTTCACGCTATAAAACAACCAGTGCTAGTTAGCCTTTTGGATATTTGCAAATCTGGGTCATAGCACCAAGGAACTCCACCTTTGTGCTTTTGGGATTGAGCTTGTATGAGAAAGTCTGATGGCAAGTGTGAATGGTGAAAAGGAATGAAGGAAGAGTACCAGGAGGATCTCAAACGGCAATTCCTACGAGGAAGGCGCGACTATCACCAACGCAACCAGTGCTTGCGCAGTAGCAATGGTCACAAATCAATATTCTCATCACTTTTATGCTTTCAAAATTAGGCGTACTAATATAATATATAGAAAGTAAACGGTAAGTGGTAGCTGTGTGGGATTTGATAGAGACCTGGTTAAAGTGTGATATCAACGAAAAGTAAACGTCAAGTGAAACTTGGAAATACCTATATATAGGCAGTTGAACAAAGTACTTCAAAATGTAGTATTGTCCATTAAGATATCCTAAGGCAGGCATACAATTTTATAATAACAAACGAATCCATTGTGCTTTAGGTTGACATAGAAAGCTAATCTCAAAGTGATACAAACGGTAGACAGCGATACATAATGGAATTGTATTATGATCAGCGCAAGGCTGTCTAGACTGCTATAAGCCCGTTCACTAAGACAAGTCTTCAGCATATTGCGAAGGAAGACCTGCATTCTGGTTTCGTAGTTCCAGACTCTCTAACTCTCAGGACACTTGCAAGGATGGCTAACGAACAAATATCCAACATCTCGCATGACACGGGATGCGTCCTGTAGGAGGGCCCTCCGAACCCGGGTACGGCTAGTCTGCCGCAGCCTCAGCTGCGTGAGCAGCTCTAGCTACTCGTTGTTGGGAGTGGGGATCGGGCGCTGGTCGGCCACCCCTTTTTCGTCAGCTTTGTGTTTCAAACGCGGTTGCGTCGAGGTGGTGTATCTCACTAGTGGTGGTTGGAAAGGTCAACGGGGGTCTCACCATGGGTTGTTGCGATCAGATCGCATTTTCGAACTGTAAACCAACGTGTTCTCATTAGCCTTTTTATCTTCTCGCAGGTCTGGGCCATGGGTCCAAGGAAATTCACCTTAGGTGTTGTGATGCTAAGGTAAGGTAAGTTGAGAATATTATAGAAGCAGGGATAAACAACGAAGTAGGGAATATCACCCGACAGGATATTAAATAGTAATTCCTACGAGAGAAAGCTGGTTCAAGAGTGGTGTCAACGAAAAGTAAGAGCGACAGTGAGGTTTGGCAATATATAGGCGGTTGAGGAGTAAAACAAAGAAGTCAAAAAATGGAACATGATGTTTGCTCAGGTTCGCCTGGCTGGTTAAGGGGTAGTACCTTGACTGGTTGATGTGTGGAGGTTGTGATGTGAACCTTAGAAGTGCAAATGATGAGTACGGGAAAGAGAAGATTATTGGAGAGGATATTAAACAAAATTGAGAAAGTGAGTCTTCATAAACAAGATGGGACTGTCGCCTTCAAAAAGAAAGAGCAAGCTGGTGCGGCCTAACCAATACCTTCCTCGTAGCAATAGTCGACGTTTCCGTGAAGTCAAAGTGACTTATAGTCAAAATATATATCGAGAAGGTAAGTGGCAAAGCATGGGTTTGAAACAGTTTAGAGTAATGTATAAACAAAAATCGAGTGAAAAGTGGGATTTTGTGGAGAACCCCTCACATGCTTTCTTAATCAATGTTTCCCCAAATCTAGCGAACGTCCAGCGTAAACATCCTCTTGGGTCCGTAAGTCCAGTGTTCCCTCAAGGCGGCCTTCTATGGTCCGTTCGGATGCCTCGAGTATCATTGGAGAAGAAGCAGATGCCTGGCCTGAGGATATGAGTGCCGTACTGACGGCCAAGAGTTTGGTCGCCCCTCCTAGAATTCTAGCTGTCTGTATTGGAAATACTCTTCCTTTTTTCCAAGTATCGGCTGCGAATCTGCTCGCAGACGCCCCAAATTCGCCTGCGGTTGGCAAGTCCAAAAATATAATCATCGTTCTTAGATGTGTATTGACTCTTCTTCTGAATGTCCAGAAGTAGCCTCGAAGTGTTGTCCTCTCCCTCTTGAGATTGAAAAACATCGATATCATGAATCTCCCACAGCCACGGCATTTCACTTCTTAACCGGTTCTTCCAAAATTCGCCCGGTAAGGTGGTAGTATGCATCACCAATGAAGCGGCCTTGAGAGCAAGGATTGAACCAGCTGGAAGAAGATTGAAAATTTCTTGTCGCAACTCAGCTGGGAGCCCATCGAAGATGTCCTGACCTCGGGAATTCTGATAATGTGCTGCCTTCTTGTCGACAGATTTCATGCTAAGACCAAGGTCGGCGTCTAGCTCGGCAATCCTAACCGGATTGACTACCAAAGTCTGCTTGTTATAAGCATTTTTTTATTCCTTCATGAATCAAGTATCACGAGACAACGTACTTCATGACCTTTAGTACCGTGCCAGACCTGTTCGGCAGGGGGGTCTGGTTCGCCATAGCTGAGCTGCAACCTGACGTATTTACCCCCATTCAAATCTTCCAAGACATCAAATAACACATCCTTCTGGATCTGCTCAGGGTTCTCTTGACGGATACATCTCTGGAGAATGTCCTGGTAGCAAATTGGATGGAAAGGAAATACATGACGCGACCCAATTTCGGAATAGTCATGATAACTATAAAACCATTAGGGAAGAAGGGCAAAGGGGCTGGAAAGCATACGCAGTCATAGGAATATGATCACCATGATTATAGAAGGGGACGTTAGGATCTTATAGCGAGATTAGTCAGTTTATTCAACCTGGTTCAAGCCTTAGAAAGTAAGTGACAAACCCACCATCTCCCGCAGTAACCTGAATTTGTCCCTACAAGACAGATATTAAACTCCCAATCTTTTATGTACCGCTTTAGAAAGAGCCTTACACAATCCCAATAACGACCGACACCCGTGAGAAATGACCTTAAAATCAATAAGAAGATCTCCTTCATAGTGTTATGGGGATGAAACGGTGACACACTTATCGTTTCCACGCGCGTCAGGATTAATACCCAGAGCACAGACTTTGTCTAGCCATTCCAGGTTGCAGTCCCGCAAGACTTCGTAGCGATAATAGTCCTCGTCCATCCCTTCAGGGTCCATATCCACTCCGCTGAAGAATTGACCACCACATATCGCACAGTATATTTCCCATCCGCCCATACTGGGTTTTCCAAAGTTGAATGTCGAGAGTACTAAGGACAGGGGTTACGAGGACGTTGGAACTGAGTTTATCACGTGTGCCACGTAGGTGAAACGCGGAGAAATTAGCTAATCCGTGGGCAGTTGCCGAGGTCCAGAAGCCGTGTCCACCCCACCGATGAACAGTGAGGCATCGAGGGGTGTATAAGACTTTCGTCTAATTTATTATGTGGTGGCCATGTGTACTCAACACGGATAGAACTAGGAGCAGAGCAGTTTCGTGGATCACTCTCACTAGTGCCGTGCTATCCGGAAGGGGTAGGACCAGTTCAGAGTAAGAGCGACGCGACCCTCCATACTTACCACAAACAGTATTGTATAGAACATCCACGGGAATGACTCCCATTATTCTAGTGAAACCAAGGCTTCAGGTAGCTGGTTTTCTCTCTGCGGCGGAGGGAGTGAGCCACAAGTCGACAATGGCTTTAGTATCCTAGGATGGTCAATAGTGGTCAACATGTTAGTGGATCACATCATTTGCTCTGCTACTTTGAAAAATAAATGTACCATGTATTTGCATCCAGGGCAAAGGCCAGCAGAAAGGCGAAACTTTTCGAACTTAAACGAATCGACTGTGCATTATATATATCATGGAAAAAGGTACTCCGGATCATTCCAACCATCTAATCTACATTACTTCTGCGACTTGTTCACAATAACCTCCGCCAGCCCAATCAGAGATCCGGTTGACAGCAACTCCAGCACCTGCACATTGGCATTTGCTTCACGGGCAATCCAATTACGGATCTCAATGGCAACCAAAGAATCCAGGCCAAGAGATGAAACTGAGATGGTAGGCTCGATATCCTCCATTGAAAGGACCAGAACTTGCGCCAGCTTGTTCGCGAGTGCCTTGTAGCAGATCTGTAGCGCAACCTCCTTGGACTCAGCATTGGCGAACTGCACGTGGAGCGGCAGAGAGACCTCGTTGGAATCTCCACCTGCATGGGCCTTGTTTGCATTGGCGAGCAAACTAAACTTGGCGTCTTGCTCCCAGAAATGGTCCAATGTGGTAGACTCCAAGCCTGTAATACACTGTCCAGAGCATGATTGCGCCAAATCGCCGGTTATAGTGGCGGCTAGAAGTGCCAGCACCTCAGCTTCATCCATTCCATCGGTGCCGATATTCTTCAGCACCTCCTGTTGCCGCTTTGTATCGACTTCGGCAAGGTAGCCCACGTCGCGCACTGCAGTAAGGTCAATGGTGGTTCCTGGGAGACCCTGACCGCGGCGCCACTCCATAAAGCCGTCCAAGAAGACATTGGCGGCTGCGTATGCGGCTTGTCCTCGGTTACCGATGACACCAGCAACAGATGATAGGGCCACGAAAAAGTCTAGTGGAGATTTAGCGAGGGCCTCATGGAGGTTCCATGCGCCTTCGACCTTGCTAGCAGTGACAGCTTGGAAATCTTGTAGGGTCATATTCTCAAAGAGCATATCCTAGAAAATTAAGGTAAGTCAATTGGAACCGAACGAATCATTGGAATTCACTTACCCGGAGAACCATTGCACCGTGTATAACACCCCGGACTGGGGGAAGATTTCTCATGCCATTCAAGAGCGAGTCCACTGACTTTCTGCTGCTCACATCACAGGCCTTAACGGTGATACTTGTCCCGCTAACGGCCAGTTCGTCAATCAGGGCTTGCACTTTGTCGTTAATTGACGCACTTCGTGACACGAGCACAATGTTCCTTGCTCCCTTCAATGACATCCACTTGGCCATACTCCTACCCAAACCCCCAGTGCCGCCAATGAGAATGTAGGATGCGTCGGCCTTCAAAATATCAGAGCCGGTCTTGGGGACAACCGCATTAACATAGTCGTCTGGTTGGGGGATGATCACAGTCTTGCCCATCGACTTTCCGGTTTGCAACGCACGGAAAGCTGTCTCAATCTCGGAAATCGGATAGGAAGTAAGAGGGAAGATAGAGTGGACATAGCCCTTGCCCATGAGCGCGGACACATTGTCTAACAATTGCTTCATCAACATGGGCTTGTATGCCGCAATCTTGGTGAGGTCGACAGAATGGAAAGAGACGTTGTATTCGAACGGTTGCATGTCCAGGCGGGTGTTCTTGGTGATATCCGCCTTACCAATTTCAATGAATCTGCCGAAGGGGGCCAGGCACTCCCAGGTTTCGCGGAGCAGATCGCCTGCCAGGGAGTTGAGGACGATATCCACACCGCCTGTGGCCTGGCGAAGACTGCGGCCGAATGACGCGTCGCGACTGTAGAAAATGTGGTCCTCGCGAATACCGTACTGCGCGATGAGGAACTCCTTTTTCTCCGCGCTTCCAACAGTCACGAAGATCTCGGCTCCGGCCAGCTGTGCCAACATAATCGCAGCCTGACCAACACCACCAGCAGCGGCATGAATCAAAATCCGCTCCCCTGATCCTTGCTTCAGACGGCCTAGCTCATGGAGAGCGTAGTACGCGGTACAGAACACGACAGGGACAGTGGCAGCAACTTCGATCGAAATATTATCGGGAATGGTGGTTGCACTAGTGCCTCTGCAGCGTGCGAATGTCGAGTAGCCTCCCAAGGGCAGGGCCATGACTCGCTCGCCAACCTTCACGTTTCTGACATTTCTACCAACAGAGGATACGATACCACTGCACTCGATACCAATGTAAGGTTGAGCGAGTTGTCCCATAGTCACGACGATATCCTTGAAATTAAGGCCAGTAGCTTTGACTTCAATCTCGATGTCATCATCAGCCAATGGGCCGGCCTCATCATCTGCAAAATATAGAGTATCAAGAGCACCAAGGTTGCCAATCTCAAGCTTGAAACGGCGATCAGGCTGGCTAAATAGCTGAGACGAAAGAGTAACCTCGTTGGTAGTTTCCTTTCTCACAAACGAGCTGAGGGTGCCATCGTTTACGACACGCGGAACAAGAAGCTCCCCGGTCTCGAACTTAAACTCGAAGTCTTTGCAGGGCTTCACGGAATCACTAGCTGGCCACAATGCCTGTATGGCAGTCAGAACAGGCCTGTCTAGCCTTTTGATGTCCTCGACCCCAAGTCCAAGGGTGGCAACCTTGGCAAGCGTTTCAGAGCGCAAGGTGCGAGTGAGACCAACAATCATCTGGGAATCGGGTGTGTCATTACGGTAAACCCAAAGAACATTAGATGAGTTGAGTAGGGTCTGTTTGATGTTCCCAAACTCATCCTCTGTGAGGTCACGCAATGTCTTGGCTGCAGTTTGTAGTATAATCACATGCTCGCGCTTCTGGGTTACGTCAACTTCATCCAGCGAGGAGATTGACGTTGACCAGTGGGTGTCCTCGTTGGAGATCGCATCATTCAGGCGATCAGCGGCAACACCACACTTGCCAAATTGGGCAATCAGGAGATCAGCTTTAGGTTCGTGGTGACCATTAGTATACCCATTAGTGTACCCATTGGTGTACCCATTGGTGTGCCCATTGGTGTGCCCATTGGTATCGCCATTGGTATCCCCATTGGTATGCCCATTGGTGTACCCGTTGGTGTACCCATTGGTGTGCCCATTGGTGTACCCGTTTGCATGACCGTTAAGCTCCTTCTCATCACTCTTCTCCTCATCAGAAGCGCCGTCGACACGAGCCAATGGCTGCCACTCAAGCTTGTAGCAGAGGTTGCGGACATCCCCGCCAGCTCCTCCAAGCTCGTTGAGAGGGGTCATGATCAAACCCTCCATGTTAATGAGAATCTCACTGGAGCCCTGGGGTGTCACCCACAGATCAAACTTTGTGGGTTCGGGCTTGGACTGGTTGGAACCTCCAATACACCAGGCCTTGAAATAGTCACCGGGGGTGGAGGGAATGTTGCCGTTGACGACAAGATGCTTGATCATAGTTGGCATGTAAAGAGTATCGAGTTCCATACGACCCTTGCCAAGAATAGGCCACACCAGGTGTAGCAGGCCGTCCAAGAAGGCCGGGTGGATGGTCAATGGGGCTTCGAAGTTCATTGGCATGACAGCCTTTGTGTCTCGAACGTGCAAATCAGCACGCGAGTGACGCGGGTCTGAAAAGCAGTTCTCAAGGCCCTGGAAACAAGGCCCGTAGCCAGCGCCGACGTCCGTGAGCACCGAGTACAGATTCTGAACATCAATCTTATATGTAGCAGCTGCCTGCACCTCGTCGGTCTTGGCACGGAATTCTTTCTCCTCAACCTCGACAGAGTTTGACACTGCATTCTGCTTCTGTAGCTTCTTGTTAGGGCGAGTTCGGACCAAACCCTGGCAGTGCTCTATCCACGATCGCTTGGAATTCCACGAGCAAATGCGGAATTCATCCCAGACATCAGATTTGCCTCTAGTGCCCTCGGTGTAAGGTCGGAGGGTGATAGTAGTCTCAGCATCCACATCGTCAGTCAAGACAAGTGCGGCGCCCACGGTCACCTCGCGGAACTCAAATTGAGAGCTTTCCGTAGTAGCGCCGTATTTGTCCGCACGTCTCCGTGCAGCTTCGATTGCCATAGCCAGGTAGCCAGCAATGGGATACACACTCATACCCTGCATCCTATGATCACGAAGCCAAGGGATATCATCGAGACGTACAATGTTTCTCCATGTCGGTTCCAAGTCGTTTGAGTACATCGCCTGAGCACCCAGGATATCATTTCGCATTCCATCTCGAAACTTGTGCTTCTCAGCAATACGAGATTTGTGCCAGTACTGGGTTTCGTGCTGCCAGGGATACTTCGGCAGATCTCGTAGGAAGGACCGCTCACTTGTACCACTGCAAGGGAAGTTGGCCTCATTGATGTTGAGGGTTGCTCCTCGCACATACGCCGCACCGGCAGCGTCCAGAACGGACTGAGCAGGATCAACATTACGCAGAATCGTCGGAGCATAGCCGATCTTAGAGGCTACGGCCGTGCCAAGGGTCTTCAAAGTATCGAGGATCGGGCCTTTAAGTGCGGAATGGGGTCCGACTTCAATAAGGAGATTAGGCTTATCCCCATCAGCGCACATTTTGCTGAGAGCGTTGGCAAAGAGCACTGGAGATGTCAAGTTCTGTACCCAGTAGCTGGGACTCAGGTCACTCGCTTGTCCGATCTCACCGGTCACAGAGGAGAAGAAGGTCGCGGTGGCTGTTTCCGCGGGATGGATCGATTTGATAGTAGCAAGATACACGTCGCTCACATTCTTCATGTGGTTGGAGTGATAAGCCACATCGATCTTGAGCTTGCGGTTGAAAATCTGCTTCTCTTCGAGTATCATCTGAAGTTCATCGATAGCTGATACATCGCCAGAGATAGTCACACTAGAAGGACTGTTCACACAGGCCACAGTCGCGTAAGACGAGAGAGTCTTCAGCATAGGTTTTATAGCTTCCTGGCTCGCACCAACAGCCATCATAGTGCCCTTCAGGTCGGGGAACGAGGTCTTTAGCAATTCAGTCATTTGACCACGGCGATACGCAAGTGTCATTGCGCCTTCTAGGTCAAAAATGCCAGCGGCATAAGCCGCGCCAATCTCGCCGGAACTGTGACCGACAACCGAGGATGAGCGAATACCCCAAGACCGGAGCAGGTCAACCAGCGCAATCTGGAGTGCCGTACACGCTGGTTGACTGAGATAAGGCGTGTTGATTTTTGAGGTTGTCGCGCACTTATACAGCTCGTCCAGAAGGGAGAACTTTGCGCCAAGGTCGTCAGAAAGATACCGATCAGCGCGTTTAACTGCTGATCCAAATATCGGGTATTCATCAATAAGGGGAATGCCCATTTGAGCCCACTGGGCTCCCTGTCCAGTGAATACAAACGCTATTTTCGGGCCTTCACCTCCGAGCACTCGCGTCGGGTTGACCTTCATTTGGGCTAGTTGGATCCCAACGTCATTGAGAGACGTAGCGGAGAGGGCAATGCGGTATGGAAGGTGAGACAGTCTGCTCCCAACTGTGTAAACGAAGTTCCTAAACAGAGAGTCCTCAAAGGCCTCAGGTCGTTGCTCGAAATAAATCCCATAATCCAAAATTCTCTTCCGCAACGCCTCTCTATCATTCGCTGAAATCAAGATAAGCCTGCGCTTGAAATCTTTATCTGTATCGTTATCTTCCTGTGGCTGCTCTGGGGGAGCCTTTTGCAGTACAACATGCGCGTTGGTGCCACCGAAACCGTAGTTGGAGACACTGATATATTTCTTGCCCCGGGGCCACGGCCGGGTTGAGGTCACGACCTTCATATTCCATTCTGCTAATGGAATATCCGGGTTGGGCTTCTTGAAGTCGGCATTGGGCAACAAGAGTCCACTATCAAGCATCATAGCAGCCTTGATAATTGAAACAACACCGCTTGCGCCTTTGAAATAAGAGGTTCAAAATCAGCTTCGGCAAACTAAATACAATCTGGATGTCTTACCTTCGAGGTGCCCGACGTTGGACTTGACTGATCCCATATAGAGCGGATTTCTCGGCGTCCGGCCTTGTCCAAGTGCTGCATGGATCGCAGCAGCTTCAATTGGATCTCCTGCCTTCGTGCCTAATCCAATATATTGTGTCAGCCTCATCGGACTTTCATGGAATGATTGACACGTACCTGTTCCATGTGCTTCAGCGAACCCACAGTCTGCTGGATCCAGATTTGCCTCGGAGTATACACGGCGAATTAATTCCTCTTGGGCTGCTCCATTTGGTAGTGTAATTCCTTTTGTCCTCCCGTCTTGGTTGACACCCGAATGAGCAATGACCGCACGGATAGGATCTCGATCGCGTAGTGCTGCAGAGAGAGGCTTAAGCATCACCACACCCGCGCCCTCGCCTCTTGCAAAGCCGGATTTGCCCCTCTCTTCAAAGGAAAATGTTTTTCCATCATCGTTGAACAACCTGTTAAGATGTTAAAAAAAGGACCACAAGACCAAATCGACGAATATATATCTGCGTATAAGGGGGAGGGGAGGAGAGCGGGGAATCTCAGGTCGAACACTTACTGTGACATGGACATAGTAATGAAATTATCAGGAAGCAGAAGCAAATGGCACCCGCCAACAAGCGCCTCGGTAGATTCTCCACTTCGCAAGCTCTGCATAGCAGAATGCAAGGCGACAAGGGAAGATGAGCAGGCCGTATCAACCGTAAAACTGGGACCCTTTAGGTCAAACATGTATGAGATTCGGTTGGACTGCAGAGCCATTGAATTTCCGGTGGCTTGGAACATCGGGGCCGTCTCGGTATCGCGTAGGTTGTTGAGCTCGTAATCGGAAAAGTTTCCTCCGACAAAGACACCTACATTACGCCCGGCCATAGATTCTCTGGGAATTCCAGCGCTCTCCAATGCCTCGTATGAACATTCTAGCAGCAAACGTTGTTGTGGGTCCATAGAAATGGCTTCTTGGGCGCTGACGTTGAAGAAAGGAGCGTCGAACCGAGAAACATCTTCCATAAAGTAACCGCCTGCGGGGTTGAGGGTTCCCGCCTTGGAAGGATTGGGATGGTAGTAGGAGTCGGACGAGAATCGGTCCTTAGGGATAGGTGTCCAGCCACTTCGGCCTCGTGTACATAACTCCCAAAGGTCGCCGGGGGAAGACACATGACCGGGAAGTCGACAGGCATATCCAATGATCGCAACAGGCTCCGGAGCGGGAGATTCTCCTGCCTGGGGATGTGACCCATTGCAGCCTGCTGTACTGTGCATGGTGGGTGATATTTTTGGATAGAATCGGAAAGAGGGAGGTGTTAATGCTTAGGAAGGGTTGGGAGCAAAGACTGCTAAATGCCAGCCGTGGTCCATCAAGATTGCGAAAAACAAAAAACGAAAATTCAGGTACAGAATAGGGATCAACGAGTTCATACGTGCAATCGTTGTCAGATCGTCCAACAAAAGGGCCATGTGGTGTACCACTTTATGGGTAGCTCTGGATACACTCCAGGGCTAGTTCACCTTCCTATTTTGCGGGATCGAATTGGCCAACCTTGGAACCACCCATGGAAGTATCCTTCAAATTAAAGTTCCCGACTTGTTTTTAAAAAGTGGGGACCAGCTCAATCGGTCTCGGTCCCTTACGCAGCCCCATATGACGCGAGGGGTCAAAACGCCAGGGCTGCGGATTGGTATTTGAATGCTTGATTTTGGCCCCTAGCCCTGAATTAAGACCGGCAGAAGAATTAAAATACCTGAATTACTACATACATATGTAGTATTACAGCTTCCTTAACTGATAAGCAAAGCACTGTAGATGAATCCATCCATGGGCAGTTCTATCACCTGTCTGTAGTATATGGTAAAATGAAGCTTTTCATCCCATACAAATCAATGTATTACCACTTTTTGGGGTGGTTTACTAGGTCTCTACTCTGATGTGTAAAAATGAAGCTTTTTGACGCCATACAAATTCATGCATCTCCATTTCTGCAGGTGGTTTACAGCTCTTAATGAAGCTTTTTACACTATACAAATTAATGCATTTCTATGCTTTTGGGTGGTCTTCATTGAGAGCTTGTAAACCAACCACCTGAAAAATTGGAGATGCATGAATTTGTATGTCGTAAAAAGCTTCATATTAGGATGAAAACTTACATTACATTGTATAGAGCGGTGTAACGAGCGGTCAAGAACCATGCTAAAGTCAAGCATTAAGGCATCAATATTTACCGGAAATGGGGGTTTGACCCCTGGCGTCCATGGGACTGCGTATGTTGTAGTCCCTGCAGATCTACATACACAGTACCGTACAACAATGGCTCTCTGTCGATCGCATTGGCTCAAATGGATATCTCATATCCTATGTTGTATGCAGATCGAATATGTTCGGCTTCGAAAATGGACTCAGCTCCCTCAAGATTCAGTCTTGTTACATAACCCTTGTCTTTGCCTTATTACTCTCTATGATCCTCCAATATATTGATCCTGCAATCTCCCATTATTAAAATTCAACTATTTTTGGTCCCAGCAAAACCAGGATGCATTTCCTCTGTCTTCACGGTGCCGTCGGCAACACTGATGTAAGTGAAGCCAAAATTGAGGAGAGAGAGAGAGATCAGAGTTGGGCGACGCTAATAAGCGCAGAATATCACCATCCAGCTAGGTAACTATGCTGCTTCCGACGAGTGATACATTATTGACACGGCAAAACCATTCAGCACCTCTACAGAAGGATTTGAACACAGATGATGCTGCGACTTTTCACTATATCAACGGTCCTGTGAAATTTACACCTCCACCAGGTAAGCAATCCTCCTGATCAAATCAACGCGTACGGTGTTTAACGGTGACACAGGGTTCGAGGAATATTTTGGGGTGGGGCCGCATTATCGGTGGTCTGATGATGGAGAATCGCACGAGAATTCCTGGATCATGCGCGTGCGCAAGAATGCGGCCGGAGGCAATCCAGAGGATGCGATGAGGGACTTGGCAGGGGGCGCCGGCTGCCGCAACTACAAGGAGTTGATGGGCTATCTCTACGAGACACTTGAAAAACATCCCGAGATCAGCGGTCTAGTGGCGTACAGCGAGGGAGCTTCTGCCGCAGCCACTTTTATCCTGGATGAAGAGCGCAGGCATCGAGAGGAAGGTCGCGATCGCCAGATCAAATGTGCCATGTTTATTACTGGTTGGCCCGCTTTCAATGGCGATAAGGGGTTCATCCTCTCCGACGAAGGGGGTGAGGAAATGATCGACGTGCCTACCCTCCATGTTGTCGGCGCAAATGGTATTGATGCCATCTCTCCTTGCTTTGACGTGTGGCTGATCACAATTTATTTTTTTCTGAGCAGATCCTTTCCGATACGGTTCATATGCCCTTTATGACATTTGCGACCCCGACACAGCTGAGCTTTTTGATATGGGCAAGGGTCACGTCATTCCACGCTCGGGTTTGGTGATTAACGAGCTGAGTAACGCGATACGAGAATTGATCAAGAAGACATATTAGGATTGGGTGGGGGGAAGAAGATCGAGGATCGGACAAGGACTACTACCTATTACGTAGGTGGGTGAGATCGATAGTTGAGGAAAGACTATTCCGAATTCCACACTATCCACATCTCCTCGCCCTTTTCATCACCGGTAGTTTATCGGCCTCGAGATCTGCAGACGCCAAAATAAAAATCCCTATAGGAACATTTGAAGTTCCGGCGAAGTTCGGGTTTTCTGGCGTTTAGGTTTTATGTGCGACAAATGGGGGCAGATCGGTCAACTTCGATTCCAATTGGTTCAGCTCGAGCCGCAATGCAGTCAAGTGGATGCCAATAGCCTGAGAGTGTGGATTCCTTCTGGAAAATTGTCCCGAGTAACAATTCGAGACTAATAAACAATGAAGGCGTAATATTCAAGTTTTTATGGGCGGTTTCCAACACTGTGGATGAGCGGGACCAAACCAATGCAATGGGCCGGGTGGATCAGTATTATGGTTATCGTGGTTAGTATTACGCTACGGAGATATTCGGGTCCACACAATATATACATATGTAAGTTATAAACTCATGCTAACTAACGAGCCCTTACATTTATGTATCAAATTACAGACCCTTAAATGTAATTTATGAAAGGGCCGGTTAGTACGTCAGGGTCGTCCAAAGATAATTACAGCTTGCCCCTGCTGTGCTTATCCCTTGTTATCCGCAACAAAATTAATTTTGCGACCGTCGAATTGGTGTGATTCAACCCAGCAAAATGCATTTCTTGTGTCTTCACGGGTCAATGGGAAATGTCACTGTAGGTCAAGATCCGGGGGTTCCAAGGAAAGAGATTGAAGGGCAGGACTAACTGTTGCAGGCATTCAGTGCACAGCTAGGTATGTGTCAATTGACGCTGTTCAAAAAGCTCCCATCGGCTGACAGGCCATTCAGGGCCCTTGCGACAACACTTGGAACAGGACAATGCGACTTCTTTCCACTGTGTCAATGGCCTGGTGAAGAGTGATACCCCTGAAGGTTCGATACTCCAGCAAAGGTGCATATGTTCCTATCTAACAGAAAGCAGGGTTTGGGGACTTCTTTGGGCCCGGACAGCACTATCGCTGGATAGGAAGAGAAGGCGCCGACGAAGACACAATAAACAAACGAATTCGCGGTTCGCGGGTCATCCAGAGTCCGGAAGATACGTTAAGATCCCTGGTGCATGATGTGACCTGGATCAACCACAAGGAAATCATGGAGTATCTCGACGAGACACTGGAGCAGAATCCCGATATCACGGGTATACTTGGATACAGCGAAGGAGCGTGTATCGCATCAACTTATATCATACACGAGGAAAAGATGCATCGGGAGACTGGCCGCCCTCGGCGTATCAAGTGCGGTATCTTCTTCACCGGCATGCCTCCCATTAATCCAACTCAGGGATTTGTTCTCTATGATGACACGGAGGATATGGTTGATGTACCCACCCTTCATGTCATTGGTTCAATTGGTATTATACCTCCTCAAATCAGGTTTGACAATTTGCTAATGATTTCTATCCGCATAGATCCCTACCGAGCTGGTGCAGACGCGCTATATAATGTTTGCGATCCCGATACGGCCGAGTTCTTTGATACTGGCAAGGGCCACACTGTTCCGCGTGGCGGACCTGTAATTGATGAGCTTGGAGCTGCGATTCGAGGGATCATAGAGCAGGCCGAAGCCGAAGAGTGAAATGTCGAAAGGTTGTGAAGGATACGTCCAGGAGCGCTATTGTCTCAGATATTTTTGATACTATTACATTGAGTGAATTCCTCCTCGAGGTTAATAGGGACAAAATAATGGTAGAAGAACCCTCAGTTCTAATATCATCCGACGTATAGTCTGCCTCCATGGGCCGGAGCCCACTAAGTGCCGCGGACTCGCAAGTGCATGAGCAGTTCCAGTTGCTCATGCCTAGGCGATGGCGGCTACTTTGGAATCTTGTTAGCTTTATGTCTCGAACGCAGTTGGCAATAGGGCATTAACGGGAGGGGGTATCTCCTTTCTTTGGTTTGTATTGCTGGGTAAAATCTATCTCCAAGTTCAAAATATTTCGATGGATTTGATGTCAACCTGGGCTCTTTGTTACCTCCGTGGTTTATTTAAAATTCCGGGCATAGACAAGACCATCGTACCTTGGGTGGTTATGCGTTATGCTTGTTGTAAGAAGTGCATTTCCACGAGCCGGTATGACTCCCACCTTCCAGCACCTGTTGCTCGAGTATGTCGTGTGGTGTGGGATGGCAGTGGATTGGCCGATGCGCTGAAACCCCGATCGGCGTGCAGAGAAGTTCAGCTTTCTTTTGTGGTGCTCGTCCTAACGTTCGATGTAGAAGAGGTATCGGATGTACTTTGCGTTTCCCTCCTGTGATTCCCATCTGTCGTTGTCTTCGTCCGCGGTGGAAATTTTGGCTGCGAGGTCTTTAATGTTTGTGGCGACCTCTGCGCAGTTGGCTTGAATTTACTGATCATCTCCAGGTTTATTTCTAGGATCTGGAGAAGGCTCGGGTCTGTTTCCGCCTGATTCTGGGGCTGCTTGGGCTTGGAGTTAGTGAGAGGGGCGGGGCTCTGATTCCTGCTGGCTGGCTGCGGGGACTTCGCCGGGCTGAAGGTAGCTGCGAAGAGATCGTCGTCTTCAACTTTGACTTGGACGTCCATGTCTAGGTTGTTTTGGTACTGGATCGCTTTCGCTTGGTCGTAATTAATGTCAATGTTTGATCAAAACAGCTTCAATCTACGCTCATTGATCTTTCAAATTCAGAGAGGTATTATGCTGATTAAAACTGAAATTTAAAATTCTCACCAGCTGCTGGCTATACGTAAACCTGACATCTATAGAAATCGACTAGAGGTGCAAGGATCTATTCATTTGACGGAAAAGCGGAATCATATGAAGCTATACACCTATAAAATTAAGCGAAGTTGCGTGTGATCTAGTGAGTGCCCGCGTCCTACCCGTAGGTATATAGATTGAGTGAGCCCATTGGTGGTGTTCGCACCTTGTCTATCAGATAGCTTTCTTTTTCTTAAGTGTACAGTCCTGCCCGCGGAAAGAGACTAAGAACGCCCACCAAAACAGATTGGCAGACTGCCGCGCCGTCGCCGCCGTTATAATCCTAGTTCTGATCATCGGCGCCGCCTTTCTTTGGCGCTGGTATGTCAACCCTACTTTTTTCCTCCTAGATTGTGTGTTGTGCTAATAAAGGATATATGCAGCCTGGAAAAACGCGAGGCCCGTAGGGCCGTCCTCAAGCGGTGCTTACGCGCCGATGGGAAATGGCGGACAAGGCCGCCGCTAAGCAGCGCAAGAAGGTCGAGAAGATCCAATGCCATGCTTAGGGAAGAAACTGGCTGGGACTGTGTACACATTGGAGTTGATGGTAAAATCTGCGCACTAGATATGATAGCCTGGAAGGTCGACTAGCCGTACTAGTTGGCAGGGTGTGCCTTTGTCGACGTCTCCGAGTAGGATGGTCAGGTGAATTCATCAAACCTACACTAATGACGAAAATGACCGTCGCATCCTCTGTAATTCTTCTATACCCGTCGGTTCGCCAAGTCCTACGGACTCGACGCTGCCTTAGCAGCTCTTGGAGATTCGTAGAGGATGTGGCCTGCGTGGAGATTTATCACACCTGCGTTTCTGCCCATGATCATGCGGGTCTCTTGCATTACTCTTTCCTATACGTATCCCCGCTGGCCCATGCGCACTCGTAGCCTCCTGTGCAGGTCAATTTGCTCGTCATTGGGCGTTGGAATATGTTGAGTGTGGCCTTGTGTCTACCAAACTCTCGAGATATCGTATTTGATGGGTCGCCTCACGGAGTGCCATTTGGCGAAGGTTTAGGGGTCGCGTAATGGCGCGAAACCTGAGCTGCGTGAACGGCTCAAGTTTATCGTTGTTGGTTGAGTGGAATGGCCGCTAATGGGTATTTCTTCTTTGTGAGCTTTGTGTTTATGATGCGGGCATCGACGGAGCATTGAGGGGGAGGTGTTTGTCATGTTCGGTACGGCGAACGCGATGGATTGGGCGACCATGATGAAGAGCTCGGCTTTCAGGCGATGGGATTCCAAATTTGCTCGTTTGTCCACTCGTCGACATCTTCTTGGGCTTGCAGCCGAAGGAAAGGTCTGAGAGTGCGCCACGCTTCCCTTGTCGGCGCGATTCTTGGAAGTCGGAAACGAGCATCGCGGGAAGGAGACGTATCTTATTTTCTGGTCAGACTTTGTGCAATTGTGTCTGAAAGTTGAGACAGTAGTCGAGTTTATCCTGCAAAATAAACTATCTTACTTAGCTCATTTTTTAGGCGGAAGTCTGGAGCATAGGGTGGAGGAGGTTTACCTTTGGTGGTTGTAGTTTTAAACCAGGTACAGGAAATGCGAAGGTTGAAGATGCGAAGGTTGAAGAAGCGAAGGGAGAAGATCGATAGAAAGTATCTTAAGCAGCAGTTCCTACGGCAGGTGCGGTAAGCACCTTTAGGGTAAAGCAATAGTCTGAACAAAAGGTAAGAAAAATTGAACATTTTATCATCAATGGTAGATATATATTTGTTTTAGTTCAGCCAATGTTCTCCCACATCCACCGGTCCACCCACTGGTCATTGGCCTCTTGGGCCCGTAGGCCCTGCATCTCCCCAAGCAGGCCTAACATTCGCAGCTCAAATATTTCCAGCGTTTCTAGGACCTTATCAGGTATTCCGACGCCGGGGTCAGCGTACAGACTGATCAGAGCTGCACTGTTCCCGATAATGACCGTGGCCTCTTCCAAAATTCTTCTATATCCCTCCTTCCGCCGCTCGCGGCGGACTCGGAGCTGCCTTAACAGCTCTAGGTACCCAGCACTAAGGGAGGCCACTTTTTCAGTGTTGTTAGCTTATTCCGTGGGACGAGATTGGCAACAGAGTATCGGGAGCGTGTGTATCTCACTTTCTGTGGAACACTTAAGGAATTGTGTTTTTTGGTTGTGAGTAGCATTAACTTCAACCTGTAAAACAAACATTCTGAGTTAGCTCATCAGATGGCCAGCAAGTCAAGGTTGGTCGTGGTGCCGTGTCAATTTACCTTTGGTTGCTAGTTGATATTTCAAGGTTAGAGGAAATGTGAAGGAGAAAAGAAAACAGAAATGATCGTTTGGGAAGAGATTAAATAGTAATTTCTACGAGACAGCGCACCTTCAAGAGGAAGGCGCGACGGTCACCTTCAAAAGGAAAGAGGAAGACTGGTGACAACCGCTCTTCAGGTATAGCCACAGCATGAACGAAGTCCACATTTTAATATATCTAAGATCAGTCCTAGGCAGTGATAAATTATACAAATAGTAACCCGCAACTAAGAGGAAAGTGATATTGAGTTGATACTTAATTTATATATGAGTATAATAAAAGGTGAAAGAAAAGTGAGGTTTGACGATGCCAGTTGCGGGTTATATATTGAAGATGAGACTGAGTTCAGATGGTTTTATGACCACCTAGGTGACTCACTCTATCCATGTGCAATATTCCGGTAGAGATGTCTACCAGATTCCACCAACTCAACTAGGGTCTATAACATGAAAGTCGAGCAGAAGCTGGAGCAAGACGGCCAGTATATGTCCTAGCATCCAGATGATTTGGAACTAATCACGTACTCTGTGCCCCATACTATTGCGATGCGTTTGGCAAATAACCTGTACTGCTCACTGTCGATCTTGAAACGAAAGTTCATCTGCTACCTGGAAACAATGAGCACTACATAATTGGGTTTCGGCCAAGTCGAAAGTTCTAGCCATAGGGTAATGGGTCAAACCTTGGGTGGACTTGGTTATTATTGTTATGGGAGATGCAATTCTAGGGTATATCTAAATATGAATATAGTGAACGCAAAGAAACATTTGAACGTACCAAAAATTTCAATTAAATTAGCTGTGGTTTCGTTATCCACAATATGCTTGAACCCAAAAATCAACACACGGCTCCATATATAGACTTTCAGCTTATTTCGATGATGATATTACCCAGTCTGATCACAGCTGTCCTGAAGTATGACACGGTACTCTTCTTCTTCGGCCTCTATGTCGAACATATGCTCAAGACGCTCCTCCACTCTCTGTCGTAGAGCATGTCTGGCTACAATAGTGACATGGTAGCGGTCGTTGAACGGATCCAGAGTCCCAAATGCTGTGTGCATGCGTAGGATTTGCCAGGCCTCACGTCACATAACTCCGAGCACAGATCCGTTGGATATCGCGGACCCGCAGCGCCGTGAGCTGCTCGAGTTGGGCATTGTTGAGGGCCCGGATTGCCTGGTTTTCTGCCACTTCTTGTATGTCAGCCAGGTTTGGGATGCAATTTCAATGCCGTTAGACACACAGGATAGAGCTCTTGGTCTTTCACTGGTTCGGCATCGTCAAGTACTTTATAATAGGGAGAGAGAAAATCTTTATCGCCTATTGGTGTAGCAACCGGTTCGAGATTATCCATGTCGAAGCCAGTGAGGATCTTCTCCATGTAGTAATATTCTAAAAGTGGATGGCACCGTCTTTATCCCGAAAGACGTCAATCCTGACAGATCGAAGTGCTTCGGGGCCCCGGGTTTAAAAGTGCTCAGCCCACCAGGCTCGTGCAGGTAGCTGCATGACACCACTTTGCATACGAATCGCTTTGAACACACTTCCCTCAATAATCTTGGATTGCCGATATTTAATTGGCTCCATCCAAATGAGGAGCTTATTCTATCTTAATTATGCGAACACGGTCTTACCTGTTGTGTGCATGCCTTTGGTGCTTTCTGTATATGACCGAAGAACATATGCCAACTCAGAGCTTGTTGCAAATATCAACGTCATACTAGAAATCGCTCAAATATCAAAACTTGCCAACACCTGCCAGAACTACATGGAGACCGGATCAGAATCGAGATATTATCAAACAACAAGCGCACTGCTGCCACAACTCATGATGAATGGCCCCAGATTGTTGTGTATCCAGGCCTTATTTGGAATGATATGTGGAGGAAACGTTCTGTCCCTCTCACTATAACGATGGTTTCGTTTCGCTTACAAATTAAAAAAACCCGAGTATTGGCAATATTTTTGGGTATGAATGGCGATATAAAGCCCGCCTCGCCTTTGATTGCAGCAGCTCTTCAGTCATCTTACCAGCTCGGATTCCATAGGCGCAAGTGCAATGAAGACATCAATTCGGATTGGACAGACAAGGAAGGCGTTCACGGGTGTAATGTGTGCTGCTTATATCCTCGATACAAGGCGTGTACTATAATCAATATAAATTCTCGGGACAGTCTAACATGGGGCCGTCTTTGGACATGCTTTTCAATGGGCCAATCCTAATAGGGGCATGAAAGAACGAGGTTCGAGGGCCACTATCGTAGAACCCAGAATAGAAATCTAGCAACATGACTTGGGTTCGGGAGCACTAGTGCCCAGCAACACTGATCTACCAACCAACCCCCAGATAATCGAGAGAATCCTTCTCGTAGCATTGGCACACTATTATTTACAACTTGGTAGTCTAATAAAGCAAACCACCAGGCCATCCGTTTTCTACGGTATAGGCGTTTGAGGGCGTGGACCCTGTCAAGGTTTCATAATACTTCCTTCCCCCACACTCGTTCTCCTCAGTCACATTTGTACAATGGCCCTGTATCAACCCCGCAATCTGCGCTCCGACCTCCCTACCCTCAAACCATGCCCCATGTAGAAAGCCAAAGTACTGTGAGCTTGTCGCCTCGCCCGCAAACCACAATCGTGAAGTATTGGCGCGCAGGTTCTGGTGCATCTCTAGAGTGGTTCCTAGCGGCCAGTTTGAGTAGCTCCCATATGCCCATTCCGCCTTGTTCCATCTAGGATATAGGAAAGCAGTTGGTTCAGGGATAGTGGTCCCGGGAAACATCTCTCGCAGGACGGCCATGATTTCAGCCTGGGTCTCAGTATCGGAAAGGCGCTCAACGCGGTAAGCCTCCTCAGCGAGAACCGTTGCAAACAGAATGTTCGAGCCTTCTAAGAAGCCAGGTGCAGACAGCGACTGGAAGGATGCGAAGTAGCCACGCCGTTCCGGGGAGGCATATAGTAAATTCTGGCTGTTCTTCGGCCAGAAGGTCTCGTTGAATTGCATGAAGATCTTGGTGTAGGTCCCCATGGTGAATTTTTGGATCGCAGTGCGTTTCCATAAAGGGAGCTCGGGGTTGAAGTCCACCACCATGTTCTGTAGGACGCCAAGGGAGAAGGTGCAGATGGCATAGCTCGCCGTAATACAGGTGCCATCATGATTATAGACTGTGACCCCAGTGTCCGAGTAGCTAATGTTGGTGACTTTAGTATTGAGAAGTAGGCGGCTGTCATTATTCTCCAGGAAGGTGTCTGCCTCGCCCTCGATAATAGCGCTGTATCCGCGCGGATCCGTGACTAGGTGATTATCGGGCCCGAATTGGCCAAAGGTAAAGCCACCTGCCGCAAGGCTGAAGGCGAGGGAGCTCTCACCGGCAGGGGAGGCACTTTCCACATCTATGACAGTTAGTTTTATGGATATGGAGTATGGGAAGTGTGAAGGATAATGTCAACACACCGCCTCTCAGCCAGTCTACTGCCTGGGCCGCCATGTCGTCAACCTTAGGTTTCCATCCTCCCAAGGCCATGCCTTGGCGGATACTCATGTCCTGTAGGTTGTTTTTAAGGATAACTGAGCCAATTTCTGCCATTTTCTTAGACGCTATTTCGTATTCGTCCAGTAGATAAGTGTAATCAACCGATCCGGTGTCATCGTAGGTCTGCATCGAGGTGAAATCGGAGAGCGCCGTTGTTAGATTATATTTTTGGGCCTGCCTCATGTTAGCTTTCCAGATAGCATCCCAATCGTCTTCTTCCTTCTGGATATCTCACCAATCTCAATATCGGGTTTCCTGATGACTGGTCAGTGATATTCTCTACTTCATCGCCAAATGGAGTTCTCACCAGAGCCATTTGTTGCACCGGCCCCTTGCACCTGTTTTAGAATTAATAATGATAGATTTAGGGCTAGCACAATAACCTTACCCAGTATGCTCCGAGTTCAACACCATAGGGTGTGCCGTCTGCCTTTTGTCCGAATGTCGTATGGTTCACCCGCCCGCCGATTCTGTTCTGGTATTCAACGATGACAAAGTCGGAGATGGATTGATTGTTCAACGCTTGCTGCTCAGATTAGACTTGCTTGGATGGACTAACGGGGGGATGGGCATACCGCAGCAGTAATCCCCGCCATTCCACCTCCCCTGGAGAGCATCAGTTCCTAGTCTCTAGCAACAGAGGATTTCCAAGCCGTCGTTGCTTACAGGATGGCCACGGTAGTATTTCTACAGGCCCCAATCCCAGCAGTCCCTTGCGCTGCTGAGCCCTGGACAACCAGGCCCAAGATGCTCGTAATGCTGAGAAGGCGTTGTAAGTGCATGTTGTATTGCTGAGAAGCCTGTTTGCCAGAGTGATAGCAGGATCAAGATCGGGCGACTTTATATACCTACAACTTGATAAAGCGGGGCTCATACCAAACTTTGCAACTGATCCCTGTTAGGCTGCATGATTTCCCCAAGGGGCCCCGCGTGGGTCCACCTTCCCAGTAAGGGAATAGTCAAGCAGGAGTAAATACCGCTGAATGCGTCCCTACCACTGCCGTACTTGTCGTTCATGGGGTTACAGAGTTACACCGTGGCCGATGAATCCAGTAGTAGCGGCAAATTAGTCGGCAGATGACCATATATGGTGGGGGCGTCCACCTTCTAGAATAGGCATGGCGGGGACATTGGGATGGGGCCCTAACAACCAATAAATACCCGCCATCCAAAATTGTTGGATGTATATTCCATCCTACTTACTGAGAGTTCAATAGCTTGCGCGTCGGTCTTACATTTTAGTATGAGGTTAGGGCACCTGATAAATTCACCTCACTCTATTTTTTATTGCAATTTAATCCCCATTGGGGGCGAGAGAGTGAAAAGTTTATCCTTTGCCTCGGTGCCTCACCCTGACAATTCCCATCTCCCTGTCTAGCTTTATTATTCGGCATATCAGGAATCGTTGTTTCTGCCGAGCAGTGGGGGAAATGACTTTGGGGACCCCAGATAATCATCGCCTTGGCATGCGTCCTAGACCCGGGGTCTCCCAGGCACTGAATACTTAGCATGGTTATATAAGAGACCTATACTTCCCATCTCATAGTCATCACCTCCTATCTCCACGCAGTAAACATGGAATCAAAGAGTCCCACAACTTCAATATATTCCGTCATGGCTTTGGAGAGTGGCCCTGCTACCAATACTATTCCAGAAGATATCCCTGGCACACGACTTCTCGTGGATGAAAATATTACACAAGTTGTCTGCCATCCCCGGCCGAGTAAATCGCCCAATGATCCTCTCAACTGGGGTCGGGTGCGGAAGTACACGTCTATGTCTATTGTCTGCTTCTGGGTCATGCTGTTAGGCGGCGCTACCCTCTCGCCAGCAGTAACATATAGGCCCCTGATAAACGAGATGGGCATGGCTGTGAATTTCCTGAATATTGTGGCTGCACTCGCACTGTTACTTATGGGACTGGGAAACTTGCTTTTCAATCCTCTAGTAAGCGTGGTTTTGGTCCATGTGTGGATAATTTGAGTCGGACACTCACCCGGACCTTAGGCACTACGATTCGGAAGACGTCCAGTGTACCTGATTTCTGCCTTGATCAGCATAGCTGCCTCGATTATTGCTGCTAGCTCAAAGTCCAAGGGCGCCTACATGGCGGCTCGGGTACTTCTGGGCTTCGGAGCGGCGCCCTTTGAACAACTCCCCGCTCTCACAATTGACGATCAGTTTTTTATTCACCGTCGAGGATTCGGCCTGTCATTGTACACATGCGCGCTCAACGTTGGGTCATTTCTAGGACCCGTGGCATCGGGATTCGTGACGGAGAGCATGGGATGGAGATGTAAGTCATGCCGCCTTATATTGGTAGATGCCGTTGTTGTTAACTCAATCCACTAGGGATGCACTGGTGGTATGCCATCTTCCTTGGGCTTGCCGCTGTCCTTATCTTCCTGTTTCTAGAAGAGACAAAATTTGCCCGCCATCTCCATGATACCGGTCCTAACATTGAGACCGAGGTACACGCCTCTGAGCAACCAAAGCCCTACTACCAACGCCTAAGTCTCTTTACTAGCCGCGACAGTCCCCTCGGCTTCGTTCAGCTCGTACTCGGCACCTTCAAAATGCTCCGTGAACCGATTATCTGGTGGTGTGGGATTACATATGGGTTCGGGGTTGCTTGGCTCACCATCATGGCCTATGAAGCTAGCACCGTTTTCGCCACCTATGGCTTCTCCTCTGCTGCCATCGGCCTCGCCAATATAGCCCCCTTCATGGGCGCCTGCTTGTCACTCTACGTGGGTGGTGCGGGAACAGATCGGTTCATGGTATGGAAAGCGCGCCGTAATGACGGAGTCATGGAAGCGGAATCACGCATCTACTCTGTGCTCATCGCGGGCCCCATTATGTGCAGTGGGTTGGTTCTATACGGCGCCGGTGCCGCGCACCATGTACACTGGATGGGACCTGTTGTTGGGATGGCAATGATTGGGAGTGGGCTCCCTATTGGGGCGGAGGTCACGCTGGGCTATGCGAGTGAGAGTTATCCGTCACTAGCCGGAGAGGCAACAACGGCGCTTGTCTGTATCCGAAACATCATTGGGGCCGGGATGACTTTTGCCATTGGACCCTGGATCGAGCTTTGTGGGCTGCAAAATACATTTGTGACAGTCGGTGTGCTTGCGTTTGTCGTGTTCTATTCGGGGATTTTCTTCATCTGGAGAGGAAAGGCCTGTCGGAGAATGGGAGCAAAGCGGTATTACCAGATGGTTGCAAAAAACCAGTAATTGGACCTATAGTAGCTCTGAACAGTATAAGCAGCTAGCGAATGCAAATGTCAAGAGGTGACTTTTGTACTCCCAATATTTCATTTTCCAAATGCTACATCGGGATTTCCCCGGTGGTGCCAAAGGGCTATGGCTTTGGTGACTGAGGATGAGAATGGAGCATTGTTCCATACGCTTGTATGCAGCTCATGTTGCGAGGGGAACCTTTTAATGGCATTAACTGAAAATGGAGTTATCGATAGAAACCCCTAGATGATAGTGACTTTTCCTATCGCCCATTGATTCTCGATACACGGGCATTTAAATACTTATTTTATAACTTTCTAGCAATAAGAATGCACTGATAACTCCCCTAATAGAGTGTCACGTCGAGTTAGTATAGGATCGCCTTCCCTTCTAGTAGCACGGAGACGCCTAAAAACGTACTTCTAAGTGCTAAGCTTATAGATTAATAGTCCTATTAACCGGCAACAAATATGTAATAATATTAAGGGCTATAAAAGAGGCGCATTATTACTCACTATATCGTTGGGGTTGGACTGCTGCGCCGTGCCTGAATATCGCTGCAATTAATCGCCTGCACGGCTGTCAGCAGACGACTATACACTTCTCATGAGCTGATTTTGAGAATATGCAATCGAGCGCGAGCTTCCCGGTCCGCCACGAGTACACCATGACGATAATCATATAAATTGTACCATTCTGGAGTTCACGGGGTTGTTTCTCAACCGTGCGTACCACGGTCTATCCTTCATTGGCCTACATCGCCGTGTCTCGGTGCTTGCATCTCCTTCTCCTTCCCGTTGTGGGGTTGAGCTGGGCGAGATTTAGCTTTCTGGCTAGATGGTGACGAGGACCTAGGTGATGCCCAACTGAGGAGACTCGCCCACCTAAGCGAAGGCTCTTCGTTCTCATTACGAAGCAATAATTGAAGAAGTGGCACCGTTCCCCGGACGAAACTCAAAGCTGCTGATTCGGTGGTGCAAAGTACATTCTGAATCCGTTGTGCCGGATTTCCCCTTTCGATGGGAATACTATCAAGAATCATGCTTGGTCCTCCCGCCTAACCCCAGCTGCTAATCGTCTACAAATGTTTCAAGCTATTGCCTCGAATCCACATTGATATCACAATGGCTTTCGCTGGATAAGGTATGGCTATCGCGCATATCTAGTATTGACTCTAGATGGATACTGTTTAATATCTCATATGAAATGCAGATATGCAGCTCTACCGTTACTATTATAGTGTCTATTTACACACCAAAGCATGTTTAATCTCGGAATTGACGCCCCCAAACTGTACTAGAGCGCGGCCCAACGCCAGGTGTCGCTCCGCACAAATGTTCGAACTGTTCGAAGTTCGCGAATTTCGACGAATCAAATCGAATTCGAACCTTGGTTTTCGTGCTTCGAACCTATGGGCGATTCGATTCGTCAAAATTCGCGGGTTTCGAACAGGTTCGCGAACCAATGTCTAGTATTTGAGCAGTGGCTACGCTCGTGCTGCCAGCCATAACCTCAACAACCGTGACCGCTGTATCCATTGAATTCGCACATAGGAGGGCGTTGTTAGTACGATTCATAATATGTATTCAGAGCTGATACTATGTTAAAATAGGTGTAGAATGTCAACCTTACGTATGCCAAAGAAACCATAACTATGTAACTATTCAGACTTCCAACGTGCAGCATCTTTCAGCCTTAATAAGGTCCCAAGGGTCTTGCCTTTCATGGAGAACCGTCGAATCCCCAGCACATCTCTCCCGCCATTGAATAATCTCTTGATATCTACCTCTGCTGCTGGTATGGCAAGGTAAGACGAAGCCGGCAAGGAAAAGTCTCAGGATATGCCGAGTGTCCGAGATACCCTAATTCTAATATAGAAGTCCACACCGAAATAAATATCATACGATACTTCAAACTTTCACGACCAGAAATTTCTGTCATAATTTGATATCTCAAAACTGCCATTTGATATTGTATGAAGCAAATAAAAAAAATTCATGCTTCTAGAATATTTCTTGCCTCCCATCATCGGGCTCGCAGTCTAGAAAATAAGCTATCCCAAATAGGCAGTCGGACGCGCTATGAGGACCCCGCATGATCCGGCGCCCCCGCATTGCATTAAATGGCCCCGGGCCATTCACATTTCCGCCCAACGCTTCCAAGTACAACACCCCAAATCCGGCATGTCGACCCGCTCACACCAGGGCTGCTGGACGTGTAAACAACGGCGGCGTCGCTGCGACAATGCGCGCCCTTCGTGCCAAAATTGTGCCGAGCGCGGGGCCGCGTGCGAGGGCTATGAGGTCCGGTTAAGGTGGGGTACGGGGATTGCATCGCGCGGTCGCTTTACTGGTGCTGATAAACCGGTTAAGAATTCTGTGCCGTCGAGGCCGACGGGGAGGCAGAGGGATCTTAGTAAGGAGAGGAGAAGGCGGGTGGAGATCGAGGGAGATTCTGGTCAGTGTGGTTTATGAAATGTTGCAGTTGCTCGGTATTGATTGATGCGTAGCTTTGGATGGGAGTCGCGAGTTGGAGCTAGCGGTTTCGCAGAGGGTGGTTGAGGATGAGGTTCTTTTCAATGAATGTGAGTTACCAGCAGGAAACCATTTCAGCACGCAGTTGCAACACTGATACTGATATCGAGTAGTTAGGAATAACGGCATTAACATTCTTCATTCGACAACAGCAAGAGATACCGTGCTTTATTCGCGTCTCCCGCAGCTTTGTCAAGAATCAAGCGCCTTGTATTCTATCTGCATTGCATTTCAACTCGCACTATCGAGCACGGTCACCTCTCAGTTCTGCGAGTACTTCGATACCGCATTAAGGACTTTTCGATCAGAACTGGCGTGCAGCACGACCCTATCTGATGGGACGTTGGCTTCGGGGCTGCTGCTGTGTAGCATTGGCGTGCGTAACCTCAACTTCTTGTTTCAGGTATCCTCTGGCTTAAGGTTCTGACACTGATTTGATCCCAGCTGATGCACGGCCTGCCTTGGACTATGCATCTAGAAGGTATGCACAACATCCTGCAGAGCCACGGCCTCGAGGATTTGCACCACCAACCTACCCAAACTCACTTTCGTATCCACCAGCTCGAAGTGATGGGGGTATTGGACCTGGCCTGCTTTTCGGTCGGTCGCCAGGCTCCGAAAATTGGCATCTGGCGCCGATATTGCCAGCCCGAAGCACCCAGGTATGGTATTGAGCCTGTAAGCGGTCTGCCTCGTACACTACTTGATATCTTTGCTGGGATAGGCGCAGAAACCACGGAGCAGACTCTTTGGGATTGGCCTGGCGAGCCAGGAAGCTTTTTACGGTGTTATCTGTGGGAGGCACATCGACTGGCTGGTATCCTGACCCTCAGAAAACAAGCTAGCACTTCCTCTACTCCTATTCCCAATAACAATATCTCGGCATGGCGGCAGCCTTCCAAGTGTCCGGCAGATACATCCGTGCTTGTTGCCCGGATCCTGGCTAACCTTGATGCTCTCCGTCTCGCGTCAGTTGAGCGCCCAACGGAAGATGTCTTCATCAAGAATGCAATCCTGTTTCCTATGTTTGTCGCTGGATTGGAAGTCGATATCCTCTGCCGCAAGCCGGAATGGCAACAAATCATTAGGAATGGCTTGGTAGATTGCCATCAGTGTGAAATTCTTCTTAGTCTGCTGGAAGAGTTATGGCAGAAGGAAGATCCAAATCTGAGTGTGCATGAGTTGGCTCGACAAAGAGGTCTGGAGATGGGGTTGATATGATTTTAGATGGATGTAATTGCAGATCTGCCACAGCTATATGTTAATCTGACTGAGAGATACTCAAGTTATATACTAAACTCGGATCATCGGTATAGGCGCCTCAAGAGAGGACATAAAGGAGCGAAGACTGAATCGCCTCCGTCCTATGATATTGAAGGAAGTGCTGTTCGTTTCCAGAGTCTAAAGAATGGAATGGCTTGTTTCAATTACTTTGCCGAACCTCACAACAATGTAATGAGCCAATGCTCACATCACCATACAATAATTCTTCTACAGCGTTGACTTTCCCGGATGCACCGTGACCCAGTGCTTAAACACATGCTCTCCAGTTTGACTCGCGCCATCCACCAACTCAACCTCTTCGGCTACTCGAAGCCCAAGGCTCTCGTAGAACCCCACGTTCTCCTCCCGGGTGCATTCAAGATATAACGGGTCATCGTGAACGTGTTCCAAGATCCATCTCATCACGCCCCCACCAGTCCGCGTGATTGTAGTGAAGGATGCACAGCAACAACCTCAAGGTACCATAGCTTTTGTCGAGAGTATCTTGCTTCCAATAACTTCACACTGGCTTCATGTCTGTCGAGGAGAATTTCAACGCTCTAAGAGGGTCGAGTCAATATAGCACCATAACAAAAATTAGCGCTTTGCTTACCTTGTCTCTCACTCCGCTATCCTGCGCTCGTATAAGACGGTCCAACAACCACAACTTGCACGCAAGCCATAGTCGCGATAAGGACCAGAGATTTCGCCCCGGTGGTGGGAACGGAAACACCACCGCACCGGCGTTATCGTTTTCGTGCACAGATGATCCAGGATCCTTCTCCGGCAATGCGGCAACAGCAGAGACGGGAGTGTCTGGTCGATAATTGATTTCTGCCACTTCTCGAATATTCTTCTGCCATTTGTCTAACGTTGGCAGATTTGAATACCTTGCCGTCGAACATTATACGCTGGATACGACGATACTGCCAGCTCCAGGTGCCCGCGTCCTGTTCAGCCCAAGGTGCAGCATTCGGCCTCAGCCATCAGATCAAAGGATCAGAAGAGAAAGCACGATGAACCGTTCGCGCGATGGCGGGAATAAGATACTCTTCACGATCGATCTTTTAGCAGTTTCGCTAATCACCACTGCCACAAGGGTGGTCTGTGCCTAGTGAAGAGACAGAGAGAAAGAGAAAAGCCGCACCTTTGTGAACAGAATAGGGGTCAACATTGACCAGCTGTCTGGCAGACATTGTCCTGAGTCTCTGAGAGTTGCCACTGAAAGGGGCATGAAGAGCAAGAAAGACGCCCATGACACCACTTTGCATACGAATCGCTTTGAACTGCGCTATACGACACTTCTAACACTTACGGGTAGAACGAAGCGAGCTGAGGCGATCATTTCATTTTTAGCTAGAGTTGTCTGTTCACTTTGTCTATTCAATCTTTGTCTGAGCACAAGTCGTTCTCCACCAAGTCCACCCCATGGACTCGCAGCAAGTAGGCCAGGAGAAGTTCATCTGGGAGAATGGCTCATCTCCCAAGTCTTTACCTGCCCACTCTTGCCAGGTAAACTCTTCGGGCATTGTTCCGAAAGACTAACTTCGCGCTCGCATTAGTCTTAGAGTTCTCCTTAGCCTTCCTAGCTATGCTCACATTGCGCCTTGGGTAGCAATTTCCGCGGATTTTGCGATCCCGCATGAGACTGTTGTCCTGGGTGGGATCGGGCGATTTTTTCCCGAGCGTAGTCCGGTATGGTAATCTTCACACCTGATTTCGTCTCCACCCGTGCCGTTCACCACCAAGAGCACTAAAGGTACCAACGCGTGCGTAAACCTCCAGCTCCGCAGAAAGTAATTTCTTTATACCCACAATCGCAGCGGCAACGTCCTAACTATACTTGGGTAATGCCTCTCCCCGTAAGCCACTCTGGAGGATTTCGATGAGGGCCTTCGTCACATTATCAATATCGGTGGCTGCCAGTAATGAGTTATGATCCAGCGCTTAATGGCGTTGTGTCCGGTGATAATCTCAGACTGTGTCTTTGCGCAGCGGTTTGGCGTGACTGTATTGTAATACCCCCCATGTGGTGGTGGGTTGAACGCGCTTGTCTGATTCCCCTCCCGAGGTCTCAGGTAGGTAGTCTTCCAAGCTTTTCCCAAGAGTCTAACAAGAGCAGCAGCGCGCTGGACCCGCCGCTCACGGAGCTGAGTGAGTCGCTCCAGCTCACCGTCTCCCATTGACGGGATCGGTTGTTGATCTGCCACTTTTCTCTTGTCAGCTTTGCTTCAGAAACACGGTTGGGTTCGGAGACAGAGGGGTTGTATCTCACTTACTTCGCGGTATTCAGTAAGGTGTTTGTGGGTGAGTCTGTTGTAGGTGATGATTGAGGGATCCGATCCTAGTGAGGGACAATCATGCCTTGTTAGCGTTGTGTTTCGTTTTAAATATAGGTCACGAGCTAAGGGGCCTCACCTTTTAAGGACAACAGTTAGTAGTGGAAATCACGAATGGTGGGATTGTTGAAGAAGATACGAGAAGAAGAGCAGGTGAGATCTTAAATAGCAATCGAGACACTGCGTCTTCACGAGGAAGGTGCGACTGTCACCTTCAGAAGGAAAGAGCCCGACTGGGAACCATGACCCAAGTCAGCATTTTTATAAACTTCACATTGGTACTAATAATATATACTATAAGTGAACTGTTTTAAATGACATATTGATATATAACAGGGGGCTGTCTCAACGAAAAGTAAGAGAAAAGTAAGAGAAAGCTGAGAGTTGGCGATACCTGGGCTGGGTAGTTGAGGGCTATATAATACCTACATAGACCCTGTTTGCCTCATGGTATGCCTCAGGTTTAGGTCAGCGTGATTGAAGCATGAGGTTTCTCACCTCCCCTATCATGAAGGAACTCCTACTTGAGGAGCCTCTACGTGAGCCTAGCCTCCACGAGGAGCGAGTGATGACCAGTGAAGCTCTGCAGGTCTTTCTAAAAGCCAACAAGGGAAATGTAGAGAGTGCTACGATGGCTGTCGTGGGGCCCCTTTTGGAAAACGTCGACAGTGAATGTACCCACTGTCAGCAGCTCAACAGAACATGGGCCAGATGCACTATGATTGAGGGAGAGGCTGGAAATTTCCTTACCTGTAACAACTGCCACAGGCTTAGACGCGGCAACAAGTGTGAGAAGTATGTTCCTCGCGATAACGCGGACGTTCTCCGAGGCCGCCGTCGCCCGGCTCAGTCTCCATCCCCTGCAGAAGACCGCAAAATATACACGACTAACAAATCCAACTTGAAGAACAAGGTAGAAAGCCAGCGTTTTAGCACCATATGTGTACAAGATCTAATGCAATATTGTGATATCTTTTTCTATTCAGTGCCTCTACTTGGTGTGCTTTACACGGCAATTCCTGATATCAAACATTATCAAACTCCCTCACGTGCACAAAGAACAACCACCATGCAGTCAAATACAAAGACAGAACTAGAGGAGTCCTCACCTCTTAGAGTGATCTCCCATAACCCCAAAGGAATAACCCCTCTAAAACTTCATATGCGAATATAGAGTTGATAGGTTTAGTCCTCGGCAGCTACTCGTAAGAATTTCCCTGTTAGTTAATACCTTCAAATGGATACAATCATTCTTAGTTCTTTCAGCAAAGCCAACCGGGAAAAATACATCACCATCCTGCCCTACATGTAGTGTTGCCTAACGATTAGCTTTTGGTAATCCTGTATGCGTACAATATTTTCCTAACACCTGGGATTGCTTCCATGTTCATTGTTTCCCCGGTGTATATTTTCGCACCTCTTCGCGAAATACAAGGTACTTCATATCCCAGTCACCAATTGTCGAACAATTCTCTGACCGAAACACACACACTAGTTTGTCGCCGTCTTCAGGGCCGCCATAGCTACAGTTGAGGCTTTGTATTCCATTCTGACGGCTATGTAATGGCTATATGACGGCTAGGTGACGGGAGTCCGTATATTAACTTCCTGCATGTTATGTCTTTCAAATATCGCATTAGTTTCCTTATCTTACGACAACCATACTATGTAGGGATTATACATGTATATAGAAATCATAATTCTGTTATTTCTAAGCGTAACGTGACGTGATGGTGAGGAGCAGTTACAGAACTTTTGCTGCTTCATTCCGCGGTATCAACGGGTTCTTCTATAGATGACGAGAGACGATTATATAGAATTCAACATGTAATTCAGATTAATATCCATGGATTTGATCAAGTACATGCGTAAAGGATAAGGCGTCAACCCGTATTTACTGTTTTCAATGGAGTAGTATCGAATGTCGTCTGGGAGAATGCTTATATCGAACCTGGTGCCTACTGCGTTCACCATCTCGCGATCAAGTGGGGTATCAAACGCATTTACATCATTTCAGTAAGCGACGATCTCATCTCGTCTTCTTTATCTTCCAAGTGCCAACCATCCCAAGGGTACCATCCGACGGCCTAGCCGCCCACCCACCATGGTGCACACAAAGCCCGAGGGCCATGAACCCGATGGTCAGCCACTACAAGCAATAAAATATCCATGTCCTGTATGCAAGGGTCAGAAGTTCAAGTCGGAGCAAGGTTTTAGTGACCATCTACGATGGGTGCACAAGATATTTTCATGCCCGAAATGCGACGCGATATACGCATCTGCAGATGACTTAGCTCGGCACAAAACTGAAGCGAGACACAGGGCAGAGTACAACAACAAACGCAAACCGAGGCACAGACCCTTCAATCAGAGAGGCAAGATCAGACCGGCTTCCCGAATTGCTTCCTCGCCCGCAATAACAAATTCATCCTCGACACAGGTGCCGGTGCGTCTCCGTCCACCACCAGCCAGGCCCCGTCGATCAACTGCCCAAGCTCGTCAACCAGCTACAGAGACCCGTAAATTACCTGCACAGATACGTCAATCACCCAAGCAGGTCCGTCACTCAACCATGCAGGGCCATCAACCAGCTGAGCAGTTCCGTCAACAACGCGGTCACGTCTTTCAACCACGCGCTCAAGCCTTTCAACCAGGTAATCAAGTCTATCAACCACCAGTGGGGCTCCCCCAAGGCCCGACAGAGCCCTATCAAGCACCTACTCAAGGTTTTCAAGTACCTGCTCAAGCCTTTCAACCACCTGCTCAAGGCTTTCAAACACCCATTCAAGGCTTTCTACCACCAGTGGAGGTCCTTCAATTCCCGATGGGGTTCCATCAAGCACCTACTCAGGCCGTTGAACCACCCACTCGAATCGTTAAACTCCCAGTCGACGTGTGTGAAGCAGCTGTGCGTCAAGCAGCCTATCAGTCATATCAGAGACCGACTCCGGTCTATCAGACACCTCAAATCCATAACGCACCCCCTTGGGGCTATCAAAACCAGGTTGATGTGTATCAAGGAGCCTCTCCAGTCTGTCAGACGCCCCCTCCGGTCTATCAGATGCCCGCTCAGATTTATCAAATACCCGCTCGGCGCAATAAGAACCAGGTGCAAGCCTATCAGCCCCGGGTTCAGGTCTCCCAGTTCCCAGAGTATTCTCAATCCCCAAAATATGGCTCTCAGTCCCTCCAACAGGGTTATCAGTCCCCAGTCCAGAGATCTCAGCATGCCAAGAAACTCTTCCAACAACCCGAGCAGGTCTTTCAGCCCCCGGTGCAGGGCTCTCCGTCCCTAAACCCCTCTCATCCACTGCAAATCTCTAAACAAGTGGAGCAAGTCTCTCGGTCCCTAGAAAACTCTCAGTTCTCAGAACAAGACTCTCAACACGCAGAACAAGTCTCTCAATACCTGTCGCATGGCTCTAAGTCCCCCGAACAGGGCTCTCGGTCCCTGGAACACTCTCAATTCACAGCCCAGGGCTCTCAAAACGCCGAGAAGGTCACTCAGTCCCTGCAACAGGGCTCTCAGTCCCCAGTGCAGCACTGTCAACAGGCAGAGGAGGTCTCTCAGTCCCGACTTCTGATATCCGAACAAACAGAGCAAGCTTCCCAATCATCAATGCATCTTTCCGCGCAGGATGGCACGACAGCCGAAGCAAACGGCTCAGACGAAGCAACACCAGGCACCCCAGAAACAAACACCACGACTCCCTCCCTTTTCAACCCCCCAACAACAACCAACCCAACCTTCTCGCTGGTCTACAAACAAATGAAACACCGCTGGACCGACCTCGAACCACTGGAACAAACCCTAATCCTCCGCTACCTGCTGGGACGATGTCACTCCCAACCGCGGCTCCATTGCCAAGGGTACAACGCACCAAAGACCATCGACACAACAGCCTGCCTGAAACGGGGCGAACCACACAAGGCCCACGATTTCAACCGCTGCTCAACCCGCCGAAAAGCAATCGTGATAGACTGCGAAATGATCGAAACAACAGTCTGCACCAGCGAGCTGGCCTACATAACCGCAATCGACTTCCTGTCCGGCGAAGTCCTGATCAACAGCTACGTAGCCCCAACAGCACCAGTGACGAACTGGTTAACACCCGTCAGCGGAATGACGCCAGAAGGAATGGACGCCGCTATCACAGAAGGCAAAGCCTTCCAGTCGAATTCGGATGCGCGTCGCGCGCTGCGGAAGTTCCTCGATCATGATACTGTTCTCATTGGACATGCGCTTCATCATGATCTGCGGACTTTGAGTTTGATCCATGGAAGAATTGTGGATACATCGCTGCTTACTGCTGAGGCTGCTTTTCCCAATTTGGCGTCGAGGACGACGTTTCCGCGGGTTTGGGGGTTGAAGGCTCTTGCGAAGGAGATGTTGGGGATTGAGATTCAGGCTAGTCGGTCGGGACATAATTCGCTTGAGGATGCTCTGGCCACGAGGGAGATTTTGATCTGGTGTTTGCGGGGTCCCGAGTGTCTCAAGGCTTGGGCGGAGAAAGCGAGGAGTTCGTATGAGCATATGCGGCAGCAGAGGGGGGAGCAGATGAAGGCTGCCAGGAATGCGGGGAAGAAAGCTGGTGTTACTGTTGCTGCACCCTCGGGCAAGGTCCAGGGTAAGAAGCGTGGTTGCGAACTGAGAGGTCTTTGACTCTGATGGTTCTTAGGTGGAAGGGGGAATTGAGCTAGTGGAGGACTGTTGATGAAGCCATCCCCATACTGGTCATCATCCTTGGTCGGACCGTTGGTCAGAGTGGAGGGTGGATGACCAGTTTGGGGATTGGCAGGAGGAAGATATTGTGCTTTCTTGAAATGTTTGAAGTATGAAAGTCATTTTTATTATCTCCGCTCTATCTCCGTAGATGGACAATATGTAGAAGGATAAACACATCCCTGTAGTACTACGTAGAAAGGCAGACGGGCAATTAGGTATTCTCACTGCTGAACACAAAACTAAATCACACAGGAAACAAAAGAAACAAGAAACAATATTGGGGATAGGGGGAATTAAACGCCAACTTTACAAAAACAGGCAGGGAAAAAACAGGCAAAGCACAGCATACGAACAAAGAAACAAGCCAATAGGAAGAAGACCGCTTTGAAAAATCAAAATAGAAGTAACAAACTCGGTATGGATACGAGAACACCTCTCCAGAATTCTCCATGCATGCATCAAACAACACCGAAACCAAAATCCAGCGCTAGACACCTTGATCCCAGTTAGGATACATAACAAGGTCGTTCACGTTTCACGTGTTTTAAAGAATACTCCGACTGGCCTGACTACGGCTTGCCTGGCTGCGACTGGCAAGACTAGCCCGGCTCGGGTTCGTGCGACTAGGCTCATCTTCCTCAAGAACATCGCTCAGACGCGTGGGGTGACGATGGCGCGGTGTCATGGACTCCCAACCAGTGCCAGGGCCCCATCCGGCGCCGCTGTAGTCCGCAGCAGAGGCGGGCGCAGGCGGAGGGACAGAAGATGGGGCAGAGGTATAGGCGCCGTCAGGCATGTAGTGACCCTCTGGCAGGGAGTGGTCATACTCTTCGCTTCCTTCTGAGGGAGGGCCAGGTGGGTAGCTTAAGGAGTTGCCATGCGGGTCGTGGGAGTAGTGGGTATATTCTTCGTCGCCTGCTTCGCTGCTGCCGACGTAGGAGCGCGCGTCGGGTTCTGAGGTTGCGGGGCCTGGGTATGGGACAGACGTGTTTTCGTGTTCATACAATGGACCCGGGTAAGGGGCTTTTGAGGTAGGTGGGTCAACCTTTCTAGGCTCGATGAAAGGGTCGGATCCTGTGGGAGACATTGGCGTGCCGTCATCGTAGTATTGTCCGCCTGCGCTCCCTGCAGACTTGCCATGATATGCATCGGTGCCCATGGTTGTGGCTGTCGGTCCGCCGGGGTATGGGCCCTCGCGAGTCTGTGGGCGAGTGCTGTGTTGACGACTAGGGAGGCCAGAAACCATAGGCACAACCTGAACACCTCCAACGAGCGTGGGCTCTCCATTTCGCAGGGAGTTGGTTCGGTCTCGCTCTTCTTGTTCACGACGGCCAAGCTCCTCCCAGGCACGGCGTGCCTCCTCTTTGGAGATTTGGAGTTCGCGGCGCATCTCTTTCAACAATTCCTCGGCCTTGACCTTGTCCTTTTCGGATTGCTGGGCAGCAGAAAAGGCGTCGGCTCGGCCTTGTCGTTCTTCTTTAAGCTGGCGGTCCAGGTCAGCCTGCACTTCCTTCGAGCGTTCCTGCTCAGCACGGGTATCGAAAAACCAGCGCTGGAACTTGCGTTCGGAGGAGGCTCGTAGACGCTGCAGTTCAACCACCGCATGGAATAGATTGGCACCAGCGGCAGACAAGTCTGTAATCTGTCGAGCCAATTGTTGGCTGAGCGGATCACGCTCTAGATCCTCATTGTTTTGTTCTAGCTTGCGCATCCAATAGCTGGTGAGACCTTCCCAGTGTGAAGACAGCGTTTCCCATCGCTCAAATGCATGCGGAAACCCAACTCGTTTCGGCTGCTGAAGAGCTTGGGGAGCACCAGGTTGTCCTGCGGGTAGGGCCTGGGCGGATTTGGAGAACACACTAGGTCTGGGTTGACCTCCAATTTCTGCCTCACTGTGCGAGCGACCGTGCTGAGGCTGCTGCCCAGTTCCTTGTGCGGGCCGTGACTGGTTAGCCATTTGCCCTGTCCCAGCAGTCGGTGGTGCGGTCTGGAATTCTGATGGTCGCGTACTCGGTGCAACATCTGCTGCTGGTCGGTAACCAGATGGTGGCCCTGAAGCGACGGGCATGGTCTGGGGTTGTCCTTCCGGGCCCCTTGGTGGTCGTGGGGCTTTAATTCTTGATTGGGAGGTATTTTCGGCAGCAACGCCAGCGGCGTACTGTTGAGCTTTGGCTTGAGCCTGAGCCTGTGTTTGGGCCTGGGCCTGGGCCTCAGCTTGAGCCTGTTGTTCTTGCTTCAGTTGTTGTCGTTCCAATTCTTCCTGTTCCCTCTCGTGGGCCTCGCGTTCCGCTTTGCGGCGAGCCTCCCGATCCCGGCGCTGTCTCATTATATCCGTAGGTGTCCTCATACCACTCGGTGGCTGTGATGTTCCTGAGATGGGGTTCTGGGGTACACGGGCTCCACCATTCTGAACACGGCTATTGCCCACAGGCCCAGCGGGGCCAGCGACGCCTACCATGTCTGACATAGAAGCATTCACCTCGTCCCAGTCAGTGGAGAGCTGCAGCGGTCCACGGATAGCTTCCTCGAGGGCGAAAAGGACTGCGGATGCGGTGCGCGACGAGACTCCGGTGGTTCTCTGCGGCCAGTATGAGGTATTGAGGAGCTGGTACGGGTCGTCAACTGTGGACCCGTTGTCGTCGGTCTCCGCTTCGGAAAGGGCCGGACGTAGCTCTGCGATGCCACTGGCTGGGGCGCGTTGTACAGAGACCGAGGTTGTACGCGCTGGCTGGGGTCGAGTAGGGTTTGGAACCGGGGCGCGTGAAGATACCGCTCGACGGTGGAGCGATTGGCGGACCTCTGTCTGGCGAGGGATGCGACGTAAGGGACGCTGAGAGTCAGAAGCGCTCGGGGGTCTGAATTGGCGATCGGCTGATGTAGAAGAAGAAGGTCGCTGAACAGTCGGCTGGCGTTGCCGCGCAAAGGTCGTTAACGTTGATGGGTCGTAAGAGTCGTGGGCTTCGTCAGACGCTTTTGGAGTGTGTCGAGACACCTCTAAGAATGGTCGGTAGAATTGTGGATTGGGCGACAATGTGAGTGTTGCGTCACTAATTGAAGCAGCGGATCGCTCTCAAGGATCGCGATCGCAAAATTATCGATCGGTCACAGTTAGAAGAGTGACAGCCCCAACGGCTATACAAATCAATACTCAATGCACAATATAATGCAATTGAGAGAAAAACAGAAGCAATTCGAAATCAGGAGAGGTGAAAGAACGAGAATGGGTCGGAGTGCGAGGTGGCTGGTTAATTGAGATGGCTGGGGTTGCCGCAGCTGGAGCTGCAGCGCACCAAACGTGTCTCGGGGATGAAGCGCCAACCCTCAAGGTCCGGCTGCCCGGATTCAAATTCGCACAGATATGAGGATATGAAGAAGAATATTGAACCTGAGAATGCCGAAGCTGAAGGGTAAGGTAATCAGGTACTCGCCGTTCTCCTCAGGCAGGAATGCCAGCGCGGTCCCTGCCCTAACTAACCCAAGTCAAGGCTTTTTTTGCCTTTTTTTTTTTTCAGGGCTATTACGGAGTAGATCCCTGGGTACTTCATAGTCAGCATGTCAGATCTCAATATTCCAATGTCGTCACGCGTCCAGATCATAACGTCGCTGCGCAACCAGTTCGGGAAGCAATACCTCAATAATTAGCTGCACCTGTGCTGAACCGGTCGCACGGACCGGTGCTGAAGTGGGTAATGCAAAATCGAATAGTCCAAAACTATGCAATTTTTAGAACCTACATGTGTATGTGTAGTGTTGTAGGAGGTCCAAAAGATAGGAGAGAACCTCTAGCGCTACAACCGGAAACTGTTGAACTCGACGCAAATTTCATTTCGCTATCGTGCCATGGTTGACTTTCAAGGCTAACAAACTTGCAACAATAATAGAACTAAATATATAGTGATGCGTTGGCAGATCACACTAAGTTTTGTAGTTTCAGTCGGGCAACAATATATATGTCCAAGATGTAGCTCAAATATTTATCGCCATGGCTTCACCAGTTTACTAGGTTTCATCAGGCTGTTTATTATGGCCATTCCTATTTCTGCAATCTATTTATTCACCGTAGCATCTTGGTTAGGCTCCATCTGATCCACTGGTTCATTTTCGCAGCGGATAAAATTCCTCGAACGAACTGCTTTCCCCACAGTTCGCAACCATGGAAAGGATGTTGTCTTCTCACCTGGGCATTCTCAACTTCAGTGTGTCAATTGATTATTTATTGAATACCTAAATACCTACATATCTACAACACATTGCTACATTACACTACATTGAACATTATTAAGATGTTGTATCGAGTCCATATACATGTCACCGTTCAGCCTCTTCCCCGCAATGACATCGCTTCCAGTCCAGGAGGGTGTTCCCGAGGTGATGACAAAGCAAAGAGCTCAACCAACCTTGGAAAGTTGGAATCTTGGAAGATTGAAATATAGAAGTAATCAGGTACCTCAAATTCAACTCTAATCTTGAACAACTTGAACTACAAAGATCCAATAAAAAGTTGACTAGACCGCTGGAACGGATTGAGAGATCAAGTATACGGGCCAGAAGTCTCCGGGCTTCAGCCACCACAGCGGATGCACCTATAAAATCCAGGCCGGGCGTCGCGGAAGCCCCCAAAGGGACCCATAACACTGCACGGGAAGGACGTTATAGGGGAGGATCAGGCGTTGCTGGGTCCCGGGTAGCACCGCTGTGGTGGGTGATCCCCCCAAGTTCCGAGGTGCGGCGCGAGGCAGCAACCATTAGAACCGGAGAGGGGATCAGCCTGGTAGGGAGGATACGAAGATGAGTTATCATCTCTACACATACCCACCGACCACATTTGGGTGATAAAAATGCATACAACAGTACAAGTGGCTAGAAATTGCTCCGGGGGACAATTTTTGTATGGGGATGGTCTGTGCACGGCAAAAACACCATACAAAGTGGGCCACTTTGTCGAATTGCTGAGTGACATTTTGGGGACTTGGCCGTTTGAAAATGAATAAGGTTAAGAAGTCTCGAAATATACATTTCCTGGAATTTTTTTGCAGTTCTTGCTTCAAAGACCAAGCAGTTATCTATAGCGTCTGCTCAACCTAGAAGGTCCTTGACTACGACACTGGTAAAGACGAAACTTGGGAGTACGAGCATCTCATTAAATAGTTTCTCATAAGGTAGTGGCCTTGTAGGCTATGGCCTCTTCAAACAGCTTGTGAACTCCATTAGCACCATTGCATACCCAATTCGGTGTAAAAACTACTTTTCTAAATGCAAGTAAACAGCGATGTTGGTGTGTCTAAAGCCACCAGGAGTGGATACGGGCTTCTGTCGGGCAAGCCGTGTTCCCGGACGCCTCGAAGGCTCCCTCTCCGGTGCCAATATTAGAATGTCAAAGCGATATATTGGGAAATCCCAGTTCTTCCCTACAATATTAGATCTAGTTGTCCAGGTAGTAACTCATGTATGCAATATAGCGATCACAGCCCCTAGCTATCCCCAAATCCAATAATACCTCAAGCCAGGAGGCCCCCAATACAAGTCCCCACCGAGACCGCAACGAGACACCCAAACAAACACGAGCGCCCCGAGAAGCACTACAACCTCGTAATATTCACCCCCCTGCCCAAGGCCTGGACCCCAGGAGCAAAAGAACAGCAAGGGCCATCCCAGGAATCGGAAAATTTGACACCTCATTCGGGCCGGGGAAGGTCTTCCCGCAGCGCCGCGGACGCACCAAAACGAAACCCGGAAAGTCTCCATAAACCCAGTATTGAGGTAGGTTTCAAGCATGCCTTGCAGCCTGCAGCCTGGCTCCGCGGGAGCTTGGGTGTTTTGGATCGGGAGTGTTTCAGTTTCCTTGTCCAGGATCTTGGGATTGGGGCTATTGGCCAATAACGGATATATGTTTTGCGAGACATTTCCGGGGATTGAGGAATAAGGTTCCTTTCGGAAGGGATCTGTTCTAGCCCTGTGGCTCTGGGATATTGAAGTGTGCTGATCATCGCGAACAATTAATTTTGATTCTGGTTCTCAGCTTATATTGGGTTCTCGATCAAGGAGTTTGTTCTATCGAGGGAGTTGGGATGTCCTAGATTCTTGTTCCATTTCGCTCCTTGGAAAATCCGTTCTATGGGAGCTGGTACTCGACAGATGGAGGGTATGTTGCACTCGAGATGCTGCTAGGCCACTTTGAACAAATCTATTCGAAACTCTATGTGTGTGCACTCAACATCTAACGTCGAAAGAATGTGACCGGGAGGACTGGAGGCGAGGGTTCTGCAGAGACTGCGTCCGCGGCGAGTTAATCGCTCAAAGATCGCGAACAGTGCATGAACTGGACGATAGAGAGTTATTGGGCCTGCAGATCAGGGGTACTACTGGGGGATGCGTCGATACTTATACATGGGCGGGATGGCTGCACTTCGGATGTAGGTATAGCGGGATGCATGCAAGTCAAACTTTTCGATGGAATGTGGGGTTTATTGACTTAGCTGAGCATATGTCTCTGGTTTGTTTTTGTTTTGTTTTTGTCTGAGGCTTGCAGATTTGCGACAATATAGAATAATAGTGATTTCAGGTGTATACAATATAGAGCTGGAGACTCATGAGATAGACCGAGATATGGAGTTGGATCCAGCAAACACATTGATACATTAGCAGGTTCGAAGTGAATTTGTATAGTCAGATCAGAAAATAATCAAAAAAGAGTTCTTCGATGAACCAATGGGAGCACAATGTCAGAGTTACAGATGCACAACATTTGTGATTTGTCCACTGTCAGGGTATACCTCAGCTCCTTGGATGTCCGACCATCCTCTCTACTCCGTATGTTGCGGAAAGTTAGGATGGTTGATCCGACTAAATTCAATCCAGGCACCGATTTATTAAGGAATCAAGGCAAACTAGGAGGAATAGGAAAACTAGGGAGTATAGCTCCTCTTCCCTCCTACAAAGGTGCAACAAGACGTGATGTCACTACGATATAAAAAGCATTAAAGGTATCTAGCCAGCCACTGTTCAACAGCAAAGAAGGAAATAAAGAAACGAAAAAAAAAAAGAAATAAAATAAGCCCATGACGTAGTTGCTAGGAGAACAATTTCCGAGATGGAACGTTGTGGCATCGACCTCTGAGGCTCGAGTTTTAACGTTGCTAGGATGCTAAGAATGTGCAACAAACGTCAACGTTGAGAAAAGACAAAGTGCCAAAGTACTACTCCAGTCCAAAGTACTGCCACAAAGTGACAGAGCAATCGACCCTATAGATCACGGCGATCAGCAGCATTAGTGGCTGATCCCGGGAACTCCGCACACAATGTCCAGTGATATCTCACATTTTCTGTCCCAGCCCTCTGCACAGGACTTCTGCAGACTCGGGATGTAGGATTACTTTCTTTGAATTTTTTTTTTGTCTCTGACAGGCTGAAAATTATTTCAAATGTTGGAAATGCGATCTGGTGGTACGAGTGCCTCGTGTCACTTCCTTGGCTTCCATAGCCCACATACAGATCACAGACACGCAGGAAACACAAGAACACAAGAACACAAGCACACAGGGAACACAGATACAATCCACATTGTATTCTGCGGGATGTTTCTCAGTGCACTTGTACGGATCGAGTTCCGCGCGCCCTTGCTGGGGGGCCCAATCGAAGGGTCCTTGCTGCAACCCCATCCCTACGGAAGGGGACCATGCAAGGTCAGATAGGTCATGATCGTCTGTGCTTTTGTTGTTTACATTGTGCATTGGCATGCATTTGTTTTGTTCGGGCTAGCCACCGGATCATTGTCCTAGGGCTTCTAGCTCGAGTTTATTTTTGGTATAAACATATCCCCTTCACCCTGGCCTCCACTTCGGTCATTTCATTCCTCATTCCATCTCTTCCTCTCGTCCTGTGATAATTCTCCTCTATTCGATCTATTGTACTGTGGTCTAGATCCTAGAGATCTTGCTTACTCGTGTTTACTTCTCTTTCACATTACTCGAGCTCACAGTCCCATGGATCACAGAGGTCTTTATTGTCCAGGCGAGTTGGACGTGTTGTATCAGGACCGGAATAGATCAGAGGCTACAATTTGTCTCCCATCGCCCTCACCTGCAAAGCGAGGATCATCTTACTACCCGGCCGGCCCAAAGGTCCTAGAAGAGTCAAATCTCGATCCCTTTTACCTCGAAGAATCATTGGCTGCCACACCATCTTGGAATCCTTACACATCGGACATGCGCAATGATAGTTTTGAAGACGAAAACCAATACTACACCCTATCCTTGACCCACAACAAGGACATCCGGAACCCATTACATTACCCCGGACCAGATCGCTCCACACTCGCACAAGTAGAGTTGGAGAACAGCTTGAGATTCCACCGATATACTCCCTCGACGGAGGAACGCAGCCCGCTGCACAGCAGCCAGGTCTCGTTCAGCTCCGTTCAAACAGACAGCACCACTCCCGACTTGACGCCTAGCACCTCTTTCTCTTCTTCCTACGATTCATCTAGCTGCCCTGACGCCGTCCTTGAGGCGACTCAGCAGCTGTACAAGCACGCACAACAGGACCAGGTCCAGATTGAGCCCCGTCGCCGCTTCTATCTCCCTGCCTCTACACCACCTACATACTCTCTTCCCCCTCCACCTCCCCCGCCGGTGGCTCCTCTTAACCCGGCGGATACCCGTCCAACTACACCTTGCTTCCAACACTCAAACGACTCTACTACTACCATCACCATGGGCTACGAGGATATTACAGGTTCCTGCTCCTCGCGGTCCCGCCGCAGGAAGGCGCCTCCTGCCGTTCTCAACCTGTCGCGTGCCGGAAGTTCCCCAAGCGCAGCCCGTCGGAAGCAATCCAGTCCTGGAACCCGCCCTCCCCTAGATGCTTCAATGATCTCCCCTCCATGCTTGATCAACCCCGTTACCATGGAACCTCACATGACCCACTTTGACCACCCTCTCTTCATCCCCGCCAACGACTGCCCTAGTCCCGTTCCTAGCCCAGTGGCTAGCTCCCCCCCATCTCCCGCCAGTGGACCGCAACCTCAATGGAGCGGCCTTCAATTTCTACTATCGATGCCTTCTGCGAGCAATCCGTATGGGAGTCCGATTCCGATTGCGAGTCTGCTGGCCGTAAATCCATGTCTCGCCGGCCCATAGACACTCTGCGCAAGGTTCGCAGCCGTGCTAAGCTCCGTGCCGCCAAGTCACAGCCGAGACTTCACCAAACTATGCTCGATGGCCAGACCATTGAGCAGTTCCCGTGCATGCCAGAGGATATCCTCGGAGAGCCTATCCCTGAAGCTTTCCGTCCTAGCATGGACCGTCCCAGCACTAGCAAAGATGCCGTGCGGTCACACAATGGCCTACACACATTGCGCCTTGTTGCCCCTTCCTCCACCTCCCTGACTCGCCCTCCTCGTTCTCGCAAGAACAGCAGTCTCAACAGCTCCGACGTTGACCGATCCGCAGCTGCCGCTTTCCAAGCCCAGTTCCGACGCCGTCAACGTTCCGAATCCCCCGAATACTCTAATTCCACCTCGGACAAGGGTGATAAGGAGAAGTCGACATCGTTGTGCTACGATCAGTACTCCCAAGCCCCCATCAACGGGGCTCGCGAGCAAAGGCCTCTCCTCCAGCGCTTCATGAACTCTCTACGTTCATTAAACTGCCAGAAGCCCCAAAAGTCTCACAAGAAGACCAATGTTACCACCATCTGATGCATTTACACTCGGCGTTCCGGTTCTCTGGGTTCAATTTCAACGGCCGAAACCATGCTACAACATACCGACTTTACCAACGATCCCTCCAACGATTTCATATCACTGTCTTCATGACTCCAATGTGTCTCGATGATTACGAACACGTCCACTCCCTCACGCAAAAATATGCTTCTGCTTCCCGCGCACAATGAAAATAATGAATCTCCAGACCCGACTGTGGCTGGACACAGACGCGCTCAAAGACGTTCTCTATTGCGCTATCTCGCGCCACGAAACGAACACGATGCCTGGTACTAGTGACCACGACTACCGACTTATGACTCGATACCCTCGAGCTAACTATCTTTAATTTTCCTACTTGTCATCTTCTCTTTGCATTGATTTCCTTCCATGTCTTGATTGCGCTATTTCGCGTGTTGTATTACCATCGCTCTGTTTTATTACGAAGTTACTCTCTCCAACGGTCTTCATTTTTACCATGTCTGACTGAATCATGTCTTGCTATCGCTGCTACGACAACTATTTCCTTCTTCAACCTGTGATCTATAATTCAATAAAGGAATACGGCGCCTTGTGTGGTCTTTGTTTCTATGACCCAAAATTTGCATTCTCTGCACTTTGCATTCATCAAAAATTGTTTCACTACCTCATACCTTATGGATAGATCAAAATAGAAACCATCATATTTCATCACCAGCATGAATGATCCTTTGTTACTTCGTTGTCTAGGAGACGGGGACGTTTTGCGGAATGTTGGACCGCGGATCTCAGACGATCCTCGAAGGTATCCTCGATACTACCGCAGCGTCCTTCAAACATCCATTGAACCGAGTAATGACCAGTATGTAACAACAGCTCCTCTACCTAGGCGAACAAGGCATCATAGATAGCCCTACGCCACGCACCGGGACCCAATTACACAGCCAGCAAGGCCTAGACCACCAACAAGGGCGAAGGGATCCAGAAAACCTTGGCCCAGGCCATGACAAACTCTCACCTCAGCTAACTAGCAATTTTTGACTTCTGCCTCTGAACAGCTAACTGATCGCAAGAACCTGCACAGCCTGACTTGCCACGTATGCAATGCGTCGAGAGTCATTCCAAATCCACAATTCGTGTATCCATTTCAGAAAATTAATATCTAGCGACAGGAATCGAATCCCGGATCCTGGGTCTGCCAGGATGAGGACCTCTGGTTACATGTCGAATTCTCGATGCGCAGCCATTCGTACGTTCCCCGCAACGGATGCACCGGGGACCGCGGGTGGGATCCACTGATCCGGGAGGTGGGATGGTCTTTGATCGACATGTCCAGGCGTTGGGCTTTGAGTAGTTAGGGCTTGGGATTGCACATGCCAACAACACCCACTGACCGACAATTGCGCCTCTCACACAATTCACATAGTTGAATTGTTCTTATTCAAATACTAACACACTAATAGCTGCACTCACAGTACTTAAGTATATTGTACCGATCCAGATAGGAGGATATGACACATCCCTTGCATGGGCCCCTCAACGTCCGCCAAGAGTCAAAGGTACGTTGTCCGAGACCTTGGAATTCCTCGGCTGAAAGAGTCAAACCATATATTTCCTTTCCTTTCAAAGGTTTCAATTTGCTCCCTGAGTGATCCAAGCTTAAATCAAACCTACCAATCTAATTCACCAGACAACCAACCAGAATCCCCATCCCCGTCCCCTCAATCCCCAATCTGATATCACAAGTCCATTCTCTCCATCCAATACAACTGAAACTAACAGGCCGATCTCCCAATCGCCACTTTGACAGGTAACGCTAGACAGGGGTTTATCTCGGCCAGCCAAATAAATCTCCATCCCTCTGTACCGGAGCTCTTTTGCGACCTCACACGCAAGGTGCCCGATCCACCGGTTGCGCGCCCATTGCGTCCCCGAGACCCGCCATCCTGGCGGGTTTCAGATCTATCGGAGTTTGTGTTGTGGGGCTTACGGTGCTCGATCTGGGATTTAGTGTCTAGACCTTTTTGCTGGGTTCTTGGTACTTTTTGTTTTGTGGGATCATTTCTCCGTACGGGCTTGACACGTAGGGCTGCAACTTGTGACATATGACCTATCGTTTATGCCTCGTGTTTGACAGGCAAGCACTATTTGCAGGTTGCTTTTTCTGCTCTGACAAATTTGTTCTATTTGTCGAATACAATTATAATTGAACTGTTGACTATGCTGAAAGTCTGGCGAAATGTCTCTGAAATCGGAGTAAGGTAAAATCGGATATCTAATCCAACCCGCACCACCACCATGGCAACAGCCGTGCCCCTACAGTAGTGTGCAGAAACCCCAGCGTCGGTGTCTCAGAGCGGCACGACCCCTCTATCCCAAACAACTGAGGACATACAGTCCGGACCGGCCTTCCGCCCCGCCCGTCCGCCGCATCAACCTTGCAGTGGCAGCGGATACTGTTCCCTGCTGCGGGGATGCGAGTATCTAAATACTTGGATGATCCTGCAGCGGGGAACGAGCAGCGGACACCCCGAGAGACAGTCGGCCCATCTCTGCAAAAACCTAATCCTGCATTCGCATCTGCAAGAGCAGAGGAGACTTTTTCCTTCCTCCGTCCCTGTATCCGGCGGGGCATTGTTATGTAGATCCGCAGACAAACCACAGCCTGTGTCGTATCCATGACAAACACATAGTGCAAGCCGTGAGCATGTCTGCACAAATCCAAGACAACTTCAACTGTGCTCCACAGCCTGGCCCTCTCCCTTGCCCTCGGCTTTGGCCTTGGCCTCCTCCTCCTCGTTCTTCTCCTTCTCCTTCATCTCCAAAGCCTCCATATTCTCCTCCCAGCTTGGAACATCAACCCTTCCCTCCCACTTCGCAATAACAACATCCCCCTTCCGCCCAAGCTGTATCTCCGCCCGTTCCTCTTCCCCATCCTCAGCCCTGGGCGCAACCTCCGCCGCGCCACCATCAGCCCCAGCAAAAACAGCCTGCACATCCAGCTCCTTAAGCGCAGCTTCATACAGCGTCCGGATTTGCTCCCTCTTCTGCCGCCGCAATTCCCCAATCTCAGCATTTCCGTCATCTAACCCTGTAGACCCAGCAGAAGCAGAAAGCCCCGCCCGCACAACCGGCTTCCTCACAACACCCGGTCCACTCCGCTCCTCGAACCCGCGTAGCAGTCCCTCCATAATGCCCAGTACAGTACCAGCACGCATACCCAGCTGCGCGCCGACGGGGAAACCTCCGTCGAAGCCTACTTGCACGTGTGCGCCCTTTGAGGCGGATGTGCCGTCGCGGTAGCCTGCGGTCACGTGTTGGCGGCGGAGGCTGGGGAGGTCGGAGGGTTCGGTGGATTGGGTGAGTGGATTTGTTGTTGATGGGAGGGGTGCGTTGAGGGTGCTTTCGTGCGGCGGGGAGGAGCCGAAGATGTCGTCGAGGGAGTTGTCGTCGACTGCGGGGTTGTCATGGGTTGACATTGTTGTTGCTGGGGAGGGTGGGGTGGATTGGGCGGATGAGGAGTCTGTGTGGGTTGATGTCATTGCCCAAGTGGTATGGGCTAGACTATTGACTTGGATTTTGATTGTAGGGTTGTTGGTAGTTGTGAGTTGATGAGGTCTGAGTTGAGAAAAAAAAGATAGCGGGTCGGCGGGGCGATCCGCTGATCCACAGTCTACGGAGATACTAACAACGGGTTTATTAGGGTTAGACGATGTATTATTTGACGACTAATAGGTCTTGTTATATATTAATAACCAGATAGGATCTGCTTATATACGATGCTTGTTTAGATATGGATATATAGTAGGTGAACTAATATAGTCAAAAGGTGGTTGAATGTACAGATAAAGGTTATGTACTTCGACCGGAAATGCCTTCCGCTCCATGCTCTAAGTGGAGAGATTTCTTTGCTGAATAGTCTAGCCCTATTGATGAAATGGACATTAGCGCTTCCCTATGGCAAGGGGGCTCTCAATGATCACGTACAGTTTTGAACCTTTTGTGTGATAATTTTTCTCGCCGGCTTCCAAAATAACTCCAAATCTGCATCTGGGCGAGGTTTAGAGAAATCAACCTCGACGACTTGAATCATTGTATTTTTGGTAAGCCCCTCGGTTTGATCAACATCTCTATTGTCCCGGGTATTGGTAAATGGAATGAACTCCCTGGTTCCGACCCGAACAGCATTCAGCCATTCAACTTGTTGCTCATTGCCATAAAAGGCCTTTGAGATGAGTTTTCCCCCCAAAAAAAACCAGAATGGCCAAGGCTTGTTGAAGTCGTAAGGGATTGCGCAGACAGACTGCATTATTGAGTCCAGTCTATTGTCAGAAAGCCTTATATAAGATGACACTGTTAGATCCCTGCCCACGGAAGACGGAACATCTATGGGGAGAAATATTGCTGACTGAACAACAACATGAGTGATATCTTATAGTAAGAACGTTTTAAATTGGTCCTTAACAGTTATCTTGACCGAAGGAACTGGGACTGTTATGGCCTCCTGATCTGGTAGTGTTTCATCCATTGTTTCCGACGTACGGAGTACTGGTTTCGGTATCAAAATCGATGTATGTTACTGCGTGCTTACGACTTCATCGGATTTTGCTTGATGAGGAATAGAATACTAAGCTAGGGTGACACAGATACATCTACACGTGACCAACATTACCCCCTACTCTCATTTTGGTGGGCGTATACCGTCAGCAAGTCACCGCTCTCTCCCCTTTGAACATTCTTTCTCGAAAGCCTAACCCAGTATTCTTGAGATGGGTTTCTTTTCTAGCTCAAGGCGCGCCGATTCCTTCATTGCGGCCGGCACAGTCTCACTAATCTATGCCGTTGACGAAACTACTGCCATCAAACTCCGTCCCTCGTCAGGGGAGTCCAAGCTCCAGGCCTATGACATTGAAGTTCGCTCTTACAAGCAACTTGGACACCATGAACGCATTGCATCGTGTGAAGTGTCTAACGAAGGTCTCCTACTAGAACGTGGTACTTGTCTTCGGCGCATACTCAAGAGTGCCAGCGAGTCTCCCATTCCTTTGGCTACGAAGCTTCGGTGGGCGCAGGAAGCCGCAGATGGTCTTTCATATATCCATAGCAAGGAAATCATCCATGCAGATGTTGGTTGCCACAATTTAATCGTGAACAGTGCCTGTCACATCAAGTTTATCGACTTCGGTGGCTCCGGCATCGACGGCGAAGCCCCGTTAGTCTGCTACGAGTGGTGTAGCTTTCAGGCTGGTAATGAAATCGGCATATACACAGATATATTTGCTTCGGGTCAATGCTTTTTGAACTTGAAATAGGGCATGTCCCCTATAGCGAGCTGGAAGGGACTATGGAAATGGGAAGGCTAATGACAGTTGTTGAGGAGTTGTTCGCAGAGCGGAAGTTTCCATCTGTGGAGACTTTGGCCTTGGGGTCTGTCATTTCTGGTTGCTGGAATAGGAAATATATTTCAATGGAGGAAATCTATCAAGATATCACTTGTCTCTATGAGAATCATTTGAAGGTAAGGCTGTAAGGTGTTGGTTGGTTCCAAGGTTGTTGTGAGTTGATCTGAGCGGGTCGGGGCGATCCGTTCATCCACAGATGGAGGGGTGGTACGTTTATATCTCTTGAATTTCTATTATTATATAGTCAAAATAGGGTCCAGTTCAATTATGGTTTTTGAAATAATGAGATGCAAGTGGTAGCATGCGATGACCATTGCTATTTTGGGCCAGCAGCATTTCTTTGGCCCCCAAGCGCATCAGATGATGTGCCCAAAGCAGTTAGCAACCAAGACTCACAGGCGTTCTCCACTTCAAATCTACGTGACACCTTCTAAGTAACCCGAACACTCACAGCTATGCCCAGACGCTCCATCCGTCTACTAGGCTACACCGCTGCTGCCACCGGCATAGCCAGCTACAGCATCCACTGTGGACTCAGCCATCTGGAAGAGAAATACTCAGCACTTCCTACTGCCGCAGCTAGCAGAGCCTTCCGCAAACCACAGAGCCCAACTACCCAGCGCTGCGCATATACCGACATCTACGCAGCACAAATACCACTTCAAGCCCTCGAAGCACGCGTCCCAAGCCCAAAGACACCAACAAAAACAGAGCTCGAGTATGCTTGGGCTAGATCCGTCCTCGAAAGCAAGGTTCTACGAGCCGAGGGATCTATCCTAGGACTCCTCACGAGTTTCCGCTTCACACCGTGCGATACAGGCAACTCCGTGGACGGATTCTCGCCGGACAGAACCACTGGTGCGCCGCGCGTTCTGCTGAATGGTCTATTTCAAGTGCAGCGGCTCCCAGCCGCTGATGCAGATAGCAATGGACTGCTGGTCTCGTCAAAATTGCCAGACGAGCCCCGCGAGTTCTTTGAGAAGATTGCGCGGTGGGGGTATCCTTGGCGCTTGATGTCGTGTGTGCGACATGAGATGAGTGTTTCGGAGCCGTTCCGGGTAAATGGAAAGGGTATGTTTGTTGAAGTGCGCTTTGCAAGTGCGCACGATTATGAGGTTGTGGATGCAGAGGGTGAGCTGGAGAAACAGAAGATTATCCCAGCTTGGACTTTAAGGTTACATCGTGGGTATGCTAGGTTCGTTCTTGATTCCACTGTTCGAGAGTTGCAGCGAAATGTTGAGAAATAATGCTGTTGAGTTGGATTGCACTTGCTGTCGATATATTGAACTCTCTTTTCATACCATTCACCTTCCAACCCGAGGAGTTGAGTCACGCTGCGGGCATACCCTAGGTTTGATAACATCGGACACTTCGGCTTGCAGCCTAGTTGTTCGGCCTTTACTCCACTATTACTCTCCACTCTACGATATCAGGCATAGATATACTTGACAGTTGTTGACATATATTTGAAATTCCTTCGGTACCCTCCCAGTGAGGAAATGCGACAAGCAACAGCTTCAACTCTCGGGGATGTCATTTATCTCCCATACTTTAGCTATTCAAGAAACATCACGCCCAACCATATAAACATTCGTCTGATACACACCCTATTTACCACGCAGGATCAACATTTCTCCAATTGTCATATCAGACCCATCTACTCCTCCCCTCCGCCTGGAACGCAAGCCTCCCCAGTGGGAACGATAGTCCACGACTCGAACCCATTATACAAATAGCACACCTCCCAGCCATTGGTAATGCTTCCCAGCAGGCTATCCTTCCCACCGGAACAGTCAGGAGAGCCGAACATGCAAAGGTCATACCGGTCCGTGTCCGATGGGCTCTTCCACGAGATACTCTTGACGTTTGTTGAGTTGAATTCGGCAGTATTCAATACCTGGCAATCACGTCGTTTCGCGCCAGAGTAGTGGAGAATGGAGTATTGGATATTGCTCACGGAGCTGTTGCAGATTGGGGGTGCCTCACTGAGGAAACGGAAGTCCCACTATGAAACATTAGCGCGTTTGACATAGGAGTACAGTTTGTTTCACGTACGGCTCTGTAGGCAAGGACTGTGAGATCTTCAGGGCTGGGAAGTGCGTTCACCGTCCAGGGAGAGACGCTAATGAGCGTCAAGCATGCGGCGAGGAATTTCATTATGCTGTAGTTGGTAGAAACAGCCGTAAAAATTAGGGATTAAGATCAGAAATAACCTAGAATGAAATGTTTATTCGAAATATCCAGGAGCGCAGAATTGCTTCTTTTATACACCACCCCATCCCAGTCAGACTATTTTAGTCCAAAATTGCACCTGCAGAAGCGGAGCCCGCGCCTCCAATCACATCCGTTGACAGCCAGTCGAGACTCGATCGGCTTGAGGACAACTCCTCTTACCCGCAGCTAAAGAGCAGCTGAAACGAACTTGGCCAAGGAAAAGTCAGAACTCCGCAGAGGGGTCTCGGATACGTTTTTCTTGGCATCGGGGAAAAAGCGCAAGTCTTGGGTTCTCATTGGACGCAATATTGTCGAAACCCTGATTCCTGAAGGGTCCTATCGGATATGCTGCGGTGCGGCTTGTTCAGACATGATCTCGGGGGAATAGAAGGTGAGCCATTTTAATGGTAATTGCGCAGGGTTGATTGTCTCGCCGATTCAGGAACGTGGCGAATGAGGGTGTGCTTGGCTCAGGGACGGGGTACCGTCTGACGTGCAGCTTGCAGTATTGACCTCGGGGGATCAGTTCGCTGATTTCATATAGTTATATGGGCTCATGACTATGTGCCTAGACCCTGACCTTCATGGCGCTTTGAATAGTCGATGGGATTGACGGAAGTCCTTGGCTGCTTAGTTCACTGTTATTCCCGTGGTTGCGGGTTGATATATTCCCAGATGGCTTGCAGGTGAGCCAAATATTGCTGTTTATTGTGTTTATCCGCAAATCAACTTGAGTAAGGGTTGCGAAAACTGTCACATATCTGGAAGAAAAGAGCCCTGGAGGCTTTGTTCTCTGACATTTATGACTTGTAACATACGAAGCCTTTTCTCAGTAAGCCGTACAATAATGCCTCATGTATTATGCTTCCTCTGGACCTTTTGATGCACAAAAGGAAAAAGATACATGGGTCACTATACGTACCATATTTCCTCTGCCGGGTGCGGCTTTCCTATCTTAGCTGCCGCCGCTTTTACGAGGGCGCTCAGAGTCAGGCTCACTGAGTAAATTTCAGTCCGGGCTCAGACTCACGTGATAAAACCTGAGCGCTTAGTGATTGTGATTGGGTGCTTACTGATTGCTCACTGATTACTCAGACTGATTAGAGGCATCTATGGAGCACTTAACTAGTCCACGCTTAGTCCATACCTAAAGGAGCACTTTGCCCTACCATATTGTTTATTTTGCGATCACTTTTTGATGGCCCTCGCTTCTCACTATGCCCCGATTTCTTAAGGGGCACAATCTTCTAGTCTCGTTCCCCTCTTAAAATTTAACACTGAAACACGATAACGCAAAATCAGAAGGCACCGAGCTAAGTTCCATCTGTAGTAGACAGTTCATTAACAAGTAAAGAAACACTTTCTAGACAAAGAAAGAGGTCTGACAACTAGGACATAGGGAAAACAGGTGCGCCTGGAAAGAAGTTATCCTTTTAATCAATCACGTGCTTGCTGCATACACTGCAAATCACCCAAATTAAAGAAACTAAACAAACAACCCATCCATCTCGAGTTCATAACATGTCTCGCGTACAGCTCTCAACGAGAACTCAGAGATTTGGAAGGTGTTTATACGCGACACCTAAGAATCACCTACACTATTGCCTGGTATGTAGGCTGAAGTGAAAACAACCAAGTCTGAGTGAGAAATGGAATATGTGAAAAACAAAGCATCACAATACACGCTTCGAACGAATACAACCTTGGAATGGATTTACGTGACTAGGTTTCTGCAGCGCGAAACCAATCTGACTTGCCGATGTGCGATGGACAAGGGCCAGACCTCATAACCAGGCGACCGACCCAATCTAGTTGCGAAGCGGAGCTCGAAAGGCGCGCTAGTCTCTTGCTTACAGAGTTACACTGTTCAATGCATTTGCGGCAGGCTGACACTGGGCTATCCAAATCCTCCCCTAGCTCGCACGGGGCTACATGGTTCTCCCGTATAAGATATGTCTGCGAGGCCTTCCGATCTCACTGCATATGAATTGAAGTCATTTTCTCTAACTCGCCATGGCTCCTGATCTCCAGGCGCTCGTCTCTCATTATGCCTCCCGACTGTCGGCCCCAATCTGGAAGATGGGCCCCCCCTTGAGTTTGCTGTGGGTGGTTTACCAGATCAACAGATATCTTAGTCGTCGAGCGCTGAATAACGGCGTTTCGGCTACATTTGATTGGGAGAAGGAAATCGTGCTCGTGACGGGGGGCTCAGATGGCATTGGTGCGGCGACAGTGCAGAAGCTGGCCGAGCGTGGGACTACCATCATCGTGCTCGACATCCGGCCTTTGACCTACGATGCTCGTGAGCACCTTCTGAATCTGATGATTTTGAGGCTGTGGCTGATCTTTGGGTCTAGTGAAATGCGTGCACTTTTATCGATGCGACGTGACCAATCGGACCGAGCTGGAATCAATCGCCGAGACTATTCGTCAGTGCGTGTTTTTCTCCCCTCCTTTCTACGATCCCGGGAAACTCATGGTAATTCAGGGAGATTGGTGCACCCTCCTGTGTGGTGGCTAATGCGGGCATCTGTCGCGGTAAAGCCTTGCTCCAGGCGACCCAAAAAGACATTGAATTGTAAGAAATTCTTTATGTGGGCTCCCTGGAAGCGATGAACTGAACCATCTCTAGGACATTTTCCGTGAACAGCCTGGGTCTTATCTGGACCGTGCAAACATTTCTTCCTTCCATGGTCGCGCAGAATCACGGCCACTTCCTAATACTGGCATCGCAGACAGCCCATCTGGCGACGGCTGGCGTGGTGGACTATGCCGCCACCAAGGCAGCCGCGTTGGCTATCTACGAGGGCCTCCAAACCGAACTCCGTCATATCTATCGGGCACCTGCGGTGCGTATGTCGTGCCTGTCGCCCTCGGCAGTGCAGACTAAAATGTTCCGCGGCATCCAAATGCCCGACTCTGTCCCGCTCTTGCAGCCCGACGATGTTGCCTCAGTCGTCGCGGAGATCCTCTGGAGCGGGCGGGCGCAGAATCGGATGACGCCTGCCACGGCTTACATCTCACCACCGACAAGAGCGCTCCCAGATTGGATTCGGGTGAAATTGCAGGATTTTGGAAAGGATGTCATGTCGGCTCTTTCGCCGCATCAACCTATGGAAGAGGTAGACTGATTTGCTTTTCATTACTGTTCGGTAGTCTATATAGCCTGTTACCGTCGTAGAAAGAGAACAAACTCAGCGCTGCGGACTCATCTACCGTCTCCAATATACGAGCCTGCCTGATCCCACCCTGTTGTGGAAGTCCGCCTTTGGGCAGGCTTTCCTCCACCAGGTAGTAGACCTATTTCTCCCAGTAGTTTAGCTTATTCTCTCTTCATCTCCACCACCCCCACGAAAATCCTCACTTTTCAGAGAATCTGTCCTCCAGTTTCTCTATCACACGCGACAAAATCGCACGCGCAATCCGCCCTTGGGCCGTGAGGTCAACCCGGTCTCGATGGTTATCTCTGATTCCTCCGCCAGCGTCATCTCAAACGTGCCCACCAGCGCCGCGACCAGACTGGCGAACTCGCCACGAGCAAAGCCCTGCCCTATGCAGGACCGTGGACCTATAAATCGGGTCAGATAAGCGAGGCTCGAAATATGCAACAACGGATACGCACCATGAAGAAAAGTCATGAAGGAAAAGTTAGTCAGGCCACCACCGGTGTTGGCCATATTCGGCCCGAGCCATCGATCGGGATTGAAGACATTCGCATCGTCCCCCCATAATTCTCGCGACACATTCAGGGCGCGCGGCGAGATCACGATCTCCGTGCCTGCGGGAATAAACTGGCCTAGGATGGAGATGTCATTCACCGCTACCCGTCGAGTGAGACCGGCAGGCGGGTATAGACGGAAGACTTCATTGCAGAAGGCATGCAAGTATGGTAGACTATCCAGGAGTTCGGCCGTCATCGGCGTATGTGAAGTATCGTCCAAAATGCGCGGCAGTCGGAGGCGAACCTCTGCGCGCAGTCGTTCTTGGATCTTCGGGTACAAACACAAGGCATAGAGGGCCCAGGTCATCGATGTCGCCGTGGTTTCGTGTCCGGCCGCCAGAAAGGTCAATAGATGGTTCTCCAGCATTGAATCCGTGAAATTGCCCGAATCCAGCGCGACGGAGATTATATCTCGTCCGTCACTGTCACATTTTTCGGCGCTGGTCTTCTTGTTGGAGATCAGCCGACGTGCCACGCTTGTCAATGTGTTGGTGGCCATGGTGACACTGTCATGGCGCGGCAGACTCAGAGCGCTTATGACAGTCTCACGCAACAGGAACAGGCCCATTGCCAGAATGCCTTGAGGGGGTCGTTGCTCAAACACGCCCCGGTAGGCACGGCAGATCTCATTGTCCGGGTTATGGAGAGTGTCAAATTCCTCCCCGAATCCGGCTGCGCCCAGGATATCCAAAGTTGCCCGTGCCAGCCAGTCCGCCACGTCGAAGACCTTACTCGATGGATTGCTTGATTGATCCGCAGTCTGCAAGATGGCTTCTTCAAGTACTCGGGCCAGCGCGACGGATTTGTCCCAGAAAATGGGATAGAGGTTTTTGATGTGTCGGTGCGAAAAAGCAGGCATCAAGTGTTTGCGTTGCGTCTATTGACATTGTTAGACTTCTCTAGTTCATCTCTTGCTTGTTCTAGCGAAGAACGAGCGCATACCTTATGTTCCTTGCCCTCGGCGATGATCAACCCAATCCCCAGAATCCGACCCAGCCCTAGTCGCAACTTGTACGGCTTGGCGAACTCGTAATTCTTCTGAACTAGGACCTCGGAGAGGCCCTTGGGACTGGTGACAAATACTACCTCCTTGTTGAACCGCATGCGATATCGGATCAGCCCGGTGTTGGATACATTGTTAATCCATTCTTGCAAGGGCATGCCCGATCGTTCGTTCGGAACCAGTTTCACATGGCCGCGAAAACGGTGACCACCCTGCATTAGATTTGTCAGTTTTCTGATTCCTAAAGCTAGCGATTTCATGCAGTAGGGGGCTTACCGGCGGTTCGGGCAATTTGCGCAGAGGACTGAACCAGAAGGGCCACAGGTAGAGCTTCCAGTACGCCAGGGAAACCAAAGAGAGAAACGCAGACAATGCTGCAATCACGGCATTCGATGTGGAGATACTCAATTGCCAGAAGATGCCCGCCGGCAACAAGAAGCTGACGACCACTACGTTCAGGGTGGACATGGCATCCATTGCGTGAAACTGAGAGGATTTCAGATTGCTTGTTCTCCTGCCTTTTTTTTCTCTTCTCCTGTTCTCCGAGAAAGCACAGACTCTAATCCTGCAGTCAGCACATAAGACAAGAAACATCTCCGCTGCGGGGAATTGTTCGGTTTTTGTCTCGTTTCGATACCTAGTATTTTGCGGATTACACCTGCAGGATGGTCATAATACATAATTACCTTGCGCGTATCAATTTTTCTAATGTGATTACCTTGTAACGAATCACGATAAACATGATTATTTTTGCTAATGATGAAAGGGGATGCGGAAGTCCTCAGCCAATTTCAATGTTAGTATATGATTATGATCAAACGGTGCAATGGAAATATTCGAGATATCGCAGCAAAGATGCGCAATGTTCATTGATTCTCATGAAGGTTTATACTAGTTACGTTCAAATTACTGGAAGAATAATCATCTAATCCACTAAGTTAAGCAAAAAGCCCTTGGTCATGTCGCCCGAGAGAGATGGCGACGTCCTTTTGACCGGCCGGTCACACTCGTGCGGTAATCCGCACTTTCAGCGGGATTTTCTCCCATGACGTGTAAATATATTGATCCTTCGGCCAATTGCGACACTCGGGACTCAGTTCCAAATCAAAATGCCAGAATATCTTCGCCAAGATCAATCTCAGCTCGATATTGGCCAGACTAGTGGAGGAGGCGTGGCGTTAGTATAATTTCTGGCAAGTTGAGGAGATGAAGAAGTTCATACTTTCTGCCAATGCAGTTTCGTGGCCCAAAGGAAAAGGGCTGAAGTGCTTCACGAGCATCGCCAGCATACGGCCCGTCCGTATCCAGCCACCGCTCAGGGAGGTACAGCTCTGGGTCCTTGAAGTTGGCGGGCGAGCGAAAGACGGCGTACTGGGCCATGCCCATCGATACCTGTGGCAGGTTTGTTAGATAAAACGGGTCGTAGGAACAGGGTCGGTTGTCACATACATTACCAGGTAGCCACTGACCCATAATATTCGCCCCCTCGGGCGGCGTTATGCGAGGATGACTGCCTGCTGCTGGGGGATAGAGGCGGAAGGACTCATCAATGACCGCATTGATGTATTTGAGTTTGCTAATCCGCGCAATGTTGATCTCTTCGCTGGTTGCAAACGAGGTGCGGACCTCGTCAAGCAACTTCTGCATCACAGCTGGGTGAGTACACAGGTAGTAAACCGTGCCAGAGAGGATCGTCGCTGTAGTCTCGCTTCCAGCAATTACCATGAGATTGGCATTCGCCACGAGGTCGGGGGTTGTCAATTTACCCTTCTCCTCGGCCTGGAGCAGATGGCTCATGAAGTCGATGTAATCGGGATGCTGCTGTTTCCGGCGCTTGACTTTCTCCTCGACGAGACCGATATGCCACTTACGCCGCTCGACGATGCGCTTTGGCATGATGGCTAGAATGATAGGCCGAATGTCGATGAAGCGCTGCAAGGTCCGTATGTAGTGGACGTACATGATGGCGTTGAAGATCATTGACATCCACGGGTGGTACTCGGTGTTTTTGAGACAATCGAACGGTTCATAGAACGCCAGATGGCCGATAATGTCAAACGTCACATACTATCCAGGTCAGCTCAATTTTCCCATGGTTCTCCGTCCAACTTACATTGAACCATTTCACGATATCAACCGGCTCGTTCTTCTCCACCACCTCGTGCAACCGACTGATGAGGAGGTCGATGTAGTGCAGCAGCACGGGTTCCTGGCCCTTCAGCACCTTGTCCGAGAAAGCATTGGACAGTAACTTGCGCAAATCACCGTGATCCTTGCGGCCCGCGTTGATGATTGTAGGATGCCTTTTGTCGGCATCCGTATTCTCGCAGGGATCTTTACGATTCTCGGGCAGGCCACCGCGGAATCCGTAGATCTCCTTCCAGGCACCAGAACCCGTGAAGGAGAGCTCGGTGGGCGCAATGCGGACAATCGTCCCATATTTGAGATGAAGCTCATGCACGGTTAACGGGAATTTACCTCGCAGCTGGTGCCACGTCCACCATAAACGGGTGGCAGCTGCGAGTTTCGGGCCAGGATATTTGGAGAGCGGATGGAAGTAGATTCGGTAGATCACGATCCCAAACATGTAACTGAGGGCCTGGATTGGGAGTTAACACACGGAATTTTATGAAAAGAAACCACTCTCGGTCCTACATACCACGCCCAGCGACACGAGAAGCGCCTGGCCAAGGGACAGACTCAATATCCATGATAGTGCCATCTCAAATGGAATATACCGTCAGTCACTATCGACTTTTGGCAGACCAATGTGAAATCTGGTTCTGACCTCGTTCGCAAGGGTGGTTGATATTCGCCCCGTGAAGATCGCGGCGTGTCCTGCAGAGCCACCTAGCGGCCCCTGGGTTTTGGTTTATCACGAGCGGTAGCGGAGTGAAGGTGGTAACGGATAATTGTCGGCATGGTATTGAATGAAGACAGCTCCGTTTTCATGACAATACGCTACCCCGCAAATAGACATTCGACAAGAGCTGACGGATTGCTCGTAAGAGCTCATGTATTCGTGTGCTCTCCTCCAATCGCCAAATAATGCCAAAGACACCATCAGCACCTAGAACCGGATGGAGCTGTGAGCTTTGGTCTTTTATCGGAATCATACTTCATTCCAAATATGGGGTGGCGAATGGGAAACAGGTTTAAGAGGCATAATCTATGGTGAGATTGGAAGTGAAGTTAGATCCTAGCCACTTATCTTGCTCGTATTATGCGGAGTCTCGGGATATCAGGGATATCAACATGGTGCATAAGCAACGCCCGGGGCTTCATGCATGCCTTCATGCATGCGGAAAATGCAGCACGTTGCTAATATAAAGTTGATCTTTCACGGCTTATGGCGGGCCCACAGCGGGCCGATAATGCCCCGACTGGCGCCGTCAGGTCTCCGGATTGTAACTGAAACAGTACAATGCAACCCCGAAGAGTAAGCACAGATAAAGCGGGGTCTGGGTGTCAACAGTGACCGTCAGCGATGGATAGTTTGAAGAAAATGACAATTCTAAGGCTGTGGGGAATCCAACGTGGGGTTGGTATTTCCCACAGTAGCAAGCCCCAGGTAGTGAGCGAAAGATCGTCATGGCTTTTAAAACATATAAACATCTAAATACCTAGGTAGAAGCAAAATTCTATCTTGGGGAGAGCTATCCGCTTTACGATGGAACCCACCTCCTTGCAACGTTCGGCCGAGGTGCTGGTCGATCAATTGACTGAGCGAATCGACAACTCGCATGGATTAGGCTTCATGAGTCCCGCGGTCTATGATACCGCATGGGTATCCATGATCCAGAAGCCCGCGGACGGCCACACGGTGTGGTTGTTTCCCGAGTCCTTTGAATATATCCTGTCAAACCAATTCGAGGATGGAAGTTGGATCATGTACGCTTCCCAGATCGATGGAATCCTTAACACTGCCGCGTCCTTGTTATCGCTGAAGCGGCATTTCACTTCGCCGCTTCAAATCAGTACCATCTCCCAGGAAAGTCTTGCGGAGCGCATTGATCGGGCTACAAGAGCCTTGCATGCCATGCTCGACGAATGGGATGTCGACGCCACGGTACATGTTGGGTTCGAGATCCTCGTCCCGGCGATGCTGTGCTATCTGGAGACCGAAGGCATTGTGCTTTCCTTTCCAGGTCGCGATCGTCTCTTTGCGGTCCGCGACCAGAAACTGGCTCGGTTCAAGCCCGAGCTTCTCTATATGCCTGTCCAAACCACGGCCTTGCATTCATTGGAGGCATTCATCGGGTTGATTGAATTTGACCGTGTTCGTCATCATAAGGTCAGCGGCTCTTTTATGGCATCACCATCTTCCACGTCAGCCGTGCTCATGCATGCCTCCGAATGGGATGACGAGTGCGAGGAATACCTTCACCACGTCATTCAGTCCGCGTCCGGAAACCGCTCTGGAGGTGTACCCAGCGCCTTTCCTTCCACTACCTTTGAAATTACCTGGACGCTGTCAACACTGATCAAGAACGGATTTGATCTCAATCCGAAATTACTGCCATCCGTCCAGAAAGCCCAAACATACCTGCACGATGCTCTTGTCATGGATAAAGGAACCGTAGGCTTTACGCCACATGTTTGCGCCGATGCAGATGACACCTCGAAAGCCATTCTTGTGCTCCAACTGCTACAACAGCATGTATCGCTGGAACCGATGCTGAAAGCCTTTGAAGCAGACCACCATTTCAAGACCTACCCCCATGAGCGCGACCCCAGCTTCTCGGCCAACTGCAATGTCTTACTGGCATTGCTCTACGCGGAAAATGTCTCCCAGTATGCGCCTCAGATCGAAAAGGCGATCCGGTTCCTGCATACGCACTTCCGGGAAACCGACTTGAAAGTCCGTGATAAATGGGTAGGTAAATCCTCTTCCATGATAATCGGTCCTTGGCTGATTGAATATAGAACCTGTCCCCTTTCTACTCCTGGATGCTCATGACCGAGGCCATTGCCCGCCTGCACCTGCTATTCCAGAGTTCTCAATTACTGTTCCTGAAAGAGCACTTCGAGCAAGACCTCGTCGATCTACTGCGTGACATGACGATCTCAGTCCTGCGCCAGCAGAATCAAACAGGCTCGTGGGGCTCTAGAAATTCCAAGGAAGAAACGGCATATGCGGTACTCATCCTTACATATGCGGTGCACTTTGAGTTCTCCGAGATACCTCGTCACCTGATCCGAAGACAAATCCACGACGGCTGCTCTTTCCTCTGTTCAAACGCCGTTCTTGGCTCGGAGCGTCTCTGGGTGGAGAAAGTCACATATGAATCGGAAATGTTGTCACAGGCCTACACCTTAGCTGCGTTGAAGAAGGCGGCAGATTTGTTATTGCAAGAACAGTACAAACCGGAAGGTGTCTTCACAAATTCGGCAAATGGACATCATGCCGAGCCTATCGAAGATCATGCAGAGTTGAATGGACATCCTGCTGAGCCTATTGAGACTAATGGACATATTGCCGAGTTCACTGAAATCGGAAGCAAAAGCACGAATGGAGCATCCTGCACCGAAACAAATGGTACCGAAACGAAGACGACCGACGTGCTGCCCACCCCCACAGTCGAACTTCATGGTCCCCATGAGAATGGACATTTCCATGCGGAGATCACAAAGCTCGTGTCGGTTGATTTCAATTGTGCCTCAAACCATTCCTACCAGCGCGAATGGACAGATGACCAGGAACAAATCCTGTTGGGGCCATTTGACTATCTCGAAAGCTTACCAGGGAAGAACATACGATCGCAATTCATTCAAGCCTTTAATTCCTGGCTCCAAGTACCCACGGAACACCTGGAAGTTGTCGAAAAGGCGATTTCCATGCTGCACACTGCATCTCTCCTCGTCGACGATATCGAGGACAGTTCGCTCCTTCGACGAGGCCAGCCGGTAGCACACAGTATCTTCGGCACGGCACAAACCTTCAATTCTGGCAATTATGTCTACTTCCTTGCGCTTCGGGAGATTCAGAAACTGAGAAGCTCACGTGCGACTGAGATCTACGTCGACGCCTTGATCCATCTGCACCGTGGTCAAGGCATGGATGTGTTCTGGCGCGATTCGCTCATTTGTCCCACAGAAGAGGACTATCTGGACATGGTCAGCAACAAAACTGGGGCGCTTTTCTGCCTCGCCATCGAACTGCTGCAGATCGGTAGCCCCATCCAGGTCGACTTGGTCCCGCTAGTCCGACTATTTGGCATTATCTTCCAGATTTGCGACGATTATCTTAACCTGAAGTCGCCAAGCTATTTGCAGAAGAAGGGCCTATGCGAAGATCTGACCGAGGGAAAATTCTCCTTCCCTATAGTCCACAGCATTCGATCAAACCCCACCAATCGGCGACTGATTAATGTCCTGAAACAGAAACCCCGGGATGATGATATCAAACGATATGCGGTTGACTACATGGAGACTACAAATACCTTTGAGTATACCCGGGACTTTGTTGGCAGCCTCAAGGCCGAAGCCTTAGAAATGATAGAAGATTTAGAGAAGCAGGGACTGGGAGATAACCTTGCGATCCGAAAGCTCTTGGCTCGGCTGTCGGTAGATGGGTGATGAAAGAGCGTTGACTATTACTACTATGTTCCTATATTGTTCATGCGTTTGTTTCCCGAGAAGATGCATCAGATATTATAAACTTTTGTTGGCAAAGTCCTTAACCCTATAAGACATAAATTTACTGGCTGAAATCTGTTCATACAAATCTTCACGTTGAAATTATTCTTTCATCTTTTCTTCGGTTACTTTATGAACAACAAGCGTGGTAATGATCCGATCTAGTTCATCCTCCCGTAGCCCGCAGAGGTCAACAAAGTATCTCCGCGCTCCTCCAAACTTGGCTGCTACAATCTCAGTCAAGAACGCACGCATGTCGTCCGGGTGACTTCCTATGATAGATTCCGCCTGCTCCCGACTCGAAGCTTCGGCTCTCTGTAAGAGCCGCTGAATCAAATGCTCCCGCCACGTGCCTAGCCCGTGTGTCGTCAGCGCATAATCAGCCACGATATCTTCGTCCACCACTCCACACAGCTTTAGGACCAGTGCGGTAAATACTCCAGTGCGATCTTTTCCCACCGTACAGTGAAACAGGATCGGACCGCCCTGATCCTGCAAGATGTGTAGCATGATAGCGCGAAAACTACCCGTTTGCGCTGCGTTACGCATAATGGCCTCGTAGGCTTTGACGAAACCCCGTTCGGCAGCCTGGTCCTGCATCACACCATCAGAGGTTACTCCGTACCGCTTTGCCAGTGAAACGGGGGAGTAGTCTCCGTCCTGGAATACCGGTACTGCGTGGCGCGTCGTCCCTGGAATATCGAGGAAGGAGTCAGGATAGCGGGTAGTCACGAGCTGGATTTCCCCCTTTGAGCGAAAGTCGAAGATGGTTTGAATATGGAGTGTCTTGGTCAGTTTTTCGATCCCTGTTGGGGAAATCTGGGAGGGCTGTGCGGCACGGAAGAGGAAGCCTGGCCGAATGCGCCACCCTCCGACTTGAGTTTCATCGACGGTTTGGGTCGGAGATGCTGTAGTTGAAGGATAACACGCATAGCCTCCGATGTCGCGAAAGTTAGGGACACCGCTCACCGAGACGAATGGCAGTGAGGCTGTCGGAGTGGCATCTAGGGACATGTCTTCTAGACTTGAACACGTTGAAATCCAATGGTTGACATGCGTGATATGTGGGTTCCAACTCACATGGAGAGTTCACAAATAGTCCAGCATATAAGAGTCATGGATCTAGCTTCATTTACCGCTACAAGCCATAGCAGCCATTCCATGTTGCATCACATTAGCCCATCGTTAGCGTGAGTTTTCATGCGCCAGCATCCGGGTCTGCCTTGGGCCATTCTCTGGAGAAATGCCAAAGTCTCCGCGGGGCCGTTCTGGCTAGTTGGTATATTCCGAGAGTAAGCACCAATTCGCTTGTCCAGTAAGATAATTGACAATGTTTCATACGACCTCCGAGGGCTGTATCAGTCGGGGCTGGAGCCAATAGATGCACACAAAAGAACAGGGGGCGGGAATTCTAAAATTTGTTGCAGTCAGCAAAAGAAAATCTAACTATAGCTTTCAAGACTACCTACGGAGTAGTTGTCCCCATTCGGATAATGGCCAAGACACAATGTCCACCTAAGCTTTTGATTGGCACTCTTGGCAAAGTATGTCCCACCGGGACTACCCAGGTGGATTAGGTGCATAAAGTGGCTTATGGTGAGCACAACCCCACCTGCCTAGGTTAATGCCCGACGCAGAATATCCCAGTGGCACTGTTGAGGTGGCATACCATTTTTTCATAGGCGGCGCGCCATAGCCTTGTCTCCCTGCACGTTACGGACTCGCGCTTTGACACCCCGCGTCGGTCTCAGTATAGGAGGCGTAGAAGATTGGTGGAGCCCCCCGGTATGATCTCGGCAATGTCGCATCGTTATTAAATTATCTATGCAATATTATTAGTCCACATATCAACCTCCTCATTGATTGCCGAAGACCTACCGCGAGGAACAGGCTGTGGCCGACCCAATCTGAAAAATACCTAAAATACAACAAATTTTCATAACAGTTTTTTTTTTCATACCGGATGATACCGAGGTAAGGAAAGGAGTTGGATTTTTTTATCCTTTGGTAGGAAACTCCTATACAAGAGCATGTTGAACAAGTTCATCAAGATGGGTCTGGAAAATTACAGATATGAGAGTGCCGAAGAAATCCAAACCTTCCATTCCACTCTTGTGAGCACGTTCCGAACGGGTCAAACTAGAGACATCGCTTGGCGCAAATGGCAGCTCAAGCAGCTCTGGTGGTTGGTAGAGGACAATGAACAGGCTATTCTTGATGCCATCAAGGATGATCTCAATCGGTCTGAAGTCGAAAGCTATCTCACGGATCTTGCCGGTATCCGCAAAGATATACTATATCACCTGGATAATATAGATGCCTGGGCAGCAGATGAGAAGATCGGGGACAGTTTCATTGCAAGACGACTTGGCCTAGCACGAATCCGAAAAGAGCCACTCGGCCTGGTCCTCATTATCGGTGCATGGAATTTCCCAGTACTGCTGGTTCTGCAGCCTCTCATCGCGGCCATCACCGCGGGCTGCTGCGCCATCATAAAGCCATCTGAGATAACTGTGGCATGTCAAAATCTCCTCCGAGACCTGGTTACCCAATATCTTGATCCTACAGCGATCAGATTGGTCTGTGCTGGCGTTCCTGAGACGACGAAGCTCCTTGAACTCCCTTTCAATTACATCTTCTTTACCGGCTCCGCGAATGTGGGCCGACATATCAGTGCAGCAGCAGCAATCCATCTGACCCCTGTAACCATGGAGTTAGGTGGTCAATCTCCTGCCATCATCGGTCAATCAGCAGATGTGGAGCGCGCTGCCAAATGTATTGCGTATTGCAAATTCCTCAATGCCGGACAGATCTGTCTGGCAGTCAATCATGTCTTCGTGGATCCAGCGGTGCATGACGCGTTTGTAGACCGATTGCAGTACTGGAACAATCAATTTTTGAATGGGGAACAAACGATCACCACGGCCATTGTCAGTCGGCAACATTGGGACCGTTTATTTAGCCTTTTGTACCAGACGAAAGGGACGATTCTCTGCGGCGCAGGTGGGAGTGATGAATCGCATCGGATGGAGCCAACCGTTGTAGTAGAACTTGATATGAACGGTACATCCGCTTTTAATCCTTTGTTATGTTGGGAGGCAAAACTGACTCGCGCCACTAGATGCGCTACTAGCCGAAGAGATCTTTGGTCCCATCTGTCCTGTGGTCAAGGCAGATGTACGTCAGGCCTGCCAGGCAATTAATGGGTGAGTTTTGAATCCTTTCTGTCATGGAAACACCGTGTTAATCTGTGGAATAGAAGGGAACATCCCCTGGCCCTGTACATTTTCAGCTCCGACAGCTCCGAAATCCAGAATAGTTGCGTGTACCCATCAGTCCGTAAATCTCGAAATAATTTCACTAACGAAACAAAACAGTACTTGATAACACGAATTCGGGTGGAGTCACATTGAACGATGTCATCCTCCATGCAGGATTCCCGGGTGCTCCTTTTGGCGGTGTTGGTGGCAGCGGACATGGTTACTATCATGGTTCGTATGGATTCAAGACATTTTCGCATCTCCGGACTGTTGTCAGTTCGCCGAAATGGTTCGACCGTCTGCTAGCATTCCGATATCCACCATTCGATGCGGCCAAGAAATCCAAAATCCCGCAAACCAAGGCTAAGTTCAAACGGGGGAAACAATCCAGGATCAACGGCGTGAAGGGTCTGGAATGGTTGGGTCCAAACTTGCAGTTGCCACAGCTCTTTGTGGGATTGCCTTTTATTATTACTCCTACTCCAAATGATACCGCATATGTCCTTCGAAATCATAACAAAGGAGATCAACTGTCTGATTGCCCAAAGTCCGCATCGTCTTTCCATTTTATCTAAACCTTGGAATGCTGCGGTTATTCCAGGGTTGTAAGTTGACAGTATAAGCCCCTGAACGAAGTCTACTATGAAAGAGATAAATCACGGTCATCACCTCGTTGTCTGTTACTTTTGTTGCCAGTCATATTATACAAAGCCTTCCCTCCGATAATACATTCTGTACAGAGTTTTACCAATTACTAGCGCCAAATCAGGATTGCGGAGGATCAACCAATTTCCACAAATCCCCACGGGGGAGTTCTGATTCTTGTTTCTGAACATCCGCTTACCAAGAACTTCATTGTCACGGAATTTCATCATCTCATGCATTAGACTCACTTAAAATAAAATTTAATAACAATCGGAGACTGCCGAGTTCCAAGATTTGAATGAAAATGACATTGCGATCCAAAAAACAGAGGAATAGTGTTGTGACCGCACCAAATCCAAATATATATATGACAACAGAACTTGCTGAATCTTCAAATTCATTCGCAATATATCATTTACCGGTCGTGTTAACCTTGGAATAAACTGACTCTGACTTCGGAAATAATAAAAGCCTTAGTAGTTATTGGAGGTATCCCTCTGTCCATGCCCAGGTGCATACAAAACGTTGCAATCAATAATAATCACAATCCACTCAACCTCGTTCCCATTCGGGTCCCAGACAGTAGTTTAGGCCTTCTCGCTCTCTTGCATCTCGATCTGCTCCGAGGTGATAGCAACCTTCAGGTCCTCGACCCTCTCAACACCAGCCAGTCCCAGAGATTCGTTAATCCTCTGCATGCGCAGACGATCGGCCTCGGCAATGCTTGCCTCGGAGCCACCGAAGAACACATCTAGTTCCTCAAGGGTCTTATCCTTGGTTTCGGGTGCGAACTTCCAGATGAAAAGACCGCCCAGGCCACTGAAGACGGCGAAGAAAATGTAGGTGCCGTACTTCATCGAAGCCAACATATCCTTTGTCGTCAAACCGATGATAAAGTTGAACATCCAGTTGGTACTAGCTACAATGGCAACACCCTTAGACCGCTGGCTATTAGGGAAGATCTCCTGGGTCAAGACCCATGCGACAGGGCCTATAGACAGTTAGTTCGGAAGGTGGAATGAATAATAAACTAAAACATACCCCAAGAGTAGGCGAAATTAACCGCAAACAGCCAAATAAAGACAATAGCAACCCATCCCTGTCCTTTGTCTAGTCCCTGGTTGAGGTCCCAGTGAGGTTTATAGATACCCTCGACCGTGGCCACAACGATATGACAGCAGAACATGCCAATGGCGCCGACGATAAGGAAGGTTTTTCGACCGAATTTATCAAGATAGAGCACGGCAGGGAGAGTAAAGACGATCTGCAAAATTCCGGTCACACCAGTAGCCAAAAGAGTCTGCTTGGTGGAGCTGAATCCGAAACTGGCAAAAATCTGGGGCGCGTAGTATAGGACTGCATTGATACCGGTAAATTGTTGGCAAATCATAGTACCGCAGCCAAGGAAAAGACGCTTAAGCATGTTTGGAGCAAAGAGTGCCTTCCAGGGAGCCAGAACACCACCAGCACCGACAGCCTCGCGCTCGGTTTCTTCGTCGAACATAACAGCGGCCTTAATCTCAAGGAATTCGGCGCGGACGTAAGGGTCGTTGGATGGGAGACGGCGGAGTCGCGAGAGAGAAGCGAGAGCCTCATCCTCGCGGTGCTTCATCATCAACCAGCGAGGGGAGAAGGGGAAATAGAACATGCCGAAGAAAAGGATCCAAGCAGGAATAATTTGTAGGGCTAGGGGTAGGCGCCAGGCGATAGTCTTCTGGCCGAGGCAGGTATGTCCGTTGCTAAGGGCAGCGTCAAAGGCACCGCTGGCGAGGTAGGGGTTAGCGATACCCTCGGGGTTGCAAGTCGTGCCGCCGACAAATTGCATGCCGTAGTCGAGCCAGAAAGAGATGGCGGTACCAATCGTAATAGACAGCTGTTGAAGAGAGACCAGAGATCCACGTAGTTCTGGAGGAGCAATTTCGGCCTGGTAAAGCGGAATGACCATACTGAACATACCAATTCCCACACCACCGATAATCCGGCCAGCGAAGAAATAGGCAGGTGTTTGAGCACCAGCTTGTAGGCCGGTACCCAGGGTAAAGATAAAGACGGCAGTCATCATAGCATATTTTCGAGAAATGCGATCGGCGAGGATTCCATTAAGCAGAGCACCGGCCCAAGCACCCAGCTCCAGGGCAGACACCAGCCAACCCTGGATGGTGGATCCTCCAAAGGTTGGGAAGTGGTTCTGGAAGTTCTCCATAACAAGGATGGGGCCCATGACTCCCTGGTCGTAACCATACATAATACAGCCCAGAGAGGCAAAGCAGCATGTCAAGGAGACGAATGGGTTTCTGAGAAGACCAATGATACCATGGGCCTTCTCTGCGTTGGCACGGCCAACCACAGACTGGCTGACTGCCATCTTGGGGTTGTAGGAAGCAGAAGTTGGAGGGAGAAGAAAAGTATGAATGGAAAGTCTGGGGTAATTGCAACGAGGCTAGAGCAACCACATTATGTAGTTACGCCGGCAGGGTTCTAGTTCGCTTATTTACAAACTGTTGGAGTTCTGGACTGGGGTCCCTAGACCAAAAAATCTCAGTCCCCGCGCCCATAGCACCATATTCACGGCTAATGATACCACAAACTAGACTCCAGCTTACGGTCTTCCATGTTTCTAGGAGCTAATTCGGCGCTAGAGGCGTGATTGGCTAGATCCGGGGATAATACAAAAGGCAATGCTACATTTCTGCTACACGGAACGGACATATCAAACCTTCGCAGGCTAGTGACCGCCACTAAGCTTTGGGGCCAAAAGAAGCACCAGGGCGCCTATGGGTCGAACTTACCCGCTAAACCCATCCTGTCTCCCGAAAAGCCTCTTTTATTGGCTGAGTGAGATTCGCCCTACATCTCTGTCAGCTCGAACCCCCTTTTTGCCCAATCATGCCCCGGCTCCTGCTATCCGGGGTGCGTGTGACTAGTGCATAGAACCGACAAAATTCGCCGGTGTTACCTCCCAGGTCCTGGGTTACACTACCCTGCCCGTCCGATATTTGGCCGATGCCATTTCAAGCCTCTTAATTCAGAGGTGGAAAGTTTACTTCGGTAACACGCATCTCCCCATTTACGGCAGACCCGAAAGTATATTGTGATACGGGGTTGATTAGATCTACACGGGTGGCCGTCAAGAAAACAGGGCAGGAAAGACAGCTCAGTCGCATTCTTGTGATCGAAAGGGGAAAAAAGGCAGTAACAAACTGTGGACAGAGTCAGCGTTGGACGTCGAGAACAGACGCACCAGGCGTATGAAAGAAAGATTTCGCTTTGCGGGGGGTGGAAATGATTAATATAATGTGGAACGTCCTAGATCCGGCTGATCCCAGATCTAGGATAGCTCGCTTTTGACGCGTGCGCCACCACTCCAGATTGATTCGAACACATAAAACCCTTAGACTATGGATTCATTCATTCACCGGACAGTTATCTCTAGGACTCAAGCCCCTATTATCTAACCAACTAAAAACCCGCAGGCTGCTTCAGCTCTCCGAGTAGGAAGCAATAGGCTGCGGCATCATTGGACGGATCGTACGATAGTATCGCATCTTATCGTGTCGTATCTTTGTCAACCTTTCATATGCATGCGCTTATTGTCCCATACCGTATTGTGAATCTAGTAGACCCATCCACTTTCCCCAGCACCGGTAATCCTTCTTCAAACCCTGATTGGGAGATCATGGGAACGAGTAGACAAAGTATTCCCAGGAGCACCTAGCATAAAATGTAATACTAATTGGCTGATCAAGTAACAATCCCCATTGTGGCTCAATTAACTGCAGTCAATTTACCAAGATGAATGGTCACATTGATGATGCTAGTGCCTTTTTGATAGGACAATGGGGGCAATTTAGAGGGGGGAGGATGACACTAGCGTAGTGCATTTTATTGAGGTCGCTTCTTGGGCTGCTAACTTGCTCAGAAAGTCAGACCAGATTGCTTACGTAATGATCTGTGATCACATCAGACCGCTCAGGGGGTGTGCTCAGTTCTACTCAGTGAGCAAAAAGCGGCAAGGTCTGATCACTAAAACGGAAAGGGGACGCCAAGAAGTGGCAGAGGAAATCCGCTATGTAGGTTCCGCCCTCCCTATGATCTCAGAAGTTATTGGTTATATGTTTCAGCTCCTGTATATGATACGTTCCTTTAATCTGGATACAACTTTACCAAAGACACAGGTTATCAAAGGCTGATCAATGCGAAATTTTCCCACAAAAGATATAAACAACACGGGCTGTCTTCCTCCAGATCACTACGCTCAAATAGTGGAACATTATCCAGCTAGGATCCTGAATACGGGACAATACCACTAGGGCTGCATCAATAGATACATTAAAAGGCTACTCGATCCCATCTTGCCCTTCTTAAGGCTCTCAAGAATCCCAAAACATATATCCCTCAACAGGTGTCCCTCACTTCTTCGTAAGTCTTGCAAACCCCGAAAACCAGTCTGACTACCTCAGTCTCACGAGTGTCGTGCCAAGCCAAAAACTCAACACATGGAGTAGTGTATTGTATATTAACCCGGGCTTCTATTCCAGTCCTGGTAGATAAATTCTGTTGAGACAGGGTGCTGGTGGAAAATCAACGTTAGGTGTCGAAGATCATACATCTTCCAACACCGTACAATCGCTGTCTTATTAACCCGAGACCCGGGAATATCTTCAATATCATCCGTCACGGTCGAGTTCACCTCATGACCTCGCGGATGAGCACAGCGTTATCGTTGGTAGACGGATTCCCCTCAGATGGCACAAAGCAAAGCTGCAGTATCCAATGGAGTATGCTCGGAGCAACGACGGGTATAGGACATTTTGCCATTAAAGGAGGAGGGTAAACTTCATGGCGCTGGTGGGAAGTGTTCGCCGGGCTGGTGTCAACAACGCAGATATTGCGACCCGACTGCCAGGATTGTGTTGGCAGGAGATACGCTGGCACCAGCGTTAGAGGCTGCAGGATTATCAATTGTTGGCGGGAGGATCGAAATTCTCTTTCTTCGATACCGAAATATGACGCAGTTGCATGCAGGCAGCAAGGCAGCAATGCTTTGCTTGCTTGCTTACTCCTCCAGTTGGACAGACCCCTCTTTGCCCCCCATGAAGCTATAAAAGGCGCTTGGCGGTAGGTAGATACAACATATGTTGATTGCTCTTTCTCACCTTTGCTTCGTAGCTGTGAGCCCGCATCAAAATATCTGATTCAAAACAACGGCACATGGGTTATGTATGGTGGTTCTCATGGCTGTCTGATACCGGCTGTTTTACGAGCATCCGAGTTTCTCTGACGATTGTACCCGACAGTCGCATTTATTTTAGTAAGTCAGCCCATGCGGCATGTTGATGAATTCCAACCTAGGGAATGACGAGTCTCGGTTAGCCTTTTGTCACGTCAAAAGTCCTGTCGTGGGGCCGATGTCACTTACCTTTGCTAGGAGGCTCAAGGCTGTAATGCAAAGTGTGAATGTTACAGAAGAAGAAAAAAAGACCGATGCCGAAGTCGGGACTCGTGAGAGACCAACAGTGCATGGGGCTTGACCAACTCAGAGTGTGCAGTGAAATGCTATGTCACATCGCTCAGGTTTTGTTGGAAAATGAAAATGAAAAAGCTGTCAGAGCTGTTGTCTTGCTGTGGTAGGATTGGTTGGTATTGAGTGGAAAAGAATGGGACCTGGTAGGTCATCTTCACGCCTTTGATGCTGTGGGTGTCTATTCCAATCGCTGCCTTTAGCGATGACTGGGCCAACCAGAATACCATGTTTGCTGTGCCCGATGGACGAAGAGCTCCTGGATCAGCCGGTAGTGCTGCTTGAAGTACATAGACAACGCACAGAGAGCTTGTGAGGTGTCTGGGTGCTATGATGGGGTTACTCTCACATTAATGAGCGAGAGACAAGAAGATAATGGAGATCAGGCATCAAACCAGGGAAACAAACAACAAACAGGTCCCGAGAGGCAAGGCTTCCACAGTCTTCCCACGAGGCTGACGACCTTCGCTCCAGTGAGGCCAAGACTGGGCATCAATACAAGATATCAAGAACAAAAGATTGGGGGTTTCTATAGTAAGCCTGCTTATAAGATAGGCCCCGCGAATTTGTCCTCTAAGGCTGTGTTGAGGATTATAAGGTGAATTCCTTTCTTTTCGAGAGAAAGGAAGCTCTGTGTACACACAGAAAGGAGAAAGGACCTCGGCAAGGCAGATAGTATAGGTAAACACGCAAATACTGCGGTTGCATAATAAATACATGTGATGAAAGAAGATAAATTTGAGTTGACTACGTAGATTGTCCCACACTAGGAGACATAGAAGTTCACTTGATATGTTCTGTGACTTGCACGTGTGTCTCGGAGTGCACCCAAGGTGTTGAAAAGGATGCCTCCATGTCTAAATCATTTATTTATTCAATCTATAGAATATCCCAGACAGGGTATACAAAGACATTATAGGCCGTCACGAGACACCAAAAACCACTGTAGACGAACTGTATCATGCTCGCTGGGAACTTGACGTCAACCGCCAAGCACGGAGAGGCAAGTCCTGTAGCTTCTGTGCAGCGGGCTTGATAAACATAATGAATGTGAGCGTGCCAATAAGCACACAGAGCATGTTGGTCATATAGTACCCATCACGGTCGATGTGGCAGGTACCGCCGCCGTTGATGCAGCGGTTCTTCTCTGGCTCGAGGGCGCAGGAGAATGCCGTTGTGATGAGGGAGTCCTTGAGGGAGTCGGCGGGTGGGGCGATGGTTGGGGGAAGACATGTTGCTTGAGTGAACATGTCGACGAGTTTGAGGACGAAGATTCGGGGGAATGTTCCACCCAGGTTGCAGACACTGGTGATATGTTAGCTACTGTGTGCATGGTTTATTTGGGTAGGGAAGGGAGAGGGCAGATAGTAGGACTTACGTTGCAAGAAGAGTCATGTATGTCCCGCCAATGGCTGGGTCGGCGATGCGGGCGTGGAAGGCCGAGATGGCGACGAACATGACCGTGTTCATAAAGGTTGAGAGGACATGCTCACCAATTACCGTGAGCATGTACCACATTGGCACTTCCGAGGCTGTGGGGTAGATCATGACGGTAAATTGGGCGAGCACAGCAGCTGCCAGTCGTCCGATAAAGGCCCAGCCCCAGAGGCGCATTGCTCCGTAGTTGGTTGACCACTGGCCGGCATAGTAGCCCAGCATGATTTCAAAAGGGAAGTCGATCAACACCACCAGGGCCATGTTGTCTTGGCCAAAACCCTTGTCCAGGAGCTTGAGACTAGTGACTCCGTCATTGGCCTGGAAGCCGATCTTGGCAATAAGGTGAATCAGAATGATGGTCTGGATGTTCTTCAACTTCAGAACGCTCCACATGCTTTTATACACATCCATAATGCTGTCACGTTCCTTGGTGCGTTCTTCCTTCTTGAGGAAGGCCAAACCACATGTCACGATCAGATAAGCCCAGCCCCAGAAGTTGAGATAAGTGCCAAGGGATAGCAGACCGCCCTCTCCGGGGATAGTTCTGAAGTATCTGTTGGCAAAGTCCTTCGAGTTGAAAGCCAAGAAGACAGTGTAGGACAGGAAATGACCCGCTGTTAATCCGACCGTTTGGGCGGTCGAAGCGTAGGAGATGTTAGGCGGGGACATCAAGGTAATAGCCCATCCATCCACCGCAATATCCTGGGTGGCACAGAAAAGCACCAACATAAACCACCAGTATGTGAATTTCCAGACGCCCGCGCCACCATCCGCGCCGGCCTGGACCATCATATTCTCGATATGGCCACCCATGTAGATCATAGCTAATCCGGCAATAACCTGGACAGGGGTAATCCAGCTCTTGCGCCGACCAAAGCGCGTACTCCACACAGCATCGACAATAGGACTCCAAAACAATTTGAGCGAGTATGGGTATGAGGCGAGCGAGAAGATTCCAATCTGGCCGTATGAGAGGTACGGCTTGAGCAGGAAGGGCACGGAGCCGGTGGCTAGGCCCATGGGGATCCCTTGGAGGAAGTATAGCAAGACCAGCAGCAGGAAGTTGCGGCGATCACTGCGTGGTAGGTTGTGGAAAGATGTATTCGTCTGGACTGGGGTTTGAGGCACGACCGGTTCGTTGTCGAGGGAGAAGCTAGGTCGTGACATGAGTTGGGCTGTTCTTTCGGCTGAGGTTTCCATGGAGGGCGTGTCCCTCCTGCGCATTTCGATGTTGTTATTCATCTTGCCATTCGCATGTCCGTTTGACCCGGTAGAAACTGTCAGGTTCGCTTTGGAGCGGCGCTTCGAGAGGGTCGCGTTCTTTCGTGTCATTGAATGTTATGCTATGATAGGGAGAGATAGCCTTCGTCAACTTCGTCCTGATTGGATCGAGGACTGAAGTTGGATATTATGATATTGAATAATGAAAGGGATGGATCGAGGGTTCGGCTTCGAAGGGGTCTTGCAGGTTTAGATACCCTGAGTATCCTGTATGTTTAATTGCACGGAGAATGAAGGAGTGAATGAGGGATATGAAAAGAAAGAAACCTCAGTAGATGTTTGGTGGGGGATCTTCGAACCGCAGGATGACAAAAAAAAAACATGAGGCAAGCTGGCCTCTTGGCTGTGGCTGCAGATCCGGGGAGCCGGGGCAGGGTCTATTTTGATCTTCCTTATATAGTAAATGGTCGCTCATGGAAATGGACATAGACATGGATATAGTTCTGAATCTGATCTTAATATGTACTCTCTCTCTCTTGTTACACATATAGCAGTTAACACTATGAGGTCACCACATCAACACGGTAGGACTGCAGGGATAAGCCTATATCATATCAGATCTATATAAACCAGACCCTGAATCTAAGCACCTTTGAAGTTTAGTCTCCTCTAGGATCTGTTTAGATCTTGCATAATAAAGTAACAATCTAACAATATCAGCCCATTTAGCCCAAGCTTCTGCATCATCGCGTCAGATGGTGACGTGATCACGTGCCTCAAATAAACAACTCCAAATATCCAATCCTCTACGCATCTAGCTTACCTTCTACGACAACTTTCGAGGGCAACCCTTGAGAACTTTACCCATCTCACCCATCTCCCCAACCGAACATCCAAAATGACAACGACCACACCTCGCACCCCCACATCACCAGACCCAGAAGAAGAGGAACTAGACACGGAGATCACCTCAATCCGCGCAGAAAGTACGCATCCCAATCCAAAATAATATCCAACTCCCAAAGCTAACCAAAATCAAGTCCAAAACCTCCAAAAACACAAGCGAATTCTCACATCCAGCCTCCTAACGACCGACCCAATCCAAAAATTCCTCCGCAAACAACCACAACCCCCCAGCACCGCAAACCAAACCGACCCCCTGGCAACAATCTCCCCTATTATCCACGCTGCCGGGGTACACACCTCCTCAAACCACCACCGCATCGCTTTCGGTGCAACAGCTTTCCCATTCAAAGACCCATCCCCAAGAGCCACCGCCGGAACCCTCCTCGGCGTGCGCATCGACATATGCGCGCGTAACGGCCGTTTCGCGAAACCATACTACATAGTCCTACAACATGAGCGCAGTCGTGCGGCCTCGAGTTCGGGTTCTACGAAGATGTTGAAGGTATATCGGCACACCGTGCCGGGGTTTATATCGATAGCGAAGCTGGAAAGTGTTTATCTACCGCGACCCGGTGTATCGCGCCGCAACGAAGACGGGGATGGGGATGGGGATGGGGGAGGTTCATCCGGCGAGGACGAGGTCGCTGATCCCGCGAAGCCGTGGAAGAAGAGCGGCAGCTCTGTCCGGAATCAAGATCTACGGGGATTTGTGCGCGAGCTTCGGAGGGAGCTTGTTGCGTGGCATATGCGTGTTGATGCGATTGAGTTCCTGCGCGAGAAACTGGGTCTTGTTGGTGAGGGCGGGGGGTCGTTGCCGTTTGATGTTTCGCCCGATCGGGATACGGGGATTGTGTCGTTAGCTGCTGTTTCGGTTGAATCGCGGTATGTGCGGATTGAGTGGGTTGATGGACGGGTTGGACGGTTTAAGTTGTCTAATGCTGGGGTTGTGGAGAGGGCTGTTGTTATTGGTGATGAGGGTCGGGATAAAAAGATTGAGGATGCGATGACTGATGGTGGGGGGAGGGTTGAGACGGTTTTGGATAGGTTGAGGGTTGATGTTTTGTCTGGATCACCGCAGCTATGAGGTGTTGTGTTTTGTTTTATTTTGTTCAGCAAGAGATACCCCATTATGAACTTTGAAGTGTTCGAATCAAATTGAATTTGAATTTCACTGCAGCTAATTATAAACATGATTGGTATGTCTATTCAATGGTTTCCACCAAATGCTATGCAATCATGAGACCAAGAAGCCGCCGCAACGCGTGTATGTGTACGTGACCGTCGATCCAAAAGCAGATTTCAAAGGTATTACAAGAAGGGTAAGGGGCAAAACAGGGACTGAAGAGGGGGTTGATTAAAAGGGTATATTGAGTACATGTCACGTCATCGTCTCCAATTTGAGAGGCACAAAATCTTGGCTGGGATGGATTGTATCCGGGGTTGAAGTTTCGAGTGGCGAGTGTTCCGCAACAGCAATGGGGGTGTTGGGGGTGGTGAAAGCGACAAGTGGCAAAGGACCATATGATTGGCCATGTCGTACCTCGAGATGCCGACGTAGGACAGCCTCTTCCAAATACCAGCGGTGCCGCAAAGTCGTCTTTTTCGTATCCAAGGCTTGCATGAGACAGGTTTCTTCGCGCTGGTGCTCGGTTTGCAAGGCAGCAACATCCTGGATGTGTCGGTTACACATTTCATCCAGTTCCTTTTCCATACGCGCCGTAGCTTCCTGCAGCTTGACTTCTTGGCGGTCACGGAGGACTTTGATGCGGGCGTCGTGAAGCTGATCCATGCTTTTGTGGCAATGGTATTGTTGTTCTAGCTGCTCCATGTGTTGGCGAGTGAACACACGGGCTGGCGGAGTTGAGTCGGATTCCGATAATGATTCCGATGATTGTTGGGATCGTTCGGCTCTGGTCGGTGTTCCGGCGGGGGATGGCGGTGGACTGGTATTGCGGAGATACCCCTCCATATGCTTGATGCGAGTGCGCGAGTTCATTTTGGCTCGATCGAACTCGCGTTGCTGTTCGATTTCTACCGCCAGTTGTCGCTCTTCGATTTGGGCGATGGCCTCGATGTTCTGTGCAAGCGCTTATTAGCCTAGGGAAAAAAAAAATCAAGAATGGAATTTTGTGTAAAGCGAACCTTCTCGCGTTTCTCATCCTCCTGGCGCTGGTTGTCAGACTGCTGCTCTGACATAGCGGTCTGGTGCCGACGCCGGAGGGTACTCAGAGCGGCGTCTTGGAAAGCAAGATGTCGGTTCCTTTCCATCTGATGCCGCTCGTGGATCTCACTTAGCTCCGGATCGTCTAGAGTCCTTTGTAACTCCTCTTTGCTGAAGTGAGGAATTTCCAACCTGAGAAGTGAGGCCTCACTGCTCGCGTGCGGGGGGACATCCTCATGGGCAGCCTCATTAGATTCCGGTTCAGGTTCGAAGAAAACATGTTCAACGCCTTTGTCGCTAGTAGATACAGTCATGCGCCCTTCCGAGGGCAAGTCAATGGCCGAGGACGTGCGCTTCTTGCGGAAATGAATTCTCCCAATGGCCGACTTCAAGCTGCTCCGTCGCCTCTCCTTCTTGTCGGCAGATGCAACGCTGAGAATTGAATGCCGATGCGACCTGGCATCATCAAATGGATCATTATATCCATGCCCAACAAGGCCCGTTCTCCCCTCACTAGAGCAAAACGAGGTCGGGCGCGTAGACAGCGAAGCCAGCGATCGCGTACTACAAGCCGTAGTGCGATCCGAGGAAAGTGTGAAATCCGACAGCGACGAAACGATCTGATCGAGGACGGATGGCACGGGGGAGGACGGCTCGTGGGACGGAGTAACGGAGCCGTACACCGAATTCCGATCGGTCGATGATCCAGAAGACAGAGCTGGCGAGGAGAGATCGACCACTCCCGAGGCGATCGAGGCAGCTAATGGTGCGGATGCTTCGATCTCTGGCACCTTCAGACCCAGTTGTTGAGCTTCTTCGGCTAGGTGTTGCGCCTGCGCTGCTTCGGATTCCGGTGAGGGGTGGTGGAGGACATCGGTACGATATTGGGCCTCATCGAAGATGGGCCCGGTGGTCGACTCCATTGTATGTACAGTTATAGGAGGTATGTGGCACCTAACCAGCGGGCGCACATGAAAGTAAAGGTCAGGTAGAACTAAGAATAATAGACAACATGGACGCGTTCTATGACGGCATCCAGGGGACTTTCAAGGAGGGGTTGTAAGGACAGTAGAAAGTAATTATGGGCGGTAGGAGGGTCAAAGCTAATACAAAGGGGCCAGAAAGTGGAAAGGGGAACCAAAGACCTGACGCTCTTGTTTTTCTTGTTTCCTCATGTTTTGGCGTTTTAGGCAATTTCTGGTAAAAAAAAAATAATAATCAAATTGACCCACGGGTGGCCCTGACGCAATCCCTGGTTCTACTCCGGGACAAATGGGGTTCACCTTGAAACGGGCTAAGCTTGACATCTTCGGGATATTGTATGGCAAAATGCGGTAACTGTTTATATATGGAGTACGGAGTACTATGTACTTATATAGTTGTATATGTATATCGGAGAATATTGAACTATCCCAGTAAACATCTCGGCATTTGTTTAAATAGCTGCGCCAACCTGCATTTCCAACTCTATACGCTTAATCCTGGAAAACATCCCTTTATCAAGCCTCAAACCCCTCGATTATGGCCATATCGGGAAGGTAGGGCTTAGGGCTACTGAAATAGCCTCGGTCCAATGGAAGTATGGATCATACCATTGATCAGGCCATGCGGAGCTAGGTCAATAGTCAAAGTATAAGCTCCCGAGGTCTACTCGTTCAACATGTCGAATGCCAGTTGGTACGCCCGCTCTTTAGCTTGGTATTGCCGAGTTCCCACCCTCGTGCTCTTATCCCATCCATGGCTACACCCCTGCATGCGCTCGCTGACCACATGCCAGCCTTGCAATTCCTTGATCTTCCGGGCCAGTTCCTCTGCTTCAAGCGCAAGAGTATCGCCATCTGCGGTGATCATAAGGACACGTCGTGGGAATCGATCCGCCTGGGCATAGAGCGGCGAAATTCGCGGGTCCCGCTTGTCGAAGGATGAGGGTATATAGCAGCGGTCGAAGAGGCGCATGACAGGAAGAGGAATTGCAAAGTCTCCACGTGCGGGGGCAATCTTCGAAGCAGGGCCAGGGCTTAGATCGGTCACAGGATAGATTGCTAGCAGGGAGCGGAACGTATCGCGAGGGAACAGGTTTGACGCAGCTGCCAGCGCGAGGTTGCCCCCAGCACTGAATCCAGATATAGATACACGAGTCAGGTCGAATTCATCTGGACGTGTGAACACATATTTGATGGCGTCTTCCACATCGTTCAGCGCGGCGGGGAACGGGTGTTCTGGTGCCAGACGATAGGTGACGTCTAAGACAGTGTGCTTGGTTTCCTGACTGACTCGCCGACAAAACTCATCATCGCTGCCATGGAGGGGTAGCACGAAGCCACTTCCATGAAAGTTGAGGAGGACGGGTGTTGGGCCTGAGCCGGACGGCTGATACTGATGAACCGCGATGGTTCGGCCAGCATCTCGGGTTTTGATATGGCGTATTTCATCTGGATTGGCCGATACACTTCTGGCAACGCGCATAAATGTTCGAATGATGAATGCAAAACATTTATTATAATAATACATGAGAATATCCATGGTTGGCTGGGGGAGGATGTAGTATGTTGGAGCTGAGTCTCAGCCGAGGCCTGGGGTTAGGATGCCACTGCTGATCTCCACCCTCTTCTAGTCTATGCTGACATCTTGCAATGCCTAACGGAGGTACCAAAACCAGGAATCGACTAACATGGGTTATTTCCCGTTTCTAATATCTAATCTATCTAATAATAATCTGTAAAAGACCATCTATAGTTAAGGTACGATAGTTATGCCCGAATTTCAAGGCACCCTTGCAGTAGTTATACAGTGTAACTTTTCCCTGACAATCGGACTGACTAGGGTGACCTTACCAAGACTGACACTAACACTTATACCGCCGTATTCTTTTGGAAATACTCTACTTCTATAATCTGGGTGATGTGAACCATGCCAACCTTGGAATGTTCTGATGCGTCGATATACCTCATCGCCCGTGGCAGTATCGAATCTCCAATCAATTAGCTCTCAATTCCCCGCATTAGGAACCTTGGAAAGTTCCACGCAGAGCCTCATTTCCTTCCACGCACCTTGTCTGCCAATCAAAATGACCGCCTGCCGTCGTCACGCTCATCTCCAACGCTCATCGCCATCGCATCTGTTCCCTTTTGGAGTCCCAAGTTGTCTGGGAAACAACCACTATAGTTTCTAAAGTCATCAGTCTTGGGTTTCATTAACCAAACATAAACTACTTATTAAGCTGGACAAGAGCGTTGAGAGATCTCGCTTTCAACATCGCAATCTACGCGCAATATACAGGATGTCCACCAAAGTCGACCCCGTCGACAGTAATTTCACAGTCTTTATACGCTTACCGTTTCCCAGGGGCGATTTTGTCGACCCGCCGCCTGCAAGTCTCCCCAAGAGAAACTCTTTGAGTGTCCACTGACGTAAACAGGTGGAATGGAATGCATCCAAAGACCAAGCGCTATGGGATATCCTTTCTCGACCATCTAAAGGTGACATAGACTGTATGTATTGCTTCTTCATTGAAACTTTGCTTTGCATTGTTTAGCTTTGACATCGCTGACATCGCCACAGGGAAAGCTCTGTAACTACACGCTACCCCGGACATTCCAAGCTGAGGGCTACTAACATGGTTGGTTAGGGCAGAGAACCTCGATGTCACCTTGCAGTTCCTTCTTCAGCAGGCGGCATGGCTCTATGATCGTCAGCTGTCGCAGGTTCGGGCTCAAATGCGCAAGGTCGGCACTACGCAGTCGAACTCTCCTTCCCCAACTCTAGGATCTGTCTCTGGGAGTACGGCCTTGGGTGGACAGTCACAGAGAGAGACGCCAGTACCAGGTATATACCGTGTTTGCTTCATATTCACTATGGTCTGAGATTGATGGTCAATAGGTTCTCGGGCGCCATCACGGCAAGTATCTCAACAGAAAGATATCCCTCTACGAGGTATGGACCGAAACCCTACCCGTCTTCGTAAAGGACATTTGATACCGCCGATGGATCGATCGCGTTTGACATTGACTGCAGCCCCTGAGAACCGACGTACGAGCTTTACATCAACTACAGCTACTAACCCCACTCGCGGATCTCGGGACCCTACACGCACCGGCACACCGACAACCGACGACAAAGAATCACGTTGGGATTCTTTTGGTCGTCGGCCTCCGGCTGTGAGACGAGAACAGCCACCCATCGCGTCTTTGCCCCGATCTCCACCACTCGAGGAAGAGCCTCTATCCTCGAGCTCGTCGGAAGAATCAGCATCCGACGACGAGGACACAACTAGGCGTGCACCTATGTTCAAACGGTTTGGCAAATTCTCCATCGACCGCTCTGGTCTCCGGGATGACGAGGACGACGAAGAAGACACACCAGCGTTCCTCCCCCTAGCCCGAGCACAGGAGCATACCCATCGGGAGCGGCCAGTCCAGGAACTCAGCGCTACCCTCCGTTTAGATGCCGAGCGAGCAGCGGCACAACGGCGACATCCCGAGCAGCGGTCTGGTCCCAGGGTACCGGTAGCTACGGAGTCATCCACTAGCTCTATGAGCTCCGGTGGGCCTAGCAGCCTACCTAGTGGACCCAGACGGACCAGCCAGGGGGCATCGATACTGAGCACCCAGCGCGCTGCCGAGCGCCAAAATTCCCGGAAGTCCACCGCCTCCGGTCGCGAAGCTAGCGATGGTACTCCCAGCATGGGAAGCAGCTTCAGTGACCTCGACGGTATGTGTCCCAAAACCGAGGGTTCTGGATTCCAACTGATCGACCGGTCAGATGCAAGCGTTACTCAGTCAGCCCTGGAGGAGGCCCTTCTAAGCAACATGCAGCATGGTGGAATGGCGAGTCGGATGAGTACCATCAGCCAAGCCTTGCGCAGTCGGTATCTGCAGTGAAATACACCTTACATAGCAACATCTATTTTGGCAGATTGCACTCTACGATGTAGTATGTGTATCATGTAGCTCATGCGGGATGACCAGATGTGTTTGTGGTCCCTAACGAATGTTAGGGCCTAATATATATACCGCTGCAGAGACAAAGAGAGGTTCTGTTTGTCCTTTGATCTTTTGGCGTAACTAAATGCTCTTATGTAATCCCTTCGGAGTACCTAGGTAGCCCTGGAGCCCTGGAGCGGCCTAAGCGGAGCACAGGATTACATGTTCCGCATATGGAATCCACGTGACCGAGTGGCTCCTCGGCATCTCGGTGATGCGCACGAGTGACATAGTGACATTCTGGATATCTTCACTTTGTCCGGAGTTGCCTATACTCAGATATTCCAAGTATTCATCGTCACGCATTCGGTCAAACGGGAGCGCTAGTGCCGGATCAGGTTGATTTGTCTCAACGCCCACACCATATGATAGAGGGGTAGCTCAACCTAGCTACCTAGTTACCTTTAAAATCGTTGAATGTACAACATAAAGAAATCCTAGATATTTCGTGAATAAACGAGACCCTCGGCCAATCGTGGAAAGCTGACCGGCATCAAAGAACACCCACTGCAACCCCACCAAGGCGTTAGGGCGCAGAGCGGCATCCTCGGCATCTCATCAACTGCATTTCACCTGGCAGATCCCTCGTTCAGCATTGTTCAACCATTTTTCTCCGTCGCAAAGCGTTTTCTATCAACATTCGCAACAATGGCCGCCCCATTACTCGGCGAAATGTCCCCAGCGGAAGCAGAATCCGTCTATTTCAACGAATACCCCCCACCAAAGGCCCTACCACGACATGAAGCGCTGGCACGCGTATTCATTGACCTGCACGTGGAGGAGAATCGACGCGTAGTACTCGTCACATCCGGCGGCACAACAGTACCACTTGAAGCGCAAACCGTACGGTTCATCGACAACTTCTCCGCGGGAACTCGAGGCGCCACATCAGCCGAGTACTTCCTCGAGCAGGGATACGCAGTGATCTTCCTACACCGACAATACAGTCTCCTACCATACTCGCGACACTACAGCCACTCGACCAATTGCTTCCTGGACTTCATGGATGAGGCGCCGGCGTCGGCGGACTCCTCCAACCCTGGCCATGGACCTATCATGGTGCGCGACGAGTACCAAGACGAGATGCGCAGCGTGCTGCGGAAATACCGGTACGCAAAGCAGAACAATCGTCTACTCTTGTTGCCATTCACGACCGTCTCGGAATACATGTTCGAGCTGCGGTCAATCGCGAAGCTGATGCAGCCGCTTGGCCCGAATGCGCTCTTCTACCTTGCCGCTGCCGTCAGCGATTTCTTCATCCCGCGCAGTCGCATGGCAGAGCATAAGATCCAGTCTGGTGAGCTGCCTCCGCATATGCGAGGCAGCGTAATCCCATCGGATGAGATCTACACGGGTGAGAACGAAGAAAAGCCCTCGTCGAATAGCAAGAAGCTCGTCGTCAACCTCGACCCCGTGCCTAAGTTCCTGCACCAGTTGGTGGATGGCTGGGCTCCGGAGGGGAGTATGATTGTCTCGTTTAAGCTGGAGACAGATCCCTCGCTGCTTGTATACAAGGCGCTCACTGCGCTGCAGCGCTACTCCCACCACCTAGTGATTGGCAATTTGCTTTCGACGCGCAAGTGGGAGGTCGTTTTCATTACCCCCGATGAGCCGCATGAGCGCTGGCTCCGGGTTCCCAAGTCCAGGCGCAGCAAGAGTATCTCTGGTGTTGAGGATCAGGTTGGGTTGGCGGAGGCTAAGAAGGGAAATTCGTCGACGCTGGAGCAGGCGGAGGCTGAGAAAATTAATGAGAGCAGCCGGGATGGAATTGAGATTGAGAGTCTTATTATTCCGGAGTTGGTTAAGCTGCACTCGAAGATGATTGAGAAGAAGACGCAACCTGCGCAGTGATGCTTCTATGGGGGTTGTACAATTAAATATAAACAAATAATGGAGATTCCCGGGTCATGGAGTTGAATCAATTATACTGTCATTGGTTCTGTTTAGTACTATGTATCTATATAATCATATAACTATATATATCGTCCTTATAGCTCGATGCGCCATGCACTGTTCTGTTCTCGTTTTAAGTCAATAATTTGGTGTCCATATCACAGCCTATTATGTTTACTCCAGTGTAAACTATGTACAGAAGGGCATTATGCTGTATATGCTTGACACACTTCAAACTTATGGCCGATTCAAATATTCAACTATTCAACCATTCAACCATTCAATGCGTCATGATATCCAGCACTGCCCGTGCTGATCCCGGTGGATCCTGACGTCGTGCGGGACCCCGTAAGCTCTTCACCCCTGAAGAAATGAAGAAGCCTGGGAATACCTAGGTATCTCTCAATTATAACAAGGGATTATCATATCTCCAAGAGCAATTGATTCAAGGGGCAGCTATTTTAAAACCTCCAAATTCCACTTGGGCTACGCGTCCCGATGTGTCAGCGGCAAACCTCGGCGTCGATCCTCTTTAGCTCCGACCTTTCCCCAGTTCTTTGCTCCTTTAGTTAACAGGAGAGGGGGGAAAAGATCCGAATTTCAAGCACTGTTCTGGAGAAAATGACCAATTGATCTGCTCTCTGTTTGGTGTACTCATATTTCTCAGGATGGCGCCCCGCCGGTTCAGTCGTCGCCTGATTGCAGTTGCAACCGTGATTGCGCTTCTCTTCCTCTACCACATCGGCTTCCTCTCCGATTACAATCGCAATTGGCGCCCTCACTTCACAACAACAACAGAAGTCCCCCCGGCCCTCGACGAGAACGGTGAACCAGCCCCATTCTGTCCGCCCCTACCAGGCATCGAAGATGTACTCGTGGTAATGAAGACCGGAGTGACGGAATCGCGCGAGAAAGTCCCCATCCACTTCAAAACAACCTTACGATGTATCCCCCACTTCGTGATCTACTCCGACTTCGCAGAAGAAATCGAAGGCGTCAAAATCCACGATGTCCTCAGCAACATGGACCCCGCCGCAAAGAAGAACCCGGACTTCGACTTCTACCACCGCATCGTGAAATACGGCCGCAAGGGTCTAGAGCAACAGGATTTTTCCGACGAAGCAAACTCCGCCATCGGAAAACCAAACAACCCAGGCTGGAAGCTCGACAAATGGAAGTTCCTCCCAATGGCACAGGAGGCGCTACACTACAAGCCAGACGCGAAGTGGTTCATCTTCGTTGAAGCAGACACCTACATCTCATGGCCAACGGTCCTAACCTGGCTGGCCCGGTTCGACCACACCAAGCCACAGTATCTCGGCACGGAGACCCAGATCGCAGACGTTATCTTCGCACACGGTGGCTCGGGTTTCATGCTCTCTAACCCTGCTCTGCAACGCGCCTCCGACGAGTACACTACGCGCGAGGTCGAGCTGAACGCATTCACAGACCAGCACTGGGCCGGCGACTGCGTGCTGGGTAGGGTTCTCAGCAACACAGGCGTCAATCTACACTTCACATGGCCGATCCTTCAGAACTCGAACCTCGGCGAGCTGGACGAGTTCACGACAGACTTCTACCGAAAACCATGGTGTTTCATCGCCGTCGGCCTCCACCACCTCTCACCAAGCGAGATCGAGAACTTATGGAAATTCGAACAAAAGCGCTGGCGTGATGTGAGTCGACCGAATCTCCCCACATCCATCTACCATTCCATAACATCATAGCATTTCTAACCCATACCATCAATAGAAAAACAAACGAATCCTCCTCCACGGCGACCTCTTCCGCGAATACCTATTCCCCGAAATAAGCACCCAACCCATACGTCCAAACTGGAACAACATGGCCAGCGAAGAGCAACCCTTCGCCCACAACTTCCACGACTGCCGCTTAATCTGCGAGACGCAGAAAACATGCGTGCAATTCGCCTTCCGTGAAAGTAAATGCTTCACGAGTCCGAACCCGCGTCTCGGACATGCGGTTCCGGGTGGTGATGCAACGTCCGGCTGGATTACTAGTCGGATTCGTGATATGACGGAGAAGAAGGGGTTGTGTCGGAAGCCTGATTTTGGGGACTGAGGTTGTTTGTCGTGATTAGATATTGCTTTTTGGGGGAAGATCTCTGTTATGATATGTTGATTTCTTTGCTATCTATGTTCTTGTTTGGTTTTTGTTGCTTGCATCTCGAGCGAGAAATCGGAACGCTTTGGCGATTGCTTGGGTTTGGAGCCCGGTCTGGTATTTGGGCATACCGGGTGATTCTGGAGAGCTTGCGTTTTTTTTCCTTCTCTTCTGTTCCTGTATTACCATATTCTATGTTCTGGCTGATGATAAGCTTGGATAGACAAGCTGAGTTCGTGGCGTTTGGTGCTTGGTTGGACCCTTTTATATACTTGCTTGATCGCTCAATACATGTGGAACCGCAAGTGTTAATTGCTGTCATTGATTCACTGTTATAAGAGCTAATTGTATAAGAGTAAGAAACGAATGAAAGCTAGCATTGCTCGGGCGGCGTCAGGACACCAATTAGGAGAGAGACTATAAAGTAAGAATATATGCACAGGACAACTCCTGCTGTGGGTTTCACGGCATTGTCCAATCACAACGGTGGAGCGGACACATCCTCCAAGCACTGATCGATTCGCATGATGTGGTATCCCGCACTCTTGACATGTCGAATGAACCCTGGTAGGTATCCAATGGTAGTCGGATTCAGGTAGTGCATAACGGCAAGATTCCCGCCCTTGCCAACACCGCGGAAGAAGGCTTCAACCTGCTTCTCTGGGGTAGACGTGTTTGCCCATAGCCAGTCTTCGACGTCGACACTCCAGTTCACAATGTACGGGTTTGGGATGTGTCGTGCTAGCTCCTGGCGCAGCCGGGCAGCTACTGTACCGAATGGTGGGCGGAAGTATGAAGCTGCAAATATTCACTGTGTCAGAATCATTTCAAGCATGCATCAGTGGCTGACATACACTGGATGCCCAGCTTGTCTCTAAAGATTTGCACGGACTGGATGATCTCATCGTCAATCTCACGGACGGTTGGCAATGATTCCATCCTTGATCGCCATGTCAGTGTTTTTACATGAAAACAATATTCAGAATAAACTTACTTTGGATGAGTATTCGAATGGAGCGCAACTTGGTGCCCCTTCTTCAACATCTCCTTATAAAACTCTGTGAAATTGCTCGACCGATCCCTGAGTCCAGCCCCAACAACAAAGAAAGTAACCCGAACATCCTCCTCGTCAAGGATGCGCATAACCCGCTGAGAGAACTGCGGCTGTCCATCATCGATACCAAACGCAAAGGAGTTCGGACGGGAACAACGGAGAACCAGTCTCCCATTGGGCAACTTCCCAGGCAAACGATAGTGGCCATTTTCCGGCGTTGGCATTGGAATATCAGGCACGATCTCCACATGATATAGAGTAATAGGTTCCTTTGTATAGAAGCCATGGAATGAAACCGACACGACGCGATTGAAATCGATATCGAAATGAGTTAGAGGGACATAGAGTTCACGACGGCCCGTTGGAATTCTGGTATTTCCATGGGGGTGCTTGCGTCTACCACCCTTTGACCTTCCATGCTTGTGTTTGTTCCGCCCAGCATCAGTGTCCATATCATCATCGTCATCCCAGTCATCGTCATCATCGTCCCAATCGTCATCCTCGCCAAAGGCCTCGGAGTCAGGGTGAACCACATACCGCTCCGCCTGGACGGAGTCTGCAATGCCGGGGAAGGGACTGCGTTGTGGGTTGCATTCGTCGTTGTGTTGATTAAAAGAGATGCTGTACTGATCCGTGCCTTCGAAGATGACATGCAAATACTCGTTGTACCAGGGTATCAGGCTGTAGCAGGCTTGGGAATCGAACTGTGTGTGAAAGTTCTGGTCTGGGTCTGTTGGGAATAGACGAATAAAGCCCGGTCCATATTGCACGGGTAGATTCTCGCCGGAGCCGTGCCAGAATCCCAGGTCGTTGCGGGTTGGATTTTTGAAGGTGTCAATGACAAGAGGAGGGCTTGACTTATTTGCCTGCGAGGCGTTGAACGAAGTGATGTGGGTGAGCCCTCGGAGTTCGTTCCAGTGGCCGTGGTCAACATTTCCGTGAAATAAAGCTGAGGTTGGGAGGAATAGTGAAAGAGCGGCAGAAACTATGAATAACCAATGCATGATGAACGATTATCTCGAAAAAAAGATTGAATGTGCTTCGGTTGAAGAGGTCAGGGTGGAAGTTGTAAAAGCATCGTGTATGTACTCGGAGATGTCCAAAGAGTCAAGAACGATCGACTATTCATCTACACAGGCAGGAGCTATACTCTTAAGTCTGTACATCTCTACATTTTTACATCTCTACTGTATACTCTATACTATCTACTCTCTACATTCTACAATCTATAATCTACAGGGGAAATGAAAAATGAAAATGAAACTAGATAGTTGCATAAACCCATGAAATCCGTAGTGCGGCACATCTCCACAACCTTTGCATCCATATCACTGCATTAGCACTCACGATAAAACCGATCCAATCCTGATACAAGATGCAGGAGAGAAGGCCTTATGTTCCACAGATCCAGGTTGCAAGTAGTCGAGAGATCAAGCCCTCAAAACTTCCTCCGGGGCATGAGATCTGATCCTGGTTGTCCAGGGTAAAATTTCGAACTTCGTAAAGTCATCCTCTCTACCGTTGGAATTCTTTCCTTTCCATTTTTTTGGTTCACTTTTCTGTTTTTTTTTTTCCGTACCATTGTCGTTCGTGTTCGTTGATCTTCCGCGCTCAGCATAACCAGAGAGAAAGGTCGAGCTCTAGAACCAGAATGAATCCTCGTTCTTGGGAGCGGGTTCCTTGGGGGCCCATTGAGAGCTTCCCAGACCAGCCTTCTTCTTCTCGCGCTTGGCTTCCTCTTCGATTCCCTTCTTGTGTTCGCTCGAGTGTGAGACAGGCTTCCCTCTGATAGAATAATCCTCCTCCTCCTCCTCCTCGGATGTAACAGTGGGCCTGGGAACAGTTCTTTTGGCGACAATGGGCTCGTCGTCTTCAGCAGGCTCCTTGTTGGCATCTTCAGCATCCCTTGCAACCACTTTGTCACTCTCCTCAGCCTCAGCAGGTTCAGCGGCAGCAGATCCTGCTTCAGCTTCAGCATCAGCCCCAGTGTCAGAGGCAGTGGCAAAGCCATCGTCAGAACCAGCGTTAGACGGATTCTCAAAGAATTCCTTATCAGAGTCATCGTCAAACTCCAGCACATCACCCTCAGGGCGGTAGGATTCAAGGAACTCCGGGACCACTTGCTTGCATTCGACCAAGATCTTAACAAGATCCTCAGCAAGATCATCATCGCGTTCATTGTAGAAAGAGGTGGCGATGCCTTCGTTACCAATGCGGGCAGTTCGGCCTGTTGATGGTTGAAAGACGTATTAGCGGCAGTTCATCGGGAGGATGAGGTAGAAAGCGATATTAAGCTAGAGTAGCACATACCAATACGATGAATGTATTCAGTTATACCCCCGTGCATAGCGCTGGGGAGATCGTAGTTCACGACGTGGAGCACATTGATCACATCGAGCCCACGAGCGGAGACGCCGGTAGCAACCATGACAGGACACTTTGCAGACCGGAAGGCACGCCTGTTTTGATGGGTTAGTAAAGTAAAATAAAAGAATGGAGGGAAAAGAAATCCTCACATAGCATCCTCGCGTTCACGCTGAGTGCGTCCACTGTGAATCGAGGTGGTGGGCATTCCAGAGTTGTAGAGATAATCATCGACGAAATCAACCTGCTCCTTGCTGTTGACGAAAATCAAGGTACGAACAGGCGGCATGCTGATTAGAAGGTCGTAAATCGCGCGCATCTTCTTGTCCTTATCAACCCAGACGATCTTCAAGTTTCACTAAGTTAGCGTTGATCTGAAACCCCACAAGTTCCTCCCAATTTCAGTGCTTCACATACATCCTGCACAACGTTGTGGTGCGAACTGCCGGCTCGGCCAACGCGCAGGCGCACATGGTCCTGGCTGAGGTATTGCTTTGCAAGTTTACGGAATTCCTTGTTAAAAGTAGCGGAGAACATCAAGTAGCGGTGATCATCATCCTCGTTCACATCTTTCTCAAGTCAGCAACACTGAAATGCATAAAAACGCATAAACGCATAAACGCATCAAGGTGGGGTTGAGAGCGCGCGCCATGGCAAACGCTTTCAATCACTTACCTCCTCCAGACATGATCTTCTTGAACTCTTCTTCCCAGTCTGATTCCAGCATTTCATCTGCCTCGTCAATGACGGTGTACCTGAAATACCATTAGTACCCAAATCAGCATGGATGTATATCAAGTAAGTCACAATCATACCTAACGCGGCGGAGAGACAGAACATGAGTCTGTTCCATGAAATCAAGAAGACGGCCGGGAGTGGCAATCAGGATATCGCATCCTTTCTGAAGCTCCTCACGCTGGAGGCGAGAAGGAGCACCACCATAGGCGACACACGGACGCAGCATGGAGCGATAGCACAAACGACGCGATTCATCGAAGATCTGAGTTGCCAATTCCCGAGTGGGGCAGACGATCAGAACCAGAGGCTCTGCTCGAACAGCATCCTCCCTTGGGTTAAACTTTTCCGCGAAGTTAGGCCGAGGAGCAGCCAGCTTCCTCGCCTTGCCCATCAACTTGGAAAGAATTGGAATCAGGAAGGCCCCCGTCTTTCCAGAGCCTATGTTTTGTTAGGACCAACTTGTGCCAAACATCATACTCCGCAGCACATACCAGTTTGGGCCACAGCAATAACATCAAGGTTGGCCAGAACAGCCGGGATTGCATAAGACTGCACCGCAGTGGGTTGTTCGTACCCGCAGAGACGAATATTCTCGAGCATGACCGGATGCAAACCAAAGTTTGCCCACTATGGATCGTCAGACTGGCAAATTGTTGCTATCTTCTCTCGCAGACTCACTTCGGTAACCGCCTTGATCTCGTTAGGGCTCTCGATGTTGACCTTGTAGCTGTTCAGCCTAGAGAAGAAGATATGTTAGATATCAAGTTGGTGTTCAACCGTCAGATTCACGTCACTTACTCGTCGAGCTTAGCCCCAGCGCGAGCAATCAATTCGCCACGGAAAAGCTGGTCCTCCAATTCAGGGACGGCAGGGCCGACATCACCATATTCATCCTTCCATTCATAACGAACAGCAACTCCAGCCCAATCACGATGATCCTTGCTATTAGCAAGCTCGGCATATTCGAAAGGAACTGGATCAGTCCAACCCTTTTCACGAGCAACTCGTTGAGCAGCCTCGGCGTTGGGACCGACACCAGAAAGAACGCCTTTAACAGGCGCCTCTCCAGCGTTGGAACCACCATCCACAGAAGCAACTTCAGCGGCCGAGACCTCGTCGATAGCTGAGGCAGTGCCCGCAGCCGACGCAGCCTCAGGCTCTTCGTAGTATTCCATGGTCTACAGTAGACCTATCGAGGATTGTAGGCGTGTCAAACGATTTTGTGTCAAGAGAGTTGATAAGTTCGAGGACAGGTGGTGTTGGAGAGACGAGAAAAGGAAGAGGTAATGGGAGCCAGTGAGATTTTATTTATCTGCAGGAGCAAACACAAAACGCGTTTAACAACGCGGTGGGTTGTTCCAACCCAGGTTGCGTGCGCAATTGCCTTGTTGGTCATCGACGCATCAGGTACTTCCACGGGACATACAAATATTATGGGAACCCCTAAGTATATTGAAGTATAATACATGTACCTCCCTCGATTGGGAAGGAGCGATCCACCGATCTATTTTATCGACATTATCCCTATATCAAAGGCAACCGTGGAGTACTTGCGTTCTCATATAATTTACTACTGTAATGGATGTACATCGTAATCTTTGCTACATGTATGCAGTGGACCGATCTAACTATGTAGTTAATCCTATTGTGCTAACTATGGAGCTCAGTAGGACTTCTATATGTGCAACCAAAAATAGTTTGGCTCCAACACTTTAATATCAAACCGTCTCTAGTATACTAGTACTTCGTCTATTTCAACTACACATTTCACTCAATATCTTCACGCTGATCATATGCGAATATACTCTTACATCGGTAGTTAATATTTAGGTACATCGTTCTCAGTTCTGAAAGCGATCTGAACCAAACGAAAAGCGGACCGCTCGTTCTTAAAAGCCATGTATACATCGTATCAAGATCCCCAGATCTCCTTTAGGGCATGTCATGAGCGATCGACCCTGGAGCCTCGGGAAGTTAGCTCCTCGGCTTCCAACGAAAAAAAGTGGATCCCTCCCGTGGCCCGTTCCGGGTAGAAGGAGATATACGCAGTAAGCCTGGGAACGGCTACCTTCTTCATCTCCAGCGACTCTACCTCCTTCACAACATTCATCATGGCCTCCGAACGTATGGAGGTAGATACCAATGCTCGCCGAAAGCGCCCGAACCGTCTGGAAGCTGCAATCACCAATCCCGGCGCCGTCAAAATCAACGTTACGGGCGCATTCATCGTCGACGACGAACCACGATCCAAGAGTCCCGTCGACGCAGAGGGCGTACACTACGAAAACAAGGATATTCGACTACCGCATCATACAGGCGTTGTGAGCCATGTGGCTGTCGATGTGAGTTGCCCACGAAAATTTATTTTCTCTCGTGCCCCGCACTGCTACCGGTTCCCCCCGCAATCTAGGGGCCGAGCAGACAATTCGTTCAAAACGCTAGAAGAAAGCTTGGCTGACATGGAATTGGGATTTGGTAGATTGGCGGAACACTTGCGAAGCTTGTTTATTTCACTCGAGAGCTGGACACGGCGGATAACGGCGGCAGGCTCAATTTCCTAAACTTTGAGACAGACCGGATCGATCTGTGCATCAACTTCATTCGACAACTCAAAGAGGAACACGAGAAGCGCAATGGTTCAACACGGGAGGGATTGTGTGTGGTAGCCACTGGAGGTGGTGCATACAAGTACTACGATCGACTGAAAGAAGAATTAGATGTTAATATTCTACGGGAAGAGGAGATGGAATGCCTAATCATTGGTAAGTTATCAAACATACCCAAGTATCGAGTATACTCTCTAACACCTTCAAAAAAGGACTGGACTTTTTCATCACCGAAATCCCCAACGAAGTCTTCACTTACAGCGATGCCGATGCTGAGCCGATGCAATATGCCGAAGCCCGGCCCGATGTATATCCTTATCTCCTCGTCAATATAGGATCAGGTGTGTCAATGATAAAAGTCTCCGGTCCGAGACAATTCGAGCGTGTGGGCGGAACACATCTCGGAGGTGGAACGTTCTGGGGCATTATGTCTTTGTTGACCGGCTCCCGGACATTCGACGACATGCTAGCGATGGCCGACCGCGGAGACAACAGTGCAGTGGACATGCTTGTAGGAGATATCTACGGCATGGACTACACCAAGATTGGTTTGAAGAGCACAGCTATTGCCAGTACTTTCGGCAAGGTGCTCCGGTTAAAAAACGATGCCGAGCAAGGGGCGGAGGACGGCGAGGGCTTGATTCGCGGCGATCCTAGTGAATCCAGCGAGTCCAGTGAGTCCAGCCATGGATCCAAGCCCAATCCGGAAGATATGAGCAGGAGTCTGCTCTACGCTATCAGGTATGTTTCATTATATTTCCATTCTCCGACGGAGTCCTAACTAACCCCGATTAGTAATAATATTGGTCAGATCGCATATCTGCAATCAGAGAAACACTCAGTCAAACATATTTACTTCGGAGGCTCCTTCATTCGGGGCCACCGGCAAACGATGAACACCCTCTCCTACGCCATCCGCTTCTGGTCCAAGGGCGAGAAACAAGCGTATTTCCTGCGCCACGAGGGCTACCTCGGCGCCGTTGGCGCCTTCATCCGACGCCAGCCGCAAAACTGGGGTCGCAGAAACAGTGTTGACGAGGTGGTTGCACCGCAGGCGGTCCGAAACCTCGTTCAAAATAACAATGTCCTTCAACAACATGGCAGGTCGTCCAGTGAACTATAGCATTTGACATGTTAAGCCATTGTGACCCTGCCCTCCCTCCGCTTTGAGTCTTGATACCCCTTACAAGCAATATATGAACTGCCAATCTTGTGCCGAGTTCTTTTGTGCATTCAGAGTGGCTGCTTTAATTGGCCACCTGTGAAAAGCCCGTGGCAATTCCGCGGGCATTTGTCCATGTTGTACATTTAGATCTATCTGGAGTTTTTTTAGCTTCCTGTTTGAATTTCGAACATGTTCGGTTTATCATGTTAGAGAAATAAATTCCATATTTCATTCCTTTTTGTTCCGGGTTATATACTTTAATTGCCTCATTCCAGCTCTCTCGGTTTGCATCTGATATAGGTTTGCCTGTGTTAGCAATCCATTCATAAGATGTCGTCTAGCCAGCGCATACATTGTGGCTTTGCTGATATCGTCGTCATCCAATTCCTCAACTCCTATTCTTATCCCCAAGGCTGTTCGTTCTGGTTCTTTCTACTCAAGACTGTGTACATTTCTCCTGCAAAAAGTCCCCACACCGTCACTTAGACTCGCAACCTTCCTTACATTGATCGCAATTTCACTTCTATTGCGATTTATTTGCGTGGAATTTCTGCTTCTTGCGTCTCACATTCACTCTTATTGCTGCTTTTTCTAACTTCTTCCTCCCTCGTGCATCTTTCCACCCTTCCCCCATCTGTTCTATCCTTATTCTACACATTCTTCATCTTCTTTATCATCATTGTTATCAATATGGCGGAAACCCCCGTTCATGAAATTGCGGATCAGCTGGAAAGCCTCACGGCGCAATCTCCGGCTGTTCAGGATGTATCCCACGTATCAGCTGCCCAGGTTGACATGACAGAGCCTCCTCTTCTGGACTCTGTTTTCGATGCACAGAAAGGGATTAACCCTCCTGTCTCAGCTTCAACCCCATCTGATATCACAGATATCGACGAATCCCTCTTTCGGGATCCATCAGATCCTGCGCTTACGTCGCAGTCAGTTTCAACCGAAAGCCATTTCATCAACCCTACAGCTCCCCGCATGAGCTACCAAGTCTCCTCGTCAGGCGAACTCATGATAACGGAAGAGACTCAAACTCCCAACGCAGCTGCTCCTGCTCCTGGGCCCCGGCCTAGTCCCCCTGCTGCGTTCACATCATTCGAACGGCTCGCTCAGGGCTTACCTCCCAAGCGAGCATCATCGTCTACTACTCCAACGATCCATCCTCCTTCCCTCTCAATAGAGCGCATCATCGGCCCAAAACAGCCAATCCCAGCCAGAATCCTCGAACTTCTCGAGGAATGGCATGAGGGTGAACCCAACACCGAGCATCCTAGTGCTTTTACTGGCCGTGCTCCCTCCACCTGGAAAAACTTCACGGCTTTCAGCGATGATGGCGACGAGTGCGAGCTATCAATTTTTCAAATCTTGCTCAAAGGTCAGGCCCGACGAAACCTGACATATCGTATCATGATACTTCATGCCCAGAACGGGCCAGATGAGCTTGTAGTCTATGGTCAACCCCGGCCGAAGTTGAGAGGCGCCTTGACTAAGGGGACTAAGGGGCTGTATCTGTTGGACTGGCTTGAACTCCAAAAAAAAGGCGAAGTTCGTGCTTATGGCATCAAATTGTGGCGAACGGATGACAAGAAAATTACGTACAGTGCGCACATGTTTGATGATGGGCGCAAGTGCACTCTACTCCCCGGGCCGAAGGATATTTTCAACACGCGTATGTCAACTTCTACTCCAAAGAAGCAGACCGATGCAAATGAGGACAATGATGATGCCATGTCCAGCCCATCCGAGCCACCGTTTTCCCCTTCGAAATCTCGTCGCCAAATTTCCACCAGCAGTTTTTCAAAAGCTGAGAACGAAGCCAGGACCCCAATTGCCTCACGCCCATCTTGGGACAAAACCATTTCACCCGTTCCCACTTCCGATAATCACAGTGGATTCCATTTTCTTGATAGCCCCTGGAAGCCTCATAAGAGACGTCGCAGCACATTTAGCTCCACTGATGAGGCCTCCGCCCCTATTCGGTACAAGCTAGCGTCGGATGTGTCCGACCAGGTCCGCGTTTTTAAGACGAATGACGCCAAAGTTGTCTTCCAAAAAGCAGAAGAGTTTTACAAGGGCGTGGACAAGCGAACGGGACTGTTGTTCACTGTTTCTGGCGTTGAGGGAGTCAGATACGTGGGGGAAGGGTGCGTGGATGAGTTTGAGATCCTCCAGGAGGATATTCGGCACTCTTCTGGTCCTGGTGATGGCGATCGCGTTGTTGAGGTGAAGCCCGCCATGGGCTTCTAGATCTTGGTGATGTGAGGTGCGGTCAAAGGTTAATGAGTGATAACTTTGGCCAGTGGCTGCTGCTGATGATTCTTGTGAGCGGTGGTTGGCCTGATGGCATTCCAGCAATTGCGGCCCGTCAAGACAGGCTTCATCCAAATATTTGCAAGTCGCCCGTGCGTGTATGTATGTGTATCTACTTCGAAAAAAGCAAATAAAAAAAGACACTTGTCAGATTATCTCATCGCCCACATACTCATCTAACAAACATCGCCACCTTCATTATGTATGGAAATCGAGTCAAAAATTGGGGGATGCTCAGATCTCATTATTCCTGGGCATTTTCCATTATCTCGTTTAAGACATATTGTGGTATTGTTTCTGAATGTCTCTCTAGATCAGTGTCTTGTGAACATTTCTATCCCTTTGTGACTTTTCTTGCTCGTTTTAGAGGAAACACTGGAATGTGGTTGTTCACAAGGATGTATATATATCTCTCAAGATTAGAAGTACGCAAGATCCTTACGCGGTGATAAGCGGTACATTTATCACCCGGCTATACTGGATATAGAAATTCAATACAGTTGGCCCTTTTGAAAATTAATAAAGCGATTTGAGGCCTTTTATCCCACCAAGAAATGAATCTTAATAACTCGCCCAGCCGAATAACAAGGGCTGATATGGTCACGTGTATGTATAGATAACTGCTGAATCAGCCTCCAGATGCCCGCGGGTCGCGCCCTCGTTAACAAGCCGTCACATCTACATTATTACATCGGACCTATTTTCTTCTCACGCCATGCCCCGACGCTAGTTATATCTGTGCTCGATGAAGTCTCCTCCGTCGCTAGACTCCTTCCCCCCACGATCCCCGTCGACACCCATCCCAACCGCGCCCCAGGGTCCAATTCCCCTGAGCTCGAACGGTCTCTTCCCGACCCCGATCGACTAGCGCCCGAGGATGCATACTTCGCGCCCTCACTCTCGCGCGCCCGGTCAGTGCCCAGCAACTACGAGGAAAATCTGCGGTCGTTGAACGGCGATGGTAGTGCCCATATTGGGTCTGCTGCGGCGTTGCGGAAGAAGTTGGGCGGTGCTGGACGGCGTCGGAAGCGGAAAGGGGCTTGGAAGAAGTTGCTTTGGGTTAAGCAATCGTGTATGTCTGCATGTGGGCGCGGGCCCTGTACAGGGCTCGAGGTTGGTGTTGCGCTGTTGCTGACGGTCGATTCATAGATCCGGATAACTATACCGACACGGAAACGTTTCTCGACCACCTTCAGCGTAATCCTCGGGTGCGGCCGTATGATTTCTGGCCTCTGGTGGCTGATTCGACTGTGATTGTGCAGCATGTTTGCTCGGTGGTTATCTTTGTTTGCTGCTTCGTTGGCATTGTCCACCATCGAGTGAGCCCTGTCTCAATTGTCTGCTGGGGAAGTGTTGGTACGGCTGTGGGCTGGATTCTGTGGGATAATTGGATTTGGAAGGAGCACGAGGAGTCCGTGCAAAGTGCAGATGGGGTCGCTACAGGTGATGATGGATCCAGTTCGACTTCGCTTGCCAGCGCCCTCGATACACCGGCCAATGACACTCCATCCGATCATACGAAGACGAACGCCATTCACGGCCTTGGGCTGTCTATGTCCGGGAATGAATCAAGAGAGCAATTCGCCCGTCGCAGTGCTGATTTCAGTGAAAGCATCGACGCAGTGGCTCATTTGACAGCGCAAAGTGGTGTGCCGTCTGCTCCAGGCAGCTCTATCGTTGGCACTACGGATCCGTGGATATCGCATGATACCCACCGCATTTCGATGCTATCACCGCGCAACCGCCAGCGTTTGACTACAGTCAAGTCGGCCTTCCTTATTTACTTCTCCCTGCTAGGCCTCAGTCCCGTCTTAAAATCTCTTACCAAGTCCACTGCCAGTGACTCTATCTGGGCGATGAGCTGCTGGCTTATAATCATGAATATATTCTCTTTCGACTATGGGAGCGGGGAAGGCGCAGGCGCCACCACAAAGTTTCCAGCTTCTTTGTCCACGAACGCAGCTGTGATGGCCTCGACCGTGCTCGCGTCTCGGCTGCCTTCAACGACCCACGTGTTCAGTCTCATGCTGTTCTCGATGGAAGTATTTGGGCTGTTCCCCATTTTCCGGCGCCAACTGCGACAGAAATCATGGACTGGTCATGTGCTCCTGACGCTGACCCTTGTGATTGTTGCCGGTGGCGCTGTTGGTGTCACGTTGAGTGGCGGATGGGCAGCAGCCATCATTGGATCTGTCCTAGGAAGCATACTGACGGCATTTGTGATGGGCGGGTGCAGCTGGTGGCTTATCAGCTTGCAAAAGTACAAGAACGTTGTGATCGGTCCCTGGGACCCTGCCCGGCCGATTATTCGGCGCCACTGGAACTAAGCCCCCGTGTTTGACTATTGATGACTTTTAGCACCATTGTAACATAGATTGTCGGCGTTTGGTTGGATTTCTTGTTGCTTATACCCCCTAGATCAGTTTATTCCTTTGAAACATCCTCGAGGTTTCAACTGCCTTCCTTCCGAATCTCGTCGAGTTTCGCCCGCGCCCCATGCCAGTACTCGTAGAGTCAGATCCCGACGACACCAATATCCCTTCAGGAATACTTGCAAATACTTGCAGGAACCTTGGATAATTTAACCGGTTTCATCTCTATGGTCATCTGGTTCAACTAAGGGGGGAATGCGGGCAAGGAAGGAATGAATGCAAATCTGGCATACCAACCTTGTGCACCGTACACCCTCATTGAACTACCATTTCCTTGCGAAGGAAAAACGCCTGATATTTGAAACGTCTCATTTAGGATCATGGTCCCCTAACCTATTTTTAAGTTTCAATTATTGGGGCCAATATCTACTTCAGGCAGCCCCAAAAGGATTTGGCATCCCGCAGTCACTCCTTAGCGCCCGCTGCCCTTTCTTAGCGCCTACAACATAGAATCCTTCTTTTCAGGGGGCTTCCTGACTGTATTATTTGGTGAACCAGCTGGACAGTGATACGACATTCCCAAAAGGAATGGCCCACATGCCCCGCATACATAGATCAAGGCACATGTTCGACAGCCCTGAGACGATCATTCCATGTTTTGGTCCATGCGTTATGCAAGACTCGAATATATACCTGACCTTCTTCTGTCCCTGATGTCTTTCTCTATTCTTCTTTGTTCGGTTTACTTTGTTCGCGGCTTGAAGCTGCTTTTCGACGCTCAACGACAGACTGGGTATCTGTTCATACATTCTTTCTCGATCACCGGATCCACCTGTCGACCTGTGTATTAAATATATCACGACTGTCGTCCAACTGATTCTCGTCATGTTCAAACGCCTCGCACTTGGCCTATTGGCCGCTCAGTCTGTGGCTGCTACACGCTTTGCCATGTACATTGACGAGTTAGTACAAACCCGTGGAATTGATCTACATATCCTGAGCCCATAGCTAACACCTACCTAAGATACCATGTAACCGATCTCCCGAGCCAGGACAAGACCGAGGGAATTGACTATGCAATCATGAGCTTCGCTGCCTCGAAGCTATTCAACTCCGACTCGCCGGCAGCATATAAGCCATTTGAGTCCCCCGAGACCATGCGCAAGCGGTTCAGCCCCGAGACCAAGCTAATGGTCGCTATTGGTGGCTGGGGTGACACTGCTGGCTTCTCCGAGGGAGCAAAGGACGAGGCTTCGCGCACGCGATATGCTAAGAATGTCGCTTCGATGCTTGACGCACAAGGATTCGACGGTGTCGGTAAGATACCCCAACAAAGTTTTTTAAAATTTAAAGGAGCAAGGTTGTTAACCTTGAGAAACAGATATTGACTGGGAATATCCCGGCGGCAACGGCCAAGACTACAGAGACGTGCCTAACTCGAAAAAAGTGGACGAGATCGAAACCTACCCTCTCTTCCTCGAAGCTCTCCGCAAAGAACTAGGCGACAAGATCCTCTCTATCGCAGTACCTGGTCGCAAGCAGGACTTCATCGCCTTCACTAAGGAGCAGGGTCCTAAGATCTTCAAGTCTGTCGATATGGTCAATGTCATGTCCTACGATCTGCTCAACCGCCGCGATAACGTTACCGACCACGCTAGCGGTGTCCAGGGATCCTTGGACACTATCAATGAGTATCTCGAGATTGGGGCTGATCCCGAAAAGCTCAACCTCGGCTTCGCGTACTACGCTAAGTGGTTCACCACCGCCCCCGACTCCGATTGTGAGGAGAACCCTCTCGGCTGCCAGCTTGCCAAGCTCGAGAACGACGATGGATCAGACAATGGTAAGTCTGGTGCTTTGACTTTCGAGGCTAGCAATGCTGCCGCTGCGCCTAAGGATCTGAAAGTCAGCACCAATGGATTATGTGGATTTGCAGCGAAGGCCAAGTGCCCATCAGGGTCGTGCTGCAGTGCTTCCGGCTACTGGTATGCATACCCATCACCTACTTCTGATTGATATCTAAACTAACATTCTACAGCGGTACTACCGATGAGTTCTGCCAGGCTGGATGTCTCTCTGACTACGGTACCTGCAAGGGTGTCTCTATCACGGACTCATGGCGCAAGGCCCAAAAGGATGGCAAGACCGACGACAAGGGCGGTGGTCAGTACTACTTCGACAGCGAGAACAGCCTCTTCTGGACATGGGATACCCCCGAGTTGATTGCCCGCAAGTTCAAGGAAATCGTCGCGGAGAAGAAGCTTGGTGGTGTCATGGCTTGGAGCTTGGGTGAGGATACCTACAAGTTTGAGCACTTGGAAGCTATGCAGAAGGGTCTCCAGTCTTAATCTCCCATGGCTGAAGAGGATGTGCTTAGTAGATGAGTCCTTGGAGCCGAGATTGTGAAATGAGATACCAGGTTGTTTTAACAGTTCTATAATGAATGTTTGATTCCTTTTTTTTTGCTTCATTGTATCTCTACATCTCGCCTATTCCTCCCATCTTCTCTCTCAATGTCCCAATTGTCATCCAATATCTTAGTGGAATGTCGCGGTAAAGCTCAAATCATCATTATATTCTCTATTCATTTAGCAGTCCATCGACTCATCCACGACTTAATATACCTCTGTACCAACCCACCAGCAACGGGGTCCTCCACAAGAGCAAGCGAGGGGCAGTCCTGAACCGTCCGCTCAGTTTCGAATGTAAGCCCAGCCTCATCATTTATCCCTGGTTTTGTCTCCGACAGGCCATGACTTGCATACTTAGCCGTCCAAAAATCGATGAGCTTCACACTCGGATTCTTCTCCGGATCCTGCTCACTACTCGCCAATCTCCTCAGCCACTCCTGCGGAGAGACAACCTCAAACTCCGCCAAGACCGACCCCTGTCTCAAAGCAGGAAGCAAATCCTCCTTCCAGCTAAAAGTCCGCGGATTAACCAAATGGTACACCATATTGGCATCAGATGATCCAGACACATTCATGGCAATATCCGAAATAGCCTGACCACACTGATCAACAGGTAACCAACTCAGCCGCTCATTAAGTTCTGGCAATGCACCCGTCGTCAAGGCACTTCGGAACATGAGTGCAACAGCTTCCGTGTCATTCCACTGCGCGCTAACAGTATCGCCGCCAAGCTGGCCAATTCTCAGGACTCGGGCTTGCATGCCCGTCTGGCGCATGGCGTTGCGGGTAATCTGTTCAGTTACCAGTTTCGATCTGCCATACCCCGTTTTCTGTGCGAGGTCCAAGTTCTCAATCACTGTCTCGGGAATAGAGGCCGGTTTGGGCGTATTACTCGCAGCGCTTACGCTGGAACAGAAGAAGAACCGCGCAGGAGAAGGTAGACGAGAGCGCAGACAGAGGTTGATGAGGTTGTATGTTCCGCGGATATGCTGCTGCTCGAAGGACCGTACGCCCAGGTTGAAGTTCACGGCCCAGGCACTATGGATGACGCATGTCAATGATGAGAGTAAGTGTTGCAGATCGTGGTCTTTGAGACCGAGGTTGGACTGTGACATGTCACCAGGGATGGCGTGGAGCTTTACAGCTTCGGTATCGGTGAGAACGATGTTGCGATCAGCTAGCGATTTGTAGAGACGGGCTCCGGCCGCTGCTTGTCCTGGTGCGCGCACGATTGCCCAGACTTCGGAGACTGTTGGTCGTTTCAGCAATTCTGAGACAATGAATGCTCCCAAGTTGCCGGTGGCGCCGGTGACCATTACAACCTCCGTTTCTGGGCTTCGGGTGATGGTTGGGAAGTGTTGAGTGAAGTGGGAGTACTTTTCGATCATCTCACGCATGGAATAAAGCTCATCCTCCTTCTCGAATTCTTGACCAGTTCGCAGTTGGTAGAGGTGCTTCGCAAGCGCGTGGACAGTGCCTTTCTCGAACACAATGTTCTGGGAAAGCTGATCTCCTCGCTCGCCGATATCAATATCGCGCATGATGCACCGCCAAATTTGTGTTGTCTGTAAGCTGTCGATTCCAGCCGAGAAGATGTCGGCCTCAGCATCGGGTATTTGTACGCCTAAATCTTCGCTGAATCTTGAAAGCAGCCAATCCTCCAGTTCTGGAATACTGAGCGCGAGGGAACCTCTTTTCTGGCCACTCCCTTCGAACTTGGCGTATACCTGCTTAATATCCTCCTCGAATTGCTGATAAACCTGAGCGCGTATACAGGTTCCCTTGTCAGTTCTGGCGTATACAACATCGGCGCCCTTGATGACAACAAGCTCCTTGGGAATACGGGAGAAGGTCTCGGCGCGAGCATTTGCCGCTTCAACAGCTGGCCAGATAGCTTCCAAAAATTCATCGTCGCTCAAGTGAGGCACCTTGCCAGGAGCGCGGAAAATTAAAGCCCCAGGCACGGTCCGCTGGAAACCGAACACGACGCAGTCACTCACGATTGGCTCTTCTCTAACGCGACCTTCAATAGGAATAGGAAGCACTTTTTCACCATTGACCAGTGTGATTCGATCATCCAGCCGACTCAAATACTTATAATAATTGCCCTTGTTTGGATCAGGGTGTCTGGTAAACAAATCGGCTGTTCTGAAAGAGTTCTCTGGGTTCTTTGCGCTATACGGTGGCTTTGAATTCGAAGGACCCTTGCTTGGCAGGCCGTCCAATGCAACACATTCAAAAACCCCAGGTGTGATCTCATCCATCAGAGTGAGGTCGGCAACAGGACGGTGCAGTCGCATATACTGCCACTCCTTGTCTTCCGGCGCTCGGAAAGAAGTCATGATTTGTCCGGTCTCCGTAGCTCCATAGTTGGAGACCAGATTCACGCCTTGTGACACAAGACGGTCGCCAAGATCGTCTGGGCAGCTGGAGCCACCATATAGCACGAGCTGCGGTCTAGCCAGTGCTTGAATGCCTTCTTGCCTCTCTGCAAGTAGTTTGATCACGTATGGCACGGCACTGATTTGCTGCGGCTGGGCCACCTGGAGGGCATCGAAGAGGTTTTGGTATGTGACTGGAAGAGAATGATTTCCCAGATATGCTGGTGCTCTCGTAAACAATGCTCGTCCAAGTTCCATCAGTGCATGGGAGTGGAAAAGCGGGCTGATAGTGAAGAGGCGCAGCCCGAAGCTCTTACGGAAATTGGCTAGGGTTTGAAGGTTGGTAAGGAAAATCGGTTTCGGGAAACCGGTACTCCCAGAAGAATGTAGGATCCAGGCAATCTTCTTGCCTTCTCGCGATGGATCCGCACCGGGGCGTTCAAAGAGAGGGGTGCTGAGAGGACGGTTGAACCAGTCCCCTCTTTGTAGCAGAGAGTAGCTACTATAACCAGGACGCTCGGCACAAATTTCTGTTACAACTTGCTGAAACTGTTTCGTGTTGATAATTTGGCTGCAATTTGCCATCTCCATTAGCCGGGCATAAGCCGGAGCCGTGAGTCGTGTAGACAAAAAAAGCACAGCATAGCCAAGGCGATTCAGCGCGAAGAAAGTCACCACGACCTCGAAGCTAGAACCAGCTAGCATAGCAACAACAGGTGCTTGCTCGAGACTTGGGTGCTAAGAGATAATTAGTTTAGGTCAACACAGAAAAAAATGGCGTTCTTCTTACCGCTGGTACAAGTCCTTGCTGCATGTAAAAGCGAACAGCGACATCAGTATACCGATCGATGTCACCGGCTGTATGTTCCTCGAAATCAGCTGCTCCGCGAATCGGATAGCATACCAGAGGCCGTTGCGCCTCATCTGGCTGAGCAGCATGTGATTTCAATAGCCCATCGATGGTCGCGAATTGTTCAAATGCCGGCCACTGGGAGTGAAGCGTGCCGTTCAATAGGCGAGTCGCGATATCTTTGGTCTGGAGTGGCTCCGTGCCCCCTTCGGTGGCTGTGATGGTTACTGTAGCCATGATGGTTGTATAAAATATCATTGACAATTCATTCGCTCCAGATGGTTTTATATCTGGCGGAAAAGCCCCACGTTGGGGTAATCCCACGCATTGCGGGTGCTTTTCCGGGTTTCCGAGTTGATATCCCCGGAAAACACTTCTCCCCGGTTTTGGATCTCCGTACTACTTCCAAGTGTCAATTAAGGACTCATGTGAGTATTGATGGAATTACGCCGTATATTAATGATAGGCGCGGTGTTTAACAACTTCTCCGTATGACATGAGAACAGCCCTGAGTTGTTGGCGTGGATGAACTCGGATATCCGAGATGAACAATGCACGGAGGCAAAAGGAATCCCTGTATACTAATCAAGCTCAGTTTTGTACATGGTTCATGTCTATAAAGAATTAACTGTACATATCTAAATTATAATATACATCCATCACCTTAAACACGACACAACCGACCATTCTGATCGGGAAGACCATCAAGGCTCTTCACAACCCAATCCTCACTACCAACACCAGTAGGCGCATAGAACAAGGCAGTCGGGTCATAACGCTGCTTAAGTCTATACAAGCGGCCGTAGTTGGTACCGTAGAAAGCCTGCTGGAAGTGCGGCTCTTGGATATCCGACTCGGACATGTACGCGCCGGAGTCGGGGCAGACAGCGCGCCACTTGCCAACGGTTTTCGTGAGGTCATCCATCTTGACTTTAATATCAGCATCGGAGGTGGTATTCGTCCAGGAGGTCGATGTAATGGCATGCATCAGCGTCTGACGGAAAGCCGGGTTTGCTGCGTTCGAGGGGAAGCCCTTTTGCAGCTCGGCTTTCATGTTGAATGCGAGCAATGCGAAGCCGTCAGTAATAGTGGCACGCAGGGCATCGAAGGTCTCATTCAGGGAGGTGGGGGTCTCCCAGTTTGCGCGCGGGAAGAGGCGAGAGCCGGTCATCATGGTTGAGGAGGCGACGCCTTCGAGGGGGAATCCGGCCATCCAGGCGTCGTAGAAATTGTCGTAGTAGGTTGTGTTTGGTTGGAATGAGATGCCCAGCTCGTGGAGGTCATCGTACCATGGCTTGACTAAAGCGTTGAACTCGTCCACTGTGTGATTGACGGCGAAGAAGGGGTTCATTAGGAAGGTAAAGGCGTTAGGGCCTGTGGGCAGCACCCAAAAGTAGGCGTAGGTGCCGGCGTCGGCGTGAGCCGGGAATCGCTCAAAGTATGAGCGAACGCCAGCCCAGAAAGTCTCTACGGAGACATCCTCGCCAGTGGAGAAGTTGAATGTCGAGACTGTCACGCCGACCTTGGGGTAGACACGAGAGATGAGCGAAGTGACGACTCCGTAGGTTCCTTTTGGGGATGTGTTAGATGAAATCCCGAGAATAGAATGGGAGATAGAGTACACATACCACCACCACCACCACGCAGAGCCCAGAATAGATCGGGATTACTTTTTTCGGTCACTGTGACGAAGCGTCCGTTGGCCAGCACGACCTCAAGAGCCAAAACTTGGTCAGCAGCCAGGCCGTACACGCTGGACATGGGCGAGTGGCCACCGCCGAGAACGTAGCCACCGGCAACACCGACAGTCTAATAAGGTCAGTTATTTCGCCAAAATATTGATGTCGGAATGATCGACTTACCTTGCCTTCGCCACCAACGGCAGTGAATCCAAGTTCCTGACCCTTTGCATAGACCTCAAAGGCCTGCACACCTGACCCCATCTTGACAGCTGGACCCTGGTAACCTGAGCCACGATAATTCTCATAGTATTCAATGTCCTTGAGATGGTGGGTCCAGATACCCAAAGCACCAGCACCGGTTGATTTTCCATTGAAGTCATGGCCGGTGTTCTTAACGACCAGACGGATATCCGCGTTACGTGCAAAGTTGACAGCAAGCTGGATTTGAGCCACATTGCTCACATTCACAGCATAGCTGCTGTAGCCACCCACTGTGCAAGATGCAGAGGCATTGGTAGTGGGCAGGCAGGTTCTTCCCTCGAACAGAGGCCACATTGCCGACGCTGGGTCAGCAGCACTAATCGTGGAGTCAGTATACAATGTCTATGTTTCATACATGGGTGAGGTATAACTAACTGAAGATGAGAGTCACCCCACTCTGAGCTGATTCTTTCACATTCATCGCTGTCATATTGGGGCCATGAAGCATAGCAAGACGCCGCTAGGGGGACTGTCTTGATGAGCGCGCCACCTAGGAGGTTATCCAAGGTCGACCATGCAGATTGCGACGGCCAGTGGCGGTCACCGGGGAAAACCTTGCATTTCCCTGTAGGTCGCTTGGTATTATCAGGGCCATCGCACCCAAATTTAACCAGGGCTGATTGGTGTCGGTTGAGCTTGGCAATGTCATGATCTGTCAATTGGAACTTCTCGCTGTCAAATAGCGGTGCGCCAGCTACAGAGGCAGATGAAACCTGTCCCACACGGGCATCTCCGGGTGTTACTAGTAAGAGAGCACCGAGCAAAATGCCCGTCATGTACGAACAAGGGGACATTGTGAGCGTGTGAAGGGAAAGAAGCTTCACCCGGGATCGGCAAGTCTGAGAAAGGTGGCCAATGGAGACTTTTAAATCAAATCTCCGACACTCACCAGCTCAAGGTGTGCATAGTACGATATATGGAGTATAACGTCGGCAGTACTTCGGCTATCATGGGGTTGACATCCAAGAAGAAATGCCGCTGGCTACTTCGCCCCCACTGCAATTTACAGTGTCTCGCTCTAGCTCGCTCTATCTCGCTCAAGCCCTCTCCCACTCCACTCTCGTGCATCTCCTCCAACAACAATCAAAAATAAGGCTAGAGCCAGATGGGGCGTTATCTCCGGATCTCCACGTTCCGTGGAATTTTCCAGGCCACACTTTATCCGTGACGCCGATGCGTGCTGGGAATACAATTCTCTCCAACCGAGATTGTCGCCATTAGCTTATTTCATTCCATTCAGTAGGGAGCTCTGTATGAAAAAAAAGAAACTGTGCCTATACCCACTCCACCGGTCGGAATGATGAGGATTTTCAAGCTTCTCCCCCGGCTGAGAGCGTTGCAAGGAACACATAAGATTACGTGAACACACAATACTCCGTATACGTGAACGTGGTATTTCTTCTCGGTTTGACTCTAATCAGGCCAGCATTTGGTCTGACCTGACACCATTCTCCATTCTCCATGGTCCACTATGCTCCACTTAAGTAGATCGGATCTGCTTCCTGGACAATGGGAAACCCGCAACGCAAGGGACTAAGAGAATTGCATTTCATTTAATTTTGCCGAGAGTGAGCACTAAAAAGACTAAAAAGACTAACGAAAACTTGTTAAGTAGAACGGGCAATTTCTTCGTGGGGGCCAAATATTGTATCCGAGACATCGAGCTCTCGAACTAATGTACTGACGCATCGCTAAGGTTTAATCCTCGATGCCACCCTTGGACACAATTTACCCATTGGTGGAATTATGTTGTATACACTCAAGGCTCAATACGGGCTTAAGTGTATAATTGGAGGAGCTCTCATTCACTTCCATTTTTTTCTTTCCCCTTTACAAGGATGAGCTGCAGATGTAACGCCCAAAGAACGATTAAGTTTTTCACTAGCACTCTAGAGGTGTCTGTTCCCTGTCCAAGTACATGCACTAGCTGGGGGCTCGGATAAGCTCCGTATTTCGAATATTTCGTTGGATGCTCGGGTTTAAAACCCACGAAACCTACATTGAACGCACAATTCGGAGTACGACAATGGGCTGGCTATTCAAATAACAGGGAGGTGACAAAAGAGCTAGCTTTCTGTCTAGGATTTGGGGCCAAGAAGAACATTCGTGTCATTGAATTCTAGAATTCTAGCACTCCAATCAAAGTTGTAAAGGATGCGTGAGCCCTTATACACCATTCCTTATTGGCTCTCCTTTTAATTACCGGCATCAACGGACATTGAACTAATTGAGATACGGACACCGCAACCCAAATTAGTTGAACTAATAATAATGTGTTTGTTTATTCCGTAGAAACCCTTGTAATGGCCCCCGAACTCCAATGAATCAAAGCCAAAGAAGTGGACCATTAGTGATGGCCACGATACCAACCCTGCATCTTAAGATCGAGGTCGCAGGCTGTTCGAGAACCCTTACGCTCTTCTGAGGGGAATACGCAATGATTGACGACCATCAACAAAAAATCGCCCTAGGTATCGTGGTCGCATTCACGGTTCTCGGTGGCATTGCAGTTCTACTTCGGCTCTGGGGCCGATGGTTATCACGATCGGCGCTCACAAGCGGTATGGAACGAACCTGATCGGCACTGGACTTGGACTATTAGAAGTGGTTGCTAACGAGATTTCTTATAGATGACTACTTGATTGTCGTGGGATATGTAAGATCCTTGGATCTCCAGATCTTTGCAAAGTATGCTAAACGTGTCTTTTCCTAGATCCTCGCCCTCTCCCAATCCGTTACCTCGTGGTACTGTAAGTGATTCAGTTAAGCGCAAAGTGAACAACTACTAATTCGCAATAACTAGTCATCAAAACCAACTATGTCGGCATTCACGTATGGGATGTCCCCAAAAACAACAATCCTAGACCTGGGCTGAATGTAAGTCTTCACAGCTCCCATCATAGACCAGAGACTCACACGAACAAAAAACAGTGGAACTTCGCAAATCAACTCCTCTACAATCCAGCCCTGACCGTGGTAAAACTCTCGATCTTGGTATTCCTGCGCCGACTCGATTCACGCTCACGGGTGGTCAAGTACCTCATCTGGAGCTCCTTCGCCGTGGTAATCAGTCTTTTTATCACCGTCCTCCTCGTCGACATTTTCCAATGCCACCCAGTACAATACGTCTACGACATGACGATCCCGGGCGGGAAATGTATCAACCAAGGCGCATTCTACGTCTCGACCGCAGCGCTAAACCTCTTCACCGATATAATGGTCCTCTCGATCCCGATCATTATCACTGCACGTCTCCAAATGCCCCTCCGACGCAAGATCGCCGTGTGTATCATCCTATGTCTAGGTGGAGTGTAAGTAACTCCCCAAAATCCAACTGCAACTCCAACTCCAACCCACCGCGCACTTATCTAACAACCCCATCCAACGCACAGAGCAACCGCCATCGGAGTCTGGCGCATAGTAATCCTCGCCCAAGGATTCCTCTCACACACCCCAAACCTCGACCCAACGTACTCAATCGGCTTCTGCAGCTCAGCAGTCGAAGTAAACGTCGCCGTGGTAACAGCCTGCGGCCCGTCCCTGAAAGCCATCAGCAGCAGGTTCCTCCCCCGACTACTTGGCAGCTCGCACGGGAAATCCACCTATGGGGCCGGCACCGGCTCCGGAACCGGCATGGGCTCGCGCAGACTCCGATCGAATATATTCAAGTCTGCCTCACACGCGCAGCCATCGGTTTTCTCCACCCGCGGCGCTGATTACGAGATGGCGGATCCGCTGGGCGGGCCGCGTGTTGATATTGTTGGGGATTTTGAGATGCGTAAGTATAAGCGTGGGGATAGTCCTAGTTTGAGTAGTGATGAGGGTAAGGGGATTATGAAGACGACTGATATCTCGGTTGGGTATAGTATGGAGCCCAGGGTTGGGGATGGTCGGTCGCAAGAGGGTAGACACGCTAGTGTTGATAGTTTGGTTTAATTATGTACATTATATAGATATGATTTACGATTGGAATATAAATAGCCAAATAGCCTAATAGCCTACTTGAAGAAGAAGGATATCAACGGCCGAGGATCTACTCCAATTTCGGATATGAGGGGTCATATGGAGTAACCCCTCTTCTTATAAATACTTGTCCGGTGAATATAACTTCATCATATTTTAACTTGGTCACATTTAGAACATTCTTGATCAATATGGCGACTCAGTACCAGCTACCATTCAAGGTATGGCTTATATCCTTCTATCCTTCTATCCTTCTATCCTGCTATCCTTCTATCCCAGCTCTGCGGGGTATTCGGCGAGATGTCCGAAGTGTTGAACACAACTCTAACACGCTTTTTTCCAGCTAGCAGACCCCAGTCTACTAAAGTTCGACTCTGTCATCGGCGACAAATGGGTCGGCGCAAAGAGCGGAAAGCGCTTTGAAGTACTGGGTAAGTCACTTCAAGCTCTATATCTTCCAACACAGAGATCACAGCTAACATATCCCACTCAGACCCCGGCACCGACAAAGCCTGGGCCAGCTGCCCCGCCAACGCAGCAGAAGATGTATCCGCCGCCGTTGAAAACGCCCACACAGCCTTCGAGCAATTCCGCAAAGTCAACCCGCGCCAGCGCGCCAAATGGCTACTAGAATGGCACAACCTGACCACCGCAGCCCGCGACGACCTCGCCCAGATCGTCACCCACGAAACCGGAAAGCCGCTAGCAGAAGCCTACGGCGAGATCGACTACTCCCTCGGCTTCCTCTGGTGGTTCGCCGGAGAAGCAGAGCGCATCCAGGGCAGTGTATCAACGGCCGCGGCACCGAACCGTCGCTTGTTCACCATCAAGCAGCCGATCGGCGTAGCAGCCGCCCTCGTCCCATGGAACTTCCCCGTTGCCATGGTTCTGCGGAAAGTCGGCGCCGCGCTCGCGGCTGGCTGTACGATGGTCGTCAAGCCCAGTCCCGAGACGCCGATTTCAGCACTTGTCCTGGCGGAGCTGGCGCATCGCGCGGGGATCCCTGCTGGTGTGCTGAATGTGCTCACTACGGACTTGGATAATACACCGGCGCTGAGTGAGGCGTTGTGTAAGCATCCACTTGTTAAGAAGGTGACGTTCACGGGCTCGACAAGGGTGGGGAAGTTGGTTGCTGCGCACTGTGCGCATGGTCTTAAGAAATTGACTCTCGAGCTCGGTGGCAATTGTCCTTTCCTTGTTTTCGACGATGCGAACCTCGACCAGGCGGTTGAGCAGCTCATGTCGCTGAAATGGCGCCATGCCGGTCAGGCTTGTATTACTGCCAATCGGATCTATGTGCAGGCTGGGGTTTATGATCGCTTCGCTGCGCTTCTGAAGGAGCGCACGGCTGCGATCGTTGTTGGTCACGGTGCCGTGGCTAATACCACGATGGGACCGTTGACGACGCCGCGGAGTATTGACAAGGCCGCTGCGCAGGTTGAGGATGCTCGTCGGCTTGGTGCTGATGTTATCTTGGGCGGAAATCCTCTGACGTCCAAGCCGGGTTATTTCTTCGAGCCTACTATTCTGTCCGGGATGACGGAGGAGATGCTCATCTCGCAGGAAGAATCGTTTGCGCCTATTGCTGCGCTGTACCGGTTCGAGACTGAGGACCAGGCTGTCAAGCTGGCTAATGATACCAGCATGGGTCTGGCTAGTTATGCTTTCACCAAGAATATCGATCGCATGTGGCGTCTCTTGGAGAACCTGGAGGCGGGTATGATCGGAATGAATACAGGTGAGTTTCTTATGGATATTGCTATGAATAACATTAAGTCTAACTAATTGGAATACAGGCAACTCATCGGCTGCCGAGTCGCCTTTCGGTGGTATTAAGGAGTCTGGTTATGGCAAAGAGAGTGGAAAGGACGTGGCTGTCAATGAGTACTTGGTTACCAAAACGGGCACCATGACCATTGAGGGACAATATTGAGTACACAAATGTATTCTTGGTAAATCATCTCGGTCATCTCGGTCATCTCTACCAAATTGAAATGAAATTTATGAATCTTGTATTTTCTTCATCGTGACTGGTCGACCAAATCCACTTTTCTCCAAGCGTAGATGGAAATAGACATTCTGATTGGCTACATACAATCTGGGGAGATCTTTTCAATATCAGATTTTCTTCACTACACTACCTGCATTCTATTCATCATGGACAACCTTACTCCGCTACGGCAGCTAATTCAGTCTCATCCGCTGATCGACCACCATGCCCAAAACCTATTGAACCGCGAGTCGGCCACTGACTCCGACAATTACCCAATTGAGGCCATCACCTCCTCGGCAGACGGCCGCGCCCTAGAAAATGCCCACACCACCCTCCCCACGCTGCGGGCCACAACCCAGCTCTCCGAGCTATACGGCCGCCCGTGCGCAAACTGGAACGACATCCAGACCGCCCACGACGAAAGCGTGCGCGAAGACTACAACGACTTAATCCGAAAGTCTCTATCAGGCACGCACGCACTGCTACTCGATGATTACCACAGCGACGACGAAGACATCGAATCCACCAGCTGGCACGATAGCTTCACTGACTCGCCGACCAAGCGAATCGTGCAAATCGAAGCCCTAGCCGAGTCCACAATCCTGGATGTATCGAACTCGCGCAAGAACGGCGAATCAGTCTGGAACAATTTCCGCCAGCGGTTCCAAGATGCCCTCGGCGCGGCTTTGGACGATGTCAACATCGTTGGGTTCAAGTCGGAAATTTGCTGTCGGACCGGATTGGACGTGGATGCGTATTCCTCCGACGATACCACTCTGGGCGGGTCATTGATTCGCATCCTCGATTCTGGTACAACGAGATCTGGCTTCGCGGTCGATGATAAACAAATCTGTGACTGGATAGTCCAGCAGACGCTGAAAGCGATTTGCTTTAAGAAGAAGGCGGGTGTTGTGAAACCTTTGCTGTTTCACACTGGCTTGGGAGATAATCGGATTAATCTTTTGCGGGCCAATCCCGCATGTCTGCAGCCTTTAATTGCGCAGTATGCTGATGCGGATATCGTGCTGTTGCATGCTGGATACCCTTATACCCGCGAAGCGGGGTATCTGGCTTCTGTTTATCCCAATGTCTATCTTGATTTCGGGAAGGTTTTCCCCATGGTTAGCCGTGAGGCGCAGACGAAGGTCCTGAGAGAAAGTTTGGAGCTTGTGCCTACCAATCGTCTCCTCTGGAGTACCGGTGGCCGGTTGCACCCGGAGACGTTCTGGTTGGCTAATCGACAGTTCCGTCAGGCTCTTGAGACGGTTAGTTGCATGCCTACTTTTCTATTTCTACTAATTACTTTTCTCGATGCTGATTATCTTTTGTTTTGCAGGTATTCGTGGATTATGTTCAATGTGGCGACTTCACTGCGTCCCAGGCTATGAAGATAGCTGCCGATGTTCTGTTCTATAACGCCAATCGCCTTTACAGCCTCAACTTGACTCCGTCATACACACCTGAAGAGTAAACTGCTGACTATGCAAGGATGTATAGGTATGTCCATGCTTTCAATTTCTATTCTCCGGGTGTATACTGACAGTTGTCCCGCTAGCTGATGCTTCTACTCTTACACTCTCCCAATGCACAACCCTTGGGTATTACATCACCGTTGCCAAAATCGATGACCGATAACTGAGAGTCTCAGATCTCTCAATACAATACGGGCCTACAAGCACTACTAGCGCTGTAGTATGCGAAGAACTACATAACAGTCAAGTAACACTCGCTATCCAAGCCGGAAGAGCGCCGATTATGGCTTCTGAACCAATGCCGAGCACGAGATGCGTAGATATTATGAGATGTATATTGAATTCTCATATTAGAACTAAATATCAACATGATTTTCACGTCATCTTGCCTCCATCCCAAATCGTATACATATCGCAAGGCCAGCAGAGCGATCCAGCGCCACCTGAAGTAACAGATATCTATGTGCGTGTGGATTTGGAGCACCAAAATATAGTACAAAAAGAAAGACACGCGTGTTCCACCGGGTGGTTAGATCGTTGCACGCCGTGCAATATTGAGTATCATGCAAGAAGCGAAAATCGGAACGAGAACAAAAAGGAAAGCAAAAATAAAAACAAGGTATACCAACTCCGGCCGTCGCTTCCCGTGTATCCAGCGTTGGCTTGGCACAACGCAGTGTAAATCATAAATAGTGCAAAAGATAGGTGTTGAAATGTGTGTGTGTGTGTGAATCGGAATGTTGGATGGAGGTGGGGGGTTGGAGAGAGAAGTGAGACAGAGAGAGAGAGAGAGAAAAAGTGGTACATGTGTGCGGTTTGTCAGGGTTTGTCGGGGATAAGGCGAGAGGGAGGAGAAAGGAGCAGAGGAATATGGTCAGGAGAGATGGTAAGAGACAAAGCTGATGCATCACAAGCAGCAACCAAAGGGGTCGAGGTCAGAAACCAGCAACAAAACGAAGAGTTCAGAAACAAGCTTGCACGCCAAATCAAATGGACAAGAGCATCCTGTTTCAACAGCCAATCCTCCGTTCTGTTACCATCTCATCCCTTTCCCACTCATCTAGTAGCCGTGCTACTTCTCTGAAGGAGACCGGTTTGGTAAGGAACAGGTCCACACCGGAAGCCATAGCATCCGACTCATCACGAGAGCTGCTGAGTCCAGTCAAGGCAATGATGATAGCCGGCTTGCGGCCATCCGTATCCTTCTCCAGCGAGCGAATAGCACGAGTAGCCTCAAACCCATTCATGACCGGCATCGACATGTCCATGAAGATGATATCATAACCACTCTGCATGCGCTCGACTGCCTCAACGGCCAATTTGCCATTCTCAGCGGGGGTCAGCTCAATCAGCTGCCGCTTTTTGAGGAATGTCATCATCAGGTTGAGGTTTATGCGATTGTCATCAACAACAAGCACTCGTGCCAGTCGCCGAGAGCTGATTCCGCCCTCTACCAGTGGTCCTGGTAAGGGGGATTCTGCAATCTCCTCCGGCAATGCGGTCATTAGCGTTGGCTGTTGCAGTGGTGATATCGTCATGGGGCGGACTCCGGGACTGTCCAGCTCAGGGGCGCTAATACCATCGGTAGGGGATATGCGGGGCGAAGCGAATGCAGATGACAGGGAGGACGTCCTGAGCGGTAGATTTAGTGGTTGCAGAGCGGAAGCCGGTGTCGCAGAGCTCGATTGGCCGTGGGTCAGACACCTCATGACGCTTCGGGCTAATTTGTGTGGCCCACAGGGACGCCGGATGATGTTCACGGAGGAAGCGAGAGGCAACCACTCGGATTTTGCCCCGGTGTAATCCACCGATTTGTGGCATAGGACGAGAAGAGCCGGCAAAGTGGCCGAGGGTGCAATGATGCGGAAGTTTGGTAAATCGTTTTCATCCATAAGGACAAGATCAACATGGGCTTCCGGTGTCCATGCGACGATCTCCATGTCATACCAGTCTGAAAGGTATCGAGCAATTTCAGACCAGTTAGAGTCGGCAGTCACGTCGGCTGGGTCGACGCCCCAGATGGAGGCTCGTCTACCAGGGTATCCCTCACGTAGTAGAAGAGTTTGGGTCAAGGTCTCTCTCTGTTGGATAAGCTGTCCGGATGGTTCGACAGCCGGACTTTCCTTGCCAACAGGCCGCTCTAAGGGGAGGGATACAGTTACGACAGTGCCCTCCCCAGGACGGCTGCGGATTCGAATGCTTCCATTCAGAGCCTTGACCAGGCTGCGAACAATTGACAATCCCAGTCCAGTACCGACAGCCAGGGCATCTTCCTGAGCAAAGGGCGTGTAAAGCTTGCCGCGCAAAAACTCTTCCGATATACCTTTGCCCGTGTCTGTTACTGTCAACGTGACCAAGTCTTCGAGGCCTTGGCGCCGAGATCGTCCTTCAGATTGACTAGATGCTGCCAAGGATAAAGTGACACGACCAGATTCTGTGTATTTCATGGCATTTCCAAAAATATTCATAATGATGCGCCGCAAAGCGCCCGGCTGAGTCCGGTAGACCCAATCCCGGAATGTAACGTCGATAACAACTTCGACGTTGGACCGCTGATTCTGCAACTTTGTTTGATGTGGCATCAATACAGGCAGGTCAGCTGAGGCAGTGGAGCTCTGGCCGAACACATGGCCAAGACAGATGCCTTCAACGACTTCCTCGGCGAGAATGGCCACATCGGTAGCGACGAGCGTATCCAGGTGATGCGGCAGCTTGTCTGATCCTTTGAGACCGAGCGGTGACTCTTTCTTGCGTTTCATTTGCCGCCATGTTCGTTCCAAAGATACCACTTTGCTGAAGTCAAGTACTTGGTTCATTGTATCGAGTAACGTCCGGCCACAGGAATTGACAGTCTCAAGCAACGAGTCCTGGAATTCATTGAGATGAGTGCTATTCAAAAACTCGGCAGCAGCCAAGATGCCATGAAGGGGGCTACGGAGTTCGTGTCTAGTAAAATATAGTAGTTAGTAACTGCGGTCGGACATGTCGAATATTCCCCAGAGACCAAAACAAACTTACGAGATGCTCCCAATGAAATCGCCCTTCTGGCGATCCGCGATGAGGGATTCAACGCGGCTATACTCGGCCATGATAGACGATGAAAACCCAAGCACTGAACTGAGCTCGACTGAGGTGGTGAATACCTGTGTCTCGATTGTGCTCCAGCAGAAACACCCTCCGAACCACTGCGAAGAAACAGCATTCCACAAAGGCACAAACATGATTTGCGCGGCTTGTGGGAAATACTGATTGAGTACTGAGTTCTCCGCAGCTTTCCGCCGCTTTCGGGTGGGCTTTGAAGCTTGTGCAGTGGTAGGTGGGGACCGACTGGTGGCACTGGTGCCAAGAGGGGCCTTGTCTTGGGGTTCTTGGTCGTCATCATCTGATGTCGAGAGGAGCCCATCGCGATGGAAAGACCACAGCTTTCCTTTGGGGTAGCGTCGAAGCAACAATTGCAGGAAAGAGCGGTCCAAGTTGGCCGCAGGGCATGTAGCCATCGACCCAGCCTGGGGAGCAAACGGTTCTTCATTTGTTGATGCTGACAGGACCGAGGCAGGTCCGCCTGTGTCAGAACAATCACTCCCCATATCGGCATCCAACAAAGGACTATTGTTGGCTTCCAGGAAAATGACCCCACTGTCGCCATTCAGGTCAAGACTCTCACGGAGTAAGTTGGCCGCCCTGCGGAAGCACCAAGAGTTTCCTTGAGAATCATCGGGTGGTAGTCGATTTCGGCTGCTGCTTGTCAGCCATTCTGGCAGAGAGCTCTCTACAGTGCCCGATTCAAATTTTGAACCGTTGTCTAATTTTGAACCACTCCCCAATTTTGAATCGTAGTCCAATTTCAAATCGGACGGGACAGAGCTGAAGGAACACGCGTCCGTACTGATTGATCGATCGTTCGGTGGACTGTCGGATGGCGCTTGCGATGCGTTTTCTGATCGGTTTCCACGAGAGCCAGAGGCACTCATTCGATTGTAGGAAGATGGCGGAGTTGCTGATGGAGGACCGACACTGTCGGTGCGCGACTGATCGATACTGTCCACGAAACTAGAGCTTCCTTCAACGAAATAGCTGAGCCCGCGGGAAAGGCGCGCGGCCCGGCGCCCTTCTGAAGCCTGTCTGCAAATCCTCAAGTAGTCCATCACAAGCGTCGATAGAGATCCCAGTGTATCCTTCTCTAGCGGTGTCAACCCATCTCGAGGTTTTTTGTCCAACACGAAAATGCAACCCAGATTGATATTCTTGTCGGTTGTCAAGGGAGTTCCCGCGAAAAAGCGGAAGTTCGGGTCCTTTTCGACGAAGGAAAGGTTTTTGTACCGCTCATTTTCGGTCATGTCGTTCACGACTAAAAATTGATAGTCTGCATTCTCGCGGTCGTTGGGGGGTAGTGAAACGGTGTCCTGTCGAATGACGTCAAAATCGAGGATTCAGAGGAATGAACAATGTGATCGGGTTCGACAATGGCTCCGGGTCAGCCAGCTCGTCGAAGGAGCAAAACTTACCTTGCACACACTCCATGTCTTGCGAGTGTCGGGTGCCCCCAGCCAGACATTGTCATTGTCGTCATGAATTGACGGATCGTTCAAATTGAGAGATTTTGTAGCTTCGGCAATGATGTGTTGTTGATCACGATCCAATACAGAGATAAACACCCGCTCGACGTTCAAGCGCAAGGCTGCTAGTTGTGCAAATGACGTCATGGTACTGTTCGAGGTGCCTAGGACGAGAGCTTCTGAGCCAATTGCGGTTGCTGGTCGGGAAGTTGCACTGCCACTGCCGTGCGAAGGTATTGAGCCTTCGGAGATCGGTGGAGTGATTGTATTTCCTGAGATTGAAGAAAAAGGGAATCCATCGTTTGTAGGAAGCCAAGATGGAACCATCTCAGCCGAAGCAGGTTGGTAGTAGCGGTATAGCTCCCTCGCCCTGCGATCTGCGTTGTGTAGGCCATTCTGGCGTGTCTTAGGAACATTCATTGTTTGCCGCTAGCGTTAGAAGCGTGAGGATACAGTGCTGCATCCTCGGACTTCAAATTTTGAGGTTGATGAAGCTGTCACGCCGATGACGACCGAGGTAGGGTGCTGAGGGTAGAGAGAGGTCGAAATGCACAAAGGAAGTGATCAAAAAGGTCGGAAATTGTTGGAGTGATGAGTGTAACTGGATTAGTCACAGACTATTGGAGAATTGGAGAATTGGAAGGAAAGTGGGATTTTTGATTTAGATACGACTCTCCACAAGAGAACAGCAAGTCAGGTGAAGCGAAGATGGGGTTCCAGCGAAGACTGGGTAGGAAATTTGGCGATCACCGCCAGGGACCCATCTGTCAAGGTACAATAGGGATGGGCATTGGCATATTGGCGAGATGGACCAGTGAGGGGAGAAATGCATAGAACATGATTAGTGGGAACCGGCGCTCATTGCACATTGAAATTTGTGTATGGAGTACACCTGCTCCACCGCTTCATCGCATTTCTCCTGGGATTGTGCGGCATCTTGGGATCGGCACACCAAGATGGCGCGAATGTCCGTGTACCAGCAGATTGACTGGAGCACGATGGAGTAGATGGCGCCAGGGCGTCCACTGAGGAGTACAAGTGTGGACAAGATGTGGAGGGGAGTAGGTTTCAGTGGCTGTGGGGTGGTTCTGTGGCGTTCTGAGACTGCAGATCATTGGCCCATTGCCTCAGGCCACATTGTCTGCCCTGAAGACCAGGCATTCCCGATCAAAGCCAAGTGGACCAATGAATATTCGCGATCATTCTACCAGAATTTTCTAATCGTACCTAGTTCCTTCATACTTTTTTTCATAATGTGAACCATGTTTTCTCAGGCTACTGTTGACCAGGGATTCCACATGCATTCCAAGCATTCCAAATGCCGTCATTCAAAAAGCAACTCGTGGGCTGTACGTCACTCCTGCCAGGGGCTGAAATTAGCGTCGCAAGCCCTATGACGATGGTGGCGAATTCACGAAGCAGCTCTACAATATTGGCAATCTCACATAGAAATCGATCGTCTCTTCCGTCATGGGCCTGACCACCCAATATGATATCAGTCTCACAAAATCATATGTTGTATTCAACTCTTCCAAACTTTATACTGGACTAGGAATTATGACCGGTCACTGCACCCCAGATATACGCCACCCACGATCCAAGTGTCAAAAAAATCATAGCACCAAAGCAAAATATGGAGATGTTCCGGGTGCGCCGATGCTGTGTTACCAAGCTGCGCTCTCGAATCCGCTCGATGATAGCCGCACCCGATGTCAACCGCTTATGCCGAGTCCACTGTAGCGGCGCTAGGTTATCAGTCATAAACGAGCCGATCAGGATAGCCGCACCGACAACCAGAGCACCGGCAGCAAGAACTAGATAGACCTGCACCACTCGGCGGTATGAATTGTCATCCGCGTCCTGCAAAGCTCCGGTGATGATCCGAATTATAATGCTCATACTATTACGATTTCCCATGTCAGACTCTGTCCTAGAACACAATTTTGATGCAGGGGTTGGGGATCAAACTTACGCATTATTCATGGTGACCTTCAATGAATAGGCAGATCCAAAGACCGATTGGTGCCACAGCGTGGTGCGAATGCTGTCGATGACCGAGGTTGGTCCCAAGGACAGGGCAATGGCGTAGATGCCGAATGCAGCACCTGTTCCTGCCTGTGATGTTGCAAAATTAACGAGAACCATGCTCAACAGCATGCCGAGACCGCAGACAAACACTAGGGATGTCAGTATTAAGCTTGCTTTGGATATTCATGATAAAACTCACTGACAGATGCTCGGTTGCCGAGGACATCAATGAACACGCCCAAGAAGGGAACAAGGAAGAAGCCTGGCCGATATTAGCTTATATCCAGGCAAAATGATCATGCACTCCAGGAATATCGTACCTGCGTATTGCGAAAGAGAACTATACCACCCGGCCTTGATAGAATCGACATTGAATCGCTTCTCGGCCAACTCAGTGGCATTTTGGCTGAAGACCGTCGCTGCGCTCGTTTGGAAGACAGAGAAAGCCATGACAGCCCAGAACATCCACGGGAGCTCGAATATCTTTTGAAATTCGAACTTTTTGTTTTTCTCTGTCAGTTGTTCTTTGGTGGCTTCATCGCGTCGTCCCTTGTAGTGGCGATTACAATACTGGTTGAAGAACCAGAACGCTGCGCTGGCCGCATTCGTGAACAGATTCATGAACACCGAGGTCCAAAAAACCCACGCAAAGTTCCCAGTTTTCTATTCTCTTGTCAGCATTGGCTTAACCAGGTCAAACCGTGAAAAACAATTACCTTTGCAATGATATTGGCCGTTGACTTGCCGATAAATCCTCCAATCTTGCCAATGGCGAGCTCAAATCCTAACGTGGATGCAAATCCACTGCTAGGAGGAAACCAAGAGGAAAACATCTTATACTGAGCGACTTGTGTGGCGATGTCGCCGAATGCGAGAATGACCCGACCTCCGATCATGAAGTCGAAAGAGCGCACGGTCGCGGCGGCAGCGACGAGGATAGAACCGATAGTATAGACGATATTTCCATAAACAATCATCTCTATTAAAAGGATTGGTCAGGATATCTCTCGCTGAGTTGAGTTGACAGACTCGACAACCTACCAGCTCCACCGACTCGGTCGGTGATCACACCACTTATCAAAAGCAGAACCGTTGCCATGAAATTCTCGCTGGCTTCCAAAAGCGAGAATTGAACATTGTCTATATGCATTTGCTGCCAAACAAAATCCGTCAGTGAATCCTGCAAATCGACATTTCCATGGTATTCAGTACCTTTTTAATCGTGCTCTTCATAGCACCCGTCACGCCAGAACTCCAGTGTGAGCCAAAGCTAATGCACGATATCAGCGCGACCGCACATAACTTTGCTGCAAGCGGTGGTGGCCTTTTTCCATCGGAGTCATCGCTAGGTTCTTCCGATAGAGTGTGGATGTCTTCACTGACAGGGGCCGAGGCCACGTCCACAGACTTCGAGTCTGAAGTATCAACTGCCATAATCACAAATTATTGGAATGATACGCTCGGGCAGTAAAAGGAAAGAAAGAACTTTCAGACGAACTCAAAAAAGACCATGCCAGTACTATTTATGGACCTCGGAGATTGATAAAAATTTTAACAACAAAGCGGAGCTCCGCTAGTCGGTGCTACGGTGAGCTGATCCTGGAGCAAAAGGCCGAAGCTCCTAGTCAGCTCCAACGTAAAAGGACAAAGAACATTTTCTCGGCGCTTGGCACGGGCGGAGTTTCATCAGATAAGATGGTTGAGATTGGGGGGAGTGGGCGGGGCTTATCCCGAAAAGAGTCTAGCGCTACGTTTCTACTCCAACTCGGGGCAACGTCGGTGAATTTAGCTTTCTTTAACCTGTTCAACACTTCTAAAAAAGGACCTGCTCAGACCCACGTAGAACCCTGAAGTGAAAGCACCTCTCGGTTTCTCTCCGAGCTGTCGTCAGCTTGCAACTGCCGTTATTTCTTGTCCCCGTTTCGACCCGCTCGGATTCTTTAACCCGGTTACATACCGAGCAAGTTCGGATTGTTGTTTCCTGCACTAACCAGGTCATTTTGTCTTCGGCGGTTCTCTTGGACTGTTCGAGGTACAATATACGAGGGTGGTGCGAGTTGATCCCGTAATCACTTTTGCAGAATGCTGCACTTTGCACAAGGACTACGTCTAACAACTCACGTTCCACTTAAATGTCCACTAGGTATAGCATGATAGCCTCTATAGACATTAGAATTGGTAGTGAAGGCTTAATGGGCCACCTAGCTATTATAGCCTCTCACGCATTGATTCAAGGCCATCGAGGCCCTATATAAGGAGTTCAACATCCAAATATCACAACAAAGAGGATGGCGAGCACCTTCATATTGCCAATGTCTTTCTTGCTTCCACAGGATTGGATTGCTGATGATCTTGGCATAGAACTGCTTTGAAGAATAGGCAGGATTTAGTCTGATATGCCAAATCGGGCTCATCAACGAAAATTTCCCAAAGTCTATTCTGCTACCCGACTGGGATGAAGACCTGAGTAACTAAAATATCTCATTCATGACGCTTTTGAATCTGAGCATAGAATCCCCTTTGAATGAAGAACCAGGAATTCTCGACCTGAAATTTCTCCTTGTCAACCAGCCGCATCTAAATGGAAAGCAGTCAGATCAGTGAGTTGCACTTCGTATTATACATAAAAAGGGAAGAAGAAGGAGCGCTTACATCATATGTCAAAACCAGGAATGGGATCAGTTTTTTTATCTCCAGAATGCCAACATGTCGTCCGAGACATACACGTCGTCCAGCCCCGAACTATATTACTGTTAGCTCAGGCAGCGGAGAGGCATCAAGAGCAGGGCACAAACAGTAAGCATGCTTGCCTCCAGGTGCCTCTTATGGGCACTATCGCCTTCGAGCCAGCGCTCTGGTCGCCAAAACTCCGCATCATCCCCAAAAGTGTTTGGGTCCCGGTTCACAACATACGGGTTTCCACCGATAACCGTGCCCTCAGGCAGGTAATGTCCGAGCACCGTAAGACCTCCCCTGGGGATAACACGCTCAAATGGCAGTGCAAAGGGGGGATGGACCCGCGCTGCCTCCAGGACACAGGCGTCGAGGTAAGGCAGATCGCGCACCTCGCTATACCGCGGAAACGGACGTGAAGGATTCGCATTTTCGAGCTCTTGTCGGAGCTTGTGCATGGTATTTGGGTAGGCTAGAAGATTGAAAAGCACGGTGCGCATGATTGTGCCGACCGAGTCGGAGCCGGCAATGACGTTAGAGAAGGTCCAGGCCGTTGGAGCCCAGGCGGGGATGTTGGGGTTACCCTTTTGCAACTGTATGTAGCGTGTGAGGAAGTCAGTGTGGCTGTGGTTGTTTGGTGCTTTGTCTGGCTCTGCCTCGAGCTTCTGTGTCTTTTCTTTTATAGCCTGGGCCACGAACGACAAGATTGAAAGAGACGGAGTCGGCCGAAAAGCTTGGCGCAGGATGTCGGCGATGATGTTTTTGCGTAAGATACGATCGAGAAAGGGAGATTGGGTCATCTAGCATTGATTTGATCAGTTTCTGTTTGGACCTGGGCAGATGCAGAGCAGAGAGAAGTTGTGTTACTGGTGCGGAGGTCCTCATGAAATCAATGATCGTGGCGAGCATGCCACCCACATCCTTTCCTTGATCGAGAAATCCATATCGCTTGGAGAAGGTCATGGTGCCCATAACGTCGAAGGCAAAGAACTGCAGCCACTGGCCCATGTTGATGACCTGCTCCGTCGCGCAATATGTTTGGTCGAATTTATTTTGAATGCACTGTAGGACCTGGTCGACGAGCGGCTCAAAGGTGACAGTACTCGAGAGGTTGAAAAGTGGTGCAATTGGAGACTTGATCTGCTTGAGGATATCCTCTTCAGTGGTGTTGAAGACTGCATGCAATGCCCCTCCACTCCTCGTGTATGGCCGCAGAGTCGCGTAAAAGTCGCCCTATTTTTGTGTTAGCATTTGCCCTCACTAAAATAATGATTAAGAACCTTTGGTATGCCTGGCCGCATGGGGTAGACCGCTGGGATGGCCTCGGGGTTACTGAACGACACCATATTTGGCCCGATACGGACGACCTCGCCATACTTGCGGTGCGCGTCTTGCAAGATCAGATGTGCCCGGGCTGTAGGTACCCAGCTCATACGATGCAGATCTGTAATGCAAGCTGGAAAGGGCCCGGGGATGTGCTTCAATCGCCACCAGGTCCAACCCAAATGGACAAGAACGACGGTAACAACTCCGACCACCAGCCAGACCAAGTTGACAGAGACAAATTTCCAGTCCATTGTATTAAGTTGGTAGCTCGAGGGTATTGTCGAACTCAATGGGTATTAGACAGGGGCATGACAGCCCTAAGTGCAGCGGGTACTCGGGGTTGCGCTGGTCTCACACTTGGGGTCAACCCCAGCACTCAATGTCACTTGAAGCACAACTTATTATCCTCGCCTGAACGTATTCATCTAAGTACAGTAAAAATGTCAGTCGCCGAGTCTCAAGGGCCCGAGGTCCAGCCTTACTGGTGGACAACTAGTGGGCGCGACCTCGCCCGTATGCTGAAAGAGGCACAGTATCCCGAAGATGCACAGCGCCAATTCCTGCATTTCTTCAAAGAAACCATCTGTCCGCAGTTGGGTGGTCCTCCAGCAGAGGATTCTGTCCGAAGCGGCGTCGGCTGGGACGGCAACCCCTTCGAATACAGCTTCGAGCTTAAAAGCTCCAGCGACACCCAGGCGGTCCGGTTTGTCGTCGATCTCAGTTCCCTACGACCAGCCGACGAGACCAATCCGCTTGGCATCAAGAACTTTGAGGCGGTCCTGGGCGCACTCGTGGAGCGCACGCCTAGCTTTGACGACACCTGGTATCGATCACTGCGCGAATGGTTCGTACATGCACACCGGCCCACTATCGAGCAGAAAAAGCTGGTGGCGCAGGTGGGATACCAAATGCCCATGATCCTTGGATTCGACATTTCTCGACATTTACCGGTACCAGATGCCATCCCCGTCATGGCTAAGGTCTACTTCCCTCCGTGTTTCACTGCGGCTGCAGAGGGTATCACACGCTGGGAGGCTGTGCGTCGGGGCGTAATGCAACTCCCCGATATAAAGTCTCATCCTAACATCCTGCTCTCGCTCGATTTGATCCAGGAGTACCTGGACACCAAGCCCAAGGAGTACGAGAATGGGCCCCGCTATCTCGCAACCGACTTTGTGACGACCGAGAAGGCGCGCCTGAAGATCTACATGCGGCATCCAGCGGAGTCCTTTGACGATATCTGGGACTACTACACCCTGGGTGGCAGGATTCCAGGCCTGGATGAAGACAAGGACCGCTTTCGCGAGCTCATGGCATTCACCTCGTACAATCCTGATATCAGCAAAGCCCAAAATGACCAAACTCACTACACCGCGGTGCAGAGGAAGATGACGGCCATCTATTTCTCGCTTTCCACGGATAATCCCATCCCTGCGCCGAAGATCTGCTTCTATCCCGCCAATTTTGCGGCCAACGACGAGTCTATTGGACAGGGTGTGGATGAATGGCTGCAGAAGTACGGATGGAACCAAAGGAGTAAGTCGATGACAGATAGAGTGCAGGATGTTTTTACGCACCGGGGGCTGCACGAGAAGACAGGCATCTTCACCTTCTTAGGGCTTGGTCGCAAAGAGGACCCGGCAAAGAGGGACTTGAGCATGCAGATATATGTAACAGGGGAGTTGTATAGCACTCCACGTCCGTGACCCAAGTACGGACACCTAGTGTAGTAGTGGGTATATATATATCAAGTTAGTCCATCGCACGAAGAAGAAAGCTTGAACAATTATTTCAGAAGACATAGCAATATGGCATCTTCACCTGCACTGGAGATTCCCCCCTCATCTTTCACCGTTGACGTGCGAGTCATAGACACGTAGGTTTTTATAAAGTCCACCTTGGCTATAACTAACATCAAAAAGACAAACCGAGCTCTACCTGAACTCCAGTCTATTCTGGCAGCCTCCACTAGAGGGATTTGCCGGCCTTAACGCGCCTGTGTATTGCTTCCTAATTACCCACGGCGACACACAGGTCGTATTCGACCTGGGTGTCCGCTCAGACTGGGAGAACTACGCACCGCACATTGTCTCGCTCATCAAGGCCACCACCACCGTGACCCGTGGCAAGGATGTGGCCGCCATCCTGGATGCGGAGGCCGATGCCAGTGGCATAGTCAATGTCCGCAGCAGCGACATCCGTGCAGTTATTTGGTCGCACAACCACTTCGACCACATTGGCAACATGGCCACATTTCCCGCATCCACAGACCTGGTTGTTGGACCCGGGGTGCGCGCCGCCTCGATTCCTGGCTGGCCAGCGGATTCAGGGAGTGTAGTGTTAACTGGCGACACAGAGGGCAGGACGGTCAGGGAGATCTCCTTCGCTTCTGGGCTGAAGATCGGCCAGTTCGATGCAGTAGACTATTTCGGCGACGGGTCGTTTTACCTACTCGACGCGCCTGGCCACGCCGTTGGCCACTTGTGTGCTCTCGCGCGAACAACTCCAGACTCCTTTGTCCTGATGGGGGCTGATGCGTGCCATCATGCCAGCCTCTTGCGCCCGACCGAGTACCTACCTCTCCCTGCGTCTGTGCCGGTGGAAATACGTGGCTCTTGCCCGGGCGATGTGCTAGCTGGGCTTATTGCATCGAGGGATGTTAGCCCATGTAGCCCGCTATTTACAGTGGCGGGGGGCCTGTGTTTCGCAACCAGGGAGAGGCCATGGAGACCGTGCGGAAGATTCAGGAGCTTGATGCTCAGGATGGGGTCTTTGTTATTTTAGCACATGACCGCTCGCTCATGACGAGAATCCCGATGTTTCCGAACAAGGTCAATGGCTGGAGAGAGATGAGTCTGGGCTCGGGGACCCGATGGATGTTTTGTGAAGACTTGAAGCATGTCAAATTTTGATTCTTCTATTTTAAATGAACTACTAAACACGCGCGCGAAGAAATTCATATCCCTCCTGGATGACATCCTGTATATCTACACGCTCCTGATATTGGCGATAGATGTCGAATAGGTGTGGCGCATCCTCCACGATGCATAACTGGCTATCGATGCCCCGTCTCTGGAGCGCTTCATACGTACGTTGCGCTTGCTGCCATGGGATCAGGTCGTCGTCTCGTGGGTGGATGATGAATGTGGGAGTTGAGTGTGCACCGCTGCGGATTTGCGCCAACGGACTAACAGCCCTAATCGCTTCCTCGGTGGGGGCGTTTGGTTCCTCGCGCTGAGTAGGGTACAGCCCATTGAGAAGGACGTGGAGCGAGCGGCCGTGCCAGTTCATGTACAGTGCCAACCGACTACGCGGGTCAGTCGAAGACAACCAGCCCCCTATGGCTCGTTCGGCTGGGGCGACATTGTAGCTCGCGATCGGCTTTTCTCGCACGGCAGACCACGCAGTTTGATCCAGTTCATACGATGTGGTAGTACTTTCCGATCCAACTGGCACATTAGGGCGTAGCCAAAACTCGTCTTCGTAGTCAAGAGGGCAGTAGAAGGCCAGTATGGCCTGTGGAGGCTCGATATGTCGTGGTATACTATTCCATCCCAGTGATACGGCCAAATGGCCACCAGTTGACCAGCCAACGCTGACGACGCGGCGACCGTCGATTTTGACATCGGCGCGCTGTAACTGGATGGTAGGCAAGACTGTTCGAATCCAGGCCAATGCATCTACGACGTCCTCCATCGGGCCCTGGGCCAGCGTAACCTCTGGACAGAGTCGATAGTCCACGGCGATCGGCAGAAACCCCTTCTCCTGGAGTAGCTGTGTCTGCCTAGGGCGGATATCATTGCGGGACAGCATGATGTGGCCACCGCCGTGTATCATCAGGGCTGGTAGAAGTCGACCAGGTCAGCTGGCCTTCTTGAAAATACATTCCAGAGGAGTGGGCTTACCTACAGGGAGCGGCATGTTTAGATCTGCCACCCGAACAGGATAGTGTATATCTGCCTCCAGGTCCAAACCATCGATCTGTTTGAAGACCACCGTCTCCTTTCCCATAGTTTTTGACGGCGACGCCGTGATGACCCGTACAAGATCTGACTCCCCGGACGGGCTGTCGCTCCAATCAACCCAGGTAAATCCAGCGTCGCGCAGACACCTCTTCCAACGCGACTCATCGGCCAGAGCATGTTCCCTGCCATCATTGAATAACCACCAACCCTCGAGTAGGCCGAATACAAGATCAAACCAGAAGAGGTTTCGCGTGAGCTCCACCAGGCAAAGAACCCCGTCAGGCTGTAGCATCTGCCGAATGTGTGTCGTGGATTGTACCAGGTCGCGGGTGGCGTGGATACAATTCGTGGATAGCACTATATCGTAAGCCCCCAGCATTTCTGATGCAGGGGCTTTCTCAATGTCCAAGACAGCGAAGCGCATAAAGGGCTGCGTGAACTTTCGACGGGCCGCAGCCACGAGCGAAGATGAGATGTCAGTGAACGTATATGTGAAACTACCGAATGGAGCAAGAGCACTGACAAGGCCCTTGGTTGTGCCGCCAGTGCCAGCTCCAAGTTCCAGAATCCGGATTTCTTGGCCGTCCTCCAAGCGCGATACAACGGATGCAAGGTACTGGGCCAGCAGGAGAGTGCCCGTTTTGAACATGGGAGCGTTCGTGTACACGTCTTCAAGCAAGCCACGGGTGGATGCATCCCGGAAGATCAGGGAGATGGGGTCCGATGCACCAGACAGACAGTCAGCCAGTTGGCTCCCCGTTGTGCAAAGCAGTTTTGTTTCAGAGGCGTGCTTGGGGAATCTGTCAAGGAGGACGGCATGCAGACTGGCCGCTGGCTTTGTTGGGACAGGGGTCTCCGAGCGCTGCATTCGGCCATCTTTGGCCCGATCAATCAGCCTCGCGTCTTCCAGAATCCTGTACAATTGAGGAACGACCTTTCGTTGGCTCTCAATGTGCGGTATTATCGAAACATCACATCCCACTGCCATCGCCTCGAGATCACATCCCAAACTTGCAAAGGCGTCCAGGATGTATCGAACAACAAGCTGGGATTGATCAGGAAATACCTGTTGGTAGAACCCTGCAAAGCCCGTCGCGCCGGCGTGACTGTCGTAGTAGGGCTTCACCTCAGAGAAGCACTTCTGGCTCAGCACAGCAAGGTTGATGTCTAACTCGACTGGTGTAGCTTCATCCGGGGTTAATGTCGGAGGGGGCTTGGGGAGGTCGTTTGTCAGTATTACAGGTGACGGAAGGCTAGACGGCTGAATTAGCTGCGACAGCGAAAGGACATCGGCACATTGTTGGAATTGGGCCTGGGAGATGCGCATGTCGAACAACTTCTGGATTTCCCATAGAACTTCGCTAACTAGCAAGGAGTCAATCCCGAGGACTTGGATAGTGGACGACGGTTGTACATCATCCAATGGGATCTCTATGATGCTGGCCAATAGACCCCTGAGCTTTTGGAGGGTGGTGGTAGTGCTGGCTGTTTGGAAACGTTCCACGGTTGAAGTCTTCTTTTGGACGGCAGGGTGTACTGGCATCTGCTCTGCAAGAGAAGGAGACTGATATGCCGAGTCCGGCTGGGGTTTTATATCATCCTCACCATGGTCAATGCCATCCGACACAGGCTGATTTAGCCGTGTCAGGGCACGGGCCAGAGACTTGAGTGGGACACTGCGAAACGCGGCTCCCACAATGACGGCAACAAGAGACAATTGGGCATCATAAACGAAGATATTGTTGGTCAAACCCCCACCGTCAACTGCTTCGTAATGGGTGTAAGCCGTCCACTCGCGCCGGTCGGCCTTGGGACCGGGGAAGCACGGGCCTAATATGACTTCATCCACGGCAGTACACATGAAAACCTCATCATCCCGACGCAAAGAGAGGCAGTTGACATGAATTCCAGCCACTTGGAGAAAGTTATCCAAATCGATAGGATGGCAGATGGTCGCCTCATCGAGGAACGTCGGGAACTCCTGGGGGACATCGATGAATCCAACGGCCTCATTGCCCATGGCTGACACCGATTTCACTCCGCGGTAGTAGGGGGCGTAGTGAACAACATCCTGGAATAGCTGATATACAATACTGCCACCGACGGTTGTTCTGTCAGGACAATCGAGGATCCGAGTCAGACTCGAGGGTGGCGCGATCTTCTGAAGTAGTTTCAAACGCAATCCCGCAGCCATATCATTGGGACCAGACATCGTGACACGTCCCGTGCCGTGTTCCTTCTGATCCAAGGACTTGCTGAAGATCCTGAAGTCCCAGGAGCCGGGTCTTACAACCGTCAAGCGGAGGTATAGATCCGCCTCTAGGCCAAGGGGAGAGGATATGGTAAGACCTTCGATGTGAGGGGAGGACTGCGTAGTGTCCAGGCCCTTGGACAATAACACCGCGCTCTGAATAGCAAGTTCGATATACATGGAGGCAGGACAGAGACTCTGGCCAACGACAGCGTGGCCTCTGGTTGCAAGGTCAAAGATGGGATTCGAGGTGTCAACACTGAACAAGCATGTTCCGTCTGCACCTGCGGGATGTATGAGAGATACCAAGCTGGATTGCAATTGCGATGGCTGAGGAGAACATAGGGAAGGCTTGTAGTCAATCCAATGCCGGGTTTGCTCGAACTGGTAGGGTGGGAGGTTGATACACGGCAGCGAAGATTTATCCTCGTGGAACGGCCAGAACTCAGCTGCAGCACCAAACTTCCACAGCTGGCACACCACGCTCGCCAGGGCTTCCCTTGCGTCGCTAGTCCCCAACTCCATCGGTATAAAGACATGAGGCGCTCTGGATGGAGACAGAATGCGGCGAACCAAGCCAATGATGGGAGTTGCCGATCCGGCTTCCAGCCACACAGCCGAGGGCAAGCGCACGGCGATGCGCTCGACGGCATCTTGGAAGTAAACGGGCTGTCTCGTGTGCTGTACAAGCTCATCGGCCGTAAATGTGGTCCAGCTTGCGTCGGGGGAACAGGTCTCAACATGGATTCTGGGTGGTCGGATCGTGATTGACGCAGCAATCACCCTAAGATCGTTCAGAATGCCATCCGCCATATGGGAATGGTATGCATGTGTGTTCCGGAGCGGTACTGTTTTGAACGAGCTGCATTCCTGCTGCAGGTGATCTACAGAGGACGCGTCGCCCGCAAGCACAAAGCTTCGTGGGCCGTTATAGCAGGCCACCTCAACCCGATGCCCGGGACTTGAATTGACCTGTGTAAGGATCCTGTTCAGCTCAACCACATCGCACTCTATCATGAGCATAACTCCACGATCCGGGCCCCATTTGTCACGGATTAGCCTTGCTCGACCAGCAACTAGCTGGAACGCGTCCTTCAAGGAAATAGATTCCGCGACGCATAACGCAGCGAGTTGGCCAAAGCTATGACCAACCAGTGTGTCTACTTTGAGACCAGCGTCAAGCCAGGACAAGGCACAAGACACTTGTATCGCCAGGAGCATGCAGTGGAGCAGGACAATGTCATCAACTGGTTCGCCGACGAAGATGTTGTTTAGGATCCCGGGAAGCCCAAGGTACTGACAGACAGCTTCGCATTTATCCTGGAAAGGGTCTTGTCAGCTATAAAGCAAAATCAAAAGACAAGTGTTAAAATATACCAAGTGGTAGCGAAGGAGCGCGCAGCTGTCATACAGTTCTCGCGACACGGTGACCGTACGCCCTGTTTGCCCCCAAAAAGCCAGCACCACAGGCTGGTTTACAGCGCGCGTGATGCCCGAATCCTGATTTTCGATGTACCTTTTAAAGTCTGAAGTGTCTCGTGCAACGAATGATGCTCTGTACTCGAAATTGGGGTTCTGTTGTCGCAGTAGAGAATATGCAACGTCCCTCAGGGAAATACTAGGGGATTTCAAAACGAAATTCTTGAGCTTCTCCAGGTACATTTTTAGGCTCAAGGCAGAGTTGGCTGCGACGACGATGGGATAGGCCATCAACAAACCATCCACAGCTTGTTGCTGTTTGCCAGGGGCTGTATATGCCCTCAGGACAATGGCGGCGTTGCTACCAGCTGCGCCATAGTTGTTCACTAAAGCCACAATATGCGGCGAGGTCCAAGGCTGCGCCTGCTGTGGCACCTCGATCTGCTCCGAACGCTTGATCTTCGGGTTCAAGTTGACAAAGTTGGCCTGTCGGGGAATCGTTTTGTGATGCATCATGAGGATGGTTTTAATAAGCCCTGCAGCACCAGAGGCCGCCTCGGCGTGACCAATATTGTCCTTCACCGACCCTAGAAAGACATTACTCTTTCGACCGGCCCCCGTGAGGGCCAACCTGACGCTATCGTACTCGATCGGATCACCAACCTGCGTGCCTAGAAACGTTTCAGCTTATGTAAATTTTGCAAAGAGAATGTCACCGACCTGTGCCATGAGCTTCAACATAACTCACGTCCGTGGGGTCAATGCGACCCAAGGACAAAGCTTGACTATACAAGGCGCTCTGTTGGTGCGAGTCCGGAACGGTAATAGAGCTGCAGGAAGAGCCTTGATTGACTGCAGATCCAGAAATCACACTGAGGATATTGTCTCCGGCCGCGATAGCTTTGGACAGTGGCTTGAGCACGACGATTCCCGCTCCCTCCCCTCGACAATAGCCAGCAGCAGAAGCATCAAAGGCGCAGGATGATCCACTGGGATTGAGGAAGGAAGCGGCGGCGAGGTTCTGGTGTAAGCTTGGGCTTGTGATAACGTTCACTCCACCAGCGAGAGCCATGTCACATTCGCCAGCCAGGAGAGCCTTAGATATAGTCAGATCCGCTACAGTTTAAATACTTCATTTGAGCAGTCATACCTTGCATGCCGTGTGTATAGCCACAGCTGATGACGAACAAGCTGTGTCGAATGTAATCGAAGGGCCACCCCATCCGAAGAAATGGCTAATGCGCCCACTGATAAAAGCCCTTAAGGTTCCAGTGGCCGAAAAAGCAGTTGCGTCAGCAGAGCCCACGTTTCCCTCGTAATCGACCGACCCAACCCCAAGATAGCACCCCACATTCGTCTCCTGGCGCCTGCTCTTCGACCCAATACCATAGTACCCTGCCATTTCTACTGCTTCATAAGCGACCTGCAATGCTAGTCTTTGCTGTGGGTCCATTGACTTTGCCTCTCTACCGGAGATTCCAAAGAAGCGATGATCGAAGACGTCAGGATTAGACAAGAAGTTGCCCCAAAACGCAGGCAGCTTGGGCTTTCTCTGTAGATCTGCAGGATCAAAGCGACTGGGAGGCAGAGTTCCAATGGCCGTTTTTCCAGTACTGATAAGTCTCCAAAACTCCTCCAGTGACTCCGCTTGTGGGAAACGACAGGCCATCCCAACCACGGCGATTTCCTCAAGAAGGCCCGGGTTTGACTTGGCAACGGCGAGGGACCGTGGGATACAAGATTCGGAGCCGACAGCAATGAAGTGAGGATCTTGTGGACGATTATCATCAACCATTCGCTTGATGGTCTGGTACCAGTGCGCACGCTTGCAAAGAATGAGGTCGATGGCGACGTCGTGCAAGGGCCCCGTCACGATGAGCTCTGTATCTGAAGTTGAACGGAGTGGCAGATGCAGGTCATTGGCAATTGGCAATTGCAGGTCGGGAACTTGGGCACAGATTTCCTTCAGTTGCTGGGCAGCGTGAGTATGCTTGGGGTGGTGATAAGATCCATCGAGGCCGATTATTGTCATAGGGATACGATTCTCTCCTAGGCGATCCGTCAAGTGCCCCAGATGTCGACGTGGAAGAGTGACGGTAAGCGTGCGGTCGTCGGTAATGCATGAGATATATGCCTAGGTAGTATCAATCAGTAGTGTACTTAGGTGAGCTTCAATATACTGCGACATACTCCAGGAAGCAGATCTAGGGTGCTCTCAAGGACCGCCCGGTCTGAATGGGACTGACATCGCACAGAGACAGCAGTCACGCGGTCCGCCGAGGCATGAGAGGCATCTTCTGCATCTATGATAAGCCCGATACATGTCGCTATACGAATGGCATTCGCAGCGTAGTGCTCAAAGTCCTGCTGTGTAGTTGTTGCCGCAACTGCGGCGGACAGAAACCCAACGCAGAAGCCTTGGGCTACCATGTCCGAAGACGTGATAGACATCCATTCTACTATGTGTGACACCACCGTCAATGGCGCTAACTGGACGTTACTTGTCAAAGTCGTTAGGTCTGGGGTTTCATTGCCAGCTAACCCGGCTAGGGTTTCCAGCTGTGATAAGACATCATTCTGGGACAAAGGGAGACTGGCGATAAACGCTGGCAATTGGGCCAGACAACGGCGCAAGAATGCCAATCGGGAAATGTTCTGGAGATCCGATTGTAGCCGACATAGACGCTCGGTGGTCCATTGCAGTTGGGTCAGTTGGGGTCCAAAAAGAACGATGCGAGAGTTGGGAGGCATGGTGGAGGCAATCATCACACTGATAGCCAACACCAGCCAGTCGCATTTGTTTTCAACCAATGCCTGTAGCAAGCCAGAGTGAATGCGCAAACCCCGAGTAGAACAAAGAAATCATCCGGGGTTACCAAAAGTCCGCGGCGTTATGGCACCGTTAACTCCGGCGCGTGATGCTTAAAGCTCACTCACTTGTCGATGCATTCTCTTGCTCCTGACCATCAACTTCATCATGGCTACTACCAAGCTCACCTGGCTCATTACGGGCTGCTCCTCTGGCTTCGGCCTTTCCTTGACCCGCGCCGCCCAGGCTGGCGGACACAAGGTCATTGCGACATCGCGCAACCCATCGCGCACTCCCGACCTCGTCGCCGAGATCGAATCCAAGGGAGGGAAATGGGTCCAACTTGATGTGGACAGCCGTGACTGCGGCAACGTGATCACTGAGCTTGAAGGCAGTGGCGACCACATTGACGTCCTAGTCAACAACGCCGGCTATTCTATCTACGCCCCTATCGAGACCTTCGAAGAGGAGGAGGTACGAACCCAGATGGAGACTATGTACTTTGGTCCCTTGCGACTCATCCGGGCCGTTCTGCCCCACATGCGCCAGCGGAAATCCGGCATGATCGTCAACATGAGCAGCGGTGCTTCGCTTGACGGCATTCCCACTATGGGTGTTTACGCAGGTGCAAAGGCTGGAATGGATGGTATGTATCAGTACTAAAGAGCTTCTAGGCAATAAAAATAGCTAACTGTGAATCCGATAGCTCTTACCAAGATCCTCGCCAAAGAAGTTGCCCCATTCAACATCCGCACCCTGACTGTTATTCTCGGAACCTTCAACACCAACATGCCCAACTCGGTGGTTCTAGGCAAGACTCCCCTACCCGAGGACTACAAGGGAACCTTCACGGAGCAGGTTCAGGGTCTTCTAGTCAGTGGAAAAATCAAGCCTCAACGGCGACAAAGACAAAGCGATGCAGGCTGTGTACCAGGTCGTTACTGGCGAGGGAGTTGGTGAAGGCCATCAAACCGAGAAGCTTCTCCCTCTGGGGAGTGACATGACCCCCCGTCTCAAAGGAGTCCAGGATTATCTCGGCAATGCTTTGGAAGTGTTCGGCTCTGTGACCAACAACGTGGATGTCGACAAATAACGCAGATCCTTCCAGTCTTACAAAGGACGTTTGAAATCAGTTTTAAATTCGGGGTGAATACCTAGGTAGTGACAGGCGTTACATTATAATGGCCAGAGGGTAAGATTACCGTTAGTCAAGTGACCACCCGGGGATTTCTGCCCACACCCTCCGTGCCCACGTAGAATAATGTCATCAGCCATTGCTCTTATTCCATCAGTTCCATCTCAGTAGTTGCGTTCCAGTGCTAGAAAATCACCTCGAGAGATCAGACGCCAAGAAACCGGGCCTTCGTGGAAGAGATCCACCTGTCCCCTCCCTCAGGGCGTGGGCCGGTCGGCTTACTCCACAAGACCAACCACCTAGAGATTGCCTCGAAAGCCACCTCGCCCAAATAGTAATGATTTCTAAATACATCACACTAATTCTGCCTCGATAATACCCTGCACTGCCAGTAGAGACCTCCAGATCTTGACCACTTTGAATCCCTCCAGTCGCAGCAACTCCTCCCACTGCACCTCAGTCCGCTCCGTACCAGCCACCATAACCATCATGGTCAAATCGTACGCAGTGGTATGTGGATGCGCGAGCGCCCGGGGAGCAATATGATCGTGGATTAACAGCGTACTATATCCCGGTGTCATAGCATCTCTCTGCATAGCGAGGATCTTGCGAGCGGGCTCGTCAGACCAGTCATGGAGCACACCGTGCATGTAGTAAACCCGAGATCCCTTGATTATCTGCGGAGAGAAGAAGTCGTAGCCCATTTTATTCACTGGGTCTGGACATTTGGACAGCTTGACAACCTCGGGTCGGTCCTGCAAGTAGAGTCGGCTGGCGGATTCAGTGTGCGCCTCACGGAAGCGTTCCATGTCATGTCCAATGTTGCCGCCGATATCGACGACAAGAGGCGTATCTTCGCGTGAGGTCTCCAAGATTCGCTCGTGTGGGAAGATATCCAACCAGCCGGCCTGGTTGGCCATGACGCCCCCCATGACGTGGTTGAAGGATTCGCCCTCGCGAGGGTGGGCTTCGTAGTAGTTGAACATATCGCCTTTCCAGTTCTTGGTGTACTGAAACACGCCATCCGCTGGGTCAAGGGGAAGTTTATAGCCAGTTTTTGCCAAAAAGTCCGGCATCTTGAAGAAGCATGGCAGTGTAGCGTCGTACCTGTAGGAATTTTTAGAGTCACGCTGACTTGGTTGCTTGGTGCCACTTACAAGTGGTTAATCCATTCACCAAATACCGGCTGGAGGAGGGACTTGGTGAATGGGGTTGGCTCGAAAACGCCAATGGATGGCTCTTTGAGCATATGGTTTGAGGCTAGATGTCGTAAGAGACGATCTTTATCGAATTAGCTTCTAGTCATATACACCTGTATTGTGGCCTCATACCTAGAAGAGCGGTCTCGCACGGTACAAGCTTGGAAAGCTCATCTGCAGTTGCTGCATGATCTCCCACTTGATGCCAGTTTTCAAAGAGCTCAAGGTCTTTGCACACCTTCAGGGCAGCTCCCAGCGCCGGCTTGACACAGGTCAGCTGATGATTGTCAATGATAAGGATACACTCACCTGGCCCATACAAAGTCTGGCAGTGGTCTCCCATGGGGTCTCCAGCCGTGCTATCAGGGCATACGCGGCCAAGAGCGTTTTGATTCTCAGGTCTTCGTTCTCGAACGAGGAGGGGGTAACTCCGGAAAGAAAACTGGCAATATCACTGTTGTCGTTCATTTTGCTTACTCTGGCGATTCACGGAGAATAACATCTATTTCTTTATGCGCGCAATTGCGTGTTCACTTGGGGATTGCGACCCCGGTTGTACGCCCAGCCCCGAGTAAATATCAGCTGGGCTTTGTTTTTGGCACTCTGCACTTTTTTCCTCGTAAGAAAGTAAGGAAAGAAACAAAAGGCTTAATTCCTATGATGGCTCTTGAAATACTCACCTATCTCCTACTCTCTTCCATTCTCGGGATCGTGATCCACCGACTGTTTCTCCATCCCCTCCGCCATGTACCCGGTCCGTTCTTGGCCTCTTTCAGCTCGCTCTTCATATACGTAATCTGCTATCTGGGAGTTGAGGGTCGTGTACTTCGTTACTTCCACCGTCGCTTCCGCACTCCTGTCCTCCGTGTAGGGCCAAATAGCGTCTCCATCTCGGATAGCAGCGCACTCCGCGACATTTATATTGCCAATGGCGGTTTTCCCAAAGATGATCGGTACAAGAATTTCGACTTGGGCCCAATTGTCTCCATTTTCTCATCTCGAGATACTGAATATCGCGACCGGCGCGCCAAAGCTGTGGCTCCTCTCTTTGCTCCTGCCCGCGTGCGGTCGGCCTGTGCCCTAGATCAGCCCATTGGACAGTCCATCACTCAGTTTGTCGAGCGCCTAAGCATCTACCAGACAAAGAAGGTATCTTTTGATCTCGTCGATATTTGCGCTAGGCTCTCAATAGATGTCGTGACGGGGTACCTCCTCGGAGAGCCCTACGGGGGCTTCGCCGAGTCTGCGCACCTCTCTGCAGAGGCACAACAGGGGGTGAAGCTCAGCGCTAACCCATTCATCTTTGCCATTGTGGCTTTCTCGCGCTTCTCGCTTCTGCCGAATTTTCTTTTCCGGCAGGTCTACAGGCTCGCCATTCATCTGGCCTCGACCGACGAATCGATAACATCATTCCACAAACTGGATCAGTTCGCTGTAGGCGTCACTTCCCGTGCCGATATTAATTCGGCACAGATGTCGACATATCAGTCTCGTCTTCTAGAGGCGGGGATTTCTCCAGAGGAAACTGCTGCCCAGTGTAAGGCCGTGATTTTTGCGGGTGCTGACTCCACCGCCGTCATGCTGGCAACCATCCTCTTCCACCTCATTCACAACGAGAAGGCAAGGCACAAACTTTCAGCAGAGGTGGCACAATGTCGACAGGAAAACCCGTCAATAGATCCAGAGGCCATCTCTTATCTGCGTGCTGTCGTCAAAGAAGGACTTCGACTGGGCATGGCAAACCCAACCCGATTGACCAGGGTCATTCCTTCCTCCTCCATCCTCCGTGTCGGCGAGCACATCTTGCCTGCCGGCACCGTCGTAGGCTGTGCTGCGTATAACCTACATTATGACGAGGATGTGTTTCCGCAGCCCTTTGACTTCTGGCCAGAGCGGTGGTTGGAAGGCAGACAGCACGGAGGGCTTATGGAAAGGAACATGATGCCGTTTGGAGCGGGATCAAGGGCGTGTATTGGGAAGAACCTGGCAATGAGGCAGTTGTATGAGACTGTTCTAGCGGTGGTTTGTCCTGTAGAAGGGGGATGTTTGTTAGACGGGGCTAGGTTACGACACAGCAAGATTGACATGATTGAGTGGTTCAATGGGGAGATTCAGGGGCATTGTTTGGATGTGGACTGGGATTGATTGTAGATATAACTACACATAATCTATCATCCTATTCCTTTTTTCCAATCTATAGTTTGATTATATATACGCACATACGTTTATTCACCACTCGGCCTTGATCGTGTCCGCCATTTTCTCGGCCAGCATGTCTGTCCACATTAATACCAAGCACAGGAATAGGGGTGGGCGGGTTGATTACTTACAGACGACAGACTGAGGCTCTCCACCTAAAAGAAGTCAGTCAGTATGCGCAAACCTGGAGAGGGCAGAGAACTTACCAGCCGGCAGGAACGGCATCGCAGAGCTGTCGATCACACGCACTGGTCTTAACGTCAGAAATCAGTAACACAATACGAGGGATGAAGTGGACATACAGTTCTTCACTCCAATCACCCTTCCCTTACTGTCAACGACCGCTAATGGGTCACTCCTCTTCCCCATCTTACAAGTCGAAGTTGCATGTGACATAGGCGTCACCGTTTCTCGTAGGAACGCGATGATCTCCTCGTCACTTTCCACGCTGGATCCAGGCCAGACCTCGTCCCCGATTATGATGTTTTTCATGGCCGGGGACCGCCACAGCTGCCGCATCCGCTTGAAGATGGCAACCATAACTTCGAGATCGGCGTCCGTCGTCATCCAATTAGGGTTGATGATAGGTGGGTCGTGCATGCTGGCCGAGGAAATGGACACAGAGCCAGTCGATTGTGGCTTCATTATTATTCCCATCAGGCTGGCGTAGTTGTTTCCATCGTTTGGGGAAGGCGTGGTACCCAGGTCACCCAGGAATCTGGGGAGGGTGAGGTACTGGATGTCCGGCCAGTCCGATGGATAGGCCTCCAGGCCTGGGTGGGTAGACAGAAATCAGTGGAATGGTTAACCGAATGCGGGATGAATAGATACTCACTGTTCAATGTCCCATGAGAGAGCCCTGATCGTAAACCCGCGGGGATGTCTTCGAAACCGCCATACTCGCCCCCAGGGTTAGTAAGAGGCCCGGTGGCATTGGCATTGAACGCGATGATATCGGCCTCTGTAATGCGTAGTGTATCCCCCGTTGGAAGATTGACACGGTAGACAATATCCGCGAAAATCTGATCCTGCATGTTCTGACCCACACCTGGCCGGTCCGCCACGACGGGGATGCCGTACTTTTTGAGCAGCTTTCTTGGCCCAACACCAGAAACCTGGAGTATTTGTGGCGATTGAAATACCCCACCAGCAACAATGACCTCTTTTCTCGCGTGCAGGGTAAATGTTGCATTGTCCGAGCTCACCTGCACCCCAGTCGCCACGTTGCCGTGACTGAACAGGATCCGCTCCGCCAGCGTCTTCTGAAAGACGACTAGATTGCGCCGACCCAGTACCGGACGGAGGTATGCTGTGTCCGCAGAGGACCGCTTCCCGGTGGTCTGGTTAGTTGCGGACACGTGCCACGCTGATCCGTTGAGGGAACCGTCAATGTAGGCATTTTGTGCCGGCATGCCTGCGGCTTCAAGCATAACTGCCAGCCATGTTGTCCAGCTGTACGCGTAAGCGGGAAATGTCACGTCCAAAGTCCCACTGTGGCCAACCTCGGCGGGATCATAGGATGGAGTCGCGTTGGCAAAACGAGTCCCGGCTCGATACGGCGTGAATCGCACGGGCTTCTTGTAATACTGGGCGATGTTTTCGTAGGCGAAGGACTTGTCACCAACCTCGGCTGCCCATTTGGAAAAGGCCCCGCGGCTCGATTCACCCCAAGCCATGGCATTGAGGTTGGAGCTTCCTCCTAGCTGCTGAGTATTAGCACAGCCTTCTGATGGACGAGATACACTTACCACTTTTCCTCGTGGGTAGCGGACGACAAGATCATTGATTCCCTAGTAAGATGACGTGTAAGTAATCGGAAAACCGTTTAATACGGAAACCGTGTTAAGCACAGAAAGAGAGTCTTACAGCCTGTGGTGTGGTCACGAAGTTCCAATCAATTGCAGTCGGAATTGAATTGACGCTCTTGAGGAGATACTTGCCGTCATAGCCAGGCACGGCGCTAAGATTGCCCACCACATCCTCGACCCATGTACCAGCCTCAATGACTGCCACTGACACTTTTGGGTTCTCTGTAAGCCGATTTGCTAGAGTCAGGCCCCCGGGGCCACTGCCAACGATGACATAATCAAAGACGGACTGTTCCGGGTGTTGTCCAAGGGGGCTCGCCGAAACCGTCGTACTGCAGATATGCAATATGCCGGCTACCAGGGGCAGCAGAAGATGCATGAACATCGGGAACGGTTTTATAGATTGTCTGGGGAAGTTTTCGTGAAGTGAATATAGCAACTCTCTATGCCTTTGTGACTCTTACTTCTAGTCTGCCAGGACTTACTCCTGATTTTATACTATATCTCAACACAGCTTACGCTGTAGCGCCATACGCCTTTGACCCCAAGGCTATCGCGTAAAGAGCCCCCAAATTCCGTTCATACCCGGGTGCACTCATCTCTACTTGGGCCTGTTGTGATATCTCTGCGTACTCGGGGCTGTTGCCGTATCTCTGATTCGTCCTTGAACCTTCGTGCAACGCCACGGTTAGCCACCGGGCAACGATCCAGCTGCGCGGCGAAGTAAGTCTTATGTGAGGCTTCGGAAAACCAGATCTCTGGGTCCGGTGTGTACTGAAAGTGGTGATTTTGGGTAAGATCGACTGGTTCGATCTCTCCTGTAGGTACCGGCGTTTTAAATAGTAGCGTGGTAAGACTTAGCAATTTTAGCGTTCTATATACAGTTAGATCTCGCACATACGTGTTCCTCGTGATGAGGTTAAGGCATACACAATTAACAGACTGCCATTTCTAAGAGAAACTGAGGGTCCGAAGGGAAAAGTCATGGGACGGTAAATCTTGAGCGAAAGATCCTATCTAGGCTTAATCTGTACATTCAGAACCGCGCCCGTCTGTATTACAGTCCTGATAATACCTTCCAACTGCGAGCCATTGCAAACTATGTCAGCTGACACCTGATAAGTGCTCGAATCACTTGTTACAGTAGATTTTGAGAAACTAGTTCCTGTGCCCATCACGCTTTTATCCATTGATATTCCAGCCATAGGGTCCACGGGGTCACCATCTGCTGCCGTTAGCTCCGTGGGTTTTTATGTTAAGGCCAGACTCACAAGACTCTAGAAGCGGACTGTTTCCCATCTCTCCAGATATTGCTCCCAGGTCAAAGTGCGTCGCTAATCCTCCCCCTGGCACTGCAGTGATGGTAAGCGGAGCGGATGGAAGCTCCCCAGTTTGATTGAATATATCCATCCAATCCAACGGCGTTGCAGGAAGCATTGACGGATCGCTAGAGCTGGAGCCTGTTATAGGGGGAAGATCTGGAACGTCGTCGTAATTGTACTCATCTCCGCTCTCGTCGTTCTGCCCACTATCGCCCCGGTCTTCTTCATCGTCCACCTGGTCCATCAGATCCTGACTCGATTCTCCCGGCTCCTGTGCTGTCTGCTTCCCAGTGGCGTTCTTTTCATATCTCAAACGCAAGGTCGCGTATCGGTTTTTTAGGGATAGTGTTGTCCTTCGGGGGTCGTGGGTTGTCGCTATAACGGACCAGTTGGTGCTGTTTGTAAGGACTTCGTGTAGCAGCCGCTCATCCTAATCACCGGGCACGTTGTCAGTCATGTCCCATCTGCAGTGTCAGAGAGCTTGCCTCGCTGTCAGTCCAGTCACAGTGGTTGATATCCGGATCTAGCACTTGGCTCCAGTGGCTGGAGCATTGATCGGGTGTTCGTGACACCACCTCGCGTGCAACCCTACGCCAGTCTGTGCCGTGCTTGCTCACTGCCTCGGTAAGCAGCCTGTCCTCCTCCTCCGACCACAGTCCCTTGGCAGTACCACCACCCAAGGTATTCCACCAGCGCCGACGGCAATCTTTATTCGATCGGCCGGGAACCAGTTTGGCAAGCTCACGCCACATAATTGGTCGAGACTGCTCCGTCACTACAAGGTATTGTTAGCAACGGGTCTCAAGCCTGGCTTTATCAAGATCGGAGAAGCACCAGCTGTAACGGCCTTTTTCAACACAGCATCCTCCTCGGGTGTCCATCTACGTCGAGCTCTCGGCATAATGAATGGACCAACTTGGAAGGGACAAGAGTTGTAGAGGCGATAGGTTGGTAGAGTAGAGCACGAGCTGAGGTTGGGTTTAATTGTTCACTGGAAGATCAAAGGGCGAGATCTCTCTCCTGTATCCCTGTCCCATCTAGTCTGGGCGCATATTCAGATCCTAGAGAGCAAGGATACGACGAACTCGAGGCTGCATATTGCCATAACAAAAAAAGCTAGTCAACGCTTGTCTTCATAACCATACACATACAAAAAGTTTCAAGCGCAAAACAGCGGGCTAGAGGAATCTTGGTGGTCTTGGCTGATTGGTGGGTTGATTAGTTACATGCAGGTCAAAGTTTTCAGATACGAGCATAACCATATACCCCTGCGCGCTTAGTGCTTACCCCAATCTCGCCGATGTAACCAGAAACAGTATCAGGATGGGCTGTGTGCGAAGGGGCATAACAGCCGATGTCCCAATGCACTTTTTGACCTAGTTTATGCCTGAAAATGCCTTATTGGTGCCTTATTTTGAACAGGCAGAATTTAAAATACCTGAATTACAATGACATGTGTCTTATTAAGCAAAGTACCCAACCTTGGAAAGTGCCCAAGTCCAATAAAATGAAGCTATTCCCACCATACAAAATATCATGCACCCCCCGGACCTGGCGATGAATGCATTTTCTTCTCTCCTCCACTCTTCACCTTTACCACTACCTGCGTCACCGCTTCGCGTTTACCTTAAGGTAAACATGGGTGGTTTTTTGTTAGAGAAAATCGAGCATCTCGGCTTTGTGAGGCTCAATATCGATGTAGGCTGGCATTTCGTGCCTCACGACGATGGTTGGAGATAGGAATAGCTTCGGGGGGATGACGATGATGGAAATGATGAAAGTGATGAAAATTATGATGGGAATAGCTTCAGTTTCATTGAAACGCGATACTTTGAAACCTATAAGAATGGTACCCTCTTATTAGTCGAGCCAGAATAGAGCAAACATCCATGGATCCATCTATGGATGGATAGATAGCTTCATTTACAATACATTGTATAGAGCGGTCAAAAAAGCGGTCTAGAATTAAGCATCATTCAGGCATTAACTAGGCCAAAAAGTCCATTGGGACATTGGCCGTTATGCCCCTTGGCAGCTGTGGTTGAACCTCGCTTTCTTCAGCAATCTCGTATAGCCAGATATCAATTTGCTTATTTCGGTGACTGCAGATGCATTGCGCTTTTTCCCCGATAGGTGGAAGGTCGATTCTAGGTTTTGATGAGCCGTACCCCTCACCTCACCCGTAACAGAAGACAGAAGCACAGGCAACGCTAGCCGTAGCGTCACCGAGTACGAGGCCATTTGCTGACGTTGTTCTGGACTTTCCGAGGACTCTGAAGATAGGACAGAACCCCGCACCTGGGGGCCGGCTATATAAGCCTCTAGTGGATGTGGTATGCGACGCTGAAGGGTACTTCATATTATAGACGGTCACAGCGGAGCGACGCCCCACCGCAAGCTCGTAATTCTCCCCGCTCTCTTAATACATCCCTAGGTACTACAGTGCCAAGTCAAGCTTTGATCACGGCTGAGACTCAATAAGCTTTCTTGGAGGGAGGATGGCGTTCCCCTACAAACATTTATTGGTTATCGGCGCGACAGCTGGAATCGGCAAGGCCCTCGCGGCCCGCCTGGTGGAGTCGGGAGCTAAGGTCACCGTCGTGGGTCGGCGGCAGGACCTTCTGGATGAGTTCTTGCACACTGTCGGGGCTGCACGTGCGAAAGGCGAGCGGTTCGACATTGGAGAGCTGGCCCAGATTCCGGATTTTGCCGCAAGGTACGATGTCTTTCCCGAGGTCCTCACGCGGGGCTTTCTACATACTGACGGGTGATGGGTAACAAACAGGGTGATGAAGGAATCGCCGGATATTGATTCCATTGTGCTCAATGCGGGGGTGCAAAACTCGTACGATCTGGCGGATCTGGACAAGTTTAATCTGACGGCATTCCACGAGGAAGTGAAGATCAACTTTTCCAGCTTCGTCTCTCTGACCCATGCTTTTTTGCCCTATCTTAGGAAGAACCCGAACCCAACTAGTTTCATCTTGTAAGACGCCTACCAGGCCGCAATCTGCCCATGAAAAACGAGCTAATGGGTGTATTAGTACCGGCTCGAACTTGGCCATCGTGCCCGCCGCCACGCTTCCAGCGTACTCAGCATCAAAGGCCGCCCTAAACGCCTTTACTCTCTGTCTGCGGGAGCAGCTGCGGCACTCGAACACCAAAGTGATCGAGATTTCCCCTCCACCGGTCCAGAGTAAGGCAATCCTGGCCCCAGAACGTTGATGTATCAGTGCTGACCCTTGGCTATAGCGGAATTGCACGACTACATGGGCGAGGAAGCGGGTCGCAAGTTGGGGATGCCCCTGGACACATTCACGCAACAGGTTTATCAGGCGCTGGCCGAGGGCAGAGATCAGATTGTAATTGGTAGTATTGGGCCAGTAGACACATTTAACGGGATTGTAAACAACCGTCGCACTGCCTTCGAGAACCTCGCCAAGATGATGCGCGGTGGGAAGCCCTAGGCAGGCCGCAGATCTGCGGACGATCAAGAATGTTGCGTTCTTTGATAACCTACAGACCTTTACGTTTAACTTCGGTTCATGTACCCCCTCTTCGCCTTTTAGGGAAGCGTTCGAACGCTCCAGAAGGTTCTGTGGGAAGTGATGTGTGATATGAGTATGACCCCAACCCCATGTGGTCGATTGGGAAGGCCCAGATGGTCTCATGAATCCGATGAACTGGGCTCTGAGAAAGAAAGTTGCTATTACCATCATCGTGGCACTGCTCACCATTTTAAACGTACGAGACTGCTTCCCAAGCCCCCTTCGTTGGTAGTTCGGGAACTAAAACAAAGAGAAATCCTAGGCCACTGGGGTCATCAATTGTAGCACCAGCTGCCTCCCAGATCATGGAGATATTCCAGCAGCCGCATAATGAGGATTTGAGTGCCTTCGTGGTCTTGGTCTACCTTCTTGGGTATGCTTTTGGACCGATGATCCTCGCCCCTCTGTCTGAATTGTATGGACGCACCATCATCTACCATGTTTGCAATGTACTCTACTTCCTCATGACCATCGCGTGTGCCCTTGCCCCTAGCCTCCCGGCATTCATGTTGTGTCGTCTGCTGGCCGGCAAGGCTGGCAGTGCGCCATTATCCATCGGAGCAAGATCCCTTGCGGATATTATTCCCCTAAAGAACCGCGGGTTGGCGATGGGGGTGTGGGTGCTCGGTTCTGTCTTTGGACCGGTGATAGCGCCCGTAAGTGCGTATCTCCCCAAAATCGGTCCCCTGACGCTTGGAGCACACTGACAGAGACAGCGGGCGAATATTTGGTAGAGGCAAGAGGCTGGAGATGGACGTTTTGGGTGCTGGCTATATTGGTAAGTCCATCCTTTGGCCCAGTGGCTTGCATACCTAGGCATTTCCTAACGGGAAAAAAAGGCCGCCGCGTTTTCAATTCTTGCCATGGTTTGCCTACGCGAAAGTCATCCGTAGACTTTGCTTCGGAAAAAGACGAAAGCCCTGCAAAGGCAGACGGGGAATTGCAACCTCCGGTCTGCCCTCGAGGCTAAGCAACCTGCTTCCAGCCTCTTTATGTTCTCTGTTCTTCGTCCCACGAAGATGCTTTTTTTTATCGCCGATCGTGTCGCTGTTGGCCCTATATATTGCCGTGGTTCACGGATACTTGTACCTCCTCTTCACCACCTTCCCGGCTGTCTTCCTGGATATCTACCAATTCTCCTCTGGGGATGTAGGACTAACCTATCTGGGAATTGGAGTCGGCTCCATTGTCGGTATGGTCTTCCAGAGCCGGACTTCCGATCCGGTATTCCAATGGCTGAATGAAAGATATGGCTCCTCTAAGGCCGAGTATCGCCTGCCGCCTTTATTCCTGTCATGCTGGATGATCCCGGTGTCGTTCTTCTGGTACGGCTGGACGGCGAATAGAGACGTGCTTTGGATATCGCCTATTATTGCCACCTCCCTTATGGGATTCGGCACGGTCAACGCTTTTACAACCGTCTTCACCTACCTGGTGGATGCGTATACAGAGTACGCAGCCTCAGCCATCGCTGCAACGACCGTTCTTCGATCTGTAATTGGAGCCGTTCTTCCCATGGCGGGTGGTCCCATGTACAAACCCCTAGGGTTGGGCTGGGGAACTTCGGTCTTGGCGTTTATCACTCTGGCCATGTGCCCATTGCCGTTTCTCTTTTACAGGTTCGGCGAGCGGATTCGGAAAAATACCTTTGTTCCACTGTGAGAGAAGTGGCTCTATGAAATAGTGTAACTAATTAACATGCATTGGCAATTGGACATCACTGCCATTTTTCATTACCTATCCTGCTCGGTCTCCCAGATGGATTTCGTCCAATGGTGTCCGTTCTTAAAGTATGCAGTAAGGTGGAATGCGTGATGGCTTCGAGACGAACTGTTGTAAACAGTAGATTGGAGACGATTCTAGCAAGATTCATTCCTCAATTCTCTTGCATATTGGTCTACTCGTCATATGCAGCTTTCGCCTACACTCGTGTAGCATTCAATACAAGACTACAGTGGTGCCATAGAGAACTAACCCGACTAACCCTGGTAGGCATGTGAGATATGCTTCTCTATTTCCTTCGAATGCTCCCACTATAAACTTCCTCCAGATGTGGCGTACGAAAAGAATGTCCAAAACAAACCCAACAGCGGGGGACCTTCCAAGGTATATGCAGAGAAAAGAAAAAGAAATGTAATGCAATGCAAAAGACATTCCACGAATATTCAATAGATCAAATTAAAGCCGTTCCATGAGCTGCTTGCGCACTGTCCACATACGAGCTCGTTTGCCGTACATGTACATAGGAATCGACATGAGCATGAAGAAAAGCTGTATACCGCCGATAGACATGAACACTGTGCGTGAACCATCGGCATCGAGCCAGTCCACGATGAAAAGGGAGAAAATCAGGCCGTGGAGGATATCTGCAAGAGAAGAGTTGTTAGATCAGACAAAACGAACAAAAATAATAAAGGAGAGTTCAACACATACTCTTACTAAAGTTCAATGTCACCAGCGCCTCGCCAGCATACTGACGATAGCTGTCTACACAAAAGGTGATAGCGGTCGTGCTACCCAGGCAGCAACCAAACGAGATCAAACCAAAGAAAATAGTCGGGACAATCCAAGAATCACCGATCTCAGCACTCCACCCAAACGCCATCAGACCGATGACAGTAGACAAAGCGATGGGAATTGCCATGACGAGACGGAATTCAGGCTCGTAGATTCCGCCATTGCGTCTGGTCATAAACCGCGCGATAACGTCTGATACTTTGCCCGCCACTGCTGTTCCAAGGAGACCGCCAACAAACGGCGATATGTAGACCAGGCCTGTCTGCAGCGGTGTGAAATGGTAGTGGCCTTTGCTCTCGAAGATGTGTGCAACCGACTCCGAAAGCACGATCAGCCAGCCGACCGATAGTGAGTATACCACTGTTGACCACAGCACGGCTGGATAGGCAAAGAGGACAAATGGTCGCACGGCGACTCGGTACCAGCTGTCCTGCGCGATTCGCCCGTTCCAGACTCGAAGTAATTGGGAGTAGGGGATCTTCGGGCGTTCACGGAGTCGGTTTGTGTATTGTAGGGTTGCGGGCAGCGGTGTCCCGCTAGGCTCTAGTGACTCGCTCCTCGCGGGTGATAAGGCGGCAGATCGAGCTGTCTCCAGGTCATCTGGGCGTGAGCCAGGCACGAGAGCATGAGGTAGTGGTTGGAGGATGTCATTGTCTTCCTCGTTAGCCGGGGTCGGCGGATGAGTGGTGATTTGATCACCATTGGTAGCATTGCCAGCCTCGGAAGCGAAATCGGACTTTTCAGTCTCGACTGCCTGGTCTCCGTCTTCTGGATGGTCATCCGCGAATCCAACATGCGCATGCTTGGATTTTTTCGATACCAATGCTGGATCTAAATGGTCCTGTTCGGCGGACTCGTCCTTGGGTTGGACATATGGGTGCCGCCCGCGGAAGCCGTGAGAAACAAGGTCAGAGACACTTCGACCAGGGCCACGCGGGCGCTTCTGTTTGTGCACACGCGGACGGGGTGTGCGATCCCAAAATGTTTCAGGCACAAAGAAAAAGAGTAAGACTAGACACATGCCTACAACCATGGCGACAATCCAAAATACCCAGCGCCAGTTCAGGCCTTGCATGATGGCGGCACTCACTAGAGGGATCAGGTTCTTTCCGCCTAGTAGCAATAGTGTGTATATCCCCACTCGATATGCTCTTTCGTGCAAGAAGTAGATCTCTGCAATTGTAGCAGATGGAAGACACTCGACTGGGCTCACGGCAAATCCTTGGAAGATACGAGCAACCACGAGACTTGGGTAGTTCGGTGACGCCGCGCACCAAATTGCCGAGATCACGAATAGTGTGGCCCCCAAGAGGTAAACCGGTCGTTTGCCGTATAGAATGGCTGTGGGCGACATCACGACAGACCCCAGGCCCAGACCCAGCATGTAGAACCCGGTGGTGAAAGCCACCTGCTGTGTACTGACATTGTACGCAGCTGCAACCTCGTTAAACCCAGCTGCCAAAATGGGGGTCATGCCGCCTCCCATCAAACAATAGAAGCCGAGCGAGACCAATGCGGTGTCTCGTTGCCACACAGGCCAGTTCAGAGGGTCATTTACGGAGTCGTCTGGTTGGGGATCAAGCACAAATTGTCCGTCCGCTGTTTTCTTCTGCGTTGGAATCGCAGACCGGGTTCGAGAATTAGATCGTGATGGACGATAAGACGAGCTTATAGATGATGTCGATGTCCGATGTGGTTGATGTCTCATTCCCAAAGGTTCATTGCGATTTGATGATAAGAGAAGTACCGTTCCTAAACCATGCCAGTCACTTGTCAGTCCCCGTTCCACAATATCGCTTCTCTCCATGACGGGCACTCTCTACGCACCAGGAACTTCGTCTGTCTGTTTATCACTTAGGATTCCCAGTGTCGATTTGGCGCGATAAGTCTGATCCTCACTAGACTCTGGATCTTCTTTGGTCTTTCCTCCAAAGACTCGTCTCCAGCGCGAAGCAGCTGGCTGCTGCGGAACAGGGTCTATCCCCGTGTTTTCCTCCATTGTAGCGGAACGGTCTTCTGCTGGTGATGTCATGTTCTTTTCGAGAACTAGGAGCGGGGTGTTCGGCCTATGCCGTTTGCGAAAACAGTGTGCTAAGCATGCCATTATTAGCCAGAGTCTTTTGCATCTGCGTAAACAGAAAGGAAATGCAGAACCCTTTTAAGGTCACCAGGTCACAGCGGGGAACCACTCACAGCTATCTCAGATAGCGAACAGGGGATACTGGAATCCGGTAACAAGCCCAAAAATGCTGCAGGTAAAAACCAGCAAATATAGACGACGTGCTAGCAGTAACGATATAATTCCCACGAAAAATCAGGTGAAGTATGTGTTGCCGGGTCTTGCGAAAGCGATCAACGCTTCTGAATTAACGCAAGAGGCGGAAAATGAGCACCACTCAAAGGCATAGCTTAATGAAGCGGGAAAGACGAGAAGCGAAGTAGTGCAGAATTAGAGATCTGTAAGTGGCAGACGGGTGATATATAGTGTACTAGGGCCTTTCTGAGGTCCATGCGATAAGCTCTTGAGTACAACAATATCACGCGGTTAATGGCGGATACACAAAAAGCAGAGACATAAAGAAAAAGCTGAGGTGATCGACGATCCCATGTGGCAGTGGGGGGAGGCGGTGAAGATGTCTCGGGGTACTCGCCAAGTACGACTGTCGCACGATCGAGGTTAAACCAAGTAGCCTCGAGGTACTATCTTTCTGATTTTATCAAAATATGTTGTATGTTGCATCGGCACATGTACATACAACTTGCTGAATTGCCCAAGAACGTGACGCAGTCCGATAAGCAAACTGTTTTCGGGCAATGCAAAGCTCCCCACAATATGTCGTTACTAATGCACCACATGGGTCAGCAGTCCGCGTCGATAGGTGGATCGTTAAGCCACGCATATTACAACATTGAAGATAACATCAAGGAAAAGCAATACTACACTTACATTTATGGGATATATTAAACACACATCTAATACCTATTGACGATCTAGAGTGAAGGTTCATCGCACTCGAATCTTCCTACTTGCTGAATGCGCCCGGCCATTCCTGGGGTATGCCAAGCCACTCCAATCCGGCGCTTGTCGCGAGAGTTTCACTTCGCGTGATCTGCCCGTCCATAGACATGTCTTTCGAGGGATTCAAGTGTCGGTCACTCCTCAAATAATGTTTCAAATGCCCCAAAATTGTCTCAGCTGACCACCGGGAGGTATTGGCTGCCGTCATTGTGCAGATGTCTAATTGCGGGGGAAAGGAGCCCCAGCCTTGGTATTTTCATACCGTTGGATGTCAGTATCTCTCTTCATCAGTGCTTGAGCTAGCGTGTCGTCATAGATCAGACTATGGCTACTGATCTTCAACCTTATACATCATGTTTGGATGAGAAGGATCCAACAAGCCAGTTGCATCCACGCGTATCACTACTTCTGGTGACGCCACCTGATGTTAGTTCACGAATGATCGGCTGGGATCGACAGACTCATTTTGGGGACTCATTTTGGGATTCTCTAATTCTTGATTGCCATTTGTCTGGTGTTGTGGATTACACAACTTGCTAACCGAAGACAAGGCTTTGTATCACTTGATAGCATTGTCTGCCCTTTCCATTGTTGAAAAACGATCGATCAGGAGGAACCCGGGATATCCCCGGGAAGTACCTAAATACCCCGGGCTCAGAGCTTGAGCCGCAACTCCCCTGTCTTCTGGCATTTTCACTGGGATTTTACATAAATATAGCCAAGAGCGACAGCGTACTAGGCTTTGTTGTACCAACTTGGGGCGCTCGCCCGGAGGCGCAAATTGTTTCAATAACAGTCACCCATTCATGACTGCCAGCTTGTAAAACGCCCGTCCGACCGGTATAAAATGTGATAAATAATTGTCTGTCTAGAAATTACTTGACCAGCCATTTCCCAGTGTTTTTATACTTCTCATAGTTAAATACCAAAATTACACTAGATGAGTCATCGGCTTTATTCACGATTTATACACATTATTGGGGATTTTGGGTTGCCCATGGGTACCTGCCAAGTGGGCGGGTAGCTGCTTGAATCTTTGAACCCCGCGTGGTTTGCCACCCCTGGGTGCGCTGAATGAGACAGGAGAGGCCGGGAATTGGAAAGCTCGGAAGTCGTGTATATGCCAATAAGAGGTCACGTGGTACAGCACGTAGCCACGCGTAAAGGTAAACAAGGACCCCCGTCGAAAATGTCTTTAACAACACTTGAAATTCAAAATATCCACCGAGGTTGACGAGCTAAGACGCCTTCTTGCAGAAGAACAACGGCTTTGAAGGGAAGATAGGGAGAGGACGTCTAAGTTACTGGAATATTGATATTCCGGGTTCCTCAAGCGCTATTTCTGTCTTTGATCATCAGGAGAGAAACATTCAAGAGAGACACGTTCAGCCGATCGAAATAACACGGCAATCAGAGCAGGATCAGTGAGGTGAATACGACAGATGGTCCTCTCTGGTCTAGTGTTCTCTCAAGGAAGGCGACCAGGTGCAAGAATAAGGTGTCTGGAGTGTGGAGTGGGATACAGCCATCGGCTTTCATGGAAGTAACGTTTGAGATCACTAGTAGAAATAGATGATGAATGACCGAAGCGTTAAGGAAATGGGACAGTTAAACGCCTGTAAAACGGAAGGGCTTAACGATTATGGCGTGGCGAGAAATTTCACTTGTTCGAATGCATTATTTGGGTTTTATATAGATTATGTTTGGATATCACAAACAGCCATTGATATCGGTTATATACTTAAGTTGAAGCATCATATGTATTGTCGAATATATCTCTGGATTGCCTTTACTTGTTCTTATTAAATAAAGACCAGATCTCTCTTCCTATAAAAGGTTTACTGCCTCTCCAATCACAATTCCATCCCAAGGCCTGCTCTCATACACATCTTTAAAATCCTTCTTCAGCTACAATATAGAAACGCTACCTTTTCGATCAGTCCAAATTTTCTTTCATTCGCGCCTTAAGTGATCCGCGATTTCGTCCGTAGTGCATCTAGGTCAGTGAAGCTAGGCAAGTCTGCCCCAATAATATTACGATAGACAGTCGCAACCTTGCTAGCAGCGAGCTATTTTCCGTAAGGAGTAATATATCTAGACCCACTCTGTTTGGGTCACAGTGTAAATAGTCTACTATAAAACTCTTATACGACCGTGCTTCGAAGAACAAGATCGGTAATTTGAATTAGTTGCATTATAGATCTATAAAAAGAAGGTTGAGGCCTCAATGCGGCTCATGATTGTAATCGCGAGTATTGTGCTAATCAGGGACCGCCGATGTTTTCTAATCTTCATAATACCTACTGTGTCTGCTTATAAGGATACGCACAAAACGCGAGGTAATTCAACTGCACATGTTCAATGTCTTGTCTATCAATGATAGGTTTTACTTCCATCCTGTTCACTAGAAGGATCAGAAGCAATGTGATCAATGGCCTCATGACGTCGATAAAGAAGATATGACCATGATAAGCTTGCAGGGCCTATTCTCCAATCCAATGGAGCAGAGCCGCTGAATTTCTACTGGAGATTCGACGAGTGAGCTTCATTGAAAATATGGATTCAATGTACCTTGTGTCCACCTTGCCACTGGATGAAATTTGATCTTCGATATACCTAGTACCTTGGATATGAGATATTCTTCAATCATGTAGAGGCATTGATCATCTTAACGCTTCTGTAATATATAGTCGAATATTTCCCATTGCTCGTCATAAGCATTTTATACCCAGGTATAATACAAATAGCTACCCCAAAGTGGTACGTTTGAATAGAGAAAAGTAATGACTCAGGGTTACTGAGCCGTGATAAATAGAATGGCAGCGGAGTCAAGTCACGCTGTTTATTAATCAATGCGGAGTTTGCTCCTCTCTTTGAAATTATGTCCAATATCTCTATACAAAAATCATTAAGCAAGATCGAAAATACCGAGGAACGTTGACCCGGCGCATGGCGAATGGGTCCATACAGCATTGCTATTAGTCGCAGTGGAGACATCTAGTGTCACCCCACACCTTGGAGGGTCATCATCGTGTCAATATACTTAATTAGTACTGACACATTTCGATGAATGGATCTGGCCGCGGCCGCCGATAATAGAGACAGTATGCTTCGGCCTAGAAGAGAAAGTGGAAGATAAGGTTGCGAGAGTCAGCAATGAATCACTACCTTCCCACCTAGGTAGATATATTTGGGCGCATACAATGTTATGTCATTCAAATCCATTCACCATTTGAAAAGAGATTGCATTTGAGATGAACTCAAGCCAAACTTCCTAGCGGCGAGGGCCCAAGCACCGGCCCTACAAGGTTTAACCGGGCCGACGACAAACGAAGAGATAGGAACATTTAAAAATTGCCATAAGCAAAGCCACATGATAAACGAAAAATTTCTCTTCCAATTGCCCAATTGCCTCCAATGCTTATCGAGTCCCTAGGCGCTTCTCCCCGCAAAGAAGCCGAGAGTGGTTCTCCGAGCCGGTTGGCAACCGGGCCCCACAGTCATCGCGCAGACCTTCTCAATTAGGAAATCCAGATAGAACATCTATCTTATCATGCAGTCAGGGTGGTTACTCTGGGGTTATGACAAAAAGTATGGGGTGCGTTCCTTTATAAGTTCCCTTGCTGCCCCGGGGCCTTGGTGACCATCGTGAGGCTTACTGTTTTTGGCACTCGCAGTCATGTCGGTTGAAGACGAAAATCAGAAAGTGTTCCTGGGTACACCGAGTGAAGATGTTCGATTGGAGAATTTGGGATATGAGCAGGGTATGTCTATTGTGATAGAGTTTGTGTTGTAAGTGTGCTAACTGATGCAGAACTCAAACGCTCTTTCGGGTTGATGGGGATGATTGGATTTAGTTTCAGTGTTGTGACATCGTGAGTTCATCACCCAACATCTAGATGAAGTTGCACTAATCGCTTTCTAGATGGACTGCACTGAGTGGTGTTTTCATCGTCGGAGTGACTTCCGGCGGTCCTCCCGTTATGGTCTTCAGTTTCATCGGCGTTAGTCTATTGACTCTAGCCGTCGCAATTCCCATGGCAGAAATGTGCTCTATGTATCCGGTAGCAGGTGGTCAATATTCTTGGGTGGCGGCGCTCGCTCCACCGAAAATCGCTCGAGGTCTTTCATACGTGACAGGATGGTTCATGCTAATCGGTAAGCGTCCAAGCATCCACACTACAACACATTTACTAATGTGGAAAAGGTCTTCTTGCTATGGGTGCTACGAACAACTCCATTGCGTCCAACTTCGTCTTGGGCATGGCAAACCTCGTCTTCCCCCAATTCGAGATTCAAAGATGGCAAACAGTGCTGGTTGCCTACCTTGTCGCCTTCCTCTCCGCCGCCGTCAACCTCTGGGGTTCCCATTTCTTGCATCGGATCTCCAAAGCAATTCTGATCTGGAACGTCGCCTCCTTCGTCATCGTCACCGCCACAATTCTCGCCATGAACGACCACAAGCAACCCGCCTCTTTCGTGTTCCAGGATTTCCAAAACGGGACTGGGTTTAGCACTGGAATGGCTGCAATTATCGGCGTTCTCCAAGCTTGCTTTGGCATGTGTTGCTACGACGCTCCGTCGCACATGACTGAAGAGATGAAGTCTGCTTCTAAAGAGGCACCTAAGGCTATCATCCTCGCTGTTATTCTAGGCGCTGTGACAGGATTTGCTTTCCTCGTTACCCTTTGCTTCTGTATTGGCGATATTGAAGCAACTGCCAATACGAGCACCGGTGTTCCTGTGATTCAAATTATCTATGATTCCACTGGAAGTAAGGTAGCCACTTGCATCCTGTCGAGTTTGATCTCGGTAATTGTGATTGTTGCTGGAAACAATATTCTTGCTGAAGGATCGCGATCCGTCTACGCCTTTGCCAGAGATAATGGTTTGCCTTTCTCCAAGTTCTTCAGCAAGGTCGAAAGCAAGACCCACGTGCCCGTCAACGCCGTGCTCCTCACTCTCGTTGTACAATTGGCTCTCGATGCTATCGAATTCGGTACCACCACTGGCTTCCAGACAGTTATTGCCATTTCAACCGAAGGCTTTTGTAAGTTTGATGCCCTATATATGATGGTGCCCTTACTAACAAAATTTCACAGACTTATCATACGCAATGGCTCTTTTCAGCCGCCTAGCTGGCTACTATACCGGCCACGTAACGAAGCTCGACGGACCATACTCATTCTCAGTGCCGGTATCCATCGCGCTTAACATCATCGGACTCATATTCCTTCTCTTCGCGGCTATCACATTCAACTTCCCCAGCGAAAACCCGGTTACTCACCAATCAATGAACTACACCAGTGCTGCTATTGGTGTTGTTGCGATTATTAGCGGTATTACTTGGATGACAACAGGTCGCAACCACTTCTCAGGACCTGGTGCGGTGAGCTTCTTGAGTGGTCAGAATACAGCGACACAAAATGTAGCCGCAGCGGATGCGCAACGTGTGGATGAGAAGAAAACTTGATTTATTGTGTTGAGGAACAATATTGAATACCTAGGTACCATACCTAGGTATGTATTTATATTTTGAATTGCTTTGCTAGAAGGTAGTTTCTTGCGGTACGGGAATGTTGTTGTTGCAACAGAACCTATATAATCGACCGAATGTTTATTGTAGAGAAAAATACAAAATGAAATAAGAAATCACGCTAATCTAACTTTAAAACAATAGAAATGAACACGCAATGAGATGCAAAATTCCGAAATAAAAGGCAATAATACCACGCTGTAGATATGCCCAACGCTAGTCTCAAGAATTGCCCGCAGATCATAGCCGCCGGGCGCAGATGCACATTGAGGTGCTAACAACATATTCAGCGAGCTCAGTGTGTCCCGTCTATTGCCGCTTATGCACGCGGTCGTATTCCGTCGGCGCAAAGACAGAGACAGTGTCCAAGAAGCGGTTCCTCCCGCTGCGGAAGTACTGGGAGCCGATGTTTGAGTACATTGCGCAGACCCCGGCAGTGACGGACGTTGTGGTATCCGGCGGGGATTCATTCTTTTTGGAGCCTGCGCAGCTGCGTGTGATCGGACACGAACTTCTCGGGATCGAGCATGTGCGTCGCATCCGGTTCGTTAGTAAAGGGCTGTCGGTGTGTCCATCGCGGATCTTGGATCTCAGTGACAAATGGACGGAGGCACTGATCGAGATCAGCGAGCTGGGGAGAAAACGAGGGAAGAGCGTGGCGCTGCATACGCATTTCAACCATCCACAGGAGATCTCGTGGATCACGGAACTGGCGGCGCAGAGATTGTTTGAGAATGCGGTCACGGTGAGAAATCAGACGGTGTTGCTCAATGGAGTGAACAATGCTGTGGACACGATGAAAGCGTTGATTCGTCGATTAGCTGACAATAATATTCAACCAGTATGGTTATGCGCTTTATTCCAAGCTTGTTGGACTTCGTGCTGACTGGATACTACTAGTACTATGTATATCAGGGCGATATGGTCCAGGGCGTCGAGGACCTGCGTACGCCACTGCGCGATATCCTCCATATTGAATCCCATGTTCGGGCTACGATTGCTGGGTTCATGACATCCTCATTTGTGGTAGACCTTCCAGGGGGCGGAGGGAAACGTTTGGCCGCGACATTTGAAAGCTACGACCAAAACACCGGAGTATCGACATTTGTAGCGCCAGGGGTCAAGGGTAGCACAATCCATGAATATCATGATCCATTATGGTCGCTGCCAGGCTAGGCTATCCTGGGATTATGTCAAATTGTTACTTATATTATATAAAAACGCCCATCTTGCATATGCTCAAGTCGTACGCGGCCCGAAGCGGACGCTACAATCCCTTATCCAGTTCCCACGGCAGACCAGAAATAACGAATAGAAAGTTTCACGCAAAAAGCGCAAACAAAGCAACATCTGAACTGGCAAGGTATCAACTTCTCCCTTCTACAGCTCACAGTTGCTTTACTGTAGAGATTTTGGTGCTTCCCAGGGTTCCATCTGGGGTCAAGGTGATAGGCATAGCTCGACATATAGTCTAGAATCCATTTGTCACCTCAGGTGACCAACATGATACCAGCATCATACCCTAAAACGCGTCCGCGTGTACCATACCTTTCATTTCTAAGGCATAGTATCTCCGCTCCCTCTATTCAGATTGCTTAGAAGAGTATTAGAGGTCATCGGCGTGATATGATACATGGATCCGGTGGTAGAGCGTCGGTTTAGGTCGACCCACTTACGTCATAGTAAGTCCGAAGACACATCCGCCTTAGGTCAATTGCATAGACCTTAAGGACTCCTACGGGAGTGCTAGACAGAGCTAGGGAAAGGGATTTAATTCTAGTCCTTTATAGACCTCACCACAGGCCGCAAACGGGATATCGAGGAAATTCTTCAAGTCACATGGTTAAACTGTGAACATTGTCCATGGCATCACCATGGACGGGGAAACGGGTACCATATGTAGGGCTTGGCCCACGATACGCAAGTACGGGCCGCTAAAAACGGGCCAGCCTGCGGGCCGGGCTTAGGAGCCCGTGGGCTTTTTCAAGGTCTAGGCCAGCCAACCCCGATGCATGAGTGGTGCGTATCCGGGTAACAGAACGATACAATCAATACAGGTGGTCCAACAACGAACATGAAACCATGAAGCAATGTGACCGAAGGCCAGTGAACTGAAATTCACAAGGAACTACATCGAACTCCTCTTCGCATTTAGGTGATTTCGTTGGTAAACTCATCGCAATGGTTCAGACTCTCCAATTTGCAAGGCTCCAATTTAAGGTCGATGATTACAACACTATGGATTCCGCGAGCCGAGGCCTTGCGAAGATTGCAAACGACATTGCCGGTAAAGTGAAAAACATTAGAAAAGAAAAAGTAAGAAAAACTGTCGCAGAAGGGAAAAAGCTGTTATTCCAATCAGAATGCCACAATTCCCCACCCTGGCTTCGACAACAGTAGAGTCGTAACGTGGTGTCATACATTATATCACGGACAAGTAAATAACCACCGGAAATGGTCAAGATTATCATGCATTCTTAGACACGAGTACGGTCTATATCAATGTCCTATAGCTTAAGTGAAATATTATACTATTAGTGGTCTGACCAGGTCTAATACATTCCTGGGTTCGGGCTGCAACAGAAAGCCATAGTCTATAGCATCATGTTGACGTGACTAATCCAAAGAACTTTGCTAAATAGAATCGGGCTAGAACCTCAGTCTACAGACTATTTATATGCGTGTTGAATATTGGAAACATCTGAAGGGTTTTGTTCGAATCAAGTCACTGCAGGCAGAATTTACAACAATTGTAGTGAACAGCAACTTGTCAAAAGCGCGTATCCAGAATGGTGGAACGTCTTATACAGAGCAATTATAAATTCGCACGGGATAGCCCCGGGAATTTTGAGCTTGTATACCACCTCCAAAACGGTCAACTTTTGCACCGATATCGTGACAACTCGGCTCCAGGCACCCCATGGTCTCCACCTACTGCAACAATCACCTCCAATGCCATTTCAGCAGGTTCAATTATCCAGAGCAAACCGGGAACTCCTGGAAGCAATGGTGGTCTTGAAGTGATTGTTGTTGAAAAGAATCCAAGCAACCCTGATCGAGGCAATCTTGTTCGCTATTATCGCGCCACTGTGGATTCTTCATGGGCTGGCCCAGAATTAATCACACAAAACGCAACAGGCCCTGGGTCCATTGTCCAAAGCACGTATGGAAACCCAGAAGCGGGGAATTTTGAGGTGGTTGTACAAGAAGGCAAAGATAATCTCGTTCACTATTTTCGCAACAACAGTTCGACTGAACAGCCGTGGAGTGGACCAACTGCAACGATCACCTCTAATGCAAACGGATCAGCCTCCATCATTCAGAGTAAACCTGATACCCCTGGAAGCAATGGCGGCCTTGAGGTGGTTGTCCTTGAGGGTAATGGCAACCTTAATCGCTACTATCGTCCATCGCCAACTGACTTTTGGCATGGGCCTGAGAATATTGTTTCGGATGCAGAGGGTCCGGGCTCCCTTATCCAGAGTACCTACGAGACACCCCCCGGCAACTTTGAGGTGATTTTCCCTCGTGGAAGCAGTCTTATCCACTACTATCGTGATAATATCAGAGAACCAACCCTTCCTTGGAAGCCTAGCAATCCGCCATTTGCTCCTGGTACAACAGCACCCGGCTCACTTATCCAGAGTACATATCAAGTACCTAACAACCCGAGTAATTTTGAGGCAGTAGTCATTGAGGTTAAAGATCTCAACCACTATACGCGCAACAATGGAGTTGCTGCTCAAACGTGGACTAAAGATGAGACGATTACAACAGTTTAGCTGATTCTCCTGCCTTTTGCTATGTAAAAGTTGACCATTGGAGAATTGAAATGTGTTCGAACGGTATGTGCGGAGGTTGAAAGCTTTCTGTCCTTGTATGGAGTTTTTCCCTCTGGGTTTTTAGCTCGGCCGACAGTTAGCGGACTCTCATTATTATTGACCATGTATATCTTGCAAATTTATGGCTCAGTTAAAACTGATCCTATTCTAAGTATATGCGCAAACTGAAGTATTCTAGGCACTTAGCCTGGATGTGATCTAGGACAATTGATTGATCTAAGTAATATGAGTGTATTGATTTTATACCTATATCTAGGATTTTTACTTGAATATGTTGAATAAGTGCTATTTTACGCAGCCATATGTTCATCAAGCAAACAGCTGACAATCTTGTCCAAAGGAGGTGAGAATGTGGTGTTTTTTTTTTGTGTTTTGTTGATGAGCTCAGCTTTCATAACATTACGAGTTGATATTCTACAACTCAATTTAGCTTGTGTAACCATAGGGTTGCAAGCCGAGGCCAAAGGAGCAGGATCATCTCCAATCACTATGGGATTAGCCTCCGTGCCTGGCTCAGGAGAATCGATGAGTATCATCTAATGGAGTTGTTTCGAGACTGTGGTGGATCTAATAGCCGGATTACAACAAAGGTGGTCATATGCACAGGAAGAGAGATCTTACAAGGTAGTGGCAGGATAGGTAATCCTAGCCATATCGATGAAGCTAATGTGACGGACAGAATGATGAAAGAGGTATTTCCGAGCCTTCAGCCTGGATGCAAAGACTACGAGTGTAGGAGAAGATCTATGTCTCGTCTTCGAATGCTCGGACCACGGCTTCAAATATTTGCAGACAGGTTCGACAACAGCAGTCTCGCGTTCATGCAACCTTCCAAAGTTTCTGGAGATTCAGAAAAGCCAATATTCGACTATATGTGAGTGCAAATTATAATTTAGGTCCCGGAAAATAATGTTGATAATGAATTTTAGGATCCTCGCACTAAGTGATGTCGAGTTTAAGCTATTCCTCGACATACTTGAGGAGTCGTAGGGCGGCCTGCTTCATCGATTTAGCACCGCTGCTGAGAAAGTTGTTCGTCATTTAATTTATGAGAACATGGAACATCCTGAGCCTTTTGATTTAGAAATTGTGGATTATAAAGAAATAATGGAGCATCCTAAGGGCTCGCCGGGCCTTCTAAGGAAGCATTTGGTACGTGGTTATATATTCCATAATTTAGGGCTTCAGAAGATAAATAGATACATGTAAGTACCTGCTCCGTCGACGAAATTACACTTATTTTTCTACCTGATACTTGTTAGTTTCTAATAATAGCTCACTGCAGTCCCTTTTTGTTCACAAATGTCCTCTACATCCAAATAAAAACAAAGGAAAAAAGCACACTGTGTAGGAACATACTGGTATGGCGTGCATAACATACTGAATAGCAGATCACTTAGAGTACAGTTCTCCATTCCGATCATGCACATCTATGTTAACTGCTTGCCAATTGCGTCCAGGGGTGAATCAGATCCAGCCGATTTCCATTACAGGGGCCGTTCGCGGACCGTTCGCGGGCGGTCACGTGGAAACCCCCTTTGGCAATTCAAGATGAAGGCGAAGGCGAATGCTCTTTCTTCCTGAATTCTTCTGTCATTTGCTTATACTTTATCTTAATATTTCTACTTCTTTCTTACTACTTCACATTCATTCCGGGATCTCCGCCCTTGAAAAATTGTCTGGTGTCGATCATCTCCTCTCACGCGACTTAGTGTCGTGGCATCACTCGAAGAATTTCTCCCACCTTGGATATCGGTTTATCCTCTTTTTCTCCTTGTGGTTGTGAAATATCATCAACTATAAATTCAAAGCGTCAATTTCAACCCTAATTCGCTCTTTCTGCGGGAGATACCGCCGTCCATCATGAAGATCAACCAGTCGTCCTTCCTTCTCTTCCTTCTTCCCGCCATTTCGGCCGTGCTCGCCGACACAACATACAATGACAACATAGACTCTCGAGTCTCGCGTGAGACTGCTGGCGACAACGCCCGTCTCGTCGACTCGGATATAGTCGCATCCAATGTCGCCAAAGGGGCGCCGGACGTCCCCGTGGACGGCAAGGATGGCAGACCGCACGCTGGTCCGTGGGTGGAAACCAACGCAGACCGGGACCGCAAAGGTGTCAAGGGAAGCGATTATATTGATCCGGTTTCTACCAAATTTGACACCAAGATCCCCTCTTCGGAACACCTGAGCACCGAAGAAGGGAAAATGATCCCGCATTCCAACGGCGGCGTTATGGATGATCCGCATCGGGCGGGTCCAAAAGAGGGGACACGGGGAACAGAGGGTGGTGTGTCTGAAAAAGGAAAGGAGAGCCAATTGGCCTCGGAGAAAGTCCCCGGACAGCCAAAGGAAGCGCCTCCGCTGCCGCATAGTGAGACCAAGAAACTGGGCTCTGACAGCGACGAGACAACAACCGGGAGTGGAAGCCGGTCTGCGGAGGGCCAGGGAGGCCTTGGTATTCTCGGGGTAAGTCTTCCTATATATCGCCCGAGTCCGAGGTCCTTCGTTGAACAAGTGGAATTAATGTGCATCTAGAAACCCGCCGATCTCCCTGAAAAGCCTCACGATATTCCATACCCCAAGCCCCCGGCAGTGGTCAAGGATGATCCTCTGGGCCTTGGGCACGACTCAGTCGCCTCGGGGTCGTCTTCGAGTTCATCCTCGTCCTCGTGGAGCCACGACCACGACCATGACTCTGGTATCCACGATGCCGGCAGCTCACTACACTCCCTTGTATTCTCCTTCACCATGATTCTCGTCTCTGAAATCGGCGACAAGACTTTCCTTGTGGCTGCGCTGATGGCCATGAGACATGACCGCTTGGTGGTGTTCAGCGCCGCATTCAGCGCCTTGATTTTGATGACTGTTCTTTCAGCCGTCCTGGGCCATGCAGTTCCTACTCTTATCCCTAAAACATTCACTAAATTTATGGCTGCCATTCTGTTCTTGATTTTTGGTGTGAAGATGCTCAAGGAAGGTCGTGAAATGTCTCCAGATGAGGGTGTGGGTGAAGAAATGCGAGAGGTCGAGGCGGAGCTCGAAGAGAAGGAGCACGAGCAGATGCGCATGAACCGCCGTCGCTCATCGGTTACTCCTCACAACCTCGAAGCAGGTCGCGCTGGAGGCCGTCCCAAAACCCGCGGCTCCGGAAACCGCTTGCCTTCGCCTCCGGAGAGCTTGTCCTCGTCCTCGTCCCGTGGCTCTTCCCCTCAACCCCGGCAACGGTTGAACGATCTCTTCTCCGGATTGAGCAACCTCTTTTCCCTGCTTCTCAGCCCCGCGTGGGTTCAGACCTTTGTCATGACCTTCCTCGGCGAATGGGGCGACCGCAGCCAAATTGCCACTATCGCCATGGCAGCTGGTCAGGACTACTGGTGGGTAACCATCGGAGCCAGCGCTGGTCACGGAATCTGCACCGCAGCCGCCGTGATCGGTGGACGGGCCATCGCTGGCCGGGTCAGCATGCGTGTTGGTATGTATCCTCTGCTTGCTTTCCTATCTATGACACATGCTAATCTTGACTTTCATAGTGACTCTGGGCGGCGCTGTGGCATTCCTTGTGTTTGGCGTTATCTACTTCATTGAAGCCATCTTTTAAGCGCTGCATATCCGCGGTTGTATGTGTCCACGGGAACTTATCGTTACAGTTTTTGGCGGTTGATTTGTTGTAAAAGTCGAATGAATGCATCTTGTGACATACCTAGGGTTGCTTTAATAATATAATTACGTGTCTGGTCCACGCAATGGCCAGGTTCACAATGTTACCTTTTTTTTCTCCAATAATAATATCTCACAGGAACAAAACTCACTGATCGACATCGGCACTCCGTACTGAGTACATATGTAGGTAGATAGTAACAATTCATCAAGTGCAAATCCCTTTACATGGCTCTGGATACCTTTGTTTTTCTGTTTATCCATCAACATCACGTCGTCTAAGAATTCGTGCCAATTTTGTTCCAAGTGGTAACTGCTTTAGTTCAAACCCGAGTCAACATGGCTTTTTGATCATGTGATCTTGCAAACGCTGGGTGGCATGAAGTTCAGGGTTAAAGGGAAGGGGGTTTCCGAAAGGGTTTAGTTTTTAGGGTCTGGAGTTTAGGGTCTGATGCCTTAGGGATTATCAGGCACAAAACCTACCTAAGGCGGCTTAGCGGATCCCGGTTTATTAGTTTTCCGTTTTTCCGAGAAGCGCAGCCCCGAAAACCCTGACACCTGGCTTCTCCGTCCCTTGAATCCTCCAACTTCCATCAAATTCGCACCCATCTCATCAAGTGGCCATCAGAAACCTTTTGGTTTCATCTGGCTTTCTTCGGATATATCAAAATTTCTTCAAAACGCGAAAGCGAACTCACAACAACAACGCGTGTAGAGGCTTGATGCACGTGTCCTGCCCTACATCGCCCACCGCCTTCCATGGCACGCATCACGGGATCCCGCATGACGCGAAGTCGGAGCCGAGAAGTAAATGCACGGTATATGCCAAATAAGGCATCCTCGGAGCGAAATTGTAGGTAATTTTCTTGTTGTTTTGTTGTCGCCCAGCAGCTCTTGAGTCGTTCGTGTCGCACAGTGGGGTCAGGCACCTACGCATTGGAGAAGTATGCATAGTTGTGTATTCCTCAATGCGCCACTCGCTCGAAACTTACTTCATTTTCTTGTCAATTTGCCTCACTCTTGACCCTGATACCTCCAGCACTGCGGTTTCACAATTGAATGTGTTCTGACTTCATTCAGGGCTGAGTGAGCTGACTGAAGAGCCTTCAACTCCTTCTCCCGGTTTTATTGTTCCCAGAAATGTGATACCAGAGTCGCCTGAAAACCATGAAGGTCATACCAATGTCTCTGGTACAACCCTGGCTCACAACGATGCGGAGCCGGTCGATTCTCAAGTCGCCGATAAAATCGCGACCCATCTGCCGTTCGTTCAGCAACAGGCGACCCTTGTCATGAGTCTCTTGGTTCGCGCAGACTTGAACCCAGACAGCCTTGCAGCCGAGTGCAAAAAGCTCGTCGATTCTAATCACCCCAACCGCAAACGCTTGAGACGATCCGTGGAAGGGCTGACTGATGAACTGGAAGACTCTCCTCTTTCTCGTGATGGCAAATCATTCTTGGATATCTCTCAGGCTCGTCGTTTGCTTTCTTCCACGCAACTGGATGCGTCAATCGCAGATATTTACATGACAAACTGCGCTCTGTTGACCCTCAACATGTTCCTCCCCAGCATCGGCACTGAGTCCCAGTCGGAGGTAATCCAACAGTTGGATTACCAGTTTCCTGCATGTGTCATGAGCAACCTTGCGGACAGTTCTATGTCAAGGAAGGTTGGGGCGAGTAATACTTCCGAGACCACCTTCAATCTTGCATTGGGTATCCGCACCCAGTTCTTTATCATGGAGTTGGAAAGACGCCAACATGAGCATGACTTCAACCCACTCTCCATCTTGAGACAGATATTTGCTATGGACCTCATGTCCAGCGAGGATGATTCGCAGAATATCCCCAGTTCCTTCCGAGGGTTCAACCTACCGGACGTTTTGCAGGACGAGGATGGCCATCTTCCCGAACACCTTCCTGAGAAGTTTCTCGTCGCCATCAGCGATAGGTTCAATGAGCTTCATGAGGAACTTTCTGAGTGGGATTCTGTTGATATCGATGGTTTGAAAAAAGCATACCGGTGGCGATCGTTTGAACGGGACCTTGCACGTTGGATTTACGCTCGTGACAGAGAAATCAAGGATGACATCAGACGATTGTCAGAAAAAGTGTATAGCTCACCCGCAACCCGTCGTCTTACTTCTGTCCCGGCTGGAACTCCCAGTCGGCGTCAAACATCGACGGTGCCTCCAGGTGGTGACATCTCTCGTCCGGAACCCATCCCGACTCAATCCCCTCAGAAAGAACGATCAGTGAACATGGCACCGGATGCAGATAGGACGCCCCAAGCAGAGATGCCATCCCATGTACAACGGGCACCGCAGACAAAACAGGCAGAACAGGCAGAACGGGCGGACAAAATACCTGAAACTAACCCTTATCGGTCAGGCACAACTCAAAATGTTCCTGAACCAAGTGTCTCCGACCGAGCCGCACAGCTGGTAGCAAAAGATCCGGGTCGGCGCAAGTCCAAAAGGTATGTTCACTCTGCAATTCCCCCCCCTTCTCTCTGTGGCTGCTAACTTGCATCCATAGCAACTACCGAGACCCGGCTTCATTCGCGGCACTCATGAGGCGCCAGGCTACTAGTCATCAACAACCTGTCTCGAACGTCGAATCGCGAGCGCAAAATATTTCAAGGAACACAAGCATTGTGGCCCAACCGATTAATACTGGCCCTTCGGCTAGTCGCGGAGCCGCCGAGTCCTTTGAAATTCAACAATCCCCTGAGCTGAGATACACAGACATCGGGGATGACTCTACATACGTAAACAATGACGAGGAATTGGATCTCGGCCAGGGCCCAGAACCTGATGTTATGACATCGACCAGTCCCCCCAAGTCCGCTAGAATTAGTCGAGTCAGCCACAATCCCAACCCTCGGTTCTTTGATTCGCCCAGAGATGAAAACACACAGCGATCGGTTCCGGTCGCTCGGCGCTTCCTCGATAAGCAGAGTAACGCCGCAGTTGTGTCTCCAATCAGCCAATATGATACTCAAAGTGCAACTGTGCTGGGGAAGCGAAATCGCAATGCCGATGTCCTGGATGATGACTCAAGTGACGGGTCAGACATTGGATTCGAGGAGAACAATCAGAACATCGATCCCAGACGTAGGGTCGAAAAGCCTCAGCAAAATTTCCCTGCCGCGAAGCGACAGCGCCCCGAGGACAATGCGCTGTCTGCCGGAGAACAGTTGCAATCGCATATCAATAAATCTTTCCACCACAACCAGTTTCACCCAACGCAAGGCTCTCAAAGAGCCCAGATATCCGATAATGACGATGTCACTGATGAAGAAACCACCGCTGAACAGCTCGAACCACCCTCTAGCGCCCAGAGTCGCTGGGAAGCCTCCAACTCCCAGGCTGCAATGCTACATCGCAGAGCCCCGAAGACCAGCCACAGGTGGACAGAGGAGGAAGATGAACGTCTGATCTACCTCATGGGAACTTATGGCACTGCCTTTGCCGCCATAAAGAAGCAGGACAACGCTTGTCCGCCCTCTGAAGGTGGTCCCATGCTTGAGCGTCGTTCTCAGGTTAATTGTAAAGATCGTGCTCGCAATTTGAAGAGGAAATATCTCAGGTAAGTCATAATACCCTTTCGTCCTTTGTCTGTAGCAAGCAGTTCTTACGCGTTGTTTTACAGAGAGGGCCGACCACTTCCACCGGGCTTGGAGAAGGCATCAGGTTGATTTGACGCATTGATTATCTACAGACAGTGGCGGTTTGCTCTTGCGTTTCTAGCGTTCGTCGAGATACCCAAAGAGCACATGAGATGGCGTTTTGGACATTCATTTCTTGGTTTCTGCTTTCGTTGTTTTTTTTTCGTGTATGATTTTTTTTTTGCCTTGTACAGTGCTCTTCTACGAAGAAACTACGAAGAAACTTTGTTGATGGTCGGACGATTCCTTTGCTCTAGTTTCTTTTTTTCGATTTCAAATACTGTCAGGATTAATGAATTGTTGTTTTACACATTCATCGCCGCCAGAAAGCACTTCTTGATATCTGTTGTCCAGTTGCCACACTAGCCACACTAATTCAAAAGATGTGCAATGGATTGAAAAAACAAGAATTTGCGGACTACTTGAAACTACTGGTTTTTAACATCGTCTACGGTATTCCTCTTTTCTATCATTTTTAACAGCCTGTCTCAACGTTCTCCAAGATTCCCTCAAAGCTTTTTTTCGTTTAGAGAATGACCACAAAGAAAATAAGGGAACAGAAAGGAGCCACGGGTAGTGTCTTGCATGGAGATAGTGAGACGAAATCTAAGGTAAAGTCGAACTTGGAATGAAAGGACTGACTGAGACAAGATACAAGGCAAAATACGAGGGATCGATCGCTTTGTATAGAATGTATGAGGAATAAACACGACGCTAATAGAGACCATGTCAGATTGCCTGCCTCGGCTGCGCAATGTCCTACCAAGTGCTTTGTTCAAAAGCTTTCGCGTCTTTGATATATGAGACTTCATAGTGACTCAGCCTCAAAGAAATAAAGATACCACACAGAATATTCTAACAAGATGCTAGATCTACGGATACCTCCTACACGGTACATACCGAATGAAGAAATGACTTCTAGTATAAAAACAGATGTATTTCTTGACATTAGCTCCCCAGATCAATTCCACAGCACCAACGACCGGTTAGTTCCATTAAACCAGACTTCAAGGACATTGTTTACTTCGTTACTGGGTTCCTACTCTCGAAATGGGCAACAGCAAGGGCAAAAACAAGGGCAAGGGTAGAGGTAAGAAAAGAAGTCACAGTCCGAAGGAGAACAAGGTCGCAACAAAGGTTCAGAGCATGTCTGAGGTCAAGGTCGACGACAAGCATCACTGTCTTAAGAAGCGACCTACTCATGTTCGGACTCCGCGATGCATTCGTTTAGGCCATGTGGTCCAATGTCCGATTCACACTGACAGCTACCCGCGACGATTGAGTGAGTGTGTGCCGTGTAATAGTGCTGACAGACGACTAGTGCAACAAGAGCGCAAGGACAAAGGGAAGTAGAGCAATGGCTGAGCCCATCTTTTTGGTCTCTCGGGTTAGGTGGTGCAAATCAACTCTTCTTAGTATTGCTATTGTATGTTATGTTGGAATATACATACTACCAACTGCATAGTTAGTACTAGTAGTAACTAGTAGCAGTAGAGAGGTAATTTAATACGTATTCCAAAATTTCTACAATATTGTACATGTACTACTAATAGGCGGGGACGAGTTATCCCCGTCTCTACACATACCCACCGACCCCATTTGGGTGGTAAAACTACATACAACAGTACAAGTGGCTAGAAATTGCTCCGGGGGACAATTTTTGTATGGGGCTGGTACGTGCACGACAAAAACACCATACAAAGTGGGCCACTTTTTCGAAAGGCTGAGTGACATTCCGGGGACTTCGTCGTTTGAGAAATCGTAAAGTCATGTGATGGACCCTTCGGGCGTGGCTTCAGAGGAAACAGCCCCCCAATGGCCCCCAACACCCCCCGGGCAGCCCCCGGCCTGGGTACACCGTTGATTTGGTCAATACGTACACGTATTTACTTTCGAAATACCCCGCAATATGTATCACCCCTCTTTCCTTTTCTTCTTTTCTTCGTCTCATTCTAATTCTACACCTTGGACAAATAGCGAACCCATTTTGTGTGCTCTCGTAAAAAAGCACCTGATGTGGAAGAATACACCGACGCATCTTGCCTTCCAAGCACACGATCGACATGTCGTGACCTGTTTACAATTCGACGATGACAAGATTTTAGCCGGTAGCGACAACGCCAAAATCAATGTATATGACACCAAAACAGGAGCGCTTCGAGCAACACTGGAAGGCCCCGGAGGTGGTATATGGGGGCTTGAATACCATGGCAATACTCTGGTCTCCGGGTCGACAGATTGCACCATCCGAGTATGGGACATTGCGAAAGCCGAGTGCACCCATGTGTTCCATGGCCACACATCCACAGTACGGAACGTACAGATATTGCACCCAGTTCAAATTGGCCAGCATCCAGACGGTACGCCAGTGATGATGCCCGAACAACCTCTAATTATTTCGGGATCTCGTGATTCGACACTGCGGGTTTGGAAACTTCCTCAAGCTGGCGACCCGAAGTATTTCCCTGCTCAAACTGACGAGGAATGTCCATATCTCATGCGTGTATTGACCGGTCACCAACACTCCGTGCGAGCCATTGCAGCCTACGGGGATACCTTGGTCAGCGGTAGCTACGATAATATGGTACGAGTTTGGAAAATATCCACCGGAGAATCACTACACAGGCTAGAAGGCCATACAATGAAGGTTTATAGCGTATGTTTGGATCATGAGAGGAACCGCTGTATGAGTGGATCAATGGACCACACGGTCAAGATCTGGTCTCTTGATACAGGTGCGTTGTTATATAATCTTGAAGGCCACTCATCGTTAGTGGGCCTACTTGATTTGAAAGAAGATCTGCTCGTGTCGGCAGCTGCAGACTCTACCCTTAGAGTCTGGAATCCTGCGAATGGCCATTGTCAGAGCACTCTGAGTGGTCATACTGGAGCGATCACGAGCTTCCAGCACGATGGTCAAAAGATAATTTCTGGTTCCGATAGGGACGTGAAGATGTGGGATATACAGACTGGTGTGTTTGAACGGGACCTCCTCACCGATCTCAACGGTGTCTGGCAAGTCCGTTTCGATGGGCAGCGTTGCGTTGCAGCCGTTCAACGTGGAGTTCAGACCTATATCGAGGTTAGTATGCGTCTAAACTGATATGCCGTCTATAACTTGCTGATTCATGAAGATTCTCGACTTCGGCGCATCCGCCGACACCATACCATCTGGCCGGTTGGGGAAGCGGGTTGTAGTTAATGAGCTAGGTGATGAGATCGAAGGCCCGAAGGGACATGTTGATCTGAATGACTAAAGTTACTAGGGCTAGGCAGTTAACTAGACAACCACCAAAAACAGGGTGATGGACACTCCGCCTTCCTTATAAGCGTAATGTTATAGAGCAACCGTGAGGATGAGATCCCGAACAATATGGGCACCGGGGTGGACGGGCCGCTTGAGGGCGATTAGAATACAGTTGACTAGGGACCAGATTCCTGGGATGCCGATCTATGGTTCTTGGTTAGGCTGTTATCTCTAGGAATGCTAATGAAATTTGAATGTCCGGGTCCACGAACGATAATATAGTATATCGAGCCCATGTTGTGCCGTAAAGCTCCAAAGAGTGACATTGTAATAACAGCCAGAGTCACAGCAAAGGCACGTAGGCCTGGCCAAGGCTTGCTGGTTTCAGAGTCTAATGCGTTGGTCATGTTGGTGGTTTAATGAGGGAGGTCACGATATGAGATGTAACCTAAAAAAAAAAGTTGAAGAAGTGATATCTTTCATATTGTAATGAGGATGGAACCAGTCTATTTGAAGTAGATAGAAAGAGCCGTCTATAATTCAACAAATGGCGGTGCAGCTTGCCTTGGTTAAGATCACCCCTGGGCGCAGCCTTGCGGGTCGCATCGACAAGTTCATCGAGGAGCACTTTATTCCTCCATGGGATCGAGAGTTGGAGCAATATAATGTCGACGCACATTTTTCATCACTGTCGAATAAGTGATTGCTGTAGTTTTCTAGTTAAAGATGGAAGGCCACTTTTTCTTTTTCCATTTTAGGAAATGTTTCGGGAATCCAGAGGCGGGAAGTTTTGGCCCCATCGACGCCTTGCGATCGGCGATGATCCATCCAGTCTTACATGATCGGGTCTCCCTGTTGGACCCTGAGGGAGTCGGGAGGCGCCAACGCAGTTGCCTAAGATCTGGTTACTGTGATATGACAGTATTTCACGTGAAAATAATATTTACGTATCGCATTCACTTCACTCGAACGACATCATCGCGTAAATCATTCTTCAGCTAGAGAACTCACACACTATACATCAACTCAGGCGTAGAATTCCCACATATCCTTAGCAACTTGACAAACAGAAACATGTATATTCAGCACAAAGCGCGAGGGAGGATAATATAGCAAATCTATGGTGCAGAATTGAATGTTAGCCAATATGAATAGAAGGGGCCCAAAACGAATATCCTAACCCACATTTGGGGGCCATAATTCGAACGATTTTCTGCCGATCTTCGGGAGGTTGCTTGGTATTCCATCTAATCGTAAACTGTTAGGTCTTCTTCCCCTGATAGAGGGATGTACGTACTCGATTTTGTATAAGAGGTTCGGTGTCACTGCTGCCCGGTTGAACGGACACCAGGCTTTCTTTTGAGGGGGTTTTTGACAGCATTATCTGATGATGAGTTGAAAGTCCTATCCCTTTGAAATTATATTCCTGAATCTTGAAGCTAAATAAGAATTTGAACTGGCTAGTGGGTTTGTGGAAGATACAACAGGGATCTGATTCTAATGGTCTCTGCCTAGGAGATATAAAAGCCAAGCCACGATTAAGCACTAGCCTCTTGGCATTGCATCATCTCTGTATAGCCTCTTGGCCCCCACTTTGGGTCACTTGTGGCTATGTTATGCGCACAGTAGGACACGATGATCTTTTCCGGGGTAGTTTGAAGTAGTTTGAACACTTGCATTTCTCTTTTTTCTTTTCTCTTCTTCTTTTTTGCATCTTCTCTTCTACCGTTAATTCTCTAAAAATGGGAAATCCAAACCTTGACCACAGTAGCAAGAGCGCTGAGGCAGTATCGAATACCGAGGTAGTATCCAACCCTCCACCATATTCTACTATAACCGAGCCCATCGATGAGCCTCCGACCTACCGACAACCAAACGTATCACACAGAGTGTCCCGCGATGGGTTTCCTATTCCTAAATCTGAGGACACGGTGGCTATTGATGAATGTATCACCCACCTGAAGTTCCTATCCACGACCGCCAAACTTCGCAACTTCATTGGAGGAACAGACAAGCTATTCGGAATCCACGATAGTGAGGTCAGGAACTTTTCAGACCCCCGCAAGCAAGCCCAGGCAGCTGCCCGAATTCAAGAAAAGAGATGGGCGGTTTATGTGGCCAAAGCTGTGGAACGATTTACTGTTTGGTGGCAGACTTGTCTGCCGAGTCTCAATACCAGTCGCATCTCAACACTTAATGGTTTATCTGAAGCCAAAATAGCATGGTCTGCTAATATGATGCCACCACTTGGTGAGTTGTTCTGAATCTTGGAGCTGTGTTGACTTTTTTCTAACTCGTCATCTAGATGTTATCATGGTCTGGCATGCATTTATGCTTAACCCGCGTGCCTTTCTCGAGGATTGTTTGCGTCAATCTAAAATGAGCGTCTGGGCCACCGGTTTGCCATGGGATGTAATAAATACATCCATCGACGACGAGACGCTTGTCTTCTACCCGGGCAGTGAAGCGAGGAGAAACTTCGAGACACGAACTGGTCATTCCTGGGAAAATATCCACGACAGTCCCACAAAATTTTTGCTTTGCTTCGGTTGTAGGCAGGAAATCATTACTCCCTGGACGGAAGGATCACTTGGATGCGATACAGATGTCGCTTTCGCACACTGCACTGGATATGCGGACAAATCTTTACGGGTTTCATGTCCAGCATGCAAATTCAGTATCACACACGATTCTCTTCGCGTGCAAAAGTTCCGCAGTGATGTGCAGAAGTTGTTGAAAGATGATTTGCCTATGCCGGGCACACTTTTGTCGCAGAATGGCACTCCCGCTGACGATGAAAATGGCGATAACGTGTCCTTCCCAAACCGGCTTATAAAGGAAGGCATGAGAAGCGAGCTCCTGCAGCTTACAGACCTCACTGAAAATGAAAGCACCACGATTGAAACCATTCGGGACCACATCGAGGGATTCTTGAAGAGTCGTTCATTAATGCGTCGCGTGAACAAGACAATACTGGCTTCCGGGAATTCGAGTATGCCAGAGAGGATATCTCTTCGTAATATGCTCTCCAGATATTGGGACAACTCATCCCCCTTCGCCATCGACTTAATCGGGGCAGTCATACGGCAAGGGACGTTTGTGGACAAGATGGACAATATCGGATGGATACGTTCGCCAAACGTGAGATCGACCATGGGTCACTTCATCAGCAAGTACGACGTTTTCTTCCAAATAATGGCCAAGAATAAAGGCCATGCTGTTGTCCCCACTCTCGATGTCGATCTGATCTGGCACACGCACCAGCTTTCTCCTCTTCGCTATTACACCTTCTCTACCGCGCAGATAGAGGGGATATTCATTAACCACGACGACAAAATAGACGAGATAAAGCTCAATGATGCCTTCGCATGGACCTCAAGACAATACCAAAAACTCACTGGCGGCAAGATATACAGCGAATGCATCTGCTGGTACTGCGAGGCGGTGCGTGAGTCCAACAATCAAGGACTTGGAAGGTTGATATCGCCGTCCGCCCTGCATGCCAAGACCAACGCTGCTCTTCTTCACAACAGTGCCGATAATACCACCAACGGGGATAAAAGCATAGGGCCGCATATCTCGTCCCATAATTCAGTTCGCATCCTGGCCCAGGCTGATCCAAAGGCAATGCAGACCAAGACCGCCCAGCTTGAATCGTGCTGGAAGAAAGCCCAGCGACGGTCACACAACCGTAGTGGCAGCAGAGGCGGTGGTATTGCCCATGAAGACCCGTCAAGGAAGGATATATACGGGCCCTACGCGCGCGATCCGGAAATTCATCGTGAAATATATCCCTGCAATCCAGCCTGTGTGAATATCACCGCGGGCGTGGCGGGTAACTGCATCAGCGGAACACAGGGCGTCGGCCTTGCGCAAGGTGCGTGTGTGAGTGGTACCATGGCCGCCCAGACAAGATCGAAGGGTAAAAGCTTCTGTTCTGGTATAGCAGGTTGTGGTATGAGTCTCTAGCCGGTCAGTTGAATGTATAGGTGATGGAGTACCGCCCAGTGTCCTCCAGACCAGTAGAAAAACCAGTGGGCAATGTATAGATGAGTGTTGAAGGCAAGAATAACATAGTTAATACAGCCAATGTCGTGGGTAAACTCGAGTAACAGGGGAAGTGCGTACGATACGAGGAACGTAGCCTCGGCCAAGCCCTCGGAAAGTCGCGAACAGGGGGAACATAGGAAAGGAAATCATGACCGAACTAATATCCTTGCTCTGTTTTCCTTCGGTCTCTACCTACGCTCATAAAGTTTATCATGAATTCATGTGCGATCCCACGCAGGACAGCATCAATATTGCCTCGGCACTTTTCAAGATCGTCGAAAAGTGTCTTTTGAGTTCGCTAGCGCATATCAAGCGCCATTATCGATGTATCTTAAAAATGCCATTGGCAAAATCTTAAATTCTCCAAAAAGGATATCGAAGTCCATCCGGTAGTAAATAGTGAATGCTAATATAGTTTGTTCGCAAACCCAAAATATAAAAAAACGAGTGTAGATGCCCATCCCAAGACCGGCAGTAAATGCATCCCAAATCCGACCAGCAGATCCAGCACAAGAAACAAAAAACAGGAACAGGATATTATCCCTGATATCACGAACGCCCTGTTGACGAACCAGCGAGGGGTATAACTGTACATGCAATGTAGAGTTCATGGAATCAAAATGACAGTATATATGCAGTTTCAATCGCAAGACATGAAGGTTACGGAGCTTCACAGAAGCAAGCCCATACCCGCGATAACAGCGCCGAGCACCGATGATCCCGCACGGACTGTTCCAGCAGCGTTATTCGTGGGCGTGGGCGAGGCAGTCGCGATAGGGCCGGAGCCAGCAGCAGACTTGGATACAACGTTTCCACTCTTCGAGTTCACAGTTGATACCGCGGTCACGATGCCGGATTTTGTGCTAGCTGTCGAAGCCGCGACAATTATTCCGCCAGCTGCGGTGGCGGCAGTGGGTGCAATAGTAGTGGAGGCGTTTTCAGATGCAGAGGCTTGTAGGTTCTCAGTCGCCTGGATGACGGTGAAGGTATCCTTGCCGCCGCCTATATAAGAAATATGCTGTCAGTCATGATCTCGCCGCTGTGGTATATATAACATTGTGGGTAACTCACAGCTTCCTGCAGCCCATCCAGCGCAAGGCACGTCGCATTTATCGTCGGCGATCTTGGCGGAGTCCGAGGGTATTTTGTTGCCGCAGTAGCACATGTTGCCACGGCTTAGAGCAGCGACCTTGAAATTTTTGTCTGCACATTGGGCCTGGCAATGGCCTGGTGATTGAAAGGAAAAAGGACCCTGGTTCTTGAATGATTCGACTTCGGAGTAGCAGCCCATACTAGCGGTGGCGCTAAGAGAGTATACGGGAAGAGCTAGGGCAAGAGCCGAGAAAATGTAGTTGGTATGCATGATTGGTGGGCGAAGTATTCGATCAACGAATTAAAGAGTGAAAATTTGTTTGATAAGAGAGAGTTGATTTGAGAAGTCAAGGAAAGAATAAGTAAAGAGGGAGTTGTTTGACAGGCGGAGGTGACAGGAGAAAAAAAGGGTCCCATCAAGCTTCTTTAAAGTGGCCGTTTGTTTGGTGTTCAGGAACACCCGTCGGGTTCCAGTTTTTCGAGTGTTTTTCTGTGGAGTAAGGCTTGGATGACATCGTTGTCCAATTGATCCACCGAAAGTAGCAACTGATCATCCTGAAACACTAGGCGACATGCTCTATTGAACTCGCACTGGGGCTTCGTCGTCCTCATTGGCTTGCGACCTGGCGATCTCCAGATCAGCATCCCCGGGTGTGGCGACTTGTTTCCCCTTTGAGAGGCCAATGACGGAGGATGGATCCTCAAGAGTCAAATGGTATGAACTTGAGGAACAGTTCGGGCGTTTTCCAGTTTTCCGCTAGCCTTGATTGAGTATAGGGCGGTTTTAGGGTATCGCATTTGTGAGGAATCCGACATTGCTGGTCATTGCTGGTCATTGCTGGTCATTGCCGGTCATTGCCGGCGACCCCTTGTTCCTCCTTTTTTGGTATTCTGAATTATTTCATTACATTCTGGGTTATTCTATCCGTACGGAGTAGATATGTAGGTCGTCTACACATTATCCAAGTATCAAGATACATATTGTTATTAGTTGTATGGACATGGCCTAATTGGGAAACTACATGTTGACATCAAAATTGAGTATAGTTAAATCGATTTTGCATCCATGGTTGAGCCGAAGCTTCCGTATTGTCGGATGCCTTGTTTATCAGGTTTCACACCGGTACAACCTTATCCCTTATATTTTCCCTTTGAGAAATTTCGATTTTACCTGCCCAACTTCGGGTATCCCCATTTTGACCCAGGGATACGGAACCCGCACATGTGGGGAGGAAATAATGACTATTGGATTGCGATTTACGTTGTACCTGGAAACTTCCCGCCGAACGCCGCTGACCAGTATCCATGTCTAGGTTTTCAAAGTGTTATACTGCCTTTTAAGATAGGTCAGGGATCTATCATCATTGCCTACACGGCATTGCCTATATCGGCATGGTCGACAGTTCAGATTGGAATAGGAACCGGTGAACTAAGTAGATCAAACATGGTCAGGGGCTGGAAAATATCAATATTCCGATTTCACTATGAATCCGAGTTGACAGGAAACACTTATCCAATTGTATAGAGATTCAGCTCGCGGTACATCCCACTAAGATTGGTTGTGACGAAGATTATACGATACCGATGATCATCTAACTACATATGTACCTGGACATATGTAGCCTTAACAAGAACAAGTCACAAGTATAATCCGTACGGCCAACAAGAATAATATCCAATGGTATCTCCAGGGATAAGGACTTGGGATAATATTATGGCGAACAGTTCAATGCCCCTACTACTGGTATATAGACGGAAGATATCATTGGTTCTCATTCTATTTTGTGGAAAATGATACACAAGCTAATCAAATTCATTTTCTTCCTTATATGCCAGAGAAGCAGATTCCAATTTCGGAAAATGCCGAGAATACTCCGTACACGGCTTAACATCATTACATGGCTGTGAGACATTGATGTTTACTTTGTCTCAGCTTGAATACTAGCTTCAATCTATTATTGCGTGTCTTCTGCCCCGCAACGGGAAAGAAACGAAAATGGGGCTCGGAAGTCTATCGAGATATAGGTAACTTCCAATCCATTTGAACATGAAGAATCAAAGTTGAACTGTCAACCCCAACATGATCAATACATACTACACTTACCCCAACTCTCGGCAAAACAACCACCCTGATAGGGCAATTCGCTATCGGCAACGGCCGCCAGCCGAGCGAGGTGAGGAGAGGGGAAGATAAGATAAGCCTTGACGTGCTCTGTTTAAGCTATTGTGAATCCCTTTGTGTCGATTTTCCAAGATCTTTGAGTATTTTCACTGCAAAGTATTCAATCAACTCAATCCGACCATGAAAACTCTCGCCCTCCTCGGCCTGGCCGCAGTGCCATCGCTAGCGCTCAATATCCCCACACAGCAGCTTCTCTTCCCGGACAACGATCTGTCGGGCAGTTATTATAACCCGCTATCGAAACCATCTACACGGGAAACCTGCCCACAGCCGCCTAAGATTAGCACCCCCAATGATGGCCTACACTCATCGCAGATCTTCCTCACCGACGATGCCTTCCGTGCCCGCCAGGCAAAGCGGCTCTCGCGCGCGGTGCAGATCCCAACCACCGTGGGTGATTATATGAAAGACCCATACGATGAGGCATTCGAGCCTGTAGTCAAATTCCAATCGCTGTTGGAGGAAATGTTCCCTCTAGTGTAAGAAATTGTCCAATTATTGAACATGGCCCGCCAGCTATGAATGAAAAGAGAAAATACTAAACACAGCACATAGACACGGCCGCGCCAAGGTTGAGCACATTAACCGGCTCGGTCTAGTCTTCACCTTTGAGGGTGTTGACACTTCACGCAAGCCGCTACTCTTCATGGCCCACCAGGATGTCGTCCCGATCGACGACCCATCAGACTGGACCCACCCGCCCTTCGCAGGCGTCTTTGACGGCGAATGGATCTGGGGCCGTGGCGCAAGCGACTGCAAAAACGTCCTTATCGGACTGTTGTCCGTAGTCGAAGACCTGCTCTCGCAGGACTGGCAGCCGAAGCGCACGGTGTTGTTTGCCTTCGGGTTCGACGAGGAATCACATGGCTTCCTAGGCGCCGGAGCAATCTCAGCAGCTCTGGAGGAAAAGTACGGCAAAGACTCTTTCGAATTCATCCTCGACGAGGGCGGAATGGGACTTCAGAGCCTGGGTGATGAGTCCGACCCTAACGGCGAGATCTTATATGCTCTCCCGGCTGTCGGCGAGAAGGGTAGTCTGGATCTCATTATCGATATTGCCGTGCCTGGCGGCCACAGCTCCATCCCGCCCGCGCACACCGGCATCGGTATCATGGCGGAGATTTTGTACGAGCTCGAGCGGAAGGAGCTGTTCCCCGCCTGGCTGGATACCAACCACCCCGCCCACGGGATGCTGGAGTGCCAGGCACGGTATTCACCCGACCACGTTGAGACCTGGCTATCCGACAAGCTGGCAGCAGATGATCCCGCCGCTCTAGGCGAGGCCGTTGCCAGCTCCCGCGGTCCCGCTGTCCGCTATACAATGCAGACATCGCAGGCCGCAGACCTGATCCACGGCGGTGTCAAGACAAACGCCCTGCCAGAGAAGATCTCAGCGGTGGTCAACTACCGTGTCGCACTACACCAGACGCCCGATGAGCTGCGTGAGCGGGCTATCCGACTTATCAGCCCCATCGCAGAATCTCATAATCTTACTCTACGTGTTGCCTTCCCCGGTGTGGCGGAGTCCACGGAAGGAGATGCGAGCGACCGTACTCTCACCCTGTCCCCGCTTAGCGTTCCTCTTTCCCCGGCTCCGATCTCGCCAACAGATCCGCTCACGTCGAAGGTGTGGGCGCACTTTGCCGGAGTGGCTCGTAGTGTCTTTGAGTCGCACTCGAACCCGCTTTCCAAGTCTGCGTCTGGATCTAAGCCGACGGTTGTTGTCACGGGAGATGTCATGACTGGAAATACAGATACGCGCTTCTACTGGTCTTTGTCGGAGAATATCTACCGTTGGAGTCCGTCACGGGCTGGTGGATCGCTGAATATTCATACTGTGGACGAGCGGATTCGCTTGGATGTGCATCTTGAAGGCATAATGCTTTACTATGGTATGTTCTCTTTTTCGTTCATTGCTCCTTTTAGGGAGTCTGGCTAATTTTTATCAGATCTCATTCGGTCTTTCGATGCTTGGGATGGAAAATCCGAGTGAACATGCTACTCTCCATTATAAGATACTTTGACCCATGTATATGAAGGTCTGGTACATACGGACTTTAGATCTAAAGATCCTCCCATTTCTGGTCAGGGGCTCAATATATGCTGCTTTCAAATTTAGCTAGCAAAGGAAAATCATTGCTCGATAGATCACTTTGTTATAGAATTGATATGCCCCAATGTTAGAGCATCCGAACATATATCCCTAAATAGGCCGAAGTCACAAATTCATGCAGATCCGAGAATCATCACATACTCAGACAGATGCATATGCAAGGATCTCAACAAACCTCGCACAGCCCATGCCAAAAGGCAAGACAATGAATGGGTATAAACAATAAAAAGGCATTCACGAAGCGAACGAAAGGTATCCGACACGTCTTCCACCATCACTGGTGGTAAATATACTAGACCAGAACTTTTAAACGAAAGTCTTTGGGAGAGAAAGAGGCGATCAACGGAGGAAAAGGCCAGAAGGCGTTATAGGTGAAATAAATTAACAAGAAGCGAAGGGATCCGCTAGCGGACAAGGATAGGAGCGAAGCAACCACCAATGACGGGGCGAGCGACGAAAGTATTTTGAGGGTAACTAGGTTTTATCAGCAAGGACCATTACAGGCTTGAGGGTATATTGACTTACTTTCCTGAAAGAGTGTCGTACAGATCAGTCAGGGCTCGGTTTGTCGGTGTCTCGTTGATCCAGGTCGCGAGATCCTTGATAAACATAGCCCGAGTATCGATTGAACTGACAGCTGCTGCAAAGCACTCCCAGTCACCTATCGAATTATGAGTACTTTGCCAATACATGGTGAGCTGTCGGGGCTTTTACCTTTAGTGTATGTGTGGCGGGTGTCTAGAGGCACACCGTACTTGTTTTCAACAGTCGGGTAGAAGTCGCTCTGCATCTGATAGACAGACTGGGGAACAAGATTCAGGTCGAGCTGGGCATCGGCAAAGAGGTTGTAGAGAAGACCTGCAGAATTGGTAAGCAAGGCTTGATAGACTGGAAACAGAGGGCTGAATTTACCATGGCTAGCGGTGTCGCCGTACGACAAGGTCGTTCGGGGCGGGTTTGCATTCTTGGAAATAGCCAGGTCCTGCCACTGAGTGATGTAGTCTTTGGCGATGCTCGAGTAATTAGCAGCGTCAGCGGTGTGACCAGTCTGATTGGCAATGACCGCCATGGACTGAATCCCGATCATGCCCTTGAGTGCGAGGTTGGTTTGGTTGCTAATCATACCGGTTAGTTTTGAAAGTTTCAGAGAAGGAAGGGCTCACTCACGCTAGGGAGCCAGCGAAGTCGTCTGTTGAGATCTGGTTTGCAGGGTAAAGCGAGTCCTCAACCAAATAACTGGTCCATTGCTTGAGCAGAGTGTAGTGTGCATTCAAAAAGTCAGTGTCACCCGACTTCTGTGCGTAAGCCAAAGACATGATAAGCATATTTCCGCACTCTTCCAATGGCATTCTCTCGTCGCTGCCATCGGAGTGACCCGTGGCGTTCGGGTAAGCCGAGCCTAGATCGTGCAGGGAATATGTGTTGGGATACTTTCCAGCCTCCTGGTTCTCAAACAGGGGAGTGAGAACGAGCTTCAGGAGTTCGGGGTTGGTATACAAGAAAATCGGGTAGGCTGGGAAGATAACATCCACGGTATTCATGTTGCCGTCCGAAGAGATTTCCTTCAGGAACATGTACATTTTGTCCTTCGTACCGCAGAGCTGGGTAGCACCAAATGCCTGCCGAACCGAGAGCGAGGTAACAGTGAGGTAGTCCTGTCCAGCTGTGGCAATTGAATCCTGGGCCACCCTGCTATCGAAAGAGGTCGCGAGATTGCTCGATTCGGCATGATCCTTGTGGAAGAATGAAAGGGCGGCCAATTCGCTACCGAAATAACTCTTCCACAAGGACGGTACTGGAGCATACTTCGAAGCGCCTTCGTATTGAATGGCTTCATCCTGTGTCAGACCGAGCGAGAAGAGTGTGCTGACGGGCGAAGAGTCGACCGAGCCCAGATCGGATGAGAACCCAAAGACGGGCCAGGTGGAGGAGATAGCCCGGAAGTTGGTGTCAGCGCCATTGGTGAGTTTTCCAATGCTCGCGAACTGACCACGGACGTTGGTATCCGCACCAGCCTGGTGGGTCATGCCTTTCGAGTCGTCGGTGGCCCAGTACCAGTTACCCCATTCGGCCTGCTCGTTCTTTTCGGAAAATGCCAGCTGAGTCTGTCGGTGTACTTTGTGGTAGGCCACACCGTCAGTGGTACCATACTCCCACTCTACAACGGCATTTCGGTCGCCCGATGCCCATTCTAACATCTCGTTAGTCGTTGTATGTATGAAAATAGGTTAGAGCACCAACCTGCGGAGATATCCGCGTAGACCTGCACATCATGCTTTTGGCCATCAAGAGAAGAGACCTCAACATTAAGATAAGAAAAAACGAGGGACTGGCGCTTGAGATCGGTGGGTGTAACAGGCGACAAGAATGTAATGTTCATTTCAAGCTTATTCTCCACGTTCATAGTGAAGATACTCTTAGTCGAAGTATACTCAAACGCGGTCTGATTGACGGTTTTGGATCCGGGCAGGCCCATCCAAGTATAGGTATTGCCGTCGACGCGGATCATACCTGTCCACCCAGTGATCTGGTTTCTGTTTATGTTTCTTTAGTATAAATGTTCCTACATAGCTCAAAGGAGAATAATGATCAACTTACTGCCAAAAGACAGGCCATTGACCAGCCAAGTACCCGCCATTACCACCATCACTTCCTACATTGAGCCAAGTGCTCAGATACGGTGACCTAACAGCGAGGGGTATAGCCGGGGGACGGGCAGGGGAGAAGGTCGACTGTGCTCCAATGGAGGACACAAAGGAAGCAACCAGCAGACCGAGGCGATACAGCTGCATTATGACAGAATTGGACGAAGAGATGGTAAGATACACAAAGTCCAATGCAGGGGCAAGTTTGCTCTGTTATTTATTTCCAGAAAAGGGAAATTAGCTCTTAGGAGCTTGGCTGCACAAGCACTCTGATGGGACGACTGAAGAAAGGGATCGGCGTTGTGTTTACAGGAGAGGAATGCCAGCGACATTTTTATAGTCGAGCTCAATCTACGAAGAGAGGGGGAGGAGCCAAAGGCCCCTCCGAGACCCGCATACCAGAATGTGCTCTCTACTGGGGAATATCAAAGCGGCTTGGCATAATAGAAAATAGGTAGCAGCAGACCTGCATGTCTCGATAAATCCCAAGGACGCTAATCTGCTGACCTCTGTCAATGCCCGGGTGGAAGAAGATTCATGCTAAGAGAGGGACTTAGTGATGTTAGGGGTGGGATCAGGACAGGGGGATCTGAGTGGAGTGGCCGTGGAAATGATGGTGGACTTTCCTAGAATGGCTATATTCAAAGTCAAATCCCAAAAGCGCGGTCTATCAATTTCCGGAAGAAACGGCATATCCTCACGTCGCATGGAAGACAAGCAGCGGTCTATGCGGATCGACAAAATGAGTGCCGTCAGTAGACAAGAGCACCGGAGTAATCTAACTCTAGTTTAGTGCGCGCCTTGCAGATGATGGACCACACAGCGGCATGGCGCAAATAAAGGTGCGGAGAAGAAGAGTGTGTGGTGAGAGGTGTAGAAAATTAGGGCTGCAGACGAAAAAGAAACGGTGGTTTGAGGGCATCGCCGATAGGCCCAGGGCAAATAATAAGGCACGAGTCAAGAAAAGCGCCAAGCTTAATGTCCTTCGTGATAGCATCATGCGGACATATCGGCCGTCGGCTTTGATTTAAGGCATGTAATATAAGGCCTTGGTATTTAGTGCCGATAAATCTGCGGGGAAATGGCGATCAGCAGCGTGGCATTCATTTGATGAGAGCATGGAATGAAAAGATTTGAATAGCCACGGTATCTGGAGTACGGAAGATCTCGGGAACATGCAGTAAATGCTGAGATGTCCATGAGTTCCTGGTCTCAAATCAGAGGGGTTCCCCTTGCAGAGAAGCTCGTCTCTGCGCGTTAGCTTTGGCCCCGACAGCCCGATCGGAGACAAAAATGACTTCAAAATCCCATCAGACCTAGACTATTGTGTTGCATGTAATTGCATGTAATTGCATGTACCTTGTATTTAATAGGGAGTACAGAGAACTCCGTACGGAGTATATGCAGCATGGGCTGAGGTCGCGTGCGCGACGTAGTACAAATGCAGGATCTGGTTTGGAGTTCATGATCCACTTCTTATTGAACCCTCCTTGCTGCGTGATATGTCGGTCTATTCAGTTTACGGTATACTTTTTCCACAGCAAGAACATAAACCCCCTTCTGATTAAATAGAACTTCGAAATGATCAAAATCCACGCTTTCGGGGTCCGTTCCCCGAAGTATATTTTCTCCTTTTTTCCTATCTCCGATGAAGTAATATATTAGATTCTAGTCTATGGCCGGTCTTGCTCCTGTGCCATTGCTTGAAGGGTTTTAATACACCCCGTGATCTTCTATTGATAATTATTTACGTAAAGAGCGCGCTTGGGACTTGACTTGTTCACACCTGGGGGCAGCCCTGGAGTGACGCGTGCCACTGCCTGCTCCGCAGTTTTAAAGGCCTTTTTAGGCAAAAGGCAATGACTTTAACCTCCAAACCCCTCTGGGGCGATGAGTTGTGTACATAATTAGAAGCGAACTTTGCGGATTGTTTCAGTATGTGGAGTTACTTACCCCTATAGGCTTTTGATACTTGCCAACTTGCTCCACCTACCCCACTAGTTAAATGCTTGTATAGAGCCTTGGAAAGTATAGCACGTCTATTTATGATATGCCTCTGTACAAGTGATAATTACTAGATGACATATATGAAATGTTGCCCACGATATGGTGCAAAGTGAAGTTGAACGGATTAGTTAACCCCATTCACCTAGAGACGAGCATATGCTTGACGTAAGATATTTGCACAGAGCGGCTCGCTTATAAAAACGTTTACTAACGCTGACCCTTCTCGGCCAAATTTAGAAGTATGCATGTATATCAACATTCTTGGATATCTGGATGAAATCCATTTAGGCCTGCCAAAGGAAATAGTGTCCACCCCGTATGAACCCCCCCCCCCCCCCGGCCCCAGCAAAGAGCAAGAAGAGCAATAAGAACAAGACGAAGCAATATAATAATCGTGCCAAGCGCACCATAGTAGTGGTTTTGTCGCTTGGAAGATCACAGTGGAAAGCAAACAGTGAAGCAACTAGCGACAATCTCAGATTTCAACAGGAGACTCAGACTGATCTGTCATATCGATTAATGACCTGACACTTAACACCCTTGTGCTCAAACAAATGAGTAGCCAAGTATCAAACAACGGCTCCCATTTTTTTCAATAACAGAGTCACTATCCAGTTGGGGTATCTCAACAGCAGATCGTTCAGTGTCTACGGTCGATTCAGATTCGTCCAGCTCTTTTTCGACCATAGTGCTACTACTTGATTGCAGCATCTCTCCGGTAAAAGGTTCAGCGTCCATGGGCAATGCGGAATCTCCGAACACAAACTTGTCGTCAAATCCCCGGTTGAATGTGGTGTGTTCAATAGACGAAGAATTAAGAAGGTCATGTATCCGGAATCAGAAGTCTTTTGGGCATAAGTATCAGCAAATATGAAACTTGGTGTATAATGTCTGTAAGAAATTATAGGGTTGTACAGCGCCTAAACAACATCCAAGGATACATACCCCTGGCTAGCAGGGCGGCTAATTCCACCCGACCCCTGAACTACCAATTCTCCTGGTCGCGCTAGATAATATCGACGAAAAGACCGATATGCATGTACCTCATCTGGGGCTTAGCGACGCATCCATATCAACCCACTACCGCCAGCCCTAAGAAGCAGCTTAAAGGAATAATAATCCTACTTTGTATACACATGCAATACACCTTATAAATAGAACATAGAGGAGCACAACCAACAAGTACATACAAAGTGCACCAAACAAAAACCAAGTATAGAGATAATTTCCAGAAGAAACAAAGTCCAAACCGACCCCACCCCTAGAGCAGGACACATAAGAAAAGCACTCAAGCATTCCGCGCCAACTCAATACAAAACTCCCCCCAATCCTGTCCCCCATTCAACGACAGAATCTCCTCGGCAATAGCCTCCTCGAGACGCTCATGGTATCTGCGTCTGTACTCATTCTTAACGAGATCAAGATGTCTAGGTTCCCAATGCAGACGCACGAGACGGGAGATGAGTAGTTCTGAGCGCTCGCGGCCGGTACGGGATTCGCGTAGGGCTTGGTGGAGGAGGAGGGCGTCGCGCATTGGTCTGTTGATTGCGCCGTTGAGGATGTGGGCTAGGGTTTCGCCCTGGAGATTTATACGTATATGTTAGCAATGGGTTCGATTTCAATTTCAATTTCAAAATCAGGATTCAGAGGCAGTATCCAGTATTGACTGAAAGGGTGGGGGAGATATCGAATACATACCACCAAATTCCTGGACTTCGAAATCATAGCCCTGGTAAAATTATGTCCATAATTATCCTCATACGCACGCAACACCTCACGCAGATGCGAATCACTTCTCAGGACAATAATATGAATCATAGCAGTCTCACCCCCTCCTTCACAATCGCCCGATGCAAATCCTGCACATCATCCCTAACGAGCCGTTTATCCAGCGGCTCACGATCATCCTGTCTTTGCCCCTCAAGCGCAAGCAGAATGGCCACGCGGAACTTATCCGCGCGCAGCTCGGCGCGCATGCAGCGCTCAAGACTATTCTCGTAACGCGTATCACGGAAAGAGTTTTTGATTTCGTGGATCGCGGCATTCGACCTTCCCATCAGGGACTCGATTAGGAGTTCGCGACGTGAGGTCCCCGCTTGGTAATAGCAGTTTGCCCAATATGCTTCCGATTCCCAGCGGCCGAGGGCGGTGGCGTAGCATACTTTTCCGAAGGAGGAACTGCCTAGTTTGAGACGGAGGTGTTTGGCGAGGTTTATTCCCTTTCCTTGCATGCGGACGCGAGTTTTGTATTCCTGGCGCAGGAGGAGGATCTCGTCGCTTGTTAGACGGGGTAGGATTTGGATTATGGGTTTGCTGTCTATGTTTCGGGTGTGGTTTAGGGCGGATTGCATGGCTGCGGCGTCTGGGCCGGCGTCGTAGAAGGAGACGCGCTTACGGCCTGTTGTTGGGGAGACCAGGACTCGTGGGTCGGTGCTGAGGATCGAGGAGCTTGAGTCGTGGCGGTCGTGGGTAGTTACTGGGCGGACGCGACGTTTGTCGTCTTTGTCTTTTCGGTCGTCGCGCTCTTTGTCTTTCTTGTCTTTGCTGCTGCGGGAGCGGGATTCTTTTTCGCTGACGGATGAGTGGGAGCGAGTGTGTTTGCTGCGTCGACCTGAGTCTGAGGCTGAGGTTCCGCCGTCGAGGGGTTCGAAGTCGGAGATGTCATCGTCGCGGATGGAGGGGATGACGATCGCGGTTGGCATCGGTGAGATGGACTGGTATGTACCGTGATACGGCTCCAGCAGTGGACTAGCCGGGGGATGAGCCGAATGAGCTGCACTGGCTCCTCCAACTGCGAGGTTATTCGACGATGACACAGAGTGACTGTGTGGACGAGCACTCGACCGACTCCCAGGCGCGATCTCCACAAACTGAGGCTCCTGTTTCTGAGGCTCGTGTTTATACCGATACTGGTCTGGAGGCGGCTGCTGCTGCTGCTGCTGCTGCTGCTGCTGCGATTGCGGATGATACTGATACTGATTCTGCGCTTGCTGCGGTATCGGCCTCGAAAACTGCTCATGTGTAGAAGCAGGGTATATCGGCTTCGGCCCGGACACCGGCACCGTCTTCGAAGCATACTTCACATTAGGATCGACCTGCGCGTACTGGTACACGCCGGGATTCGCATATCCAGCCGCCGGGGGTGGATAACCCGTATCACTCGCCGAGGCCGTACGGTAATGTGAGGGCGCATACCCCGCACTCGTGGCATACGGAGCCTGCTGGCCCGACAAACCAGTATACTGCAGCGGGGGATTCACCGGCGCCGGGACAGCGCCCGAGGCAGTGGGATATGTCGACGCCACAGGGAACGCGCCGGGCATGGTAGCCGGGCCCGGCTGCGAGGAAGGCGGCACGAACCCAGGACGTTCGCATTCCGGCACAGAGGCCCAGTCAACCGGCGCAGCGGTAGCAGGGTATCCCGACTGTCGCGGGGCAGCGGAGACGGCGGAGACGAACTGCGTGGGCTGGGCATAGCTGTACCGATTAGGGCGCGCGTAGCTGGGATGGCTGCCTGGCGCATCACCGTAAGCCAGATCGTCGGCTGAGTCGTCTGAGTCGTGGTGATTCACGCGACTGCGGTCTGGCGACGAGGGTCGTCGTCGATGCGACCGCGACGAAGTCGCAGTGGAACCACGCTCCTCGTCCGAGTGTTCATAGCGGTCATCGCGACGTCGCCTTGAGCTTTCTGCGTCGCGACGTCTAGACTCCGAGTCCGAGTCTGAGCGGTCCACGTCGTAGCGGGGGGTCCTTGGGGCGCGCGAGATGACGGGACGCGACTCCTCGGAGTTTGGGTCGCGACGGCGCTCGCTGATGAGCTTGTATTGGCGCTCGATTTCGGCTTCTTCGTCGGGATTGTAGACTTTGCTTCTGGGGGCTTCGACGGCTGGTGAGCGGGAGCGATGGGAGGGTGAAGGCGAGGGGGAGGGGACTCGGCTGTCGCGCGACCGCGACCGTGAGCGCTCGCGGCCAGGGGATTTGGATCGGGTTCCCGACCGTGGGTCGTTCACTTGGAGTGACATTTTTGGTCCAATGGGGGTTTGTTCTGATTTGATATGCAATAATGTGTGTTCAACGGTGTTTATTTTCTTTTTTTGTCTGAGGACAGGCTTTGGTCACACAAAAGGAAGAGTTGGACTGGGGGAATTTCTTTGTGCGATGTCCACTAGGCCATTCTATACTTCCAAGGGTATAGAATGAAGCCTTCTCTCTACCTATGTGTAGGTGAATTGAAAAGAAAAGGAAATAAAAGACAAAGCGAGATGTTTAATAGCACCTCGTATTCATCGGCGCCAACTTATGAAGAGCTAGTCTGTGATTCTTCACCCTCCTCATGTAGCCAAGGATTAGCGGCTCTTATTGGCTTACAGCTAAGCTTGGACTCGAGATCATCGGTGACCAGCCCTTCAGCCGCAGAAGACTGGCCAATGCGCATGTCAGATTGCAAATGAAGCCGAGGGGTACATTAGTACATTCATCTTGGAAGGTTGTTTACTATGTCTTGGAATTACGCAGCATTCAAGATAAACTATCAAATTACCGTGCAAACAATAGATGAACAGGACTAGTACAGGTTCCGGATTTCGAAACATTTTGTCAGAAGAGAAAAAGCAGAAGGTATGACATAAAAAGAAGCCTTGCGAGGTGCCAGGCCGCGAAGAATGGGGGTATGTGCTGGAAGAGAAAGCTATGGGAACAGAAGGAAGGGGAGACAACCCGTTTATCGCGTGCGACGGCCGTCATGAGGTCCCTGACGGCCACCGTAGTTTTGCTTCTGGGCGGGCGCGGGCTGTCCGTTGCGGTTGAGGCGGTTGGTTCTCCAGCGCTCATACCAGACCACACGGCTGGCCTCCCGCAGCTCGGAGCGCCAATCGGAGAAGACGGAGTCCTTCAGGCGAACAAAGTCACAGTGCTCGGCGTCATATGGATCAGCAAAGCCCCAGGGGAATCGGCGACCGACGGGTTGGTCTCCAGCGGCCAGCGAGTGAGGGTCCGGGGACAGAATCGAGAACGGAACGTGCTGGTTGATGGCCTGCGACGCGTTGGACCGGCGAGTGGCCTGGCTGAGCTGCGAGGGCGAGCTGGGGACATTTTCGGTTGCGGTCTCAGATTCTTTAGCTTCGCTGGCATCTCCAGTCTCGGTCGACTCGGGTTTGGTCTCAAGCTCCAGGATTTCCTCTTCATCCGCACTTTCCGACGAGTATTCTTCCTCCTGGTCCTCCAATGTCAAGATCTCAAGGGGGTCGATATTGGCCTGCTTCAGGCTGTTCCAGACCGCCTTGCGGAGGTAGTTCATGTGGGCGGAGGTGATTGTATCCGCCTTGCTGATAACCGGCACGACAGTGGTCTTGCCCAGCACCGTGCGCAACACCTGGATATCCAGATTCTCGTCCAGAATCCCAACCACGGGCGCATCAGTGGCCTTGGACGTGCCATTGGCAGCACGCTCGGCCATGGCGATGTTCTCATCAAGACGCACAGGATCCAGAAGTAGGAAAGTGCAGTGAATGTGGGTATCGCGGGCACCGGGAGAACGGATAACCTTCATCTCCTCGGCGAGGGTCTCCTCAAACTTGCTCTCCAGGAAGCCTGTCACGCCACGTAGCTGAAGATCTGCGATGTTCCGCTCAAGACCTACAGAGTCCCATAGGGTAAGTCCGACACGTTCTCCGTCGAACTCCGTTTCCAGATATTGCGACGTGAATCCTTCCCAGGCTGAGGTTTGACGCTCGAGCTCTTCGACCTCCTCAGGGGTGCGCGAGGGGTGCTTGTGTGCGGGCATGGTCAGAGCACTGCGGAGGAAGTTGAGGAATGACGTTTTCCCCGAGTTACGAGCACCGATGACAAGCACACTAAACACGTTCCATTGTTAGCTGGTCTGCCTGTTGTTGTTTTCGTATCCTCGCGACTCACTTGTATGAGGTGGGGTCCTTGCGACGGCGCACACGGCGGGGGCTGTTCACAGTGCTGACAGCACTACTAGCATAGCTATATCGGCCACGATGGGTCATGCTCTCAGTGCGCGCATAGGGATCGACATTGCTGATTGACCCAGTCATAGAGGGCGATGCGGGAATTCCGGACTGTGGACGGATTGGGATTGGGTTGGCGACCTTCTCACGTTCCTCACCTCCAAAAGTTTCCAGTTGCGGGGCGGGGGAAAGATCAGGCAAGCGGGGAGGGACTTTAGGGGCATAAGACTCGCGCTGACGACGCATCTCATCTTCCATTTGAGTTTTGGACATCTTTTTGCGGGAAGATTTGTGTTCGCCTAGGGGTTCGGTGGATTTAGAACGACGAAGAAAACCGAGGGAGGTGCGACGGCTGATGTCTGTTTCAGGTCCCAGGCGCGTAGAGGGGGTTGCCATTTTGGGATGGGTTTGTCTGTTCTTTCCTCATTAGGTTCTTTTTCATTTTCTCTTTTCTCTTTTCTCTTTTCATGTTTCATTTCTCCTTTCTCTTTGTTTCTTCTTATTACCAGACCTGGAGTTTTGTCTATCGATAGGGAATCTCGATATTGCACAGAAACCCCTCACCAGACGTCAGGGGTATAGAACCTTGGGGAACTGCCACTCACCAATAAAACGATATACCTAGGTATATATCGGAGTTCAACAGCGCTTATAGTGCAGCACAGATCCGGAGATAGAGCGATTCAAAACTGCTCCGAAACTGGATAGACAAAAGTGGGATTCAATCCAATTGCCAATTGCCAAACGCAAATGTATCGGGCTCGAAAACGAAAGTGTCTGCGACAGCAGAGAAAAGGAAAGAGAATAAGCGAGAGTGGAATCAACAAAATACAAGTTCCCAGCCAGTGGGTGAAGGGGGGATGGAATTGAAATTGGGTCTTGAACAAAGTTCGAACTTCAAAGTTCCTCTTTTTTTGGGGGGTGTTTTTTGTTTTTATTGAAAATAGGCCTGCTCACAGCGTCCAGCAACAGCGGCGCTTGGAGAAAGTTGGAAAAGATAGAAGGAAAAGAAAGGATTCAATTTCACTATACAATAGAGGGGAGGATCGAAATGATAATAGACCATCAGAAACCCATACGGCCATTCAGGGGTAAAAAAAACAAAAAAACAAAGTCCCCAACTCCAAGGTCCAGAGCGGCTGTTCCCCACTTGGAGCTTTGGTCTGTGGTCATTGAACGCCGGTTCGTCCGACGCCAACTGAAGCTAACGCCAGGACGGGATGTTTAGTTTCTCCATGGAATGTCTTTCATGTTGAACCTTTACGCAAGAACCTTAGAATGTATCACGATATCCATGGATTGAATATGTAGGTACGGAGTACACAGCACGTTCTCTCACCTCGTGGCTTCGGAATCTGGAACGTGCGCCAGGGGCCGTCAGGGGCCGTTTAGACGTATCCACTGAGATGCGAAACTGCTGATATTTCACTTAAATTCGAGTATTTATCCGGATATCACGGAGTAAAGCAAAACAGAATACGTAGTTAACTAGTTAGTTACATAGAAAGTACAATGTACCTATGTACGTGTTTGTCCTGTTTGCACATATGTAGATTATGCCCCAGTTTGGTCCCAACCTCAGCTGAAACTGGACATTGTATGGAGCACCTAAGGCTAACCTGTCCCGTCCCTAGGGCAAAGCCATCGGCTCAATAACTGCTCGCGAAGCCGAAATCTAATGCACCTAATTAAACTAACTACGCCGTTTAATAACCATATCGAACCCATGCCACCTGGGCATCTCCAATACGAGCTAGATCAAATTCTGAAACACGGCAATTTAAGATCTCAGTCCAAACACGAGAGGTCATTTTGTGACGGGGGTGGGGCGCCCACGGGACAGGCTGGGGTACGATGAACTATTTCGAGGGAAATTTATCAAAGTCTTTGTGCATTGTATAGTTATGGTACATCCGAAACTATGTTATTTACTCATGACATTATGGAGTTATGGAGTATGTACATGTACTCCCTAAAACTCGCGTTTCCTACCTCGAGAAATTACCGAGTGGATCAAAAGTGGGGTGGATTTTCCTTGCGTGCAGGAACTTTCTTTCTGGGAAAGAACGGTAAAAGGGATCCGGGGAGAGTAAAGGGAGGAATGAGAATCTGAATTCTTTTCGAATGTCAAAAGTACTGTTTATGTACTCTCCTTTTCTTTTGATTGTTCATTGTGAGAGGATACCTCGAGCTTCCAACCTTACCTAGGTAAAGACTGTGACCTAACTCCCAGTGCTAGCAAGCAGATACTACAAGAACTTGCAGAAATTAGAACACGGCTCGACGCCGCCAGCCGATGGTGTGATGGCGAGGTCTCGCAGTCCATTGAAAGAGATGATACAGTTGGCTAACTGATTAACGAGCCAGCCCCGGCAGCGTCCTTTCCTCCGACCAATGAGAACTTGGAAGGATCTACACCAACTTGGGTGATAGAGGAGCGGAACAACATCCAGGTCCACACGAGATGATATCCACACTGACTTGGGGAAAGAAGACTATGTATTGTCTTGCTTGTGAACACCAATTGAAATATAGTCTCAATCGGTGACAGACGAGCCGTTAGTATCCTCTCGGTTGGTCCGAGATGCTTCATAGCCAAGCTTCATGGTATGACGGGAAAAGCCAACTACGATTTACTGATATTATAAAGATTAAAGCAAACAGATATAACTAAATAGAATAAACCAGCTAAAGCTAGCGTAACGGTCTTGTATATGCTCATTTTAAGGAATTTCTGAAGGCTTCTAGTGAGTGAATTTCAAATTGCACTCCTTCCTATACATTAAACTGGAAACCATATGGTGAACTATGATATCCTATCTAACGACATGGACATATTCAACTACAAGCCGCCAACAATGTAAAAGGCCATAATAAAAACGTGCTATATTGGGGAATGTCAACGGCTGGTGCAGATACGCGATACTATTGGTGAATCTCACCAATCTACACAGATAACCTGAGGAGCGCCGTGCACACATTCAGGGTTCACAAGACAAATAAGAATTGCAAATGACAATATTCACAGGAACACTATAACTATATCACTACAAACAACTCAACTTAACTGGACCCCAGCCCGAACTTTCATCGTGATGGCTTCGCGGGCAGGTGACATCGTCAGCCCAACAGCAATTTAGAGTAATGATCTTCAGCCATGAGATCCTACATTCAGATCGCACTATTATTATGACCAGCAAACCACAAATTATGACTCTTGCTACTACACCCACCTGTCCATGGGGCACCCGATATAAGGCTCACATTCCCCGGGGCTGCATAGGGCAGGCATACTTTATCCCGGAGGATAAAGGAGGTAAACAGGGAACCTTTCAACAATCCCACCCTATTGCAGGAAAAATACCACCTGAGTACACCTTGGGTTATCCACGGCCTCGCCCTCTTGTCTGAGCTTGAAAAATCCGAGACGAGGTGCTGTGATCTGCTGTTCGGAACACTGCCATGGTCCCCGTCAAGGGATCACTCATATCGGGGGATCCATGGCGTCACTGGAATAGCAAAAGACCTTGTGATTATGGACTTCTATTACTTGGAATTTCGCTCAAATGCTCTTCACCCCATGGTATAACTTCGAATCTCATTCCCATGACGACGTCATGCTGATAAACTTTTGGTTAAACATCGTTATAAGTTAACAAGTTGGATTATTTCTCCCATAAGATTAAAATTGTGCTTATCGCTCTCCAGTACTTGAGGATAGTCACACAATATGCGTCTTTTTACATCGTTGGCACTAGTTGGTCTATGTTCAACCCAACCAGTCTGGGCATCACTCAATGACAGGGCTACATCTGTCGTCCCGCCATATGTCTTGGAATACGGTAAACTATCTGATATATGTAGTTCTAATCTTGATTTGCTTATTCGGCTTTACAGCACCGTTAGTCTGGCTTCATAGCCAGGAAACATACATGCCGAGCGATATCCAACAGCAGCTCGATCATACCAGACCCAATGTCAACTGGACAACCATCGAGGGAGTGGAGTCACCCCTAACCCTCAACAACCTTGACACGCTCAATTCTATGGGAAACACAAGCGTCTACCTAACCTCTCGAGAGGGCATCGAAGCCAATCCAGAGCCAGCCTGGTTCCGGGGTATCAGGCCAGACTCACAGGGACGAACAGCAAATGGCACAGCGAGTGTCATCATTATCGCAAATCGCGGCAATGGAACTGTTGATGCATTCTATTTTTACTTCTACGCGTGAGCTCGGCTGTATCCCAAAAAGAGGCAGCATTTATACTAATCTGATCCCAGATTCAACAAAGGCGGCAAGGTCCTAGGCCTAGAATTCGGCGACCACATCGGAGACTGGTTAGTGTGAAGAACACCCTGCGTAGAGTCGACCTGGCTAAGAAGAAAAAAAAAACAGGGAACATAACATGATCCGCTTCGTCAACGGCACACCCGACGCAATCTGGTACAGCCAGCACGCCAGCGGACAGGCATTTACCTACGCCGCCGTCGAAAAGAAGGATAAGAGGCCATATGTCTACTCTGCGAAAGGCACGCATGCAAGCTATGCAATTTCAGGGTAAATCTAGATAATTTATAAGATTTGTTGGCGGGAGGTCAATACTGATAGACACCTAGACAACATGACCACACCTTGCCGGGCTTCAACCTCCCTGCGGGGTTTCTGTTGGACTATACAGACCGCGGCGTGCTGTGGGATCCCGCGCTCAATGTCTACACTTACACCTACGATACAACAACAGCTGCGTTCCAGGCTGTGAACTCCAAAGATCCGGTGGCGTGGTTGAATTTCAATGGGAGATGGGGTGACGACCAGCCGCTTAATGAGCCCTCGATCTTTGGTGAGGCGAAAAACGTTGCTGGGCCCAATGGTCCTAAGTTCAAGGGCTTGGATAGACAGCTGGTGTGTCCTTCTAAGCCGTGCTTTGTGCTTCCGTTCAGGATTTTCTCCGAGAATGAGACTTTGTGAGGGTTGGGAGATGATGGATTGGGGTATGTTAGAATGATAATAAGGTAGGAGAATATAGGCTTAGTATATACTGATAAGAGTGGAAAGACCGTTGTTTAGATTGAGAGCTTTTCCTTCAACCTGGTGATATCAGTAAAAATCAAAATGTGATGCCTCAGCTTAGTCCAAGCTCGAGGTATCCCTTCACGCCGATAGTAAACTGGACTCTTTTGTATATAACTCTTCATTGATTGGCGTTTGTACCTTGCTAAAACAATGCACAAGTACCACAAGCTCTCCTGCTTCGCCTTCTCGAAAACTTCTTCCTCTTCTTCTACTACTACTAATCCTTCCTCAGCTTAAAAAGCCTCAAATCCAACGGAATCCGATCCCCAAGCCAAGTCGCGCGTTGGGTATGATTGCGCTCATCCTCCGATGCAACTGTATTAGGATGAACGAGAGCACTGAGCGGACCCCGGTTGATAACCAACCAAGGAACGAAAGCTCCGAACTCTGCTGGCGTAAACAAACTCACTTCGAACATCGCCACCGGGTGAGGTCCAATAGGCCGGTCCCAGAAAGTATAAATTCGAAGCTCGGGGACTATTTAGAGGTGTAAGCAAGTAATCAATTGAAATGAGCAAGTCAATCCCGCTGCAGACGGCCAGACGATGCAGTTCCTGGGCTAGAAGGGTGCGCTGCTTACATTCTCGTCTGATTCGTTCCCAGAGCGCTTTGGCAAATGCGGCTTGGTCGGGGTTGTTCTAGTTGATGTGTCAGTTTCGCTGTGACTTGGCTTTGTGGTCCGGGCTGGGTCGTCCTACTTGGAAATAATAGATGTGGACGTCGAAGCCTCCGTCTCGGCCTTTGGAAAGAGGATCCGGGAATTCCGAGTAGGCTTTACTCAAAACGCCATGTTGAGGGTTCTTGAATGACTTGCCGTCTTCGGCGCGCTCGCTGCGGTAGAGAATCAGTTTCTTGAGTTCGATGTGGTTGCGTGGGACACTTACTCGGACAGTGGCTCGAGGTTTTCGTACCCCTCCAATGGAGATGGGTATGAGAAGGCGGATGGGTCTGTCATTGTAAGTAGATTCGGGTTATTGGAGAAGATGAGAGGAGAGTGGTGGTATGTATGTAAAGAAATAGGTGTAAGACTACAGGTATAGGTGGCGTATAACTTGGGTGAGCGGGGCGCTTGCAAATCAATTCCAATAGTCGAGTTAACGCAAATGTCTCTAGTAAGCAGCCAATCTTTAGATCAAAAATGTCGTCAGTTAAACCTGGAGTATCATCATCAAGGCGGGGGAATTTCCGCACTCTGACAAAGCGGAGCGGTTAACTACGGAGTACGCAGCGGTATAACTAGGTGCCATTGAAAATAACCAGGCATCAAGGCATCAATATTACCCGAAGAAGGGGTTTGTCGCATGGCGCCTACGTTGTATACCGCTGCGTACTACGGAGTAAGTCTGGGTGACGATGAAAAGGACATTGTGCGTGGCCTTTTTGGAAATATTTTTAATTTATTTAATTAAATTCTCATCTCCAGCTCTATTACTAACATCAATGAAGCTTGAATTCTACAATACCAAAGATCTATTACAGGATAATTATAGTCACGCCCAGTGCCACCGCAGCAGCCAAACCCCCGATAATCACACCAAATCCATCCAAAGTAGACGCTCTACTACCGAGTCTATAGGCAGCGTTTGACGTAGAAGCAGCAGTTCCTGTAGCCTCGGAGCTAGCAGTGCCAGTTCCAGCCTCGGTCCCAGTCCCAGTCCCAGTCCCAGTCCCAGTCCCAGTAGAGTTGGCACTGGTAGACCCACCCGTAACCCCAGCTGCCTCCAGATCAGACCGATGATGCACCATAGTAATCATAGGAACAAAAGAGATAGCCGTCAACACACGCTCGACTCCAGGAGGAAAAGATGTAGACGAAGTCGATGTAGTAGCGCTCACAAATGAGTTCACATCGTAGGTGTTTGTCTTCGTGATACCGGAATGCACATGTGTCCTGGTTACCTTCTCCCAACTGTAGTCACTATCCACGTAGACCTTGCAACCGACGCTGGGCTTATAAGTTGGAACTTGCGCGATACATTGGCCGAGGCCATTTGGCGTCATGGAACTAGAGGATGAATTAGCCCAAGTTTTATCTTTGTTGTAATCAGAGCGATGCTGATTTACCTAGGACAGCAAAGCGCCATCGTCTGACTCGGCTCCAACAAGCTCGCCAAAAGTGTCACAGGCTCCTCATAATACGGAATCTTATCCTCCGACGTGGTCAAAAATCCCGAAGTACTCAGCGACTCATCATCGCGCGATGCCATACCAATCATCTCCCAACCGGAAGGACAGTACAATCCCGGCGAGTAGTATCCAGCAGAAGCGACCCATTTTTTCTCATCGTACCAAGTTGCCGACGTGGTCGTGCCAGGCGGTATACAGTCCCAGTCGCTCGTCGATGTCGGACAGGCGACTTGGAATAGGGCGCGAGTCATATCATCATCGATCAGGGCGAGGGAGAGTCTATCTGTCGCGGTACAGCTGGGCGCCGGGGTGAATGTTGTTGTTATGGGGCCGTAGTTTTCAAAGGTCCAGTATCCGCCGGCGACGGATGCGGTAGTCATGATTGCGAAAGTTATGCAATCCCAACGTTTGTTGAGCTCCTAGCAGGAAAAGAAATGATCTCTCAAAAAAAGAAAGATTCGCGCAGGCAGCGCGCATCCCAGGGTTTTGTGGCCCAAAGGCCACAGACTAAAGTTGGATTGTTAAATTACAATCACTAGTACGGAGTAGTGGTCTTGGAAATGTTCGAATGAGGCTTAAAGTGCTTGGTTTTCAGTGGATAATCTCCTCCGTTCCTCTCGCTAGCCAAGTGAATTGCCGGTCTGGCCGGCTTGGCAAGGGACCGAGTCAACAGATCTTTAGACTAGGGCTCGCTTGGGTTAGTGTGTCTTACATGGTCGTATGACGGGTTAAGCGAGGTGTAGACTAGTGATTCTCAGTCTTGGAGAGCAAGGCCGCATTTATTCCCCTGACAGGTGGGATTTATATCCTAGAAATGAAAGAGTACGACAAATCATCCTTTGTGGATTTCAGAAGGATCAGAGCTGCTTCGCGACAGCCGCAGAGAGTCTCGGCCCATACTTTATGGCTGCCCACCCGATGACTCCGATGGTAGGAACCGCAACAGTGACAAATCTAACGATCGCTCTGGTGACCATCGGCTGAATGAATTCAGCAGCAATAGCCTGGAATCTCGCAGGCTCATTGCGATCGGGATATTCCTGATCGGGAATTGGCATGTTAAGGAACGGACAAATCTGCTCCCAGCCGAGTCCATCTTCGAGCTTGATATGACAGAGACGGTCGGCTGGGATTGTTCTCTTGGCCATGTCGATACTACAGAGGTCAGTTAGTGGCCACGCTGCAAGAACTAAGGGGTATCACGTACTACTCGATGTAGTTCCGACGCATCGCAAGTGCATTATCAGGCTCACCTGGATTTGTCTTGTCGGAAAGTGCCCAGTAGATAGTTTCGTTAAGCTTCAAGAACAGGTTCAGCGGGCCATCGAAATATCGAAGAATGACAAGCGGGAAGCTATCGGCCTTCTTGATCAGTGTACCAGCAGTGTTATTAACAGAAGCTACCCATTTCTCGGGTTCTCTTTCCGTGAGGATGAACTTGACATTTGGATCATCTGCGTAGACACTAAGAACTGTCATTCCCATGAAACTTGGGACTTCAACCAGGCACTGCACTACGTTAAGCCGATGGACAAAGAGGATGCGAACGCGGAAATCCCACATCACATTCGGCGAACCATTTTTCGAAATCCGCCCGATCGTATCGCTTGATGCCAGAGAAGCGGTTGTGCTGTGCCATCACTGCTTCATACTCGACCTCCATGTGAGGCACACCGTGCACGATCATACATTCGTAGGAGTGATAAGGTTTGAAACTAGAATCTGCATCGCTCGATAGAGACCTAGAGTTCCAGATCTGATAAAAGGTATTAGCCCGTCATACTCGTGGTAAATGTTGACATCTTACCGACATGGGCTAGCAACAATCACTTTCATTGGCGGCTTGCTGACAGGCCCCGGTAGCATGTCGATTTTTCGCGACATGATTGAAGGTTCAAGATATGGCGTCTCAACTTGGGAATAATGTTACGAAAGGCTTCGATTGTCGTGACTTTCAGCATTTAAATGAGGGAAGAGAAGCTGACAGCTGTGCTTACTCTGGTATCTGAGGTGGGGGCCGTTCCAGCCGCACCAAGCGGCTGTCAGTGGGTTTTTCCGGCTTATTATTGCTGAAAAGGGTCTTCTTACTTGTACAAAGTAACTCCCTCCCGTAATGTATGTATAGATTGAATCGGCTGTTACAATCTCTCCGCAATCTCAACTTGTTTTCAGAAGATCCCAGTAGCGGCCGTTTCATATTCTCAGCCTCCGCAAAGGCCCGCAGGAGGACCCGCATTTAGCAAAGAATCTTGGAGTCCTCAGTCCTGGACTCCTGTAAGGCCCTACTCTCCAGTATGTCCCTACCGGGGTTCTCCCGAGGTGAGGTCCTCAGTGGGTTATTAGTAAGCACGGGTACAGGCAACCTTGGAAATCTGTAGCTCCCGTTCCCTGGATAAGAGGATCCTTGTCACGGACACACGATAAGCTGAGGACATGCACTATGAGCAGATTCGCATGGCTTATCTGGGTTCCCTGGATGGAAAAATCCCTGTATTGATGAATATCTGACTACTAGCGACATGGAGAAAAGGGCCGAGGAGGAACATGTCCGATTACAACGTTCTGAGCACCTTGGAAAACTGGTATTACGACAGCAAGGAACATCAAATGCCACGGAAACGATTCTTCAACCGACTCAATCAACCCCTAGTCTCGTTTCTTCGAAAAGCACGCACACACTGAGAGAAAGGGAAGATTTAGCAACGGTTTAGGGAGGGAAGTGGGGAATTGTTGCTTGGGTTTGGACGCTTGCATTGCGACATGGCGGGCGTGGTTACTAGTAGTACATCGATGTACGTCCAATTGTACATCAACTGCACTTTTTATAGGAATAACAAAATAACAAGTATTGATAATTAGCTTGCTGTCATGTAGAGTGCTTATTTATAAACTTGGAAATATTATTGACTCGATCAACTGTCACTCTCTTGTGATTTTACGCTACACTCCCTGCAAAATATATTTATGTCCACCTAAAGGCAATGACTAGAAAAAAACTTTGAATTCTTCAAAGAATTCTATATTTATACTTATTTTGTATAGCATAGACAATGCAAACCGAAATATCCATGAATGAAGTTTAGGCCAAAAAAATGAAAGTTATAACATACACCTTGGTATCATCCATAGCACAACCCTCGAACGCCAATTACCAAAACATCAAAGAAACACTACCAAGCAGCCCGAATGTCAATATGGCCATCGTCATCCACGAACTTGCCGCGATCCCATTCCCGTCCTTCCCCTTTCTTCGACCACTGCACATCCTCCGGTTTGCGTTCTCCGTCCACGCCCGCAAAAGCCGTGTTATTCTTCCATTTATCAATGACTGCCTCATCGATTCCTGCGGTACGTAGCCTCTCCTCGCCCTTATTTCTCCAGCGCTCACGATCGCGCAGCGCCTCCATTGCCATGTCCCAGTCATCGTCTTTTGTCATGAGCCCAGCGACAGGACGGCGAGATGATTCCTGGCCCATGGAGTGTAATTTGTCTTCATCTAGATGCACATCGGTAGCCGGGTCGTAGCCGGGTGCAAAGTGAGCATCGATGTTGCTCATATTGTGTTTATAGGCACCTCGCCCGCGCGAGCGGACAGGTGCCTCGTTTTGTCGAGGAGGGAGTGGTCCGACAAGGTCTTCTAGGGGATCGGATTCGTTGCCTGTCTCGCGATGGCGTGCATTTATAGTAGACAACGGCGACACTTGTTTATGCCGCGTGTTGGTTTCAAGGCGAGAACGGCGGGAGCCATGTGGCGATGCATCTTCCCGCTTTGACCGCCGAGATTTGTGCGACTCTCGTGAGCGGGAACGGGAAAGGGAGCGAGTGGAATGTTCAGATTGACGTTTTTGTCTTCGATGGCGATGGCGGTCGGTACTTCGGTCCCTGTGCGGAGAACGGCTTGGAGACCTCGAGTATGACCGCTCACGTCGCCGCCTGGTGTGCTCCTTATCTCGGACCCGTCGATCTCTCCTAGATGACTTATGATCTCTGTGTTCGCGCCGATATTCATCGCGAGCTTTGTTTTTCTCTCCAGTTCCGTCATACTCTTCATTTCTTTGTTGATGCCTCCGCGACCGGCCTTGTTCCGACGAAGGGGAGCGACTTCGAGTTCTTTTTCGATGTGAGCGATTGCGATCTTCCCAATCTCCTCTGCGATGGTCTCTTGATCCTCGCAATTCACTCCGATCATCAGATCGCTTGGAAGAACGGTCTGTCGAATTTGGAGCCAAAGCACCTGAAGCACCTGAAGCACCCGAGCCCTGATATTTCAGTTGGCGCATACGCTCCCGTGCTTCTTTTTCCTCTTTGAGCTTGAGAGCTGTGTTATGATTGTCTGTAACTTTGATGAGATTTCGTAGGAAGCGGGTATTGGGTTTTGGGGCATTGCTTGTCGGCCTGCATGTGTTTGTCAGTCTTGTACTCATGCAAACCGCAGACCATGAGACAAAGCCAACCTTGAAGGCATGAAAGCACTCATTCCTTGAGATGCATATTTTATAGAACTCTCCTTAGCCTCCTTGGCCAGGATCTGTGCAACATAATCGTCATCCATGATCCAGATGAGCCGCAGATCGCAGTACTCTCACGTTGTCGAGGGAGTGCACCGAGGAAAGTGAGGAATGCAAAGCATGAGCAAGTATATAAGCTAGGCCATATTAAAATAGAAACAAGGGCGGAATCCTCTCCAGTTGAAAGAGAACAAAGAGAGGCGAAGACCAAAGCGCCTTCCAAAAGTTGGACTGACCGCCTTTGATATAGGGCTGTTTACTGTCCCGCAAATGTTATGGCCGCAGGTACTTGGCCCCTCCAAGCTCTCTGGCAATCACAAACCTCGCTGGAATATCTTTTCATAGCTGGGTTTTCGATAATAAAGCCCTACCAATATGGCAAACTCACCATCTGAAGCCCTTGCAGCACTTCAGCAGCTGGAGGAGAATGGCAATTTGAAGGACCGACTCGCGATTATTCGCATCAGCGAGCCAATTTCCACCGAAGTTGGGGGATCTTACCCGTCTCCTTCAAAACGAAACTCTGATGTTTCCGTCTCAAATTTCGACGATCCTACTCCTGCCTCGTTGGAGGCTGATCTTTCGCATTACAAGGTCCGCGCGATGAGTCCCAATACCGCGAATGCCCGCTGCCCAGACCAGCAAATACTGATGTTTTCGCATAGGAACTATTCTCCAAGCTACGATTCTCTTATCTCGAGCAAGTAACGAAAGAAAAGTTCTTGCGCGCTATTGTTGGCGACCCGCCTGTGATTGTCGGACACAACGAGAACATGGAACTGGAGACGCAACTAGCGGACGTGAAAGCCGAGCTCAAGGCGCGGAAAGAAGACGCACGGATTATGATTGAGGAAATGGAGCTAATGGGCCGTGACTTGGCAAGCCGTGAGTTGCCAATGACCGTGGAAGATGAATATGTTGACTGAAGCCTACCGCGGCCATGACAGGTTACAAGAATGTCGAGCTTCAAACAGCACAGCTCTCAACTCTGCCCGCTTCAATCGAGAATCTCGAGTCAACTATCGCCGACCTCCGCGCCAAGCAGATGGCCACCATGGATCCTTCCGATCCTATCAATACTTCCTCCTCACAGAATCTTCCTCTTCCCGCGACCTTGGCACTGTTGGCGGAACGTGAGGCAGAACTGGCAGCGTTGAACCGCCAACTGGCTGCTGTGCACAACACATTGCCTCGGAAGACCCGAGAGGCCGAGGCAGTAGAGAGAGAGCGCAGTGTCCTTGAGCGACGGAAGTCAGATGCGATCGCGCAAGCCCGTGAAGCCCAACGCAAGAAGCAGCAGGGTGAAAGTGATGGATTAGAAGAGATGGGTCGTTGGTACAGGGGGGCAGAAGAGACCTTGAAAGAACTGGTGGGGACCCAGACATGATAGTCTGCAGGCCAAGCCTAGGCTTGTGTATGATGACACGAGAGACGAACGATTGAGCTTATCTTAGGTGGGTGGGGATCGGGGAATGGCGTTTAGGATCTACTGTACATATATGGGTCCCATGGATATCACTATTTTAGATTACGGAAGCATGGGCATGGAATTATTAAATCGGGTTCCAAATTGAAGCCTTTTGGCTGTTTTAGATTCATTGTATTGCATGATCGTAGAACATGAGACGCTATGCAGTCATTTTGAACCTCCATGGTATGAAGGCGCCCCAAGCGAAACCCGACCGTACTCCATTTTTTGGGGAATATTAGGAATAATTTATTCCTCCTCCTCCTCCTCGGCATCCTCACCACCAGCGGCGGCAGCAGCCTTCTTGCGGCGAACGCGGCCGGGACGGCCACCACCGAAGGGCGAGGTGAGAGAGAAGTCGATGTGCTTCTGGGAGTCGAGGCGGACCATGAACGAGGGAACGTTGACGATCTGCTTTCCGACGCGGATGTGACGCTGCTTGATCAGGACACGGGCGTGGTGGATGGACTTGGCGAGGCCAAGCTTGTAGACGCAGGTCTGGAGACGGCGCTCGAGGAAATCGTCGGCCTTGAGGGCAAGGACGTAATCGAGCTTCATGCGGGACTCATCGAGCACACCGATGCGGACAAGACGGCGAATGAGGGCATTGCCTTCGAAGAGACGCTTGGGGTCCTTCTCGTCGAGAGTAAGGAGCTCACTGTGGGGAAGATGAAAAATTAGCGCTGTGTCCTCCAAATTTAGTTTGCGTGGGCCCGATCGCTCGAAGCCTCGCAAAATCGCAGGTTGTTCCTTGCACGTACCGAGCAGCACGACGGATCTTGGAGAGGGTGAGCTGGACACGCCACACCTCGCGCTTGTTGCGCAGGCCGTACTCGCCGACAGTCTTGAGTTCAGCATCACTATTAAAAAATGGTTAGGAATATGAACACGACATAACCAGAAGCACGCTTCTGGTTAGTGGCCGGAGAGTACTAACAGACGGGCCGACTCGAAGGCTGTGATGCAAGTTAGTCTTTAAACATTCAAATCGATAATTTCGTTGGAAATTCACTTACGGCGACGGGGGACCTTGTAGGTCTTGGAGGAAACGCGACTGCACAGAAATCGATTAGAATGGTGCGATGCCTTCGATTTCGTTGGTATACTCACGGGGCCATAGCTGCGGTTAGATGGGCGGAGGTTGTCGACAGGAGGTCGAAGGGTCAAGGATGAATTGAGAATTTGAGTGTGTGTGATGCGAGCCCTACCCTAGTCCTAATTAGGAAATATAATTATGTCAGCTGATTATGTCATTGAGCCTCTCCACCTGGGCACCTGGGCGGTCCATCCATGGATGGTTCCACTCTTTAGCAACCTTCGGAATCCTCCGCCTTCAATCACCCGGCATGGATGCTCGTCTGCAGCTATTTTTTTCCGACATAGTTGTCTGGATTACTTGATTTACTATAGCAACTATTTTTTCTCGAATACTGCGTGAAATTTGGGACATTTTTATGTATTGCTCTGACTTGGGACCTTTCTCGATGTTGCATCAGGTGGATCATGAGAACCACGGTTTTGCATGATGGTTTCCTGCACCATAACAAGAAGGCGAAGGCAATGCAAGCCGGACGAGATTGGGGTCGTTTTAGCCTTCTTTGGCTTCCATATTTGGCTCATCAGATTTAATGATCAATTGGCTACATGCTATTTACCTTAGCATCTCGATTTGGTGGTCACTGTATAATTAGTTAATCTGGCGAAGCATGGCAGTCAGTCAAAATGGTCACTGATGTTCAAGCGCATGTGAATTGTGTGATAGTCTAGATTCTGGAACTGGGTCCAAGGCTGCTGACTACTGGACAGTTGTCATTCTGATTCTGGTCCCGTGAGGATGTTATTGTTGTTGCCATGTCAGTGCATTGTACTGTATCGCATCGCCACCTGACATCCATAGACATCCAAAATTTAAGTTATATCTAGTTGAAGATCCCTTTGAGAATTGGAGCCCTGGAATTTAAATCTAGAACTATAAGATCTAAAGAGCGTAAATGTTATTGGAAGTTTGACCGAGGATGACAAGGATTAGCCGATATCGCTAACGACAGACGCCCAGTTTGTCAGGAAAGAGGGTTGGATCACCGGAGACGAATCGTGTAGGCTGAAGGAATGATTCTGGTTCCAAGACCTAGCAATGGCAGGGCTCGGCGATGAAGTCAAAGAACGCCATTAGTGTCTCCTCGAATAGCACCGACGCTACCACCTTCAGGCTCACCGTTTTTGATGATTCATGTCTAGTACATGTCAGTGTCAGTAACGATACAAATTACTATAAGGATTGACATGAGATAAAATCCAGTTAGAAAGTAAAAGACCAGGCGGTTTCACAAGGGTTGGCATAAATACAGAAAAGGGAGGGAAGAAAGAGCATGTTTATACAAGAACCTCGAAGTAAAAACGATGAAGGGCTCGGGGCAATTCAAGCTTTGATTGGCTGAAGGTTGATTATCGCGCTAACCCCAATGTAGAAAATATATCGAATAATCCGAAAGAGGCGTAGCGTGGCTTTAGCGAGGGTAGACATGATTATGTCATGTCAATCCCACAAATTGTTATCCGACACTCTAGTTTTTCGTGTTGAAGGCCCCGTCGACAATTAACTACCAGCACCAACCTCAACACCGCCGTCATGCCTCACTCGTACGGTCTGCGCGCCGGCACTCGGGTACGTTTTGATTCCCTTTGCGACACACGTCTTTTTTTCATACTGGGAGGACGACCTGGATCAACTGGATACGCCCTTGGGCCTCAGGGAGGATAAGTGCTAACGAAACGACGAACAGTATGCCTTCGCCCGTGGCTTCAAGGAGGCCGGTATGATCCGCCTCTCTACCTACATGAAGACCTACCGGTACGCTCAAATTCCTCGAAACTCGAACGAACGACAAGAATTGAAATCTGACGGATATTTTTTATAGTGTTGGTGATATTGTCGACCTCAAGGTCAACGGTGCCGTCCAGAAGGGGTCAGTACAATTCCGAAATTTCCTCCCTGCGCTCTTGCCACCGCCCACTGCGATCATACACCATGGGCAATGCGAAACCGGGAAAGAGAGGACAAGAATCTAACAGTTGAACAGTATGCCCCACAAGGTCTACCACGGTAAGACCGGTGTCGTCTACAACGTCACCAAGTCTGCCGTCGGTGTCATCCTCTACAAGAAGGTCGATAACCGCTACCTCGAGAAGCGTATCAGCGTCCGCATTGAGCACGTCCAGCACTCCCGCTCCCGCGAGGACTTCATCAAGCGTGTCAAGGAGAACGCCATCAAGAAGCGTGAGGCCAAGGAGAAGGGTGTCCACGTTCACTTGAAGCGTCAGGCCGTTGGTCCCCGTGACGCCCACTTCGTCAAGCAGGCTGGCAACCACCCCGAGACTGTCGTCCCCATCGCCTACGATACCCACATTTAAAGGGCTCGTTATCGAAATGGAACGGTGTGTGCGGTTGTTAGGTGTTTACTGGGTTTTCACTCCATTTTTGCCTAGACTGAAATGGACTTTGATACATGAGACGAAGCGCAAAGGGTTTCGGATGCCCTGGCACATCTCTCGCCTGTGCATAGATTCCCCTGAATGAAACAAAATCAAAAAATTTCCGATTTCATGTCTACATTTTTCCCGGTCCAGCATAACTCAGATTTGATCAATTGTTCTAGGCGTGTGTTCGTAGTGCTGTTCGTTCTTGCTCTTGGCCTTGATCGGCAGTCCCATCTCAGAGCCACTTGTACTCTGATCAAACATAATTCATACTTCAATTCCTACTGATTATACTCGCCGACTAGGTCTAAAAGTTATAAGTCGCGATGATCCCGAATGATGATTGTTACTATGTTATGGCGAGGATGGCTTTGCAAGCTGCTATACTTCATCGGATTTCTCAGCCACATCAGCGATAAAACGACCATTTTACTTTACCAAACATTATGATAAACTTCATATATTCAGATATCTAGATATGACATGTTCTCGGCCTAAATGTGAAATATCCGAAGTACATAATAGAGAATTTGCCCCTTAGAAATGCGGCCTCCACAAGGGGAGCGGAGAAAAAGTCAGACCCGCCCAGGAAAAGAAATATTACACCGGACAACCTTCATCAACTCTTCATGTACACCATTTGACCATATTCTCCTTTGAATTGCTATGATTTAATTTACCTCGCGTTTTACCTTATTCTAATTCTTTTCTTCTTTTTGGTCTTTTCGGCACGCCCGACATTTCAGCCTTCCTGGCGGCTCCTACTTACGTCCCGCGATGACCTTCTCAACCACCGCAGCTCCCAGCTCTGCGCCGGCGCACCTAGGGAGCAGGTCTCCGTCGTTGAATAAAGATATACTCCCACAATCACGAGAAATGGGGGATGTCATTCCGAACCGGACACCGCCGGCTAGTCAGGAAAAGCCCGAGGCGAAGCCATTTGCACACTTTGTTGCTGGCGGGTATGTTTTCCCTGGAAGATGAATCCTATTCTTGTAGATGGATTCTAATTGAAAAATTATAGGCTGGGAGGTATGACCTCGGCAACCCTCACTTCGCCGCTTGATGTCCTGAAGACGCGCCTGCAGTCCGATTTTTACCAGACACAGCTACAGGCTCTGCGCGCCGCGAAACCTGCCCCCGCGCCGACTTCCAATGCATTGGTCTCAATCACCCGGACCGCCGGTATGCACTTCAGCGAAACCTTCCAGATCTTACGCTCAATACACGTTCACGAGGGATGGCGCGCGCTATTCAAGGGACTGGGACCGAACTTGATCGGTGTAGTGCCCGCACGCGCTATCAACTTCTACGTCTATGGAAACGGCAAACGTATAATGAGCGATTACTTTGGCTACCGAACTGCCGAGCAGACTCCTATGGGGATTCATCTAGCCGCTGCGGCAATCGCCGGCATCGCGACAGGTACGGCAACCAACCCGATCTGGCTGGTCAAGACACGTTTGCAACTGGATAAATCCAATGCGGAAATTGGGAAGAGTCGTCAATACCGCAACAGCTTCGACTGCATTAAACAAACTGTGCGCCACGAAGGTATCCGCGGTCTCTACCGCGGCCTGTCCGCTTCCTACCTGGGTGTGACGGAGTCGTCTCTCCAGTGGGTGATGTACGAGCAGATGAAAATGTATCTAGCCCGCCGTGATTCTCTGAAACAAGCCGACCCGGCGTACGATTACACTTCATGGGATTCCGCGGAGCTGTGGGGTGGACGTATCGCCGCGGCTGGTTTGGCGAAGCTGATTGCAGCTGCTATAACCTACCCGCACGAGGTCGTTCGGACACGTCTGCGTCAGGCACCGACCGTCTCGTTGGGCAATGGCAAGGTCGAGATGAAGTACACTGGCTTGGTGCAGTGCTTCAAGACTGTCTGGAAGGAAGAGGGGATGGTTGCCATGTATGGTGGCCTAACGCCACACTTGCTTCGTGTCGTTCCCTCCGCCGCCATTATGTTCGGAATGTGAGTTGCTTCAAGTTTACCGGAGAGCAAAAGCATGGAGCCTCAATATACTGACTATATCTCACTAGGTACGAGTTCATTCTGCGAATGTTCGGCACGACATCATAATCTGTCCTTTGCTCTCAACTCAACCCTGCATTGCTTCCTAGCTCTTGCGCTACCACTGTACAATACTTCGCTTCTATCACCCTTTCCTCTCCGCTCCTTGAGTGACTAAGGAGTGATTTTCTTTTGGTTGTTTTTATATTGTGTATAGAAGAGAAAACGGGCTACCTGCATGTATACGGCGCATGCGATTTGGGGTTACACTTTAATTTGAACAGGCGTCTCTACTCCGATCTCATCGACAAAAGGCAAAAATATTTCTGCGTTAATTGGCTATTCATCTGGGATTTGCGATTCCGGGGCGAAGCTCCCTCGCCATTGCTACTCTATTTTTCTTTGCCACTCACGAGTGTGGCAGAGCAAAAAAAAAAGAAAGGAAAGGGATAGAAATATGACATAGATACTCCCAAATACATTTGTACTTTTTTCACTACTAAGGCCACAATAGTATATGCAGGCTGCAATGCAGAAGTTTTTTAATTGCACCGCCACCGGAACATAGCGCTCTCAAGCTACAGCTCTGAGACGAATGACCATCACAGTCCAGCTAACATTGACACGAAATCCAAGTCGGGCATCATTCTACTCAGGCTGCTATACCCAGGCGACGAATGCACCCGAACCCATTCACCCATTTGACTCGATTCCTGCTTTCCTGCTTTTGCCAATGGACCATTTCTTGCCCGTGTCTGGCGAAGAAGAGTTCACTTGACTTGGATTTTGTCTATTATCGGTTACTTTGAACTTCCTATCTTCTGATCCAAGCGCCCGGTGGTACGGAGTACGGAGTACTGGTTTCCTGGATTGGTGATTGGCTACATAGGTTATGTCTTACATTGCGAGCGAGCGCCTGGGGCGAGTGGAGAGGTATATGAATGGATACCTCTAGGTTTTGTGCCCGGTTGCCGTAACCGTGCAGTGTGCCCAACCCGGAAAGGTTCTAGAAGGATAGCTGGTCGATAGTCGAATGCACGAACACCTGGTGTTTCAAACCCTGTTCGTATGACGTACAAGGGTGCGTAAAGTGGAGAGAATAATATTACAACATATTACTCCGTATGTTTTTGTTATTATATACATCTCGATCGGCCTAGAACTTCCTGAAACGGAAGAAAATACGTGGGACTCCATAGAGCCCGGGTACTAAAGCCAGGAGCCTAAATAGAAAGCGATAGTTCTAGGAGTAGCATATACTGCGCCCCGATCGATGTCTTGTTCCTATGTACATAGGAATCTGTGATGTGAGCAGTCATATTCAAGGGAACACAGAAATAGTAAGGAATGTTTCTCGATGTTTACTCTCCTTTGATGGGGTAAAATCCCCGGGACCCGCATTCCATTCTGACTGTCTCGCATGGCTTAGACTCGAAGACCATCCATCTCGATTTTAACATCGCAACATATACGGAGTAAGCGGCGGCGAACCACTCCCACGGGTTTACAGATCGGCTGGTCACATACTTTGGTATCTATTTTCTGCTGGAATGTGTCAGTGTCTAGATTCTCAAACCATGCCTTTCTGACGCAGACTGTATTGAAAATGGTGTGATAGAATTACTAGGGTGTGTATGCCCCTACACCGCACTTTCCACACACCCTATCAGGCACCCGGGAGACTGGCTTGTGAATTGATTTGAAATAGGTTAGTAAAGGTGAAGGTTAAGGTAAAATTCGGGCATCTGGGCGACTACGGGTATACAGCATACACCCTAAAGGATTGTATAGACAAAATACCTTGAATCATGGGAGTCTAGGTTGGGCGAGCACAGCCACACTGCTCCAGAGCCCCATAGATCACAGTTCATGCCGGCATCTAGCCTTAAAAAGTGATGCAAGGGGTAGCATAGCGTATTACCTTGAACCGGGATGGCTGATCGTGGAGATTTATAAATAATGAATTCATTTTTGATTTCTCTGTTTGAATTGTACTCTACTTGAATTGAATTGTTACGCAACAGCCACTGCCGAGACGCATAATACAAATGTGTCGCGCCTGACAGGTGCAGGCATGCAGCCCGGCTAGAGGATCGGCAGGGCGGACATATGTGATAACTATGTAGTTAACTAGTGGGTTAAATGAACCTAGCGGTCTGGTTGCTACATAGACAGATGACCTTTGCCCGATACATGCCCAGGGCAGACTTGAATTGGTTATTTCCTAGTCTGTATGCTATTGGTGGCTTTATGTACGAATTGATCCTCTATGTGACTTTTCCCCCTTTGCTATTTCCTATTCAGAGAACAAGAGAACAAGAGAAAGAGAGAAAATCAAGTATTAGCTTCTAAGCTTGTAGCTCTAGCGTGTACGTGTCGGTCAGCACTATGTTGATTTTCTAAAAATGTTCTTAAATATGTCAACGTATAGGATCTGGCAATCCGATCGTAGATCTTCTACCGTATTTCTTTTCAACACCATCGTCACCGCCGCTACTCTGCCTCCATGCCAGACACTCTAAGCCCAGGGTGAGCCTTTACACCTTACACCCTACACCCGGGTTCGCTTTCGTAGGCAGCGAGATGATCAGACCAAACCTGAATCCTTTTGGCTTATAAGACTTGCTTCCTCCTCTTCCCAAAAGCTATCAAATTTCCACTCTTCAAGCTCATAGATCGCTCCTTGACTTCTTCTGCTGGAATCTGCACCGGCAATCATCCCACTAGTCTCTTTTACATTACCATTGAGTAGCTTCCCTAGCTACTAATCCTACCAATCCAATTTATTCCCTCCTCCCTCAAAGTCGTGTTCACCGCCGCTTTCAAACCCAATTTCCGTGATTAAGCGCCAAAATGAGCTCCAACAAGTAAGTCGGCTAGTTTGATAGCATATACCGTCGATATCCGCATTTCCCCCGATATATCCAATTTTCACAGTTGTCATTGATATTATTCCAAGAATCCAATTATCTGTCTTCTCGTCTTATCTGCTAACCATGACTTTCTCTCAGAGGCTCGTCGTCCGACTTCCTCGCGGTTAAAAACTCCGGTACCACTGGCAATGGCACCACTTCCCTCGGCCACAATGACACCTCGCAAATGTCTTCGTTCGCCTCCAACTCCGAGTCGCAGGAAGGAAGCTCATATATGCTCGACAGGTGGGCGGAAGCACCCCCCTCGTCGGAGCCGTGGTCATCAGTCAAAGCCACCTATTTTCCCAAACGTTAGGTTTTGATCGTCGATATTCGTTAAGATTGGGTCTTGTATCAGAGTATTATATGTACAAGGGTTTCCGGGGGAGCTTGGTGGCGAACGAGATCAGGTCTCTGTTTCATCTTTTTGGTTTGGGGCGCTAGGTACTTATTAGAAGGGAAGCTTGGAAAGACTTGGGTAGACTAACGGTTTGGGGGGAGTGGGGCTCTGGGGTTGTCTTGCTGATCATCTGTCACTTGTTGATTTTTGTTTCGTTTTCGTTCTCTTTGGCTTTGTTCTCTGTTTTTTTTTTCCCTACGCGCACATGGGGCATATTACGGGGCATAGATAAATTATATTTGGGTTTGCGTTCTTTTTTACTTTCACTTTACTTCCCCGATCTAGACAAGGCGATTGTAGTCGGATACTGCACGGTTTGTTATAGCTTTATCATTCTGTAACACCAGGCTAGATATGAGATATTACTTTGTGTACATATCTTGGTAAAAATTTTCAGCGAATTAACAAAGCAACTCGAAGTCGTTCAACCTCGCATTGAAACTTTGGATGAGCCATGGTAGATAAGAGGCTCTCGGTCTGTGCCGTTCCCCACTTGATCCAGTAACTCTATGGGTACGGAGTACTCCGTTCACAGCTACTCCGTACTGCAGTCAGTAACATTTCCCTCTATTTTTTTGGTACGTTTTTTTCTCCCTCTCCAACCCGTTTTATGCGTAATTGCTTGTATCCAAAGAACGGATATCTGTTTCCTTAATCTGCACTCCTTCTACGCAGCCCCATTTTAGTAAGTCTTGAGACAACCTCCAAATAGCTAATGATCAAAACCAACGGCTGGTGAAGGGACAAACGATGATGCATAGTGGCGACTATCACCACCAGTTGCCCAAGTATCATGGGATCCCTGGGCAAATGGCAAAAGTACACTCGGGAGGGATTGTTATCCGAGCACAAGGCGAGTTGATTGGCACAGGAACGTACAAGAACAAGCTGAACTCGACCTTAATCAAAAGCCTGTTTACATCCAAGCAATTCATATACGGGTTGATTTATCCTGAAGCCCCCCTGCAAAAGTAATCCCTGATGATGCAGGTCCCATGGTTACTTTTCTATCACCTGCTCATGAGTTCCCCCCCAGTTGCCCTGACAAGCTGCTAAGCCCCGAGGATCTTGCTTCACCTTCAGGGGTGTTTATGGTGGGACTTCAGTCTTTTCATTCACTGTATCTCGCCTTCCCAAGCCCCTTACTACTTTCCCCGCTTTTGCTTTCCCAACAAAATATATACCTTTTGATGTACAAAACTCTCCCCGAAATTTCTCAAACACGATGAACGTCATTTGTCCACCCGGGTACGGAATACATAGGTTCCCCAGCTAACCTTCTGCTTTTAACTCCGAGAAACTGATAGCGGGCGAAACCAAGGTTAGTTCGGAGATTTTCACTTCCGTTTGGATTTCATATTCCTAATTGCTGCTCATTACTGGTCAATGGGGGTGAATCTGCCTGCATGATCAGTATTGCCCTCACATAAAATTAAAATTTTTTTTTTTTCATTCTCTTCAATTATGCTACGGTCTCGTCAATGGTCATCTCAATCCCATTGATTTCCGTTTCGCTTGCCATTTATTATATCTTTCTATATCCACTTTGATGTGATCGTTTAACCATATTCGAACAATAGTGGGTACCGACGTCACGGTGAACCCAACTTCCCAATTCAATCCAGACTCTACGAAATACATAGATTTGCCGATGATCTGCGCTAAAGCAAAGCCACATTTGAGGAGGCTGCTAATAAGATGATACGAAATGCTTTTATTACTTTCAAATCACTGCCTCCTTTAACCTCCCCCCCCCCCCCCCCCCCCCCCCCCCCCCTCCTTCCCCGCCCGGAATGTCCAAAGTATGCAATAGTTGTATAACCCCCTCGATATGTATACTACAAGAGTCATATTTCTATTCTCTGGCGAGTTAGAATAAAGAACCGGCCTCATAAGCATAAAATGCCCACGGTTGAATACATATGCCTTTGAATTGTAAGAGTGTAAGAGCTGTTATTGGTCCCGCCTTATTACACCTACTCCGCACCCAGTTCGCATCCAAGACGAGGCAACAAGGTGACCGCCTCACTACCATTCTCTTTCTTGGTTGGGCCGAAGTACCTAGGTACTCAAAACCCTTTAGTAATCCCCTTCGACCAACCCCGGGACTGTCATCCTGTGATTTTTCCACCTCAGGAACGGTTTCTTAGTGCAAAAAGCCAGCAAACCGGACTCGTTTAGACCCAAGCTCGCTCTCTCCCGCAATTTGGGGTTGGGTTTATTTCTTTTATTTAAAATTTATTTGGATTTTATTTTATTGTATGTATTATCTAATTGATGCCCGGGTGAAGGTTGAGGCGCAGGCCCAGGAAATATGTACTTAAGCATCTCGTCTCCTCGATGAAACTTGTTCTTTTACTCACGCCCAATAGCCATTCTCTATGCTCTGACCCCATTTACCTCCTCAAGGAGACCTGTTCACTATGAATCCCCCTTTCAATGATGATGATGATGAGATCGATGAGATCATGCAGTGGCCAGGAGCTCCTGGGTCCTTTACCTCCTCCGAGGGGTTTACCGGCACGGATAATGATCGAGTGGGTGCCCATCCGGAGATCGAAGCTCCATGATACTAATTCTTGACCAGGGTTATGGATATTATCCTCCGGGAACCTACTCCTCCGCCGACGTGACGAGCTTTACGAGTTCGGTGGCCTTCCAACAGGATTCCGGATGGATGAACCCCGAGCCCATTAGTCAAGTGCCAGAACCTCCACAACAATTTGATAGTGATCTGGCCGAAATTGATCTGAGATTTAGGGAGGACGAAAATATCCCTCAAACCCTAGCAGATGATCTAGGAAGTTCAACTATAACTCAGAGACCAGCAGATGATCTAAGAAGTGAGAGCACTGCTCATCCCTCGGGAAGGTTGGATCAGAGAACGATCGGAATACCAAACCCCACACCCTTTTCTCTGCAACCTTCGCTTGAAGGTGTCATGAACCAGGTGTTCAACATCTGCAGAGATCTCATGTCAGACCAGACATGTAGCCCTGATCAAATTTATCAAGCGTTGCAGCACCTTGACACGATCAAAAACTTCTTGCATACAAAGCTCCCAGCACGCACTATTTCATCAGTTGGGTCCTCAGAAAAAGGCAGAGAATCGTATCGATGTTGGATATGTGATTCTCAGACGGAAAAAACAACCTTTCGAGCTTTTGGTACCTTCAAGAGACATTTGATTGGGCATGATATATTTGAATTTGAGTGGCGCTGTACTGAGGGCTGCAACACAATCCTCCACCGGCGGGATAGGATGCGTAGCCATCTTATTCACAGACACAACAAATCCGGGCTGACCCCGGCTGATGTGGAGGCAACTCGGGAGAGATATGACCCTCCAAAAAACTGTCCCCTTTGCCTCCATGTGACACCTTCTTGGCCTGTCTATTTCGATCACATTAAGGGCCACTGTCTCATTTCCCCTGGCTCAGGGAATGCCTCTATCAAGGGCGATCGTTCCGATCGCGGTGACAATGGTGGCCGGAGCGGCGGAAACGGCAATGGCCATGGTCATGGCTCTTCTTTGGCTGGACCCAGCTATTCGAACGGAGGACCGCAGTCGAACCAATCCAATAACCGGACTGGGGGGACTCCTTATCACAGCGCGAGCTTTGGAGGCTTCAGAAGCAGGAACAATACGCTTCCTGGTCCCATATCGCACTCTGCGTCTGACGACCAGCTTAACAGCAGCCGTCGTCAAAGCGCCACTGATGCCATTGAACAAATTTCAATTGAAGACTTACTTGACTCCTCTCATGGGTCCAGGGCTCACCTCCCCAGAGGCAATGGGCAGCCCAATAACCTACGGCCTCCACAAAACCCCCGATTGCCACGAGCTGATCCTTCGTTCAAGCGCAAGCGCCGGGACAAACAAAAGGAGCCAACAGAAGAGGAGGCCACTAGCCCGAACAAATGCAGACGATGCGATCATAACATGGCCAAATGTCCACACTGCAAATCTGTTCTTAGTTGCCACAAATGTGGTGACGTGCCCAGGAGTGCTATCCAAGTTGGAGCTTCCTCGACAATGCCTGTGCAATCCCTAACAGATTCAACTTCTACCATCATCAGTTTGGACCAGTCTTACCTTAACAGCCCTGAACCATTGGCGAACTTTGCAATGCCTCAGAACATGCCCACTCAACTGCCTGCTTACTACACTCCCAGCGAAATGATGCAGTTCTTCAACTCGCAATCATTTGACATGACCAACACATTCATGGATGATGCATCCTCAAATGATCCTTTTATCAGGATGGCAAGGGTTGACGAAAGCCACCCATCTCTAAATGATCTCGGCGACAAGATCCAAGAGTCGCCTATGTTTGAAAGTGACACCAGGTTACTTCGCAGCATTGGACTCAGCACATTGATTGACCCGCTCTCTGTCAAAAGACAAACCAAGCAAGAAAAAGCGAAACCCTCCGGTGGTCCGGCTCCAGGATTATACACAGATCTAGCTTTCAGAAACAATGGACCTTCGCCCATTCCAGAAGCTCCCCAGCTGGTATTCACTTGCCAATGCCCATGTGTAACACTCCCATCCGTCGACTATGAAGCCCACACAAGCCTCCAGTTATCGGCCAACGACCGCGTCGAGATGACATTCAAGATGTCCCCGGCGCGCGAATCCAGCCATCCCCTCCGCACCCGAGTACGAGTCTTCGTGAAGCTATTTAGTCTCCGCGCATCTGCAGCGAAGTCAAATACCAAGAAACAGAGGACTCACTCCATCACATCTGAAACTACCGACGAGGACGTTGAGTCTGATACCGATTCAGAGCAAGAGCTCACTCCCACGTCGCCTTCTGGCTCCGAAATAACGCCACTCCTCTACTGGACCGAGGATGAGGATGTGCAAGACTGGTCATTCAGCTTTGACATCAAATCGGCTATACTGAAACTCGCCCAGTGGACCAGCGGCATAGATGCCGATACGTGCCAGAAACTACTCCTCTCCGATCCTGGCCATATACTGGACTTGGTGTCTATGTATGTTGTGTACAAGTTCAAGATATCTTGGTTGTTGATGGGTCGGAATGGGCTCAGTTTGTTTTTGAGCATCTAAAAGCACCCTATTACACCTACTTATGCCCCATACCTCCACACTTTCTACCCTTATGCTTGATACCCTCTACGACCTAAGTCTATGACCTTCAAAAGATTTACCCAATTTCTTTCCTATCTTTTTTTCTATTATTGCATTATCGCGCTATATTCTACATAAAACCCTCCTGTACAAGTCTGTATACTACATGATTGGGTATCAACTTCCAGGAGATACATAATGTCAAGCGTTTATGAAGGCGGCATACTACTTACACGACATTTCACGAATCACAAGATTGGACCCGGAACGAAAATATGATTCATGCGTTGTAAAGCTCTTCCCAGTCTCGGTGTTAGGCAACTGCCACTCAACTGCCACTGTAGCGCCTTTCAAGAATCGGTCAGCGCCTTGCCCAGTGTAGCCTTGATTATCGGCCTTACTTGCACTGCCCCCGTCAGGTGTCTGTATTCTGTAGTCTGCCTTGGGCAGGCAATACACAAAAGTGACAAGCTCTCTATACAAGTTGAGTGTACTCCGTACCCTGCTTCTGTTTGGCAGCAGATATTAGCCTAATACTGATCACGTATTTGAGGCAGGGATATTGCATTGCATAGCCTCGAATGTACGGAGTAGCTTGAGCACAGATGTAATAGCTACCTGCAGAAATATAAACGTTTTTATATATCGCTTCTCCAATCACCATTGGATAAGCGAGAATATCCTATCCAGCATCTCCATAGCTGCGGCAGCCTCGATCGGAAGGGCACATATCCAGCCGATTTGAAATGTTTCAAGAGCGGGGTGGGCCATGTCGGACCTCGGGTCTAGTCAGGATATAATGACAGAAATCTGGCTGTATGACAACGTATGGACAAAATCAGATATATTGGAATCTCTAACTAACTAAAATGACAAAACCCGCGTTTTCAACAATCTGGGCGGACATAGATGACTAACTGTAATATGCACTTTTGTATGGTATGGATGGTACCATGTGTCACATGATATTCAGGGTATTTTACCCTGTTTCCACCATGTATTCAATCTTAGTATTCGACATATAATCTTGGAGAGATGCCGGAAGGGAGTAGGAGAAATCGATGTATTTTGAACTATATCGGGATAAGAGAAATGCTATGGCATTTTAGGCAGGAAAAAAAAGCACTCTCGGCCCCCCCTCCATAGTCCACAGTTTGGATTATCTTCTCCCATTGGACTATGGCCAATTCCCGACCCATCATGACCCACCTCGTGTCCACTCTCTCAACCCAAAATCAAAGGCAAGTCGTTCCGGCATTGGAAACCTGCATCGACTGCCAATGACTTGTTTGGTAAATATATGCTCTAATTTATATAATCTCTGCAAGTTGATCCTGTCATGACACGCCAATCTAAGACACGTCGGACACGCTCACTAGGCGGCTGTAAGACGTGTAAACGCCGCCATGTCAAATGCGAACAGAGTCGCCCGGTCTGTCAGACTTGCTCTACACGAGGATTAGTTTGTGAGGGCTTTTCAGAAGAGGTGCATTGGATGCCTGAGAAGAAACTTCGGGGCTCGCAGACATCGTCAAATGACAAACGAGGATATTTGACTAGCCTCGGAATAAGGCGTCATCTATATACCGGTACGCGGCAATCCAACCCTAATCCCTGCGATGTGACTGATCCTAGTATCAGAACAATATAGACGTTCAATGGGGTCTATAATTAGCAAAGGTCTCGTCTCGGGATCTATCGATGCTTCTTTGGAGGAGATTGATTTGAGGTCGCAGGATCCTAGCTTTTTCTCTAAGGATGAAACACAAGTTGGACCTTTCGCAGTGCTGAATTTCACCAATGCATCCTCTTTCAGTGGTGAGGAAGCAAATAATGTTGTAGCAGACTCGATTGAGTCTGGCTATGCACCCGCTGCAGATCATGGCAACCCAGAATTCGGTCTTTCTTCATATCCAGCTGTCGACATTCCGGGCTGTGCAGATGATTTGTTGCAATGGTCAGATTTGTTCAGTATGAGTGATGACTTCCACGGCACTCTCTCTGGTTCTCCCCTCGGTCTTGGAAGTTCTCTAGACTTTTCTCAACTGGATTGTCCAATCACTGCAATGGGTTCAGCATTTGAAGATACCTCGCACCCGCCGCCTTATCTTGCACAGACCCTATCTCCTATAAACATAATGGGAGATGCTTCCTTTTTGCTCAAAAACTTTCAAAAGAACATTGTTCCTCAAATGACCGTCGTTCCTCTTGCTAAGAGCCCATGGAATATTCTGAATGTTCCTACGGCATTAATCACACTGGGAGAACTGACCATCATGGAATCTGAAGATGTCAGCCATGCCCGACAGGCGAATCTTTACAGTCTGCTCGCTTGTTCTGCTGTTTACCTAGCAATGACTTCGTCGGCGGGGACGCTTGGCTCGTGCCCAAGGGATCATTGGATAGCAGTCGCAGAGCAAGCTTATCAGGATGCGAGGAGCCATATAAATATCTCCTTGGTCGATGAATCAGGTGGTTCTAAGAAAGCCAAGTTGAAAGATCAGCTTATGGCGATATATGGGCTAACGGAATATGCGGTAAGTTCTATCGTTCTTTAGGATGTGAGCTGCATACTAAAGTGGCTTAGATATTCTCCGGTAATTACTTAGATGCCCGAAAATATCTTATTGACGCGGAACGTCTTCTGCGTTTTCGTGGATTGGCCAAACGCAAGATATCTCAGAAACTCCGCCTTCTGTTCAATATCTACGCATGGCTCCGCCTTGTGGGAGAAAGCACATACGTCTTGCACAGCTATGTTCCATCGGACTCATTCATTGATAGCCTTAACACCAATTGCCAGGTTCAAACACCACCTGCTGGTGAACGTTCCACGGCAGAAATTCACTCGCGCTGTCGTCGAATAGACGACTTTCTCTATTTCGAGAACTCAGAAGGCGATCTCAATATTGATAAACCGAAGGACCGCAGATTGGACATTCCCGATATTCACTTGCAAGACTCACGAATATCAGTTGAAAGTCTCTGCCAACAGGTCTATGGTATCCCCGAGACAATGCTGAGTTTGGTCTCACAAACCACTCGGCTCGCGAATGTCATAGAGACCTTGCGGAATGCACAGAATTCACTATTTCAAATTAGCGACCATGTTTTAAGGACTTTGGAGCGACGAAGTACACGTCTTGAAAACGTGGTCAACACTTTTAGAAACCGTGAATTGGCTGCGAGTCTTGGCGAAGACCAAGCCTCGCCATATAAACTCATGGTTCAGGCCTTGAACTCCGCTCTTGTTATATTCTTCTACAGAAGAGTGCGACAGGTCCATCCAGCAATATTGGGTGGTCATGTTGACCACGTTATCGCCACTTTGGAGGCTTGGCTATCACTTATCAAGGATGGAAGTCCAGTTGGTCCTGGGACTTTGTGGCCCATTTTCATCGCTGGATGCGAGGCTACTACGATATCACAACGAGACGCTATCCTATATATAGTGGATCAAGCAGGAACTAAGAGTGGGCTTCAACCTTTCAGGACCGCTAAAGATATCATGTCTGAAGTTTGGAGGAGACAAGATGAACAGCAGGCGGCTAATCTTGGTGACCCTCTCCCGACTTGGATGGATGTTTTGAAAATGCAAAAACTCTGGCCCATGTTCTGTTGACTGCAGCGTCTCGGTCATTGCATTTATAGATGTTTCGAACCAATTATGATTCACCCGATCTTACAGACGACTCCCAAGCTTCCTCTGCTCCTTAGCCAGCACATCTACCATCTCGCAAACCTTCTGAGCAGCCCCATAGCTAAACACGTATCCAAGACCGCCAAACCCATAAGCATGCACAACGTTTCCCTCGGTCTCAAGGCGATATCCACCCTTCCTCCCAGGCCGAAAAGCAACAATATCCCTCTTCACATCGCGCTTCAGATCAACGGAATCAAAACTACCTTCCGAAAGCTTCTTCGTCCGCCGAAGAATATCATCCCGCAGATCTTCATCCACTTCCCGCGAAAAGTTCCCCGGCTGGCTGATACCACCCATAATAGCACTACCACTATACATGCGCGGGATGACATACGTATAATGCGAGCCCTGGTGCATGGATAGCTCGTCGAAATCAGTTTCCACAATCATGGTCTGTCCGCGAATAGCTACCATGTCCTTGTCGTTTGCAAGTTCGGTGGCGCCTAGTCCCGATGCGTGGACAATCAATTTACAGCCCGTGATTTTCTTGGCTTCTTGCATGGTCTGAATGGTCTTTCGAATAAACTCCACTCCACGAGCTTCGAGCTCTTTCTTGATCCAAGGGAGGAACACGGCTGGGTTGACTGTTATGGACTGATATGTGAAACCTATCTTCGAGCCTTCTGGCAGATCTCTCGTCGGAATCTTTTGATATCGTGGTACAAGCTTCTTGTACCAGATACTCGAATCATTCTCTCTGTCATCGTAGTATTCGGTTGCTTTCACCACCTGTTTCACGATATCAGTATTGCACAATAGAAAGATACTTGTGGAATGTTAAGCCTTACCTGAACTCCGCTAGTCGGATCCCTATATGCAAGAGCCCAATAATATTTGAAGGTTTCTACCTGGAGAGGCTCGCCACCTACGTCTGGGTGGGGGAAGATTGCTGCGCCAGCCCTAATGATGATATTAGCGATTGCATCCTAGATGCATACCGAAGGGATGGGATACCAAGGGCTTGCCCATTCTATACTTTCATCACCAGGTAGGTCACGAGCGACTATCGTCACCTTGTAGCCGACATCTGTCAGTGTGAGGGCGGATAGAAGGCCGATGATCCCAGAGCCGATGATTGCAACTTCCATTTTGCTGAGGCACGATATTAATTTCAATATTTCTTCGGAAAGTTGAGAGAGTGAAACGAAATGCTACAGCTTAAATTCATTGGACTTCAACTTATAGTATTGTCATGGAGCTTGCGGAACGACTTGCACATTTTCTATCCTCGCGGTAAGGGGTCTGTTCGCCTTTACATTATCCACACTATCTTCTCTATACCCTTTTTCGTGGAGTCTGCCTCTACCCACCCAGCTGGCTAATTACATGGATGTACGGAGTACATACATACATGTACTCTGTATCTAGAGAATGGAAAATGGAATAGAAAAAAAAAGTGATATCCTAATACACCGTAGAAAAAAGAGAAAAAGCGAAAAAAAAATAATCAGAACCAGAACTAGCAAGATGATCTCGTGAGAACGACCTCCCTAGTTCGACGTTTCGTTGCAGCCATTCCATTCTCCAATCACTCCACCTGAGCATGAGAAAGCAACCATAAAAGAATATGGAAAAACAACGCCTCTCCGATCTGAAGAAACCTCACCACCATGATCCGTAGCAAGATGCTTTAGGGACACCACCAGAAACAATTTGACGCGTGGTTCCCAAGCAACATAACGGTGCGTTTCTTAGTCTTGACGGCTACGCTTCGCGCCGTGGGGGTTCCAGGAACCTCCGTCGGAGCCACCAGTCTGATTGTTAGGGTTGTAGTAGCCCTGATTAAATCCGGGGTTGGGACCCTGGAAACCTTGTTGTCCTAGAATATGGTCAGCATCAAAGAACGAAAAGAATAGCCATAACCAGTATGTATATCGTCATCACTTACCTTGCATCGGCATATTGCCTCCCATACCGGCTCCCATGCCGCCGCCCATCATGGGGTTCATACCAGCCATCGGGTTCATGCCCATGCCACCCATGGGGGGAGTCATACCAGGCATACCCATCATGTTCGGACCGCCGCCCATGGTGTTTCCACCACGACCGCCGCGCATACCAGCACCGCCACGCATACCGCCCATCATGTTGCCGCGGTTGTTGAATCCGTAGTTCTGCATGCCGCCCATCGGGGCACCCTGGAAGCCACCCATCATGGGGTTGGGCGCGCCACCACCTTGGAATCCACCCATGGGATTGAAGTTGTTGCGGTTGTTAAAGTTGTTGTTCATGTTACCACCCATGCCGCGGTTATTGAAGCCGCCTCGGCCGCGGAATCCGCCACCGGCGTGGTTGTTCATGCCGTAGTTGGGGTTGCCACCGGTGCTGTGGGCTGCGCCGCCGCCGCGACCGCCAGCATTGCGCATCGGGGTATCCTTGGGGAGAGTCTTGAACGGGTTTTGGTGGGGGCTGGTGTAGTGCACGGTGTGCTTGCGCGCGGGGCTACTATTGCTTTCGATGTTGTGCTTAGTCGCGGTCGCTGCCTGCGCAGTGGTGAACTCGACAAACGCTTGACTGTTAGGGTTTAGAATGTTAGTATCGATTTTTGATATAAACTCTTCTTTGCGACCGAGTAAATAATGTTCTTACCCCTTGCTCTTGCCGTTAACTTTATGCTCGCTGAAGGTCACATCCTTCAGCTGATTCTCAACTCCGGCCTGGTTCACCCAGCCTCGAATGTCGTCATCGGTTGTCCACCAGGATAGATCCGAGATCAGCAAAGCAGTTGTAGCATCTGGATCCACGGATTGGTCCTCGTATTCCTTTCGCTTGACTCCCTGAGGGGGTGCAGGCAGACCATGGTGGGATGTCTGCTGCTGAGGGGCCGACTGAGTTGCATTGTTGTTCACCTGCTGGGCCTGAGCGGGAGCAGCGTTCTCTTGCTTGACGGTGTTGGACGATTCAGTGCTGGGCTCAGGCTGATTCTCGGGAGCATCCAGAACGAGCTCAGAATCATCCTGCTTGAATTCTCCAGGCTCATTGGTATTGTAAGTACCATCGCCGTAGATGTCAATATCGAAGTTATCGTCGTCGATAGCCATTGCGAACTAAATTAGTATCCTCTTCAGGGGATTGGACCTCAAAGAAATGATTGAAATTGCCTGAGTATCTGATGTTTCGATAGTACAGGCCCTTCTTCTTGATCCTTTCCGCTTCTGAGCAAGTCAAGAAAAGTGCATGTCTGCAAATACAAGCCACCAATTAGTATTAAGAAAAACAACATGAAAAAAAGCGCGATTAGTGTAGGGGTATGACGATTCCCGTATTAGCTCCCAGCAGCCCGTTGGATGTAAGTCCTCACAGGTAAAGCGGACGGAAAATTGGCCAAGCCCCCGAAGGGTAACATAGGAAGAACAGACATGAAAACAAAGAGGCCAGACAATACGTACAATCCGAAGCGAAGAAAGCGCTTCCGGGAGAAACAAGACTTGCGCGAGCTGCAGACGCGGTGTACAGAGAATGGGAATCAGGTTGTTCCGCGAATATTCGGATACAGTAGAAAGAGGAAAAGGAGAAGAAGAGAAGGTTGCCACAGACAGGCAACTAATAACGAATGGTGGATGGGGGGAAGATAACAGGAGTCGGGCAGTGAGAAGCAAGGGAAGGGAGCTCTTTTGGGGGGGGGTATAAACGCAATCGCCGAGAAAGAGATCTGCTCAATCACACGCCGCGTATTTAGTTCGAGTTCGCCAGGGACCTTAGACAATAAGAAACTGGAACGGGAAGGCGATGAGCGATGAGCGACGATGAGGTCGGCGAACGACACGACTGGCCAGACCTTGGAGCTGGAACAAATATTATCCGTCCGCCCCGGGCTCCATAGAGGCCAATTGGTCATTTCCGGAGAAACCACCTGTTCTTCTTCAATTGTCGCGACTTCTTTTCCCTTCAAAAGCCTTCAAGATCGGTTTTCATTTTTCTCATAATTCTTCTTGTTCGCCACCATGTCTGAGACTTTCCAAGAACTTGCCGATATCCCTAAGGACTTCATCCGGGAGGGTTCCCAATTTGTTCGCCGCTGCACCAAGCGTATGTTGATCGGCAGTCTTTCGTGAGTTCATAACACGCTGACTCTTTCAATAGCCGACAAGCGTGAATTCATCAAGATCAGCCAGGCTGTTGGCATGGGTTTCCTTGTTATGGTATGTACCATTGTGATGACCCCTGGATCGTATTGCAAGGCGGAATAACTGACACCGCCGATAGGGAGCCATTGGCTACTTCGTTAAGCTCAGTATGTGTTCCAAAATGCGGATTTTAGTCTGCATATGCAGGTTTAATGTATTGTTGTACTAACCTGCTTGTTGCAGTTCACATTCCCGTCAACCAGGTCCTGGTCGGTGGCGCCTAAGGGAGAGACGCTCCCAGGAGATGTCCAGATCCATCTGACATGTTAAGAGAGATGGGAAAAGAGTTGACACAATGGGGACCCTCCAAATGGGAAGAGATGGAGAACGATAAGAGGCGTTATCGCGCAAATACCCCGATCAATGACACCGCTCCATCATCTCGACTGCAGCGATCTTACCTACCCCGCGGGACCACCTAAGGTCCCAAACAACCTGGACTGCGAGCTCTTCGGTGCTGGAAAGCACCCACTTTTCCTTTTTATGTTTTGAATTTCCGTGGCAACACCATCAGTCACTTGGCGCTTTTTTTGGCGAGCGATAGGAGGCAGAGCATCGCTATCTATGAGATACCACCCTTTTTCGCATCCTGTATCAATAGGGATCCTTGTTTTACTTAATCCACACCCTTCAAGCTTTATTTCCCTTTACAATTTCTTGATATAGGCCTTATGAACATCCCGGCATCATATCTACAGCGGTGGACAGGACGGAATGATGTATTGCAGTTCGCCAAAGAAATGTGCATCGAGTATGTATTGCGCAAAGATACATTAATGAAGACCACCAGGATGTGCAAAATCAAAAGCTAACTGGGAATGCTTTTGTGCTTTTGTTGGACGAACATTCATCCTTCTACCATATTGTATCTTCTGCTTCCTGATCACCAACCCATCGACGAACAGGCCGACTGCGCAATGGACGCCGGGGTCGACCGTGTGGTGCATTCTCGCGATATTCGTCGAACTCAGGGATGTATCGTAGTCTGTCGTCATAATTCTTGCCGACCGGTGGATCTCCCTCGTCTTTAGCGGCACCGGCATTCCAAGAATGCACAGTACAAGTACCAGTAGACAAGCCCCAGCCGTTCCAGGAAGTTGCTGAATATAGGGTTAGCAATGGCTATAAAACTAATGTTCCGGGGTATAGTTCTTACCTGCTAGTACCGGCGCACTCGGGTGCCAGCTCGCATCGCGAACGCATGTCCTCCACAACATCTCCCCGCTCATCTCATATGCTGTAGCATAGGCATCTGGATCGCGCGGTCGGGAGTTAAGTGTAGCTTGACCAACGTCAATGGTGCCGGCTAGCGTGGCATCCAAGTTGTACACATAAACCTTGCCATCCTCACTCCCGCTGTAAACATAGCGCGAGTTTGTGCTTCCCGGTGGCGAGAAGTGGCAGCGGATCAAGGTCTTCAGGACTCGGTGGCCCCGATATGTAACAACAGAGCAGTCATTCTTGGCGTTTCTGCGGTACTGGTCTGGATACTGCTCGAAGCGGTAATCGAAGCCGGTTGTGTAGTCGACGGGGTCGATGTTTTCGATATCGGCGGATGTCATCATCTTCCGCAGATCCCAAAGCTTCATCGTTTGGTCTTTGCTATTTGACAGGACATATCGGCCGTCGCCTTTGCTGTCAACGTATGTTAGTCCCTCGGTGTGGCCCATAAAAGCGCCGGCTTCGCGCCCATCGCCCATTGACCGCCGGTCCCAAACCCTAATTGTCGTGTCATCTGACCCAGAGTACAGGATATGTGGCGATGATGTGTCGCCGTAACACACAGCATTGACATGATGTTGATGCCGATCTCGTAGGTTTAGAACTGGCTGTCGTGTTTCCAAATCATAAACGATGACCGAGTCTTCTGATGTGCCGGCGACAACCTCACGTCCATCTCCAGAGAATCGAAGAGACCAAATCTATTAAAGATGCACCACGTTAACCATTGAAGTCACAATTAAAGCATCAGTATACATACCCCGAAGTGTGAACTACCCCAGCTCCGCCTTCTCCTTTGGCCCGGTGGAGTAGATAAGTCTAGAACCGTAGGATCCGAATTGTCCTCTGGGTCTGTGGTGGCCATGTATGCCTGACTTCGTATTGAACTGTAGACAAGGAAGCGGTTGTCGGGGCTCAACGTCGCATCGGTGATAGTCCACTGGCCGAATGGATAATCAACGGTTTTGTAGTATTTCCAGTCGTACGGATTGGATGTGTCGTACATTCGAACTTTGAAGTCTTGTGCGCAGCAAAAAAAGAAATTGCCATCGTCAGAGAACTGGCCTGAATAGCTTCGCGTGTCATAGTGAATGATCTTGTCCGCAACTGAACTTGGAATGAGGCCCTATTAGGTGCCAAACGCATGCGTTAGTCCCTCTCGCTATTATAATCTTCGCGTGCCGACTATACACTTGGCCTACCTGAGAGATAGATTGGCCCGCTCTTTTCTGCACTCCATCCGTATCAATGCCTAGTTCTCGCCACATCAGGCTGGTCGCTATAGATTTCTTGCGCTGCCTGAGCCGGTCGCCGTAGAATTGGTCAGTTCCGAAATGACCTTCGCCCATCAACTTCTTGCCCTCCGGGTTAGGAACCGGTGGCAGTTTGAGGGCTTCCGCGGATCGCCTGGCTCGGAGGCGGTTTCGGAATATGGGCATGAAATCTTCGTCGCTTAGGTCGTCCTCATTTTCCAGCTGCTCTTGCTCTTCTCCCATGCCAGTCGGCCAACCGTTGGCTTGGAGGATATGTTGTAAACCACTGGATGCAAGCAACTCGAATAATCGGGAAGCCGGTACTGTAATTTGTGAGCTATTGTAATGATAGTACCTTTCGGGAATTTCCAGCACAACGTACCACGATGGTGGCCCTCGTTCAGATTATCTGTGTCCTCGCTTTCCGAGCCGTCCGCTGTAAGTTGGATCTGGATGTTTCCGATGCTGATGCGGGTATTGTCTTTCACAACGAAGCGGTTAGTCCATTTGTATAGGATTCTGAGGGCCTAGATTTTAGTCCTACCACTTGCAATCCCCGAGCCCATTTGTTGATCTTCATTGGATATGTCATCCTCCCATGCGCCATCGTGCTCGGACGGCTCTACCGCGGGGTGGTAATCGGTATCCAACTCGTCGTCCTCCAGCCATTCGCGGGCGGGATGCCAGGTCCCCTCTGAGCCCCTTGGAGATTCTCTCCCATTATCAGTTGTCCTTGAACTCATAGTGTATAGTTATGGAAGTGGCAGATGAGGAGACATGGTGCTTATCGATACATAGATAAGTTCCGGTCTCGGTCACGGGCTGGATTTGGGTTATGTCATTCATCGTCTTAACTCCGAGGCTTAAATCCGATGACGGCTTCCAGTATGTAAGGTTGGCTTGAGAATTGTTGCCAAGGTCTTCAAGCACCGCCTTTGTATCCTTGAAGAACAAATATAAAGGGCCATTCCCCCCAAAGACATCTAGGTTAGGACGAATATATAGCGTTGGCGCACTAACGAATGTCTGCAAAGAACATTTCCAGAATATAAAGCCGAAGCATTGGCTTATTCCGAACTTATCCCTTTCGGACTAAGCTTTGCATCTATAAGTTTGCCTCCAGCTGTCTCACCCGCATGGTGTCACCCGCTCCAGCCCTGTAACTTTGGTGCGATTGAATCACATCGTTTCCCGCAAGTAGTAGTACAGTACTCAATTTACCCTTTAAGAACCTAGATGGGCACATTATATGCAGGAAAGCAGAAGCCTATGGTGAATGCATCTTATCATTTGAAGGTAAAAGCACTTCGCTGAAGATATGTTCCTATAGTGGCTAAAGTAAGAGGAAGACCGGTAAGTCGCTTTATAAGACGTTTTGCGTGAGGATCTAATAGCGGTTATTAGTAGGTCATAGGTGTGTATTTAGTTATCATACCTAATAGAACATTTTCTCTTTTCGATCGGGTTTATAGGATAGCGAGGCCATCTTTAATATCCAAGAAAGGCTATATATGCAGAGTGGTTCCTGCAATATGATCTGGCCGTCGGGTGGTCACTAGAATAGCCCTATAAGAAGCAGGTGGATAATAGTCGTTGATCTCAAACTAGATTGGGTCGTTATAGTTATCAAAGATCAACAACCATCTTGTGTTTGTGGAATCAGATAGCCACCGATGTATACGTCCGACAATCTCTTTGCTTTCTAGGAGTTGGGGATGCTGGAGGTGAAAGATAAGGCTTGCGATTGATCGAAAATTATGTTTGAGTGCAGCCTCAGATGCTGCATTCAGCCAAAACACCGAGCTATAATATCTAGACCGCGACTCTGCGTAAGCGATAGTAAGCCGGGTCTTGCCGATACCACCAATCCCACCCAGAACTAGACGCTGTTACTTTGAAGCTCCTGAACAGGGTGTAAACTCCTTCTTCTGCTCAATATAAACACCATAAGCATCGAGTGCTTCTTTGTCTCCTTCTCTGACACTGCTAAACGTTTCGCTTGTTTCTTCATCCTCGCCTGAGCCTCAAGCCACCTCTTCACTCAATAAAAAAAAACCTGACTACGTCGTGCAACGCCAGGGTCGGGCTTTGAAGAATTTCGAGAACTGTCCGTCTTTCAGGTCGTAGGCAGCTATTAGGCCACGGTCTGGAGGGTCGAGAAAGGCGATTCACACAATATGGCACAGACGCTTACCCTCCCTTCTGTCTTGGTTTGGGGGTAAAGGAGTACCTTTGGGTGGCATCGCGCTTGGCTCACCCTCGGGTTCCATCATCGTGTGTCCTCCTGTGCCTGGCCTGAGGTCGGACAAAAGTGGACAAAGCATACTCTCGTCAACCTTAAGCTTACTCCACGCACGCAGCTTCTCAACATGTGCCCTCCAATTCGAATCCGTTCGATCTGCCAGGTTCTGTTCAATGAGCTGCAGATGCTCCATCAGCCGAACCTCCTTACAGACAAAATTTTGGAATTCTGTTAGCTCCCAGATATCTTCACTACGGCGGTACATGAACCCGCCGTACTTCTTGTGTCTGCCACCCTTGCGAAATAGCAATTCTTGCATACGAACAACATTCGATCGATACTCATTGACGGAGTAGCGGTAATATGAGGGATTTTCATCGCGTGAGAGTTTGCGTGTGTTCTGCAAGAAGTTGTGTACGTTCTGTTGGCGCAGACCCGCCACATCCATGGGCGTGCAGCCTGACCCGTCGATAATGTTCCAGTCGAGCTCTTCATATTCGAATTCTTTTAACGCGTCGAGATTCCCCGTTTCAACGGCAAGGTGAATGGCTGCGAAGGCCTCGGAGCTAGGACATGTCATAGCGTTGAGATACTCAGGCTCGGGGTACTTTCTTAGTATGTCGGAAATTATCTCGCGCGGAGCCCTTGGAGTGTAAGTAAGAGCCCCTTCTGGGATCACCGATGCGAGATGAAGGATGGTCATGTGTTTTGTGGGGGCATCACTTTCCACTACGGGATCAAAGAATTCTTCATGGCTCGGTGGTGTTAATTCCAGTAGAAACGAAATCTGTTTATCCGCCGTTGAATAACGCCGACTTTTTTGAATGAGTCGGCCAATGAATGTCGTACTCTGGCCATTTGCGTCTGTTCTTCGGCACAGCGTGTCGCAATGCTCCTCGTAAAGCTTGCGAGCGCGTTCTTCACAGCCACCTAGGAGAGCGATCTCGAAAGCGGACATTTGACCCTCGTCTTCGTTTGGGGGAAGCGGTGTACCTTTGGGTGGCATTGCGCTTGCCTCACCCTTGGGTTCCATCACTGTGCGTCCTCCTCGGCCTGGCCTGAAGGCAAACTCCATCTTAAAACCACCGGCAGATGTTCCCTGCTGAATGGTATCCTGGTCCTCATTTGGTCCAATGACTTCCACTAGCTTCTCATCCCGAACCAGTTCCAGCGTGAGATTTGATTTGGAATTTGCTCCGAGTCTTTCTTTGATACGATAGAGATATTCAACGTAATCCGATGTTTTATGGCCTTGAATAGATGCCTTGAGTTCAAATTCCTGCTCTGAGCTTGATGTTTCCTCCTCCGCGATGGGTAGTAGATATCCGATCGCTTTGGAGTCCTCAACCTCAAGGGCATTTTGTAAAGTCATGATTAGATTCTCGGTCGTAGGTTCCATCTCCAGGGTGCGTAAATGACTCAATACGAAAGGTTGTCCAAAGAGGCACGCCGCCGTGAAGACAGACTGGCGAGCTCGTGTAATTGTGTCATAGCACACAGCGTGGCCTTGAGAGCCACGATTTAGGAGAATGTTGATGGTCTGCTTACATTGCGTGACATGATCCTTGCGGTGGAGGAGGACCCGGTCCCACAGACCTTGATACCAATAGTCTACCGCGCACCACAGAGGCGTGACTTTCAGAGTTCGTGTTTCATAGCACATCCAGTCCCAGAGCTTCCCATACTTCTCGTTCTGTGGCAGTAGCGCATGCAGTACGTCTGATAGATGCAATCTCGCAGCATAATGCACGGGCGAATATATCCTGCCTCTCTGCTTGTCAGGCATATCGTGGTCGTATTTTTCGTAGGGCTTGGCACCATTGAATGGATCTGCGCCCAAAGAAATAAGAGCAGAAATTGCGGCAAGATTTCGATTTGCAACAGCAAATAGGAGTGCTGTTGCACTCAGAAGAGTGTCGGATAAATCAGTTTGTCCGATGGTACACTGTGTCTGTAGTTCGCACCGTGCTTCCAGATCTGCTCCCGAGTCTTTTAGCAGCTTTGCTATTGGAAGAATTTGTTCGTCTGGGAAGCTATGAAGGTAATGTAAAGGTGTGAGTCCATCAGAGTTTGCTTTAGGAGTTGCACCGTGCTCAATGAGAAGCCTTGCAATCACATAGTCACCTTTTTGGCAAGCGCAAAGGAGAAGGGTCGAATCTTTGCCTATATCCATATCCAAGTCAATACCGGGTAGTTGAAGTACCACCTGAAAACTGAGATGCCAGCCTTTGCCAACCAAATAGAGGCAGAGATCAGGAAGAAACAATATCGGCTCTTGACTGCCCTGAAGAAAAGCACTTTCAGAGAACTCTTGATCCGAGGTTGCGGATGAAATGACAAGGGAACCCAGAATCTTGGATGCCACCAGATCAACCCTTTCTTGTATCGCTTCAATGTGTCTAAGGGGACTTAGAATCTTCAGTCTGGATGAAGCGAGGAGATTGCCTGCCACGGCGGACGCATAAAGCCAGCCGGCCTCAATATCTTTGTCGATGGGATTTGACATGCCGATCCAGTCTAGTATTGTCCCAACGTGAATGCGAGCAGCTTCACAACCAAGTTCGGCAGCTTGAAGGAGATATTTGCCAGCGTCCTGAAGGGATTCACCTTCAAAGGGGGCTACCCTGTGGCTTCCAATGATGAAGGCCGCCATTTCGTAAGAAGCGAGGCCACGTAAGTTTTCATCTAGCTGACCAGAATCAGCCATTTGGCCGAGGGAGACATGAAAATCCATAGTGACCCGTGCCGGCAGGCGCCTTAGCCTGCTGAAATATTGGTTGAACTGGATCTGTCAGAAGATGCTCTGATTTGAGTTGCTCATCCTCACCGATATGATGCTCTCTGCAGGCGAAGGTCGGGTCAAGTACGCCGTCGACAATGAAGAGTTCGTGACCGCAGTTGGAAGTGAAAGGTTCATGTTTTTCCTACTTTCGGTGTAAGCTTTCGACCTAGCTACATCTGGGTGGCGAAGTAGAGGCACAGGCGACTCCGGGTCTGCTTGTTGGTTGATATCTGTCGCAGCAGTGTACCAACGTGCAATCACTTCGCCTAATCCAATGCGAAATATATCTGGAGAAGTTGGAATACATGTTAATTTCTTGGTTGACCACAATGGTTCTCACCTGGGCAGAGGTAGACATCTTCCTCAAGCTCGTCTAGGGTATCATTGATCCGAACATCTCCAGTCACCGCGATAACGAGCTCACGATGCAACATCGCTCTTAATAGTCTGAGAGGTAGATCAGTTCCGGCAATTGCTATTTCCTCGCCGAGAGACACTTCCAAGCGGAAGAACGTTGCAATAAGTGCATTGACATCTTTGTTGAAGCATGTCCCCTGCAATTTATTGGCTTCGCTTTGCATCCTCAAGATGAGAGCAGCGAGGGCTCCTTCTTCGGCCTTGAGTTCGTCGAGGGACTTTCCACTATCACCGGACCTTGCGACCTCTTCGAAGACGGCGTCCATGGGGTATCCGATCAACAAAAGCGAAGTTACCAGCGTCAATGAGTATATGTCAGCCGCGCGGAGTTGTCGCACATTGAGTGCTTCAGAGACCTTCGGACTCTGCCACAGCAGTGTTCCCGATTTCAGTCGTGTTAAAGCATCAACCTCGCTGAGGAGGACGGAGGATCCGAAGTCAGTAAGCTTTGCGTGTGGCCTCTCGTCGGTGTCTGCGAAAATCAAGACATTCTCTGGTTTGATGTCTGCATGAATGACTCCGGCATCATGTACTGCACGTAGCCCTTCGAAGCAGTGAATGGCTAGACGAAGCCTGTCTCGAGCTCCTAATTTTGACGTCTGTCGAAGGTATGTGGACATATCACCAGCTTCGGCGGTTTCGAGGACCATTACAGGCATCGCAAGTCGGCGCAAGTCATTACCAAACTCCCAGCAGAGACCAAGAAGTTCCACTACATTTGGATGGTTTTTGAGCCGTTCGTCCTTAAGTATTTGGATCTCTGTCGCTAGAGAGTCCAGTGTACATTGGCCAGAGGCGACATGTTGATTGACGTTGCTCCCCGGCTGATCGACGTTGCTCTTCGGCGTTCGTAGGATGACAGTATTATATTGAAGAAGCACAAATCGATGGATCATGCTAGGCTTCAACTTCGAATCGACACATTTTAGGAGGTCAGAGGGCCGGCTCCGTACGATGTGAAAGTAGCCACCAGTTGAAAAGGGGGACTCTTTTTCAAAGACCTTTTCCTTGATGCAAATATTTGCAAGCAATTCCGTCTTGGGCAACGGGCGATCTCCGATAGCATCAAGGGCTGTTTTAAGGAGTGAATGTAGACTGCAAGTGAAATCTCGCGATGCGTTGGATGTTTGTGCCATCGTTCGAGACACAGACGAAATTCAAGGGCAAGATTGACAGACGACCAGGATAAGCTGGAGGAGAGTCGTAGAGTCCACTTCTAGTGACGGTCCACTCTTGCACTAATGTGAAAGTGTAAGATATAACCAGCTGTCAGGATAGTGCCTGTCAATTAGGTAAGGCCACAATAGGATAGAAGGGGGTTTGATCTACCATATGAAGAAACCAATTCTTGGAGAACGTATGATACCAACTTAGACAATATATTGTTGCGTCACAAGTTTAATGTCGAAACGGTGATGATATAGACCCGAGACCCGTTATGATTTTATCTAGCGTATTTCTGAACTGATGTCTTTATTAGACGTCATCCATGCCAGGTGTGTGATCCATATCAGATATCATCTGATAAGGCATTCAGGCTAGACCTCAACAAACCCATGGGTATTAGATATGGGAGTATGTGTGTGGTTCTAACAAATGATTACTTCTCTGGACTCTAAGCGGCCGTTTGCAGACTTGTAATCTATATGTTGTGGATCAAACTGCTGGTGTATCTTAACCACCACGTCTTACTGCTGAAGTTTAGTTTCGATAGACCTGTTTCTAAACTGTCCGAGATCGGTATCATACTAAAAACAGCTTATTCTGTATGGTTTTACATAGATCGTAAGGTACAGGCGCTTCAATTCTGCTTTCTCGAATTTGAATAGAATGGAGTCGTCCTTAATGCCAAAGAGAATATTATTTGGAGACCCACGATACTACTTATTGCTTCCTAGCTTTTAGCTCACCCTAATGTGGTGACGGAATCCTCCTCATTTGGGAGCAGCGGGAGTTGGTCGAGGCCAATCCTAAGAGGCGGATGCACCAGACAAATATGAAATGTCCATCTGGGCTCCGGGTCTCAAAAGATCTCTATCAACGGTCGCATGAATGGCTGACATATGTGGCTGGATAGTTCTTAGATGGTCGTAAATTTCGATCTCTCGGGTCACTTTTGGACAACCTAAAACCCAAATTGCGGTTTGCAGAGGTCATCCACCCCGCAGTTCGCCACACTCGTAAACGTACTTTGAAGGCAACAAAAAAGTGTCTCAGATATCGGGCGATGAGAAATGCGTAAGAATAAATTCACACTGCATCCTCAGCTTCTTGCAGCCTCGAACCTCGCCTCAGCTGAGTGGCCAATGTTCAACGAGTGATCATGTCTGGAGTAGAAGCAATAGCAGTAATAGGGTTCACCATCCAGGTTGTCGACACGACTATTAGGGTGATCGACCTGTGGAAGAGTGCTAACGAAGTCGGTGAGGATGTCGTCGTTATAAACGCCAGACTTGACATGATACGAGCACGTCTCAAATCTTGGGCCCTGGATTGGGGATTCAAAGAAAACAAACACCTGGAGAATCGTCGTTTCAGAGAGTACGGGTTTCTTGCAGTCAGATACTTGCTGATAATCCAACATCGCCTGACTGCAATCAAAAACTTCGAGAAGAAGTTCCCCTCACTTTTCAAAAGAGCCGAACTTCCACAGGAGCAAGGCTCTGCTCAACGCGTGGTGCAGCTTTCTGAGATTGCCCAAGCGGATGCCCCCGGACTGCTGGAGCTGAAGGAGCTTCAAACGGAAGTAGCCGCCATCAACCACGCCAACATCATTCAACGATGGAGATGGGCACGTCGAGAGGGTAAAGGGTTGCAAATGGTCGACCAGGTTGCGACGCTAGTCAAGGAACTTCAGGACTTTTTTGTGCCTCCAGCTGTCGACCCTCTTGCCCCCGTGGTATTCAGCCAACAACTACTATCAGCGCCCAATGTGGCGGTATCGAGGGCGGCGCACGATTCTTTTGTCGGAGATCGAGCAGCGGAGATGGTAGGAAGCATTGCTAGTTTCAAAGCCGCGGCTTCAGAGATGGCCAATCATACAGAGACTCTCCGTAATCGCGAATTAATGAGGAGCCATCGAGGTATATCTCTCCAGGAAAGTGTGATCACCGCCGGAGGTTCGAGGGGAATGCGGAGTCTCGCCATGTTTCGGTCGCATGACATACCTAGCACACGAGTGTTGATCGAGTGGAGGACGGTTCCAAATACGTTACCCTCTATCGTCAAAGATGGACTGCACGATCAGATTCACGACTTGGGGTTGTTGCTGCATTCAGTAAATAAGCCTAAAGAGTTTCGCACTCTTGACTGTATTGCAGTTGTCGATATGCCTGTTGCTCCCCAGGAAGATGCTCGGTACGGTCTTATCTTCAAGCTGGACGAAAAGAAACAGGTCTTTACACTATTCGATCTGCTCACGAACGGAAATTTTGCTACCGAGTCGCTGAGTGACGTACTGAAGCTCGTACAAACGCTCTCAAAGGCACTCTTATTCCTTCATCTCGGCGGTTGGCTTCACAAGGGCATCCGAAGCGACAATGTTCTATTCTTCGCAGATGTTATCTCAAACGTCAATCTTTGTGAGCCCTACATTGGAGGCTTTGAGTACAGTCGGTCGTTTGAAGTCAAGAGATTGACACAGAATGTAGGCGATGACAAGTTCGAAAACTTATATCGACATCCCGATCATCAAGGACTCCCGTTAAAACAAAGTGACTCGGCCGATGTAAAGGCTGAGCGCCGTCAAGCTTTCTCATACGAGGCCGACTTGTATAGCTTTGGTGTCTTGATGATGGAAATTAGTTTTTGGTCGACTGCGTCGCAAATCGTGGAACGGTCCGTCCCGGACCACGCTGATAAAGTGGGATGTTTTAGAGAAGTCTTTCTAGATACGATACCGGGCATTAAAGTCCGAATGGGTGACGTTTTTTCTGAGGCGACTTCTTTGTGCTTGAAGAGTGGATTCTGTACAGGAGGGACTGGGCAGCCTGAGACTATCCAGGAAGCATTCTACCTATCTGTGGTCAGAGTATTGGAACGATGCTTTTTGTGAAAAGTGGGTAACCCTCCAGTCTCGAGGTCCTATATGATACCCAAAGCAAGGTGGATGAGGCAAAGCTAATGTATATGCGGGTAAAATTGGTGAAGAGGACGAATACGACCCTTTTTCTTTCAATGATGAAATCAATGCAATCTCTCTCACTCTGTCCTTGCTGGTATCGTTCAACCCAGTTTCCGATGTTAGAGACAATCCGAAAGGTACTCCTTCGGCAATGAGGCGAGAGGCTAGTTTATAGCTTGCATGGGGATTCGCCACTCCAAGAACAGTCTCAGTTAGGCTTTTCGATGATTGCCGATCTGGTTGGTTTTCATTGACCGGGTGCGATCTTCTCAAAGATTTCTCTCAGGTTTCTTGCTTTTTTATCACAAGCGTCCAGGGTATTCTCCAAGGGTTCACACACATCTTCGGGTATTGAGTCTTTTCTCGGTTTGAGGCTGCTTTTGCGTGTTGCGAGGGTGTGGAGAATAAAGGAGAGCCGGCGTCGAACAATTTCGAATGCCTCCGATAATTTGATGTCCTTGTGAGCACTGTCGTAGATTTTGATTGAAGTATCGATGAGAGTAATGAACACAGAGATAGTGCCGATAATTTCTGCCATCTTGAGAGGATCTAGCAACACAAAATTGCGGTTGTCCGAGTATCTCAGACTCCAAAATGTGGTATCCCGAGTAGCAGCAGGATAGTTGATAGAGAAAGAGAGGTATAACTTCGCACTCAAGATTTACAGGGCTTACTACATACGTGATGAACCATCCCCTGTATGTGACCAGAACACTCAGGCACAAATACACGTGTCAATAGTTCATTTCTTCCCGAATTACATCCACCACGTAAGTGCGCATATACCCACCAGCGTACCAATGGGGCTGATTTCGCGGCATTTTTATACTAGATACCAAATATAAGTTCCCCAATAGCCTCACAACTTCCCTTTGACCCAGCACTCTTGCCCACTTAATAACATTATGACCAGTTACATCCTCAATGTTAACATCTGCTTCTTGACTTATCAAGAAACATACTGCGTCCTATTTACCAAGCTGTGTTGCTATGTGCAAAGAAGTCCCCAAGCTTATAGGATAGAATCCCCCAAGAGAAGAATAATTCTCACGCATCAGGGTGTTTAAAGGGGTACCATTATCAACAAGTAATGTTAACGCATCGTTGAGTTCTATTTGTCGGGTCGACGTTCAAGTGGCACACAGTGTGAGTGCATATGTAGCTACGACTAGTTCCAAGGGTGCCACCTTGCAATATATCGCCCATTCCGGTATGACAGGCTATACAACGTCATTCTGTTTTTGTGCTTCTTCCCCCTCATGGCCTTTCTTCTGCCTTCCGCTTCCCAAGCCCCCTCCTTTCTTCGGCACCCGAAGCAGCCAATACACACCAACAGCTCCCACGGCATTAACCACAACATATACCAGGACAATTCCGAAATCCCTCCAGCGATCCTCGTACCGGATATTGACCGTGCTGAGATACTCCTTCGTATTGCTCAGTTGGCAAAACTCACAGTGCTCGGTGTTGTTTGGATCGATTAAGTACCCACCGAACGACGAGATGTAGGAGGTCATGTACGAGCCGCACGACTGGCTTGCTGGCGGGAGGAACTTTAGATATTCATTAGATGCACATACAATCTCCGTGTTGGCTACACCGGTCGAAAGAAGCCCGGAGGCGAGCCATGTAAACGGGGAAACGTAGTACATGAATATCCAGAATCCGGGGAGGGAAGTCTTTTTGACGAGGATGCTGTTTCGTCGTGAAAATAATGGTTAGTGTTGTTGTTCATCATAAGAGGCACAGCACAGACATAGAAGCCGCGAAGTGGAAACAGGGAAGGCAAAAACATAGTACATACCCGCAAAAAGATATACATAGCATATAGCAGATGTTTCCAACACTCCCGGCCGAATCGGCACTGTCGATCCCAGCAATGAGGATGTGCGTAAAGGTACTGGTGAACATCATAAAGGCCCAGATGAATAAGAACGCCAGACCGCCGCGGGAGGTGACTTCGTGCGTGGAAATGGCGTTCTGGTATAGTCCGATGGGATAGTACCAGCAGAAGTAGGCCATCACGGCCATCAAGGTGTTCCAGAAGATCTCAATCACAAGATTGCTCAGCATCAAGACTGGTTCATTGATTATGTTAGTCCAAGGTGTGTCTTGTAGGATTGATTTTAACTGTAGGGACTCCTTACCTTTCCAATCATATACCTTGGATGGCCCCTCATTCGCTTCATAGACATCCCGCTGGTTGATAAACTGAGGCATAATCTGCTCGCTGAGCTGTCCGAACATACTGAGTAGCATCATCACGGCGTACATCTGGTTCTGGAGCCCTTGGATGGTATTCTGCGCATTGTAAAAGCTGAACCCGATGAATAGAGCCTGCAGAAATAAACATCAATTAGATTCGAGACGTTCGGATAGCTTCTAAGACAGGTCTTTTTCGTCTGATGGATACTCACCGAGGCCACTGTAAGGGCGATTTTGGAATAAATGTACGACGGTGTTCTCCAGTATTGCGCAGCAACACGTTTCTGAACGAACCACCACTGATGCGAAAACGATGCGGCATAAGACCCGTTGTTTGACCGATTGGATGGCTGCATTTGTAGGTTGTCGTCTGTGGTAGTCCTCGAGGTCTGGATTTCGTGAAATTTCGCCTTGACGGACTGATACTCATGTGAATGACGCCAGATCTTTGGCCAGTCAACAGTGGTTTGCGATCCGGGCGCGGCACCGATCACGGTTAACATCCACTCGGCCGGGTTAGCTCCAGGAGAACACTGGCTTGCTCCATTGGACTCCAGATACCGGATGAGAGTGGCCGAGTCCTTGCCAATTTCTGGAAAAGAGAAAGAGATCCATCATCAGTATATGTATTTTTGCTATCCCGCGTTGGAACAGAAAGAGAGAGAGAGTAGAGCGCAGCCGACAAACCTCCAAAGTACACAGTTTTGCCGCCTTTCGCGAGAAGTAGCAAGTTATCGAATTCCTGGAATAGAATGGCAGACGGCTGGTGGATCGTACACAGAATCGCCTGACCACTGCGTGCAAGTCGTTTCAGCAGTTGGCAAATCGCCCACGAGGTCTGCGAGTCCAGTCCGGAGGTCGGTTCGTCCAGAAACAGGAGCAACTCGGGCCTCGCGGCTAGCTCATTTCCAATAGTAAGACGTCTACGCTGCTCGATGTTCAGCCCTTCACCGGGGATGCCAACGATGGCGTCTGCGTATTCTTCCATCTCGAGGAGTCTGATCACTTCACTCACGTAGGCGAGTTTCTCTTCCTGTGATACGCTCGCCGGCTGGCGGAGAAGTGCACTAAATTCGAGGGACTCACGCACGCTGCAGGTTGAGAGATGGACATCTTGCTGCTGAACATAGCCTGTTTTGCGCTGGAAGGAGTCATCGATGGGCAGGCCATCGACGAGCATGCTGCCGGTGACCACGCCGGTCGTGACGCGGTTGGCGAGAACGTTGAGGAGTGTTGTTTTACCGGCACCAGAAACACCCTAGGATTTATAGTGTTAGGCTTATCACAGCACCGGAATTGATAGTGATACTTATATACGTACCATCAAGGCGGTCAGAGTTCCAGGTTGAACCCATCCGTCGACGTGGTCCAGGATACGCCGGACCTCACCTTTATTCTTGATATCGTAACACACGTCTTTCCATTGGAGAATCCGGCCATTGTGGGAGGGAGCGTGCGTCTCATCTGTTGTGGCTGACTGCGCCATCGTGACCATTTCGGCCCCGAGGGCCTCTTCATCGTCGACTTCGGCCATTCGCCGTGTTGACTTTTTGTTGACGAAATGGCTGCGGCGGAAAATGAGAACTTCACCTTTGCTCTTAGCCATGTTGAGCACCTCGGTCGCGGCCAGGTAGATGACCGTGAAGATAACCCAGAAGGCGATAAGGATTCCCACGTTACTAGTGGAACGTCAGTGGCCTTTTCCTATCTAGGCCGAATGGCTCTCACGTCGATAATGGAAGAAGCTTACCGCCATTTGTTGGAATGGTAATATTGGAACTTTTCGCTGATGTATATGTCTCCCTGGATTGTCGTCGAACCGAGAGTGTTTCCGACCTCTGCACAGGCCCGGTTATTGATGCCGATGGCGCTGTAGTCCGACCCCGAGGGGATGACGACCGAGCACGAGAACCTGCGATTGTGGAACTCGTTGATCATCAGAGACTCGAAAGCGTAACTGAGCGGATTGACATAGGCCATCCACCGCGACCATCCAGGCATGTACATGGTTGGCATTGTGAAGCCAGTGTACATGATCAAGCCTAGGACCAGTAAAGCGGCTGGCACCATCGCCTGTGACATGGTACGGGACACGGATGCAATCGTCCGGAACAAGCTAGATGTCACTATCGTGCTGAGGAAAGCAACAAAAAGGAAAAAGAACAGGGGCCCGGCTTCTCGCCGTAGGTTTGCCATGAGATATAACGTGAGGTTGAAGCACAGCGTGTTAAGCACTTTATACGGGAGGTCAGTCAGCATGCTGGCGGCGGCTTCGGCAGACGGGTGGTAAAGAGCAAATCGATTGTGTTTCTCCACAATCGGCCGTTGTTCATAGAGCGTCAAGATCTGGAGATGGTTAGAGTAGTACAAAGTAGCATTTAATCGATCGTCGTTACCTCAAGAACACTGGCAAAGGCGCTCAGCAGAAGAGCAAAGAAGATTAACCCTCCTCGTCCATAGAAGCTGTTCGTGTCATTGTGTAGGTTGAAGAATATGCTGCCCAAGACCAGAGCCATGATGGTATTGCCTCCAAGCTGGATGTACGTCAAGGAGGGATCTGCAAGCAAGCGCTTCCAACCACGCCAAAGACACAGCGACGTCTGTTGCATGTACGACAGCGTATACGGGGATTTTTTTCTTTGGCCGCTTGCCTGTTGGGCCTTGCGAGAGGCCACAAATTCGTCCAGACATTCGCCTCCCAGGCTGAACTTACTTTCGTACGCCTCAATGCAAAGCATCAGCTGCTGGTGCGGTTTGCTTTTCTTCCACCTTTCCTCGAATTCTGTTGCTGTACGTGGGGCTTTATCCTCAAACCCCGGCCGCACGAGACGTTCCTTCGGGCTGGTCATCGAGGTGAGGAAGTCCGGCGTTGTCTGCCGCTCGGGGCCTGGAGATATGTAAGTTAGAAACAAGCAAGCAGAATATGAAGCCAAGACTCTGTGGAATTGTGGAATCTTACACTCAAAACCCAATTCTTCAAAATATGCGCGTGCTTGAGATGTCTGTCCAAAAAAGATTTGCCGTCCTTCATACAGAACCGTGACCTTGTCAAAAAGCTTCCGGATGGTGAGCCAACATGTTTTTCACTCATTCCGAGAGTATAAAGGAGGGATGGGGGACACCCACATCATATGCCTCCTGGGGCGCTTGATAAAGGGAGACCAGGACGGTGGATTGTAAAAGCTCGGTGGCTGTACGAAGCGTTCTGCAGAATTCCACTGCATTGGCGCTGTCCAGCCCGCGCGTACTGTTGTCCCAGCATTGCAACGCGGCGTCGGTCAGCACTGCTTCGGCAATGCTCACACGTTTCCGTTCTCCTCCACTGATCCCCCGGATGAAGTCATTTCCGACCACCGTGTTCGCCGTATGCGAGATGCCGAATATGGCCATGATGACATCCCGTACGAGCATGGAGAATTCCTCGGCCTTCAGCCCGGCGGGTAACTCTCGCGGTGCTCTGGCATGGGCTGCAAAAAGAGTGTGTCTTTTACGGACAGCATCGGGAAATGCACATCATTCTCGCCGGAGAAAATGGCCTCTCCTCGGAAGTAAGTGTGCATCTCTTTGCTGGAGACGCCTAGTAGAAGATAAATAAGTAAGCAAAAGCTTTCAGGGTTTCTTAGTGCCAATGGACCAGAACGCTTCCATGCATACCCCGATAGTTCATCATGACCTCGTCGCCCAAAAACAACCCCTCCATTTGCCCAGCGATCGTCTTTAACAGGGTCGAGCACCCCGACCCCGGAGGCCCAAGCACCAAAAGCATCTCACCGGCGTTGACCAGCCCCTTGAAGGAGTGGAGGATATCGATCCGTCGTTTGCGACGCTGCGTCATCAGTGACAGGATGGTGTTTCCCACGCTCTTCTGATAGTCGGTGGACATGCCGAAGCCGTATACGTCGAGGTTTTGGAAGGAGACGCCAGACTTCCGGCGTCGTCCTGACTCGGAATTCTTGCTCTCGTATCGAACGAGCGCTTCCACCCAAGCCCGAGTGTTGAAGCTCGAGGACTGCGGATCAAGGTCCGAGCCGGGGAGGGGATGAAAAACATCGTTGTTGGGCTTGGTCACTTCCGAGGCCACGGTGTGCCGTGAGACCCGGCTTGCCAGTCTGCGAATTGTTCCTTCGATATCGATGTGCTTTTCTTCTTCCTTTTCTTCCAGGTCGAAGTTATATACCCAGGGAAACTCGATACTTGTGGAGTGATGGTGTTTGATTGGAGGAGTGACCTCTGTCATGGTTGCGTGTTGGGGAGATATCAGTGCATCTGCGGGAGACCTTTTCAATATAGATAGTGATTGTTGTGAGTAGTTGCTTTTTTTTTCTTTCTCTCTCTGGCTTTCTGGCCTTTCTTCGGCGCACCGATCAGATTTAATACTCGGACCAGATATCCCTGACAATAGACCTAGAATAATTTCCTCTTCAGACTTTCGGTCTTCGGGAATTGTAGGCTGGCGTGTTTCGGTGTTCGGTGAGGCTAAGAAAGACTCGTAGCCCTCTACCAAGGCCTCTAAAAATAGCAGAAACCGGATCTCCAGCTTATCTTCCCTGATAATGTGACAGTGTTGAAGTATAGCGGAAATAATAAGTGTGGCATCGTATAACAGCCGAGATATAGTATTCTCTTGCCGTATTACCTGCAAAACAAGATGTCCCATTCCCAGCAATTCTTGGAGCCTCTACCGTTGAACTACAGCCTAGCGAAACGGAAATTTCGTATCCTGATCTTCTGGCTGTTGGTGATTTTGGACTCGTTTATCTTTCCCATAGGGCTCTACTACCTCCTGACCAGAACCACGACGTGGTCCACTACGACTAGTACGCTACCCTCTATCTTTGCACTATGGAGATCTAACTGCCCGTTTGTTTCCGCAGTTTTCAATATCTTGACAGCGACCTTGCTAGGGACCTTCGTGACCGAGTCATTGCTGAGATCGTGGAGTTTGTGGCGGAAGAACTCTAGATGTCGCGTTCCCAACGCAGGCCGCTACTATGTAACAATCCTTCCTCAGCATCCTGCTCCCCTTCTCCCGCCCAGAATTTTCCTAACTCAATCCATAAAGTTTGATTTCACACACTGGAACGTCCTCGTCTCCTGGGTCATCATCATTGCCGAACTTGTCGTCGGAACCATTCCCGACCCACCCTGGATGCGCCTGCTGGCCTTGCCCGTGCCTTCCATTTTCTTCATATTCGGCCTCGAAATGCTGGTCTTCGAGGCTCTGTACGTCTTCAAAAAGCCCACACCGTTCCGCATCTCTTCCAGTCCGAAAGGCAGCCCAATGCGTCCCGCCATCTATCCGTTTCTGGAAGACATCATCGCGGTCGACGGCAAAGGGGGGACCAGGTTCCGGGAACGCCTGGATCAGCGGTACAAGGCCAGCCCGCCATTTCGCGGCATGCTGCACCGGGTGACGATGCTATGGGCGGTTCCTCAAGTGATGGTGGCGGGAGGGACTCTGGCGGGGATTGTGATTGCGGACCATGAGCTGGCTTACACGGTATATTGTCTGGACTTCAAGGTGTGATATGATGATGAAAGACTGACGTTCTGGGGTGAATTGTTGCAGCTTGGCTGGTCAGTGCCTGCCATATGGGCGGCGGTCTGGGTGGTGGTGACGGTGATCTGGGTTCGGGTGGAATTGAGGCGAGAGAGGCATCACTGGAATGCAGTGCGCTTGGTCCAGCAGCTAGAGGGAGAGACGGGACGCAACGGCTTTGAGATTGCAGATATAATAGAGTAAGATGACTCCTAATGGGTACTAATGACAATAAACTGTCTACCAAGTGATGTGATCGGAAGATATTCTGTAAATTCTCTCCGTTCCAGTAGATCAATTCAATGTATGTTATATTTTTAGTCTATATCTAACTGCTGTGATCAAAATGACCTTGTCCAGCCGATGAGATATTAAGTAGACAACTGCCAGACACTACAAATATACTTTCTCCGTCTACTTCAAAGGTCGAGGCTAATTCTAGAACATGGATGTCGGCTTAGAGGTAGAAATTAGGGTTATAATTCAACGCACGAGGGATTAGGAGAAGAACTGCGCCTCACTATGTAGATATAAATGACGAATCTCGGTGAGACATCACTGTCTGGATATAGTTTCATGGTGGAGACGCAACACCGAACACCGAACACCGAGAATATCTACGCTCCACTTCGGACTCCGTTAATCGTGGCATCATAAGATAGTTCATCTAGTGAGACAATGATATGTTGCTGGAAAGCGCTACCGTGTATAAATAGCGATGATATTTTTCCAAATTCCTCAATTAAACCTCTTGTTCTCACTAATTCACCCGCGTTAATATTATCTCTGCGAAGCATAAATACTACGTCGAAAGTGATGAAAGACAGGGTGTACATTCCCGGACCCAAACGTAAGCAAGCCCATACCTAGCACTATTATCCGAAACTACTGTTAGTTTCTTTGCTGACTGGCCGTTTGTTCAGCCCTGCCGGTGGTGGGAAACCTGTTCGACATCGACCTCGAGCATGGCCTACAGTCCATTATCAAACTTGCCAACCAGTTCGGTACATTTCACTGTCTCCGATGCGAAAGATAAATTAACATCTCACTAACCGATCCCCCCAGGACCCCTCTTCCAAATCACTATCAATGGCGAGAAGCAGATATTTGCGACCAGCCAAGCCCTAGTCGATGAGCTCTGTGACGAAGCCCGCTTCCACAAGGCCGTCGTCGCTGGAATCGAGAAACTACGAATGCTGGCCAACGACGGCCTGTTCACTGCCCACCACGGAGAGCGCGGCTGGGGTATTGCCCATCGGATTTTGATGCCTGCCTTTGGCCCGCTACGGGTCCGGGACATGTTCGAGGATATGACCGATGTCGCGCAGCAGTTATGTTTTAAGTGGTAGGGAGCCCTGAGCATTGGTCTCAGAGACATAATGAGAAAAGCAAAACGCTGACTTGAGTGGGTGCAGGGCCCGCCAGGGGAGTTCGACCAGTATCAATATCGCCGATGACTTTACACGCCTCACATTAGACACCATCGCTCTCTGTACGATGAGCTTCCGGCTGAATAGCTTTTACAACAATGAGACTATGCACCCGTTCGTGCAATCCATGCTGTACGTGCTGAAGGAAGCCGAACTTCAGTCCGCGCTTCCTGGGATCGCAAACTCTATGCGTGTCAAGGCACAGCGGCGCATGTCCAGGAATATCAAGGCGATGAGGAGCATGGCCCGCGACATCATCAAAGAGCGCAGAGACAAACAAGAGTCAGTCGACGACCTCCTGAATACGTTGTTGAACGGGCGGGACCCAGTCACCGGCGAAGGCATGAACGATGACTTGATCATCAGCAACATCATTACCTTTCTAATCGCGGGTCATGAGACCACCTCCGGCCTACTCTCGTTCACATTCTACTACCTGCTGGAACACCCGCATATTTTGGATCGGGCCCGGAACGAAGTCGATACAGTGGCCGGCGTGGAACCGATCACGCTGAAACATCTCACAAAGCTTCCCTACATCGACGCCATCATGAAGGAGAGTCTGCGCCTGATGCCTACCGCCCCGGGCTTTACCGTCACCCCGAAGAAGTCAGAGGTGCTAGGTGGAAAATGGACAATCAATCCCGGACAGTGCATCAACCTGCTGCTGCCTGTCTGTCTGCGAGACCAGACCGTCTTTGGGCCCGACGCGGACGAGTTTCGCCCGGAACGCATGCTGGAAGAAAGCTTTTCCAAGCTCCCACCCAACTCGTGGAAGCCCTTTGGCAATGGCGAACGCGGCTGCATTGGCAGGGCCTTTGCCTGGCAGGAAGCCCAACTGGTGGTTGCCTTGGTCCTTCAAACGTTTGACTTAGTGGCAGATGACCCGTCCTACGAACTGCGCATCAAGGAGACTCTCACCATCAAGCCTGATGGCTTCCGTGTCCGAGCTACTTTGCGTCGCGGTCAGAGTGCCACGGGGCTATCCCAGCGCAGTATGTCGGTTGGCGCTGCTGCAAGCCCGGCATCATCAACTCATCTCCCCGGGAATGGGAACGGCCGCGGTGCGGCCGGAGGACAGCCGGTTTCATTCTTCTACGGCTCCAACAGCGGAACGTGCAAAGCTCTCGCCCACCGGCTGGCATCGACCATGATGGCCCGCGGCTTTACCGACCAGAAGCTTGCCCCGCTCGACAGTGCCGTCGACAATCTGCCGAAAGATCAGCCGGTGGTCATCGTAACCACCACCTACGATGGGCAGCCCACTGACGATGCGAAGAAGTTTGTCACCTGGCTCGAAAGCGGCAATGTACCGTCTCTTCAAGGCGTGTCCTACGCAGTCTTTGGCTGCGGCCACCAAGACTGGACCAAAACATTCTATCGCATCCCTATCTTGATCGACGACCTCATGCATAAGGCCGGAGCAACGCGTCTCGCGACGCGAGGCGCAGCCAACGCCGCCATCAGCGATCTCTTCTCGGATCTCGAAGCGTGGGAAGAAACCAGCCTGTTACCCGCCCTCCAGAAGACGTTCCTCGCATCCAGCAGCACAGACGTCAAACCACTCGACCCGCACCAGCTCCAAATCAGCCTCAGCAAGCCCACGAGGGTGGGCATGCACCAGCATCTCGTCGAGGCCAAGGTGACCGCCATCCGGGTCTTAACAAGCCCCGGGACCCCGGAGAAGCGACATGTGGAGTTTTGCATCCCGGGCGAAACGACTCTATGCCCAGGCGATCATCTAAATGTTCTCCCGGCCAATCCGCCCAGCACAGTTTCGAGAGTCCTGGCTCGATTCCATCTCGCACCGGATCACAGCATCACGATCAACTCGTTCAACGCGCTCGGTCTGCCCCATGCAACGCCTGTGTCGGCGGCCGAACTATTCAGCTCGTATCTGGAGCTGTCCCAACCGGCAACGCGGAATGTACGTCCATAAGAACCTTACCAACTTGACTCAAACTCCACGCACTTGGCTAACTGAAGACACCCTAGAATCTCAAAGCACTCGCCTCATCCGCACCGTCAGATGAGGACAAACAAGAGTTGCTCCGTTTTCACGATTCCTACGATTCACTCACCCGAGATAAGCGCATCTCGATCTTGGATCTCCTAGAACAATTCCCCTCCATCCAACTCCCTATCGCCGCATTTATCCCAATGCTTCCCCCTTTGCGCGTCCGCACGTACTCCCTTTCCATGGCCCCCTCCATCAAGCCCTCGCACGGCTCGCTCACCTTCTCCGTCGTCAACGAGCAAGCATGGAACGGCAATGGCCGGTATCTCGGCGTCGGATCGAACTATCTCGCCTCGCTCACATTAGGGTCTATTCTCTACATATCTCCGCGACCAGCCAAAGACGCTTTCCATCTTCCGACGGACCAGTCTAGCAAACCGATCATCATGATCTGCGCAGGGAGTGGCCTTGCCCCCTTCCGCAGCTTTATCCAAGACCGCATGGTCTGGCTGCAACAGGGCAAACCACTCGCAAAGGCGCTATTGTTCTTCGGCTGTCGGGGTCCCCATTTGGATGATCTTTACCACGAGGAATTATCCGAGTTTGAATCCGCGGGCGTAGTTGAGGTCAGGAGGGCGTATAGTCAAGCCTCGGACTACCACTCGGCAAAAGGATGCCGGTATGTGCAACACCGGTTGATGGTGGAAACCCAGGCCATCCGGGATCTGTGGGCTCGGAATGCGATAGTCTATGTCTGTGGTTCAGGGACTATGGCCAAAGAGGTCAAGGCTGTGTTGGAGAATACTCTGGGGACATTGTCTGAGGAGCGATATGTTGCGGAGATTTTCTAGATGGGCATTGTGTTTTATTCTATGTTATTTTGTTGTAAATCTGGGTTTAGCATTCAATGTTTTTAGCATGATTTTTACTGAATGGCCTTTTGGATGGAGTTTTTAGCTAGTTATTTGTTGGATATACATCCCTGAAGAATTCATATTGATGGCATTCTACTGACTATGTCCAGACTGAGGAACCACAAACCCAAACAAGCTCTGGATATTAAAGGAAGCCGTCATGGGATTCTCCGGTACGTCATGCACGGTCATCTCCGGCGTGACAGGATAGTACAGATAGTCACTTGGTTCCCAGGACTCCATCATGTTATACTGCAAGTCGACATTGTTATTGTTATTGCTGTTCGTTTGATTCAACAGTGTGGAAACCTGGACAAGGTTAGGCGATTGAACGAGTGTTATAGTAAGATATATGATGGTGGTATACCTCGGTGTCATCCAATGTGGATCCGGCGATCGACGAGGCCAGTTCACCAGGTGGTGGTTGTTGCTGTTGTTGATTACTACTAAAGTCTTTGACATACTGCCGTGCGATATGTGCAAATTCGGTTAAAAGCGATGCGGGGAGGAACCCTCCGGACTTGTAATCCAACAGACTGAAGTGACCCGCTGCTACGTCCAGCAGTGAGAGGTTGTTCCGCGTTTCCGGATGCGCTGGATTGTGAACGACGAAATCAAACAGAATGAATAATGCTGCGAGAGGTAAAACGGCAAGAATGCTATCTCGGAGGTTAATTTCTGGTGCAGCAACCACGTCCCAAATCACCTGTACTGTCCTGTCTTGTCCTGGGAAGAGGTGCTGCTTACAAATTCGGCGTGTGGGCAGCCATCTCGACACTCTTGCTTCCCTCCACGACAGCCCTTGCTGTATCCATCAGCAGTCGCTTACTCTCTTCCTGTCGTTGGGGCTGGTCTTGTCTGCCTATATGCATCTTGAGTCTCGCCAGAGCGATGATCAAACCGTAGTAGGAAAAGTTGGTCTGGAGCACGATCATCTTGAAGCCCGGCTCAGAGAAGGAAGAAGAAAGAACATTGGGCACATGAGACGGCATACCGGGTCGAAAGTTCACGGGCACTGCCGTTCGCCATCGTTCCAACCGAGTCTCAATCTCCTCGATCGCGACGTGGTACGCTTCCCTGGTTTGTATTGTGGCACTCACCGAGAAGAGAGACTTATACGCCTGTGAGAGAATTCGCCCGAAGCCGATGGCCGACAAAAACCAGTTGTACTCTCCGAAGATGGATTCCGGGACGTCGGGGATGGGACACCCGATGTCGTAGTCTGGGATCATCTGGGTTGAGGTCAATGCTATTCCGTCTGTCGCTAGGACCAAGAGGAGTATGTTATAAGCTTCAAGTTACCTACCGAGCCTTTTTGGTTCTGGAAACACGTATGCTTCTCCAGGTAGTATATTACCCAGAAGGTCCTGTGACAGGCTGATTTGTGTCGCTCATCCCCATTGGCCAGTGCTCTGTGGTATCCGAGGCTTTGGGCCATTCGAGCGGCTTCCATGAGCAAGATTTCGTCGATTTGAAGACAGCAGGTAGTCATGGTGAATAACGACTGAACATCACGACTCAACGGATTAGCTAATCCCTTCACTTCGCTTTGCGACCCTTGTATCGGAATTATCGGTCACATACCATGGCAACCAAGGCCTAATTCTCTACTGTTAGCCAAATCCGAAAGTCATCATCACAAACAACATACTTGAAGACTCATCAAAGCTTCCCTCGGTATCAATATATCCGACAGAAGACCTAAAGACACCTGGAAAAGCTTCCACGCCCTGCCATTCCCCGGATCAAACGCTCCACCTTCATGGTACTGGCATCCCAGAGCCAGGACGGTGTGGTACAGAGCCGAGAACGCACAGCTGGAACCTAGGATTTCAGCCCGATTGGGCCCGAATATATTATCCTCGAACTCTTTGCGATAGAGAAAGGGGTAAATCGGGTGAAGTTGGTCGAAGTAAGCTATATATTTATAATACCAGTTTGTTAACGAAGGAAAAAGAAGGAATGAAGAGATAAACTGACAGTCGACGTATAACTTGACCTTGTCTAGCGGGACTTCTTCAATATCGGATGGCTTTCTGAAAGTGACGAGTGATATAGGGGAAGGGCCCTGAGCGAGAAGCCGCGATCGAATGACAGATTCTATAGTCTCCACCAGCTCGTTGAGCCTGTCATTCCCTAAAAGTTGCGATAAGGAGTGGATTCGGCGCTCGGAAAAAAAGGCAAGGCTGGAACTAGTCACTTGAAGGGGAAAGAACTGTCAGAGGGGTCCTGTTCAAAAGATAGAATATAGCGGCAGCATACCGCCATGGTCGGGTGCCTGGGGTACGGTACTTGGTCAGGTTATAAGATAAATAATCAGATGGAGTTTGGTAAAACTGACTCTCAGTAAAGCAAAGCTATCCCGAAGCATACCACTACTACCGTGATTTTCCAACATATGATCCAGAAATACCGGTTGGACCGTCGGTTGATTGCGTATATCCTCATTGGAGGGCTCTAAGAGCGGTCCATGGCGATGAACAGCTGTCGAATCTACGCAATGTCTTTAGAATCCAAACCGTAAATTACGATAGATGAGATTTTGTGGCGAATACATACGGTTGCTTTCCGAGATATTTGTCCTCGGCGTACGCCTGGTCTGGGTGAAATGGCAAGTCTCATTCCGCTTCTAAATAGATAAGCCATAAATTGCAGGATTAGAAATCAGTGGCCAATATTGTCGAATGATCACCATCTTACAATGCAGTGGGTGCATCGGGAACGTTGCCCTGGGGGCACTAAGAGATAGAGACAATTACATCTTGAACGTTACCCATAAAAAGAAAAGGGGATTGGGGGGTTAAGACAACGTACTGATGCAGCGAACTTTCCGGCTCCTGCATTGGTCGCAGGATTTGCAGGTCTTCGCCTCGGAGACTCGGTCTTCATTCTGGTCCATTATTATTGTGAATAAAGACTCAAGTTGAAAGGAGTTGTTGGATGAAAGGTTCGGACATCGGTATGTTCGCTTTGAATAAAGGAGTGGGGTCCGGAGCGGTTCGGACTTCGGGGTGACTCCACAGTATTAACCTTCGAAGGTTGTTTCAGCTTCAGGTTAGATAAATCTATTTAGATACTTAGGTAGGTAATTATGTATACTGCCTATCCCGTAGAAACTAAATCTTGGACATAGGGCTATGACATCATGAGCGTGTTCCCGGCGCATAAAGCATTGATGAAAGGGATTCTTCGAGCCAATAATGACCAGAGGGTCAGGCAGAATGAAGAGTACGTTGTCTCTTATTCAGACTTCTAGTTATCATTAGGCGTAGCATTTATTGTCATTATGGGCCTTTTGTCGTATTGTCCAATACCTACTCCGTACATGTAGGATATTTCAGGGCTCTTCTGAACCGGACTAAAGGGTATAATCATCAGATCAGGTTCATGCTAACGGCAACAGATGCCTATATCCAGGGATGTACACCGTGTCCGGCCAGAATTGGGACGATTGACATCATCGGAGACAACGTAGGAAAGAGATGAATTTGGTCGTACACTAGATGAAAGTGATATTTTTGATGTTTGAGACTTCTACGAAAAGGTATACATAGCTAGCTACCCCGCGTATGACTTCGAATACGAGCCTCGCATGGCCCGTGCAACCAATCTTCACTACAAATAGGAACTATCCGCCGCTTCCTGGGGCTTTAAGAACTTCAAATTTTGTGAAGCAAAGATGGCCACCAAGACTTTGAAGGCTTCGTGCCACTGCAACGGTGTCCAGTTTACTGTCACCATTCCCATCGAATGTTTTCCTTTGAAAGTACACTTGTGCCACTGTAGCCTCTGCCGTTACAGCCACGGCTCACTATGCAGCTTTCACACACCACTACCACCTGGCGTGGAGCCTCAATTTATTGCGCCGTCCAGCCTCGACAAACTGACTGGTTATCGACACCCAGCGTCAAAAGCGACGAACTATTTCTGCAGCACTTGTGGCTGCCAGATTGGGGGAGTTAATAGCCAATGGACAATCTCTACCGCAATCTTTGACGCCAATAGAGAAGATGAAGGAATTTGGAGGTTCAACGCCCATATGCTTCCGAACTCCGCGCCGGATGGAGGACTAGCAGCTGTGTTTTCGGTCATCGACGGACATCAAATGGAGACAGAAAATCTAGGCCTATCTCCACAGGCTATAGCTGGGAGCGATTCTCAGCCACCTGATCCCGAAAGCAAAGAGCTACTCGCGCAGTGTCATTGCCGTGGAGTCTCTTTCAACATTGCCAGACCTAGCGAAGAGTTTGTCGCAAGTCCTTCAAGCAAAGGATGGATTTCACCCTTGGACAAGAGCAAGTGGCTTGCATGTATGGATCTCTGCGACGACTGTCGATTGGTCACTGGCACGCACGTCATCAGTTGGATGTTTGTATCACTTGATCATATCACGCCGCGTCTGCCGAAGGACTTGTTGATCGGGTCAGCGAAGAGCTATCGCTCCACGAAAGATGTACTCCGGGTATTCTGCGGCACATGTGGTGCAACTGTCTTCTATCATTGCAATGATCGACCGGAGATTGTAGATGTGGCGATGGGAATCCTGCGTGCGCCTGAAGGCGCTATGGCTGAGAACTGGAGCGTGTGGAGAGCGGGGCGACCATCATGGCCCGAAAACGGAATGCGATATCATGCCGGATTTAGTCGTGCGCTGATCGAGGGGATGCAGCGATGGGGGGCTGAACGGGGGCATCCACAAGATTTTGAACTGGCTTAGTATTTCTAGTCTTCTGGCAGGAAGTCAGTAGAATACTCTGTCAATCTTCTTGTGCTTGCTCAAACGTGCTTGCGGATAGGTACTCGCTAATCACTTTATAGTGGCACGAAAGGTATGAAAGCTCCTAGGAAGACCTATCAGACTTTATTGAGTTAGGAGAAGGCTTTCTCTAGGTGCTAGCTTCTCTAGGTGCTAGCTAGAATATCTTAGGGAAATGATGGGCCGCAGATTTCTTTATAGGCGAGTGGATCATCTAGTAGACTTCATCGATAGGACTAGAATGTTTTTGCGGATGTCTAGGGCACTGGAGCTGAAGTCATATTCTAGGAGTGATTCTCTCTTAAAATATTAACCCAAAAAAAAAATCAGAATAAGCGCGGCCAAACACCCGGCCCTACGTGCATGAAGCAACATCAGAGAAAACGGCTGTCAGGAAGATAAGCCAAAAGGGCGGATCAATTATTTTCCCGGTCCCCACTGATAGAGATGCTTCTCCAACTTCCGAGCTCGGCTTCCTTAGGATCTGCTCCGTGGTGTTCAGTTCCAGGAAATTAGAGTGAGACAAGCTGTCTAATTGAATAACCCAAACTTGACTCTCCATCTGAGCATCGACAAAATAAAAGCCCGCTCATCTTCCCCTCAACTTTCCCTCCGCATCACCCCAACCCCACCACGATGCAGTCCGTCCCAGAATCACGACAGCAGTCCTTCGAGGAGATCTACGGACCTCCCGAGAACTTCCTCGAGATAGAAGTGAGTTACTTGGTGCACAATTTCCAATATCACACCTAAATCAACCACCAACCCCAATACCCCAGAGTCTCGCGCCCATATCTCTCTCCTAATCAGCCCCCATACATCCCCACCCAAAACCCGCATCACCACTCCCCCATCGGGCACCAACAACGCACACTCCAGACTAACAACGACTGCAACAGGTCCGCAACCCCCAAACCCACGGCACATCTCGCAACATGTACACGTCGTACGAGATTGTGTGCCGGACCAACATCCCCGCCTTCAAATTGAAACACTCCGTCGTGCGCCGCCGGTACTCCGACTTCGAGTATTTCCGCGATATCCTGGAGCGCGAGAGCACGCGCGTCACGATACCCCCGCTCCCCGGGAAGGTTTTCACCAACCGGTTCAGCGACGACGTCATTGAGCACCGCCGCGAGGGTCTGCAGCGCTTCCTCCAGATCGTTGCTGGACATCCTCTTCTGCAGACGGGGAGTAAAGTGCTCGCTAGCTACATACAAGGTATGTTTACTCTAGTCACTTATGCGGATTACTGTTGAACGTATGCTAATGTGCTAATGCTCATGTTGTAGATCCCAACTGGGACCGCAATGCATGGTAGATGACTATTGCCTTCACCATTAATTCATTAACGAGAAGCATGCCTCATTCTCAGGATTGGCTGGGCCTTGCATTCGGCCTCTCTGGATTTCCTTTCTCAACTTCATCTCCAGTCGACCCCCCTTCTTCTCCTGCTCTCTCACTCTCATATCCTTTCCACGGCAGACATCTTTCACGATTGAAAAAGGTTACCCGCAGTGTTTGCTTGATTTTTTATGCTCGTTTGATATCCGAATCCACCGCTTCTTTCTTCCCAATAAGATGCAAATATATGCAAGTGCAGGTTTTATTTGTTATCTTAATTGGACAGGCGCTTTTCCTGGTTTTTCTTTTGTCAATTTACCATTACTGTTTCATTTTGGTCTCATATTTTGCGACGCTATCTTTATCCAGAGTGAGAACACCAGACTTGTTGCATCTCTTTCTCCTTAGTGTGAATCTGATTATCAATGACATTGAACTGCAAAAAGAAAACTTTTATTGAATAGAAACTGTAGCAAAAACCATCGTGTACTGCGGGATATAGATCAACAATGAAAATAGTAAAAAAACAGACGATATAGCAATGCTCCACAGAGCACCAAAAATGCAAGGCCAAAAAAATAAAGAAGAAAGAAAAAAGACAACAAAATGAGAAGAAGAAAAAGAAAATCAAGACATCAAAAGAAATACAAAAGAAATTCAAAAATTCATGACATGCGTTGGCAACATAGCACATCAAAGGCCTGCCCCTGATTAGGTCAATTCATCCCAAATCATAGGAGCGAGAGTATTATCTTCCCACGGAGTCTCCACCGCGGAAGAAGCACCAGCCCCAGATCCCTCATCCAAGGAGAAAGAAAGCACACCGGCAGCAGCAGGAGGCAGATACATCGAGTGCTCCAAAAAGCCCTGCGGAGGCGGAGGCAAGAGCGCGGGATCAATCTGTGCGATATTGGACTGCGAAGGTGTAGCAGCGTGACGACTCCTTGACACCGAGGTGCGGGGAGTAGTAGCCGGAGTCGGAGTTGCAGTCGGAGTCATGGCATAGACCTTGCTTGGAGATTGTTCCATGTTTACAGGATGTGGGCGGGGCGTCGACGCGCCTGCCGCCGCCTCCTGGCTCTGGTTTTGGTTGGTAAGGGCTTTTCCGCTCACGGAACCGCCGTCGCGATAGGCGTGTGGGAATTTGGTTCTGAAGCGGTCGCGGAGGTCTGTCGCTTTGCGGTGGCTTAGGTTTAATCGTGAATCTTGCTGGATTAGGGTCCATTGGAAGCCGTGCACTGCGTAGCCTTTAAGGAGGGCTTCGTCTTCGGCGGCTGTGAAGGGTCGTCGGGAGCGACGTTTGGATTTTGCGACGTGTGGTTCGGGGATTCCAAGTGATGCGAGGGTTGAGCGGGATTTGCTTGAGAGAGCGGGTGTGCTAGTTCCTGATGAGGGCGACTGCGATTGGGCATTGCTACTACTTCCGGGATCTGTGTCGGGTGTGGATGAGGCAGTACTGGGGATAGAGGATTTTTGTGGATTGTAAGCCGGGCTTCCTGCTCCAGAACTTGGCTCGAAGCCTTGCCTAGAAGGCATTAGATTGGAGAGCTGCATTTTGCCAGGTGTATCGTCAGAGCCCTCTGCTTTGGCTTTGAGTAGGGTGTTAGCCAGAGTGTCATGTAGTTGTTTCGCAGCTTCGTTGGGATCGGATGCGCTGTGGTAATATTAGTGATTCTGATTGGGCTACTTTAGAGGGTTAGATTCGCAATGCTTACCGGTACGCCCATGGACATAAGACTCGAAATCTTTAGCATAGCGCAGCTTTAGCATAAGACCATACAGTTGGCCAAGAACCAAGCATACCTGTCTTTCAAATTTGAGGCAGTTCGCTGGTTAAACTCCAGTTCCGGTTGAGCAAGAATAGCAGTCCAGTTGCCAATCCCACATTTGATCACACCTCGAAGTAAAGTCGTCGTCTCTTCTTCGGACCACTTTCTGATGTTTTTACGGGAACGGCCGCGAGTCTTAGGAGACATTGGCGCATCTTCTCCGGGGGGGGGTGGCATTGCCTTGCTGCTCTTAGGTATTTCTGTTTCACGAACAGCTAGGGGAATCTCATCAGGATCCACTGGTTTAGTACTTTCAACATTTTCATCATTATCGTTACTGTCGTCGTTTTCATCCACATTGAGAGACGTTCTGAGGATTTCTTCGAGTCTAGTATCTCGTCTTTCCATAGGCTGGCCATCTGAGATCGCGACTTGAGCCGAAACTAACGTCCCAGGGTCAACAGCGGCATCACCTCCGGAGGGCTTAGTCAAAAGCTGGGAGATATTAGACCCAGCCTCAATTGGTGGAAGGAGGGCAGCATTAGGCGGAGGCTCATTCAATCCATTCAGAATAGCAAATGGCCCAAATGGAGGAGGCCGCTGCTCCTTCTGAGCCTGGGGGATAGGCAACTGTAGATGCTCGCTGAATGAATCACCCTGTGGGTCACGGCGTCGACGCTTGCGGGGCCCTTGGAGGGCGTCATCATCGAAGGATGACGAGAATGGAAACTTTTCTAGGGCACGGAGATTCACAAAAGCAGGAAGTATAGGTCTCGGGGGACGTTCCACATTTGACTGCGAGTCTGCTGAAAGTTCGGTTTTCCTGATGCGCGCAGCATTCAGAAATTCCGTAACTGTCGGCAGGCCTGCCTTTGCATTTGCTGGGATCTTCCCGCTATTGCTGTTTGAATTGGAGATATTATTCGAGTCCCGTGCTCCACTAGCATTGGGTTCGAGGGGCGATGGGACGCTTAGGGTTCGTGATGATACTGGTTCTCGTAGAGGGGCGATACGGAGAGAGAGTTGAGGGAGTTCGCGGAGTAGTGATTCATCGAGAGGCCGTAAGGCACTCGCAGATTCCATTTCGGCCAGCTATCACAGATTTCATTCATATCATCGTAGATGTCCCTGACATATTGCGTCCATAACTTTGGGGGTCAAGAAGACGAAGCTCTGATAAGATGCGATAACGGCTATCCCAGGGGCGGTGACGGGTGTCAGTAAAGCGGTCCCCCGGGGGTGTGCCTACGTCAGCTCGCATTCTGCCCAGGTGTCGAGACCCCCTGGCAGTTCCCTTCAAAGAATCTCCCATTGGACTTTCGCTCATTGGTTTGATCGGATTCTATAATACAACTGGTGTTATATACTTGATATCTGTCGTGGTCAGCAACTACAACGTGAGTTCCCTTCCTCTCCGCAAAGTAGCAAGTAAAGCTACCGGGAGCTTTGTTTATGTAGATCGCTCCAAGCGAATTACAGCCAGGATCAAAGCACAACAATTGAAAAGACACAAACAAGAATAACGTTGAACGCCACAGGTCCCCAAAATGCCCACCATCTTCCCAACATGGCCACACATCCTCTTCGGCGTCCTTGAGCCGATCTCACTGTACGGCCCAGCTCAACCCTTTCCCCCAACCATGCAAGAATACCACTGACCGTACTATCCATAATGCAGAGCCCTCGGCAGTGTTTTCCCCCTATATGACCTCCAAGGCTTTATCACCGGGCAAACACCCACCATCGCAGCCCCGGCCACGCTGCACCCAAGCAGCATCGCGCTCGCCTACCAACTCGGCAATGTCTACTCACTCCTCTTCCTAGTCGGCGTGGGAGTCTGCCACGCCACAACAGAGCCAAAAGTACTGCGCAACTACCTAATCGGACTGGCCATCGCCGATGTAGGCCATGTCTACGCAACCTATTTGGGGATGGGCTGGGAGGCGTTTGCAGACGTTGCGGGATGGAACACCTTGACCTGGGGTAACATCGGGGTCACGACGTTCCTGTTCGTCAATAGGATCGCGTACTTATTGGGCATTTTCGGTTATGCGAAGGCGCCTAAGGCGGCTGCAAAACGCGAGTGAGGTGTGACCTACTGCTTTGGTTGGCCGGACCAATATATGCACTCTGTCCTTTTTCTTCTTGGATCCCAAAAAAAAGCAAAGAATTATTGGGCGGGGTCTTTGGCTCACCCCCATCCCGTTCCTCTTCCCTCCCTTGCGTGTGCGTGCGGCTTTAGCTTTGGCCCTACTCTTGCCTAAGGCGGCTCTTCGGATGTAATGGGTTTCATCTGATTCGTAGGTTCTTGGACGGCGCATAAGGGAGATAGGAGGGTGCGTGGGATGTGGGCTGGGTGGATCTGCTGGTATGCTTGTATTTGCTTGACTGCGTTGGGTATTATGGACGAGATAGACTGGTCTGGTTACGTTTTCAGACCCAATGAGCATCGACTGTGATGCAGGTGTAAGTAAGTAGAACCTTGAATATCACCGGGAAAACAAAAAAGAAAAATAGATTCAGATTAGCATAATGCAACGCCTGACTCCCCGGTGCTGCCCGATGCTAGCATGGGTATCAGAGTAGAAATACAGATCATAAAATATTGCATTTGAGGTCGTCTGGTGTAGATCACCTACCCCCCTCGTAAGACTGCCAAGGAAAACACACCAATGCATTAGCTGCTGAACAGAGAGATAAACAATTGAAACAATCTTCAGCCCACGGCCCACGCGAGGCGGTCTCGCCTGCAGCCACACAAGCCAAGCACAGACAGAGGTAGATTGCTTTTATTTCTCTCACCGGAGTCGAAGCCGAAGCCGGAGAGGAGCCCAAGCAGGCTGCTGATCTGGTGACTACCTCTGTGGGCTTTATTGGGTGCTTTGCAGATACTGGAAAACTGGCTGAAGGACGGATTCGCCGTTTTCTTTGTGATCGCGGATGTGGGGGGTCAGGAAGGGAATGCCGGGGAATTTTTGGTAGTGCTGACGATAGGCGGCAAAGTTCTCGGCCGGGCTCAGGAGGGCAATGATTTCCTGTGGGATCAGAGCTTCGAGTGTAATCACGTTTCCTGCTATGCCTGTGTGGCCGGGGCGTGTTTTCAAGATGGTGTAGGTGTGCAGGCCTTTGATGATAGCCGTGAAGGAATGATAATTACGGGTTTTTAAGAGGGACTGTCCAGGTGGTTATACGGTTAGAGGGCTTTGACATATTGGGACCTCGGCGACTTTGGGAGTAAAGACTGCTCACCTGTGCACATTCTTGCAGATATGGAATCAGGTCTGGAAGTGCAGCGCAGCATTCCCAGACAGAAACACTTAGTTCGCGCCACTGAATCTTCAATTGTCCCACGATGACATCCTCTGCTATCAGACTTTGCCGGGTCAACTCGGAAAAATGGTTCTCGTCCACGCCTCTCATGCTGCGGGCCAAGTCCGTTGGAGATGTCGACTCGAGATAATCGTCCAGGAAAGGAAGAGAGGTATCAAACGGAGTCTTCCAATCCATGGTAGCAGCATGGATATACTGTCGGCGAAATCTGATTGTCAAAACACTCAACATCTTGAGCATGGCAGTAAGCCTTCCTGGCTGGTCCTTGAATAAGGTCTGAATAGGGCCTGCGATGAATTCAAACCCAGCGGTATTGGGTTTAGGCACGTCACGATTTCCGCCGGGTCGCACAGCCAGAAGGCACTGGACCAGCGCTCGGTGTGCGAATGGACTCCGCGACCGAAGATGCTATAGAAGTCAGCGGGGGCTCTATGTAATGATGGCCATGGCTGAATAACGTAGAGAGCGCACCTTTTCAACTTCTATGTACAGAGGAATGTCCTCCGGATAAGCGCTCAAATAGTCCCGGAGAATAATATAAAAAGCCGCATGCTGCTGCAGGAACCACTCGACGAAGATAGCATTGTATCCGAGGGCAGCACGTACAAACTCTTCAAAGGCAATTTGCTTGAAGTGGAAATGGCTCTCGGCCTCGATTGCGGCAGCGATTGCCCGCGCATCTAGAGTAGGGCTTGGTTGCGGGGGAGCCAACTCCAAGGAATCGGCTGGAATGGAGATATACTCGACCGGCGCAGGATCTCCTCCACCCTCTGTATATGAGAGAGATTCCCCAGGAGCTGGTACTCATGGGGCTCGGACAGGGCCATCAAAAAGGTGTCAATGGTGTCCACATTTCGAGCGCAAAGCGAAGTCCTCGGGAAATTTTCGTCGCGGAAGAGTCCGAATTGGATCACACGGCTGATTTCTTGGATATCGAATGCCCAGAAAACCGTTGTCGCCTCGTCTTCCCACCAGCGATAAGGCATGAAAAAGGCGGGAATTTCAAACTTGAGTTGGAAGATTGACGGATAAGAATGGCCCCAGTCCGAGCCCGCAATGCTAGATTGGGCAGACATGGTCACTTTCTTGAGTAATGAATATTGCATGTCCCCTGGGGTGGAAAAGGTCTGGGGGGGCGGTTCGAAGGCCGATTCTTCGGGGCTGGTCGATTGCATTTATGCGGTCAACATCGGGAAAAGAAAATCAAGGCCAACACTTTAGGCAAAGTACACGCTGACGCTCATGTAACACGGCGCTTGAATAGAGTAATTACAGGGCAGGGATGCCCAGGTGAGAGGTGTATGTTAGACGCGACGTGAGAGAGAGGAGCAAGTACGGTGGGAGTACTCCGTATGTGTACGAGAAATAGGAAAATAACTAAATATAACGCACAGATAATAAACAAGCGGGTTGCTCGGAAAGGTGACAGTGATTGGATTTAAACATAAGACCTGAGCTGATGGATTTCCTTATCCCTGCTACTTGTTTCCGCCACGTTCGACACATCACGAGGGTTGAAATTGGGTCAGGAACTCTGGGCATATTATCAACCGGGGCGCTGATCCCAGTTTCCAGGATCCTGGAAGGCTTCTGACGGGAAGAGCACATCGGGAAAAAGGGGGAATTATTGTCATTATTGGGAGTATATTGGGGAGGGGTTACTGCATTCGGACTTCAGGGACCGGACCTCCAGGGGCCCTAGATCGGGGAGAAACTAGTGAACTCCATAAAAAGGAATTAGATCTGCAAGTTGGGCTTCTCTGCTGGTTACCGAGATTGTTATGCCGAACACCCGTTGGCCGTTGGGCTGCAGAAAGGGAAGGATTTAGCTGGGTTAACAATACAAGTGGATAGTCTCTTAGTTGCTGAAGGAATCGGTTGAGAAGTCGGTCAAGCACCTTAAAGATTCTGGAATTCAAATCAGGAAGCCTAATTAGTCGGTCAAGGGGCCCAGGTGGATACACAAATGTAATCGATGTGACGATAAGTGTACTCCGTATGGGATAAGTGAGAGGCAGATAGATCTCCACTTAACGTCTAAAAATGACCATTGGTCCAGACCATGTACACAAAAATGGGCGCTAACGTAGTGGCCGTAAAATGCCAATGTGGAGTCCCGACGATCAAGGAATATTTTCGAAGTGCTACAAGGAATATATGAATGGAATATCTTGGAACACTTTAGAACACTTGTTTATTTCTTCTGGATTTTATGGAAGTCTGCGATTGGTTTGCCCGTCAATCTTAGAGGATCATATTTATGGACCATATAAGCATACACCGAGTTCTAGGCGAATTTCCAATTGAGAGGCAACCAGGAACAAGTATTGAACTTTGTGACCTAAAATGGTAAAGATAATAGGATAGTTGGACAATTACCACTATTATATCATTATTATATCATTAGTTATATCATTATATCCTTACAAGAATATAATCCTAGATTAGCGTTTCGCTCTCGTTCAATTAAAAACAACAATACTACCTTGACTCGATCCTTGCGAGATTCCTAGCCTTACCATGTACACCGCTAGACCTCGACCCCTCCAAGCTTGTCAAACATCTCATGCCCAAAGGATTGGCATCTGTTCCTATTATTCATGTTCTTTGAATTCTTCCACCGACATTCCCACTGCCGGTGGCGTGAGAACCAATCTCCACCGCATAGCAGGCGTTGTTTCCTAAGCAAGATATGACCAGTTGCAGGAAGTACAATGTAAGTAATTCTACGATGGGTATGTTCTCCAGTCCAATCGTTTCCAGCATCACCACGTGAAATCCATCCAGTTTCTCTCCATAGACCCAGTTCCTTGGGACTGGGACGGATCTCGGTAGATCAACGCCAAAGTTTGTGGGGGGAGACATCATATTATAAAAGTGATGTTCCCGAGATTCTGGGTTTCGCAACTTGATATCTTATAAACTTGCTTATTCTACTATAATAATTGGATGTGCAGCACATGCAGAGAATGCTAGAGCCACTACCAACAAGCCAACAAGCCAACAAGTTCTAGGCCCAGCATTTGCATTTCCGACACATAAGAAAAGAAAAAGAAAAACCCCACGACCAGCTACAGTTCGAAAGACGCAATATCTGACCTCTTCCTGTGCAGCGTGGACTTACACCGAGACTCCGCTTCCGTCGCTTGAGATCGCCAGCGCTTCATACGAGCTCGATTGATCAGTTGTGCATTCGAACAAAAGTACGCCACATTCTAGGTCCCAGAGGTCCCCCGCTTAAAGATTAATCCACAACAACTGCATTGTCTTGCAGCCCCCAGATAGTATGCCCATTTGTGCGTCTTATGTAGCTCAGATTCCAAATACCCATGACACATGCTAACATGGCCAGTGCAGCCAGCCACCTAGAATGCAGCATGAAGCGATACAATCGCATCAAGGCAAGATCCCCCTTGCCACTTGGTTACTACCTTCTCCACCTTGTCTTTTGCTTTTTCTTCCTAGGTCCGCTACCGCTACCAACCCCTGCAAAGGCCAGTTCACCCCTCTCCACGCTGCATAAAATGACGGGTCAGGAATCTTACGGCCCCAATGTTGTCATGCATAGTTCCAGCAGTATGGCGCTTGGAACACGGAGATCTTATCCCAAGTATCTCCAGTGGGGATCCGAACGTGGGACGGCCCAGGGCCGGGATTGAGTTTGGATCTATCAGATTATCCTGTTCCCCTCTCCGTTGTCACGATCGCCACCCGGGATAAGCCGTCGGAGAAATTTAAGAAAGAAAATATAAAAATATACTTCCAAGGACTGGACGTTCCAGCCGTTTGGCTCTCTTGTCCCTTGCTGTTTTCGTCATCAACCCTCGGGAGGGTGCGTCTGAGTTGAACGGGCCAAGCGCCCATCGTATGAAACCCTTGGTCTCTTTATGTTGTAGAGCCGCTACAACTTTTAAGAGCCACCCATCCCGATAGAGAATGAGAGGGACCTCCCCAATCCGACAACGGAGATGAACGAGTTATTCTTAGACTTTTCGCCTCTTGCTCTCGCTCCCATGCCTGTTTTGCGTATGCTCGCTTATATATCCAGTAACAAGCAGGACTGTAGGTATATATATGTACCTAATTTCGTCCACAGAGAGCCCTGTCAAGCGCCCACATAATCCATACATAGATGTAGTCAACAAGAGACCAACTACTCCATACGGCTGACGGTAACCCTGCAATAACGCCACATCGGACACTTTCTGTTGTTGCATCGCATGAGCTAGCTCCATTTGCCGGACTCACCTCGATTTTCATTACACAACATGTGGATATCAATCCTATTCAAGTATCCCGATCTCCACACATCAATTGGGCCGCGGTACCTCTGGCATCACAGTGATCGCAACTGATCGCCACTGCTGACCTCTGCAGATGATGATCATTGTCCTATTCCTATAGCGGGCGACTTGGGCTGCTTGGGCGAAAATCAATAATAATGCGTGGGCGAGCGAATTAAAGCACCAGTCGAGAAGATCCGGACTGGAGTTCGTTATTCTGATCGCCATCTGAAGGCTTGCGAGTTGGCGAGTTGGTAATCTCCGCTTTCCCTGTACGTGTACCATGTACACCGACACGGGAAGACTGTTGCATCGGATAAGCCGAGGTGCGGTGGTGCGGTAGTGCTATAAGATTGATCGATACGAGCTAACGGGGTTGCGCAGGAGATGAATGAGTATAGAATATATTTTTGAGCGGGATGGTGCATGTCGTGGGTCTTCATCTGCTGTTGAAATGCTGGGTCTCAGCTTGAAATGGATTGTGCGGGTTCAGCCGGGGCTTTAGTTTGCAGTAGCTTTTGGTCTAGAGGGCGAAAAAGCTAGATTTGGTGCTAGCAGGCTTCGCGGCGTAGTAGCATATGGGGTTCCAATGCATTCGTGTCTTGGCTACAGATAAGGAAAGTAAAAAAATACGTGTTCCTTGATCTTCATGGAGTGTATAAATGTATGCCTTGGGTGATTGTGGAACAACGATGGCCAGAGAACAAGCACAAAAAAGATGAGAACTAATGATCCTGGAAGAGGTGGTAGAGTTGAAGATCCAGGGAAATAAAGTAAAAATACGGTCATTAAATATTCGAAAAAGAGGTAACGTCAAATGGTATCATATCACTCGGAAACGAAGCGGTTAACCCGTTCCTGTTTTGTTTGCTATGGTTCGAACCTACGAGAATGCATATTATCCAAGCCCGTTAAGCAAGACAAGACGCCGTTTCCCAGCTACTGTTTTTAGTGTTTGTTTTAAGCTGTCAGCTAATCCACGAATATCAGAAGATATTGTGAATTTAGTTGGCGAGCTCGTGGGCACGGCGGCGGTCACGCTCCTCAGCAATGGAGAGCTAGAAAAGAATGTTAGGATAACTCGTAGACATCAGTGTTTGGAGAATATAACATACCTTGACACCCTTACCCTTGGGGAGGGAAACCCAGGGCTTGTCCTGTCCAATGACGAAGACGTTGGACTCACGGGTAGCGAACTGGTTGTCAAGGGCATCGCGAACGTGGACGATGTTGAAACCACCGTCGTGACGCTCACGGTGAGTGATGACACCAACACGACCCATGTTGCGACCACCAGTGGCCATGATGACAACACCGGAGTCGAACTTGACGAAGTCGAGGATCTTGCCAGTGGCAACGTCAACCTTGACGGTGTCGTTGACCTTGATGGCAGGGTCGGGGTAGCGGATGCTGTAGAGCACAAACGCAAGTTAGCAAAACCATGTCCTGATATAATGGGATCTTACTGTTTCCATTGTCCTCCGCCGATCAACCAAAGCTTGGTCCAACGACTGAATGACACGGAACTTGTGGAGTGTGGAACTCACGTTCGCGCATCGTGCGTAACCAAGAATGGGATCCCGCCCTTGCCGAGCTGAACACGCTTGACCTTGCAGAGCTTGAACTCAGCCTCCTCAGCCTGGATGCGGTGGACGGTGAAACGGCCCTTGGTGTCGTAGACGAGACGGAAGTGCTCGCCGGTCTTCTCGAGGGAGATGACGTCCATGAATCCAGCGGGGTAGGTGGTGTCGGTGCGGACCTTGCCGTCAACCTTGACCAGACGCTGCATCATGATGGCCTTGACCTCGCGACCGTTCAGGGCGTACTTGAGACTGTCAACGAAAGAAATGTCAGTGATTGTTCGTCGCGTGTCGAGGGATTGAGGGTGTCGCGTGCGTACCGGTTACGGATGAAGACAATCAGGGGAAGGCAGTCCCGGAGCTTGTGGGGACCGGGGGAGGCCTTGGGCGCGTAGGTTCCGGACATTTTGTCCAAGAGCCAGTGCGAGGGCGCACTGAGGCGCTTCTGGTGCTTTCCGCTGCAGAAAACATTCTTGTTAGTGATGGTGTTCCAAGTCGAGAAATTTTCGATCACTCTCGCAGCGACTGGCTGAACTCGCAATCCCGGCAGATAGACGAGGCCAGTGTGCAGAATAGTGATGTAGAGGGCGATCTCATGACACTTACGGGCCGCGCATTTTGACTGATTTGTCGACTGAAGGTTAGGTGGTCGGAGTGTCGAAAGAGAAGGCTCAAGCCGAGAATTGATGATCCAAATCAGAGAGGAATTCGCTTAGTGTGTGGTGATTGTGAGCCCTATTCCCCACCCAGACCAATCAGACCCCACTAGTGGATTTTCAGCGCTTGCTTATGTCATCTACACCCGGGGCCCTGATCCACCCATGGATGTGAACTTCCCCTTTAGGAATCAAGACCAATGAGATCTAGTTCATTTGTACGAAAATTTGTATCTATTTGACATGCGCTGATAATTCCACTTTTCCGTAATTGACTTAAATGTAGCCCTTGATAACAGCAACCTCGGCGTTGAGGATGGATGATCCAGCAGCTCCAATGACAGTGTTGTGAGAGAGAGCAGCGAATCGGATATCAAAGTGACCGCCTGGGGCACCCTCACGAACTCGGCCAACACTCACTGTGTACCCGCCGGAGATGTTGCGGTCCAGGCGGGGCTGGGGACGATCGGGCTCATCGAACACCTTAATCGCGGGCTCTGGTGCGGAAGGAGCACCTAACTTTTGTGCCTCGGACTTGTACTCCCGTAGAGCCTCCTTGACCTGCTCGGCGGTGGGGGTCTGGCGGTTCTTGAAACGCAAGGAAACGAATGCCATGTGGCCGTCAGTGACACCAACACGGGTGCAAGTGGCACCGATGCGGAGACCAGTCTGCTCGTCGAAACCGGTGGCGCTGGCATTCAATGAACCCAGAATCTTTTGGGCTTCGTTCTCGAGCTTGTCCTCCTCGCCGCTGATGTAGGGGATGACGTTATCCAGGATGTCCATGGTAGGCACACCGGGGTAGCCGGCTCCAGAGACGGCTTGCTCAGTGAAAACCTCGACTTCCTCGACAGGGCCAAACTTGGCCTGGAGAGCCGCGAAGGGAATGACAATTCCAATGACGGCACAGTTAGAGTTGCAGACCAGGAAGCCCTTCTTGAGACCGTACTGCTCTCGCTGGTGAGGAATCAGATCCAGATGTTGGGGGTTCACTGTAGGAACCACCAAAGGCACGATGGGGTCCTTGCGGAAGTTCTTTGCGTTTGAGAAGACAGGGATCTCAGCCTTAATGAATGCCATTTCTGCGTGAAAGGTCAGTACATGGTCTAGATTGTTAATCTGATACATTTGATACCACATACCAGTCTCGCCAGCAATATCGCTGTTCAGTCCAGAGAAGACAAGGTCACAATCCGAGAACTGTTCGGGCCTGCAGTCACGCATGACCAAGTTGCTAAGCTTCTCAGACATGGGGGAAGCCTGCTTCCAATTCACGGCATCCTTGTACTTCTTGTTGGCTGAACGCTCAGAAGCACCCACGGCCTGAAGCTCAAGGAAGGGGTGGTCTGCCAGCAGTAGGATAAAGCGCTGGCCCACGGATCCGGTGGCACCGAGAACACCTGCAGCAAGTTAGGATTGAACGATGCATGGAATAACTTGTAAAATTTGAGAACATACCGCACTTCTTCTTTGGGAATGAAGGAGCCATTTTGCTTTTGATTTTTATATGAAAACTGGTATCAACCTTATGTAAGTTAGCAAACGAAAAGTTCCAACAAGTCAAAACTAGCGATCAATCAAAAGATACGCAAAAGAACAACGGTTCCATGCCGAACTGGGCCATATACCACCAGAGACCTGTATGAGTCAAAGCGTCTCCAGAGCCCCGCATGCAGTATGTAGGAGGCTCTGCTAGCTTCAATGCCTCACAGATCACATGTTTTAGAGACTTAGGGAATTCCCTCGACGAAATATGAATATGAAACGACAATTGTACTTACCGCTTCGCTGGTGATGGGGTTGAAGGCTTCTAACATTTCACCGCAACAGCGATATCGCTCTCAGCCAATTGCCTTGCCCCGCGCTTAGTCATCGCTCTACGTTCGGACAAAATGCTGCTCCCCGATTGGACTGGCTATGTGGGTCTCAGGTCAAAGTTTAATGTCCCAAGATTTGGCTAGTTTGCATTCTTTGTTTCTTTCTAAGGCAAGTCCTTGGAAAAGATGTCAAAAAAAGGCCACTCAAGTAGTGGGCCGTAATATAGCTCAATTTTTAGTCTATTCATTGAGCACACGCTTGACTACATCGTTGACGCTTTCTAATTGAAGCCCCAACGTATTGTTTGCCAGCTTCTCCTCTTTGGCATAGTTTGAATGGAGACCCAGGGTGTTGCCAAAAACAGTGGCTCGAACCAGAGAAAAAGCACCATTAAAGTCCCCAACAGAAAGCTTCTTGACTGCCTCGGTGACTTGAATGTTGGTGGTAGTCTCGTCCACCGTCCATTTCACTCCTGACTCCTCCTCCAAAGCAGCAAGGATGTCCTTCTGAGTGGTTTCAACCGAGGCGATGAACAGAAACTGGTTTCTGGTTTCACGAGGATGCACCAGGACAGAAGCAACAGCCTCGCCGAGGGCCTTCTGATTGGTCAGGGTGAAAGTCTTGTTGCCTCCATCCCAGATAGTAGCCGTATGACTGGCAATATCAAATCCCAAAAAGCCATTTGCAAGACCCTACTCAAAACTCACCGATTAGCTCAAGCCCAAGACATCCAACTCGCGATGGAAGACTTACCCAGTCAAACAAGCCGGAAGACGCAATACCAGTCCAGGTCAATCCGTCGGTCTCCTTACTCTTGAGGTACTCGATGAGTTCCTTCTTCTGTCCGAAAAGTGGCAGCAACTGCAACACGGCATCGTTCTGGCTATTTGCCGAGAACTCAGATGGGATAAAACGCTTGACGCCCGCGCGGATGGCAGCATTGACGAACTTCTTCTGTTCGCCAAATGCAGTGGCACCCACCGCCGAAATGACGACGTCTTTGCCCTTGAATGCAGCCTCAAGACCTTCGTCTGAGTAGTCAGTCTTGAGAACGGTTGTGCCAGGTGGGAAAGTCGGCTCGCTCTCCTTGCGGGAGATTACGGTAACTTCGAACTGGGAACATGCAACAAGGCCATCGAGGATGATTTTGCCAATGCTGCCGCTGGCCTGCCAAGTTGTCAGCTGGCATAAATATATGCTTTGAGAATGGAGTTGACGTACGCCGATAATTGCAACGTTCTTCAAATAGGATGCCATTTTGGGTTCTTGCGCTGTAGATAAAGTACTAATCTTGGATGAAAATACTTGTGTTTTCGTGCTTGAGAAATATTTTCAGCATCAATGATGGAATGACATCTTTATATATTGTAGTCCTGCGCTATTTCGCTCTCTCTATCTGATGTTGATTTCACATCACGAACTGGGTATGCAAGTGCTGCCTAGCACAATAATTCGGACTTCCTGTCCGCTGCTCCGCTTCGACCAACCAAACAATACCAACGAGTCTAAAGCAACTTTCCAAAGGGAAATAATATGATGATGCGATATACTCCGTCTCCGAAGTGCCTGCCCAGGTGGGGCCTTACGCTTAGAAATGCGGACTGGGGCCTCCGCCGCTCCGCTCTAACCAATCAGCTCAGCTTCGTCTCTTCAACTTCAAGTTGCTGACTTACAGCCTCACAATTCCCAAGTACAGTCATTATTACAGTTCCGAGCAAGATCTCGAGTGAATGATTCATCCACCTAGCACCACAGTGCGCTCTTGTCTTGAGTGTCGCCGACGAAAAATCAAATGCGACAGATCCCTGCCTTGCTCGTACTGCGTTAAAGTCAAGATACAATGCAGCTACCCACCACTAAGAGCGGAACCTGCAATTACCGAGGGCAATAGAGCTGGCGATGATATGGTAGTCCGCATCGAAAGAATTGAGCGTACGCTAGATTGTTTTGAGCAAAGTCTCTCTCAACTCCGGGGACTGTTGCAGACTCAGTCTTCATCGGCATCTGTTGGTGGAAGTCATGGTCATGACCCAGAATACCAGTTGCACGAAAGCCACAGACATGATGAATGGGATCTGAATCAAAGCCCATCCTTATTCAAAGCTCTCCCGACTTCTGCACTCGAATATCTTCGCTCTCCCCGGGTTCTGGTATCTTTCCTATGGCAGAAGTACTTGGAGAACGTGGAGCCAATCCTCAAAATTCTACATGCATCAACGGTCCAGAGACAGGTATTGAATAACACGCAGTCTCGAGAGATCGTTGGAGCACCCACGGAATGTGTGATATCCGCCATTTGTTATGCTGCTGTGGCAACAATGACAGTGGAAGAGTGTCGGGTTGAGCTTGATGAAGACAAACAGAAAGCATTGAAGAGGTATGTCTCTAGTCTAAAGCCATAAGTTATCCCGCTAATATTTCAAGGTATCGCATCGGAGTTGAAAGCTCCCTGGCAAAAGCCGATTTATTGAAGTCATTGGACACGGCTGTCCTTCAAGCCTTCGTCATATACATCGTACGTGACACTGAAGCAAAAAGAGGTCTGATATCATCTGACAATTGTTTTAGGCTTGCAGCAGACGTTATGATAAAGGACCAGACATTAGGAAGTTTCTTGGAAATGCCATTGGAATTGCCTTCAAGATCGGGCTACATCGCGACGCATCCACTTCAGGACTACCACCCTTCCAAGTCGAGATGCGGCGTCGACTGTGGTGGCAGATCTATACTCTGGATATCAATATCGCAGAGGACTGTGGCACAAACCCGCGTATTCTGGAGTCATGGTTCGACACAAGACTCCCTTCGAATATCAGCGATGCAAGTCTTGACCCTGATATGAAGGACCCGCCCCGAAACTGCACCGGGAAAACAGAGATGGTGTTGAATCTTACAAGGTCTGAGATCAGCAATTTTGCCCGCCGAACTATCTTCCCCGATCAGTTTTGCGAAGAGAACTGCTACCCGGTTTTATCAGCGTCGCAGAAATTCACAGCGATAGAGCTCTTCAAAGAGAAAGTTGAACAGCAATATTTATCGCATCTAGATCAAAGTATTGCATTAGACTGTTTTACAACTGTCTCCAGCAATCTGATACTTGCAAAGCTCAAACTGGCAGTGATTAAACCCCGAGCGAGACAGGACCAGTCTATGCTAACACATGTGAACTTCCGAAAGGTTTGCACAGAGATTCTGCAGAAAGCTGCGGCTTTGAGACACTATGAAAAGGGCAGGCAGTGGCTCTGGACTTTCCAGAACCACATCGAGTGGGATGCCTGGACATGTCTGCTCATCAATCTTTCTCTGGCCCCTCAAGGGGAGGCGTTGGATTCGGCATGGCAAGCGGTCAATGAGACATATGATTACTTGAAGATGGACGGCGATGCCCGACGTGATTACCGCTGGGAGAATATTGAGGAACTCCGCACGAACGCTCTATTTTCTCGAGACATGATACAGATCAATCCATCCCAATGGGGGACATCACCAGATGAAGACAGCGGCTTTGAAGAATCACATACCATGGCTACAGAATCACCACAGCAGCTTGGACTGGGAACATTAAAGCGCCAGAGGGAAGACGGTATTGGTTCTTCCCGTTATTCTCCAGTCGAGCTGGAACCCAGAGCCCCGAACTGTCGTTCTGAGGTGCCGACCATGCAATCAGAAGCCCAAGAACATCTGCCCCGTATGTGGGCGCTGGCTAATGCTGCCGCGGCTGCTCCGACAGCTATCGACAGTTCATCTCACGTGGAACTAGCCAGTGAACCTACAGACATACCAAGCTCGGGCACTGGCTGTCAGTGGAGTGCGACTCTCTTCGAGCGATACTTTCAGATCCTGGGCTCTGAGGAAACGTCACCGGTATGACAAAAAAAGAATATTAACGACTCAACTATTCGCGCCATTTCACTGGAAAGTCTGGAAGTTTGTTCTTCTATAATGTATAAAATGCTAAATCACAATCAATGTCCTGGGCCCGGTGTCTCGTCGTCGTAGTCGAAGATCTTGCCAGGATTCAGCAGCCAGTTCGGATCCAATGAACGCTTGATACTGCGCATAACATTAACTGTCTCCGGCCCAACTTCCTTTTTCAAAGATCCTTTCTTGCCCAACCCAATGCCGTGCTCTCCCTGTATCACTGAATTAGCTGATACTCTGGTATCTCCAAAATAAATGACTTACCGTGCACGAGCCCTCCATTTCCAGTCCACGATCAACCATATCGTACACTACTTTCTCGACCCTCTCCTTCTCGGCGGGATCGTTACGGTCATACATAATGCTTGCATGGAAGTTTCCATCACCGATGTGGCCAAGGATACTGGCGAAAAGGCCTAGATCGACCAATTCCTTCTTAGAGATTTCTGGCAGGAGTCAGTATACATGCAACGAAGTAAGTCTTGAAGGGTCCATACCAATGATATCAGGCAATCGAGAAATGGGCACGGCCACATCAGTCGACCAGACCTCTGATCCCTCTTTACGCAGCGCCATCATGCTCCACAACGACTGCTTCCGCGCCGACCACAGGTCATGAGCTTCACGGTCATCACGAGCGAATTCAAAAGACTGCGCATTGTTACCCTGAGCGAGCTTCGTCGTCAGATCAATACTATCCGCAACACCGGCAACAGTTCCGGAGAACTTGAAGAACAACGTAGGCGAGACCTTCCATTCACGGCCTGTTCCACCCGCGCGATTAATAACATCCATTTGAACATCATCCATGATCTCCATGCACTGCACAGAGACACCCTTCCGAATGACCTGCATAGCGGTCGAGGCCGCATCACGAATAGTCGGGAACGAGACAACGCCAACGCGAGTCTGTTCCGGGAGCGGGGCGAGCTTCAACGTAGCCTCAGTGACGATACCGAGCGTACCCTCCGAGCCAACAAACATGCCGGTAAGATTGTAGCCTGCGGAAGTCTTGCGTGGACGTCTGCGGGTCTTGATGATGCGGCCATCGGCCAGGACGACCGTAAGGTTAATCACCCAGTCCTTCATGGTACCGTAGCGGACGGCGTTTGTGCCGCTGCAGTTTGTGCCGACCATACCACCGATCATGGCAGATGGGCCTGGGTCGACGGGAAAGAACATTCCTGTTTCCTTGATCTGCTCGTTCAGGTCCATCCACTGGATGGAGGGCTGCACGACGATGTCCATGTCGTCTGGGTGGATTTCTAGGACTTTATTCATGAACGCGAAGTCGATTGTCATGCCGCCGTGCGGAGCGGAGAAATTGGCTTCTAGACTCGATCCGCCCGAGTAGGGGATCATGGGCATGCGGTATTTGTTGCATACCTTGGCGATTTCGGAGACTTCTTGGGTGGTCTTGGGGTATGCGATTGCGACCGGGAGACGGTCGGCGTTTAGGCTGGACCATTCTGAGAAGCCGTGTTGGTGGAGTTCGTCTTCTTCGGTGCTGATTGCGTCTTCGCCGAGCTTGCTTCTTAGCTCGTTGATGGCCTAGGGGTGCTGTTAGTTTGGATCTCCCTGAATTCTGGTGTGAGATTGTGCTGTTGCAATTGAGTGCTCTACCTTGTCAAACTCCTTCGCTGAGCCATATTGAGGCTTCTTGGATGTCTGTGCCGGTGTCTGGGTATATGAGGAGACGCCGTAGCCTAACCCCGCAGCAAATGCGGAGACGAGTAGAGCCTTGGCCGGTGTCCAAAATGGTGAGGGGGGAGTATTTGTAGATGAGGAATTGCCCTCTTTTGTGTTTTCTGTTTTCCCGGCATCGGAGCTGTTCAATCTAGCGCCGCGAGCCAGAATAGTGCGCGAGATCTGGGGTCGGCAAACTGGAGCCGGTAGCGCTCGTGAGACCCGGAGGACTGGTCGCATTGTGGAGAATTATATGAGAATATAGAATTGAAGCTCAGGAGCTGCTTGGTAAAAAGGAAGAGATAATTCGACAATGCGGATATGATGTGACCAGCCTTTTGTACTTCGACGTCGGACTTCGGCCGAGAGAAGTAGACTGGTCCTTTATAATGCCATAATCCACTATAATTTCACTATAGTAAGCCCACGCTCAGCAGCCATTACCGAAGGTGGGGAGAAGCCGAACGTGGGGGCGAATAGGAAAACGGAGTCGTGCGAGAACTCCGGTCAGTTACCGCTGCTTTTGGATTCTGCCTGCAGTATACTTGGTAATATAAAATATTCTATAAAACTTCGTACTGAACATAGGAATACACTAATATCGGAGTTAAAAATTCAAGTCTAATTCTCGTTCAGTTCTATACTTGAAGTTCTTAACTTATTTGTGATTTTAGAGAGTTCAATATCACAGTAAAGATGTCAATGGTTGACGGGGCAACGGAGGGGGCAGAGAACCTCGTACACCCAACACAACACCAACCTTGGAAGTTAGATGAATCGCGTACTAACCACTAAATCCACTTAACATACATGCGATTTTAAAGCGATGGCAGAGCAACTAGCTCAACTAGTGCACGAGGTGGAACGCCTAGTCACCGCGCCTTACGTACCTTCGTTACAGGTAAGTCGGCTGGATTGGGACTGGCATTGGAGTATACATGCTAATACATGTAATACCAGGATCTCCATGATCTGGTGCAGCAGTGCCAATCATTTACAATTGGCGCCTGGGTACTGTGCAAACCCTGCCAAGTTGGCTTGTTGGTTGATGTTTTGGTCGAAGCCTTATCGCGATCACGCGTCGCTTTGCCTCTGATCACTGTATTCGGTTTGTGCTCAATGGAAGTCTTGTTGGGACTCGAGTCTGACATGTTTTTAGCATCTACATCGTCCTTTAGAGATGCGCTGCTTGAGCGACATCCGGTTATTTTGGATGCCTTTTTAGAAAAGGCCGTGGACACCAATGCGGCTGAGGTGAGCTTCGTCCCTTGGAGCTAACAAATGCTAGCTGAAGGGCATCAGCTAACTATTTCAGTATTTCCCGGCATGTATTGCAGTATTCTCATCACCCCTGCCAGCGGGCGTTGTGCCGCCAGCTAGGATTGCCCCATTCATCACGAAGCTGGTCAGCATGATGGCGGAGAATCCCTGTGTTGAGACTGTAGCACCTCTCCACTCACTCATCTCAGGACTCAAAGGCTCACCAAGGATCTTGAATGACATTCCGTCCGAGGTCATGTCCAATCTCCAGCTGGAGTTCACGAAGACACTGCGCAACTTCGACGATCATATGGGCAACCTTTTGTGTCTAGCAACCTTTGCACAGATTGCGACGGCATTAAGTACAACACCTCAAAATCAACACGGATCAGAAGCGCCATGGCTGCTTAACATTAATCATTTCTTTGGCCAGAAACGGGGTCTCAAAACACTGGACTTGGTCGTCTTGCGTGTTATACTAGCTTGCTCATCCAGTTGTAATCTGGCGCCGTCCGAGGCGGCTGAGAGTATTCAGCTGGCAATCTGCATCGCTGAAGCAATTGAGCCTGAGCAGAAACAGGCTTGGATAGCAGATAATACTCCTAAGATTGCTAAGCTTTGTGAGAAGGCTGTCAGAGACGGTCTCTATGGTCAAACACAAACGATGGTTAGTTATGGCTGTTCGCGTATCGAGACGAAATGCTAATCACTTTATGATAGGTATTTGTCTTTTTGCACACACTTCTCCCGGCACATTCGTTGCCATCCAATCTACGGGAACTTGGCATAAAGATCCTTTTGTCCAAGAACAGCCAAGAGACCATGGAAAGGATACCCCATCAACTGATTCCACGCCTCGCAAAGTCTTTAGCTGTAAGTACAATGGTTCCTGTCTGTGGGCAACCTTTGACGGCTGACATCAACAGGAATCTGGAGAACCTGCCACTCGTAAACTTTTGACCTTCACTTTCGATGTCTTAAGGGGTAGTAAATGGTCGGGGATGAGAGAGATGGCAACACTGCACCTGGCACACTTGGTATTGGCTGGTGTGCAAGAAGTACATCCCGAGATCATGCTTTCTAGTGTCAACAGCTCCATGGTCCCTCTGAGGGAAGTTCTTGGGGAAATGGTTGAATACTTCCCCCGACAGCCAAGCGAAAGCCAATGCAGTGGTCGAGCATGGTGTGCATCGGAGTTATACACAAAGCAAAACAGGCTGTTCTTATCTCTATTGGGACTTTACAACAGGGCTTCGGCGCAAAACGGAAGCGACATTATCATGAAATCCTTTATGCGACGAGTGGAACAATCAATGCCGAGTCTGGACTGTGCCTTCTCAACGACAACTCCCAAAGCCTTCCGTGGGTCCATTGCCTTGCCAAACAGACATGATCTCTCGTCAACTCCGATAAACCGCAATTGGCGCTCTGGGGTTACCGAACTCTTCATGCAGAATGCCCAGACCTCTCATAACAGTATGATGAGAAAGATGGAGGATACGTGCTTTGACCTCGAGCGTCGCTGTCACGATGTTGAAGGACCCCTGCGAGCTGCCGAAGAAGAGCGGGACAGATATGCGAGCGAAAATGAGCAACTGAAAAGGCAAAACGAAGAGTTAAACAAACAACTGGAAACCGAAAATACAGAGATTGAGACAAAGCTACGGAACTCACACGAATGTTTTGTTGAACTTAACAACGAGAACACACGCCTTGAGCAACTCCTTCAAGGTCAATGCACATATACCGACGAGCTGGCTATGTCGCTCGAATCTGCCCGCGAGGAGCTTCAGCAGCAGCAACGGAGTTCCGAGCAGGCACTTATTGTTGAAAAAGAAAAGGCCCGATCTAAGGAATTGGAGATGATGGCCACTTTAACTGGGAAGGATGATCAACTGGAAGAGCTTCAAGGGGAGATGTGCAGTTTGCAAATGAAGAATGAGCAGACACGCCAGAGTCTTGATCAAATGTCGAGCGAAAAGGCCAAATTATCTGAACTCGCTACCTCTCTGGAGCAAAATCTTGCGAGTGCTACAGAGGCATTGAAGCAAGCCAGGATTTCTGCTGATGAGAAAGAAGATGAAGTGAACCGCCTCCTGGCCCAGGAGGAAGAGTTGCGAAAGGAACTAGGGTCTGTGGAAACAACAGTGAGTCTTTTTGACAGTCTTTTTAGCAGTCTTTTTTGGCAGTCCTTTTGGCATCAATCAATACGAATTGGTTTATACTGACTCTTTCTAGGTTATGCAACAGAATATTGAAGTTGAGAGGCTCTATACTACATTGGAAGAATCCGAGGAAAAATCGCGGAGTGAGATTGGAAGGTTGAAACATGACCGTGAAGCCGAATCTTCTCGGGCCACATCTGAGGCATGTCCATGCATAAATCAAATCTGTGTATGAGTGAAACTAATTATGTGCCGAAACAGATAGCGAAGTACGAGACAGAAAATCAGCGGTTGCATGCTACTATGCAAGCTGCCGCTCTTGGTGCTTCCAGAGATGCCCAATCGAAAGACAAACGGATCCAGCACTTGGAGAGAAAAGTAATTAACAGCACTCATATATGCAAAATCTGTACACTCTAACATTGAATTTAGGTGCAAGCCTTACGAGACGAACGTGCTGCCAAGGCGCGCGAGTTCTCCGAGGCACAACAGCACATCGGTCGTCTAATGGGCGTGATGGGCTTCTCTGCTAAAGCCCCTGAGTCAAACGCCCCTCCAGAACACCAGCAAACCAGGTCCTCTATCAACGCCACTCCAGCTGCAAGGATCCCCCAGCCCATAAGCGATGATGAAGATGACATACAGCTGGCAGAGTCCTTTGAATCCATGGCCTCCAACTTCAATGGACCTACCCCAAAACGACCAAGAGGGAATCTCAAATCAACAAACCTGCCTTACGCTTTGAACACTCCCTCCGCTGCAGGTCCTAAGAAGAAAAGCCCGCCGCCGGCCAGCGGCATGTCTCGCTCAGTGAGAAAGCCACTGGCAGAGGCTGACCGCAACAGCCCGACGAAACCACAGTCAAACAGTGCATCGAAACGGAATCAGGTGGATGACTCTTTCCAGGAGACACAGGCCCAGGGGAATATTGAGGACAACCGACTTCACAATCTGGATTTGGATATGGATCTTGAGTTTTCTAGAGACTTTCTCTTTTCAAGCACTCCTTTTACTGGGTCAACGGATCAGATTGCCCCGCAGTGAGAATGAGTTTTGTGACTAGCCCTAGAGGTACATATGTCTTGATTAATTGCATCATGTCCATCGTATCTGTTGTTTTCCGATGCGTTATTCTACCTTCCTAGACCTTCCTAGGTAGTATGTACACTTTTACATGATCAATAATCTACACCTCAAAACCCAACTATCTTAACAGTTAGTCTTAGTCTACTTTAATGCTTCATTACTGGCACCACTGCCTGGAAGTCTGTTTTATCTGCCGCTATCCTAAGTCAATTGTTTGAAGCTTTGGAGTATGTTCCTCCATTCATCCATTCCATTTTTCCTCGGACTATTCACTGCCTGGGTTTCTTCAACCTACATATGTAGACAGTGATCTATTTGATTGTACACTGCTAAATAGAGGATATCCGTATTTGCTTTTTGTTTGTCTTCCTCGGTATTTGCCAGCATTAAATTTGCTAAATGTATACAGCAAATAGTACGTACACATTTTTGGATTCATTGCCTCTTCAGCTTTCTACAAACAGTATATAATATATTCATTATTAGAATATCACTAGGGCGTTATTTTAGCCGGCTAGGTAATCTACATGTATCCTTTATTGAGGATATAACTATCAACTTGGCTGGGTGGTCAGAAATAGTCACCCCGAAGAGTAGCCGCGTCGAAAGTTGAACTACATACATAATATATATACAGTGCAGGAATTATCAATTTCGTGTCATTCTTGAAAGGATGAATCGAGCAGCAACAGTCTAAGCAGGTCTGACTTGTAAGTACACGTCAGATGCATATATGCTTGCTCGTTTTCACTTGACTAAATCCAAACTAATCGGGTGAACTCTCAGATTCCATGCCTGCCATTTCTTCTGTGCCTCATTTGACAGTCAGATTCCATGCCTGCCATTTCTTCTGTGCCTCATTTGACAGTCAGTTCCCTCGCCTCTAGGGCTGCTACACTTTAAGAAGGTCGCTCTTTCCCATTAAACGTGTTTCTGTGCCTTTTAACCTTCTATGCAGACTCTAGAAGATCGTTCTTTCCTAGTGCGACATCTTTCGGTTTCCATTCGGCACTTGTTTTGTTGTTAGTCCTCTTTGCTGTGCCGCATTTGTGTCCTTTCCTCCGTAGTTCCTTCCTATTTATTCTTCAATCTCTCACATCTTCCTCTTCTTCTTCAACTTCTTCAACTTCTTCGTGATACATACTGCTTCTCTTGCCTTACAACCAAAGCACATGATGGCAGGCCCAGATCTTCCCAGTTTACAACACCCAAAGTCGAACCTTCTGAGACTGGTTCCCGCTGACCCTCCTGGCCCTTCCCGTCGCAATTCGCCAGTCCGTGACTGGATGGCCTGGAGATCATGGAAGACTTGTGGGGTGGACCTGCTGAACATACCAAGAGAAATGAACACCCACGATATCTACGATGCTTTCAATCAGTATGGGAATCTGGTTTCCATCGACATTTGGGAGGACGCCTCGGGACGTCCTGAGTCCAAAGCACGCATTCGTTTCAAGTAGGCATTCTGTCAATTCAACATGTTGCTTAGATACTTTTGCTGATCATCTATAGACCCCCTCCAGAAGAGGAGTTCTGGAGAACCGGCTCTTTCGGTGTGAAGCTCCGGAGTGGCTGTGTTGCAGTGATATCGCTCTGTGTCTGTTGTGGTGACTCGAACGGGACCATCCCGAGCCCAGTCCGCCCAGACGTTCAGCTCCCCAGAGAACTGGTCAGTGCATTTATGCTATGAAGCTATCTTCCAATACTGATGGTTATTTTGAAGGAACTTAAATCTGTACAAGTTGATATCGGTGTCCTGCTAGGTCCGTCCACTGTTCATTCTATGCAAAGCTTTAACAACTTGGCATACCCCAGATGTGTCGTGGATGTCATGCGCAAGTGCTTGTTGCTCTACTTTAAAGTGGGCATTCGGGGGTCGGAGACAGCAGATGTAACTCAGCATGACTATCGTGTCAAAATCACATTTCTCCAACTGTCCCAGATCTACCAACAATACGACAAAGCCACGAGAGAACATTCCTTTTTGGTTGTCCTAGACTCCGCCGCAATCTGGCACCGAAAGGCCACAGACATTCGGTCTACATTGACAGAGCCGTTGAGCTGGAGAGAAGAGGATAGTTGGTATCGCCAGACCTCCGTGACACATAACCCGAACTCGCTAAAGAACCTTCCCACAAATCTGAAGAAGACAGGACATATCATTGACTTGGGTAAGTAGCGGCATCCGTTATAATTCTGTACGCTGACCAGATTTTCTTAATAGGGCGATGGAATATGTTCAAGATCTCATTCGCACCTGACGTGGACCCCAATATGCGCCGTGTCGACGATACCAGTCACTATTTGATGCGCGTCGCAGACATTTTTAAGGACTACAACATCACCATCAAAGATGGGATTCACTTTGTCGAGAAACCAGACCGACCGGTACCAGTGTGGCATTGGATTGACTTTTCCGAATCCAAGTCCAACAAGGCTTCCGCATTGCTGCAAGACTTGGGAGATCAAAATTATCTACATCTCCCTTTCAAGGTCCGGTATCAATTAGAGGTTTGTTTGTCTCAGGGTTTCCTTTCTGAATTCACCATGACCCGCGAATTTGTAGAGAGGTTGAAGGGCCTCGGGGATGATAAAGCTACAAGACTGCTAGAGTTCCTTGCAACTGAGAAAAAACAGTACCTTGATCCCATGGAAATCTTTGAGCTCAAATTTTTCAAAGGAGTGACTGACTCGAAAATTCCAAACTATTGTTGCTTCATGCACACAGCACGAGTCACTCCGACAACAATTTACTACAATACCCCAAGTGTAGACATCTCAAATCGAGTCGTGCGCGAATGGTCAACCAAAGGTGCACCTGGGCGCTTTCTTCGAGTTCGATTTACAGATGAGAGAACTGAAGGCCGCATCAATGCTTCATTGGGTGATTCAAACGATGAAATCTACACCCGTGTCAAAAGGACGCTGGCAAACGGTATCACCATTGGAGACCGTCGCTACGAGTTCCTCGCATTCGGCAACTCTCAGTTCCGCGAGCATGGCGCGTACTTTTTTGCACCGGATGCCGGTATCTCAGCGGCAACCATCCGGGCCTGGATGGGCCAATTCAACCATATCCGAAATGTAGCCAAATATGCTGCAAGACTAGGACAATGCTTTTCGACCACCCGAGCTTTCACTGGATCCTCTGTGCAAACTGTTCCGTGCGATGATGTTGTTCGTAACGACTTCACGTTCTCAGATGGTGTTGGAAAGATTTCCAGATTCCTTGCCCAGATGGTCACATCCCAGCACAACATTAAAACTCTCACTGGAGAACCTCCTTCGGCTTTCCAGTTTCGTCTTGGAGGAGCCAAGGGAATGCTGGTTATCTCTTCGGACCCTCTGCCACAGGAGGTACACATTCGACCAAGTCAGCAAAAGTTCGAAACCAATCAAGCCGGCTTGGAGATCATTCGTTGGTCCCAGTATTCTCTCGCAACTTTAAATCGCCAGTTAATTCTCGTGCTTTCTGCTCTGGATATTCCAGATAAAGTCTTCCATAAGAAACTCAACAGCATGTTGGGTAGCTTCCATCGAGCCATGGGAAATGATTCGAAAGCAATTCACCTTCTCCAGAAGTATATCGACCCAAACCAAACGACCCTGACCTTGGCTCAGATGGTATCTGATGGCTTCAGACGAAATGGGGAGCCGTTTGCTAATACCATGCTCGAGCTTTGGAAATCCTGGCATCTGAAGCATCTCAAAGAGAAAGCAAAGATTGCCATAGACCAAGGAGCTAACCTTCTCGGCGTTATGGACGAGACAGGTGTTTTGAAGGGCTACTTTAAAAGCACATTGCCGCGCAGAGGAGCCTCCTATGCAGAGAAACTGGCCGCTCTCCCTGAAATCTTTGTTCAGATCTGCCGGCTAGAAGGAAATGGCGAGTACGAAGTCATTGAAGGTCTCTGCATTCTCGCTCGCAACCCTTCGCTTCACCCTGGAGATATTCGTGTGGTTCGAGGAGTGAACCGACCGGAGCTGCAAGGACTTCGGGACGTGGTTGTGCTTCCCCAAACAGGCGACCAGGAAATTGCGAGCATGTGCTCTGGGGGTGACCTCGATGGCGATGACTACCTCGTTATTTGGGACCCGGATCTGATTCCCCCAAAATGGTTTGTTCAATGCATGGACTACAAGGGTTCCAAAGCGCCAGACCTTGATCACGATGTGACAGTTGATGAAATCACTTCATTCTTCGTCACCTATATGAAGAATGACTGCCTTCCCCGAATTGCACACGCCCATTTAGCTTGGGCTGACAGACTTCCGAGGGGCGTGTGGGAAGACAAGTGCATTCGTCTCGCTCAGCTTCATTCTGATGCAGTGGACTATAACAAGAGCGGTGCGCATGCGAGAATGGCCCGCTCTCTGGATCCAAAGTTCTGGCCCCATTTCATGGAAAAGCGGTTCAAGAGACCATCCAGCATTTACAAGTCCAGGAAAATTCTCGGTCAACTGTACGACGCAGTTGTAACTCCTGACTTCGTTCCCAAGCTAGAGAAGCCCTTCGACTCTCGCATCCTGGAATCCCCGCTGGCTCCAGCAAGTGAGGTCTACATGGAATACGCCCGCGAGCTCAAGGCAGAATTCGACATGAACATGCGACAAATCATGGCTCAGTACGAGATCAACACTGAGTTCGAGGTGTGGTCAACTTTCGTACTCCGCCACGGCTTCGTACTCAAGGACTACAAGATGCAGGAAGACCTAGGTAGAATAGTTGGTACACTCCGCCGTGGATTCCGCCACCAGTGCTACGACAAAGTGGGCCGTCATGGTGGAAACATTCCTGCCTTGGTCATCGCCATGTACCGTGTTACTCAGGAGCAGGTAGCTGCGGCACTGGAGGCTCGACGCAAGGAGGCACTGCAGAGAGAGGATCCCTCCATTGTTGACGTGAATTCCACTGAGCTTCCGCTCATTAGCTTCCCTTGGATTTTCCCCGACGTCCTCGGTGATGTTGCGACGGGCCGGGTGCGACAGGCTCTAGTCTCAGAGGGACAAGGGGGCGGCGATTCTACAAAGCCCATCGGCGATGACTTGGTCTTCACTCACAACCAGATCCTCAAGATTGTTGAAGAAATGGATGAGGGCACGAAGCCGAAGGGTGAGGAGAATATGAAGCCGAAGGCGGAAGCGCCCCTGGATCAAGAACTCATTGCTCATCGACGCATTGACAAAACCAAACCCGAAGACAGGGGTGCGGGTGTGTGCTTCGATGAAGATGATGAGCAGGAGGGAGGGGTAGGCATAGGCGCTGCTGAAGTCGGAGAGAAGAAGATTGAAAAGGAGGAGGCTTTGACAGAGAATATTGTGGAAATGGAGGGCGATGTGCAGCCTTCAGCGCTTGATGCTTTGATCAGCATGATCAATAGCTGATATTTCGCTGTATGAGAAAAGGAAAAAAATGACAAAAGACAAAAAAAGAATCAAAATCAGAAAACGATCACCAAAAAATGGGGGCAGGGGTGAGATTGCAGCCCAGCGTTTTGACTTAGTTAGGTGATGACTAGTCTGCACGCGAATGAAAGTGTATGCTTGAATTTCCTCCAATTTGTAAAACTAAACATCAACGGAGTCTGTAGGGGTATATCCAAATCAAAACTCCAATTGCTTCAAAACACCGTGTATCCAAAAGACTACCAATCCAATCCCTCATCCCCCTTCCGTTCCAATAATTCAACCACAGGCTCCAACACGGCCTTGGAGTGTCTCCAATTAGCAGCATCTCTAGTCCTCGAGTAGAAGATAGAGCAATCCAAACTATCACAGCTAACCTCATCACCAGGAGAAACACCCATACAAGAGCGACAAATAGCTTCCAAATCAACGACTCTCTTCTCCGCCCTCTGCAGCCGCGAAACAACATCAAGCAACGTAAGATGCGGCTTCTGCAGACAATCCGCACACACAGGAACAGCAGCATCAGACAATCTCGCCCGACAGACCACACACGAAGACGAGCGCATATAAGACTCAAGCGTCTTCCTACTAACCCCACCAGCACCAGCACTAGAATTCGGTCTCGCCAGCACCGAGCCCTCAACCCGCCGAATCCGCTGCACCTTCGGCATCTCATCGTACCACTGACGAACATTCGCACCCACAAGATTAAAAATCCTCTCCAGCGGCGGAATAATATTCTTCGTGATATAGTACTCCGCATCGATCTCAAGCTGCGCATCATGCAGAAGTATCTGCGGCGCAACACACCGATCAACAAGTCTCGACCCAGGCGCACCGGTAACAACAACATACGGCACGCGCTCACCGGTCTGCGGCTCCGAGCGCGGATCCTCCAGCATGCGCTTTGTGCTTATCATCGCGCCGGCGGGAAGGGTGCCTCGCTCGGAGTACGTCCCCAGGCGAACTTCGCGGGCGAAGCAGAAGTCCTGAATGGAGATGCGGCCTTGCATGATTTTTGCGCATTGGCGCTGGAAGTAAGATTTTACCTGGGAGAGATCTGCGGTGCGGAAGAGTGTTTTTAGGGCTTTTTCTTCGATTTTTTGTTCGGCGGGGGTGCCGTCGCGACGGACGGTTTCGATGCCCTTTGCGTCGAATTCGGGCTCTTTTTGGTTGCGGTGCTCGTATTTGAAGCCTACGTAGCGTTTCTTCGCAAGCAGGATGCAGGGGTGGTAGACCTTTTCGAATTTTAGTTTGATCGGACGTGGGTTCAGGTCTGTTACTGCTTGGGCGATTTCTTCGCCGATGTCGAAGGCTTGGTCGCGGGTCCGGCCTTTTAGGTAGACGAATAGACTGTCTGTGTCGCCGTAGACGACTTCGGCGCCCCAGCGTTCGATTGAGTGGATGAAGGCGATGGCTTTTTCGAGGGTTTCTCGGCCGGTTTGGACAATGCTGTCAGCGATCTCGGAACAGGGCATTCGTCCCGAGAATGAGGCGGATGTGTAGCCGTATGTGACGTTTGCAATTAGCTTTAGTGCCAGCTGTCTGTTGTTCAGAAGGCGCTGTAAGACCTTGTCGTCTTTGTCGGCTTTCATGCCGGTTTTGACCATCACGCGGGTTTCAAGGATCTCAGAGAGCATCTTGGCTAGCAGTGACTGACGCACTTCTTGCTTCGCATACATCATACCATTCGGTGCGATGTTGATCTTGTCTTTTAGTAATTCGAGTAGCCTAGGCTGTCGCTTGTAATCCATGAACCCCATCTTATCTCGCCCACGCCAGTGCATTGCTCTACCAAGGAAGGTTGAGTAGCAGTAGTTGTACGCGATCATGACACTCGGGTACAGTGACTGGAAATCAAGCACCAGGAGTGGGCTAGTGTAGAAGTCACTTTGCGGTTCCATGACCAGGGGCAAGCATTCTAATGCGTTCTGCTGTCCGACCTGCTTCCTGCTTGGTGAGACGAGCAGGAAGTTCTCTGGCTTCGCAATTCGGAACATCAGAGACTCAACTTTGAACTGCGATCCCCGGGAAATCACAGAGGCAAAATCAATGCCCAGCAATCTCGCTTGCTCGCTTGTCCTTGGCGCCAACTCATTGGCTTCAAGAATTTCCAGATTCATTTGCACACGAGAGGTGAAATATTCCACGACTTTGAGGAGATTGCGAGGCTTGCCACTTTGGTGCCATTGCGTTAGGTCTTTGGGGGAATAGTGAGGAATTCGGCGATGCAAGACATGGAAGACGACGTTCTCCATAGTGTACTGTAGTAGGTTCAGTTCGCCTTTCATAGCGCGCCAGATATTGAACATGTGTCGCCCAGTGATGCGAATGGACGATGAGTGGTTGAACCCCCACTGATCTGCCTCTTTCCCAAATCGTCCATTAGATTGGGATTTGGATCTTGAAAGCTCCTCGCAAATGTCAAAGTCGTACTTCTTGCGCGCTCGCTCAATCACATATCCCCACGAAGCGTTGTGGACCTCGTATCCCGTGATAATGTCCGGATCGTGGTACCGGACAATGTCTATGAGTCGGTTTATCAGGTCCAGTTCCGTAGGCTCACATTCGACGTCAATTGTCAATGCTTTGGAGATTTTGGCTTCTGGCCTCTCGCCTTCGCCATGGTAAACCATCCCAACATGAACTCCGGGAAGATGGCTATTGACCTCAACATCCTCGTCTTCGGATTGAATGCACCAGAACATGCAAGTGATCTCGTCCTCTTCAGGGTTGGGCATGAGGGTTCCGCGCGTGTTCACATGCACTTCTAAGCTCATTGTGCTCATGTGTTGAGCTTGGTGTTCCACGCCGGTGGACACTCCATTCTGTGAGTATTTGAAGCCATGTGCGTTCTTCTGTGTGGGGCCCTCAATCTGCGAGAGAAAGTCGGATTTCGTTTCAGCAGATACGGTTTGGGCTGCTTTTTGGTTAGGTTCTTGAGAGGCTTGTAACTCTTCCAACCACTGTATTACTTCCGATCGGCTTGGCGGAACAGGTGCAAACTCCCAGACCCTGGCGGTACACCCTTCTCGGAGTTGTTGATCAACCTTTTCTTGCTGATCTCGGTCATGTGTTGTTGGTGTTTGCTCACCAAACATTGCAGGTGCCTCTGCCGTCGGGTCAAAATCAGGTAGATAGTGAATGGTGTTGCTCTCTAGCCGAAATTCTCTGCCGCCATATTCTCTTGGTCGTTCAGGCACATCCGTTTCATCACTGTAGAATGCTTTCTGGTATACAACCGAGGGACGCCCATATTCATTTATTGTTGAACTGACTTTGCTGGAAGTTGGGCTGGCAAATTTGAAGCAGCGCAATAGCGTGTTTGGTGTAAAATTGAATGACCGATAAATTTTTTCCCATGATCTCAGCGAGATGTGGATCGACAGAGGCTGGTCTCATTACTGTTGCAGACTGATGTAACTCTGAGGAACTCTGGGTTTTACTATTCTTGCCTGACAATTCCGTGGGAGATCCAGAAGGGAAAGAACTCAAGAAGCGCTGGGATGACTCGGGGTCTTTTTTTGAAGAATTTGCCTCATCTTGGCTGTAACGTAAAACGGTCAGAGGATCATTGGGGTCCTTGACTACCGGGAATTTCAGGCCGCTGTTGTAACTATGCGCCTTTGGACGGACTGTCCTCTGCGAGGAAGATGATTTTGGTTCTGACGACGGGGTTTCCGCGTGTGAATCCAACTTGCTATCAAAGGAGACACTCTTTTGTTTGTCATATTGCTGATGCTTCCGCGTGTTGGGTGATTCCAATGGCCCGTCAGACAAGTCTTGTTCGGCCATATGTCTAGGTCTTTTGGTAGGCGAACGGTGGCAATCGAGACTTTCGAAGTGTTGTCTTTTAGGGGCTACACTTCTGCTTTGACTCTGGTCTCTGGGCCTTTTTGCTGGGGCTACAGAATTTTCGTCCTTGAAGACATCATCCATAGTTGCTTTTGGGTTGTTGGTTTCAGCAGGCTCCGCAGGTGCAGCCGCATCTGAGAAAGGCATTTCGTCAAAGATTTCATCGTAAAAGCTGTCCCCAAGCGGGTCCCCTTTCGTTTCAGGCTCCTGTTCCGCTGTCCCTTCCAATGAGTCCACTCCTTGATCAGAATCCGAGTAATACTGTCCGTCAGCTTGAGAGGACAAAGCAAGACTCTCATCAACCGAAATTTCCGGTACTTTTTGCTCGGCTGATTCCTGGGAACGGCTGCTATCAAAAGTCAAAGTACTGATTTTGTCAGGAAAGAAGTCCTCAACACTATCCAACGCAGTCTTGACATTTTTGGCTTGATCGTCGGTATCCAAGAAAGTCCCAAATGTCGTATCTTTGTTGCCATCCTCGTGTTTCTCGTTAGCAGCAAGCTGAGATGCCATCTCACGGAATTCTTCCTCGTGTATCCAACCACCTCTCGACTGCTTTCTTGGATCCGCAGACATTGGAACCAATTCCTCAGGTCCAAATGGACTACTTCCGGGATCAGTGATTCCCATCCTCTTTTTCCGTCTGCGAGTTTCATCCTGCCACAGTCCAGCCATACTAGGAACAAGCCGCTCGTTAACCGCGACAGGTCTCAAAAGCTCGGTGAAGTCATGGTGTAAAGGCCGTTCCTTTACATCAAGACGGTTCAGGATATCTTGAACACAGACATCAACCTCCAGCGCGCATTTGCTTTGTTTCTGTAATGCAGGGTGATCGAGTATGCTCTCGGGTGGGATTGAACGATCGTGCCAGCGGTGGGCTAGATTGCTGAGCTCGAAATACTCAGGTACCGGTGCTCGGAACTTGACTTGACTGCAGTTCATGGTTGCACATCCGTACAAATTGTAGTCACACATCCATTGCGGGATGTATTGCACATGTGCCTCGTAGGGTTGAAGCGGACGTTTCATCACGGCTCCCTGGTGCAGAAGATCGACCAACCGGGTTGTATGGAAGGGGTTTAAAAGGTAAATTTTGAAGAAGAACCGCCATCCTACATGATATCCGTAGAACGGGACTCCTTTCACCAAGGTGATGTGCGCCACAAACGCTGTCCTCCGGTCATATGCATTTCGGCGAAAGCTGACCGCCAGGGCATGATCGATTGAGAGATGAAGAGTTCGGATTGCCGAGTTTACTACGGTTTTGGTGAGTCAACCCATCAAACCATCAATATGACTATCACTAACCATCTTCTGGTGCCAAGGACCCGTTGTATTCAATGTAGAGATATGGAAATGCGCCATGGACATGTACGCAAACTCTCTGGCCAGTTTCGGTGGCCCCAAATATTCGAATCACGGGCACTTTGGGCTTGAAATCTTTTTCAGAGACCTCATCACGAAAAGGTAGTGGGGGATCCAACTCCGACGCGGTCGCCTGGTAATGATCGATACAGTTGAGACGCACACGGAATGGCTCCATCGCTCCGGTGTGTGGCGACCAGAAGCCACAGCAACATTGCGAAGGATAAATGGATCATACACCGATTATCGCATGTGTGTCCTGTTAGGCATCTCAATAAGAATAGTTGAGAAAACGCGAGGGAGGTATGTCCATGCCAACGCGAGATAACGCCTAGTCACGTGCTTATTATCAATTCTCCACCCGCTAAGCTCGGGCCTATCGCAACTTCACTCATCTTTCATCTCATAACAGGAGAGAGCTACAAGTGGCTCGATCTACTTTCTCACTTGCTTCCCTTTATTTCCTAATCAAAACTTGCCCTTCCCCCATTGAACCTACCAGTCATGTCACGAAAACCCGCGGATGTGGCGTCCAAAACGCCCAACGAGTACATTCCATCCTTCATCTCGAAAAAGCCATTCTACGTGGACGATGAGACAAACAACGACTACCTGGAGCATCAACGTCTCCAGAAGGCCATCCCTGATCAGTCAAAATGGTATGATCGAGGAAAGCGCGTGGGCCCAGCCGCCACCAAATACCGCAAAGGCGCATGTGAAAACTGCGGCGCGATGACACACAAAACCAAAGAGTGTCTGAGTCGACCCCGAAAGCAAGGCGCCAAATGGACTGGAAAGGATATTCAGGCAGACGAACTTCTCCAGAAGGTCGATATGGGGTGGGACGCCAAAAGAGATCGATGGAACGGCTACGATGCCACCGAATATCGCCAGGTCGTCGAGGAATATGAAGAGATGGAGGCCATCAAGCGAATGGCGAAGGATGATGCAAATCTCAAGAAACTTCAAACCGATGAAGATGGCGATGAAGCCCCCGATTCGGATATCCGGTACGCCGAAGAATCCGACATGGGACGACAACAGAGTACCGCAACTCGCAACCTACGTATTCGAGAAGACACCGCCAAATACCTGCTCAACTTGGATCTTGATTCCGCCAAATACGACCCGAAGACACGCCGAATGGTGGACATGGGCGCGCAGGATGATCAGGCCGCTGCACTTGTCGCAGAGGAGAATTTCGTCCGTGCTTCGGGTGATGCTGCAGAGTTCGAGAAAGCCCAGCAATATGCGTGGGAGTCACAAGAGAAGGGTCTCCCTCAACTACATATCCAAGCCAACCCCACATCTGGAGAAGTCCTCCGAAAGAAAGAGATTGTTGATAGTGAAGCTAAGCGTGAGGCGCATCGCAAAGCTCTCCTGGATAAATACGGTGGTGGAGAGCACTCAAAACCAAGTGCGCTGCGAGAGACGATGGTCGTTGAAAACGAGCGATTCATTGAGTATGACGAGAGCGGTGCCATTAAGGGCGCGCCCAAGAACGCAACCAAATCCAAATACCCCGAAGACGTGATGGTCAACAATCATACTTCGGTCTTCGGCAGCTGGTGGTACCAATTCAAATGGGGATATGCATGCTGTTGTTCCACTGTGAAGAACAGCTATTGTACAGGGGAAGACGGAAAGAAGGCCTTTGAGGAAGAAGGCAACATGTTGATGATGACTGGAGCAACCGCCAACGAAGATGTTTTCGAGAACGCTGAAGATGCGGATCTCTCTCACGAGTCTGAACAAGCCGACGGTAAGGATCAAGAGCAGGATTCAAATACCAATGGTAAAAAGCGGACGCTGGAAGAATTGAAGTCGGGTATCACAGAGGAGGAATTTGACTCATACAAGCGGAGCCGGCTGGCTGCTGATGATCCTATGGCGAACTTCATAGGGAAAGATTGATTCTGATGATGTTCTCCATATACTACTTGCATGGGCGTTCGGATGTACTAAAATACCCTCTTGATGTGCTGTTTAAACAGTGAACAAATGCACAAATCAATAATTTAGCTTTTGCACCTCTTTTTCGTGTACTCTTTAAAATCCCATCTCAACATAATATGCATCAATGAGATACTAGAATAAACATGAATCAAATATATCCACAACTCTGTAATTGGTTGGCTTTACAAGATCAACCGGTGTCACGTGATTAGATATGTGCACGGACCATATACGTCCAATGAGGGCTAGTCAGTCACGGGATCTGGCAAAGCCCTGATGGGTCCACGTGATTGACTAACGCACTCGCTTAGAGCACAATCGCCAGATCTTGGGCAAGTTTCGAGACGCTTAGCGACGACGACCCGACAACCAGCCCCTTCAACGGAATTGCCAGGTACGTCCGCATGCCGGTCCCTTCACCATTGCTCAGTTCACCCCCGTCAATTTACTAACATATATCCTCGTCCACAGTTCCATAATTCAAGATGAGTACGTTCGATGCCGAAACATCGCACCGCGATCCTCCGCACCGTCGAATAACTTCAGACTAACAACCGCCACAGCTAAGGGTACCTCCAGCTTCGGAAAGCGCCACAACAAGACGCACACTCTGTGCCGTCGTTGTGGTACGTATTACACCTATTTTTCACGATCCCACCCATCCGACCCGCAGTCGCAAATTTCTACATCGAAAGACGGAATTAGCGATTACGGCGAAGACAACCACACAATCTAGAAAGGACAAGGGCTAACCGGTGATGTCTACGACTCTACAGGCAAGCGGTCTTTCCACATCCAGAAGTCGACTTGTTCCAACTGCGGCTACCCTGCTGCCAAGACCCGCAAGTGTACGCAAATTCCCCTCCCGAGAACGCTGGTAATATGAATGGTGGCCATTTTGGAATTTGGGCACCAAGTCGAGAACTCAGGCTTACATGGATTTTTTTTTTTACGAACAGTCAACTGGGCTGAGAAGGCTAAGCGCCGCAAGACCACCGGCTCCGGCCGCATGCGCTCCCTGCGCGATGTCCACCGCCGCTTCCTTAACGGCTTCCAGACCGGTACCCCCAAGGGTGCCCGTGGCCCCGTGACCAACTAGATTCCCTTTTTCGTCCGCTCGGCGTCGCGTTTTCGTTATCGGAGAGGCTGGAATAGGAATGAGGGGAGGGATCCTGGCATGACATGAATTAGCATTACGGGATAGCATTACTCGAAATGCAATGGCAGTTCCGGACTCTTATCGCTTTCCCGTGGAGTTGGTGGTGTATGCAACTGTCGATCGCGTTGGTTCTCTTTGCCACGCCAAGGATGACAAAGTAGAACTTGCGAGACGATGGGAAAAGTTTCGTTGAGGGGCTCTTTTCTACGGAAAAGAGCTGGATTTAAAAAAACCCTGGGAAAGCGTGAATGAATTTCCTTTTTCTTCGTTTATGGCTGGCGAATATCCCATGTCATGACAGATACAATGTGAAGACTCTTCCTACCATTTCATGGTCTTCTACTCAGTACGAGGCTCTTCGATCGAAAAGACGCAGAGTCTTGAATTGGACAGGATTCACTGGAACTGTTCCTGATAATCTCATGGCTCTTTGAACATCTAACCCATAGTATACAGTCTCGACTCATGATTCCCCACGACCAAACACCTTGACACCGCCATCCCGTTGAATGAAGTACAACGCCTCTCGTTCCTCCAGGGTCTCTTCTTCACTCGTGTTCAGCCCACCACCTCGGCTGATCCTCAGTACCCCGCTCACATCTTTTGCGGCTCCAGTATCCAAAGTGCGGAGCTGCATGACCGACCGAGCCCTATGCGCCAACCCAATAACAAGTGCCGCATGTTCCGTCTCTATTGGCGTAGCCAACTGCCCTCCCGATGTGGATGCATTGTGTATTAATGGGGCATCCGTAGCTAACGTCAAAACCGTAGCATGTGCATGCTGTCGAACAAATAGTCAGCCCTGCCGTAAACCGTAAACCTTGATTTTGCCTATCAGCAAGTGATAAGGCCTTACCTGTTGTAGCGCTGTGATCCACTCCGACATCTCTGTTGCTCCGATCCCCATACTTGGACCTGTCGCAGCAAGGAGCAGGTCAGGCTGGTCTATAATGAGAAGAAGCTCGTCACCATCTTCCATTGAACTCTTTTGCTGTTCAATCACTGATGATATATCTTTCTCCAGTGCGTCGAGAGAGGCAAGACCACGGCCAGAGAAATGGAGCTTCTTTGCAATCCCAGGTTCAGCCTGCTTCGGCGTCACATTTCCTCTCGCTCCTGTGGCTGTTGTCACCGCAGGTTGTGGTGACCTTCCGGGTACAGCACCAGGTGGAGACCGCATTGGGAGCGTTGTTCGTGGACTGCTTCCCAGTCCAGCCGGTGAGATACTGGGGGTGGCTGTGGCTTCCGGTGCGTAGAACAACTCAGACAGGCCATCTATGAATGCAAATTGTTGCTTATCTGCCAGACGCGCAAGGTCAAGGCCCTATAAACCTAGTTAATGATGTTGAACAATGTATGTATCAATACATGAATAATATAAGAAATGGAACACAAATGCATGTTCCAAATTCAAATACCAGTCAATATGTTAACTGAACTTACCAATCGCTTTGCCTCAGTCCTCCAGAACTCATAACTCCGCATGAAGCTCACCAGCACCACTTTCTTTTTTAAGCCATTTTGCAACTCATCTGAGCCAAATGCCGCGTTGGGGCTTGGTGCGCTCAGCGCAGCATGAAGAAATCTCAGGACCAGCCAGTTTGAAGTCGCACCAAGGATAGAAGAGACTAGCGTTAGAGATGAATCGGGCAGATTTGATACATATGAAGCGAGGAGGGGCGGTAGTGGGGGTTGAGAGGGCATGGTTGCGCCTCGCTTCAGATATCGATGCTGTCCTTTGTTCCTAGCGAGTTGAAGATGTACCGGGTCGAATTTCAATCTTTCCTTTCCAATTATTGAGTCTTTGATTGAAAGTGTTGCTGCTGATCAAGTCGTGGAGATGATGTCGAGAAAAAATGTCTCCGGCTTGTGATTGGCCCCTCAATGTCCAGCCATGCCAAGACATAGCATATCGAGAAGATATTGCATGGGATCTGATTTCTCTCGTTGTTTCTCGATGTACTTTCTCTTGGGTATAAAGATAATACAATAACTAATCCAGGGTCTGACTCTCCAGCTATTTCCTACTCAAAATCTCTGGCTTAGATGTTCTTAGAACGATGTGTGCAAGCAATATATATAGTTCCTGATGTATACTACCTGCTTAGTGCCTACACCATGTACCTGAAATCCCAATCGATCCAGTTAATAAGAGTGCAACTAAAAAGATCCACACATCAGGGCTTTAAAATAACATACAAAACAGTCAACAAGGATTGTGATCAAAATTCCAGACAATTTCTGCCTGAGGCACCAATATGAGTTTTCTGCACTTATCACCTGACCGTTTTCCCCACCATCGAGGGGAGCGATGGATGCATCTTATTCCATCGCATTGCAAAAGGCTGTGCTCTAGCGCCGATCGTGAGTACATTTTCCATTCTAGAGATTACTTCCACACCGCTATGTGTATACGCATCCCAGCCCTACAATGCTTATGTACTATACATGATACCCGATGTGGAGGTCTTCTCGCGAAGCATTTTCCGTTCATTATATCAAATGCACAGGCTAATTATCTATGCAGATGACTGCCGTTGTATGGCATGATCAAAGCGTATTGGATATAAGATACAGGATATCTAACTTGCCTCGATAAAGATGGCTAGCACTCGTGATTCCCACTCATTTGCTGTATGTATTGATCGGCCTGCATGATAGCTGAGATATAAAACGCAAGAGTTGAAGTCTGACAATTCAACTAGTGCGACGAATGCCGCTTGCGCAAGTCAAGAGTAAGTGCCGTCTTGTATTAATTTCCTGCAAGCTTTGGCCCATTTAACCCGGGTATTATAGTGCTCAAAAGAGCGACCAGTTTGTCTGCAATGCCGACAGCTGAACAAAGAATGTATATACAGCCCCAAAGTCAGCAGAAGTCCTCTGACTCGGCAGTAAGTGACCAGGGCCGAACAAAAGTTTGTATTTGAAGACAAGGCTGACTTGACTACTTCAGACACTTAACCTATGTTGAAGATCGCCTACACTCATTTGAAACAGCCCTAGGAAGGCTTTTCCCAGGTGGTGATCTGGATGCTACACTACGTTCTCTTTTGCAAAACCCAGAGGTCCCAAGGGCCCCTTCATCCAAGTCCTCTTCAAGGCACTCAACCCCCAAGCATGAGCCAGAACGGGCTGAGCCAGCACCAGAAGCTCTCCCACAGCAAGCCGATGGCTTTGACTGGGCTGAAAAAGAAATTACGCTTGGTGATTTGACAGACGGCATGGCTGCGCTGTCTATTAAGCCCGAAGGAGCTGGCTACTTTGGTTAGTCCGTTCAATATCCATTATGGATTATGCTCTTCATTTGCCGAACTGACACATATATCACAGGAGCATCTTCAAGTGTCGTACCATTACGAGCACTGTTTGATCATGGATTTGACTTGAATATACCTGTTCGCTCGGCAAGGTCAGGAGGCGTGCCTCTCAAAGCACAGCTTCTGGAAAGTGCTCCATCTGGGCTAATCGAACAAGCGTTTATCGACGCTTTCTTCCTCAATTATCACACCAGCTATCCATTTATTCACGAACCTACCTTCCGGATGCAGTTCAACGACCCATCTCTACGCCCGCATGGTACGGCCTGGCATATCCTCCTAAACACGATATTAGCTCTTGGAGCCTGGTGTATCGGTGATGATAGCTCAGACCTCGATATCACATTCTACCAAGAAGCCAGAGGATACTTGCAGCAGGCATCTGTGTTTGAGACTGGCAATCTGACATTAGTCCAAGGATTATTGTTACTGAGCAACTATGCACAGAAGCGGAACAAACCCAACACCGGATGGAATTATCTTGGTCTAGCAGTTCGAATGGCCATGAGTTTGGGTCTTCACAAGGAGTTCCCTGGCTGGAAGATCAGTCTCCTGCAAAGAGAAATCCGCAGAAGATTGTGGTGGGGAGTTTTCATCTTCGACAGCGGCGCAGCTAAAACCTTCGGCAGACCGATCCTCCTCCCAGAGGATAGTGTCATGGATGCGAAACAGGTTCGAAATATTCACGAAGAGGTACTTGCAACCAATATGAAACATAAAAAAGCAGCTAGCTATAACTAATACATTACAGGCCTTGACTCCCACAACAACAACTCTGCCAGCCGAATCGCCCGGCCCAACCATCTACTCCGGCTTAATTGCCCAGGCCAGCTTCCACCTCCTTACCAACAGCGTCTACCAACGCCTCATCTCAAGCCCAAGCCTCACTCCAGAAGACACACTGAACCTGCAAAAACCCATCGAAGAATGGTACAACAGTCTTCCATCCTACCTCCAACACCCGCAGTTGCCTCTCTCCATGCAGCCAACCCATCCAGATCCGGACTCTCTCGCACTCGTGCGCAACCGCCTGCTATGGCGAAACTGGAACCTCACCATTCTGATCTACAGACCAATCCTACTTCGCTGGGCCGCTAGACGCTGGGCCCCACTTAGCGGCGGCGGTCCAGGCACCCCGGATGCAGGGTCTGAAGATCCCTTCGAGACGGAATGCCGATTGCGTTGTCTCCAGAACGCGCGTCTGACCATCTCCTCCATCTCGGAGTACATGGCGAACTATATGTGCACCAGACTTGGGGCATGGTATATGCTGTATGTATTTCCCCATACCACACACCCACTATTCCTTTCTACTAGAATGACATCTAACATTAAAAACAGCTACTTCCTCTTCCAAGCAGGCCTGATCCCCATAGTTTTCCTAATGACGGACCCCTCAAACCCCGAAGCCGCCTCCTGGCTCCAGGACATCGAAACCACAAAATCCCTCCTAACCCACCCGTCCCTCGGCACAAACCGCTTCGCAACCCGCTGCTTCGAAGTCATCAACCGACTCCTGGGCCCACCAACAAACTCAGTGCCACAGGGACTCCCAACGGACGGAGACCAGCTCGATCCCCAGCATCACCAGCACCAGCACATGTCTCCACAACCGCAGCCTAACATGATGCCGTTCCCCGGACAGCTCTTTAATGATCCCGGATTCGGTGGAAGTCTGTTTCCAGTCGAGCAACATATGCAAATGCACAATACGGGGGGAATGGACTTTTCTGAATGGGTTAATTTCCCCGCGACGGAATGATTCGCTGTTGTTTTGTTATTGGTTTTTATTTTCTTTTGATTCTGTATGTATCTTGCCTTGCATTGTAGGATGGGTATATGGAAAATTGGGAATTAGGACTTTTGGAAATTGTCATATAGGTATTAGCGAATACTTTAGCATGATTTTGACAGTGGATTTGATAAGTGCGTGATATCCTATGTCAAGAATAAGTTATTATATACGAATACTGTTCTCTTTACGCCGTAAGTTCTTTGCATTGCACGTTGGCATTCATGCCTGTTCCGCATGCGAATTGACCGGCTTGATGAGATCATCTTCTTCAATCGGTGTTCCGCGCAATTCGGCCTCGATATGCTTGATGCGCTTCTTTTCTTCGTGGGCGGCTGTATCGCCGAAAATGAGATCCATATCTTCGAGTGTCTGTTGAAAAATAGTTAGCATGGTCGATCATTCGTGGACAATGGGTCCACGCTGGAACGGAGGGTTGCGGGGCGTACCTTTCCACGGGTTTCAGGGATGCAGAAGAAGGTGAACGCAAAGGCAAGAAGACAGAAGGCAGCAAAGAAGATGTATGTGCCCCAGGTGATAGACTCGAGCATGTCGGGTGTGACAAGGCCAATGATGCTGCAAGACGGACTTGTTAGATTCGAATCGAATAGCCTGGCTAGAACGCTGTCACTTACAAGTTGCACATCCATGTTGCCGAGGTTGTGATGGAGATGGCCTTGGATCTAATCGACAGGTTGAAGATCTCGGAAGGAAGAACCCAACCGATAGGGGCTATAGTGAAGATGTTGTTAGTTGATGCTGGAGAATGCAGGTAAGAAGAGGTATAAGACATGATCGTACCGAAGGAATAGGAGAAGTTGATATCGTAGATGTAGATAAAGGCAATACCGGCCCAACCGGCAGATTTATTGCTGACGAGTGAGGAACCAAAGCCACCCAGGATGCCGCCTACAATCACCAGCGAGATGCAAGTCCCCGCAGCGCCTGCCATGAGCAGAGGTCGACGACCGACTTTGTCTATGAAGAAGAGCGCGGGGAGGGTGCTAAGGCAGTTGACGATGCCGTAAACACCGGTAGCAAGGAGGGAGGTGGTGTTACCATCCAGGCCGAGCTGGGCGAAGATTGTAGGAGCGTAGTAGATCATAGCTATATGAATTAGATATTGCGATAGATGGATGAGAGGGTGTAGTCGGGAAATGACATACCATTACAACCCATGAACTGCTGGAAGAACATCACGATGCAGCCAATAGCCAACCTTCTGAAGCGGGACCATGTTGTGAAGAAGGACATGTACTTTTGAAACGGGTTAGTGGAATCGAATTAGAAGGGAGGATTGGCAACAAACCTGAGCAACGTGCAACTTGTATCCGGACAGGTTAGGGAAATTGTCCCTCGCAAAGGAATTTTCTAGCATGATAGAGGCCTTGATTTCAAGGTACTCGTTGAGTAGAACAGGACTATCGCGATCCTGGCGACGCAGTCTTGAGAGCGCGTGCAGCGAATCGTCATCACGCTCCTTCATCAGCAACCAACGGGGCGAGTCTGGGAAGAATAGCATTCCGATACCGAGGATAACGGCTGGAACGATCTGCAGAGCGAGGGGAAGACGCCATGACACCTCGGACTGCCCAGTACAGCCACCAGCAGGAACATCATGGTAAGGGTCGAAGATAGGCTTTGAAATTGTACCACCGGAGTAAGGGATATCAGGAGCGCATCGGGTGCCGCCGATGTAGTTCGTTCCATAGTCGATCCAGTAGCTGAACAAGATTCCAAGAGTGACGGATACTAAATGCAAATTAGTCGACGTGCCATATCCCAACTCTCGAGAAAAACTTACATTGCTGTAGAACCACCAGTCCTCCGCGAATCTCTGGAATGGAAACTTCAGAAATATACAGAGGCACGACCATGGTCAGTTGACCAATAGCTAAACCAGCGATAGCTCGACCGGCGAATAGCATTGGTATATCCATAGCAGCGCATTGGATGACGGAACCAATAACGAAGACCACTACCGCCAGATTGATGGACATCTTCCGGCCAAATCGATCGGCGATAGGTCCGTTGATCAAGGAACCAGCCCAAGCTGCAAGCAACAGGGTTGATACGAACCAACCCTTGAAACCACTTTCAGAAAACACACGAGGGTATCGAGCTCCAAAGGACTCCATGGTGATAACACCGCTGATAACACCTTGATCATAGCCAAATAACAGACCACCCAGGGTCGAGAACTGTTCCACGGTCAATGAATGAATAGCAACATATCATAACAAGAGCAGACACTTACCGATGCTACACCACAGAGAAAGGGATTCTGTAGGACAAGCGCAAAGCCGCCCTTCGGGGAGCTATCTACAACAGTAGCCATGATATGCCAGTATTTTCTGAACCGATGAGAAGGGATATAACCCCAGTCGCTAGGCTTTATATAGTATATGCTTTCCAAGCCAAGTATCGGAACTGCCCTCTGCCGTTTAGGAACACAGTGCTCCGTCTGAAGTATAGATGAAGCAGGAACACAGTACTCCGAAAGCTCAGAGCAAGGCACGCATGATAAAATGAAAATCAACGGAGTGGTCTACTCCGCTCCAACCGAAAAAGGGAAAAAGGGGGGAGAAGGCCGAAACTGGGGCAAGGCATTTCCCCGATTTTAGTGGGCCGACTGGCCCGAGGGGAGAGTTTTGATATTGCGGGGAACCCCTGTCAAGGGGTTGTAGAGATTTCGATTTATTGGAGTAAAAATAACTCTGGAAAAGAGATAAACACTTACGTATGTATGTATATATATGTTTTATATTAACAGACACCATTCCCATTATCAGACAGAAATTCCAAAATCCATAGCCCTACAGAAACTCGGCGTCATCCCGAACCCGAAGCCCTGTGGGGAAGGTGGGAATTCTTATCCTTTTTGGTCGGCTTATTCCGATATAGCACGAAAACAGGGTTTTCACTTTCAATACCATTGGAATATGTAGACATTTTTGATTCAATTGCTTTCCAAGGTTATTTTAACCATTGGGGTGGCTATCACCAGATGACTCATTAGGAGCGAATACCTGAATTGGGACCATTGCAACGGTGATTTTCAACTCTGTGCTGCCCATGTGAAACCCATCTTCACTCTCAAAAACAACGCAACTTGCGCGATTATGCGCAGATTAGCCAGAGAAACACCAAGCTCTGTGCAATTCCATCGAGTCCAGTGCCAAATAACAACAACCGGACCTCGAGACACATGTCAGCTGCTGGATAGTGGTTTCTCAAGAGACATCAGGTGCAGCAAGTTAGCATCTGACCTGCCCAGCGCAATGTGATAAATCCTCGTTCTGCTGGAGTCAATTTTTTTCAGATCCCAAAGTTCAAGATCTCAACCTTACAATCCACCCACAACCATGTCCTCACCCCTCCGAATCGGCGTCCTCCTCGTAGGAACCGTCCAACTCCTCGACCTCTCAGCCGTCGACCTCCTCTACATGACAACCCCAGAATACCTACAAGAATGCTCACTCCCACAGCCACTAGTAGACCTAGGCCGGCCCTGCGAGATCCACTACATCGCACACAACGGACCAAACACAACAGTCAAGACGACCTCGCAAATGTCCATACAACTAACCGACTCGCTCACAGACTCTGCCGTCTCTCCAGGCAAGCTAGACATCGTGCTGATCCCCGGTCCCCCGCCCAAAGCCATGCCGCCAGCAGAAGAATACCTCGACTTCGTGCGCGCGCATTTCGCGGTCGACACGCCCATCTTGAGTATCTGCACGGGGGCATTTGTTATCGGGTACGCTGGGATTGTGAAGGGGAAGGAAGTTACCGCGCCGCGGTTGTTGATTCCTGAGATGAGGAGGAGGTTTCCTGAGGCGAAGCTTTGGGATGATTCGGTTAGGGTTGCTAGGGATGGGAATTTGTGGACTAGTGGTATGTTTTGCTTTGTTTTGCTTTTGTTTTTTTTTCTTTTGGGTTCGAGTTTGGTTCAACCTGGATGTGGATGTGGCTGTGCATGCTGAGACGAGCTTTAGGCGGAATTACAAACGGACACGATCTGGTCGCTGGGTACTTGCGTGAACATTACCCTGCCGCTCTGGTGAATACGATCCTCGTTGCTGCGGATATTCCTTCCCGTCCGGCGGCATACGCTAGTTCTGCGACGGGGGATACTGCCTATGTGCTCTGGCAGGTTATTAGGGCGGTTCCGAATGCAGTGATTCAGCTGCTTAAGGGGAAGTGATTGCTGCGTGGGGTTCTAGAAGTCACAACATCCGACCAATGTCAACCCGAGGAATCTCCATGAGTCAAAATCGACGATCAGGTCCTTTTGTTTCTTGAAAAATAAAATAAATGCAAAATTTAGTACTTTATTACTGATAGTAACAAAGTACATATGGCTTAATTAAAGCTATCCAATTAAATAAAGGACCGAGTCCCACAAAGCTTCAGGGATATAAGGAACATACGCGTCAAGCTCTCCATCCGGACTGAGCGAGACGATCCCATGGAGAACAATAACATATCAAGATTCTCTAGTATGTGCAAGCCTTCAAAACGCGGAGATCGAAATTGAACATGTCGACAGAAGGATTTCCATAGAGCGTCGCCATCATCGGTTTCAGACGCAATCCTCTTTCAAATGCAGAGCATGATGAATTGGGCTAGATCATGTTCCAACATTGATGAAATATTAAAATATTCCATCAGGTAGAGATAACAAAAACCACTACGACAGTCTATAAAAACTAGATAGTGCCCCATGTCGCAACCTTACATTGTACCTGTGTATCTATATCTAAAGCAAGGAAGACACCCATAGGTTCAATAGTAATGCATTTCTTGCAGTTCCAGAGCCTAAGAAAGGAAGAAAAGGGAAGAAAAGAATCGAACAGAAAAGAACATAGACCCCGAGTTTGAGAAAAACAGAACAAAGAAACAATCTGGGCGAGAACGCTTGTACCATGCAACGCGCTGCACCACGCTAAAGAGGACAATCATAGAGAAAGGAAAAAGAAAAGAAGAAGACGAAGAAGAAGAGAAGAGGAAGGGAATAAGAAGGAGGGAAAATGTGAACCATGCATATACCTAGACCCGGAAGGGAATAGGAAGAGTTTCATCAAAAAGAGTTTGAAAGGGAGATGCGCTGGCCCGAGCCTAGTCCGCCTGACAAACAATGAACCATAATATGAGTCGAGTCATTAACCCGGGATGATCATTATGGAGAAGAAATGAGGAAAACGAGATCCACGGTTCTGACTCTCGTCATGCATGCCAGCTCGCAAATTTTATCTTCGTTCGTGCGGTTCCCAATGGATGGGTTCAAAGTCGGAATTCTGGAAATGGGCTTGGTTATATGGGGAACTAAGACAGAAAAAGTCAGTAACGACATCGATTATACTGTAGATGGCTTGACAACACTCACTTTTTGAAAGGTGTCGTGACTGGCAACGAACGACTGAGATTCGGTTTCATCACCAAGGGATTCAGGCGAATTTGCGGGCCGTCTGATGACCGACTAGGCAGCGAAGTCATCGGTGGCGGGGCGGAGGATGGCGGCGCGATTTGTGGAGGAGGGGAGACCGGAATTGACGGAATGGGAGCATGGGTTGGCATAGGCGATTGGTACATGTCTTGTTGCGGGGACATGCGGAATGGACTGGCGGGTGTTGGCGAGACAGAAGGCATTGGAGACATGGGCGCGCCCATGCCAAAGGATGTGTCCTGCATCAAATTGGGAATGGCCATTAAGCTTGAATTGACGTCAAATCCGAGAGCAGCTTGATCCCAGGGGGAGTAATCGGACGTCATTCCGTATTGGAGGTTGACTATGGGTGCCATATTCAACGTTTCGGCTGGGTAAAGGAGATCATAATGGCCTCTGTGTGGAATGTTAAACTTGGTACAGCACATGGTAACTGCCAAAGTAACTTACGGTCGGTAGAGGAGGCGGATTGTTGCACCACTGGGACTATTAGAGGATAGTTGGTGAGGTGTCACGACGTCGCCTTCACTTCGGTCGAGGTAAAGAATTTCGACGCCAAAGCCGGAGCCTTCGATTACACCGTCGATCAGTGCCTGGAGGCCAACTTCGTCGATTTCGGTCTTCACCGGGTCTATCCGCGAGCTGCAGTACTGGTTCAGTGGCATAGGAAGGAAAGCCTGGTACCGGTTCGCGTTGAGCTTCATCCACGCGCTAGTCAAGATCTGCAAGGCGAGAACAGTCAGTTTACGTCCGGTAACAAGGAAATAGAAGGGCGAGCATCATCCAACAGGAAAAACTTACTCGGAAGTGGGTAATGATAGCATCAGAGCAGTAACCCTCATTAAAAGCCTCGACAAGGAAAGACTCGTCTTGAGCGCCACTTTGGATAGCAGCATGGGTTCGGTTCAGGACATCTTCTGTGGCATCGACAAAGATCTCGTAGATGGAATCCGACAGGCCGACCCGTTCCAAAAGCGTAGTAAGAGACTTCATTCTCCGAATCTCCGCCTCGATACGGAGCGTGTCTCGGAGGGCGAAGAGGGTCTCGAAATAACCAAATGCCACAGCTATATAGGATTAGCATGAAATACACTTCATATCGAATGTAGATGGCCATACCTCTCCAACCACAATTCCCATCGCCTTTCATGATACGGCACTCGGGATGGGTGATAGAAAGCGCCTAAGCTGAAAGTTAGATGCAAGACATATTATGGTAACACAGGAGGCCCAAGCCGCCAAAGCTTACATTTGTCTTTGTAGCTAACGTAGGATCTGCATTCGAGTAATCTAACGCGATGCTGTGGCTAGACTGTTTGGTTGAGACAAGGGGGCCCTGTCGACACGGTGTCAGCCATTGCTGTAGGCCGGGATAATCGAAACCAAATACCTGGACTTCCGGCTGGTAGCTGTTGGAAAGCTTCTGGAAGCGCTCCATCTCGTCGGCGGAGAGAGCATTCATGTTGGCGGAGTTGGAAGAGATTGGGTGAGAGAAAGCAGCTGATAATGAAAGGGCTACTGGAGAAAGAAAAGACGAGGAAAGGGCGTCCCGGTAAAAATCGACGGGATTCTGCTTTTCCGGGAACGGCTGATGAATACCGAAATGATTCCAAGTAGGTTTTGATAAGGACATCGCATACGGTTGAGATTGTGCTTATTCGAAGTCGAAGAGTCCACGCAGTGGTTATTATGTCAAGGTTTTCTGGAGATGTTAGAAAGAACTTGACAACCTCTGGAGGGGAACAAATATAAATAGAAAATAAGTTGACATACAGTTCGAATGGACATTTCTCCTTGGAATATTCGGGTGATGAAATACGGCCTTCACCTTTTTGCCTTGTACGACACTGTAGTGTGTCCCAGCACAGAGGATCGGCTTCTACTATCAGAGTCTCAGCATGACGATCCAGACGCAAAACATGCATAGCAGTCATTGATGGTAAAGTCAAATCAAGCCCACGAGTACCCGGGGGCGCCGATAGGAGGATACAAGGAGTAAGATGGGGCAAAGTGAGGGTGTACTACAAGCCCCTAGGACAGCTCTCCCAGTCTGATTGGGTAAAAGAAAAGTTTTGTGATGAAGAGATCCAAAAGCCAAAGGGGAATATCACAATCAAATTGTGGAAAGGCAAACGTCGATGATGTCAGAAGAGCCTCCACGGGGCAGAGGCTATAAGCCGGTTGGAAACGGCATAGGGGATCCTCTCAAGGAGGGGTGCACGAACCACAGATTGGATTTGTGAGACTGACAGGGATCACTGATGGAGTCTGAGTTTCCAGGTGATCTTGCGGATATGGATTCCGGAGAATTATAATAAATGGAGAAGCCAAAGGGGGGGCGTTAAGGGGGCCAAGAACAGAAGAATAACCTTGGAAGGAGTGTTGTATGACACACAATGACAAAAAGAAAGAAAAGCGATCAGGGAAGTTGCCCACCTTTGTTTATGACCTTGCACACGATGAGATAATCATGGAGGGGTTGCCGAGTGAAACCGGAGGTCAGACCCGAGAGAGTAGAGAATCCAACAAATATGATCGTTAAAAATTGGATAGAGTTGTGATGGGAGTTGGAGGAGAGATATTTGGGGAGGGGGGAGGTTTTGCGGGGAGAGAAGAAAGAGAGAGGATAATTGAACGCAGAGATTTGGGCAAAAAAATAGAAGGGTAAGTTCAACCTTCTGGTTTCCTCCCTATATGGAAAAAAAAGATTAGATAAAACAAAAAAAACAGAAAATATGTTGTTTAAGGGAAAAAAATAAAAGAAAATAAAAAGAAAAGGAAAAGGAAAAAATAAAATAAAAACAAAAACACAGTATGAAGTAGCGATGCACCGTGCCCGAGTTACCTCCGTCCATACATAGATGTCTGAAGATGCTGATCGAACAACACAAACATCTCGCGTAAACGCCCTTTATTTTCCTGCTGTTTTTGAAATTAGAAAATGTAGTACATACTAATACTTACAGTTGTACGTCGCTTCAATGTTGTACGTACAGTTATACATTGGGAGTACAATCCCCCGTATACCCCACAAAACCTCGAGTCATGAATACTACTCCGTAGGAATGAATAGGAAGATAGGACACGTACATTCCGCGATTATCACCTCGATTATACATATGCATATTGATTATACTATTGCCCAGGTGTATGCATCGGACTATCAAATCCCTTATTATCACCCCACACCCAATATCCACCCTCCAATTGACACTTACCTCGGACTAATCGGAGCTCCATTTTATCCACGGACTCACACCCAGGGCATATAACAGAGGTAAGAAAAGCACCAAAAAAAAGCAAAGTTTAAAAAAAAAAGCCAACAATCTCCCTGGGTAAAAGGGCCCTAAAAGCGGGGTTTGGAAATCTCCAGGGCTGAGGTCTGGGATATTTCGTTTGATGCCGACCCCGTCATGATTGGTGCAGCCCCCCCGATTTGATGCATACGGGCTTTGCTTTGCTTTTTTTTTTTTTTTTCTTCTTGTCGTTATTTTCGGGGCGATGGTGGCATTACCTTGTTTTTTTTTGTTTCTTTCTTTCTAATCCTACCGTTTTACATGCATGTTGGTTTTTGGCCTTGATCGAATGTTTCAATCACCCGACCTGGTGCTCGGATATCGGATATCCATAGGAGAATTTCAGGGTTTCCTTGTTTTCTCCGTATGTGATTGTGATTTCCACCGGCCCAGGTTCGTATAGAGCTCGTATGCCGGTAGCTTAGCGGAATCAAATATATAACTCGGGTCCGAGTGAACATG